AAAAAAATAGGTAGTATTAAACTATTAAAAAAAATCATAATACAAATGGAAATATAAGGAAACGTATATAATGCCATTAACTTCTTATATTATATTACACAATAAGCTCTCAAAACAATGGGCTTTGTTTGGACATTTGGAGTTGCTCTAAATATTACAATCAAAAGTTTATAATTAAATAAAACAATGTATATAATATTTTGACATTTTAAATACATTTTCTTTAACATCATGTGTAGAATCAAAAATATTTTTCTAATTTATATGCCAAAATTCAAAAAAATAAATTTTTGATATAATATTTAATATATATATATAAAGCGAAGTGAAATTCAAACAAATAAATAGAGATTGGACTTGTAATCGTGAGGTCATAGGTTCAAACCCCAACGCTTCAAGTCACTTGCCACACATGATTCGCCTAATGTGACTTTCCCGTCGGGCCTATTTGCAGAGTATTAGATTCGGCCGAAAATTTACCCAGTGTACTTTCGGATAGCGGCTGCGGATTCCCACGTCATTAAAAAAAATAAAAAAAACGAAAAAAAACAGTATGTTTATATTATTGTGTATATATAATATTTGAGGTTAAAATGAAATGAATGGGTAAAATTTGCGCAAGAAAAGCGAGAAAGAAGAAGACAGGCTAATCTAATAAAGATGAAAAGTAAATAAGATGTTATTATTATGTCTGCACCCCAACAGACAAAATCTTAATTTGATTTTGACCACAATCACCGGATTTTGACCAATCATCATTCCCTTTGATTCTTAGAAATTGCCTAAACCCACTCATTAATTAATCATTTATGTTCTTCATTTTTCTTACCTTATATGTACATTCTTGAATATTGTATTTTAATGATTGTAATGAAAAAAAAAAAAAAACTTACATAAATGTCCATTTTCTATATATTTTAAATGAGAATTAATATTCAATAATAGTTTTCTGCAATATATATAATCAATTAATAAAAAAAAAATACAAGTAAACAATAAGTTATGGTTAGGGAAAATTATCTATTTAATTTGCACACTATCACTCCCCTTCCAAAAAATACAAGGGTGTGTTTGTTGGGGATTTGAATTTTGTATTGTAATTTAAATAGTAAAAAATTTGAATTTGAATTTGAATAATTAAATAATATAATAAAAATGAAAATTGATATTATATTTTGAATATAAAATTAATAATAAATAGTAGTTTATTCTTGTAAAGCCAATTCTAGCCCGCTATTCCCTAAAAACATAGAAGTTTAGGGTTTAGGGAATATTCTATTTTTATACTCCCTCCGTCCCAAACAAGGTGCAACATTTATTTTTGGCACGAGTCTTTAGATGGGTGGTATTAAGTAAGATAATTTAGAAATTAGGTGATGTGATAGAGAGATAAATATATATTTTATTTTTTTATTTGGATGATGTGAGGGGATAAATTGTGGAGTAGAAATTAAATATAATTAATTATTTCTTAATTTATAAATGTTGTAGGGTGTTTGGGACATAAAAAAAAGGAAATGTTGCAGGATGTCTGGGACGGAGAAAATATTATTTTATGTCTTAAAAATTGGGTATAATTTATACATATAAAAAAAATAAAATTGAAATGCGTTGAGGATATTTTATTAAAGTAAAAATTATATTAACTGCATTTTCACCATATTGTTTATTCCAGATGAATTATCCCACTAGTTTCATGTTATGAAAAAAAGACACAATAATTTACATTAAATAGTTTTTGTATATATAAAGATATTGTAGTAATTAATGCGCACATTTCAATATATTTAAGATTTATTATTGCATTAAAAGTATTATCTTAAAATTTATTTGTCACGATAAATAAAACAAAAATAATAATATAAAAAATAAAATACACACTATAAACATATACTAGCAACTGTTAGACGCAAATTGAGGCCCGGCCCAGTAACAGCCCAATAAGAAAATTCAAAGTATAGCTAGCATTTATTTATCATAAGTTTCGGGTGTCTTTATTAGTATATTTATTTAAAATTTAAATAAATTTTGATGTGATTTTTTTTTTTTTTTAAAAAAAACTAAATTTAAATATTTGTATACAAACTAAAAAAAAATTCGGTTGCTGTAGTAGTGCAGCCGTATAGTGTGAAAACACAAACAAACACACCTTTATTGATTCTACTCTCATAACTATTTCTGACTTGTTTCTTGAATTTTTTATACTTTCTCCGTCTTATAACAAATTATTCATTTTTTCATTTTAGTCCGTTCCATAACAAGATATCTATTTCATTTTTTAGCAACTGTACTATTTACCTAATATTACAAATACCATTATAACTTACAATATATTACACAAATGTCATTACCTTTATATCACATATACTAATAAAGTTATTTTAGTCATTTCTACTTTATTTCTACTACTTCTTAATATAATACTAATATTTTTAAAAAATTGCATGCAAAAAAACAAATGAATATTTAATTATGGACGTAGGGAGTATATATCCATCTTTCAAATAATTTGTTCCGTAAATTCATTTTATGAGCCGAAATATAGTTCATACACTAATCTATATAATATTGGCCCAGCCCAATTTGGGCCCAATAAGTAGTGTGTAGTATCGATGTGCCTAAATTATAGGGGTCGGGCCCATAAAAAATTTAAGAAAAAATTAAAACGAAAACATGGCTAGCTTTTGTATGTGTTAGCACTATTTTCATGATGTTGATTTTTTATTTTTTATTTTTTCATTCAGCCATTGTAATCAGAACCATCAATTTTGTATTATATAAGATTGTGAATTTTATGTTATTTTTACATTATATTTTACTTAAGCCATTATTTAAATTAAAACAAAAAATCAAACTACTTATGTTTGATTTGTATATTTATTTTAAACTTAATTAGTGATTTAATATGATACTCCCTCCGTCCCCTTCTCATGTCCACATTTCCATTTTCATCCGTTCCACTTATTTTGTCACTTTCTTTTTTTGAAAAATAATTATACACTTTAATCTTATTTTTAAAAATTTAATTTTTTTTAATTTTAATTATACTAATCAATTATTTTAATCTTAATTTATAATTATTTTTATTATACGATAATTATTTTCACTAATACATTTTAAATTATTTACTAATTATATACCTTTCCTAAATTCCTGTATCAAATTATCCAGGACGGAGAGAGTATTTTGGAATAATAATATATGTATTTTTTATAAAAGAAAATAGGGTGAAATAATAAAAAATAAGAAAAGAAAAAGGAAGAGTTGAAATGTGTCTAGATTCAATAAATAATCCCCCTAACATGAGACTAGATTCAATGAATGTAGCGTAAGAAGAGCTTATAAGAAATCGCGTGACATTAGTCCCAATTTTTTTGGATGAGGTCCTAAAGTTATACAAGAATTCGGTGGTAGTCGTACTAGGGCATAAATTAATACAAAGTTTATGAAAGATATTAAAATTATACTACTCCATTAAATTGTACTAAGTAATTTATAAAGTAAACTAAATAGGGTTTGATTGGTTTTTTTTTTTTTTTTTTTTCTCAAGTCAATATTTTATTACTATTTAATTCCCACGTTTAAAAATACGTAACTAGACTGTATAAATTGCGATCTCATTTAATACTCCGCTCTCTTCCAATAATGCATTCCACCTTTAAATCACACCAAGAGCCAATGAGCCAATCCGACACGCCCGTGTTGGTCCCACTAACTCCAATTCCAAATTCACCGTCTACAAATTAACCGGTTAAGATTTATTTATTTATTTATTTATTTTCATATATGGTTCCTTATGACTTATCTTACCAGTCTACTTTACAGTCTATGAATTTTAACGTCATTAAAAAAAAAAAAAATTTAATGTTGACAAGTAACTCAACTCCAAAAGATCAATGTTGGTACACACATACTTGTCACATGCACCATTTCGTTAAATATTGAAAATTCGACAAAACATATTGAAGGCTATGATTACCTAAGTCGTCAAAACACTCTTCACACGTTACAACTTTGAGAATAATAAAAAAATTATATATGATCTAATATTTTGTAAAAAAATATATTTGGTATAATATTTTTTTTTTCAAATAAATGTTACTGCAAACTAATAGTACATTTTATTTTATTTTTTTAAATGTATTTATATAAACAGAGCAGTAAATATCAAAAGTATATTATTCAAAATAAGTAAAACAAATAATAACTTTTATTCAAAATATTAAATCAAAGTATTTCTTAAAAAAAAAAAAAAAAACACATTTAACATGTATTTATTCCATATCAAATATTTATTTTTATTAAAATTTGTACTATTTAAAAACTCTCCCAAACATATCTAACCACAAAAATGTTCTTAATATGACTTTCAAATAAATATAATTAAAATGACAACAGCTGGCATTTATGGAAAATAAATTAATAAACAAAAGCCTATAATTTTCTTTTAAAATATGTATATATCAAGAAACATATCCATACTTTTTTGTACGCTATTGATTATTGTTCAGGTTCCTTTAAATAAATGACACACATGGATAACAATTGTTTTTGTAACTTTTCTATTTTTCAAATATTTTAAAAAACTTTTTAGCATAAATATATATATATTAAATTATTATTATTATTATTATTTGCTATGTGTAAAATGTTTATAAGAAGAAAGGAGTGATGAAGGAATATTTTTTTGAGGTTGGGTGGGCCTAAAACCTAATAAAGTGACTAATGAATTTTCGGCGGATAACAACTCCGCCATCATGCGGAGGCGCGTGGAAGCGCGTGGCCAGTGGTCAACTTCCACGTAACCAGAGCATGCATTGTGGCCAGAATAATCCATCGGATATGCTTTATTCTGCCCCACTCTTATATAAAAATGGCAGTCTCTCTTCTACCGGTATCCACTCGCAGCATATCCTTCTCCACTAAGTTTTTTTTGAGTTTCTCTATCAAATTATGAATCAGTTTATGCTTTTCTATGGTGATTTCGTTTTTTCGACAGGTGGAGTTTCTATGGAATATTCGTTGGAGAATTCTTCGACTCAGCGAATCCAGGGAAGTTTAGGCGCGCTTATAATGAATGAATTTTGATCTGAGATACTTACTGGAAAAAGCGGAGGGAAAAAATAATAATGATTTCTGGATTTGTGAGGACGAAGAGAGCAACTGACCTGTTGGACGATGAGGCGAGGGCGAGGATTGTCGGTTTAGATCGGTGTGGATCGGACGTCTTCAGCAGCGGGAGCGAACACAGCGGACAGGCGGACGATGACTTTGATGCATCCTCTAGCCTTTCGGATCCTTTCTTCGGATTCGGAGTGGAGGAGGCAGGAGATGAGACACCGGAGATAGGCGAGTCGGATTGCGAGCGCGATCCGTCGATTTGCGAGTTGAATTGTGTGAATGTTGATTTGATTGAACGGATTCTGTTGGATGAAGGAGATGTGTTTAAAAAACAGGTTAGGGATTGCGTTTTGAGAGCTGTGCAGGTGTTTTCGTGCTTGAAATCGAATGAACAGATTATGAGAAGAAATGTAATGGCGTACCTTAGGAATTGCGGTTGGAATGCAGCGATTTGTAAGACGAAGTGGCAGAGCTGCGGCGGACTCGCCGCCGGCGAGCACGAATTCATTGATGTTGTTCGGACGGAATATTCCGCAAGGTATTTCATCGATTTAGATTTCGCGGCGGAGTTTGAGATCGCGAGGCCGACGAATTCGTACGAGTGTCTGCTGCAGCACTTACCGAGAATCTTCGTCGGAGCGAGCGACGATTTGAAGCAGATTTTGAAATTAGCTAGCGACTCGGCGAGGCGGTCGTTGAAGAGCAGCGGCCTCCACCTGCCGCCGTGGCGGAAGCACCGCTTCATGCAGAACAAGTGGTTCGGACCGTACCGCCGCACGACGAACCTATTTCCGGCTTCATTTTCATCTCCTTCGCCTGAGAAGACGAGCTACAGCTTTAAATGTCGCGTCGTCGGTTTCCCTCCGGCCGTCGACGGCGACCGTTTATTCTTTCCCGCCGCTGCCTGAATAAGATGATTGTGATATTATATTATAATAAATTAACAAAATAAAAATAAAATAAATACAATTACCTTTACTTTTTTTTTAAAAAATACGGAGTACTAATTTTGCTTTACTATCATTGAGTGTGTTTGTTTAAAATACTCATTAATTTTCCATTTGATTTTTTGCAATTAAAGTAAATTAATACTATATGCATATATATATATGTAAAAGTAAAAGTAAGAAAATTTTACTAATATTTAATTGAAAGTTTCTTTTATTTAAAAAATAATTTTCTTTTTTTTTATTTAAATAAAGTAAAATGATAAATAGGAGTAGGATTTACTAATAGACAGAATGAGTATATATTTTTTAATATAATTTATTGTTAATTATTGGAATACTATTTAGTGGAGAAATTAGGATATAGTCATAGACTACTTCAAAACACAAACAAATGTACCTTTCGTATCTGCATGCACTAAAATTTAATTTTAATATTTTATACATTACGGTAAAGTACGCGGCAAACGTACGCCGTGTGTTTATCATATGACTGCGCAGGTTAGCGATCTCCACGTGCGCAAATTGGAGACCGTCGATGGAACGAGGAATGATCTAACGGCTACGATGACTCCCAGCATTGGGTACGGGGTAGTGATGGGCCACAAAATTATCACGCGAAATATGATCCTGAACTGATAAGATTAACAATTACTAATATTTATTTATTTATATCTCAAAAAATGTAGGATGGAAATCATAAATGCTTATTATATTCATGGTGATGGTGAGGTCTCATCAACTAAGCTATCATATCATAAATGACATATAATGACTACAAGATTATTTATTTTTTAATTAAATATGAGGTGTACACATAATAATATTTTTAAATACTATCTAAGTTATTCTAAAAGTTAACACACAAAGATCACATCAATACATGTGTAATGTGTTGGAAAGTTTAACAAATTTGGGATAATGTCCAAAGTTTATGCATCATGTTTGAAAACTCATGATATAAAAAAAAATAAAAAATCTAATGTACATTTAGGTTTATATCTAAAAAATGTAGAATGATCTTCGAGAAAACAATGAAAAAAACATGGATACATTGGTAATTGAGTTAAACACAAACTATAAATGAAAATAAACTATTCAAATAGGACAGAAGGGAGTACGAATTATGATAATAGTATATCATAGTATATTTAAAAATAAGAACTGCAATGTTATATGAGTAAAAACCTTCTTATAATTTAGAAATGTTAAGCTTCATTCACTGAAAAATCTAACAATAATAAAAATCAATGCGATAATGATTCAACAACACAGACAGACAGGAAATAGAGCATGGTCTAAAAACACACCAATGGAGACTCATGCAAGAAACTAAATAGGACGTACCATTCAACAAAGTAGCCCTCCTCTCCCCTCCACTCCCAGGCATTAGTAGATTGGGAAGTTTCCATCGACGTCGTTCGCCCACGACTCGAGCCCTCCAACAATATCCTTAGCCGAGGGATACCCCATCTTACGGAGGCATTCGACGGCAATCTGCGAATCATTTCCGCGTCTACACACAACATACAAAGACGGATCATCGCTTCCATTACCTCGCGCCAAGGCTGTGGCTATTTCGGGAAGCCTTTTCTCCAAATCCGTTAGCGGAATGTTCAAGGAGTTCGGGAGGGAGACAATCTTGTAGTGATGTTCTGGTCTCACGTCTAGCAATACATGTGACTCGCCTTCCATTTTTCTGTCGTTGTACTCCATGCTTGTTATTCTGGCTTCATCCGGAAGCAGGTTTAACTTTAAGGGGGACTGCCATGGTTTCGAAAGCTTGTGATGAGCATTTGTTCGATCATAATTGAAGGTTATAGAAATTTAAATGTATAAGAAAAAACAAGAACAATAAACTAAAAGGGTTCGCACCGTGGATAGAGGGTATTGAGTGAAATTTTCGTAGTCGAAATGACGGAACTTTACTTCATTTAATGTTGCATTTTCTCCACAGGCCTCACATTGTAATGACCTCCCTCGTAATTTGACCTGTAACCAAGAGGAAAGTTCAAGAAAATGTTAGACATTATTTCAAGAATCGAAATTTAAGGAATGTAGAAGCTATAAAAGCAAACATTAGTTAAACCAGCAGCTATTGTTTCTGCGGGATCCGAATCATTTTTTATTACAACGGATGTTTCAAGTGTTAATTATAATAGAAACAACATATTTGACATTAACAGGGAGAAATAAGACAATACATACAACACGAGTTCGAGCAGAAAGTGAATCGAAGAGAAGCATCCTTCCTGAAAGAGGTTCACCAACTGCCGCTGCAACTTTTATGGCCTCCAGTGCCTGAAGGCACCCAATAATCCCCGGAACTGCATTTCGTGTCAAGGAAAGTTACTGCATTTAATTTTTGCAATCATTCCAAATATAAAAAACACAAGAATATTAGCAGCAGCCAGTTCCATTACACTAGCAACAACGTCGTAAACATCTATATTTTTCGAAATGATTCCCAGTTGGTCAAAATAACAATTGATTTTTCAATACCTACTCCAAGAACTCCACTATCTGCACATCTCTGGCAAGCTGTTGTGGGAGGAGGAACAGGAAATAGGCACCGATAGCATGGGCCGCCATTGTAATTGTAAACAGTAAGCTGCATTAACAAAAGTAGATCAGATCATATAGGATAGTTGATCAGGTATAGTAAGCATTAGGTTGAAGAAAACCAAATGGTAATGTGTTGCTAAAAAGCTCACCTGTCCTTCTAGCCCGAGTGCAGCTCCAGATATAAGAGGCTACAAGCATCGATAAATAGATGGTCAGGAGAAACAAAGTTAACAGCAAATCAACAAGATCATATATAGTATCACGAAAATGTATCAAGGATGTCTGCAAGTTTTACAAAGAATGTAGGTCACAATCAAATGCAGAATTAAGGTTTCTATATATATATATATATATCTATTGCTCTTATCTGAATTTGATGCAACATGTGAAGCAGCTCAAGAAGTTGAGTAGAAATTTATCCGAGTATTTATATCAATTCTAGTATAAAATTTATTCACTGTCCAAAAAGCGTAAGCCAAAGAGCCTTTCACCTTTCCCAATACAACACAGCAATCGCTAATCATGTAACGACTAGGTACATTGTCAGTTGCATCAACAACAATATCATACCTGCAACGAATGAAAAGAGGCCATATAATGTTAGATGCAATCTGCCATCGACTACCGACTACAACTATGATATAATATAGTAGGAATAGATAAAGAGAGAAAAATCATACTTTCTCATAATCTCTAAGGCATTTGATGTTCGGAATGCTTCCTTGTGCTCTTCGATTTGTACAGAAGAGTTAATCCTGGAAAAGACAATAAAATTTCTGTTCAGTTACATAAGTGGTAAAGCAAGCATCTAGTTGATAGAATGGCATACGCGCGACATGCAGCAGCAGCAGACTCTACTTTCGATCTTCCAATATATGATTCAGTATGAATTATCTAGGGGGAAAATAACAAGAATCGTCAGCATATACACGATAATGTCTTACAAGGATTAATATCACATAGTTCATTCATGTGTTACCATACAGAGCCTTGCCTTGTTATCACTGACATGAACTCAAATTATTTTGAGGTTGGATATCTACACTATCTTTTTTTTGAGAATAAGTATGAAATATTAAAATTTAATAATCATTCAGTATTTACCGTATACTCAAATTCATTCTACTCACAAATTACTTATCAGTTATCATACACTCTAAAATCATCATATATGTGGTAACACTCAAATCACATCATCCAATCATTCCATGATATACTTCATATCAAATTAAAGATATATCTCAAAATAAATTCCATTTTTCCTTGTTATTCAAATCAACAAAAACACACAAACTACTGCTCACATTGGAAGAACTTGCAAAATGCATCCAAACAAGAAGCAAAATAAAGACTAGGAATCTCAGTTTTATGTTTCCCGTTTTACCTGTCTGTGTAGATTATTAAGCTCCACCACATCATGATCAACGATGCCCAGTCGTCCTGGGGAAAAAGATGCAGAAAATTGTCATTAATAGTTATCCAATCCCCAAAAATAGAGAATCAAAGGTAGGATTTAGAATCAATTAGGGTTTTCAGAAACAAGTGTGTAGGCTCTCCAATACTCTTAAATTATCTACACGCACCAACACCGCATGCTGCAAGGTAAAGCAGAGCAGGTGAACCCAAGCCGCCGGCGCCAATAACTAACACGGAGGACTTCAACAAATTTGCCTGCGCTTCAACCCCAAATGAAGGGAGCAGCAGATGGCGACTGTATCTGTGTATCATATCGGGCGACAATTGACCATCGATATTACTTTCCACGGGCGGCAGAGCACATGAATTGATCTCCACGCCGCTGTTTTCCGAGCTACAACTGCCGAGCTTAGCTTGCAGCTCTGATATACGATTCTCGATTTTCGCCTTGGCCTGCTCTAGTGAAGCTATTTCTCGGCGGATGTCCGTCGGCGTTTCCACCCCTCCGTTCGAATCCATGGCCGAGCACCGAGGGCGCCGACTCACTGAGCAGTTAACTATGAATAGGGTTTTTCATTTGAAACAAACAATTAATTAATCATATACTATATGCAAACATACGAAGATATACTATTCAATTATTGTTTAAATTATACCAATTATTTTATTTTAAAATACTATTAATTAAGGTAAGGGTTTACATCCGCACCTATCTCATGCATTGTATCGCTACATCGGACTTTCGGTACGTTAGTTTGATATATTATTACATTAACAAAAAAACAAAGAGAAAATATTACACACAGTAGTACAGTATTTTAATACTTAGAGCTATTTATTTTGTAATATGACATACAGCTTTCATTTCATTAGTAAATATACATATATATAATTTCGGTAAAATCATGCACCAAGAAAACACAAATTAAAAACAAAATTAAAAATTGGAAATAAACTAACAAACCAGTAACAACTAACCGTCGTCCCGACCATTCTTCCTACTCCTCAGCATTCTCCCTCCTCCTATTATTTTTCCACTCTCTCTCCACCCTTCCCTCTCTCTCTCTCTTCGGTACATGCCACAGGAGGGATCGGAAGAGAGTCCCCGCCCCGGCCACCACCGCCCACCATGCTCCGATGGAGGCCAACACCCCCAATTCCCCTCCTCCTCCTCCTCCTCCTCCTCCTCGCTGCCGCCTCGGCCTCCTCCGCGGCCCCCGACGGTGAAGCCATGTCCAAGCTCGCTCAGTCCCTGACCCCGGCCCCATCCTCCTGGACCGGCGCTGGCTACTGCGACTGGCAGGGTGTGAGCTGCGACACCTCCAACCGCGTCAGCTCCATCGACATCTCCGCCCAGTCCCTCTCCGGCACCATTGCCCCCGAAATCAGCCGCCTCTCGAATCTCCGCTCCCTCAGCCTCCAGAAGAACCTCCTCTCCGGCCCCGTCCCCAACCTCTCTGGCCTCAAATCCCTCGAGGAAGTCTACCTCGACGACAACGGCTTCGAGTCCGTCCCCCACGGCTTCCTCTCCGGCCTCACCAGCCTCCAGACCGTCAGCATCAGCAACAACACCCGCCTCGCCCCCTGGTCCATCCCCGCCTCCCTCAAGGACTCCACCTCCCTCAAAAGCTTCACCGCCCGCCGCTCCAACGTCTACGGCCAGATCCCCGACATCTTCGCCTCCCTCCCTGGCTTCCAGATCCTTCGATTGTCCTACAACAACATCACCGGCTGGCTCCCCTGGTCCATGGCCAAATCCGGGATTCAGACCCTCTGGCTCAACAATCAGGCCTCCGGCATGTCCGGCCGCCTCGACGTCCTCGCCAAAATGAAGCATCTCACCCAGGTTTGGCTCCACGCCAATCAATTCTCCGGCCCCATTCCCGACCTCTCCGCCTGCACCGAGCTTTATGATGTCCAGCTCCGCGACAACGCCCTCACCGGAATCATCCCCAATTCCATCTTCGCCCTCCCCAAGCTGCAGTCCATTGCCGTGCAGAACAACAGATTCCAGGGCCCCATCCCCGTGTTCAAATCAGGCGTCGATGTCAACCTCGGAACCACCAACAACTTCTGCCTCCCCTCGCCCGGGCCCTGTGATCCGCAGGTCACCGCGCTGCTCGAATCCGTCAGCACATTGGATTATCCGATGATGATGGCGCAGTCATGGGAAGGGAACAACGCCTGCCAGAATTGGCAGTTCGTTACCTGCGAGCAGGGAAATGTGATCATCGTCAATTTCGGGAAGCAGGGCTGGATGGGTTCGATTTCGCCTTCATTTTCGAAGCTAACCAATCTCAAACAGTTGTTGCTGAATGATAACAAGCTCACTGGAAGAATCCCCGCCTCCCTCACGTCCTTGAAGCATCTCGAGACCCTCGACGTCTCCAACAACAACCTCTCCGGCAAGGTCCCCGAATTCGCCTCTTCTGTGACGGTGAAGACCTCAGGGAATCCATTTATCGGTAAGGAGCTCGATGGAGGAGATTCGTCTGTCTCGACAGTTGTGATTGTTGTCTTTGTCACTGTCTTTCTCGCCGCCATTGCTGCCGGGGGGTTCGTTGTGTACAAACGCCGCCTGTATAAGAAGACAAATAGCTACAAGCTGTTCAACAAAGGAGGCAACGGGAGAAACAGCGACACGGTCGTCAACATTGATCCGTTGAAGGATAATCCGAGTGCTTATAACAGTAATTACAATCAATCTCCAGCCGGGAGCAGCACCGGATACGAGGGGGCGAACATCACCATTCCATTCGAGGTCCTTCGGGAAGCTACAGAAAATTTCAAAGAGGAAAATGTGTTAGGCAGGGGAGGGTTCGGCGTCGTGTACAGAGGACAGCTCCACGACGGGATGACAATCGCAGTCAAGAGAATGGAGTCTTCGATGATGGGCGACAAGGGGCTCACCGAGTTCAAGGCGGAGATCGAGGTGCTGACGAAGGTGAGGCATCGGCATCTCGTCGCCCTCCACGGGTTCTGCAACACGAGCTGCGAGAGGCTCTTGGTTTACGAGTACATGCCGCAAGGGTGTTTAGGACAGCATCTGTTCCAATGGAAGGAGATGGGAGTCCCGCCGTTGTCGTGGAACCAGCGAGTAATGATCGCACTGGATGTTGCCCGTGGGATCGAGTATCTGCACAGCATGGCACAGCAGAGCTTCATCCACCGGGACTTGAAACCGTCGAACATCCTTCTCGGAGATGATCTGAGGGCTAAGGTCTCCGATTTCGGCCTGGTCCGATCTGCCCCTGATGGGAACTATTCCATCGAGACGAAGTTAGCAGGAACCTTCGGCTATCTTGCTCCCGAATACGCCGGTATGACTGCATTAGCTTCTACAAGATTAAGATCGAGAACACTGCTATAATTAATCTCTAAACATAGCTAATCGATTAATTTAAACAGCGACCGGAAGAGTTACCACGAAGGTCGACGTGTATGCCTTTGGGGTGGTCCTCATGGAGTTGATCACCGGAAGGAAGGCGCTTGACGGATCGTTGCCGGACGAGCAGATCCACCTAGTCACGTGGTTCCGTAGCCTTCTCCAGGATAAGGACGCTGTTCGGGATGCTATGGACCCCGTCCTCCTCGAAGAAATGGATGCTGAGATGTTCCAAAACATCTGGAAAGTGGTTGAGCTCGCCGGGTACTGCACCGCAAGGGAGGCCAACCAGCGCCCTGACATGAGCCACTCCGTAAACATGCTGTCGTCTCTGGTGGATATTTGGAAGCCGAGCCCGGAGCGCATGGACAGCTTCGACATCGACATCCACATGAGCCTTCCACAGGCCTTGCAGAAATGGAAAGCCAGCGAGGGCGACTCTTCGACGCTGTCCACGGGGTTCTTCACGGGAGATACAACTAATCATGCCACAACAACGTCCGACACCACTGCCACGAACATCAAGTCTCACAAATTCTAGAGCTTTTTCGACAACCATTGACAGGAGACAATGCATGAGGAAAAAGGCGAACAAATTGAATACAGTTATCGATTGATCAATCAATCGATATGGAAAACTCTACTGATCAATAATGTTAAACATGAACAAATGTTTTGTAGAAAAAATGTATCAGAGAAACCTTTTTGAGATTCCACTGTAATTCTAAGTACTCAGGCGTGTAAAGATCATCGGCTGATGAAGAAGATGACTTACAGATGTAAACGATAAACGAAGTTCTGCATGGTAAATAGCTATTTCAAAACAACACTACCGAAACTTAACCAGAAGAGAATAAAAACAAGATCAAGGGCAAAGAACTGCATTTTCGAGCTGTGATCTCTCAATAATCCAAAGCATAATTAGAAAGATCAACAGTGTATTAAGAACAGAATCTAGAAAACTATTCATCAATACTTACATAGAGCAGAGTGATCCCTCCAACTTGGTGAAATATAACTTTGGTCACGGGCTCAATCAAATTTCAATTCGACCTCTTCATACAGCACTCCCGAATCAGCAAATCTTTACAGAGGTGTTTTCTCAAATATCTTGTATCAATGCCATGTCAAACATCGTAACAGCTAGCTATCCCGGCTCAGGAAATGCAGTGTATTCAACAACGTGCTGTATGTCTTCTCATTCATAAATGTATCACGCTTCCTGAATTCTTCGAGAATTTCGAATGCATCATTTCCCCTCCCGTCCCTACAAAGTTCTTCCAATAATGTCTTGTATGTCAACAAATCAGGGGTCACCGAATTCCCCAACATGTCGAATACGATTTCATTTGCTTCCTCGAACCTCCTCTCCATAGCCAAACTGCAGACCAAGATCATATAAGTACTACTCTTTGGCACCAAGCCTTTGCTCCTCATCTCTTTGTAGAAAGCCAATCCTTGATTCACTCTTCCCTTCTCGCACAATCCTCTCATCAAATAGCTGTAGGTATACGAATTCGGCTCGCAACTGTATAATCCCATCTCACGAAACACACGAATCGCCTCGTCCATTTCGAGGCATTTGGAATAAGCTTTGAGGATCATGTTCAGCACAAATGTGTCTGGAATTACACCTGCTGCCTTCATTTGCTTAGCTAGTGATCTAACAGGATGCATGTATACATAGCAGACATTTACTCTATTGAATTTCCTCAACAGTGAATTCAGAAGCAATGCGTACGTTTCCAAATTAGGTTTTGCACCCTCGGATTTCAACATCTTCTTATAAATATCAAAGGCGCGATTGAATAAGAACTTACGGCCGCAGCAGAATTTGATCATCGCGTTGTACAGCGGAAGATCGGCGGGGCAGGCGCCGGCCAGGACTTCTTCTATTAAAGTCTCTGCCGCACGGTAACGCTTACCAGTAACCGAAATCTCGATCATCGTGAGGTAGGTAACACTGTCGTGCTTGTAATTTCGCTGCTGAGCCGTCCACCGGAAGATGTCGAGGGCGAGGTCGGGATCGGATTGAGACCGGAGGGCTTCGTCGACGTCGGATTGAGTGAAGCCGGGCTTTAGGTTTTCGATCCATGTCTCGAATTGTTTTTCGAGCGGAGTTCGCGTGCGAGGCTTTGGGAGTTCGGGCGGCGGCGGAGGAGTCGGATCGGATGAGAGCGGCGGAGTAGACCTGTGTTGAAGAATGCTTGTAGTGGTGAGGTGGCGGCGGAGAAAGGTTCCGATGGTTCGAGGTGAGAGTCGTGCAGCCATTGGAGGCGGCGGATGGCGGAGCACGACGGCTGTTTGTTACAGATTCTTGGAATTTATTGGGCTTTAGTTTGGGCCCAACAAAATTAGCCTAAAATTTTAAAAATAATTTTCAATTATTTTAATGAAACTAATTGTAATTTTTATAGATATTTTAATTTAAAATTTATAATTAATGATAACAATCATTACTCGTTAGCGTACCCTACCGCAGAAATTGACGACAGTAGCGATTGGTACACTAGAATAATCCACATCGTTGATTTGCAGACCTCACACCAATGAACGGTGCGGATGGATTTACGTACCCTGGGAATTTCTGTGGGTAACAACATCCCAGAGGCAGAGGAGGCTACATTTGTAATTTGACAAGATACACCCGGCGTTGGCATTTAAAAAGTTCCCATAAAAATGTGGAATCTCAATTCTCATCTGCTCCAGACCGACCGAAACGGAATCCGAAATTTTTCTGTGATTTCTTGTTATCGACGAAGTTCTCGTAATCTTTGAAATCAAGGCGGTTCGTGTGTTGAGTATGGAGGCGAAGCAAATGAAGGCGGTGCAGTACACGAGTTATGGAGGCGGCGTCGACGCCTTGAAGGTAAATTTCGGTTCCTGGAGTTTCTTCTGCTTGATTCGTTGAATATTCTATGAAGTTTTGATTGGATAATCTGTTGAGAAATGTTGAGATTGTGTACGATCTTATTTTTCTTTGCAGACATCTTAGTTCATCGTCATATGTTTTTTTGAGCTTGTTGTGTATGTGTTGTATCGCAGTTTCTAAATTTTGGTTTTCGAATCACAATTAAGAAAGAATGGATTTTGGCTATTTTCAGATTTGACATACTTGCGTGAGAAGTAATCGATAGTTTTTGTTTTACCCCCTCAAATTTCTCATTTGCAGCATGTTGAAGTTCGAGTTCCTACTCCTGCTAAGGGTGAAATGCTGATAAAAGTGGAAGCTACAAGCTTGAATCCAGTAGATTGGAAAATTCAGAAACGAATGATCCCTCTTTTTCCCAAAAAATTCCCTTACATTCCTGGTAAGCTTAGTGCCGGTCATTAAAAGTTGTTTTCAGCAGTAATTTTTGCAATTACATCTTTACAATTTTTAATGGTTGTGAAGTGGCTCAGCAGGATATTTGGCATTGCTCCTGAGTGGAAAATTACTGTTTTTGAGAGAGATTGCTCAGATATATATCTAGATAAGAATCCAATGTTAATAGAAGTTAGTGTAACCAATGATGATTTAAGTTATTAGAGTTTCAAAATCTTGATATGACCGGAGAAATGCAACATTTTACCAACCTCATCAATAGATATGTGTTATAAGAATGAAAGAGTTTTTCATTGATGGACAACCACTAGTAGTGGAAATAATGTTGCGTTTCGAAACCAATTTCACGCCACGCCTATATCCTAATCAAATATCAGTGTAGTATTCAATGAGTAGATTGATTTAATCGTAAGCGTGATGCACGCATCCACTAGAACTTTTTAACTTTTTAGCTCAAGATCCAATACTAAAGGCATGTATGTTGCGTACCCCTTTAAGCTTAATTCACTTAATACGTGCTGGGAAATAGGAGTTTGTTGTCCAGTGGCTCTCATGGAGATCACTGTGAAGTAGTTGATGCTAGATTGTAGGACACACCTATGATATTACAAAGAAAAACATGTTGCACCCGATGTTGTTTCAGATGTTCTATGTGCCCACAAAGCAGGTAAGTTTAGAGCATTCAGTTGAAATTGGCAATTTTGAAACCGGAACAATTATGAAGAACTCACTGTTGTTGTTTGAAAGGTCTGTTTTCAATGGAGATTCTTGTTTTTACAATTTCCTATTGCTAATTAATGGAGTTTTAGAATTTGGCTTTGCTTCCTTTGTGTCTTCAATGGATTCAGGCTTGTATTCATTACAACTTCTTTATCCATTTTCATTCACGCACTTCTCTCATTTTTTTCTGGAGCAGCAACTGACATAGCTGGGGAGGTTGTGGAGGTTGGATCAGAAGTCAAGAACTTTAAATCTGGTGACAAAATTGTCTCCATCCTGAGCCATTTTGTGAGTTCTTTTACTACGTTATCCGATTCCTCCATTTATTCCTACATGTATTTCTCTTTACTACACACCTCAACCAAAACAGGCAGGTGGTGGTTTGGCCGAATACGCCATTGCCAAGGAAAGCTTAACTGCGGCACGGCCATCCGAGGTATCTGCAGCCGACGGTGCATCCCTCCCCGTTGCCTGCCTCACAGCTCTCCAGGCCATAACCAAGTCCGTCGGCCTTACCCTCAACGGCGCCAGCAACTCCGACCCACAGAAAAACATCCTCATCACAGCCGCATCAGGCGGCGTTGGCCACTTCGCTGTCCAGCTGGCAAAGCTAGGAAACGCGCATGTCACCGCCACCTGCGGCGCACGTAACCTCGACTTGATCAAAAGCCTGGGAGCCGACGAGGTCCTGGACTACAAGACCCCTGAAGGAGCTGCTCTGAAGAGCCCCTCTGGCAAGAAATACGATGCAGTGGTCCATTGTGGCCCTGCAATGGCGTGGTCTGTCTTCGAGCCAAATCTCAGCCCCAGCGGGAAGGTGATCGATATCACTCCCGGGCCGAGCTCCATGTGGACGTATGCTGTGAAGAAACTGACTCTTTCGAAGAAACAGCTGGTGCCATTGCTGATGTGGCCGAAGAAGGAGAACCTGGAATGCCTCGTGGAATTGGTTAAGGAAGGGAAGGTCAAGGTTATTATCGACTCCAAGTTTCCTTTGAGCCGAGCCGAGGAGGCTTGGGCTAAGAGCATGGAAGGCCATGCCACTGGGAAGGTCATTGTTGAGCAGTTGGAGTAGAGATAGAACTTGACTTTGAATTTACTCTTGTTCTTGTCTGTCTGCTTTTCTTTTGGGAAAAAACCACATACGATGATGAATTAAGCCATGTTTGGTTCTGGAAAAAGAAAAAGGATCTTTCACCTACTACATCTACAAGGAATCTATCTATTTCAGTAGCTGCCTGGTGTTTGAAACTCCGGGTCAATCCACGCCGTTCATTCATCATCGAACGGCGATAACGCATGGGTTAGGAACTCCAGGACCTTTTTTTACTATGGCAGGGCCCAGTACTCATTCCCAAATCTGGTGAGCCAAATCTATAACAAAATTTTGGACGCAACCGCGCAGTGGGATGAAGAAAAACGATAAAATATTCACACACAAATTCCCAAAGGCAACCAACGCCAACCCCACGTTAAAGAACCCTTCCATATTTATCTCCTGCAACAATCAATTATTCACTCAGACTCTCAGTGGCGCACAGCCCCTTCTCATTATCTTGAGATTTGTTCGATTTCGTTTCGGGCGGTGTTCTATTCTGCACCAATGGTTGGATATTTGGAATGATTATTCAATTTGGGAAATACGAGAGTGGGGCATTTAGTTTAAATCTGGGGCGTGTTTCCCCAATCTGGGAACCCTAAATCGGCATCGGGACAGATAACCGGTGGGATTTGGATCTGGAGAGCCCTGATTTGATGTCAATGGGCTCTTTGGATGAAGGTCATTACGATGAGGAACTCAGGAATAATGGCGTGAGTGGGGCAGAGACTCGGGAGATTGAGGAAGCTGTCAGAGTGCTGTTGGAGGGTTTGGGTGAAGACTGCAACCGTGAAGGTTTAAGGAAGACTCCTCTGCGAGTGGCCAAGGCGCTGAGGGAAGGCACACGAGGTAATTCATTTTCTTCTCCGTCATCCCCTGTTAATTGCTTATGATATATGCATAGCAGTGGATCTTGAGTTGTGTTCCTGATCTGGAAGTGGATTTGATTCCTTTTCTCTGTGCTAGAATTGTCTATTTTACTTGGAGCTGAAACAATGTTACAGATTAGTGTTAAACATCAGCCTCAGATGCATGATTTCTGTATATATACACACAGAGACTACATGACATGCTCATAGAATCTGTTTGGTTGTTTTGTGGATATTTGAAGTAGAGGACTTAACCACATGTAGTCTTGAAAATTTTAAAACTTCAATATGATAATTACAAAGTGAGGTGTATTACTGGCTTAACTTTTAGGCAAGGCCTTTCATGGATATTTTCATCAGCGATTAGGCTAGTTGATTAGATCATGCCTTTATTGTATCCTTCCGCCGTGCTTTTATAGCGTGCTTTGTGCTACTCTGCTAATGACATCTTTGTTAGATAGTCTTTGATCGTTAGTTTACAAAGAAAGTTTGATATGTAGAGTACATTGGATCAAGGAGATGTACATTCCCTTTCTTGTCCGATGCTATATTTTTCCTTGAAATCAAAATCTACGTGTTTAATGTATCTTCAGGCTACAAGCAGAAGGTGAAGGACATTATAGCTAGCGCTCTATTTCCTGAAGCCGGTTTGGAAAGCTCAAACGGTCATAATGATGGTGTCGGCGGGCTTGTTGTAGTTCGAGATCTTGATCTCTTCTCATACTGTGAGTCTTGCTTGCTTCCGTTCCAGGTGAAGTGTCACATTGGCTATGTCCCGTCTTGTCAAAGAGTTCTTGGCCTTAGCAAGCTTTCTCGGGTAGCCGATGTATTTGCCAAACGTCTTCAAGAACCACAACGACTGGCAAACGAGATCTGTGCATCTTTGCAACAAGCCATCAAACCAGCTGGAGTTGCCATCGTCTTACAATGCTCCCACATTCATTTCCCTAATTCCGAGTCTGCGCTCCTCGACCCTAACCACAACGGTCTGGTCAAGATGAATGTGAAATCTGGCTCAGGAGTTTTCGACGACGACAAGAAATCAAGTGTCTGGACCGATTTCCTCAATCTCCTGAGATTTCGAGCTGCAGATGCCTTGGACAAGAAACATTGGTGCCCGTCTCGGGAATTCTCCAGGATGGACCTCATGGACACGGCAATGCTCGGCGCGGTCACTTCGATTCTATTCTCTCTCGGTGAGGAACCTTTGAGAAAAGAGCTTGTAGAGACTCCGGCACGGTTCGTAAAGTGGTTGATGAACTTTAAGAACTCGAACTTGGACTTGAAGCTCAATGGGTTCGTCCGGGATTCTCTATCCTCCTCCAACAAGGATTTCGGGTCGAACCCACATCTTTGCTCCGAGCTGAGCTTATCCTTCTGGTCCCAATGTGAGCACCATTTGCTCCCTTTCCATGGAGTAGTCCACATCGGTTACTATGGCCACAACGGCTCCACCCCAGCCGGGAAATCGATCCTACAGTCTATAGTGCATTATTATGGTTTCAAGCTACAAATGCAAGAAAGGCTGACGAGACAGATTGCGGAGACTGTCTCGTCGTTCTTGGGCAACGATGTGATGGTGGTTGTTGAAGCAAGCCACACTTGCATGATCTCTCGTGGGATCGAGAAGTTTGGAAGTAGCACGGCCACCATCGCAGTGTTGGGTCGATTTTCTTCTGATCCGACGGATAGAGCTAAGTTCTTGCAAATTATCCCCAACTCGAAATTCGACTATTGATGGGAACAAGAACTGATTTTTCCAAGAGCTCTGGGATTGAAACCTGTCTCTGTAACTGGTAACATTTCTTGCTCTTCTTTCTTTTTCTTCTTCTTTCTTTCTTTCTTCGTGATTACATGAATTTTGGTGTCGATTGAAGCCTAAGCTTAAATAGGGTAATAAATATTTATATAGATACATATATGATAAGTAATTTTAATGAATGATTTTGTTAGGGATCGATGCTTGCTTGTCTCTTCTTATTCCGATGGGATTTCGGACTGTATTGTCATTCTTCTTCTTGTTGTGCTGTGCTGTTCTGTTTTGTAGTGTTGGGAATAATTAATCGAGTTCAGTTAAGCTGTTACGTATTCAGATTCGGAAATTTAAATATTATCAATATTATTATTATTATTATTATTATTATTATTTTTTATTAAAAGTATTGTATCAAGTATTTATTTTTATCTTATAAAATATTAGTGAAAGCGAGACCTAGACAATAATTTCTACGTGAAAAAATCTCTCAACGTGTGAGAGAAAGAAATAGAAATTTTTTGGGATCTAGTCCATAATCAAACTATACTCTCAAATCAATTATAGGGCCTTGCGTTGTCTATTTTCTTTTATTGGTAGAGAAAGTATATATATATATTTTTTAATTTTTCAGACCTAAAGCAATTCTGGTCCTCCACTTAAGAGGTTGACATAAGCTTTTGGAGATTCTTTAATTTTAAAATTTTGAGAATAATAAAAAAATTAGTATTTGAAAAATATATATATTTACTGCTGTGTGTGTGTGTGTTTTTTAAAAAAGAATTCAATAATACCAAAATTAATAGAGCGCACCTGCATTAGTCTTTTTATTAAATGAAATTAGCACACTAACATAGATGGAAATATGACAGGTAAAGCAAAGATGGTGGGTGGTAGGTAAGGCAACATCAACCTACACGGTAGATGAGGAATAAAACCATGGTAACGTTGATTTGATAAAATCAACATATTATTTTAAGATAATTAGTATTTCATCATAAAATAAACATGGTAGACACAGTATGAATTATATATATTGTACTGTGCAGTTTATTATACTGAAATTACAAATTTACAATATATTATATTACATAAAATTATATAATATAATATCAATATATACTAAATGTGTATTAACATATGCTTCTTTATAAAATATATGTTAAATTTATCGATAAACACAACCACCAAAAAACGGTAACTATATATATATAGGTAAAATAGTAATTTTATACTAAAAGGCTATTTAAACAGTCATTGCATCATATGTACGGTACTTTTACGTTTGTTATAAGATAAAAATAGCAACAAAAAAAAAAAGAAAACATTGATGCAGCCGCCAATTTTGAAAATACAGTCGCAACAAATTACAAATTCCATCACAGGTGACACCACCAATAATTACTTTTATTGATTAGCTCTTTTTCTTACTGTTCTTCTTCTTCCGCATCAAAAAACCACCACAAGTCTCTCTTCCGAGTCAACCAGCCTTAATTATACACAAATCCACACTCACACTCCAATTTTTTCCATCAATTAATGATCTAAACAATGATCAATATTTTTTCAGATCTATTGTTTGTATTGCCCCTTTTGGCCTTTCTATTTCTGTTTCTGCTGCTTCTAAAAACAAAGCCTTCTTTCGGCGGCGGCGGGCGGCGCCGCAAAACGCCGCCGGAGCCGGCGGGTGGTTGGCCTGTAATCGGGCATCTACATCTCCTCGGCGGGGGGCTCCCGCCCCACAGGGTCCTGGGAGCTTTCGCCGATCGCTACGGCCCCATCTTCACCGTCCGTTTGGGCGTGCATCCGACGGTTGTCGTTAGCAGCCCGGAATCCGTCAAGGAATGCTTCACTAAAAATGATCGGGCCCTCGCCAAGCGGCCCGCTACTACTCACGGCGTCTATCTCGGGTACGACTTTTCCAGCTTCGGGTTCTCCCACGGCCCGTATTGGCGCGAGGTCCGCAAGCTCGTCTTGCAGGAGATGCTCTGCGCGAGGAGGCTCGAGATCATGACACGTGTCAGAGAATCCGAAGTCCACGTCAGCATCGCGGAATTATATGAAGCAGCTATGAATCAGGCCAATAGTGGTAAACTATTGTTACAAAATTAAATATTTGTTACAGTAAGTCTAATTATTTTAGACAAATTGACATGACTTTTATCAATCGTTTAGGGAAAGTGGTGATGACCAAGTGGTTAGAGCAATTGACTTTGAACATGATAATGAGGATGATCAATGGGAAGAGGTACGCCGGCGCAGTGCACGGCGGCGCTGGTGGCGGAAGTGGCGGTGGTAGGCCGTTTCAGGAGATTGTGAGGGAGTTCATGTACGTGTCGGGGCAGTCCGTGCCATCGGACATAATCCCGTTCTCTCCATTGAAATGGATCGATTTCGGAGGTTATATCAAGTCGATGAGGAGAATTTCCGAGGAAGTGGGAGTGGTTTGCGAGCAATGGATCGATGAACATGTCGCCGAGGGGCGGAAATTGGACCGAATTGAAGAATCCGACTTCATCGATGTGATGCTTGCAGCCGTCGACGATAAGTTTACAAGATTCGGATTCGACCACAAGACTATAATTAAGGCAACCATATCGGTATGTACAATGTTAAGGTTCTTATTGTTACATATGTTCTCAAATCGGGCACAAATTAACTGTTGATCCAGTTAAATTAGTATGATACTGATTTGACCGAATCAACATATACTATAGAAGTTATCAATATATATTTAAACATATGCTGAGATATGTATAAATATATGTTCATATGACGTATGCTGATCATACTGACTTGGCATGATCAGCACATGATCTGTTGCCTCTCAAATCACTTTTAACTTACTTATGCTACTCAATTCAAGGGCCTAATCTTGGCGGGCTCGGACACGACATCGGTCCACATGACATGGATAGTGTCGCTTCTTCTAAACAACGATCAAGTTATGCAACGAGCGAGAGCCGAGATATCCGAGAAAGTAGGAAACGAAAGATGGGTGCAAGAATCGGACATCAAAAACCTAGTCTATCTCCACGCCATCGTAAAAGAAGCGCTCCGGCTCTACCCGCCGGGGCCATTAGCCGTACCCCACGAAGCCATAGAAGATTGCAACATAAGCGGGTATGACATCCCGAAGGGCACGCGAGTCATGGTTAATTTGTGGAAGTTACATCGGGATCCAAGCATGTGGACCGATCCGGATAGGTTTGTCCCGGAGAGGTTCTTGATGGAGAATCCCGGGGTCGACTTCTCGGGACACCATCACGAGTTTATTCCGTTCGGGTCGGGGAGAAGGGCGTGCCCGGGGGCTAGTTTTGCGATGCAAGTGACTTACTTGACGATTGCGCGATTATTGCAAGGATTTGATATTACAATAGTGTCGGGAAATGGTGTGGATATGAAAGAAGGAATGGGAATCACTTTGGTGAAAGAATCTCCTTTAGAAGTTGCAGTCACGCCGCGCTTGCCTAGTTTGATGTACCAAAACTAGCTAGTAGCGATCATCACATAAAAGATATGTTTCAATGACTATTGTATTAACTCTCCTATGTTTTTCATATTTACAAGTATGTTGTATGATTGATAATATTTTTATTCAGAGTAAACAAGTGATTAATTAAGTTGGATAGATTAATATTATGCAATTTAATTATTTATTATTATTATTTTTTAATAAAGTGGAAGCTCGCAGAACTGAAATAAATTTTCAATCGAATCTAATACGCTGCAATCTAATTATTTTGATTCGTCGGAAGTACGATGTATGGCTTATAATATATGTGTGTGGACTAATTATATTATATTAAATAAAATGTAAATTTTAAATAATAAAATATTAAATTTTGGTAAAAAAAAAAAAAAAAAAAAAAAACGCATCGTATATATGACGAGGACAAGTATTAATTTGTTTGAGTAATTGACTTTGAGGAGGATGCTCTTAGTTATTTATGATGTCCAAACCTTACTGCACAAGGTACGCACACGTAGTAGAAATTAATTTGGTTGATTTATACTCCCCATACTCTCTCTCTCTCTCTCTCTCGGGATCTGCACCTGCAAGCTAATAATAATTTTGACCTCACCATCCTCTTTCATAATGAATTGATAATCTCTTTGATTACGTTGTACACATAATATTAGTTTTTTTTTTTTTTTTAATTTAATTAATAGCGTGTGATTGCTTGAATATTGGAATTTGGGAGGTACTATATATTCAATCATTATTTCCTTTGATTATTAGTATATTTTACGTTAGCTTTAAGCAGCCCCCGGCGGCGGCGCCACCGGCCGTCAACTATCCTCCGTCCAGCGCAACCGCAAAGACCGTGAGAAGTATATATATATATATATAAATGTTGAACTTAATTTTTCTGAGTTGGGGCATCCTCCGCGCGCATCTGTGAGTTATCAGTTTACATATATATATAAGAAGCAAAATTAATGGCGGCGGGTTCATCAGGCGGCGGCGGCGGCGGAGTTCCGCCGGGATTCCGATTCCACCCGACGGATGAGGAGCTGCTGCACTTTTATCTGAAGAAGAAAGTTTCATTTGAGAAGTTCGACATGGAGGTCATTAGGGAAGTGGATTTAAACAAGGTTGAACCCTGGGACCTGCAAGGTAACTCAATCTTCTATCTATTTCTCCTTTATTAATTTTTCCATTTAATTATAATTTTATCTCTTCTTATATATATATATATATATCGTCACTGCATATAGATACGTATACACATTATGATTAGTAGTCCATATAGTAAATAAATATGTATATTTCATATATTGTTAGTCAACTTATTTACATTTCGTTTACATAATGATTTTGAAAAATTGGCACTATTTATTTCTTTTTTAAAAGAAAAAATATCATATTCAATATATTTTTTTTTAATTTACAAAAAAAATAAATTATATCAAATATTAATTTTTTTTATTATTATTTTCAAAATTTTCAAAATTTCAATAGTACTAAAAAAAACTTTCTTATCTAAACAAACCTTATTATGATGATGTTAAATATTACAGAATCAATATATAGGAAGCGAATATCTAGAAACACAGTTTATATAATTTAATAAAAATTGTAGTAAATCAATAATATTGAAATGTATTTCAAATGAAACAAACAAACAAACCAACCAAAAATCATATAGACAATTTCTCATGGAGAGGTTATGGTAGTATATAGTTTGGATGAGAGTATTTGTAATAAATTAAAGAGTATGAAATTGCACTGCAGAGAGATGCAAGATCGGGTCAACCCCACAAAACGAATGGTACTTCTTCAGCCACAAGGACAAAAAGTACCCAACAGGTTCTCGGACAAACCGAGCCACGAGCGCAGGCTTCTGGAAGGCCACCGGCAGGGACAAGTGCATAAGGAACAGCTTCACCAGGATCGGCATGCGGAAAACCCTAGTCTTCTACCGGGGCCGGGCCCCCCACGGCCAGAAGACAGACTGGATCATGCACGAGTACAGGCTCGAACCAGATCATCATCATCATCATCATATGATCGATCCTCCTCACCCAACTGTAAGTCCCTCATTTTTCATTTTTATTGTTTTGGGAAGTGATGATGGAGAAGTGGATGATGTGGTGTGTTTCAGGAGGATGGGTGGGTTGTCTGCAGGGTGTTCAAGAAGAAGAACATATTCAAAGTTGGGAATAATAATAATAATAATATTATAACTGAAGGTACAGGACTACATATTGATGAAGGTGGAGGTGGGGGGATGATGATGATGATGATAAATGGAGGAGGAGGCAGCTCTGATGACCAGCACCTCAATGTCAACGTCAGCAATACTACTGCATCGACATCGTCCCTGCAATCTCGATCGATCTTCTCGCAAAGAAACCCTAATACTATTCTGAACCACCATTATTCTGACCATCTAAGCAGCTTTCCTCATCATCTTTATACATACCAATACCCTCCTCCTCCTCCTCCTCCTCCAATGGAACCCCAAAACTTGATGTCCTCCGCAAACCACATTATTAATAATAAAGCATCGCTGTTAAGTGATTACAACATAGGTGCTACGAGTACAGACTATGAGCATCATCATCATCATCACCAACAATCAGCTGTACCTCCTCTTATACAAGCGAAGCAATTATTCATGTCGTCTTCGTCCTCCGATGATCAGATTGAGGGAGATCAGAGGCAGAGCCCTGCTGCACTCGAATGCAATCAAGCTGCTGCTGCTGCTGCTAATACTAATCAATGGGACGATCATGATCATCGAATTGTCATTAACAGTAGTTCTTCGCCTAATCAGTTATCTCTGCGGAGTGGGATGGACTTTTGGTCTTTCGACAAGTAGCTACACACACGCACACTTAGTATATATATATATATATCCATTTGATTCACTGATGGGGTCGTCACGAAAATTAATTCGTAATGGCCTGGTTAAATGTATTATATATACTTATATATGTATTGTTTCACATTTTTATTATTATTTGGTTAGTATTACTTTAATCATCATATAAAATATATCACATCCCTCTCAAAACAATATAAATATTTGAAATAAACACAAAACTTAAAAAATAATAATATTATATTGAGAGTGAAAGTAAAATATTTTTAAAAGACTAAAATATTTTAACTTTATGTAATTATTGTAAAAAATTTAAGAATAATTTTATAAAAAAATAAAAAATTGATTAAAAATAGAACTATTGTTTTCATAGGTATAAAAATGAAAATATTGTTTGAAACGAATAGAATAGTATTTATATATATATATATATGTTTTGTCATTAATGATTTCAAACCTTTGACCCATACACAGCTGATTCTGCATTACATACAAAGCGGTAGAGACATGAAGGAAAAAAATATATATATTTTTTATAATTATTATTTAAATATATTCTTGTTTTTTTCTCATTATTTTTACTTTATTTAAAATTTATGACCGATTAAATACAATTGAATGAGAATCTAAATTTACTTATTTATTTAATTGTCCTCCAAATTTATTATTATTATTTTTAATTATCCTTTAAATTTATTGTCGTTTTTATTTTTTAATAATAATAATAATAATAAAAACGTTACTTTTTCTATTTATTTTTTACATACAATTGGATGAGAAAATATATATAGAGAGAGAGAAAAAGACACGGGGTAAAATATATTCCTCGTCTTCCAAAACTGACAATGACCGCACGATACGATTTAACTTAGCGCCACGTGTCCGACTCCGAAAACCGCGCCCAAAAGCGCCTCTGCAGAGGCACCACGTGTCGACATCTGGGTGGGAGCGGAGCAGGTGGCACCAACTCTGCATGCATTCGTTGGATAAATCAGCCAAAATCCCACCTATTAATTACAGATTAATTGCATATTTACCTATTTACTCGTAGCTGTCACTCCGAATCATGCCACGTGGCACCATCTGGTCCCTACTCTTTCTCTATTTCGCGATGATTCCTTTCCTTCTTTCTTCAAACCTAAATACAACCTCAAAGGGCGACGAGAATGAGGGGAAAATATCAAAAAGAAGAAAATCTAGATTTCATAAAGAAAGAATTAAGGTAAAGAAAATTCTTAATTATTTGGGGAAATAAAAAAAGAAAAATGGAGGTTTTGAAGATGCGGCAGGAAGAAGAAAGAAAGGATGACGATGAGTTGTGTTTGGAGCTATCGATTGGATTTGGAAAAAGGTATCGAAAATCAATATCTGATGATGATTCGAGATCATCTGCAGGTTTTTGTATCAGTAATGGAGAAGATAATCTGAAGATTAGGGAAAGGGAAAAGGAAAAGGATGGATTTGCAGAGGAAGAATTGCAATCGGAGAGGAAGAAGAAGAAGAAGAAGAAGAAGATTTTGGGGTATAATAATAATTATTGTAATTGCCAACAACAAGTTGCAGAAGGATTGAATTTGAATCTCTCCTTGTTGCATCGCTGTAGCTGCTTGTACCCTGAGGTGCAACACGGCAATGCTGGTGGTGGAGTGGATTCGTCGTCGTCGACGTCCTCCGTCGTGATTTCGCAAACAGAAAGTGTTCACAAAACGGCGTCGTATGGATCGCTGGAACGTAGCGGTTCTGCTTCTGATTACCAGACCACTGCAGCACACAAAGGTAACATACCTTACCTACCAATACTATATATCTGTTTATCTATCTTTAATTTGTTTGTTTGTATTTTTTGTGATTTTGGTTCAGCCTTGGATTATTCTTGTTATCATTATTGCATTTGCCTTTTTTTTCTTTTTTTTAAATGTGAATTGTTTGAAGCAATTTTTTTAATTTTTTTTCCTCTGGAAACTTGTGTGATGGTTGGTGTTCTTTTGTTTTGTTTAATTATAAGTCTCAATTTTTAATAAATTTATTGTCATTGCCTTGTATCTTAATTAAATTTTTGTGCTAGATAATTAAAAACAGTGTAAAAATATTTTTTGTCTCACGGTAAAATAGAGAAATTAGATAATTTTTAAAATAGAAATATGTATATTTTTTATCTGAACTGAAACAGAAACTATGTGTAAAAGCCTCTCACGTTAATATACTTATATAGGCGGAGGAAGCAGCAGCGACACAGGAAGCCAATCGAGTCGCCTATGGTCAAGACAACAAGGCCATAATGTCGCAAAACCGGATCAAAAATCATGGCAACATCTAACAAGATTGTCCGAACATGACACCAAGGTATCTCCGCCAATCCCGGGCCAAACTAATGCCCGCCAGCATCCATCAAACGAGCAAAGCAGCAGCTCCGTGATAGAGAAGCCTCCAAAACCACCGAGCCCAGTAGCGCCGAACCAGAGCATGCCCTGTGTGACAGCCACCGGGAATGGGCCGAATGGCAAAACAGTAACGGGATTCTTGTACAAGTACATCAACACCGAGGTTATCATCATGTGTGTGTGCCATCGAAGGTTCTTCACGCCGGCGGAGTTTGTAGAGCACGCCGGAGGAGTTGATATATCGCATCCGTTGAGACACATTACCGTCGTTCCGTTCCGTTCCGTTGCCTGATATATGATATGATATGAGTTAGTTCATCCTGTGACCTTACTCGACTTATTGATATTGTTTTTTTAGTGTTTTTTTTTTTTTTTGGCTGTATAGTCTGATATAACCAACTGTGTTTATAACTGGTCGAACCGGTTTGATTTAATTCATAACAATCAATCTACTGTACCGAGATATATGCCAGTAATTAGCCATACAGTACATACATTGGAAATTATGCCTATATGATCGGATGCACATTTTAATAACAATGGATTAAAATAGTTATTGTATTTTTTCTAATTATATATATTTTTTCTATGATAATTTAAAAAATAATAATAATAACAGAAATTTAGATAAGAGAAAAATATATATCAACAACATAAAATGTATGAATAGACATCATAAAGTCTATGTTAATAATACTATCATATAACTAACGACATAAAGTCAATAGTTCATACACTACATATTACAATTAATCTATCACATCAAGATATTATTTAACATTAGATTCAGCAACAAGTTTACTTAGAGGCATAAGTTCCTAAGTCGTCATAAAAATAAACATAAAATAATATCACACCCAAAGGCAGATATTATATTTAAACCAAGCATAAATAATACAACGTTGCCACAAATTATAATCAAAATCTAAAATAGCCCAACCATTCTTGAGTAATAAAAATCAAAATAAACATATTCTCAACAACGCATACGCCAAAATCATACAAACAATAACACTAACATTTTGGTACAAATTCATGTCCTAATATTACCTGCCATTGATCCAAATGATTTACACACACGAACGCAGGTCGAAGCCTTTCCCACACTGCTGGTTCGCCTCATTCGAATAAAAAAGACTGCGATTTTCAGAACACATTTTATGACTTAGCATTGTAGGCAAAGAAAGTTCGAACATACCTCAATCATCGGAGCTGTAATCGCTGGATTCCTGCAATAAGGGAACAGCGGCGCAGCAGAAGAACTCCTTGTCTTTGATAAGAAGACAGCTCCCGTCCGAATTCCATTTCAGATCGAGAACAGAGAGGTTAGGGAAGGGGACATTTATGCAGTAGGCGCCTGCAGGTGTCCACATGTATAAGTTATTGCTTCCGGTGCACAGCACCAGGCGCGGACCGTTGGGATCCCAAGCAGCAGCTCGGATGGAATCTTTCTGTATCAAAATCGCGGAGAGCTCGAGACGCTGGACGTCCCATATCCAGAGGACTGTTGGCATGCTGTCGTTGCGCGTGCAGATATACTGGCTGTCGCTGCTCCACGACATAAGACCTTGCAATTGAATATCGTCATATATATATATATATATATATAGTGTTATTAGCATTTGGTGTAAGAAATTATTGAGATGATTCATTAAGTTGGGTCTCACCAATCCCTTGTTTGGGGTTTGGTTTGTCTGCTGGCGGCTTTTGTGAAGGAAGTGTAATCGGAACTTCCATAACATCGTATCTAACTTGAATGTATGTCTCAGCAGCATTATCTATAGGAGAAATAAATTACAGAAAACCATTAGACAACCTTCGAAAAATGCAGTGAGAACAATGGTGAAATAACTTGCTACTGGTTTTTTAATTTTCAGTTAATTCGGTATTTCTTTGAATAAATTCGGTATATATATAAATTACTTACCGGCATTTCTTTGAACAAATTCGTCACTTAGTGACAGGTCCGACATGTCGAGTTGCAAAGGCTCATCTACTTCCTAAAACCATAGAAAAATAATGAAAACAAGCTCAACGAAATATGTAATAAGGTGTTGAATAAAATAAATGTTTCCCACCTTAAAAACAGCCGCGGCGCAAGGACCACGTACTGTTGACAGATGCATAAATTCAGCAAAAACTTTCCATGTCAAGTGATTCAACACCCGTATCATTTGGTCGTAGCTCCCCACAGCTAAGAACTGGCTAGAGGGAGACCAAGAAACGCTCTTGACTCCCAATCCACTTTCGTATGCTTGATACTTGGATAAACACCGACCATCTGGAGAATAAATCAGAACCTAAAACAAAGAAAAAGGAACTGAAACAATTTCTGACTACAACTAACAAATTCATATGTTGATGGACAGAACCGTGCGTAAACAGCAGCAAAGAAACAAAGCTAATCATTTACCCATATATCAATCTGTGGCTAACTGTAATTCAAACATTAAATAAAGACTAAGCTTCTTAGAAAGTAAAACATAAGAGCAATATCCAACTGACCCAATTAAAATAACTAATATGAAAAGAATTTCTTTCAAAATTCATCTATTTGAACCCATAGAAAATTTCAAGACACAATTAAAGATAAATTTACCTTATATTCAAGAGGCGAATCCCAGATGACAATGGCACTATCATCAGGAGACCACTGTATGTCAGCCAAATCCAATGTGTCAACAGCAAAAACATTCAAAATCTCCCAAGTATAACAAGAAAGCAGATTAACATGATCTTTGCAATCACGTCGGGTGCAAATTGCTGCAAACTTTCCATCTTTTGAGAATGACACTCCCTTAGAACCATGCTTTGGCCATTGCACATGTATGCATGCGGTGTTCAACAATGACCAGACCGTAAGCCGCAGTTGAAACTCAGAAGTAGTCAGTATGTGCCGACTATCAGGACTCCACCTGGCATAGGAAATACCGGCAGGACCCTCGTCTATCTTGCATGTCCATTCTGGCTGTGCCAACGACCATGCTTGTATCATTGACTTCTTTAATAGGCCACATAGAATGTACTCAGAATCAAGAGCCCATTCAATGTAAGTTATTTTGTCCAAGCACGAGAACAATTGTACTACCTGTAAAGAAAAATCGAGAAAAATCATATCCTTCTTAACGAACGCTGAATTTCAAAAGACACTCATGGCATCATGCCGGTACAAAAAGAACTCTCATATCCTTCTTATGGTATTATTCGGGGAAGGCTCAATTAAATTTGTTGGTTGACTCCGTAATATACAAATAAATGATCTATATCTCTTTAAACTTAAACTTTTAGGTGAGATGGTAATTTAACATGATATCAGAGCCGGAATGCCCCACATTCGTTTTCGTCCACGTCAAGATGCATATTTGGTGTATATCCACCTTGTACGTGAAAAGGCGTGTTGGTTGAGTCCTAATATATAAACAAATGATACGTATCTTTAGGTGAGATGGTCATTTCACAAAAATATACTATAGACATTTCAGAGGGATGAAATAACTTGTGAGAAGAGTGCTTAATTACTCCATTTTTCACTACATTTAGTTTCAATCAACATAGCTAAATTGGTATTGTTTAGTTATCCAGTTCCTCGGATTCTCCAAACATTTAGTCCTTATTTAGGCATGGTGCTCGATTATTCAAACACAACAGCATATTCTAAGGATATGATTCAAAAATCTGGACTGCAAAGTGATTAGGGGTGTTTGGATCCAGAATTTCACAATTACAAAAGAAAATCTGAGTATGGACGCAATAGTTTCAAACATTATGCCAATGCTCAAATTCCTCCAATATACAGAAATTGACAACAATCCAAACCCTAATCAAAATATTCAAACGTCTTTTGCTTTTCCAAATTACAGAATTAAATCAAAATTACGAAATCCTCAACAGGAAACAATCGAAAGTGCATGTACCTTGAATGTGAGAACATCGCGAATGACCAGGCGATAATCTACAGCGACAGCTAAAAACCTCGCATTTGGCGAAAATGCACATGGTCCGGTCTGCTTATACGTCTCGGTGAACTCCATCTCACTCGCCGCCCACCAAGAACACAAATCTTCAGTGGTAAAGAAAATTTGAAAACCTAGACATAATTTGGTGGATCTGGAAATGGGTTTCAAAGATTTCCGAGACGCTCCTCCATCCCCACGGCATCAAAACACATGATGCGAGATTCAAATTTCAAGAAGGCTCAACAAATTTCAGAAGTACTGTAGAATTCAAAATGGGAAGCTTTTAAGCTTTACGGCGGTCAGGTGTGAATCTGGAAGTGGCTGAACCCAAATTCATTTTGTTAAGAAAGCGTGCTTATTAATAATTAATGTAAGTAAATCATTTTTCACCGCATTTACAACCTACTTTAACGTGTCATTTTCACCGTGAGGTTATGCAACCTCTAAATATCTTCTTTCTTTTTTTTTTTCTTTAAAGGTTTAATCCTTATTATAATTAATGATTATTTTTAATTTTATCCAAATATATATATATACATATAAATATTTTATATTTAATATTTACTTGATTAATTAAAAATTTTAATTTTAAATAAATCAATCAATAATATAACTATAATTAAAAAAATTAAATAATACTTTTAAAGAAACAAATAAAAACGAATAAAATATTTGAAAATTCGACGTCCAATCCGAATCAAACAGAAATTCGAAATATAATACTATATATTAATATATTTTATAATTATATACTATAATATTTTAATAAAAATATAATAAATAAAAATGATCAAAATTTAAATTTTTTAAATATACTATACAATTTTAAAATTTTCGATTTGGTTATAATCCGGTTTTAGATCTTCAGATTTTGAATATTTCAATTCAATTTGAATTGATTTTAAAAAAAAAGGTTCATATTTTCGAATTTGCTTGAATTTGACAAAATCTCAAACCCACTATAAAAACAAAACCATTGTTTTTTTTTTTTTTGCGTTTTAAATTTAAATCTTTTTTACTTGAATTTTAATGTAAACAATTTAATATTAAATTTCTTTAAAAATAATATACTCCCCCCTTCCCAATATCCATTTGCTTTTGTCACTTAATTTTAAAAATATTAGTATTATATTGGGATATAACTAACAATAAAGTAAAAATAACTAAAATAACATTATTAGTACGTGTGATTGGGCTGGCGCACCACGGGGCTTTGCCGGCTTCCGGCTCGGGGGCGCGGCCGATGCAGGCGTGCCGGATCGCCCCTCTTTCGACGACGGTATGTTGGACGACGGTCCGCCCGAACCGGGGGAGAGCATGCGCAGTGCAGCGAGCTTGATGCCCCTCCGGGTGTCGGGCTAGCGCGCCATGGGGCTTTGCCGGCTTCCGGCTCGGGCGCCATCGTGCGGTAAAGATAATAATATTTGTGTAATATATTGTAAGTTGTATAGGTATTTGTAATGTTAGGTAGATAGTATCGTTACAAAAAACGGAAATAGATAGTTTTTTATGAGACAGACTAGAATGGAAAAATGATGAATATTTTGTTATGGGAAGGAATGAGCAGTAAGTATATTCAATCCGGAAAATAAGGTGCATGTAAATTAGAGCTTGCAAAAACTTAACCCACACGACAACCCGACACCAATTCGACAGGAAATAATTGAGTTTGGATCAAAGATTTCAACCCGATTATGTATACCCAATTATAATATATTAATCAATATTATTATATTTATTATATACGTAAAATAATCATAATTTAATAATTTTCTCATAAATTAATTTAAATTCAATTCAATTTTAAATAATTCAACCTAATTTTGGCCCAAACCAATAAAAAATAATTTGATTTGAATAAAAAATTTCGACTTAATTATATATACTGTCAACAAGAGCCAACCCGAACCCGACACAATAATGAATTGATTGGAATAGAGTTTAGTAATTTAACTCGTTTAAAGTATTCAACCAGACACAAATCGACTCATTATCAGCTCTAATGTAAATATTGTGACCGCTTCTTACTAGTTTATGCGTTTGGTGATCTCGGGACCTTTTTTTTTTTTTTTTATATAACGTGAGAAGCTGCTGTTGCACTAAGCAAATCTCGGGAGTTTGAACTCATTACCGTCGTACCACTACCCCCACCACTGACTTATTATTATGTACATGAGTTATTACATACTTTTGTATTAGATTAATTGTGCCAACTTTTATCATTTAAGATGTAATAATTCTATTCACCACACAAAATAAGAACATTAGCCTTCACACTAAGAAGCTGCTGCATAAGCCAGGAAGAAAAGGCCTCTGAAGCACTTGCAAGCAGATAACACGTTCCAGTTCAAAAGACACGAATATGAATACATAATATATATATATATAAATATGTGTGTGTGTATATATATATGCAGTTACAAGTTTGCGAGCATCATTCAACCACTGAGACTTAACAGTGAGAAGATATGGACAAAGAAAGCTATACCTATATACTAACATGAATAAAACTAATGCTTCGAATAGAAGGAAAAATTTCGTGGTTAAATAGAGCACTAAAACTAAGTGTAAGGAGCTGCGCGCTGTACCTGTAAACGTTCCATGGCGCAAGTGTTGAATCACCAGTTTACAGACCAAAGTTGCAGGCCTGAACGTATTCGTTTTCATAGTCAACATACTTAGTCCAGAGTGGACGGAACTGGGCTATGGCAATGTCGAGCCATGGCTTCATGTTTCCGTTGAAGTGTATAACTGCAGCATTCTTGATTTCGTCCATGCTAATACTTGGATTGTATCCAAGCCCCAATACATGCCAAGTTTTGTCCAGTGGTTTCGTTGTCGAGTAGTATGTGATTAAACCTGGAGGTAATGTTCCCAGTTTCCACAATGTCCGATTCTCATTCTGAAAAGAAGAAACATAAAAATGTAATTAGATAAATCCATTATGTGAAAGAGAAATGGAATCTGTGTGTGTGTGTTTGGTTGGAGTTCTCAGCCTGTTTTCATTCTACTGCAAAATATTTCTTTCATCTAGAAAGTATGGCATTCAAAACCATTTGTTTCGATTAAAAATTTTCAAATCCAAAGAACTTCAACATCCAAAAACAAACAAAAACCGTACATATTTATGTGATGCAATGGTGTACAAACTATCATACGAAGTAGGCTCTATAGAAAAACCTTTTTCTGGGCAGTGGAAGGTCAAAAATCATCCCAAGAAACAAAAATTACTCAGGGTAAATAATCTACCAGCAATGTGTCCCCAATTGCAAACAACAAAAACCACGTGTGAAGAATCATGCGATTAGTTAATAGAATAAATGTGAGCAAATAAATTGCACATGAAAACTCAAGTAATAAGATAATAGTGTGTGCAACAAGCTAGAGCTACATATGAGTAATCATAAAACTAGTTGATAATATATGCTATCAATTAAACCACACAGGAAAAATCAAATGATTAAAAATAGCTTATTCTCACCAGATTCTGCCAGTAGTGGTACTCTTCAGTGCACTTCTCCCTTCTCCAAGCATCCAAATCAAAGAAATTCATCCCATAAGCCCATGCACACGCCTTGGGACTAAACCTGGCTTTGATGAGTGGGTGCGAGAAATTCATGTATTGTGCGTAGCGATGGAATGATCCAAAACATGTCTCCACCGCCCCATTAACCTTCCCATCCATGTCTATGCTCCAGAGTCCAGTCAGATCTCTTTGAACCACTATGTCATCATCCAGGAACAAGATCTTGTGCAGCTTGGGATACATTTCAGGCAGATAGAACCTGAGATGGTTCAATATGGACAAATACTTTGGGTTCCTAAACTTCATATTTGTTGTGTCCTTGGTCGCATTCTCGAGTTTATTTTCAAAGTAGAACTGTTGAAGCTTAGAAGACTCAAGCTGTTTCAGCACCGGAACATAAGAAGAGTTGAGGAATTTATAGTCCTCAACAGCCTTCACTTCAATATGAGCACCACTATAATCCCTCATTTTAAACATCACTTGCATTGCCCCAAGATTCATCTTATCAGTCACAACATGGAACACATGTCTCCATGGTTCTTTTGTGTTCTTAACAGCTGAGTTAACCACAACAGAAGCAGCAATCACGTTATCAGAGAATATTGCATAGTGGTAAAGTCTTGGATCCTCAATCTCTGGCTTGGGAGGTTTTCCTTCGTCTGAATAATTCTCAGGATGAGCAATTCTCTCTTCCATTAATCTCAAAGCCAAGCAATGCAAGCTTTTGGGAATCGACTTGGCTGCAATCAAGCTTGAAAAAGCGCCCTGCTTTTTAGATTTCGTTAACTGTTCGTTCAGAGCAAAGATTGTGTCCTTCAACTTATGAATTTTCAATTGATTATCGAAAGACTCCTTTGCTTCAGATATTACTTGCCTTGTGAGCTTAATTCGTTCCTTCACCTCCTTCTCAAACCTTCTTAGTTCTAACTCATCAATTAAGTTCACATCCGAATCAAGAAAAGCTTGATAGGTAGGTTTTGACACCAAATCAGTGAAATTTTGGGAGAGATCAGCAAAAGTCCTAACAAGCTTGGAATTCTCGAGCTTGAGTTTCCGGGCATAGGCAGCGTACGCCGAAGCTAAACTTCTATGATCCTCTGCTTGCTTACGGATCTGATCCAAACGAGGTTTTAGTGGATCTGTCTTCAACGCCAAAATTGATCTCCGAAGAGAAGTAAATCTAGATCCAGAACCATTAGCAAACCCCTATTAAACATCGTAAACCAAAAAGCTAAAAATATTAGCACATTTCCAACACACTTGTAATCAATGGTAAAAAGAGCGATTGCAATCTTACAATTAGTAAACAAACATAACATCAATGTAGCAATAAGTCGTACCACAAGCTCATCCTAATTATCATAAATGCACTCAAACAAACGCCCAACTTCAGACGAAAATTATTACTAACAGTGGCAATAAGCCTAGTCGCAACAACAAATTTACATTCCTCCTAAAATTTCTACAAGAATTCAAAACCGATTAACCACAAAAAACTTCCATACATATATAAAAACACACACACACACAAACTTACAGATTTGAGATCGGCAGGTATAGAGTCGGCGGCGAAGAGAAACGATCCAGTGAGGAAGAGTGCAACCGCGATCGCCAGAGAACCAGCGATGCATCTGAATCCTGATACTGCTCCCCGAAACGGTTGTCCGGAGACACGATCCGACCAAGCGTGTCGGCGGATCCGACCCGAAGAGAGCGCCATTGCCTTTCCGGATGAGAGCGTGTGCATCCGTGGAGAGTGAGACTGCAGAGACGATAGATAAAAGGAAAGTGAAGAGAATAGGAAAAGGTAAAATGCGGGTGAGGAGGATTAAAACAGTATTGCTACAGTGTGCTTTGCAGAGTTGTACGTTGCCAGTATGATAATTGAGAACGCGGTTCGTGGCGGTGAATGGACCCCACTTGGTAGCAAGTAGTACCATATTAATATAAATGAAATCGCAGCGAGTAATAATGTCGGCAGTTGTCACTTGTCATTTGTCAACCTAGACAGCCTTGTCCTGCCTTTTATTGTTTGTTGTACTATTAATAACTAAAGACTAAAATTAAATACAGTTTGTGTTCTTTTTTTTATTTTCTCACGTATTTTTACTATTTAAATTTTTTTGGCTAAAAAAAATCAAATTAAATAATAATTTTTTTATATTATATTATAAATTTATTTTAATTTAAAATATCATATTAAAATTTATTTATATCACATAAAATAATTATCCATATCGTACAGTTAACATATTAATGGAGCTGGAGGTTTGGATGCTGATTAGGGTATAATTATCATAAATAATTACTTATGAAATGCTTCACGAAATTAAATCAATATATATTTTGTCCGTTTATGATTTTATCTCCATTATTTAAACTTATGCATATTTGGCTGTGCAGAAATTTTAGAAAAAAAAAAAAAACCGATAAAAATATTTTTTTATAGTAAAAAAAATTTTAAAAAATAATATTTTTATTAAAAAAAAAAAGGACTGAATGACAAACAAAACACAATAGACCCAAAATAGTCGAAACCTATTTTTTCAAAATAGCTTTCTTTTGGATTGATTATTACAATTTGATAATCGTATTTCTAATCGATCGAGTCTTCTGGCTCGTTCAAATAAATTGATAAATTTTAAATTAGCCAATTTAACCCACTTAAAAATTCAACCCATTCTCAGCTCTAATACATCGAGATTATGATATATATGTGTACATATATATATATATATTGTGTCCATACATCTGTATTGGTGTTAATTATGTTCACTGCATTTATGTGTAGATATATTTAGATATCCAACTGCACCTTATAAGTTAGTATTATGTATGATCTCATACAGCCATGTAAATGACCCATTTGAATTACAACTCATCTCAAGCATTTTCAAAATTATCCACCAATTTTGTTAGGTACAATTTGCTCCGGATCAGTAACAATACAATTGAATATTTGAAGAATAATAGTGAAAAATAGAGTTACAGTTTGAGTAAAATTACTGTAGTAACTGCATATTTAGAATTAAAATTGTATAAACGGGGTTGAGGGGTTGGAAATAGCCTAACAAGAACACTATAAGCAAGCATAACAGACAGGGAAATTACAGTATAATCAAATATTCAACCAAAATAAATTCAACGATGCTCGGTTCCAAACCCGGAACAACCCCAAAACTAGGCATCCTAATGATTGGATCTTTTTTTTACTCCCGACGAATAATTCTAGCTTAAAAAGATTAGGAATGCATCACAAAAGCAACAAAAGAAAAAACAATTCGAACAAGATGTGGGCAAGAAATCATTTCATTGAAATAACATCCTCACTGAAATCAAGTTATATCTGGATTCAATATAACAGCAAATGCGACGTTTTGAGTGCACTCGGCACGACGGTTTGAATCAGAACAACAATTTGATAACATTACAATAAAAGTTGAAGATGAGCTAACCATCATGAGAAAGCTACTCTGTCATAACAGGCTTGTTTTCATTAGCCTTTGGCTTCTGATCCTTGGGCTTCTGCTCCTCAGTTTTTCTGGATTTACATACAAAAGTGAAAATATATATATATATTGATCAACAAAGAACCTAAATGGTTTGCACTGAAATGGATCTTCATTATTATTTTTATTTGTTATTTTCTCCAATAATCTTCTGAAAACACTGAACAAAATGCTAATTTTATTATCTAATTTGATAAGAGTACAAAATCCAAGAAGACATTCAATAATACAGATGAAAAAGGTGATTGTACTTAATAATTTCCATGATTTTATTATACTGGTTAACGGAAACACATTACAAACACCAAAGACATGCCTATTGATTACATAATTTATGTTATCACTACTCACATCTTAGATTTAATTAGAATTGGATAATTTCACAAATTATTGCACTTGTTATTCTGCCAAGAACAATTTCTATTGTATCATTTGTATTTCGCTTCGATTGTAAATTTTCAATTAACACAAACACTACAAATACCAGAGAAATGCCTATTGATTATTTAATTTTAACTATCCTTTCTCGCATCTTAAATTTACATAACAGTAATATCCACTTTTTTTACTTTTCTACATATAACAATTCTTGCAACGCTATGAGGTTTCAAGGAAAATCCAGTGAAGCGGAAAATAAGTAACTGAAATAGAACCAAGAGTCATCGAAGTAAATCATCCAGAATAAAGCCATGTCGAAATGCTTACACACGCTTCAAAAACATCAGCACACGAAGCTTAACTCGCACAAAATCGACGCAAACACAAAAAACCTACCTCTTGTCAGAAGAGCCACCCTTCTGGCTGAGGAACGACCGGAAAAGCGGCGAATTCACGTCGTAAATCATCTCCCACCTTCAATCGCCGAAACCCTAATCAAAAGTTGCGCTTCTACTACTCGGCACAAAAGTTATAACCAGACGCACGAAATTGGGCCCATTAAGAAAGCCCAATGTTAATCGGCCAATGCCCAATAAGAAACTGTAATATAAATTTAGATTTAATTTAATATGAAATTAACAAAATATACTCCCTCTCATAACTAAATATCTATTTACTTATTTTTTGTGTGTTGATCTTTCGATATTAATTATTATATCAAAATATATTACAAATCAAGGAAAAATTACAAAAATATTTCTATTAATGTCTTATAATACTAATATAATGACAATTGTATAAAAAATTATACAAATATAAAAATATTTTTAATGTTAAGTACAATGACGCAAAAGGTAAATGGATACCTTGTTATGAGACGGAGGGAGTATAATTATTAAAAAATGGATTGTGAAACTCATAAAGTAAAGACTACTCCTGGGATAGAGAAATTTACCAAATATACCGAAATACCGTTTTATCGTATTGTGTCGAAAATACTGAAAATTTCGGTATACCGAAAATTTTGGTACGGTATGGATATCATATCGAAAATTAGAGTATGATATCGGTATGAATTTTCGAAAAGTTCGTTATTTCGGTATGATACCGTACCGATACTATTTTTATTAAATAATTTAATTATTAATATAAATAATAATTATTAATTTTTTTTTTAAATCATAACAAAAAATATGTAAACTATTGAATATTTATTTACTTTTTCATAATAATTTTGTGGAAGAGAATAGTACTCTCTCCGTCTCATATACCATGTCCACGTTGCCGTTTTTGTCCGTATCACATACCATGTCACTTTTATTTTTTGGAAAATAATTATACACTTTAATCTCATTTTAAAATTTTTAATTTTATTTTTAAAAAAATTTAATTAAACTAATTAGTTATCTTAATCTTAATTTATAATTATTTATATTATAAGATAATTATTTTTACTAATACATTCTTAATTATCTGCTAATTACACCCACTGTGTCTATAGTGCAGCGGTTTGTGGGATGGAGGTAGTAATATTTATTAATTTTTTTAATTATTTTGAAATTTAAAATTATATTTTCGGTATAATCCGTACATACCGGTATTGTACCGAAATTGAAATTTTCGGTATAAACGGTATATATCGGTACCATACCGAAAATTTCAGTATACCAAAATTAGGTATATTAAAACTTTCGGTACGGTACCCGTATGTATTTTAATCATACCGAAAAATTCGATACGATATCGGTATCGGTATTGACTGATATTTCCGGTATAGTACGGTATCCTAAATCATAACACTATTAGTCATAAATCAGAAGGTCATTCAAGTGAAAATTATATGAACTTTAGCATATAACTGCACTGCACTTCAACTTCACAATATAATTATAAATAGAGAGGTTGAAGTTTCCAAAAACGCAGAAGAGATCTGAAATCTAAGAACAAGCAAGATAAACACACAGGCCTTTACTGGAAAAATAAGTTATCAAATTGTATGATAAACCAACCCTAAACTTCAAAAAAATCGATCAAACAAACAATTCATAGCAAAAGGAAAAAAAAAAAAATTTGGACCATTTCTCGATTTATGCGTGTCATCCTTGCGCAGGGGCCATGCTAATCTTCTCTGTATCGTTCCAATTTTATCGGATGTCCCCGAAGGGACATAATACAGTGTTTGGCAGCCATAGATAAAGAACCACTGGAGTTTTCAATTTGACGGTGTGGGATATCCGGATATTGTCAGAACGGGTGGGCCTCTATTGGACTAGCATTATTTGGGTCATATTTTTATTTCCAGGCCCAATAGGCGACTCTATGTATTATTTATTATTATTTTTTTCCTCCGATTTATTAGTATTAAACCGGTAGTAAATTCCAAAACATTTAATTTGAGTTATTTTCTTATTTACATAAAATATCAATTTTCTGTGTGAGATATTTTTGTTGATTTATCATGTAAATTATTTACACATAGGTTTCAAATTTTCAGAGTTAAAATACATTAAAATTTAAAGATATGATTAGGCCTCATAAATAATAGAACAAACCTTGTTTTAAATTTGTTTGCGGTCAGTTTTTTTTATTGTTTTAAATTTCATATTTAATTAAATAAAATATAGTGAGGTTTTGAATAGCAACGGCGGCCATTATAAATGGGAAGGGTAACGAGAATTTAAACATGATTGATTCCGTCGGTGCACCCGCCACGCCAGCCACCACAGTAATAAGGGCATCTTCAATCCAACGTCACTGATGGTTCTGGATTGGTGGATTTGGCTTCCGTTGTTTTCAATAGAGGTCAAATCCTGAAACATATTTTGGCCCGTTGTTTTTTTTTTTTTTTTTGTAATTTTTTTTTTTTTTTAATTTTTTTTTTAAAACTATTTTAATTATAAATAATAAAAAAAATTAAATATTTAAAAAATATTAATGAAAAATAGAGTTATGATTAAAATAAAAATACTGTAACAATTTCATATTTGGAATTACAAGTATATAAATGAAGTGTATGTATTGGAGATTGCCTAACCATTGATGATTTCACTATTCACCCCTCGTTCCATTTGATGCATGCAAAATTCTTACTACTCTGTCCCGTTTCTTGGAATGTCTAATGGTTTGTTTGGTTTTGTGAAAATTTTTTGTTATATATTTTTTTAAAAGTAATACTCCCTTCATCCCAGATACCATGTCCACGTTGTCGTTTCTGTCCGTTCCACATACCATGTTACTTTTCTTTTTTGGAAAATGATTACACACTTTACTCTCATTTTAAATTTTTAAATTTTTTTTAATTTTTAATTAAACTAATTAGTTATCTTAATCTTAATTTATAATTATTTATATTATAGAATAATTATTTTCACTAATACATTTTTAATTATCTGCTAATTATACTCCTCCTAAAATACCGTGTCTAGCAGACACGATATCTGAGACGGAGGGAGTATATAATATTTATTATTTTCATATTATTTATATAATTATATATACTTAAATTAAAATACAAAACAAACAAACTCGAGATGTATTGTTTTCAAGATTTTTTGACAAATATAAGAATTTGTTTTTTTTTTTTAATGTTAAACTATAATTAATATTGTTCTTGTTCCTCTCTAAGAGATTCATTTAGGTTTTATTTATTAAAAAATAAAAGTAATTTATTAATTATTTAAAATATATGAAAATTTTAAATATTTTTATTTTTAAAATTTTATGTATAAATTATTTCATATTAGGATTGTTTTACGATGTTAGGTGTTTTTTACTTAAAAAATATTAAACTAAAATTATTTTACATATTCTATACACTAAATTTTTAAATCTTATTATTTAAACATTATATTATTAAATATTATTTTGATTTTAAATTCAAATAATACACTTGAAAATGCGCTTAGTACGGAATTGCAAAAAATAAAAAATAAAAAAATAATAGAATTATAAAAATAAGAAATTCACCATGGACAGACATTTCAATTTATTAAAGTAAAAAAAAAAATAAAAAAAAACAATCAAAAGGAATATATACAATATTGTCAATTAAAAAAAATAAATTGATTACTAAAAGAGGATAAACTAAATAAAAGAAATTATTATATTTTTAATTTAATAATTTATCTTAATATTAATTTAGGTATAATATTGATGAGATTTAAATAATACTCTCTCCGTCCAAGTAAAAGTATACAATTACTTTTGGTGCGGAGATTAATTGGCAGGTAAAAGTAATAAAATGATATTTTTATTCTTATTTTTTTGGTATAAAAGTAACGATGTGATGTAAAACAATAGTATTTATGAAAAAAATGAAATGATTACTTAGTAATCCGACATTTCAAAATAGAAATAAAAATATGTATACTTTCTGATGGGAACGAGTAGAGTACAAAAGTTAAATAAATAAAAAATAAAAAATAGAAAATAAAACTCTCTATCTAAATCAAACTAGAGAAATTCTCTGTGCGTCGTCAATGGCGGGTTAGCTTGTTCCAAACCCGACCCGTGGTGTTCCGAGTCCTCCGACGGAGATTCCAATGGCGGAGAACAGAGTATACTTGTTCCACTCACGTATGCCGTCGGAAGTCCCTCCTATCTAGCGCAGAAGCCCAAAGTTTCCTTTTCTCCCAAGGAGGAAGATGATCCACCAATGTATTTCCAACTCCTCGCAATCTCTCATCCCTAATCTCAACCTTCCGCACCGTCACCCATGGCCCCGGAAATCTGTCGGTTTAACCGTCCGATGCGAATTGCCGATAGATTTGGAGGCGAAACCGGCGGCTCAACCTAGCCGGCTGGGGCCTCACACGGGGAGAGATCCGAATGCGAAGAAGCCGGATTGGTTGAGGCAGAAGGCTGCGCAAGGGGATAAGTACGACGAGGTTAAGCAGTCCTTGTCTAGGCTGAAGCTCAACACTGTTTGCGAGGAAGCTCAGTGCCCTAACATCGGAGAGTGTTGGAACGGAGGCGGCGATGGCATTGCCACCGCCACCATCATGTTGCTAGGAGACACCTGCACCAGAGGATGCCGGTTCTGCGCCGTGAAGACTAGCCGGAATCCGGCGCCGCCCGATCCCATGGAACCTTATAACACTGCCGAAGCCATTGCTAGCTGGGGGTACTTGTTCTTCTCCTTTGCCTTCCATGTTCTTATTCATTCATTCTTTTAGCTAAATGTAGCACAGTATGTTGAATCTGATTTTCTGTCAATTGGTGGTCATTTTTTTGTCAGTTTAATGCAACTACTCCATGATCTAGATTGAAATCTCCGCTAGCAATCCTTGGCCTTGTTCTATGGGAAATTGTAACAAATAAGTTTGTGGATGTGTAGATTGTTAATCTGATAATGAGCAGAGGATTGAACCTTATAATTCTGTTATGAGATTGCAAACTAAGGTTTCCCATGGTTTCGATTTTGATCCCTAGTTTTGCAATTTCCTAATTCATATGAATGTGAAAATGTGAAGTCTAGTATCGAGCGATTCGATCACTAGTTTTTCATGTTTGTTTTCTATCCGGCACTTTGAGAATGATGCTGCTGCTTATTCTTTTCAGCGTGGATTATATTGTTCTAACAAGTGTCGACAGAGATGATCTACCTGATGGAGGAAGTGGGCATTTTGCCGAAACTGTCAAAGCCATGAAGGTAAATTTTTATGCCTCAGATTTGATCATCCTTTTTTGGCTAGACAGTATTGCATTGAACAACTAACTAGTCACATCTTTATGGTCATCCTAACTTTCAGTTAAATGTATCGGCAGAGGCTTAAACCTGATATTATGGTTGAGTGTTTAACATCGGATTTCCGAGGTGACTTGAAGGCTGTGTCTACACTTGTTCACTCAGGGTTGGATGTTTTTGCTCACAACATCGAAACTGTGAAACGACTTCAGCGGATTGTTAGAGATCCTCGGGCTGGGTAAGTGGCAAGAATTTGTGCTCAAATGTTTGTTAAAATTTTCATAACGCCAATTATTATATTCCTTCCTGTCGGATGACTCCATAATATATAAATAAATAAATGATGCTAATTAAGCTTAAGTTTTTAGATGAGAGTCTTATGGTATCAAAGCCAGACGTCCACATACAAGATTCATATGTGACTAAATCCACTTTGCATGTAAGGAGCCGTGTTGGTTGACTTCATAATATATAAATAAATAAATGATGTGTATTTATTCAAACTTAACTTTTAGGTGAAATGATCCTTTAATACTTATTTTAATAGTTAGTCTTTGACATAGTGAGTCAGAAATTCTTTCATTCGTTTATCTCTTTCCCTGTCTATGTTCCTTTGATGAAATCTACTTAAAAGGGTTTTTCATTTGACTACTATCTTGGTAAAAAAAGGGCGAGTTCGATTATTTCTTCACATTTTTAACCACAGGTATGCACAAAGTTTATCTGTGCTGAGACATGCCAAGCTCAGTAAAGAGGGAATGATCACAAAATCATCGATTATGTTGGGCCTCGGTGAAACTGATGATGAACTGAAAGAAGCTATGGCTGATTTAAGGGCCATCAATGTGGACATTTTGACACTAGGGCAGTATTTACAGGTGACCTAATATAACCCTGCAACTTCTAATTTTCAATATTTGGGTATGATATTCACTTTTCCTGTATTTTATTTTCTACCCTGCAGCCTACACCATTGCATCTGACGGTGAAAGAGTATGTCACACCCGAAAAGTTCGCCTTTTGGAAAGATTACGGCGAGTCAATTGGTTTTCGTTATGTTGCTAGTGGACCCTTGGTAATCATCACTCTTATATGATCTTGCTATGAATGGAATCTGGTTTCGATTTTAGTATCTACAGTTGTTAAAATGCCGTAATATTTTGGTTGTTTTTCCAGGTTCGATCATCGTATAGGGCTGGGGAGCTCTTTGTTAAGACCATGGTAAAACAGAGGTTAATGCATGAAGACATATAAGATAAAATTATACTGCCTGTCAATGAATGCAATTGCAACAGCTCCAAAGGTTTCTGGTGGATCCATTTTGGCTTCCTGATTTCTGTTTAGCAATTCTACAAGTCAATATAATACTACAAATACAAATATATGAACAATAGCTCAAATAATATATTATTATTATTATTATTATTATTATTATTATTATTGATTTCAGGACAAAATTTAAGTACTATGTGAAGTTTGTATTGTCTATTTATTTTTAATGTACCAATTAGGATAATTAACATGACGCTGACTAATTGGTACTCTTAACTATTTTCCTTTTACATGTTTCTCTATTGTATATGTTCATTTCATGTGAAATGTCGTTATCACAATAATACTCTCGTCGTAAAAGGATTGGTTATATATATTTTTTCAGTTTGAATTGGATTTAAAGTTTTGAATTTTTTTATTTAAATTATACTGTAGTATTTAATATGATTTTTATAAAAACAAAAAACTTATTTATTTTGTGAACTTGAGAGTCTCATTAGTAAAACATGGTGATTGAGAGATTCCGACCTCATAAAAAACTATATAAATGATGTTTGGATTGAGTTTGAATGAGGTATGAAATGAACCCACCCATACACATGGAGTTACCCTAAAATAGATATTTTTTATTTGTTTTGTCGAAATTTCAAACAAACACACCCTTCACTAGAAAATATTATAATAGATGTTTCTTAACTTCATCCCGAGTAATTACCCTCCAAAAAACAACAAAATCGGACGCCGACGAGGGTATTCTCGTCAATTCACCAGAGCAACAACCGGCTACAAAACGCCATTAGTATTACGCGAGCCAATGATCATCGAGGGCAGAAAAGTAATTCCACAACAACCCTGCATACGTTCACCATCCTCTGCTCAACCATATCAACCCCCGCTCTCTCTCTCTCTCTCTCTCTCTCTACCAAATTGCGATCGTAGCTGGTTGATGGGGTCTGATGCATGAGTAGAACGCAGCAACGCTATACACAGTGTATCTGCATATTCATCACTGAATCCCTCCGATTCTGTTGGGTTTCTCGCACTAATCGCACCACCTTCGGAGTCCGCCTGTATTGGATTGTTCGATTTACCATTCCCTCGGTTCTCACGCGCACCAAGGTAGCTCAACTCCGCCGGCGGAAGAGGAACGAAAAAAACCGTTCCTCGTGATTGTACATATAAATATATGTATATCTGTAGTTATGTTCGCGTTGTGCTTCAATCCACTTTGTCTTATTCAGTTGACTGGGAAAATACAACAAGCCTCGTGCTGATAATTGCTTCTTTTTTTTTCCTGGCTAATGAATGTGTCTGATTTGGCTTTTTCCTTGAGCATTCGCAATCACGACCGAGTGGTTGTTGTAACTTTTAGTTTTTACACGACGTCGATCGAAGGACGATTTCATGTTTTTTTGTGTGAGTTTTATTTGCACATTGTTTGCTTCCGCGAAAGGCGGTAGGTTGGTGGGGGTTGACTTGCAGTTACCCTGGCAGTGAAGAATTTGGGGGTATTTTTAGTATGATTCAAGTCTTTTTCATCTCCTTTTTTCCTTTTTTGGTGTTATAGTTGATAATTATTTGGTTTGACCTGCTGTTGTTGGATTGTATCCATTGATTGCTGTTTCTATGATCCTTAGGATAAGGTTGGTATGGATTTCAAAGCTTTTTGTTACCTTAGGGCTTATATCTTTCATGGATTTGGATTTGTAACATGTTCTAATAAATGTGTATGAGATTGGGTGAATTGCTGCAATGTTAAATGATCATCTTATAAAAGCTTTGCATGTTCAACACTTTTCCATAGCGCCTGCAGATTTTCTGGTTTTTCTGAGTTCTTGCAATGGTGTGCCATTTGTGTCGAAGACACAAGCTGTCTTGAAATTTTGATATCGAGGAAGTAGTTTAATGTTTTGTTATGATTGTTGAGTCAAGACTCTCTTGCAAAAGGAAATTGCAGTTGCAAATTTTATACCAAAGGAAAAACTATATGTTTCGTCGTAGGACCTTATAAACTCATATTATGTTTTTCAGGACTGCTTATGGTGAGCCTTAGGAGGCGCAGGCTCTTGGGATTGTGCTCTGGTATCCATTTTCAATATCCTTTTGAATTAGACCTTTAATATGTGATAATGTATCAGATATTTCTTGAGCGTCCCAAGTGATGTTGCATGCGAAATTCGTGCAGGGAAGAATTCTGTTTTAGATCCATTTTCAAGCTTTCCTAATCATGGACGAACTCCTGAAGACAGCACGGGGAATGCAAAGCCGGTCAAGGGATGCCCTTTGCCTTTAAACAACGGTTGCGCTCCAAAAGAAGTAAGCATATACACCAAACTCACTTGTGCAATAATAGAAGTTTGATCAAAATGGCATGAATGTGTTTTTAAGTTTCTGTGCAGAAGATTCAATTTTGTAATGTTGTTTACTTATTTTGACAAATACCTCGACCATTTGAATACTTGCTAAGCTCTTCATTGTGCAGTGACATACCATTCAGCATTTAATACTAGCTTTCATTGTGTATCTAAAACTCGTAACGACATCCATCATATAGAGCTCTTTTCCCATTCTTACAACTATCTCAGGAAACAACCTCGGATACTGCACACGGTTCTCCGGATTTGTCTGTTTCCAGTCAGTCGAGGGAGAAAGCCCTTCAAGTGTTTCCTGGTAATACTGCCTCTATTCGATCTCTCTTTCTAACATTCTTGTGTTCGCATCGTCTGATTTATTCAAATGTTCCTGGGATTTAATTTCTCCGGCCAGGGATCAAGCACAGAAAGCGATACAAGAGGAAGCTCGTTCAAGATCAGGAGCCATGCACAATGCGGGGAGTCTACTTCAAGAACAGAAAATGGCAAGCCGCCATTAAAGTCGACAAGAAACAGATCCACTTGGGGACTGTCGCCTCTGAGGAAGAGGCTGCTCGACTATACGACAGGTAATGCAGATAGGATATGTCCTCGAATACCTTCTAGATTTACATGATCCAGTAGAATCAAGATTAGTTAAATACTTGACCCAAACACATTATTTATCTTTTTGACACTCGAACTCATCCAGGGCTGCATTTATGTGCGGGCGAGAGCCCAACTTCGAACTCTCCAAGGAGGAAAAGCAGGAGCTCAGGAAGTACAGCTGGGACGAGTTCTTAGCCGTGACGAGACATGCCATTGCAAACAAGAGTAAGAAAAACTTGCATTGTGTAAACTTCCAAGGTCTTTAATTCTTTGATTATCGTGATCTAACTAACTTCTTCATTGTTGTCAGAAAACCAGAAAAGAACCGAGCCGCAGTCGCAAACCTAACCGGAAAGGTTAGGCCGAGCCGTCGTGTTCCGGCTTTGGAACCGGCCATTGATTGTTCTCCTGTTTCTTTCAGGTATGTACATAGTTTTTCTCTGCTAGTTTTTGAGAAGAAGATTGAAATGGGATGGTGTTGATCTGCTTGCGTATATGATTCAATTCAATTGTTGGAGTCTATATACGTACATATATATATATATATATATAGGTTCGAATTATCATTGTGTATTACTATTAATTTGATGGTAGAATTATATTATTTAATAAATTAAAAGTCACAAAGTTATATATTCCTTTAGTAATTTGATGATTGCAATCATGTAAATACATATATACTTTAGTCACACTATAATTTTGTTTAATCATGCATTTATCACAACTATACAATACCAATTAAATTATATCAGCACAAAGATTTGATCCGGAGTTCGAATCCAAATTAATAGTACGGTTATGAATAGAAATACATAATCGCTCTGGTGTGGTACGATGTGATTGTTCGGGGTTATTTTAAAATGTGATATAAATAAATATTTATCTAATATAAAATTAATTTTTGGTATAATATAAAAAATAAAAAAATATTTCATCCGTCTCATTATAATAGTCTTATTTACCATAATTTTTTTAAAAAATAAAATTACATGAATAATAAAAATTGTTCAAAATCGTTTAAACAAACCCACCCTTTTATATTGTGCATTTAAAGTAAGGCACGCGCTGAAGAATCACAGTAGTAAAAGAAAAGACCGTAATAACATCATCAGAAGTCAGCAAAATAAATCTCCCATAGGTTGATGACAGTCTGTCTATCTACACTACACAAACATTACAATAAATAATGAAAAAAGAAAAAAAGATAGACCAAAACCCAGATCAGAAACCTCTAAAGAAATACTACAAATATAGAAAAAAATAATAATTAAAAGCAAACATTGGTTTATTGTGAAAAGAGACAGCAACAACATGGATAAGGTAGAATCAAAACTGAAATAATGACACACAGAAATAGCTCTTTCAAAGCTACTTACCATGTTCTTTTGAAACACTGACAGCAGGAGGAGGTCTCACCCAATTGGGAAAGAAACAAACACACGTCTCGTCTCATCTCATCTCATCTCAAAGAAAGCAGCATTTCTGCAGCAAACAATACCACACAATGATCATTACAAAATCAAGAAACCTGTTACTTTTTTTGTAAGAAAAATAAATAAAATTATGTATATAATAATATAATATGCTCATCTTCTACTCAAATCAGTTAGAATAAGGAGAAGAACTTACAGGCTGTTTGGCGGCCTGTTGGCCGCGGTTATGGGAAGAATGCCTCGGAGTTCCGCCGGAAACATTGTTGTGGCTAGAATGCCTCTCCTCCCTTACTTTGTCAAAAATCCCCGTAAACTGTTCTGCCGAGCTCGGATCGTTTTCATCCCATTCCCCGAATTTCGGAACTGCAGCACTAGCATCAGGCTGCAGTGTAGAAACAATAATCACAACCGATGATTTCGGGTTTAGTTAATCCTAAGATGTAAGAAAACCCAAAAATGATTATGAGGCTCGACTTGAACTTGACCTATTTGTGAAGCCTGATGATTCAAAATTCATCAAGCCAAATCTATTAGTCGAGCACAATGAATTTCCTACGCGCTCGCTAACAAGCCTAACCCCTCGAGCAAATTTTAATTTTCGAATCGTGATCTAAAGGTGGATTCAAAACAATTTTTTATTAATTTTGGCTACATAACTTCCAAGAACTCATAAAATTGACACAAGAAAAACATCGATGCATGAGATTATACCATAGGATTACCATAAAAAAGATACCTTTTAAAGAACTAAAAGCACAATTCAACGTAAAACAAAAGAACTTACACTTTCATCTCCTCGAGCAACCGGCTTAGGCCGGGATCTTCCCTGATCGCCACGAACACTTTCATAGTTCCTCCCATCCCAAGAAGTGGGAGTGGGAGACGCGCTTCCCACCCCCATCACTTTAGCCGGGTAACGCGGGTGGAGCGGCGAACGCTCCATGCTGTCGGAGCCGCCGCTGGTCCTTGCAGGTCGGGCTGGCCTCTGTCCACGGGGCGCACCATAGTTCAACTCATTACCAGTTTTCTGAACCGTGTTTTCCACACGAGCCGGAGACTTATTCGGATGTATAAGATCACCATCACCCTTACTACCCCCTCGTTGTTCAGCCACTCGCTCCGCAGCTCCCCTCCCCACCGGCTCGTTCGGTTTGGATCGAGGAGGTACGTCGAACACTTCTTGATTCTCTTGAGGATCATTAGGATTTGTCATCTTCCCCCCTCCTCGATTCTTTCTTGCCTTCTCGAAGTACACCGTGTAGGGAACATTGTCCTCGTTTTCCCAGTTGCCGAATTTTGGCACATTCGAACGCTGCACCGGATCAAGAAACAAGAATCGAAGAATCATTATGTATAAAAACAGTTTTTACATACAAACATAGGCAACATCAAGCAGCCTTCGGGTAAGAATTTCGAATACAAGAACTGTTCTATAGACTCTTAGCTCTATAAAAGAACCAAACACATAATCTCTCAATGGATCTCAACATTACATTACATTACAATCTTCTTCACCACATTACAAAACTCCACACAATTGGAAGCTTCAAAAAAAGCAAAATGTGCTCAATATTCATTGATTCCACAAGATTCTCTTACTAGTTTCATTTCTTTTTCAATTTTCCCCAAAAGAGATTTCAAGAAATTTTCAACACATAGAGAGGGGGGATTCTTAAGGAATCCTCAAATTCCAGACGAATCTACACCGTTCATCTCATCGACGGCGTGGATTCCACGTCCCTAACTACTGTGTTGACTGCACAAATTTTATGGTCTTCGTCGTCCCGAATCATTTGGGAATTTCCCAAATCAATTTCAGAAACCAGAACAGCGAAGAACACAAGGCAGCCAAACAGACAACATCCAACACGCAGAATGAAACAAAAACAGTACAGCAATAAATGAAGCCTATCGATCGATAGTTAACAGTTTCCAAAAAAAAAAAAAACGAACGAATACTTAAAACCTTCATCGCATTACGAACTTCCTGTTCAGGCAAACCAAATCGAATCCACGAAGAAACAGCCGCCGAAGAATTTAAAAAAAAAAAAAAAAAAAACTTACAGCCATTTCAAAATTCTTCAATTCCACAATTAGGATAGGAATCAAAACAGAGAGGAAGCACTAGAGTATCCAAACCAAATCCAAGGTTCAGCTCGATGATTCAAGGCAAATAGCAACAGCACATAGTCGAGAAATAACAAATAGTATAATATAAATATCCCAAATTCCCGAAACAAAAACTAGAGAGAGAAAGAGGTAGAGAGAGATAGAGAGAAATAGCAAGGGGGTACGAAGGATGATAGAATGAATGATTGGGGGCAGAGGAGAGGGGGGGTGGGGTGGGGTGGGTTTATCAACATCAACCATTGACTAGAAGCTCTTACCTCCTCCGTTCCTTCGTTTTAAATTTCTTTCACCTGTTTCTGTAAACTCGTTAATGTATGTATGAACGTAGTCATTCGTTCATTCATGTGATTCTTCAATTCTGCAGTAACTTTCATTAGGCACAAGTCTTTTTCTCAATTTCTGTCTTTTTTCAATTGAATATATATATATATATACACACAAATTACAATTGAAATATTTTATAGATTTATATAATAACAACATTATTAACCAACTGCTGTCTTTAGTATGTTGAATTAATATATTCAATACTTAAAAGGTGTGTTTGCTTTGGATTGGATTTTAAATACACTGTTCATTCAATTTTTTTCTCCAAAAAATCAATTCAAATATCTATTTTTATTTTTTTTTTATATTATACTAAAAATCATATCATACAACTATACAGACATATTCTATTACACAAGACCGGTGGTATGAAAATGGACTCGTTGTATATTTAAATTTTTTCTATTACACATTCGATCGAGATATAATTGCGGATTCCACCGTTGCAGAAAAAAAAAAAAAAGGATTAATGGTTGTGTTTTATACTTCCTCTGACCGGTATTTATTTTAGTTTACTGTAAACATAAGAATTTTAAGTTTAAGAGTGGTATAATTAGTAAATAATTAAAAATAAAGATAATTATCGTGTGATAAAATAATTATAAATTAAAATTAAAATAATTAATTAATCTAATTAAAATTTTAAAAATTAATATAAAATTAAAGTGTATAACTTTTTTCTTAAAAAAATAAAGTGATAATATAAATAGAATAGACAAGAAAAAACAATATATATATAATAAATGAGACGGATAAAATAGTTTATAAAAATAAAGTGATAATATAAATAGAATAAACAAGAAAAAACAATATATATATATAATAAATGAGACGGACAATATATATATATATATATAATAAATGAGACGGATAAAATAGTTCATTTTTCAGGTATATTTTATTCATTTATATTATTATTATTATTAGGGAATAATTAATAGTGTACATAATAAGTAGCGTGTGTGTGAACAAAAAAAGGTAGTTAGTTTAACGAAGGATAGTATATAAAGTATAATATTTGGGATAATGATGGAAGGAGAAAGGAACTTGACAGGGTATTATGATGCGCGTGAGGTGAGGTGCCATTTTTGAATAATAATAATTTATTACTTTCTCCGTCCATTAATAATTTATTTATTTTTTTATTTTGGTCCGTTTCATAATAAAGTATTCGTTTCTTTTTTAAGTAGTAATTGTACTATCTACCTAACATTACAAATATCTTTCTAATTTACAATATATTACACAAATACTATTGTCTTTATATATACAATACTAATAGGGTTAATTTAGTCTTTTCATTTTTATTTCTATTTTATCCCAATATAATACTAATATTCCTAAAATCTCGTGTATAAACAAAATTGATAGATAGATTGAAGACAGAGAGAGTATATGATTCCAAATTATATTGAAGAAAAATATTGTTATGTTTTTGCTATGAAATACTGTATTAAATGTGATCAATAATTATTTTATTTTGTTGTGAATTTAAAATTAATTTGAAATAATATTTTGATTTTAAATTTGATTTAAACAATATTTTGATATAATATTTTATAAAATAAAACAATATATTTTTATTAAAAATTATATAAAAAATATAGCGGCATTTGAAATTGTAATAAAACAAACCATGATTTTTTGTAATTTTGAATTTATCTCGTAACTGTAAAAAAAAAATTATGTATAAGTATAGTATGTTTTGTATAAAAAATAATTTTTAAATAAATAAAAAAATTAATGTAATAATTTCGGAGTAATATCATGTGCCAACAATGAAAAAATATTGATTTTATTTACATAATAAATTTTTACTCATTTGATATCACATTAAATATATTTTTTTATATATATAAAAATCAAATCAAATAAATTATATTTTTTTTCTTCCAAATTCCTAAAATTCTCAATGTCTTAAAAAAACACCCTATCTAAACTCAGCCTAAAACTTATTGGGTTGGTTTGGTATTGACTTGAGTTAAATAATATTTTGATTTATATATATATATATATAAACAATGTAGAGTGTGTTTTTTTTTTTTGAAAAAAATAAAATTATATATTTTAATTTATTTGTTTTTTCTACGTAATTTTAGAAATATTAGTATTATATTTGGACATAGGAATGAAGTAGAAATGACTAAAATAAATTGTCTAATATATTGTAAGTTATAAGAGTATTTGTAATGTTAAATAGATAATACAGTTACTAAAAAAATAAAATGAATACTTTGGGACGGACTAAAATGAAAAAATGGATACTTTATTATAAACATACGGATAATTATTTTAAATAAATTAATATATTACATAAAATTATAATTTTTATTTATACCGTGCAGGTTTTTAGGCTAGTTTTTTTTTAAAAAAAAAAAATCATTTTTAAGATAAAAATGAAGGAAATACTGTACAGCTTTTATTGTTTTAATGAGTTTGGTTGTAGGTTTAATAATAATAATAAATCAAAATAAAGATAAAATTTTCCAAATATAATAAGAGTAAATAAAAGAGTAATTTTTATTGATTGAAGGGGCACTCTGGGGCAGGTTTACGAAATCTTTTGGTGTCCGTACAGTAATCGTAGGTTAGATATTTGTCCCTGACGAGCTGCAATTTCCTGTGGTCGTCTTCACTGAGCGTCCAGTAGCGCTCCGCATTCCACCAATAGCGGGAGGCGTAGCAGCGCTCCACGGCGGTTCCGGCGAGGGGGCAGCCGTCGACGGCGAAGTGCTGGAAGGCGGCGTCGAAGGGGGCCTTGGACCAGTTGGTCTTGGTCCTGCCGCCGTCCGTGGCCCATTTTTCGCCATTCCAAATGCTGGCCTCGACCCGCATGGGCCGGGCCGGGTACAGTACCCCCAGCCTCCTCTTGTTCTTGAACACTCTTATCGGAACATCGTCGACGTAGAAACTGCAACATTATATATTAATATCAAAATAATTTTTATTTTAATTAAATTACTATATACTCCCTCCATCTACTGTCTCCTTCTCAAACTGTTTTTGAGATTGACACGGAAATTAAAGAATTATAATGTTATATTTATCTTTTGTTATTATATTTAATATTAAAAATATTTTTATATTTATATAATTTTTTTTAAGAAATGTCCTTCTATTAGTATTATAAGACATTAATTGAAGTATTTATACAAAAAATTTTAAATTGGTGCTACGTTTTGATTTAATAATTAATATTCAAAGATCAACCCACAAAAAGTAAACGAGACCCTTAGAGTCGGATTGAGGTAGTATTATATTTATAGTGTAGGTAAAAGTAATTTTAAAAGATCAAAATGCGTATGTAATTATTGTGAAAACATTGAGATAATTTTGTAAAAAAGTGAGGAGCTTGTCACCAGAAATAGAAATAAAACTATTGTTTTAAAACGAACGAAAATACCAAAATGAGATTATTTTTGGGGGAGGAGGAAGTACTACATTACATATATAATTAATTTACATATTAAGTAAAAATGTCAAATTATGTTACATATTAATAAAATATTATTATTTCTTACACAATATTATAGCGGTTCCAAAGAATTCTGTAAGAATGGAAGGCTGCTGTTGGATCAAACCAGAGGCGGATTCGTTGTTCCCGTTTGCCGGTGTCGTTGGCAAACAAGTTCGTCTGAAGCAACATTGGTCTTCCTTTTAGGTTGCCTAATAATTCAAAGTCGATTTCGTCGTGTTTTCTCCCTTTCGACATCAACTGATCATCACCACCGCCCGATTAAACACACTTAAATTAGTATTATTACATATTAAAAACAACTTGTGATATATAATCCAATTTTATATATAACAAATAACATTGTACGTAAAATGCAACGACGACTCCAGCGCAATCATTGTCCGGCATTTTCATCCTCAATTGGAAAAATCCCGATCCATACCTTGCTTTCGATTGAAAACCTGAGCCTATATATATTATATTATAATTGACAAAAAAAAAAAAAAAATTATTTGTAAACACAACTAAATATATTTATGGGAGTTTTTTTTTTTTTTTTATGGGTATAGGAAAATTTTAGTTTACATTTAGTATTAAAATGATGTATGATGTGATATTTTGTGAGAGTAAAAAATTAAATAAAAATCTGGGATTTTCTGCAAACTAAACATACCCTAAACATAGTGACCAAATAGTTCTAGTACCTATTTTTTTCATAAAAATTCAAAAGTGATTGTTTATACCTATAATTAAAAAAATAAAAAATTACTAAAAAAAAAATAAAATACATAGCCATATAAAGTATTTTTGCATGATACTGATTGATCTAGCTAATATATATAATAAAAATAGATAATATATGTGTGTTAGAAATATGTTATGATATATATATATATACATATATTGTCTACAATTATTACATATACTAATTAGATTAAATTAACACTGTACTGATTTAAAATCTACTTTCAATATTTAAATATCGGGTATACTGTTATACATGCACATATACCACTGTACAAGAAAATTTCTACTCTATCCATCATAATTTTATTATTTTTTTAAATAAATTTATTCAATGTATAAAAACATATAAGCAATTATATATATACTATTTTTTTCATAAAAAAAAATATAAAATTAAATAATTAAACGATTAATTAACAAACCCGAGTCCTTGGTCATGGCCAGATGAACCTCTCTACCTTGATCGAGAACTCGAACAAGCCGGCTTCCCCAACTAATGCCGTAATTTTGATCGAACAACACATCTTCTGTTGTCGCATTTCCTATGCTAAATATCAAAATAAATTCAAATAAATAAACGACTCGGCAATAATTCATCTCAAAAACCTTAATTAATTATGATTATTATCGTTGTTGTGCTCTATATATATATAATGGAAAGACAATTTGTTTGGTGTCGTAAATTAAATGTAAGAAATATATGGATGGGCAAGGATCGTGTGACAAGAAACAAACCCACACGTTAGGGACATATATCGTATTATGTGCCCATAACATAACTACTTTATTACATCATACTTTATATATATATAGGCTCGAAATCTTGTACTAATTCGGCTAAGTCAGTATAGTCCAATCTACTATTTAAATAAAAAATAATAATAGTTGTAAATTTTAGAGCATTCTTTTATTATTAGTATTATTTTTTTAAAAAAAATAATAATCAAAATCCATTTAAATGATGATATCCGTTATTTTAGTTATAAATTTTAAAATTTAATTAGTTTGTGTTTTGTGTTCATTAATCTGACTGATATTTTATACTCTTTGTTTACTATTTTTGTCCGTAAAAAAAATAGTCTTATTTCCATAAATAACTATATCACCGTAAAATTACCCATACTTTTTCATTTTTATTACACAATTGCCACTACTTTTTACACTAATACACTCACAAGGACAAAAAATTCTTTCATCCATACATTTTATTAACTACCAATATAATATCAATATTTCTTAAATCTTGTGCTAAACCCAATTAAGACTGAGACGGAGGGAGTATAAAAAATAATATATAATTTTTATTTGAGAAATGTGTGAATTATATTTTCAATTAATTTATTTATAAAATACAAATGACAAAAATATTAAAATCATTTTACACAGTTTCACCTATCAATGACATATTATTACACTTTTTTTTACAGTACTAAAACTGTGCCTTCAATTATCATTTTGTTATTAACTAAAGGTAATTGTTATACATATGTCCTAACTGCGAAAGTAATTCAAAATTTTCATAATTAATAATCTACTGTTAACTAATGATGAAAAAAAATTGATTAAACATATAATTTTGAAACAAAAAAATTTTATGCAATTGTCATAAATCGTATGGGAGTTTTATAATATTCTGCCTTATATAAATGTACACTATAGTAAAAATATTAATGATCTTTATTTTTATTTTTATTTTTACTTTATTATTATTATTATTATTATTATTATTTTTTAAGTAATCGAATTTGATATTTTATAAAAATCATAATATAGTAATTGGATTATTTTTTCTCAATATTTTCCGGTCGTCACAATTTCTCAATGAATATCATAATATATATACATATAATGTATATTTTATCAACTAAAAAAAATGAATATTTAAACATAACATTATATTTTATATTATTAATATAATTTCATAAATAATATAAAAAACACCTAAATTTAAAAACACAAAAACAAATGATTTGTTCTAGGTTTAAGTTGAATTATTTCCTCAATTTATACAATTTTTAAGTACGGATAAATTTTTTATTTTTATAATTTTGATCAAGGTCGTATTAAAATACTACTATTTAATTTTAAAATAAAACAAAAAATCAATTAAATCAAAATCAAATAATTAATTTTCACATAAAAATATACAATATACAATAAACATATTTTCAAAAAAAAAAAAAAAACTTATTTTTCGTAAAAAATTTTTTGAAACAAAAGCAAACATATAATTCAATTCAATTCAAAAATATCTAACAAAAAGTTATATAAAAATTGAATATTGAATGAGACACTTTTAAAATAAAATAATAATATTTGGAACACAGGAAAAAAAAAAAAAAAAAGAAGAAGAAATGAATACAACCGTTTTTTATTTGTTTACTTGATAATATTTTAATATTTTTTATTTTTCATATTTGAATATATTATTATCTGAAATTAAATAACATTCTATATTTTTATATGTAAATCTAATAATTTAAATCAATGTAAATTGATACTTTAAATATAAATATTTTGTTAATATAATAGTTGAAATAGAAAAAAAAAATTATGAATAAACAAATCCATGTGGCTTTGTGCTCACACACAAAATTAATTTCATCCACAATTTTAATATATTTGATCGAAATAGGTCAATGGAGTATGTTCACACTTCACTTCACATTTGATTTGTTTTATAATTAATTAATGCTGTGTTCGCTATCGATAATAATAATAATAATAATAATAATAATAATAATAATAATAATAATAATAATAATAATAATGTGACTTGTCTGTTGGACCTGGTGGGTATTAGGTTTGGCAGGATTTAATCAATGCGCATTTTCGGATAGCGGCGGCGGATTCTGACGTCATAAAAAAAATAAAAATAAATAATAATGGCTGAACTTAAACTGAAAATCAAAAGAACAGTGTTAAAAAAAAAAACATAATTTGTAATTTGCTTACAATTATTTATAATATATATTACACTTGTAATAAATAAATATACATGTAAATGTAAATCTGGTTAAATATATAAATATATATATATATTATATTTTTATTATTTAGGAACCTAGAGTTGAATATAGAAATAAATAAATAAATATTAATATCATATATTTTAAAAAAAATTAAATTTTAACATAATATAAAAAAATAAAATAAATATTTTATATAATTATTGTATAAAAAAATTGACGAATACTAATTTTTTTTCAAGCAAACCCATACAGATTTTTATTTATTTATTTATAATTGTTTCTATCATATCAAACGTCATTTTAGATATAAAACAAAAATAAAATAAACGAGACTCAAATGGGCCTATTTGTCTTTCAACGTACGAATACACTTAAAAAAACGGCCCAAATTTGAGAAGCAGCGTAAAAAAATGGCCAAGCCCGGCCCGGCCCAGTGCTGTCGTCGTTGAATTAGTTTTTACACTGTGTTTTTTAGAGAGAGAAAAACGAGAAACAGAGGAATTGTAGAGAGAGAAAGTTTTGGGGGTTGGGATCAAACGAGCACGGGGAAGGGGGACGAGTCTGAAGCGCCATTATTACATCAAATTCACACAGAGAACACGCACTAGCCTATATGTACTCATAGCTGCGTGTCCGTATTTATCCCTGTAGCGATATTCCAAAGCATTTATGTCGTAATTTTTTACGTGCTCTAGGGCAGGAATTCGTTAATAATTTGCGCAGGGTTGAGGTACCTTTGTGGCATCAGAACCAAAACCCCAGGACGATAGGGGCCTGCCCTTTTCAGCCCCTAGAGCAATTGTTTCTTGGCTCAATTGCAATTGAGGTATTGTGTTTACTCCCAAACCCTAGAATTTTGGTGCCCTGTTCAAGTTTGCTCAAACCCTAGATATAATTTTTCTTGCCACGCGTCTTTTCGGTTGGATTTTGGGGGAATGGATGAGAGATTGTTGCTGATGCATTTCATGTCATTGCATTTGAGTTGAATTGCTTTGAGGTTTGCTGGTTTCGAGCTGTGTATGGTGCATCTAAGCTTCTACAATGATTTGTATTTGTTTAGGTCTAATTTGTATGGTTTTGCACGTGGGAATTAGTTGGTTTTTCAATTTGGTTATCCTTCTACTTTTTTCCTCCAGAAGTATTTAGTTGATCACTTGAGAAGTTCTTAAAATGGTTGTCTGTGGGTCTAACTTTCCTCTGCCTTCCTCATAAATATTGACTCAGCTTCTGGTGCCTTATCTAATTTGAGCGAATTCATCTGATCAGCAGCTTATTGTTTTACTATGATAGTTTATGTAATAAATTGTGCAAATGTACATGCATGGGACAGCTGTTATGTTGATGTGTTAGCAGTATTGATTTTTCTATATACTGTGAATATGGTGTTTGAGCTTAGGAAATGAGTCATACTTTTTTTTACATTCTTGGAAATCTAGGATGTCATGCATAAGTTTAGTTATGTGATATTGCTTGATTAATGCTGTCTAACATAAATTTTTTTATTTATTTCGATTTCTTTTTTGGTCAGTCACGGCGAACATTGTGTACTTGATATGAATACCATGCATACTTTATTGACTTTGTTACATGTCAGGGTCAGCAGTCTCTCGACTTTTGTATTTTTTTATTGTATATTTGGTTTTTAAGGATTGTTGCTTATATGCTCTGTCTATTCTGAATTTATTTTTGTCAGTAACACCTATTGGTAGTTTTTGGTTGCTTAATTGGCTGACAATATTCTTATTGGATTTTGATCATCCTAATTGGTTTGTTAAATCTCACTTGCCTTATATTTCTACCATTAACTATTAAGATAAATTTCTCGCCATACACTATGCATCGTTAGTTAACTTTTCTTTCTTTTTTGTTTTTTTTAAAGCCCATTCATGCGAAGTAACGTAATTTATGCTCTTAGTTGGATCATCTGTTCTTAACATGAAATGTTGCTAAAGTTTTGGATCATGCCAGCCATTCATTAGTTTGGTCAGAATATTCTTGTCCGTATTTAAGAAAACATTTCATTGTATGTTGCTTTTCCGAATCCCTTTTACTTCTGTTATTTATAGGCTTAGTTTTTTTGCCAACTATTATAAATTTATTGTTGGCATTTCCATCCAATCTGTGTTAATTCTCCCTCTATTATATCATTTACTATGTAATTCATCTTTTCAATATATATATATTTTTTTTATTTTTTACCCCTAGGAGCTCATTACGATGAAATAATGGAGGGGATTACCTGCATGTGCTTGAGTGGGGAATGCATGGATGTAGTTCACTTTCTGTTCTCTTAATCAGTGCCAATTTTGGTTCTATGGGAGGAGCTGTTGAAGGTGGAGTTGGTGTTGCTGATAAAACTTCTCCACGACGAGCAGCAATTGAGAAGGTTCAAGAAGAGCTCAGGTAATTCTCACATGATGCTCTTAGCTTTTATATTGGACGATGGTATTATTTTTCTTTATCGTTGTGTTCAAGGTTTTTTGTCAGCCCCATGAGCATTTTGTTGTGATAACAGGAGAGAGTATGATTTTCGTGAGAAAAGGAAGAGAGAATTGGAGTTTCTTGAGAATGTATGGAGCTAATAACTTCATTTGTTATCCTTATTATTATATATTACACTTTTTCCAGTGCTAATTTCATTTCACTGGCAGGGTGGAGACCCCTTAGAGTTTTTTAAGAATTTTAAGGATAGGAACACTTCTATAGTTAGTGTTCAGTCAACATCATTTACTGATCAACATCCCGAACAGTTGTTGACAAGGTATTACAAAGGAGTTAAGCTTTTATCTTTACTTTATATAATTGGCTTCAGATTCTAAGATCTTGCAGTTGTTTAAATATTCACAGTGAAGCAAAAGGTAGTTTTGCATTGACTGCATCACCTCATGGAGACTCTGTTGAAAGTAGCGGCAGACTTGGAGCAAATCCTTGTGAACCTAATAGTGCTGATAATCTCAGTTTACTTGGTGGTGAACATGAATTTTCTGAAGGCAATAGGATGTTGCATCCCAAGAGAAACAATGTTGTGGCATCTGAAATGTTATCCCAGTTGGATGGGAATCAAAGAGCTTGGAAACGTGCCGATTCAGCTACTTTTAGCCACCCTAGAAAAGCATATAAAAGGCGTAACAGGCCCCGCCCAAATCGTGATGGAACTAGATCAAGTTCAACGGATGTAAATCCAACTGGTGGGAGTCTTACTTCTTTACCTTCTCATCATGGTCTCACTGAGGTCAGGGAAATAGTTACTGATACAGGTATACAGAATATATCATCAAATAGTAATTCAAAACCTTTAAGTCCAATAGAAGGCACCCTTCACAAGACTGGACAAATGGATGCCACAGAGACAAAAGAGGTAGCTGGTAAACCTGTAGAATCAGCAAAGGACCTGGTTGAAGGTGTTCCTCTGGATGCTGCAGAAGCTGTTAATTTTGAACCTGAACAAGCTGATCAATTTAATTATCAATCACAGTCTTGTGCCGTGAAAACCCCACTTCAACTGGATTCTGACCCACCTGAGATGGATGAGACAACAACTGCAGTTCCTGAATGTGAGCTAAGTGGGGTGGCTGCTAAAGTTGAAAACTTACCTAGTTCCTGTGAGATTAATGAGCTTGGTGGGGAAAAGTTGGAGCAGATGGCAATAGATGATAATAAAGCTGAAGCCTCTCATGTCATAAAGGGTTTGAATTCTGAGTTACCTTGCACTCAAGCAAACTTAAGTATGAATGAGAGTAATGAAAGTGATATGTGCACTAAACCGACAATTGATGATTCAAATGGGAAGAGTAAAGATCAACCTTCACTGCCCGATGGTATGGCAGTTGTGGAAGGTGATGGATTTGTAGAAGAAAAGAATCCCGAGGATGTTGTCAACATGGAAAACAGTTCTGCTTGCCAAGAAATAGATCAAAGCGTCTCTGGTTTGGAAAATGAGGTAGAAGGTCAATTTGGCAGCAGTGGAATGGAAGCTGGTGAACCCAATGAACCAGAATTAGGGAAAAAACCTTCTGATATATTGGGTGACAATCCTGTGACCCACAATGATAAATCATGCAATATTAGATGCCAAGACACTATGGACACTTCAGTTTCAGATTTCCATGATGTTGGTACTGTTCCTCCTGATGCCCAAACATTATCTGGATCTGACTCAAAATTGGAAAGAAAAATTGATGAAGACTCAGTATTGAAAGAAGCACAAATAATCGAGGTTGTATTATTGTATTGTTTTTTCCAGTTTGCTCATTTTGACATGTATTTTGTTGTGTGCCAAAATCTGATACAATGATGTAAACAGGCAAAACGAAAGAGGATTGCAGAGTTATCTGTTGTTACTTCACCAAAGCAACTTTCCCCAAAATCTCACTGGGATTATGTGCTTGAAGAAATGTCTTGGTTGGCAAATGATTTTGCTCAGGTTTTATTTAGTCAATCCTGCGCCTTTTCTTCTCAGTTCAAATTCCATCTGAATAAAAAGTTGTCATCATTTCCCTTTTCTGGAGACACTTTTTTAATAGCTTCTTTGATGTGTAGGAGCGAATTTGGAAATTAGCTGCTGCTGCTCAAATAAGTCGAAGAGCTGCCTTTACATGTCAATTGAGAATACAAGAAAAGCATTCTGGCTTGGAGGCAAAGAAAGTTGCTAGTAAATTATCAAAAACTGTCATGGATTTTTGGCGTTCAGTAAAGGTAGACTCTGATGGCTCCTTTCATTGTTAGCTTGACTTTTGTGTAGTGTTTAAATGAGTTATATGTATATATTACATTTCCTGGGATTCTGAAGCTGAACTTGGTGAGTAGCATAGGGGGCTGATTCCAAACATCTGCGCAAAATGGTAAATGTAATTACAATGCAGCAAATTTCATATGGTTGAATCAAGTTGTAATCCTTATCAACTAATGTTAACGAGTTAGGTTAATGATTAAGTGCATGCAGATGTCTGGTGTTAACATGTTCTTTCTGGCTGCACTTTATTGAAGAATGTTTGTTTCATATCTGCAAAGCACCATTTTAGAATTTTATCATCAGTATGGTTACACAAATTTGTAACTCCTGTATTAAGGAAGTGATTTCATTGAGGGGTGTACTCCTTGTCTGCTTTTATTGTTTTTAACTGATAGCGAATTCTCCCCTCTCCCTGGTGGTGTGGATCAGCATTGACAATTCAATTAAGTTTGTTAGTAAAAACATTCGTGTTTGGTTAGTAGCAACTTACTGTTGCAACGAACTTTGTGTAATTTGGCAGGAGAGTCACGATGTGCTTGAGGAGAAAAGCCAAAAGGATGGAGCCCTTACTGTTCGTGCTTATGCTTCAAGATTTATGAAATATGACAATGCCAATGTCATACATCAAGCGGAGGGACCACTGACACCAGACAGACAAGCTGACATGGGAACACATGACCTCTCATGGGAGGATAACTTGACAGAAGTATGAATCACCAGAAAGCATTCAATTTCTTTTCTTTCTGTATCTTTTCTCTTGATCAACCTCACTTTCTACTGATTATTTGAGTATTTTTTATATGAACTTCTAAGTTGATTGGTTGACTTATGTACTACTTACAATTTTCATTCAGGAGAACCTCTTCTACACAGTGCCCCCAAGGGCTATGGAGAGATACAGAAATTCAGTTGAATCGCAAGTGTTCCAGTGTGAGGTAAAAATATACTTATAATCGGCCTTTGCATTATGATTTCTTAAGCTTTTGCATATCATATTCGGTCTATCATATACTTGAATAAGGGGTGCTGTTATTTGTGGCTATGAGCTAAGGTTACCCAAATGAGTGATTGGTTATTTCATGGGTGTATATGGTGATAATTTTGAATACCAAACAATTTTCTGAAACTGGAGTATAGTTTCTCTTGTTTTTGACATCTGTTTGTGAGCCAATGGCCAGAAAACACAGTTCTTATATCAAGTTTGTAACTTCTCAGTATCTGCCTATTTGGCATTCAATTCAATATCTGAATTATTTCTGTTTTTGCACAGAGAATTGGAAGCACTGTGCCAGAGGAAGTGGAAACATCTGCCTGTGATGCTGCTGTTGGTAAATCTAATAACTATGCTATTTTTGCTTCTACTATACTCTTTTGAATCAATTTAACACTGCTTCATTGTATATCAGACATTGAATCTCAAGATAATAATGGTTATGATGACGATGAGGGGGAAACAGGCACATATGACATGCCAACAGCTTTTGATTGTAGCAAGTCTTCAAGAATTGGCCAAAAGAAGAGAAAGCAATTAACACATTCATATCGTGTGAGACCAAGTGAAATGAACTCTGATATGTTAGCAACATCGTATGGTGAAAGCAAAGCTCTCGCTCAACCATCCACTTTAGTGGCAAAGCGGCCAGGTGGAAGCCTCAATGTGTCAATCCCAACGAAACGTGTCCGCACTGCTTCGAGAAGAGTTATAAGCCCTTTTAGTGCAGGGACATCTGGATATGTTCAGTTACCAAATAAAGCAGATGCTTCAAGTGGTGATACCAGCTCTTTTCAGGATGATCAGAGTACTTTTCATGGTGGCTCATTTGTTCCAAATAGTGTGGAAGTCCAGTCCACTGGGGAGTTTGAAAAGCAATTACAGTATGATACCACAGAAGTGTCGGCCAAGCATAAGAAGAAGAAGAAAGCAAAGCATCTTGTATGCAGTAGTATTTCATTTCAAATATGTTTGCATCAATTGTTGCATGCTAAACCAACATTTATTTGCTTTGGTATTTTTCTGTCAGAATGCTACCTATGATCCCAGATGGCAGGTCGATTCGTCCTATCAGAACGAGCAGGTGAATCATTTAGCATCACTGAATGGAGTAGGCTTTCTACTTTTTTTTTTTCTTTGCCCTGTAGAAATCTTGGGATAAATATGCGCTCCTGCAGTCTGACTGCACAGTCGAGTTTTCTGCAAAGGATCTTTATGTTTGTTTGTCTTACAATATTGCTTTGAATCTCTTAAATTGACAAGGTTAGAAAACAGAATCTTTATCACTATTGTAGCATCTTAGTCGCAGTAATGTTGAGCTTGAGCGCTTTATTTTGATCATTAAACACCAGTGCTTGTTGCTTTGTATTTGTTGTAGAGGAGCATACTTTTTATTCTTGAAATTATATTTTCTTTTTTAATAATTTTTAATCGTCTTTTTGTTTCAGAAGGATCACTTGAAGAAGACTCATCCACTGGATGCTAATGGTAGCAGCCTTAAAGCTCTCCTTCCTTTTACTGCTACCAATATTGCGGGTTTTAGATACATTCTTCAGCATACATGTTCTAATTGTGTCTATTCTGAAGGTTTGTTGGGTCAACCAGTGCTAAAGAAGCCGAAGACTATGCGGCAATCATTGGAAAACACTTTTGAAAATATCACCCCACTTGGTGTGTCTGTTCCTTCTCCAGTAGCGTCTCAATTGAGTAATAATCCGAATCAAATTATTAAAATTCTTGGTGGACGTGATCGGGGTAGAAAATTTAAAACTGTTAAGGTACATACAACTTGTTGAAGCTAATAATTTTTTTTGTTATTATTAATTTGGTGGTGCAAACTGTCACGTTTTCTTTGTCACTTAGCATTATGATATCTATCAGATGAGGGATGCTCAGCCCAGTTCTGGAACTCCGTGGACAAACTTTGAGGAGCAGGTTAAGTTTTGTGTATTACACGCATATGTGCATATTAAGTTACAAGTGAATGCAATATGTAAATGTCCATAAGCTTACACTTTAAGATCAGATATGTTGTCTTGAATACATGGAATGCTATCATCATATGGATACCTTTTAATGTTTTTTTAGGCACTTGTTGTACTCGCACACGACTTGGGCCCAAACTGGTATCTTGTAAGCGATGCCATTAACAGTACCATGAAATTCAAGGTAAATTATCCTATTTTGTCTTTGAAGCCTTATTATGTTCTAGTTAAAGGTAAACGGTTAAAGTCTCAGCAATTTTAATATAGAATTAGAGCGAGGTGATTATAAATATGCGGATTTGTTACCCATATTAAATTGACTACAAAAAGTAGGTTTTATGGTCAATGAGAACGTTTCGGAACTCATAAAGAAAATTGTTCAACCCTTTGATTGATAAAAATTTGGTCAACTAAATCATGTAATTTGTTCCAATAACCAGTGCATATTCCGAAACGCAAGTGAATGCAAGGAGCGTCATAATGCTTTGATGAAAAGAGCTTCTGGGGATGGAGCCGATAGTGCTGAAGATTCTGGGTCCTCTCAACCTTATCCTTGTTCATTGCCTGGCATACCCCAGGTAAAATGCCTACATTTCTTTTTTAACTTTTGTATGTGCTAATATTACTATAGGTTTGCTTTCATCTGAATAATATTTTATTCAAATTATGTTATTACTGGTCTATATGCTTTTCCTAATTTCTTGCCATATGCTGCTGTGCTAATGTAGGGAAGTGCCAGACAGTTGTTTCAGCGTTTGCAAGGGCCAGTGGAGGAGGATACTATCAAGGAACACTTTGAGAACATCATAGCGATTGGACAGAAGTATCACCGTTGCAAAACTCAGGTATTTTTATTTAATGAATGTTGACTTAAAACTTTCTCACTATTTGATGCCAATGTTTATCTGTTTGCCAACAATTGTGGTAGCCAGTAGTTTGATACCAAAATAGAAGTTTTTTCTCTACTCCATGCCTCTCGTTGGTATTTATAGATTTCCAAAATTTTGTTGTATATACTATATACACGGATAAATTGTTAGGTGTTCATGATTTCCTTTGGATTACTACTTGTTGCTATTGCCTCTCCTGCATGTTCGTTTTCAATGTTGGATGGATAGTGAATCCACATGGTTTTCCTGAGATGTTGTAGATTAATGTTATTGGTTGTCATTATCAAGCTCACTTTTGTGTGGTCAGTATGGGATGAATCGGTCCCCCAATTATGCAGACCCTTGTGCATACTAGCTGGTCCTTTCTCTTGGTGAATCGTACTTGCCACCATCTGAATGTGCTAAGTGTTTCACTAGGTCAACTCTCAGGAAAACATGAACAAGATTGGGTGTCAAACTCACAAGATATTCTCTAGCACTCAAATCTTCACATGTGAATGGCTTTCTTTTCATTAGCATTGCACATGCTTGTGCCAAGTGTCCTGAATTTTAAGACAAGTATTTATGATTTAGGGTATCAAAATGTGTAGCATGGTTTAGGGATAAATCTCCCCATGGCCCCTCCTTTTCTTTCTTTTCTGAGTTTATCAGTCTTTTCTAATTGTTTACTATTTTCACTCGTCATACTTTGACGCCCTTGACAACTACTTAATGAAATATCATGTATTGATCATTGGGTGTTTCACTTCTGGTCTATGCGGAAAATGCTTTTGATTATGGAAGTTTAAATATGCTGTGATCTTGTGATATCTGAAGATAAATGCACCATGATTTCACCATTAGCAGCCTTTTCAGTTCCATCTTTTTTTGGCTTCTTTTTTTGTTCTTTTTTTCCAAACTAATTCAAGGACTAAATGATATATTGTTTGCATTGAATGTTTTTCATGTACATACATTCATGTATATATATTGGTTGCAAATTTTCTCTATCCACCATTAATTTAGTTATGTATATGATTTTGTTATAATTATGAATGCAAATCAGGATCCCAAACAACTTCAGCAACCTCATAGCTCTCACGCAGTTGCTCTCTCTCTAGCATGCCCAAATTACCTGAACGGGCAGTCTGTTTTAACGTAAGTTATGCAATTGATTTATTATTTGCATTTGAAGTTGGACTACTGCATGTATCAACTATAGAGTGATTAATTGCTCTTTTCTTTCTCTCACAACTTCCTTTTTTCCGCATGCCTCCTTTGCAGCCCTCTTGAGTTGTGTGATGCCATCACAAGCTCTGATCTGACTGACTATGAAGGACAATCTTCTGGTGGATTTGGTTTTTCAAATCAGGGCAATGTAACTCCAATGCATCCTGCATCTGGTGGCAGTTCGATGATGCAAGGATCTGGAAATGTTATTCTGGGAAATAACTTTTCATCAGTACCAGGCTCTTTGAATCCCTCTGCTAGGTAATAAGTTACAACCTCAAAGGTAGAATTCTGTTAATTAAGTTGTTGGATTTTACAGCGATTTTTCTGCCTTCACTTGGCTTTTAGTAGGGATGGTAGATATGGGGTTCCTAGACCTACTTTGTCAGCTGATGAACAGCAAAGGATGCAACAGTACAATCAAATGATGTCTAGTCGTAATATACAACAGCCCAATATCTCAGCTCCTGGAGCAATGCCAGGAAACAAACATGCTGTCCGTCTTCTTCCTGGTGGTAATGGTGTCAGTGTAATGTGTGGAGTTAATAGAAATATGCAAGCAAAAAGGAATGGGTTCCAGGGAGTAGGTTCATCTTCTATTGTAAATTCTGGGAGTATGGTTTCCCCGGGTTTGCCACCAGCTAATATACATTCAGGAGTGAGCTCTGGTCAGGGGAACGCATTGTTGAGACCTCGTCAACCTATGCACCTTATGCGGGTATGCCATTTATTATTCATTGCGTTCTTTTTACTGCCCTGATGAGACATAGGGGTGTGAAGTTGTTGCAGTCCGCAGCTGCCAACTTTTAGCAACTCATGGGTGTTATATTACTTATCTTTGCCCCCCCCCCTTTCTTTCACACAGATGGCACCTTAGGATGCAGTATAAATTGCTAAGATAGGACAATGCTCCTAGGATGGACCGACTTCTTTCTGCTTTAGTAATATATCATGTGCTTATAAAATTTAGTATAAAGTTGATGAGGATTACGTATATTGTAGTGAAACAAAAATCGTGACTAGTGTTTGGCCTTTTTAATTATGACTTTAAAATTGTTGAAATTTTTCATTGGAGTTGCTCCTTCCGTCATCGAAAAATAGACTCAACTTTTGGGCACAGTTTTTAATGTGATGTATATTTTGTTATTTTTTACATTTTATAGTAAAAAAAGATAGAAAAAATGGAATGAGTTTTTATTATAAGGATAAGTCAAACATATTTTTAGATAACTGACAAAGAAAATGAGCCTTTTTTTTTTAATTATTTTTCATGGAGAGAGTACTATAATTGAGTGTTTTATTATTACACTACTCCTATGTCATAATAATACAACACCTGAATTAATGGAAAGGACTTAGGTTGAGCTTTGACAAAGTCGCCAAGGACTACTACTATATTATTACAAGTATTTTAATATGCTATTATTATCTTCATATGGATTGTTGTATAAAATCATGCCCTGTGACTCTCTTTCAGTTTGAAATTTTAATAGTAAATTCTTTTAATAATTATCCTCCATTCAGTTATTAAAAATCTATTATCATCATCATTATTATTATTATTATTATTATTATTTTAATTTAGAGTTTATTTTACAGCCAATTTCTTGTTCTCAGTTCCAGTGTGTACTTTTCTTAACATTATTATCTGGTCTCGTAGCCTGGATCTGGTCAGGATTCACCAAATCAAATGGCAGCACCTGACATGCAGGTCCCACAAGGAATTAGCCAAGGAATGCCTCACTTTGGTGGATTGAGTCCCCCCTTTCCTAGCCCGTCTGCATCTCCTCCAGTGTCTACATATTCTACTCATCAGCCACCACGACCAATGTCTCCCCAGCAACCACAGGTTCTTAGCCCTCATCACCCTCTTATTCAAGGACCAGCAAGTCCAATTACAAACTCAATGCAAGCTTATGCTATTCGAATGGCTAAAGAGAAGCAGCAACAACATTATCTGCAGCAGCAGCAGTTACAGCAGCAGCAGCAGCAGCAGCAGTTACAACAGCAGCAGCAGCAGCAGCAGCAGCAGCAGCAGCTACATCAACAGCAGTTTTCTCCATCTAGTTCTTCGGTGCCACATGTACAATCACCATCTCAGCCTCCTGTGTCATCTCCTTTGCAGAATAGTTCACAAGGTCAACCCCAGGCGGTTTCTCCACTGGTGCCACTGTCTCCTTTGGCTACTGCTTCTTCGATGAACTCTATGTCTCAGCATCAGCAGAAGCATCAGGCACCAACTCTGGGAATTGTTCGGAATGCACAAGGTGGCGCCAATCAGGCCAATAAGCAGCGACAAAGGCAGCAGCAACAACTTTCTCAAGCAAATAGGCAACATCCTCAGGTGCGGCAGCAACCCCAAGTTCAGCCACCAGCTAAGGCTGCTGGAAAGGCTGTTGGTCGAGGGAATATGATGGTGCATCAGAACACTTCAATTGAACCCTCACTAGTGAATGGAGTTCCTACAAGTCCGGGTAATCTTTGCACAGAGAAAGGTGACGCTATGAAACTTCCGACACAAAATCAAAGCTCGTATGCTGGTTCTCTGCTAAATACTGCACAAGCAACAAGGCAGTATGTTCCTTCCCAGTCGATGAATCAGTCAATGCCTCAGCAAAAATTATATCCTGGCCAGCCAGCCTCTTCTGCCAAACATCAACATCAGCTTAACTCACATTCAGGTAATATCAGTCAAGGTAATGTTCCGCCAGTTGCTCCCAGTTTGTCTGCTGCCCATCAGCCTTTGTCTTCGCCAATGGCTGGGAAAAACCAACAACAGGCACCTCCTCACCAGAAGGTGAATCTGAAGAGAGTCACTCAGTCAAATCACCACAAAATTTCTGATCCATCAAAGAAATCACAGAGCAGAGATGTCGATGGTGATCAGCATCCAACTTGTAGCTCTGCTGAGATGGATACATCAGCAACATTGCCTCAGGCCACTAAAAATTCAACAAATGTGGTACACATCCCTACTGGAAATGCTTATCATTGGCATGCTTCAGAACCATTATCGGATCCAAAAGCTCTGGAGTCCGCAACAAAGTTGAATTCATTAGAGTCAGTTCCTTCAAACCCTGGTGAGCCTGCTCCCCATGTCAATCAAGGGCCTGGACAGAGACCACCACCTGCTAGCTTACCCGCTATTAGACATGATGTTAGTGCACAACGGCAGCAGCCATCACAGTTGCAGCATCCTAATTCTCCCATGCCCAAGACTCAGCCTCAGCCGCTGCCATCACTACATTCACAACAGCAGGAGCAGCTTCTTCAAGCAGGGAATGGCAATCTATATGGTAGGAATGGTGACCGTAGGTTGGAATAAAAATCAGCTAACAGGTTGAGCAATGATGACTGCTCCTGCTCGGCTCTGGCCCGCATACTCTGGGACAAAATGTACAGGTTAGTCATAGCTTAACTGGGTTCATTCATCTTCTATTGTTGCTTTACATTGTGGAATATATTTTCTTTGTGGTTTTATTTTATATGCTTAAGTAATTCCAGAAATTGAAATGTTATGTACAATGTCTTTTTAGTTTTCTTTCTCTGAAACTCAAACTATCAAAAAAGGAGAAAATACTACTACGATTAATAATAATAATGATGATGATGATGATGATGATGATGATGATGGCGATAATGATAATAATAATAATGAGCTGGAGATGGTTGACTGAGTTATCGAAAAATACGAGCAGTTGTTAATTGGCAAATCATGACCCAATGGATGGAACCTGTTACATTTTTTTATAATGATAAAAATATCTTAATATATGGAAAAATATACAACATAAATTTGTATTCATGAGAAAATTACACAGCTGATTGTTATTTTTGTTTATCACTTTTTGCATCTTTTAGATTTTGAATATCAATAAATTGTCAGCCTATTTATTATATATATACTGTATACATACCTTCCATTCTGACTTGTATATTTATAGGTGAATAGTATGTGATTCCCTCGTAATTATATAATCGCAAAAGTGATATCGCATGTATGCATAAAGTGCAAAAATTTAAACAAGCAGCATTTAATGACTTTAGAAAGGATCCTTATCCGATTGCTTATACTGAAGATCCTGGCATCCTTTATATTTCTGTTTTTGAACATTAATTGTGCCGATGTTTTTCCTGTTTCAATTGCCGCATTTTATTTTTGCCGCTTCATTAGATTCTTTTTGTGGATCATTTTCACTATTGGCTTTGTTTGATTCTAACTGTACCTTTGTGTGTGTTCTTAAATGAAGGTTGTGGTTCTCTGTTTGGGCGAAAAAAGATGACATACCGATCTTGTCCAAGAGACAATTTGCTGTTGAAAGCTTTGGTTGTGTTGTATATTATCTTTGGCTTTGTAGCGCATCAGGGAGGTAGACTTTATCGGTAGGTGTACAGGATCTCTTATCTCCTCTTGGTTACATTTTGCTTTATGCCACTAATTCACTTCTCGGTCAATGGGCCATGTTGGTTCTCACCTGCATAGATCACTCACTTAGCGTCGCCCACGTCTCTAGGGGTGGCTCTCATTGTTATGGCCAAAGGCTGTGGAATTTTTGTGAATATATTAGCCTTCTTCAGTTTGCTATTGTTAATATTCATCACTGTAGTTGTCGTTAGCATCCACATGTCCTACGCATTTGCCACTTATGTATGTTGTTGTCGCACTTCTGTGATAAAAAATTGAAATTTTCTGAACCAAAACCTCGAGTTTACTTCTTCTACATTGGTTAATTTAGTCATTGCTTTTGTCCAATTTGGAAACTTGTGGATGATAATATAGAGGGTTTCCATGGTAGAAATTGTGGATCTGAACTGTGTTTATCGGGTTTTAGTTTGATTTGATATACAGGTTTTGATTAATTTGTTGGTAATGCAAGAAATTGTGGTGGTATTCTATTCTTTTCTGCCCTTTGTATTTGTTTCCATATATAGCTTCTGCCATTGCTTCTCCTTGGATCCATTTCTTTGCATAGAGCTGCTAATGAATGAGCTGTTTATTCGTTTAAGAGAGACAAGATTTGGGAATGTGATGAACTAAAATTTGTGTAAATGTTTAGTCATTTAGCTTAGCGAATGAGTTCAAACGAGTCGAACCAAGTTGATTCACACTTGTCCTTAATTTCTGCTGCAGGTTTTTCTTCAATAAATATTGTTATTCTTCAATTGTGTATTGGGTAAATCTTTGGCAGAACTTAATAACATGTAAATTTGTTAGTTGAGTAAGTTACTTGGAGATGTTGAACAAATCAAGTTTGTTTGATATGTTGGTGTGTTTGGTAGGTCTGAGAATATTATAATAGTTAAATCTAAAATAAGTGTGTTTGCCAGATTTTGTAAAAGTATGTGATTTTGAATGAAAAATGAATTAATTTATATATATTATTTTAAATAATAATAATAAAAAAAAGGTTAATGTGATGGTTTTTAAGGACAAATTGTATGACAGTGTGAATAAGTTTCAAAATTGAAATGGAACAGCAAATGAAAAGCACGAGAATACACTTGATGCCAGTTGGGTCTTACAAAATACATTTGGGCCTAAATATCTTATAAGCCTAAATTCTGGGCCTAAATCTATTTACAATTATGTTACCTTCTTTATATACCGGGTTTGTTTGTCTAATTTAGTTTTACATTTTAAAAATTATTTCAAATTAGAATGTTAAATAAACTCATTTTAAATTTAGCTAAAAAAAATTTCTCAATTGATTAATTCACTCACTTATATTTTCTCACAATAATTATGACCATATTACTTAATATAATATTAAATTTTATATCCAATTCCTAAAAACATATTTTTATAGACACAAAAAAATATATATTTATTGAATATTATAAATTTTCATAATTAAAAAAAGAAAAAGAGGGAAAGAGGGAGAACACAACTGTGTTTGTTTAATATTTATAATTTTAAGTGTTTCAATTTTAAAGGATTAGAAAGTATAAAAATAATATTTTATATTTTTTTTTTTGTTAAATTCTATTTTTTATTATATATATTTTTTAAAAATCGTCACAAGTCCAATCCTTATACTACCAAGTCATTCCTTACGGACTAGCTAATTTTATTTATGGTATCTATGTTCCTAATATAATGAATTGAAAATTTATAACATGTAAGTTTGTACAATTTTTATTTTTCAAATGTGTTGAGTAACCTGACTAATTATAAAAAGGTGATTTAATAAATATGATGTTATTACATGAGTAAGTAGCAATAATTACTTTCTTAATAAAATAATAAATTAGTAAGTATAATATTGATATAAATTTATACAAGTATAGTAACTATAATAATTATATATATATAATCTAATTTATTTAATTAAATAACTACTAATATATAAATCTGTATAAATTTGCTTTCTCACCAAGTCCCACACTCGCATCGCACGTGCCCTCGCACTCACCTAACAATCGATCTCTGACGAACACTCCCCACCTCGTTGGGAGGAGGAAGCCTTCGAGAGTTTGCAATTCGGATCCCATTCCATTCTAGATTCAGCATCCGGTCGGAATGGCGAAGGTTTATACCCTGGAAGAGGTTTCCAAGCACAACACCAAGGATGACTGCTGGCTCGTCATGTTTGACAAGGTATTCGGATTTTCGAGTACTGCTGTCGAATTTGTTAGATGGTTGTGCATTTTAGGTTTGCTGTTTTAATCGTGTCGATCTGTTGTGGGCGGAGATTGAATTGCTGTGTTTGGTGCATTTTGTGTTGATTGATTCACTGATTGGATTGATTGTGGATATTCGATCTCAATTCTCGATGCTCAGTTCTGTGTTTTGGGATTTTGAATGGACGGTGCATGCACTCTTGTCTTTTGACACTATTGGTCAGATCTTGTTGTAGAGTTAGCTGCAGGTTAGGATACTAAGGATGTGGGGAAAATGTATTTAATGGAATTAAGGTTTCACGTAAGCCGCGTCGTGATTTACCAAATTGTTGTACCTGGTTGGTGGTTTGAAAATCACTAATGGAAGCCTTAATGCTCGATGCTGACGATATGTGGTGGTTTTGGAGCACATTACTTTCAACGAAATTAGGATATTTTCATTGAAAATCAATGATGTCACTTGACTTGTAGAACAAATAAGATGCTTTGTGTTGGATGGAAGAATCATTCTGTATAGGATTAAGATCTTTTTCGTATGTGTAAAAATTGCTAAGATTTTTGTATGTTTACCATCTATGTAGCATCTGAAGAATCTTGGTTGCTTTTCATCAAGCTTTTTGGATATTGAACGAATCAAATTTGTTTTCATCAATCCTTTTATTTGTTCATGGTACTTTTCATCTTTAAATGCATTGTCTTCAATTTATTTAGGCTTAGGAAGAAACCAATGAATCTCCATTTTCTTGCCTTGTTAACTACACATTGTTTCAACTGTACGATCCGAATTCTTTGTCCTTCATAAATCTAGAGAGTTTCCCGTTTTTCTAATCAATCCTGTCGTGGGCACATAGTCTGTACTTGAATTATCGAAAAAACCCATTGGAGTTGAATAATGGCGAGGGATATCTACAATTTTTGTGTTTACTTCCTATCTGTAACAAATTCGGAGACATTACTTGTCACACCTATCCCTACTCGAACTCTTTTCAACAGGTCTACGACGTGACCAAATTCTTGGACGATCATCCAGGTGGGGACGAAGTTTTGGTGACTGCAACAGGTAAACACCATAAGCCAAACAGCTGAAGACAATTTCTAACAAAATTTTCTAATCTTGTGATCATTCTTGTTTTGCAGGGAAGGATGCAACTGATGAGTTTGAGGACGTCGGCCACAGCACCACAGCAAGAACTATGCTGGATGAATACTACATAGGCGACATCGATTCATCAACCATATCCAAAAGGCCCACACCTCCTCCCACCGCAACGGTTCAAACAGTCCATGCATCATCAGGAATCGCTGACTTCCTCAAGTTCTTGGTTCCCCTCCTCATCTTGGCTGCCGCAATCGGGGTACGCTACTACACTAAACAGTCATCTTCAGAAATTTAATCACAACATTTATTTTACTTCACTTATGTGACATTCTCTGCTGTTGAGAAGATATTAAACTTATGCATTGCCGGCAGGGTGTTTTCGAGTTTAAATTTTGTGGCATTTGATTATGTGATGATGATTTGGTGTTTTAATATTCATCTTAGCATATTTGAATGATTCATGGATTTGGATTTTCTTGGGCTGTTTGGAATCCTGAATTCTTGCTTTTTGTGTTTTTATAATTGGACATATGTGCATATAGATATAGATACATACATGTACATATATATAATTGATTTCTCTGACCTTTCCTGTAGTCTAAAGGTCTAAGATTAAACCTCACTAAAGAAGAACCTGATGGGGACTCTCCTATGTTAGAAAAATAATTAATGACGCGTATCCTAACAACTTAAGCTTTTAAATGAGATGGCCATTTCGATCATCTAAAATAGTATCTGGCATATATCCATGTGCCCTAAAACCCCAACCATTTAGGTGAGACGGTCATTCCGATCATCTAAATGGTATCCAACATATATATTCATGTGCCCTAAAACCTTAACCTTTTAGGTAAAACGGTCATTTTGATCATCTAAGAGAACCAAACAAATAAACAAATCCCTAATGTTTAACGTGTCGACATTCGAAGGATGCTTTCAACCTCAAGTTGAAAAGCCCTAAGGAATTTATCATTCCCAATCATCAATCTTCATCACTAACACTTAACCTAAAAGACAAATTCCCCAACACATCTTCATCAAAATCCCTCATATATGAAGAAGAAAACGTTTGAGGGATCTTATAACTCCCTGCTTTGTTTCCTCCGACCTTATATTCTCTCAACAAATGGGAATTCTAACAATAACCAGGAAACAAATCAAGCTACCTTCATCAAGACAGCCTGCTGTCCTGAAGGTGGTGCATCCGCGTGGTTGCGTCGAAGTTTTCCACCGGCCGATCGCTGCCGGGGAGATCTTGAGAAGATACCCCAGGCACTGCATTGCCAGGCCGGATTTCTTCGAGTTTCCATGGATCGTTGTTCGGCCTGAATCAGTTCTTGTACCGGGGAATGTGTTTTATCTTGTCCCACACCGCACCGTGGACAGGATTATCAAGGCCAAAACAGAGCAGGCCGAGTCCCTAAATCTGCCGACACAACACAACAGGCGAACTTCGCCTGTTAAGTCGCTGACAGGGGTTGCTCGAAGAGAACAAGAATCTGGATGCAGTTATAGGCAGGGGAAAGATTCTGATGAAGAGAGTAGTCAATACAGAGAGTCATTTTACAGGACATGGAATAAGATGAGAAGAAACATTCACCTGTCTCATGAGAAGAGCTTCGATCGACTGGATTTAGGGCTCGATTCGCCACCAGATGATGTAAGCTCTTCGTACTTTAATCGGACAAGAAATTCCCTCTTGCACGAAACAAGCCTCGAATGTGCGGAACGCCGAAGAGTTCAGCCTTGTCTGAAGAAGGCAGAAAGTGGTCGAAAGAAGCTCAACATGAAGGTGAGGTTTGCATCTCCGCTTGGCCGAAGAAACTCTTCGAGTCGCCAGCGTGATGATCTGATCAAAGAAGCTTGAAAACTAAAGACATCGCTTTTTCAAGAACTTTGGCAGCGATTAAAGACAACAAAAAATGGTTAAGAAGATGAAGATGACGAATCATCCCTGTACATAGGAACAAAATGCTAATAACGGTCTAGACCGATCGTTTTCTTCTTTTCATTTCCTTAATCTACCTTCTAATCGCAAATCGAATCACGACAGATAATGTACATAATACTCACAAGACAAAGAAAGAATAAGAAAAACGGGTGTTCGAAAACATCTGCGATAACATTCTTATAGTATTAATAAATCTATATACGTCGCTTGCTCTTCATGTTCTCTCCGTAAGCTTAGACTCTGATCCTTGCGACTGCTTTGAGGGGGATGTCGAACCCCTCGAAGAGCTACGGGCAGCGAAGACATTCAGTTTAACCACCTTCTTCGAAAATGAACTCATGAATTTCCGAGATGTCGAACGATCTAGATTCCTCTTCATGTGGACGTGATCTTTCTCCAAATCGTTTAGTCTCATCCGCATCCTCGCCAGCTCCATCTTCAAGTCGCGATTTTCTCTCCTCAAAGAAGCATAGTTATCCCGGGGAGACATCGCGGCGCTTTGAGCTGCACTGTTGATCCTCCACGACTGGTGCATAGGCTTCGCATCGTCGTCTGGATGGGACGAAATCAAGGAATTCCTAAGCCTCATCTGCTCGTAATAGAGAACTTGAACGATCGATTGGAGAGGAAGGCGCTCGTTTTGCGCAGCATGAGCGCCGGCTTCTTGCGACAGTTTCTGAAAGTCGATCAATTTGCAGAGCTTTCTCCTGTCAGGATCTGGTAAACTTTGATGAGCCTGCGAATGCCACACCGGAAACTTGTTAGATAGTTACAGCATTTTTTTAAGTACTCGATGGAAAGAAGTTTCAAACTTACTTTCAGGTATACATCGATTGCTCGATATAAGCCGTCGTGGAGAGTTCGAGCGTGTTCTGGTAGAGCCTCGGCAATGGCGATGAATGTGTTGAGTTTGAGGTTTGCGTCGGGGGCAATCTCCGCCATATAATTGTCGATAAGTTTCGAGACCTTGAACAAGGAAGTTTGGGAGGGTGAAGGAGGACCGTCGGATTCAAAGAACGACTCGTCGTTCAGATTATCATCGCTGTCGTCGTGCTGAGAGAAGTTCACCAGGATCCTGAGAACAGTTTCAACATCGAACAACGTATCTCCGGCGTGGCGAAATGAAGGGATCAAAAGATCGTCGAGAGTGGCTATATCCAGCTGCAATCCGATTCTCCTCTCGAGATCGAACCTACAGGCAACCGAGCAGTTGAGGATCACGGCGCTCCTTAGCATACCAAAAAGAAAGGTTAAGGGAACAGCGCATTTCTCGACGGGAAGGAGACTGATAATTGTCTCGACAACGAGCCTTTCATGGCCAATCGCACCCGCTAATGGATCAATTGAGACCTGGGTCGATTGACTCCGTAAGTTGGATTTCTTGATTAGCTCCTTCTCGGCATAGTTCACGAGCGATGCCCCGATACTTTCGGGTCTGACCCCTCGGCATTTTATCGCCGTTATGACTCGCTCGTATAAGTCAATGCGGAGTACCGAAAGATCTTCGATCCACCAATCGCCTTCGCATTTCGGTTGTTTGCTCATGTGAAGTCTCCCCGAGCTGCTATATTCCAACCGAGAGAAACTCGACGCGATCTGCTCGACGCAAGCTTTCGAGGCAATCGAATCAATGCACCGTGTGACGACATTTAACTCGTCCGCAACGGGAAGCAGGTTTTCACAGCGTTGGAGGACCCCGACGCACATTTCCAGGTTCTTACACACGACGCTCTCGAGATACTCTTCGGCTCGGGAAGCAAGATTATTCTTCGAGTATTCTTCCGTCATTTCTAGATAATCGGAAACACAGCACAGCTGAGCAACATTAGCACCCGTGATCTCGAAATTGATACCGTAGCAGAACTGTGCAGCGAGCTCAAACGACTCAACCCCTCCCGGTAGGCTAAGTAGCTCAACCCTCGATATATCTGAGTCCCGGTGTTCTGCAACCAACTTCCGTAGCCTCCCACTTCGAGAGACAAGAGGGAACTGCAGTTATACGATCGAAAGAACATTACATAGATTATACACAGTTCATCACCTCGAATCAGAGTCGAATTCGAAATAGATAACAGAGATTTACGACCAGACCTTATGCAGTGAGAATGTAGCTCCATCGACTTCGATCGTTATATCGCTCGGAACATCTCGAAATACCCTATACAAGAATTTTATGGGAAATCTTTTAGTAATTTAAATTCAAGCAAATAAAAACATCATAAACAACACAACACATCAATAGGGCAGGAGAAAATATCGAAAATCTTGGTATATTATATGTCTGTCTAATCAAAAAATATTTTGTTATGCTTTTGGTATAACGAAATTCCCAGCACAATATCAGTATACGTCTATAGTGAGTCCATACCTACATCACCAGACCATTTTTACTGATATCGAAAATCTATAGTACATGTACATACATATACTGTATGATGACGATGCATAGGAAGAACATCAGCAACAATACTAATTCAAATTCGCCATTAAAACTATCAACACTGAATCATTAGTTTGAATCTAAACCTAAGTTTGGTAATTCAAAGTTCAGTGCCAAAAAATAACATAAAAAAAAAAAACAAAAAAAACAAGGCATTGATGAACAACACAGAAAATGAACAAATTCAGAATGAACAGACAAACCATTCGCTGCAGCGTTGACGAGCGCCTTTGGGCATCGGCACCTGCTGAAGTTTGTCCATGGAGAATAATTTTGGAAGGAAAACAGTGCTGTGGGGTTAATGAAATGCGAGGAGGAGGAGGGAGACAGAGTAGTGGTTCATTGCCCTTTTGGCAGAGCTGTTGGGGCATTTCGTCGAACAGTTGGTGTGCAAATGCAATTCAAACCTGTCCAATTCAATTCGATGGCCCAGCGCTGTCGTCCTGTGGGTCATTTATGTTTCCCCAAATACAACTTTAATCCACATTTGCACTATAATCAATCAATCTCCAGAAATGCCAATCTTCTTCCTTCCTTGCCCTGATCTTAGAGAGAGAAAGAAAGATTGAATGAAGAAAAGATTGGGTTTGCTTTTTGTCTCATGGAAAAGGAAGAAAAGCTGAAAAATGGCAAAGTCCGTTGAAAAATAAAGTGAGGTTAAAAGCGTCGATTATAAATTAAAGTCGCGCTTTATTTTTGACGATTTTCACTCTTTGTCTCTTTAAAGCGTAAAGTCCTTTTGGTTTTTCCAAAAAGGAGGGGAAAATAAAATAAGATTAAAATAAAATATCACATTGGTATACGATTACTAGAATGATAATGAAAAAGATATGTAATTTATTTTTGTATACTTATAAAATTTCAAAATAATAAAATCATTACAGTTTTATAATATCAAATTTATACTCCCTCCGTTTAATTTCTATTATCTCAAAGTATATTTGCACGTCTTTTTGTTATGAATTGACAAATTTGTCTTTAATTGTATGGTAGAAATTAAAAATAATAAACAAACGAAGGGTAAAAATATAAAATTTGTGTTAAAAAAAAAATAAGACAATAATTGTTGAACGTTCAAATAGAAAAATAAAAAATTAGTTTGTGGACGCAGGGAAGGAATATTTTTTAGTATTTTTTTTTTTTTAATGATGATTGATGACCAAAGATCTACAATAGGTAGAATATATATAAATGATTGTGAATTATTGAGTAGGTATCGATACACTATAATTATACTACACCTTAGGCTATGATTTCATTTATAGTGGCTCAATTAAGCACTCATTTATTATTTATAGCAAATTTAATATATATATATATTATATTTTAATGATTGTTTGTTGTATTTTTTATATATAAATAATTTAATTATTGTATTTTAAATTTGATATAAGTAAAGGTACACTTGATAGTATTTTGTATTGTGCAATGAATTTCATATTTATTAAAAAAAGAATATTTTATGTTGAAATTATAAAAAATAATAAAATAGATACATTTTGAACAAAATGATAAGAGTATGTTGCAGTAACAACTTCGTAAATTTAATTTTTATTTTTTAGTTCTAGTTACAGTAGGTAGAATACATAGATATGATTATGAATTGAATTCTATTTTTTGTAAAAATAAAAATAAAAATACTATATATATTGAAATAATTATCTAATGTATTATAAAGACCCACACACACCCTACATGATTTGCATTATTTCTATTGATTTTTTTTCAATTGTTTTTATCTATGTAAATTACAATTTTACCACAATAATAATATACTTTTTTTTTTAGGTTAAATTGCACAAAATTCATCCGTGAAATTGCGCCAAATCCCTTATACTTCTAAAATTGCGTCAAATTCCCTCGTTGTTTCATAAACTTTCCGTCAAATTCCCTCGTTGTTTCATAAACTTTGGGTCTAACCCCCTCAGCGGTCCTTATTTAACGGTATTTGACCTAAATGCGCTCAAACTGCGAATAAATTTTAAAATATCAATTTCTAAACCCCTAAACTTACAAATATATTTATTTTTTTATATTTACCTTCAAAAAATAGTAAATATACTAAAAAATAGTTATTTTTCTTAGGTTTTAAAATTTTATTTTTACTATTTTTTAGGCTAAATATATAAAAAATAAATATATTTGTAATTTTAGGGGTTTAAAAATTAAAATTTATTCGCAGTTTGAGCGCATTTAAGACAAATACCGTTAAATAAGGACCGCTGAAGGGGATAGACACAAAGTTTATGAAACCACATGAGAGATTGACGCAGTTTTAAAAATATGGGGATTTGATACAATTTTATGAAACACAGGTGAATTTTATATTAAAAAACATCTCATTTAACTATTATCTCATTTAAACATAAAAACAAGTTATTTTATTTTATTTACAACCAATTCTATTTTTATTTTTATTTTAAACGCACCACTGGTATTGGAGGAGTGAATTGTGTGTGTCGGGTGCACGCCAATGTTGGGGGAGTGCTGTGCTGTCTTAAAGGCATCCTATGTTGTCTCTTCTCTCCACTCACTTCACTCCTTCTATTTTTTTATATAATACTATCTCCGTCAACAAACTAAACTTATTTTTCTATTTAAGACATACAACGATTATTATCTTATTTTATTTTTTAAAATATAAATTTTATATTTTTATCCTTAATTAATTTATTATTTTTAATTTCTACCATACACTTAAAAGCAAATTTGTCTATTGATAACAAAAAAACAATCATCTAAAAAATCGTGCAAATATACTTTAAAATAATAGAAATTGGACGGATGAAGTATTTATTTTAGATATTACAAAATAATATGAATTTTTAAATACTAGTATATTCGATATTTAATCACATTGTCGGGTCGGGTCGGGTCGGGTCCAAACAATGAGACCCGAACCCACCCCTACAATAACCGGCATTGGCAAAGACGGAAATGGTCATTATTTGAATCCATTCATTGGTCAACTCTCATTTGTTCGTTACTGTACTGCACCCACCCCACCCCACCCCACCCCACATCCAAATCATTTTATTTTATTATATTTTTTACTACACCAATAAAATAAATAAATAGCACATTATTAATTTTCTTATAGTTTTTATTTTCTGTTATTCAATATTATAGTAAGTATTATATATGCGACCGGCGACTAGTGAACGTCTAACACATTTGGAGTGACCATGAAAAATTCAACCCATTTTCTTCTTGTTGTATCGACTAATTATAGGCCCTATATATGAATATAATTTATATATAAAATAAAATAAATATCACCTGCTAATTATCTATACAACATTTATTGTATCTATATATAGAAGGAAATTAGTATCACTCATAAATGAGATACATTTATATATATATATATATAATTTGAATTTGAGCTTGAAATTTTAAAATAAAAAAAATTCAAATTACATGTTATATGATATGAACAGAGGTTTGATCTAAAAATTTAAATATAATATTATTTTTTGGGAATAAATTAAATAAAACTCATACCTTAGAGCCGATCATTTTTTTTTCAAATAGTATAATAAATTTCTGTTAAGTTCAGTGGCCAAAACACATATAGGCCCAATAAAGTTGGTTAAAGCCGGCCTGCAGATTAAAAAAAAAAATAGGCCCATTTACAAAATTTGAATTATGGTATGCCAACTATGTCTTTTTTTTTTTAAAAAAAAATAATAATTATTATTATTATTTTATTTTATTTTTTTAAAAAAAGAAATTATATACCCACTTTTGAAACTCAATTCAATTTACTCACAAGTCACCACAACAATCATTAATCATCACATGATTATCATAATTATTTTTATATTATCCAATATTTTAGCCTCCAACACTTGTCACCCAAAAGATCCACACATTAATTAATTTATTTATTTTTGAAAAAATAAACACAATATATATTAATTTTAGATAATATTAAATTGGGGGCCAACGGAAAATAAAAAAGGTAATATGATGATGTTGTGTAGTGTATGTGTTGCCCACCGAACCTCAGGAGCCCATTTTCAAATTCCTCAAGCGTTGATTCAAATTGTGGGTGGCGATATTCAGAGATTTGAATCTCAATCAGAATCAGATGCGCACACTCTACGCAACCGTAGCTCAGCAATTGTAGAAATCTCAAGCGTTCACACAAATCTCCTCCATATGTTTGTGTGTGAGTGACGCATATTTGCAGGTATTTTTTGTGGATTCGGTAGTCCAGATAAGAGGCGTAAACATGGAAGGGAAGCGAGCGTAGTTTGGTCGGAGGATTGATTGATGACCGCTTCAGAACAGGATTTCTTCGGTGGGAGTAATTTGATGAGCTAGGGTTCCGATTAATTACTCGATCGAGCATGGGGTGATTGAATTTCGAGCTATTTAGGGTTTGATTTTGTGCGTTTTTCTATCTCGGTTAGTTTCTGTGTCTCTTCTTTATATCTTCGGCTCTTGTTTCGAATATGAATCAAGATCTTGCTTTATATTTATTTTACTTTAGGATGCATTCGTGTTACGGAGGTTGCTGGTTTTGAGTTTTGATTGCTTCGAGGTAGACATGGGTTTTATTTTGGGGGTTATTACGCGATGAATCTCTGTTTTTGAATGTGAGCATCTTGACGCAGAATTTTGTGGAAACCATAGATTATTTAGATGTTCAAATTGAAATAGAAATTTTGGTTCATACAAAGGTATTCATAATTTTACTAATAAAACCAATTGTATGATGTCGTATGTTCTTCATCTGCTGTTAAATTAACAAGGTCAGTTTATATCGAACAATTTGCAAACACAACCTCCATAGCCTCTGCAACTTTAGTTTGTATGGAAAAATTTGTAGTTTCTTCTGTTGTGCTGAACTGCTGATTAGCTAACATAATTTCTTCTTTAATGCCTTTATTTTCCTTCCACTCTGCAATGCATATATATATATATATATATTCGATGGTAATGTTTGTGTTTGTCACAGAGAGTACTTTCTAGCATCATAACTTTCTTTCTCCTAATTGCTGATGGATAGTATTGGCGGGATTTTTTGCGATTTTAAGATGGTAATTTGGAATCAACGAAGCCATGTTTGTTGCAGTTTCAGAATTATGTAATGGATAAGCTAGATTTATACTGTTGATAGATTTTATAAGAATAAGGCAATCAAGGCATGCACTGCAAGTACATTTTTCGTGAACCTGAGTATCATAGTAGTAGGGTAATGCTAACCGAGCACTCTATGATACTAGAATATTGCTGGAAATGCCTTTCCGGCATTGACATCTACAGGTTTTCGGTGTTAAAACTTTTGCAAAACAAAGTGCAAATGTAACTATGGTGCTTTTAGAAATGCCTTTAGGAAATGGAGTAATAGATATTTGCTGGGATTCATTTCTGTCGAAATTTGTAGCTTTAAATTTTGTATGTGTGGATCGAAAATAATTCTTAAAGCTTTAGCGGGATCAGTTATGTGAATATTTTGAATTTTGGTAACCTTAGATGTTCATTTTCATCGTGTTTAACTGGTTCTCAAATAAGATTACTTGGGACTGCTGTTTTCAAATTGAGTTTTGTTTTTTATGCTTTGCATCTTACTTATACTATTTAATATAGCGCATTGAGCGTTGACCAGATTTCAATACAGTGCCCTTCAGCGAGGAGTTGGTACCTTTGAGGGCGAAATGGAGCCTGGCAATGTTGATTATGGTGTTGCACCTGAAGTTAGCGAGTTCCGACGATCCCCTCATAGGAAGTTCTCAACTTCTAATGGAGCAATGTGCGACCGAGAAACAAACACTGCTGTTCACGAACTACTTGAATGCCCTGTATGTTTGAGTGTAATGTACCCTCCAATTCACCAGGTTAGTTTTCATGTGTACAGTTTTCTATAATCAAATAAATGTCGGAATCTTTGGCTTTCTTGGAAACTTTCTTGTCCATTTCATCGAAACGAAAATATCATAACTTAGAATCTTAGATATTACATTGGTTTCTTACGTGAATAAGTGCAGTTTTCTAACTATCGACTGTACATTGTATAATATTTCCCTAGTGTCCGAATGGTCATACCTTATGCTCCAAGTGCCAGTCCATAGTACATTGCTGCCCAATTTGTCGCCACGAGCTGGGGAACATCCGGTGTTTGGCGCTGGAAAAAGTTGCAGAATCACTCGAACTGCCGTGCAGATACAAAAATTCGGGCTGTCAAGATATATTCCCCTATCGAAGCAGGCTGAGGCACGAACAGAACTGCCGGTTCCGTCCCTACAATTGCCCTTATTCTGGATCCGAATGTCCTATCACAGGTGACATTCCATACCTCGTGGGACATCTCAAGATCGATCATAAGGTCGACATGCAGGACGGCAGCACTTTCAACCACAGATACGTCAAGCCCGATCCCCAAGAAATCGAGAATGCGACATGGATGCTAACAGTAAGCCTCTCTTTAAATTTTTAAAAAAGGCGCGAAACCCCTCTTTTGCATCTCGTATTCACACTCCGAAATCCTCGCAGGTTTTCAACTGTTACGGGTATCAGTTCTGTTTACACTTTGAGGCTTTCCACGTAGGCATGGCGCCGGTTTACATGGCATTCGTCCGTTTTATGGGCGACGATGACGACGCCAAAAAGTTCAGCTACAGCTTGGAGGTCGGGGCAAATGGCCGGAAGCTGACATGGCAGGGAGTTCCGAGGAGCATTCGGGACAGTCACACGAAGGTCCGGGACAGCATGGATGGCCTTGTGATCCACCGGAGCATGGCCCTCTTCTTCTCCGGCGGGAACGGGCAGGAGCTGAAGCTTAAAGTCTCCGGCCGGATATGGAAAGAAGAAGCTTAAAAGGCTCCCATTGTCTTCCCTACAGGAATGGTGAATCAATCCATTGTGTGTGTTTTTTGCTCTTAGGAGATGTCTGTAGCTTTGAATCGAATACAGTGTGAAAGATAAATATTGTATGGGAAATGCAGCAAAAACAAGTGAGATTGTTTAAATATCTTCACTGGGAACTTACGCACCATTTAAGAGCAATTTTCTACAGATGGGAAAAGTCAGAGATGGCGACACCATACATTCTGCGATGACGACGGAAGCTCGACACTTCATTTATTGCTTAATCAATTCGATGTCTCCATTTCCATGCCTTGCAACTGATATTTGGTCCATTGATTGATGTTTATATGCGTGTTTATGGTTGACTCTATGTGTTTGTATTCGGCTTATAGTTCGAGTGCGGAGCGGACGGCGGATGGGAGCTATGGTGGCTGAAAGTGCAAATGGTTCGAACGACGACGCTCGATCTCCTCTGTTGGAGAGGCTGAATCGCGGCGGCAGCGGTCGGCGCCTCAGTCGCCGCAACTCCGTCAATTCGCTCCGGAGCGATTTCGTCTCCAGGCTGCCGGATAAAGTGCGCGCAGCTGTTGACCCTGAGTTTCCCGCTCGTGTTGATTTTTCCAGAGCAAAAGGTTTGAGCAAAGGTACGCGTAGTTAGATACACTATGTAGTAATTTATATATACCTGTTTGATTTCTGCTTTGTTTTTGCTGCGTACGTTTTGCTTGATTGTTGATTCCGGATCGCGATGGCAAATTCGTCGGAAGTTGAAGAATTAGGGTTTTGATTCATTCTGGTTCCTTGATTTTAGTGAAATTGAAGAGTTCCCCACAGTTGATAGAATCGCATGAAATTTATATATCTGTTAGTTTGGAGAGTGATTTTGTTGTGAAATGTGAAGGGGAAAGGGAATACTATGAAAGACAGTTCGAAACCTTGAGATCATTCGAGGAGGCTGATGCTGCAGCATTTTGTGACGATCTGGAAGATCCAGAAGAGCTGGCGCACCATGAGAGAGCGATGAAGATCTCCAATTATGCCAACATGTTGCTGCTCGTCTTCAAGGTGAGATCATCACATTCAATTTATCCATGCTCTGTTCTTAGCCACTTCAGATTTACAGTTAAGGGTGTGTTTGTTTGGGGGTTTAGATTTTGAGTTGGAATTTGAATAGTAAAAATTTTGAATTTGAATAGTTGTATGATGTGATATAAACAGGGATTGACGTGATGTTTTGAATGTAAAATTGATTTTTAGTATAATATAAAAAATAAAAAATAGATGTTTGATTTGATATTTTTGAAAGAAAAAAATGAGATGAATAGTGTATTTGAGATAATCCCCCAAACAAACACACCCACCTATGTTAGGCCTATGAACAGTTAGCTTGCACTTCAGATCATCTTATTTAATAAACCTTTTGATGAATTTTCGAATCGTATTAGATTGATTCATACATGCTGTGTTCTTGTATCTACTGTTAGTTTTGCTCCATGTTAGGTCTATGCGACAATAAAGACCGGATCGCTAGCCATCGCTGCATCCACCCTCGATTCATTACTCGATCTAATGGCCGGGGGGATCCTATGGTTCGCGCATCTCTCCATGCAAAACATTAACATTTACAAGTATCCGATCGGGAAGTTGAGGGTGCAGCCTGTCGGCATTATTGTCTTCGCTGCAGTTATGGCAACTCTTGGTAAGCAAAGGAAAAACTTTTGATTCGACAAATATAACAATGTTGGAAGAATGACAGATTTGCCCGATGCCCAAATTTCCTACAGGCTTTCAGGTGTTTGTCCAGGCCGCAGAACAGCTTGCGGAAGATAAACAAACCGAGAAAATGACATCAAATCAGTTGATATGGCTTTATTCGATTATGCTATCCGCGACGGTTGTGAAACTTGCTCTGTGGCTTTATTGCAGAAGTTCTGGGAATGAAATAGTCCGCGCCTACGCAAAGGTGTGTTTCTTTACATAATCTGGTGTCGATTTAAGTGTGGTGATCAATGATTATCTGCATTGTCTGTATGATCTCTACAGGACCATTACTTCGACGTGGTGACGAATGTGGTAGGACTGGTTGCAGCTGTCCTGGGCGATAAACTCGCCTGGTGGATTGATCCAGTCGGCGCCATTATCCTTGCAGTCTACACGATATTAAATTGGTCCGGAACTGTTCTCGAAAACGCAGGTGCGCACCGACGCTCGCATCCATGTCTAGTTTCTAAAATTCGTACCTGAACGTTGTATTCTAATAACGTTTCAGCATCGTTGGTGGGTCGATCAGCATCGCCTGAAGTATTGCAGAAACTAACGTATTTAGTCACGAGGCATCACCCTCAAATCAAGCACATCGACACAGTCCGGGCTTACACCTTTGGAGTGCTGTATTTCGTAGAGGTAAGATGATTCGGCTCTGCTGCCATATTAGACTATCGAATCCAATTCTTTATCAAAATTTGTTAGGTCGATATTCAACTACCCGAAGAGCTGCCTCTGAAAGAAGCACACAACATCGGAGAGAGTCTACAGGTGAAGATTGAAAAGCTCCCCGAAGTCGAAAGGGCTTTCGTGCATCTGGATCACGAATGCCACCACAAACCCGAGCACTCGGTCCTCAGCCGACTCCCCAACACCGAGCCATGAGGTACCCATTGCTTGCTGCATTTTCTAACCAATTCTCTATACGACAACTCGATAAATGAATATCAATTATAATTGTTAGTCAAAATTGACTTGTCGAGCCTAGTTTGTAAGGTAGGTCGGCGTAACGTTATTATAAAAAATATATATATATATATATATGAATTATAAATGAATCGATCCCATACCTATACATTTATATGCCAATAAAATATCAGTATCGGAAGGAATCAGTAATCGGAATTCTCATAGTGATAATTTTATTAAATCTTCTTCCCAAACCTACTTACCCTATTTCACGTGATCCCCTCCCCTCCATGACGTGCTTCTGTTATTAGTGTTATGTAAGCAAGCTAGCTAGCACCATTGCACCATCACAAACCCTAAATCAAAACTCAAAGAGAATAAGAAGCAGAAGCAAAAGCAATCTACCGTAGGCGACGCCATGGGAGACAGCAAGGGCCATATCACAAACGGTACCGCCTTCTGCATCCTCGCTATATGGCACTTCTTCAACCTCCTCAAGCTCCAGCAAGTCCAGTCCAAATCCAACTCCCGGACCTCCTTACCGGTCTGGTTCCCCTCCTCACCCATCCGATATCTCGAGCTCCTCTTCATCATGGTCGCCTCCTCCATCTCCTTCTACATGGAGGTCTTCACCGGCTCTCACCACCACGGTCCCCTCGCCGCCGACGGATCCTTCCTCTCCGAACACATTCCCCACCTCGAGCACGCCGTATTCGCCCTAGCAATCTTCGTTTACGCCTTCGCCGCCTTACTGCTCGATAAAATCCCAAATCCTTCCAACCACGCCTTTACCAACTCACTCGCAGCCGTCGCCTTCGCCGTGGAGCTATTCACGTTCCACCTCCACTCCACCGACCACATAGGGCTGGAAGGTCGCTACCACTGGCTTTTCCAGATCGTGATCTTCACGACGCTCGCGACGACGCTGCTCGGCATCGGATCCGGCGAGAGCTTTGTGATCGGATATTTGAGATCGATTAGCTTACTGTTCCAAGGCGTCTGGCTGATTAACACAGGATTCATGCTTTGGACGCCATGGCTGATCCCCAAAGGTTGCTTCATGAACAAGGAGAAGAAGAACGGCCACTCTGCGGTACGGTGCCATACAGTGGAAGCCTTAAATCGTGCCAAGGGACTAGCTACTCTTCAGTTCAGTTACTGTGCCTTAATAATTGTAAGTTTAACTTTAGCGACTTATCTGGTGTTTGTTAAGGCACGAGGTTTGAACGGTCAGGATCAATCCTCAGCGGAAGGCTGTGATGAAGTTGATGCAGAACAGAAATGTCGCCTCGTTGGTCAGTAGAAAATCCACTGCAAATTACTGCCCCTTAGCTTAAAAATCTTCAAGTTTTTTGACACGATTTTAATTCGAGTATATGTTTTTTTTTTTTTTTTATGATAAAAATAAAAATGATATAATTTTCTATTAAAACATAGAAATATTTTTAAATAACATAAGATAAGGAAAGTGCATATATTTTTATGTTATAAATACACAGTCCTTTATTATTTTAAATTTTTAGCTATTATTTATATTTTAAAATATTTACCAAAATTTTAAATTGATATACCCATTATTGATATTATAAAATCATTCTTTAGAAAAAAAAAATAGAGCAAAAGTAGAATGATTTCTAAAAAATCTAAAAATTGTCATGAATAAAATAAAGTGAGATTGTAATAGTATTTAAAATAAATTCAAAATAATTTAATTCATATTATTCTCTTTTGTAAGAATATGTTTATATTATCATTTTAAGTTTATTTATAAAAAAATATATTTTAAAAAAGTACAATTCTTCATTATATTTATTCATTACTATTTTTTACACAAATAGCACTAATGAGTCCCACATATTTCCTAGGTTGATTCTATTTCAATCCAAAATTAATTACATTAATAATCTTATAGAATATTCAATTATAGTATTCTGAAAAAAAAAATACAAAAATAATATTCAAATACTACTAATTTTGTAATTACCATTTTTAAAAATTTTATAAACACATTTATAAGATGAAGTGAGCATTACATAAATGCTCACTCTTTTTCTTTTTTTTTTTTTTTTTGGCACTCACAGATAAATATTTTTATTTTTTTAAAGTAAACAAATAAAATAATTATTATTTATGGATGAGCATATATTTTATTAAATTAATAATATTATTACACAATAGTAGCCGGCCGTATTAAAACCCTAATATGCTTACATTATTATTATTATTGTGAGGTACCTAAATGCCTAAATAGTTACATTGTGTGTAGAGCAAGACAGGACAGCTACATTCGATCTTAATTCTTAATTAAAGGTATATTTGTTTTTTTTTTTAAAAAAAAAAGCATATATGGTATATTTGTTTATTGTTTAAGTTTGGGATTTTTTGTGGGAGGAATGAAGGATCGCTACGGTAAAAAATAATAATATTTTGTATTATACTCATTTACAATGTTTATATATTTTTATTTTGGAAAGTTCAATTAGAAAGTTAACATTTCATTAAATACACTACTTTTTTTCACAAATACTTTTACTTTACATCACATCATTACTTTTACACAAAAAAGTAAAGGCAAAAATGTCATTACACTACTTTTAACTTATCACTATAATTAAAATACTATTATTTCTTAAACACCACGCCAAAAATAAATGTAAACATTGTAAATGAACGAAGGGAGTATTAGATAATAGAAATGACAATTTAAACTGTGAATACTTATCATTTAATTATCTATTTTCGGAGTTAATCACTAGAACCCTCGTGTGCAAAAAAAAGTATTCAAGATTTGCACGTAGATATATGCTGAATGGAAACACGAGAGTACTATTATATATTTAATATAAAAATATTAGGTTTGCTATTTTATTCTATTCGGAGATAATATAAAAAATTTATTAAACTCATTATGTAACAAAACTGAATATTTCCTTTCAACACCACCTCCGATCATATTGCATTATTCAATTATTTTAATACACACTATTTTATTTTATTTTTTAATAACGTGAAATCCACAGTTCCTACTCAACGAATGTGCTATGAGTAGATCCCGATCAAACTTAATACCTGAAAACTATTCCAAATTTGTAACTATTGTGCACGAGGAATCAAGAAATCAAATTATTCAAATAAAAGCCAACATTAATTTCCATCCAACAAAATAAATATGCATACAAGACCAAAAGCCTTTCTATTCAAATTATTGCCAACAATTTATTAAAATTAAAGACAATTAAACATATAAATATATATATATATATATAAATAAATTAAATGAATACTTTAAAAAAAAAAAAAAAAAAACTCAATATCTCCGCGAACTAAACAAAGGAAACCATCGCTCGTGCAACGAGCTATGATGAGGGATAATGATCATAAGAAACACGAGCAAAAGAGCGACCCCAAGGGGCGAGCCACCGACCCGATGTAAAGAATCTTTTTCCGGCGACGAAAGTGAGATGGGAAAAGGGAAACGTTCGCGATCCTCGGCCAACCAATGAACTATGAGAAGAAGAAGCACCGGCAGGACTACTAAAGTAAGTTTGAGTTGATCGATTAGGTCCCAAAACACGTAGTCGTAGTGAATGTACCAAGTGAAGAACAAGAAGAGGAAGATTATGGTCAGGAAGAAGACCAAGTGAGTCGGGAGATTGAGATATTGTCGATATTCTTGGTAGTACGAATTGTGATATCTTGCCATTTTGTTGTCGAAGATTTGTGCGATTGATCGATCGATGGATGATGGGACTATCGGGATGAAATATTTATATTAGGTTAAAAGAGGGAATATGATATAAAGTTGGAAAAAAGGGAAAAAGTATATTCATTGCTTTTATGTGTATAAAGTAATAAATATGGAAATTGTATGTAAATAAAAATGATTTAAATTAATAATGTTCATTGATTAGATTGATGATAATAGTTTAATATGTAACATAGATACAAAATAAAGGAAGAGTAGTATATTTAAATTCTTGTTATAATAATTTTTAAGTATTGAATGTAATTAAATTGCAATATTACAATCAACATATATATATTAGCAGTGTCAATTGTGAAGAATATTGTAAAGTGGATAAAGTTGGACGGATCTGTGCTCTACTTTCCTGCAGATACTAAATTTGGAATATTTATAAATTTTAATATAAAGAAATAATAAATTGGTATATTTATAATAAAAACAATACAGAAAATAAAAAGTATCGTATATGGTTTTTTCTTTTTAATTTAAAAAATGAGAATACTTTTGAATATTAAAAAAATATATATATATATATATATCAATATCTATTTTTTATGATAGAAGAACATAACTTTAGTCTGGGTTTACGAATTACAACATATATATATTCACTATTTTGTCTGGATTCTATAAAGTGGATTTAAAAAATTAAACAATAAAAAGAATAAAATTTATATACATTTGTATTAAGGGAATCAAAGGAAATTTAATTTTGTGAGTTTTTTTTTTTTTTTTTAATTTTAGTTTCCACTTTTTGTTTGAATAATATGTCATATTTTGTGATGGAGAATAATGTTTTCTTTATATTGAATTGTAAAAATCGCAAAAAAAATAAAATCACCAAAATAACAAATACAATGCATTAATCATCAAACAATTTTTGTGAATGAATCAATTGATGTAACTCTTGTTAAATAATTGTGTTTACAAAATTATAATATACTACTACTTGATTGAATAAATTAATACCATGTTTTAATAAATTTTATTATTTAATTTATAAAATAAACTTTCACGTACACGCAATTACCGATAATAAAAAACACATAAAATGCATGTGAAAACGCAATAATTCAGGAACCACTATTTAAAAACAACAGCGTACCTGGGAGCACAGCGCCAAACAGATCTACACCGTCGATCAATCACAAGTAAACCCTAACGGCGCTCAAGTACTTGGACCTCCAATTGAAACCCTCTGGACCTCCATCTTCCGCTCCCCCTTTCTTCTTCAGAAAAACTGAAACAAAATAATTAAACAACAATCAATTCAGAAACCCCCAATTTCGTTCACAGCAAGATTCCTTTCCGATCAATTTTCCGGCAATGGCTTCCCGATCTCCAAAATTCACCACAACCTACAGCGCTATCCTCTGCTTCATCGCATTCTCTCCAATTGTAGCAATGGCGTCGGTGCACGACCTCCTCCCGCTGTATAAGCTCCCGAAAGGTCTCCTGCCTAGAGAAATCGACTCCTGCTGCCTCTCCAACAAGGACGATTCGTTCACGATGGAGCTCGGAAAGCACCCCTGCTACGTCAGGTTCAGCGTCGGCGAGCAGCAGCAGTTGGTGTTCTTCGACAGGAAGGTGAAGGGAAAATTAGGGTTAGGGAAGGTGAGGGAAGTTTCTGGAATAATGGCGAAGAAATTCATGGTTTGGGTGAATGTGAGCGGCATCGACGTCGATGAAGAGAATGGAATGCTCGAATTTCACGTCGGACCGTTCTCGCAGAAATTCCCGGCGGAGGATTTTCAGGTGATTCATAACTGCAGTAGCGACGCCGCCATTCGTCTACCATTTTCTTCTCTTCTTCAACCTGCAGCTCTTGGTTGAAGCTTTGACTTCATTATTCTTTATTTATCTCAATTTTAATATTAATTTATATATATATAGTTTGTGTGTTTGATCGACATCATTGCTGTTGAGTGCATTTGTGCTGTTTATTTTATATATATATATATTATTATTTTTCAAATGATTTCTTTATATTAGAATATAAATATATATATATTTTTTTTTTTATAAGAAACGTGCTCAGAATTATAATTAACTGAAATTATTACGTTTGTAATAATTAAATTAGTAAAGAGTAATATTTATATTATGCATTACACTTGACAGAAAGTCCTATCTAAAGAATTAATTTTAAATTTTGTTTGGTTACGAAACTTTAATTTGTATTTTATTGAGATATCTAAAGTTACAATTCAATTTGTAGGAATAATTCTTATCCAACAAATATTTTTGGGTGAAAAATTTGTGCAATATTTTGAGTACAATTTATTTCAAGGAAAAGGCCCAGATAATAAAGCGCACAGATTCAATAAGTCGAGCCCAAAAACTATGATCGAAGCCCAGCCCAATATTTATTTAGTATTTCAGTTGAAAGTATTTTTCAATACGAAGTAGAAAAATTATATGGATGATATAAAAAATATATTTTATATTGAATTTTATTTTTTTATTAAAAAAAAAAAATATATATATATAAATAAATATTGTATTTTTATTATTTTTCATTGTGAATTATATCAAAAAAATGAACACTCATTTGTTTTAAATTAAAAATATTTTCAATATAATATATTATATTCAAAATATAAGTAAATTACAAAATTAAATACTCTCTCCGTCCAATTGAAATGTTACTATTTTTCATTTTCGTCCGTTCCAAAACAAAGTTACCATTTCCTAATTTAGTATTTGTACTACCTATTTCACATAATAAATATATGCTATTATTTTTAATAAAAGTATTTTTGTCTTTTTTTTTTACTACAATTCAATATAACAGTAATATTTAAAAATCTACTTGTAAAAAGCAAACCACACCCTGCGGGACGGGGGGAGTATATATTTTTGTAATAAATATATTAAAATATACTAATTATTAAAAAGAAAAAAAAAAAAAAAAGCCAAAGAAACAAAATAAAAGGCGCGAAATGTAGAGCTGAATTAGTGTTTTGGTGAATATTATTCAGTAAAAGAACAAAGGTTTGGAGAAAATGATGGATCGATCTCAGTGAATGAAGAATCCGATAATGGCTCCGAATTGGGCCAGCTATGGCCATTCAAGATTACCATTTAAGGAATGGCAAGCGCCGCCGCCGGTATTATACATTCACATGGAGGAGGCGGAAGTGCAGTCGCCGGACATGGAGGTCTGTGAACTGGCGGCGGAGGAGGAAGTCCAATCGGCGGACATGGTGGTCTGTAAACTGGCGGCGGCGGTGGAGGAAGTGCAATCGGCGGACATGGAGGTATGTGAACTGGCGGCGGCGGCGGAGGAAGTGCAATCGGCGGGCATGGTGGTCTGTAAACTGGCGGCGGCGGACATGGAGGTCTGTGAACCGGCGGCGGCGGAGTTACAATCGGCGGACATGGAGGTTCGTGCACAGGCGGCGGCGGGGGAGTTGCAATCGGTGGACATGGACTTTCGTGCACTGGCGGCGGCGGAGGAAGTGCAATTGGCGGACATGGAGGTTCGTGCACTGGCGGCGGCGGCGGCGGAGGAGGAAGTGCAATTGGCGGACATGGAGGTATGTGAACTGGCGGCGGCGGCGGAGGAGGAGGAGGAGACGCAATTGGCGGACTTGGAGGCCTCTGAACCAGCGGCGGAGGTGAGGACCATCGAGGCAGCGGTGACGGCGGCGCGTGTAGTTGAGACGAAGTAGGAAGAAGAGGATTACACCGGAAGACGCTGCAGTGAATGTGAACCGTCCTCAAAAAAAACCTCCGGCACTGATCGGAGGTCCTCTGCTTGGGCCTTCCCCGGAGACACTTCATAATCATTCTGTCGTCCAAAATCGGACGCCGACGGGAACACCCGTCCGGCGACGCGCCGGTGAAGAAATTGTAATCATACCGAAAATTCCTCCGATTCAGCAGACCGCAGTTCCCGTCGGAGACATTGCCGGACAGCATGTTGTGCTCCACAGACAGCTGCTCTAAACTCTGCAATTCACCGATTGTCTCCGGCGACGGTCCGACCAGTTTATTCCGGCTAACATCAACCACCGTCAAATTCTTCAAACTATCGATCTCATCTGGGAGACGCGGGAAGAATCCGTTGTTAGAAAGGATCAGTTCCTCCATATTCGGCATCTTGCCCATACTCACCGGAAAAAATCCCTCGAACTTGTTAAACGCCGCCACGATAACCGGCGCCGGCGAATCTCCGAAATTGTCCGGCACGGCGGAGAACTTATTGTTATTGATAAAAATCGCATCAAGATCCTTCTCGAAGAGCCTCCTCGGCAGAGCGCCTTCGAATTCGTTGAATCGGATGTCGAGATACTGGAGATACGGCAGATCCAGGAGCATCGCCGGAAACTCGCCGGCGAAATGGTTGTTGCTGAGATCCAGTTCGTAGAGGAGCTTCAAATTGACGATGCTGGGAGGAATTTTTCCACAAAATCGATTGGAATTGAGATGAACGATTTCAAGATCGTAGAGCAGGCCCAATTCATGAGGTAGGGTTCCGGCGATGTATGCGTGGTTCAAATCGATGGAAGCGACCGTACGGTCGGAGGGATTATCCGGCGCCGGCCAGCAGAAAACTCCGTTGTAGTTACAGACGTCGGAGCCGATCCAGTTTCCGGTGGAATTGCCGGGATCGGAAAGGATCGACGCCTTCCAAGCTTGCAGAGCAATGTAGGCATTTTTCAATCTAGGGTTTTCGAATTTCAGCCATGGCGGGATTGCGAGAGTGTCACCATTGTAGTACGGCTTCCTCTGTCGTTGCTGAATTGCCATTGCCGTCGTCGAGAAACTGTAAAGCAAGAGCAATATTGTAGCTACTAGACGGCTTCCCCGGCCGCCATGGAAGTGGCCCGCTGTTGTCTGCATGACGGCGGCGGTCGATCGATGATTCTGGATTATCTTTGAGTATGTGCGTAATTGGAGAAGGGTTAGTTGATTCGTTGGAGGGAGGGAATATGTGGATTTTGGAATTGGAGGTTTTCATTGTTACAGAAACCGACTTACAACTTGGCGGCTCCACGGACCACAGCTCCAGATGCGCGCCATGTGGATGAGATTTGTCTGGGCTCTGGAGTATAGGCCCGGCCCATGCGGCGTTCAGGTATCCCATTCCCAATATAATTATAATTATCGATTCTTATTAAAAATACAATATTTTTTCATAAAATATTTTATTAAATTAGTACTCCTTCGAATTTATTTCTTTTTTAATCGAATTTATATTTTTCATATAATAATTAATATTAAAAAATTAATGCATAAACTAATTAAAAACCCTGAGTACGGATGTACTATTATTTAAACCATATATTCAAATAAAAAGTCTAAATTCAAAATAAACCAAACCAATCAAAAGCCTTTGAGATGTGTTAAGCTGCCTGTAATTTTAATTATCATTATTATGTCGATTTAATATATATATATATATAATAAATCTAAAATAAAATAAATAAAAAAACACATTAATTAATAGCTGTACAAAAGAATGGTTGCATAGCCCGGGGGATGTTGCATCTTATGAGCCAACACCAAGGAGAAGCTTTTTTAACACATCACCATCATCTATTGTAGTATATTATCTTTCTATTTACATTTTGCTTCAAAAGTGACTCACAGATTCACACACACACACATATATATATATATACATACACCTTTAGTCCCATGCCGATGGAGGAGGTGGGCCGCCGCCGCCGCTGCCGCCGTATGTGTTGCTGCTGTAGTAGTCTACTCCGCCGCCTCTGCTGAAGGATTCTTTTCTGAAATCGCGGCCCCCAAATCTTCCCCCGCCTCCCCCACGGCGATTCTTCCCATGAGAGGATCGGACTGCGTAGCGCCCCAGCCATGCCGGAACTTCTTGGTTCGACTCTTGCATCAGCTCGGCCAATGGCCTCGCCAATGAGGCGTTGTTTTCGTTGAAGAACGCAGTTGCCAGCCCTGTTTTACCTGCGCGCCCTGTGCGCCCGATGCGGTGGACATAATCGTCAATATCATTAGGAAGATCGAAGTTGACGACATGTGCCACGTGGGGTATGTCGAGACCACGCGCCGCCACGTCGGTAGCAACCAGGATTGGGGTTTGGCCGCTTTTGAAAGATCTCAATGCGTATTCTCGCTCCTGCAGGTTAAAAGTTTGGTAGCATACTGTTAAAAGATTTTCTGAACATGTCTTATGCATTAAGAGACGACAAATGAAATGAACAGGCGAAAGAGGATACAGATACCCAGAACAAGAGATAGGTACCATCATCGCCAAACATATATATATAATATATATATATGGATATATGTGTGTTAATATACCTGCTGTGTTCTGTCTCCGTGAATGGAAGTGGCAGGGAAGCCGTTGATCGTAAGCCAGTGTTCAAGCGAATCAGCGCCCTTTTTCGTCTCAACAAAAACAAGTGTAAGTGGTTGCTGCAGATTAGATCCGAAATACCAAAATTAGTAATTACGATCGTATTTACTTGTTGCACACCGAATGATGAGAGCAAAGAGGGCAATCTAATCACTCAATAATTCAGTGTTGCCTAACATTTTACAGTATTTTTACAAGATTTCTAGTGTGATTATGAGTTATGATCAAATGGTTAAATCGAAATGGCACCAATATTGACTATATAATAAGAGATGATTCATACATGCATGTAAAATAAACCACATGTAAATAATAATATGAAATAAAAAGTCAATAGGTGTGTTTATGTAGCGAGTGCCCACAACTAAACTATTGTTAGCTTTTTGCTTTGTTGCGTCGGCCCAATCAACGAAAATCAAGAGGATAACAACAAGATGTTGGGCATTATCTACCCAGGAAGCAAGTAATGTTCATGCAGCGCAACCAAACCATCATATATATTCGATAATTGAGGTGCCTAAAAGACAAAGGGATCAAAATCGAAATTCACTCAATGAACTCTCATTCAATCGTTCTGTTGCTTGTGTGTTTGATATTTTGAAATTGGTTTTAATCAAAATAAATTAACAGCATCAACTTCCTCATTTAAACATAAACTTGGCACCAATATTCTAGAAATCAGACATCCAATATTGCTATATTCGATTTTCAGCCAAATAGCTTGGAACACAAAATCCATCGATTCTTAAAGGAAAGCAACATGTGCAATGTTTAATCCAAATTCTTACCTTCGACTGAACACCATTCACTCTCTGCGCATAAAGGAGGTCCATCAAATGGCTTCTTTTATCGGTCTCAAGAACATATTCAACTCTTTGCACAATCAAATCTGTACTTGAACCAACTCTCCCAACAGCCAGAAACACGTAGTTCGATAGAAAATCTGCAGCCAGTCTCTGCATTTCAAGAAAAATATAAAGGCTATGTCACAAATCTAGAAATACAATAAGACAATGAGAATGTATACTTTGCTTCAGAAGAAAGTCAATTGTAGAGAAAAAGAAACAATGATATTAGAGAGTTTTGAAGTAAACAAGTAAAGAGTGTAAACTAAAAGAAAGACTATTATTAGACAAAACATGGTCCTGGCAATATAATTTTATTCTCTAAATTACTATAACGTCGTTCTACATTTTTTCTAGCGAGGAAAAAAAATCAATTATTGGACTATTGAGACCTCAAATTGACTTGAATCTTCTTAGTTCTTAAATTTATCCATCATGTTCCTTTCCATAACAGAAATCAGCATCACCAAATAGATGCTCTATCTTAATTACTATGACATCAGATATTTTTCCAATTCCTGATGGATCCGGTCCAATCATTAGATATGAATAATATAAGTTGATGCCTATCAATACAGGATGCTCACCTGAATCTCCTTTGGAAAAGTGGCACTAAAGAGCAACGTCTGCCTTACACCAGCGGAAGGCATGTCCATCTGTTGTACAATTCTCCTAATCTGAGGCTCAAAACCCATGTCCAACATCCTATCCGCTTCATCCAAGGCCAGATACTTAATCATTTGCAATGAAACTCTTGCCCTTTCCAGCAAATCCACCAACCTTCCAGGCGTTGCAACAAGTATATCCACACCCCTTTCAAGTTCTCGAAGCTGCCACAGGTAATCAGAAAAATGAGTTTAAGCAAAAATAGAGCTCAATACAATGAGAAAGATTTTGAAATAACACCAATGGTAGCAAAATCCCAAGAGTAATGATTTAAAACCTGTTGATTGATTGGGGCACCACCATAAGCCACAACAACCCTGACACCAGTTTGATATGCAAATTTCCTACCTTCTTCATGGATCTGCATACAAAATCCAGTTTCGAATTATAAAGTAGAATTTATTGGCTTACATATGAATATATAAACTGATCCACACATCTTAGCACAAACTCACTTGCATTGAAAGCTCCCTGGTAGGAGAAAGAATGAGAGCCAATGGAAATACTGTGCGGGGCATGCGTGGTCTCTGACCATATTGGCCATTTTTCATGATCCCACTAATAATGGGGAAACAAAACGCAGCTGTCTTTCCTGAACCAGTCTGCGCACACGCCATCAAATCCCTACCGGCAAGAGATATAGGTATCGCATACCTCTGCACAGGCGTCGGCTTCACATACTTGCACCTCTTAATATTTAAATTCAAAGCTTCTCCCAAATCAATATCGGCAAACACATTCACCGGGGGAGGAACATTTGCGCCGCTAGTCTCCACTGGAATATCCTCATAAGCATCAAAATTTATCCCTGTATTTTCCTGTTCCCCAAAATCGGGCTCTCCGTCTCCATCTTCTTGAAAAGGATTAGACTCCCTTTCTCTCCTAACATCCCCCCAACCATTGCTTCTATTATTATTCCAACCGCCACCTCGGACAAAACCTCCTCCAATTCTATCTTTTTTAGGACCAACAGAACTAATCCCACCTTGTTGCGGACCGAACTGTCCAGGGGGTCCATTCCCCCATCCAGGGCTAGCATTGGACGGTGGAGCTGAGGGCAGATCTGATGAAGGCGGCCTACTCCTAAGATGCGGCGGGACATATGCTGATTTACTGGCGCCGGAAGTGCCCCCCACACCACCGCCGGTAGGAGGAGCTCTCTCGACAGAATCAGACCAGGAAGTTGGCATACCTCAAAAAATCCAACAAAATTATTCTCCCTATCAAAAGCCCCACCGTCTCAGCACCTTCAAAGACACCACCACCAGTCCCGGCACCTCAACAAATACCCCAATCATACGTCTTCGACAAGCCACACCACAATTCCTAATCAGACCAATCAGTTGGGGCCAAGAAACAAAAGAAAACTCATTAGAAACAAAAAGAAACCAGAAAACCTAATCTCAAGAAGCAAACCCTATCCAATCCCCACACCCATTTCTTTCCACAAACCAATAAACAAATCAATTCCATTCAATTGCACATACAATCAATCAATATCAATCACAACAAAAGGCAACAGCAATCATAACCCTAAAGAAAGTAGAAAAACATCCATCGAGTTAAACAAAAACAAGAGAATTCATTACCAAAGCGTGTGGATACGTACAAGATAATTGAAGGTAGAGAAAAAATCGGGGCTGCCGATTGAGGCGTAAAATATCTGGGTTGGGTGCGTTGCTGTTGTTGCTGTTATTCTCCTCAAAAGAGGTCAAAAGTTTTCCCCTTTCTACCTACCGATATTCCGTCTCGCATTTATAGCGTTTCGATATTTGCGTCTCTGAGTAATACGCGACCACACCTATCCTTTCATGGGCTTTCCGTACGTTTTTCATTTTTACCCAATTTTCTTTATTATTCTAATTTCCATCTAAAAATATGACCATAGTTACAAATTATTAAAAATCGATAATATTACCGTTTACAATAATAAAATCCACCTCGTTTGAAGTATTTTATCAAAATCTTAATATTCATTCAAAATTTTTCCAAAAAAAACATCAAATCAAACTTTTATTTTTTATTTTTATATTATACTAAAAATTAATTTACATTTATATCACAAAATTCAAAATTTATACTATTCAAATCACAACACAAAATCCAAACCCCAAACAAACACACCCTAATAATACTAATAAGCATATTTAATTTAATTAATTAAAATTGCTCAAACCCACCCACAAAATTTTTTTATTTTACTCTCATCATTCCTGCCAACCAGTTTCCGTCACCGAGTGTCGAGTGATTTACATCGTCGAAGTCGAATCACGTTCGTAGATTTCAGGTTTGTGTTCGTTTTTTTTGTGTAATTCTTGTCTATGTTTCCCCGTTGCATAAAATCTGTGATTTGCAGGAGGTTGGACAAGGTAGATTGACCGAATTTTATTTTGGGTAATATATTTGTGCAGAAACCCTAATTCCTGCTTTTTTTTTTTGTGTTTTTTTTTAACGAAATTAGGCGTCGACACTAATCGCAGCGTACAGTGTTAGAATCGTGAAGCTGTGAAGATGTTGTCGTTCGAGATGAACGATCGGAAGAGTAAGTTCGTTCCATTTCCGTAGTCATCTAACTCTTTTTTTTGTCATTTCTATTTTTGAGGTTTGTGTACGTGATCTGACTCTCTTCTTGTTCTACGGATAAAAACTGGTATTTCTCTGTTGATTTTATTTGTGAAGTGGAGTCCCAAATTTTCGCTCGTTGTGCAATTTGTGCCGTTATAACAGTAATTTTGAAACGAAGTTATTATTAAGATCCGCGTAGAGTGATTTTTTATCTAAATCTTTAGGGAGTAGTCCGCTGGTTTCTCCTAGTGTTGCTGCTGAATTCTTAAGTAATTAAGGAGTCGGGCTTCAGAATTATTGGTCTTAACCTTACCACCTAAGGGATTCAAATGACATTTTTTTTGTCTTGAATTGCTTTAATGGAACAGAAATCGGACTTGGCTTGACGGGTTTTGGAGTATTCTTTTCATTTTTGGGCATCATTTTCTTCTTTGATAAGGGACTACTAGCGATGGGAAATGTAAGTATGTAAAGTTAATGATACTAGTTTCATAATCATCCCTTTTTCCCCATATCATCTCATCTTCCTAACTTTGATTATTCTACCCAAACAGATCCTCTTTTTCTCAGGGGTGACACTAACAATCGGGCTCAAGTCCTCTGCTCAGTTCTTTATGAAACGATCTAACTTTAAGGTTTCTTTTGTGTGGTTAAATACATATTGCTTTTGTTTTGTTTCTACATTATTATGAATTCAGTTTCCCTTGCTCATTGTTTGTAGGGGACAGTTTCATTTGCTGTGGGCTTCTTCTTGGTCGTCATTGGATGGCCCATAATAGGAATGATTGTTGAGGCATATGGATTTATTGTACTCTTCAGGTTTAACAATATATAACAACAAACTACAAGTTCAGATCTTTTTGAGCATTTAATTATCTTAGTAGAAATGTTATTCACCCATCTATTTATTATTTGCAGTGGATTCTGGCCAACACTGGCTGTTTTTCTACAGAAGCTGCCTTTTGTTGGTTGGCTGTTCCAGCAACCCTTTGTCAGATCAGTATGTTTTCCTTGCGATATTTTCATGGTTTTTGGATTATATGGTTGGGTCCTTCTACTCTGATTCACTCTATAAGTTTGTAGGTGAACCCATGAAGAATGTTAAAATCTTGTAATGGGATAAAAACTTAAGTTTTGTCATGTCAAAGTGTTTAGAAACGTGTTAGGATATATAGTGTGTCAGCTGCAAATCTGACCTTCAGGCAATTACTGGGGTTGATTTTGTCAGCTGCAAATCTGACATCCTTATAGACCCTGTATTCATTCTTATTGTCAAATTCATCATAGTTTAAAGATCATATTCAGGTCTTTGGTTTAGGTATTTTGTTGCTGTCTTACAAGTTTCTGAAACATATAAATTCTTGGTTTACAGAGTTCCGGAAACATTGAAATGTGTCCAGAATGCTGTGTCATCTGTGTGCATTAAAATCCTTTTTCTTTTTTTTCTTTGCTTATTTAGCTGGAACTCCTGCACTATAGGTGATTGGTGAATCCATTAGTTGAAAGACTTAGATGATGCTACAACATAATCCGGATCCTGATATCTAGTGAGCTCCTGGATGATAACATTATAGTAATAAAGTTTAATCTTCTTTAGATGTGACAGATCATAGATCATAAGGGCCAATAACTTTGAACTATGAGATGCAAAATATAGATCTGAGGGTCTGTGAGAGCATATCTAGATCTGCTCTTTGTTAATGTCCTAATTGTTTTTCTTTTCTTTTCTTTTCTCTTTTTTTTTTTTTTTTTTTTGTTAATGTCCTAATGGTTGCCAACAAATGGTTCTACAGCCAGATTCTTGGAACGCTAGTGTTCTTTGGTAGTTATGATTCCTTTTTCTTTTTGTAATATGAGAACTTGCTGTATCCATGAAGAAAATTAAAGTCCATAATTTGACTCTAATGATGAAGAGGTGATCTATGCTTGCACCAGTTGAAATAGAATCATATTTTCCAACTTTGTTCTGTGCAGTTTTTTGATCGATATCGAGGCAAAAGAGTACCTGTGTGAACTCAGCTTAGAGGACGCAAAATATGGGAGCAAATGGAACAAGCCAATGTAAGCTTTGTTAACTACCATCTGATCATCATGTCCATGGAACTGATGATTGGATAGTGAAGTGATATGTGCTTGCATGATTTTACCACAGCTGTTTCTTACAACCAACATTTTTCATCTCTACAAATTGATATCAATTGTTCAAACTCATTGTTTTTATTACCCTTGATATAGACATATAGTGGATCGTCGCATTGTTGGGCTGAAAATGAAGTTTCCAGGCTCCGTTTAGTAGAGCATACCCAGTTGGGAACATATCTACATTTATTGTTGCATTTTCTAACTAGGTGACTGTTGAGGTAAGACTAATCTTGTATTCCTCTGTATCAGCTAGTGGTGACTGAAACTGACAATTGATGTATGAAAGATGATTTACTGCCATTGTTTTACTGAGGTTTAACATCCTTCAAATGATTGATATTATAGCTGTGGAAGTGGTTTCTCTCTGGCAATGAAAATCTTTGAATGTTCTTTCTCATTTCCAATATGCACAAATATTTTGCTTTAGAGATACTGATATGCTTAGAGAAAAAAAAAAAAGGGATATACTGTAAGAGTAAGGCTAAAGCAAATGCTGAATTATATGCAAATGTTTTTTTAAATATATATATATATATGAAATGATGTATAGTTCACAGCAAAACTTGCAATAAAATATCATGTACTGAGGGGACTATGTAGAAAAGGCTTCTGAGCACTACAGAAATTCTATGGCTTGAAGAAATATAAATAAATCCGCATGGTATTATTTTGTGCATAAATTAATTATTACTAATCAACTTTTTATTCTTCCTGATGTTCCTTGAATTGTATCCCAACCAAATGTCCAAAATATGAAAAATAGACGACATAGACGCTTTATGGTATTCAAGAGTACGGTATTCATAAAGATTATTTGCATGATCTTATACTACATGAGGAAGTTGAACCTTTTTGTAAACTAGAAATTATTTCAAAAGTATGAGTTCGAGCATATTATATATATATATGTGTGTGTGTGTGTAAATTAAATGTCTTCGCTTCTTAGAATTATGGCATTTTTGAATTCCAATCTTGGTTAGTTGAAATAATTCCTTCCCTACTACATCATGCATTGTAGATTAGTTGCCAATATCCAATCTTAAGACTCGTCCATAGAATAATATGATAGTTATACTATATCATTTCATTTCATTCCATAATTCAGAACAGTTGTTACTGATCATTAAGAAACCCTTGACTGCTGCTACTGCATATCTTCACTTTGCATACTTTTTATTGGCATCACATGGCCACATTATAATACACAAGCAGTTGATCCGAACCAATCTCACAATGAAAATGGCTGCATATGTATGGAATCACTTGATAAGAATACAATGCATGCACGAGTTAGAATAACACATCCTTTATGATTGCTGGCTGGCTGATTTAACTAACTCTAACCCTAATCCTATTTTAATTTGTTTGGGCTCTTTTTCTTGTTACCCTCAAAATGTGTAGTCCATGTTTAAATGTGAGTGAAGAAAACAAGACTAGGCACCCTGGACAGGAAGGCGTTGACAATGACACAGCACTCTCAAGTGAGTTTGACAAGGTACACAAGATGCTTCAATGGCTCTGATCAATCTTTGGTGAGTTAGACCGTTGACTCTGTCTTGATTTGCTTGCTTTTGCTTTGTGTGTGTGTGTGTGTGTGTGTGTTAATGGAGATATATATATATATATATATATACATATTTGAAGTAAAAATAGGTGTAGGACTATAAGAAAGAAAACCTATGAATTGTTCAATTGTGTGTTTGTTAGCACCACTTTATACTTTTAAACTAAGACAGAGACACACGCACACACACACACACACAGAGGACACTTAGTCCACATGTTAAGGTGCAAGAAACAACGACTTTGAGGCTGTCTTGACTTGAGATTTCTTCATTTCTTTATACAAGTAAATATGTTTGATTGCTTCCCAGAAAATTCTTCACTTTTTAAAAATTGGCACATACAATACTTCTAGACTGAATATACACTCACTTTTTCCTCCATTTAAATATAAATAGGATAGAATTTAAACAGTATGTCAGTAGACTAATTTGGTCAAGATTTTGTGGATCTTCTCTCTTTTTCTCTCTGTCTGTCTATATATATATTTATATTCATTTATTCAAATTGTAAGAAATGGGCACAAATTGGAAGTGGAATTAGAGTAGTGGATTACCCGTGCAGGAGAGACCTAAAAAGACTAGCGGCGCGACACAGAAAGCGCGTTTTAGAATCCCCAAAAAGTATTTATGAATTAAAATCGCATTTTCAGTATTTCTATTCTACATTACAGCTGGACGTGGTCGTCGGTTACACTAAAAAAAAAAAATTAGTAACCGCCTTCATAAATTTTTTAGTCGTTATTTTTATGAAAGTAAATTTATAAAATTAAGTGATTATAATATATTCACAATTATATATAGATATATTTTATGCGATTTTTATTGAAGTATATATAGGTATAGGTCTATACAAATGAGCATTCTTATAAATTAACATTATTGAATTGATAAGTAACTAATTAATGTTATATAGTTGTAGTCTGTAGAAGCCTAATTTTAGTTTCATATTTTTCAAATTTTTGAATTAAAAATGTATCTGGTGAATTATTAAATAGAAATTAAATAAATTATTAAACCCTAAAGGGCCTAAACACACGTATGTATGCATGTGTAGTCATTTTTTTTATGCTAGTATAATCTTTTTCTGAAAAAAAAAAAAAAAAAAAAAAAAAAAAAAAAGCATTAAAAATAAAAGGAGACAGCCGACAATGGCTTTATTTGCCCTTCTTACACTACGTAGAAAAAAGCACGAAGCAAATTTCATTTATTTAATATTAAAATATGATATATTTAATATTTATATTTATCCAAAGACAGATGTAGACATGATTTTGTTATCTTTATATTTACGTTGATTTTTATATAAATTTTGGAAGGGTAGGAATGTCAATCCAGTCAGGTATGTCACAGTTTCGTGTAAACCCCATATTCAATATAATACTATAAATTAAAATTAATTAGCGATATATATGTAACAGCTGATTTAATTAATTAGCTTTAAATTAGTATTTAATTTTCGTTACTATTTACTACTATTATATATATAGTGAGTCCTCTGCTTCAGTAGGCACATGTGCAAGATTAAATAAGGAAAGGACACGTGTCACGGAAGATCCGTACAGGACATCGTACCGTCGGCGGAGATCTGAACACCAATCGGACGGTCGGAGGTGACGGTGCGTTTATACGCATTTTTTATTCTTAAATATGTTTCATTAATTTATTTTATTTTATTTTTCGGTGTCATTTTTCTATTTTATTTTATTTTTCTGTGTCATATATTCTATATATTCTTTTTATAACATTTCGAAACATTTGTTATTTATAAATATAATATCCATCTCAAAATATAAATAATAATATAATAATATTGAAAGGTGTTTTAAGTGTAATTTGGTGACTGATAAAATAGCTTATAAAAATAAAATCAAATGTAATGCTATTTTTTTATTATTAAAAATTGATGTGTTCGTTTAAATAAAAACATATTTTATTTTGAATATTTAACAAAATAATTATAATAATATAAATTGTAAGGAGAATAATTAATTAAATAATAGTCCTACTAGGTGACAGTAGTTGTGAGACAGGACTGGGTTAGGATAGGCTGCCTTTTGTTTTTATTACCTCATCAGTCGAGAACAAAATTTTATTATAAAAATATTATTATGTGGTCAAATCTAATTAATATTTTTTTGGGGGAGTTACGTGGAAATTTCTCCCATGGAAACTTCACACACACACACTGTCATTATCACACCAACTATGCCATTTAATACAATATACTATTCAAATTAAATCCACCTACCCTCGCACATATCCAATAAATAAACTTTCTATGCCCCTAATTATTAAATTAAAAGAGCAAAAAATTAATATATATATAATTTACAAATATAAATAAATAATTAATATAGCACAATAAAATGTTATGTCTTTGTATTATTCTCAAAACAATAATCTTATTTTCATAAATAATCATAACATTATAAAATTACTCTTACTTTTTCATTATTATTACATAATTGTCAATATTTTTTACACTATCACACTCACAAAGGCAAACCAAAATGTTTACCTGTATTTTTTACCATTATCAATGTAATATCAGTATTTCTTAAATCTAATGTCAAACACAACCATATCACTATAAAACTACCCTTATTTTTTCAATTTTTATTACACAATTGTCACTACTTTCTACACTAATACACTTACAATGGCAAAAAAGTCTTTTATCTATATTTTTTTTACTAACTACTAATATAATATGTATTCAACTCAATTAAAACTATAGTTTTGAGACAAATAAAACATATGATATTATATAATATATTAATTAAGCAAATCGAACAAATAAATTTTATAAATATTTTAAGATGTGTCTTAAATTATAATAACAACAAATATATTGGGACGTGGAGTATATAATAATAAGATAGATAATCAATAGCTTCATTAAATGTTATACAGTTACAAGTTAATTTATATTTTGAATGTAATATTGCTTAAAATTTTAAATTATATGTGTGTATATATATATATATATATATGATATGAATAGCGATATTAAAATAATACAATTCATCAGTTCTAATACAATAGTCTTGTTCACTATTTTTTTTTTTATCTCAAAACAATAGTCATATTTTCATAAATAATCATACCAGGGCAAAAAATCTTTTATCAATATTTTTTACGAGTTACCAATATAATATCAAATATTCCTTAAATTTTGTATCTAACTCAATTAACACAATATTTACGATAAAATATACTATTCAAATAATAAAATTTAAAAATATACGATTAAAGAAATGCACCTAAGTAAACATACTTAATAGAGTAAACTCATAGAACAGACTTTGTATTTCAAAATTAAATAAATAAACAAATGAAAAGAAAATCGAATTTATTTGACCTAACTCGTTTAAATGCTCTATTCCAAATCTTACAATTGACTACGCAATTGAAATTTTGGAAAAATTACATGGAAAGAGCACAACGCTATTTTGGAAGTTTTAGAATAAATATTTGTGCAATAATAAATGCAGCTAGCGTGGACTGATTTATTTAATTATTATTATTTATTTTTTTATGCATCAGCTAATGATGTAATCAGAGTTAGTCAAAAATTTTAAAAACACACAGAACTATAATAATAATAATTAACAACTTCTCAATTACATTTTGACTCAAGGATTATTAAATCCAAATCAAATATCTATTGGGTCAGCAATTACATAAAAATTTATTCATTTAGAAAGAATATTTTTCCAAGTTTTAAAAATTATAAATATAATATATATTGAATCTTGATAAAAAAAAAAAAAAAAATAATAATAATAATAATAATACCAAGTCATCATGTTGAATTTTTTGTAAATAAAAGTAAAAACTTTTTAACAAAATTCAATTCCAAGAGCTTTCTTCTCTCTATATCTCTCTCCTCCACATGTATGTGTGTGTATATATATATATACACTGGCATAGAAGCAAACAATGGAGGAAGAAATCTGCATAGCAGTGTGAGAGTGGTGAGGTTCATAGACAAGAATCAAGAAACCTTTGAATTAGTCTTTTGTTGATAATTGTATTCTGCGCACCTCTGAATCCGTCGTCTTAATCTGATTCCGAGATTTCTTCTCCTTGTTTCTGCCAGTTCCAAAATTTACTGCATTCAGGTCAATTTCATTTCCAGCAGAAACTTTTTTTTTTATTGCTATTTTCCTCGCATTATTTCATCTACTGTGCTATCCTCTTTTGTCTGCATTAATGTTGGAAATTGGAATGGATTGGCCTTTAAATTTATTGTTTTTGTTATTAGAGACAGTGATAGGTGTTGTTCAGATTGGTGCACTGTATGTGTTCGATGTATTTCCTGAACCTAATTTGATTCCATGATTTCGTGAACTTTGAAGTTCGGAATAGCGATGGATCTGTGATGTTGTTTCATTTGATGTTCTTACAAGCTTAGCTTTGAAATTGAAGTATTTCTATATATTTCTTGGTGTGCAGCTCTCGGATACTGTTTTTCTGTCCATTTCAAATATTGTATGGGGGTATCTTTTTCGTGCCCGCTCTCTATTTGCTTTGATCTTGAGAATGGATTTGAATCGATCAAACAAGGGGACGTCGAAGAACACAGTGCTGTTGTCCGGTCCACTAGTTTCAAGGGTAAAGATACCGAACCCCTGACTCCAAATTCTTTATGCCATGAGAAGTTTTGGGGGGAAGGATCTATTAGGTGCAGAACAAGAAGAACTGCTGGGAGAATTGCTGAATTTCCAGGTGATGATAAATTTAGGCATCAAGAATCACCAGTGTTGCTGTCTAGATCAGGCAGTTCTGCGGCAATGGCCGTGCATTCCCCTGTCTTGGATCAGTGTAGCCCCAAACATGAAGCTGCTATTAAGTTGCAGAAGGTATACAAAAGCTTCCGGACCCGAAGAAAATTGGCGGACTGCGCAGTTCTCATCGAGCAGAGTTGGTGGAAGTTGCTGGATTTTGCTGAGCTCAAGCATAGCTCCATATCCTTTTTCGATATTGAGAAACATGAGACAGCCATTTCACGATGGTCAAGAGCACGAACACGAGCAGCGAAGGTAGGCTTTAATCAAAAGCATTTTGTGTTTCTACAAATATTTGTTTGCAGAATCTTGGGCCTCTGAATGGAAATTATGTTTATCACATATGTTGTAGGTTGGAAAAGGTTTGTCAAAGAACAGCAAAGCACAAAAACTTGCTCTGCAACATTGGCTTGAAGCTGTAAGAATTCGTTTCTTCTACTCGCACTTTAAGGATGTGTCTGCTTTCAATCGTGATAAAAAATACTGATTGCATTGATTGATTGTGTTGCACAGATTGATCCACGTCACCGTTACGGGCACAATCTACATTTCTATTACATGAATTGGTTGGATTCTCAGAGTAAAGAGCCCTTCTTCTACTGGTAATGATCGATAAAACCTCAAACATTTTTACTCAACTCAGAAGTTATCCATTTCATGATGCTAATCAAACAGTGTTAATCGGGTGCAGGCTCGACATTGGAGAAGGGAAGGAAGTAAATATTGTGGAGAAGTGTCCGCGTCCAAAGCTTCAACAACAGTGCATCAAGTATCTTGGTCCGGTGCGGCGACCTTTCTCCCATATACTTTTAAGGTTCAATTTTATGGTTGATCCATCTGTCTATGGAATTCAGATATTGACGAACGTAAGCTCTTTTACGCTTTCAGATGGAGAGAAAGGCTTATGAAGTTGGTGTTGAGGACGGAAAGCTCTTCTACAAGAGAACGGGGCAACTTTTGGACACCCCCGACGAACCAAAAGGTTCAAAATGGATTTTTGTCCTCAGCACCTCTAGGGCCTTATATGTTGGGAAGAAAAACAAGGGGTTGTTCCAGCACTCGAGCTTCCTGGCTGGAGGAGCTACAATGGCTGCCGGGAGGATCGTAGCTGAAAATGGTGTCTTGAAGGTATTCTTTCTTTCTGTACGTTATCATGCTAACATTCCGCATAATCTTTTCTGAGATTTCTTCTGTGTGGATGTCATCAACAGGCAGTTTGGCCTCACAGCGGACATTATCGGCCGACGCCCGAAAACTTTCAGGACTTCATATCATTCCTTAGGGACAACAGTGTGGATATCACTCATGTGAAGGTACTACTTACTGCATAATAGCATCCTCAAGTTTCATGGTTCTATCATCTATCTGTTAAAATTGTTTTCTGAATTCAATGCTCAATTATCACCAGTTTGAATCAAACGACGACGAGGAAGAAAAGTCAGTCGGAAAGCACTTGAGAAGCAACTCCTCTGAAGATGACTCGAATCTAAAAAATCATGCGGAGACAGAAGAAAACGACACTGAAGATTCCAGTTCGAAGAAGGTATATTCAAGAGAAGAAACGATCGCTGCCAGGATCGAGATTCCCACCAAGTTACGGACACCATACACCTTCAGTAACCTGACTGCACTTCAGCTGCCGAGCAAGGATGACTTGCTAGAGAGGTTGAAGAGCGAAAAGGAGCAATCCGAGTTAACAGAACAGAACATGTCCGAAGAACAGCATGAAGATAGCTATGAGACTATTTCAGAAGACTCCATTTTGCAGAGAATAAACTCACACAAAGGAATGAAGTCCTACCAATTGGGGAAGCAATTATCGTGCAAATGGAGCACCGGAGCTGGACCTAGAATTGGCTGCTTGAGAGATTACCCGTCAAGACTTCAATCTCATGCACTGGAGCAAGTAAATCTATCTCCACGAAGCAAACATCGCTTGAAATTAGACTCTCCTGCTCGCGCATCGACTCCCAGTGGCAGCAATCTTTCAGGCCAGTCTTCACTAGTTAACAAACGTACTAAGTCCAGCTTCTGAACCCCTGTGAGGCATAGCTGATCACTATTCTTTAATTGCTTCATTCCTTTTTTTGTCGATAGGAAAGAATTACTTACTGCGCCACACTAGTTCATCGATATTCCTTTCTTCTTTCATTACATATTGTGGCTATGACTATGTATACTCATGAAAAAGTTCGAATCAATGTGTTATTTCTCTTCTGCCTCTCTCTTTTACGACTGGCGAATGTGTTTATTCGATCTTCTTGGACTAATGCTCTGAGTTTCAGGGACAATGAGCTCCTGTAATCAATCTATACTTATATGCAGCAGGGGATATTCTATTCGGACAAGCTCTGGTGATGCGGCCTGTCATCGACTAGTCGACAACAAAAGCTTCAAGGTATGATCCAGTCCTCATTCATTACTTGTTTTTTAAGTATAACCATTTCCTTACAGTCAATTTGTGCCTTTGACAAGCATCACTTGCATGAGTTTCTCGCACAAGATTTTTCTTGCCTACCTTCCCCATTGCATTTTTCTCACACTATTGCTCTGATTCATTCCCAAACACATGAAATTTTCCATAGAAATTCCTACTCACTGCAATCTAACAGATCTCTTTTAACCTTGATCAAGTTTTGCATATTAAGACGGGCAATCTAGCCTGATTCCATGTAATAGGTTGTCCTGTGCTGTGATCCAGATCAGATCTAGAAACAAGGCTGTTTCTTGGAAGGACTAATCATATCGAAATCCATCATTTATAATATGCCAACATGGTTAGATTTGCAGGGACAAATTTGCTGGACTGAAGCCCTTGGATTGATTTGAATGAAAAAGGTATTTATGGAATACTTGTCTATTAGTTCTTTATTTTATTTTATTAAATGAAAGAAACATCTGACCCTGCCGACAGTGGTGACAGGAAATCGACTGACCCACTTTTGTTAGCCAATATTTAGAAGGGAAAAAAAAAAGAAAGAAAGAAAAAAGTTTACACTCCCACCATTGCTGTTGCTTCAAGTTAAATCATTTTTCTTCATTTACAGGTACAGTTCCATTCTTCTTGCAACAAAAACTTCTTGCTTTGTGTGCTGTTCTTCTCTCAATCTAAAATAAAATAAAACTGTTTCTTTTCTGTTTCCCAAGATCCAATCTCGTGTCTGGTGAGTAGTTTCGTTTTAATTAGATTGAATTTCTTTCTTGATCTCAACGGCTGAGATTCATTAATCCCGTGCTCACTCATCTTCAGATTTAGGGTTCATGAGATGCTGATCTGAATTTACAGGCGATGAAAGAAGTGAATCCAACAGACCCGATTGGGCAGAACGCCATTAAGCTCATAAGCAATGTCTGCTTCTCTGTGTTCGTCCTGTCAGTGCTGATTCTCAGCGTCGTAGCCATTACATATCAACCCCCTGATCCATGGGAGTCTGCCAGGGCACTCACCAAGGTCTTCACCGACGTCGAAAACGCCACTTTTCAGGCCGACACTTCCGTCCTCAAAACCGGCGAGGACATCGCCCTGCCGCCCCTTCCTCCACCGCCTGCCGCCGCGCCGGCGCCGGCGCCGACAGCTGAGTTTAGTACTGCAGGAAAGTCCGAGGATGATGTTTCGATGAAATCAGGCTGCCAGAATGGATCGCCGGTGAATTGCTCCGATCCTAAAGTTCTTACAGCAATCAAGAGGTTTAACTCGAAGTTCTTTAAGGCCATTGTGTTCTTGGAGTATCAAAAACCGGTGAACGGATCGAGGAGCGACGAATGCGACGTCGCCTGGCGATTCAGGAACAAGAAGGAGCGGTCGTGGCGGCGGTACAGGGACTTCCGGCGATTCACTGTTGGTTTTAAGGATGATTGTAGCTACAAGGTGATCCGCGCTGGCAGATGGCATTCCGGCGTCAATGCGCGTCCTCCTCGGATTCGATCGAATGCAACGAGGAAGGGTCCGAGGGCAAAGATTGTCCCCGGAATTAAGGACAACGAGATCAACGATACGGTGCCGGAGTTGGGACCGGACTTTCGGAAGGGACGGTATTTGTACTACTCGAGAGGCGGCGATCATTGTAAAGGGATGAATCAGTATCTGTGGAGCTTCTTGTGCGCGCTCGGTGAGGCGCGGTTCTTGAACCGAACGTTCGTGATGGACTTGCGCATTTGCTTGTCGTCAACATACACGAAGAGCGGGAAGAATGAGGACTCGAAGGATTTCCGATTCTACTTCGACTTCGAGCATTTGAAGGAGACGTCACCAATCGTCGAGGAGCGCGAGTTCTTGAACGATTGGAAGAAATGGGACGGGAGCCATCGTCGTTCGAAGGCGACGGTGAGGAAAGTCAAAGGCTACAAAGTGTCGCCGATGGATCTGCGGAAGGACAAGAGCACTGTGATATGGCGACAATTCGACGACCCCCTCGAGTCGAACAATTATTGGTACCGGGTCTGCGAGGGCGCGGCGGGGAATTATGTCGAGCGGCCGTGGCGGGCGCTGTGGAAGTCGAAGAGGTTGATGAACATCGTCACCGCGGTAAGCGGGAGCATGGATTGGGATTTCGACGCCGTCCACGTCGTCCGGGGATGGAAAGCGGAGGACAAGAAGAAATGGCCGAATTTGGACGTCGACACGTCTCCGATGGCGTTGGTCGAGAAGCTCCGGTCGAGGGTCGGGGCGTGGCGAAACTTGTACGTGGCGACGAACGAGGAGTTTTCGGGACATTTCGACAAGTTACGGTCGCATTACAAGGTGCATTTGCTCGACGATTATCGGGAGCTGTGGGGGAACACGAGCGAATGGTACAACGAGACGACGGCGCTCAATATGGGCCGGGCCGTGGAGTTCGACGGCTACATGAGAGTCGCCGTCGACACCGAGGTTTTGTATCGGGCCAAGAAACGGGTCGAGACGTTCTATGATCTTACAAGGGATTGTAAGGATGGGATCAACACTTGTTGATGGATTAATGAAGTTCGAAAATTGTCGATCCGTAGAACAACGCTGTTAAAGCCATACAGGCAACCTCAACGAAGTTAAACCATAATGAATACGAAGGAATGGTCGAGAAAATGTAGTAAAGGGGGTTAGTAGTTAGTACATTCATTTAATTTGACACGTTTATTTTTTTTTTTGGCTATAAATTTTTAATTTTTTTGTTTATGTAATTATTTATTTTTAACGCATATTATATATTCCATTTGTCCCATAAGACTTATAGGTTTCATTTTTCATTTTTTTGTCTATCCTAAAATAAAATAAGAGTACAAATTTTTTAATTATCTAACATAATAAATAATACTAATATTAAAAAATATCCATGCACAAAATATATGTGTTTTTATGGTTAATGACACGTTACAATGTATTCCCTCTGTCCAAAACATCGTGCAATATTTGTATTTGACACGAGAATTTAAGTGAGAAGTATTAAGTACGGTAATTTAAGATAATTTAAATATTAAGTGATGTGATTGGAGAAATAAATGATTATTTGTTTTTTTATTTGAGCGATGCGATAGGATAAAATGAAGTGTATATTAATATTAATATATGTATATAAATATTATTAATTATTTTTAAATTTAAAAATGTTGCAGCGAGTTTGAAAAAAAAAAATATTTGGGACGGATGAGTATTTATTTAGTCAATTTTTATTTCTTCTTAATGATTAAGGGGAATATTATCGGAATGATTTGTTGTATTTATGTATGTTTATTGGAGAGCATTATTTAAACGTTTTTTTGTGTGTATATTATACATAAAGTTTTATGTTGGAAATAAGGATAATATTGTAATTTCCTTGTTATATTTAAAAGAATTGTGTTTTAAATTTTACTTAAATAATATTTAAAGTGTATAATTATATTTAAAAAATAATAATAAATTATGTGGGACGGAACTATAAATAGTGAAAAAATTAAGTGAAACAAAAAGCGTATTATCAATAAACATAATAAGATGCATATAATTTTATTGTATCCTTACATTTATATAGTCAAAATATTTTTATTGATACACATAATAATATTCACAATGAGTGTAAATTTCTTTATTACATAATAAGACGTGTGCAATCTTATTGTATCCTTACATCTATATAATCGAATTATCTTTAATACACATAATAATATGCATCACAAAATAATATTACGAAAACATTTTAAATTACCTTATTTTAATATAAATAAATGTATCCTATACAAAATAAAAACACACATCACTAAAAAAATATATATATAGCAAAAAATAATACTCCCTCCGTCCCATATAATATGGGTGTATTACTGTAGACAATGAAATTTAGGTAAATTATAATTAGTAAGTAATTAAGAAGTGTATTAGTAGAAATAATTATTATTGAGTAAAAATGATTATAGATTAAGATTAAGTAAATAGTTTAATTAAAAGTAAGAAAATTATAAAATTTAAAATTTAAAATGCGATTAAAGTGCATAATTATATTTTCAAAAATAGAAATGACAAGTTATGTGGGACGGACGAAAATAGAAAATAGGGATAAATTATGTGGGACGGAGGGAGTAAAAAAAAAATGAACCGCGTCCCATGTCCACCATGCACTGCAAAAAAATAATATATTTGTAACGGAATTTCGTCCCTAAAGTTCACGTAGCTAACATAATTCCATTACTAATTTCGTTTCTAATGTCATTAATAACAGAAAAAATAGATTTAGAGACAAAAAAATTTTGTTACAAAAAATAATTTTTTCTTGTAGTGATGTGAGAGTTTTCCGTCATGTTTTACACCCAAATGTTGCGGTCGAGGTCACGAGTACACTTGGCCAGAGCTCGTCGGCAAAAATATCGACGAAGCTCAGGTCATAATTGCTCGGGATAATCCTCTCGTCACTGATGTTCCGATTCCAAAGGTCACTATAAGATCGAAGACGTATGTTGCGCAACTGTGTTTGGCTTTGGCACGACCCGAAGGACAAGATGGTCATTTCAACGCCTACCGTCGGATGAATCGAAAGAGATTTAAATGAAGAGCTCGACATTTATGTCTAAATAAAAGCTCAATAAAATCGAAAAATAACATAGCTTTTATTGGCTCTTTGTTTATTAATTCAATTAGTTGTACTTTTATTGTTACTAATGTTATTTTATAAAAATTGCATTTACTAGATGGCATGTGAAATTAGATTAAAAATTAAATACCAATTTTAAATAATACTCCATCTGTTCCACTTCTCATGTCCACCTTTCCATTTTTGTCTGCTCAGCTTATTTTGTCATTTTTTTTTTAAAAAAAAATTATACCCTTTAATCTTATTTTTAAAAATTTAATTTATAATTTTTTAAATTTTAATTATACTAATTAGTTATCTTCATCTTAATCTATAATTATTTTTATTATACGATAATTATTTTCACTAATACATTTTTAATTATTTACTAATTATACATCTCTTAAATTTTCTTATCTATAGTAAACCAGACAAAATATCCGAAACGAAAGGAGTATTATGAAGTAGTTTTGAGAATGTATAAAGAAATTTAAATGTATGGATATGTTATCGCAGTTATAAGAAATATGATAGTAGAACTATTATATATATCTTGAAATAAATTAAAAATCAAATTAAAATTATCATTCTTAAAATAACCCAATTGTATATTATTAGCAAGTGATATAATAAACGGTTTTAATTTACTTATTATTATAATAATAAAATCACCAATTTACTTATTATTATTATTATTTTGTGCTCACCCTTTACTCTTAATAATAATATAAGGGTTTTAGGTTATAATTACTCCGTCCCCAATAAAGAAAAAATAAAAAAAATTACATCATAGATTAAAATCTATGCTCAAATCAAATACATACATTCTTATATATTTCCTCTGTCCCGAATATTTTGTCCGTGTTACTATAGACACGGAAATTGAGGAGGGATATAATTAGTAAATAATTAAAAATATATTAGTTAAAATAATTATGGTATAATAAGAATAATTATAGATTAAAATTAAGATAATTGATTAGTATAATTAAAATTAAAAAAATTATAAATTAAATTTTCAAAAATAAAAGTAAAGTATATAAGTGAGACGGACAAAAATAAAGAAATTGACATGAGAAGTGAGACGGGGAGTAATATAAAAGTATAATTTATAAAATATTTTAAAAAATATACACTAAATAAATTGAAAAAGGCGGATTCCTCTTTTTGCTCCTAAACCTAAGGGATATTGGAAAAGCTCATATTGTTCTTAACAATAAATATCTTTCAAATTCAGAGGGTTATTAAAAAAAAATATTTAATTTACTATATATTTTACTGTTTATCCAAACATTATATAGTCATAATTTAATCTATACAGAAAGTTTGTTTTTTCACTATTTTTTTTTTAAAAAAATATATATTTTTAAAAAATTAATATATGACACACATTTATTATTTACAAGATATTAAGTTCTGTCGGTGGTAATCACTACTGATACTTGAGTCATAAAAAAAATTATCTAATATAAATAAAAATATTTATTTTTTAGGAGATAAATAAAAATAAAATGATTTTGAATGATAAATGTTATATATTATATAATTAATTAAATTAATTTATATTTATTAAATATATTTTGATTTTAGTATATTTTATTCAAAATAGAAAAATATTACTCCCTCCGTCACAATATCATAGTCTTATTTATAATTTTTATCCGTCCAAAAATAGTAGTTTTATTTTCATAAATAACTATATCACCATAAAACTACCTCTACTTTTTTATTTTTATTACATAATTATCACTGCTTTTTACACTAATACGTTCATAAGGACACAAAAGTCTTTTACTTATATATTTTTTTCTAATTACCAATGTAATATCAATGTTTCTTAAATCTCATGTCCAACCCAAAACTGTAGTTTTGAAACGTAGTATAGGTAACCGCACAACAAACTATCAATTATTATATGATAGAATAAATATATTTTTTTACTGTTTATTTTGACAATTTGATTTCGTCCCGGATAATTTGACAATGTAGATACGAGAATTTAGGAGGGGTATAATTAGTAAATAATTAAAAATATATTAGTGAAAATAATTATTATATAATAAAAATAATTATAAATTAAGATTAAAATAATTGATTAGTATAATTAAAATTAAAAAAATTAAAAATATAAATTTTTTAAAAATAAGATTAAAGTGTATAATTATTTTCCAAAAAATAAAAACGACAAAATAAATGAGACGAACGGAAATAAAAATGTGAACGTGAGAAATGAGACGGAGGGAATATATTCTTATTTAATCATTACTATAAATCTATTACAATTAATCAGTAGTAATATTGCCTAATAAACTCCACTTATTTCCTTTAATTAAACGAAAATCACTTAAAAAAGAGGAAAAAATCATTTTGGTGTCCATTGTCACATTATTCAACTTTTTTGACTAAATCTCTTTCACATATATTTATAAATTTTGTTCACATCATAAAGAAAAATAGTTTAGGAAACTAAATTATACTTCCGTCCCAAATACTATGTCCACGATGTCGTTTTTGTCCGTCCGACATACTATGTCACTTTTCTTTATTGGAAAATGATTACACACTTTAATCTCATTTTAAATTTTTTAATTTAATTTAATTTTTAATTTTAATTAAACTAATTAGTTATCTTAATTTTAATTTATAATTATTTATATTATAGGATAATTATTTTCACTAATATATTCTTAATTATCTACTAATTACACATCTCCTAAAATACAGTATCTGTAGCACACGGTATCTGAGACAAAGAGGAAGTAGTTCTTAAAAAACTTTCCATAAAAAGAAAAAAAAAAAGAAAAAGAAAAAAACTAATAAAAAATATTAATTAATATTTTCAACACTTACCTTATACTAAATACAATCAGTAACTTAATAATGAAGATTAAAATATAATTAAATAAATTTAATTAAAACATCATTATTATCATCACTATTATTTTAATTCTTTATTTTCTTCATTATACAACTTTCTGTTTAAATAATTTGGCCTCTTAATAATTAGCATAAAAAAATAAACTTATTTTAATTAATTAACAATAAAATAAAAATAATAATATTGCCAGCAGTGTCACAGCTAATCACGATGATTTATATAATATATAATAAAAGGCTATGGGCGCCAATTAATTATATCATTTCACAAAGACCTCTTTATTTTCCCTCCTCCAAGAGGTTGTACCTTATGCATCAGATGGTTGTACATTCCTCCTAGAACAGTTACCCTGCAGTTTCCCTAATTGGTTTCTCGCTCTACTGTTTCTCTCTCTCTCCTCTGTGTGTGGGTATATATATCGACACCCCAAATTGCGTGTTTGTATGTGTGAGAGGGTGGAATAGAGGGAGAGCGCGCCGCACCATCACGGAAATCATAAACCCTAGTGCAGAATTCGGGTGACTCAGTGATGGCCGCCGAGTCAACTCAGTTCCAGCAAGCACAGCTGGCGGCGATTCTGGGGCCGGACCCGGCGCCGTTCGAAACCCTAATATCGCATTTGATGTCGACTGCCAACGACCAGCGTTCGCAGGCGGAGGGGATATTCAACTTGCTCAAGCAGAACGATCCGAACTCGCTGGCGCTGAAACTTGGGCATCTCATATCGTCATCCGTTCATCTGGAGGCGCGGGCGATGGCGACCATTCTTCTCAGGAAGCAACTGACTAGGGATGATTCGTTCATCTGGCCACAGCTTACCGAATCGACGCGGTCCGCTGTGAAGAATATTCTTTTATCGGCAATCCAGAGCGAGGAAACGAAATCTGTGATTAAAAAGCTATGCGATACTATTTCGGAGCTCGCCTCCTCGCTCCTGCCGGAGAATCAGTGGCCGGATATTTTGCCTTTCATGTTTCAATGCGTAACCTCCAGTTCCCCTAAATTGCAGGAAGCGGCTTTTCTGATTTTCTCTCAATTGGCTCAATATATAGGAGAAACGCTGGTTCCTTATATCAAGGATTTGCATTCGGTGTTTCTGAATGTATTGAATAATTCCACAAATCCGGATGTGAAGATTGCCGCTTTGAGTGCGGTTATTAATTTTATTCAGTGCCTGTCGAGCTCTAATGATCGTGATAGGTTCCAGGATTTATTGCCATCGATGATGAGGACTTTGACGGAGGCCCTGAATTCAGGGCAGGAGGCAACAGCGCAGGAAGCTTTGGAGTTGATGATAGAGCTGGCAGGGACAGAGCCCAGGTTTTTACGAAGGCAGATTGTGGATGTTGTGGGGGCTATGTTGCAGATTGCCGAGGCTGAGAGGTTGGAGGAAGGAACTCGGCATTTGGCTATTGAATTTGTCATCACACTTGCAGAAGCACGTGAGAGAGCACCGGGGATGATGCGGAAGCTGCCACAGTTCATCAGCAGGCTATTTGCTATCTTGATGAAGATGCTTTTAGATGTGGAGGATGATCCTGCTTGGCATAGTGCAGAGACGAAGGACGAAGATGCAGGAGAGACGAGTAATTACAGTGTTGGCCAGGAGTGCCTGGATAGGCTTGCAATCTCCCTTGGTGGGAACACCATAGTGCCAGTGGCATCTGAGCAGTTGCCGGCGTATCTGTCTGCTCCTGAGTGGCAGAAGCATCATGCAGCCCTCATTGCCCTTGCACAAATTGCCGAGGGTTGCTCAAAGGTATAATTGTCGTCTAGTTTCTAGTTATGGCAATCCCTTTTTATGACTATATAGATAATTTATTGTCCTTGTTTTTATTGTTTGTTAAAATATAGTTGATAAGCAATACCTCGTACTTAACTCACTGGCACAAAAGGTTTTAACATGTTATAAGGATGCTTATTAAGATAGTAACTGCATTTGGAAATTGCATTCCAAGTGGGTTGCTTCTTGTAAGATTCGAATCTTGTTTATGCTTCGCTTAAATGCCCTATCACTTTATTTCAGAATTCATTTCATCCTGAAAATTACATACTAAAACTTAATGCTATGGCGATGTTTTTGGAAACTTTTTCTTTGTCCTTGAATGGTGGTTGGTGATGCCGTGATTTTTGTTGAATAACCTTACTGTTTCTTTTAACGGAGTTTGTTAGAAAGTTGTCGCTACTATGTTGTTTTAAGTTTGGAAAGGCATTGAATTTGCCGGCATCTGATAATTATTTATTGGTTGATATTGACAAAGCTCCGTTTACCAATTTTCTGTTTCAGGTTATGATTAAGAATTTAGAGCACGTGGTGAGCATGGTTTTGAATTCCTTTCAACATCCTCATCCTCGTGTCAGATGGGCAGCTATAAATGCTATTGGTCAGCTTTCAACTGATTTGGGCCCAGATTTGCAAGTTCAGTACCATCAACAAGTGTTGCCGGCTCTAGCTGCAGCTATGGATGATATCCAGAATCCTCGAGTGCAGGTTTGAATTCTGATTTTCCTCATTAAAAATTCTTAACGTGATAAATACTGATCGAGAGGCAATGAAACATTGCTATGTTAAAGAAACTCAAGAGACTACTGTTGCTAAAATGAAGAGAAATGAAAGAATGAAACACAAAATGAACCTTCATACTGGCTGATGCATTAGAGAAAGAAACAAGTAATTTTAGGAAAGGGGAATCTTAATTAAATATTTGAGTTGGGGAATGGGGCTGATTGGGGGCTCACAAATACATTGAGAGGCAATGACTTTCTTCTATATCATGTCATTAGCCTTGGTTTCATTGATTTCCTACCGTGTTTTTTCATTTTTGTTTATTGCTTATATATTTTTCTGTTTGTTTATTTATGATGGGGTTTTCTCTTTAGCGTGTGGTGCTCCAGAATGTATTTTCTTTGTTATATCTCTTAGTATTTTTGTTTGTTTCTTTTCTTTTCTTCTTGTCAGGCACATGCAGCTTCTGCTGTACTCAACTTCAGCGAAAACTGCACCCCCGAAATTTTGACACCTTACTTAGATGGGATAGTGCATAAACTGCTTCTGTTATTGCAGGTAAAAATACTTGAGAATTAGATAAATACAGTGAGAAGTGAGAGTTTGTCTATTCTGCGGTATATTCTGAATTGTTTGTGTGGATATATTGCAGAACTCCAAACAAATGGTGCAGGAGGGTGCCTTAACTGCTTTAGCTTCTGTTGCCGATTCATCTCAGGTTTGCCAGTTGTACAGTTTCTTTAAGATTGATATATATATATATTGCTGCTATATGTATGTGCACTTAACACTGATATGGTTTTATTACAGGAACATTTCCAGAAATATTATGATGCGGTAATGCCCTACTTGAAAGCTATCTTGGTGAATGCAACAGATAAGTCCAACCGCATGCTACGGGCGAAAGCAATGGAATGTATCAGTTTAGTTGGGATGGCAGTAGGAAAGGATAAATTTAAGGAGGATGCTAAGCAGGTGATATGTTAGAGTTTCAGATGTCCACTTCGTGAAAATACCTTTTCTGCATAATTTCAACAACTTTCATTCTTACTGCACACAAACAGCATGTTGAATGTTATTGATTATAACTGCACCACAGTGATCTTGTTCAGGTTAACTTTTACCTGCAATAGAAACTTGACTTATGATGCTAGTCATTATTTGTTACTAACTTTTTTGTTTTTCTTGCTTTAATTTAAGGTCATGGAAGTGCTTATGTCCTTGCAAGGATCACAGATGGAGACTGATGATCCTACTACTAGCTACATGTTACAAGTATATTCTGGTCCCTGAAATTGAAGATTTGTAATGCCTTTGCCTTTGTAAATCCAAGTTTTAATATATCTACATTACACTGTAGGCGTGGGCAAGGCTTTGCAAGTGCTTGGGCCAGGATTTTTTGCCTTACATGAATGTGGTCATGCCTCCTTTGCTTCAATCTGCTCAGCTGAAGCCTGATGTGACAATCACATCTGCTGATTCAGATGTTGAAATTGATGATTCTGATGATGAAAGGTTTTGTCATTCTTCTTTTTTTCCTCCATGATTGTTTTTACTGTTTCAATATTTTTTTATTGGACTAAAGTGTAATTACATATACTGCTAGCCACCGACTTGATAAAGATCTGCTTTTGAATCTTTTTGATCGTGAAAAAAGTAATTAAGTGTGGTCTTAAATATTTTCCTTGCCTGTGATAGCGTAGTAGACTCTTAGGATCTTATTCCTGTAGAAATAATGTTGGCCATTCCCTGATTTCTTCTGTTTCCATACACAGTTTTATCTACTCTCATGTTAGCCCTTGTTACTTACTTGATTGATGAGTATGCTGCCTATATTCTGCTGCAAGGCCTCTAATTTTTCTGAAATAAATATTTGAATGTCTTTTCTGTTAGTACATTGTTCCATACTTTTGCATGTTTGCCTAATTTTTATGGCATTATGATTTGTGAAGGCATGCTATATGTATTTATTAATTTTTCTGAAAGTTCTTTTGTATTATTAGTGGCATTCTATTTTCTTGCATATATGCACTAAATCTTGTTTATTGTTTGGAACCCTCTGTGTTCATGTTTTTATTATTATATATGGATGGGCGTGGGGCTTATAGATGTGTTATCTTTACCTTTGCACATTTTTAACTGGTGCTTTTTATCCATATGGCTTTTCTTATTGCATGATCCTCGAAGTACAAGAATACCGGAATAAATTTCTTTCTTATTGAATAATGATTGTATTTCTATTGTGCTGCAGTATGGAAACCATCACTCTTGGTGATAAAAGGATTGGGATTAAGACCAGTGTTCTTGAAGAAAAGGCCACTGCATGCAACATGCTATGTTGCTATGCTGATGAGCTGAAGGAAGGTTTCTACCCATGGATTGATCAGGTTGATAGAAATACATTGCCATTTCTTTGTACTTTTGATTGTTGGTTTTCTTGATCCCTCAATTATTGAAATTGGTGTAGGTTGCCCCAACACTGGTTCCCCTTTTGAAATTTTATTTCCATGAAGAAGTGAGGAGAGCTGCTGTTTCAGGTAATATATGTCTTGTTTGGTACTTCTATAAATTTTATGCAAGCATCTCAGTTGGTTGATTTTGATGAAAAATCATTATTCTCAATATGTAAATCATAGATTTTGATCGTATCATGTGGTTTGAAACTACTCCCCAATTGTAATTAGAAATAGGAAGATCTGCCATCATATTTGTAATTTTGTATGCTGAAAATTCCTAAACTTGAGGCCCCAAGATTCACCCACAGCAATAGTTGAGATTGGCTTTTAGATGCTAGATCTTTCTGATCAGAGTATACTTGATTGCAAATAGAAGGATTGCTTAGTGTACTTCGTTATTGTGTGGGGTTTATTTTCTGCATTGATGGGGAGGATTCTGAATGGACAGCTACCCCTTTATATGTAACCAATCATTCTGGAAACACTTGCATCCGAGAAAGAGATCTACCCAGGATGATAAATGAGATGTTTCTTTCTTTCTTTCTTTTTTTTTTTTTTTTTGACTGTCTTAAAATTATTTGTCTTTTCTCCCCAAAGAATTTCCATAATAGATAAGTCTGTCTTGTTTTTCTCAAGCCATGCCGGAGCTATTGCGGTCTGCAAAATTGGCTGTGGAGAAAGGGATTGCTCAGGGACGTAATGAGACATATGTAAAGCAGTTGTCCGACTATGTTGTTCCTGCTTTAGTGGAAGCTTTACACAAGGTCTGATTTCAGTTAAAATATCCCCTAAAAATGTAGTTTTGATTTAATTGCTTTGTATTAGACAGTATATATGACGAATATTCATTCCTTACAGGAGCCTGATATTGAGATAATTGCCAGCATGTTGGATGCACTTAATGAATGCTTGCAGGTAAGTCATTTTTCTTCTAAACAAAATATAACTTCTGTCTGTTGCTCAACACTGTTTATGTTGCAAGCACTCAGTATTTATTTATTTTTTCAGTTTTTGGTTTTTGTCATGCTTTGGACACATTTTAGTTAATGTAATTAGTCAAATGTTCAGCTAATTGTATGCAATGATTAGAGATCAGATATGCGAAGCGTATTATGGCTTAATTTCACGCACACACATATTTATTCTGAACTCAATCTCCTAATTGTGTCAGAGTGAAGGAATGAAGGTACTAATATATACCTAATTTGTGGTTTTACTGCTCTATAATATGCTATTTACGGTTTTGCACAGTTAGCGTAAGTGGGAGAATTCTTGAATAGTGAATTGACTTGGTGAAATTTGTCTCCTGCAATTCCAAGGCTTAGTGTGTAATATACATATAAGTATTATCTGCATCTCTAGAAGCAGTAGATATCTTCCCATTAAATATGATGGACTGATCGACAAGTGAACTTGGGCTTGAATGTTCAGATTGAAAAATTTATTTTCAACGCACTCTAAAATTTATTTACATCTGATAGCCATGGTATTGAAATCTGCTCTAAACCCCATTAATTACTTTTACCTTAGTATTTGGTATGCAAGAACTTTTAACCTGATTGTAATGCGTTTTTCCTGCTTATTTTTATCATATTCCTCTTTTAGCTTATGCACTAGCAAACTCCAATCTGCACTATAGTTCTTCCCATTCAATATTCGTTTCGTCTTCTCAGGTGTCTGGTCAGCTTCTCGATGAGAGTCAGGTGAGGAGCATAGTTGATGAGATAAAACAGGTGATTACTGCAAGCTCAAGTAGGAAACGAGAGAGAGCTGAAAGGACCAAGGCTGAAGATTTTGATGCTGAAGAGGGAGAATTGCTTAAAGAAGAAAATGAGCAGGAAGAAGAAGTGTTTGACCAAGTTAGTTTTTTGTGTTCTTTACCTGTGAATACAATATATAAATATATTTGAATAGTTGAAAGCTGCTAATTATTGCCATTTTAAATCTAAGAAATGCTATTGAACTTGAGCAGGTGGGTGAGATCTTGGGTACCGTGATCAAAACATTCAAGACCTCTTTCATGCCTTTTTTCGATGAATTGTCATCATACTTGATGCCGATGTGGGTAAGTTTTGTTTTTTCAATTATCCAGCCATTGTTCAGTTAGATGTTTTGGAAGCATCATTTCAAACCTTTTTTTCTTAAAGGTGTAATGTGCGGAATGAGTTTGACAACCGGATTTAACAGTGTTGGAAGTTGATCTCTCTTATTTTTCATTTTCTTCTTGATGACAGTTTCATTTTATTTCAGGGAAAAGATAAGACAGCTGAAGAGAGAAGGATTGCTATTTGCATCTTTGATGATGTTGCAGAGCAATGTCGTGAAGCTGCAGTGAAGTATGTACACACTACCATTAAGAATCCTGGAGTTTATTCCAATTTTGCAGTTCTTAATGCAGTTTCTTTTATGTGAACCAGGTATTATGATACCTATCTTCCTTTCCTCTTGGAGGCATGCAATGATGAGAACCCAGATGTTCGACAGGTTTGTAAATAGTTTGTATGGCATGTAGTTATCACAATCCTCTTTGGGCATTTCTAAGATACCTCTTTCCCACCCCCAGGCTGCTGTCTATGGTCTTGGTGTATGTGCAGAATTTGGTGGTACTGCATTTAAACCACTTGTTGGAGGTAAGATTGTCTTTCACAATGTCGAGGAATATGTGTTTTAAACATTTTATTTTACACCTCATTATCTTTAATTTTGCTCAGAGGCTCTTTCAAGGCTGAATTTTGTTATTGGGCATCCCAACGCCAAGCAGTCAGAAAATGTGATGGCATATGATAATGCGGTTTCAGCTTTGGGAAAGATTTGTCAGTTTCATCGTGACAGTATTGATTCAACTCAGGTATGTTTCTAGGTTGTGTTTCATGGGTTATTACTATAACTTATTTTCCAAAGTGATTAGTTCAGGTAGATTCTGAAAGAGATGGCTACATTTGAACTTCAAACTGATTCCTCATTGCAGGCGCCCAAATGTGTTAAAAAGTTTCAGTTAAATTTGACAAAAGCTTGATGTTTGATTCATTGTGCTAGAATTTGAGTTGAGAATCCATTTCATGTAGACAACACTGCAATTCTTAGATCTAACACGAGTCTCCAATCTGTTTGTACTGACTCATTCTTTTTGTAGAATATGTTATAAGATCTGAAGCAAAATTGAACCTTGCCTTTAACAATTATTTTTGAAAGGTATCATAGATGCTTCTAGGCATAGAAGATGCAAAAGATTCTTAGGCATCATTTTCACCTATAAATTTTATTCTTGGAAAGATTTATTCGATATAAGTGATTATGCTTTTAGAAGACTCAATGATGCATAACTTTGATGTTATCACTTGGAATCCTGGATATTTACTGCTAATTTGCATTGCCCATAGGTGGTTCCTGCCTGGCTAAGTTGCCTACCTCTAAAGGGTGATCTTATTGAAGCAAAAGTTGTTCATGACCAGCTTTGCTCTATGGTTGAGAGGTGGGGATCTATAATTATGAATTTTATAGTTTTTCATTATCCTTTGTACTCACTGTGCTTTCTTCCTTCCAGGTCTGATAGGGAGCTTTTGGGCCCAAACAATCAATATCTTCCTAAAATTGTGTCTGTTTTTGCCGAGGTCAGCTTCTAAAACCGTTTGCAGATCCATATATGTTATTGATACTTAAATCTAAATTATGATTTAAAATAAAATTCACAATAATGTTGTAATGACTGTTATCGATTTTCTCTTGGAAACTTGGACTTTGTTAATGAGGATCCCCGCGAATGGAGATAGTAATTGTTCCATGAACATTTCAATTTCAGGTTCTTTGTGCTGGCAAGGACCTTGCTACAGACCAAACTGCTAGTCGAATGGTTAGTTTATTGAGGCAGCTACAACAGACACTGCCTCCAGCCACCCTTGCCTCTACATTATCATCTTTGCAGCCTCAGCAGCAGCTAGCATTGCAGTCCATTTTGTCATCATAATGCTGATGGTTGAGAAGGACGTCTCATTGATATTGGTGTTGGTTGTGTGCCGTCGATTTTCCCCAATCATACATTTGTTCCTCAATTCTTCCAGTAGAGTCGTCAAAGCATTTATTGGCATATGGTTCATGCAGCACCCTGGTGGTTGTGTCAGTCCGAGTCTAAAAGCATTGTGTGGATAGATATTATAGTTCTGTATAATGTGTATAAAGCATTTCTGGACTGTTATTTCCAGCCAGATGGGAAATGAAATTTTGGGTGGGGGTGGGGGTGGGGGGATGGTTGTTTTGTTTTGTGGGAGTTAAGAGGGCCCTGAAGGTTGGGGTTTTCTGTGATATTTGGGGTTTGCCAGAGAGGCAATACCTGTTGCAGTTTTGATCCAGTATGTGCTCTTTTACAGCACAAGGATTTGGACATAAATGTATTTCTTGTCAGTTTTGATAAGTGGTTAACATTGCGTTGAACGATGGGTTTCAAATATCTCAACTGTGTTAACTTATGATACTGTTTTTTAGCATGTGGATTTGCCCATTCTTGATTGTGCTTCTTTCTACGTTACAGTCATTTATGTATGGTGTATCGGTGAATGGTTTTTCCCAATGGCTTTTTGTATTTGTACAATAGTGAAAAAAATTTGGAACCTTTTTGTTGTCCCTAAACAGGAGGCTCAACAGTTCCAGGAAAGACTCCATGTGAAGACCGTGCTAGTGAGTGATCTACATGAATGATAAGCTCATGAGGTTTTAAGTACTGTATACATTTAGGTTTCAGGCATTATTGTATGATATGTACAAGTCTTCTTACAATAAATTGCCCAATTGTTATCACTTTTGCTTGAGTTTGCTGTTGCTCTGTTATTGTCTTTACTCAGATTTGTTGGTTTCTTTTACTTTAGATTCCTTTTGTGTTTGTTTAGATTCTGTTTTAGCACCTAATACCAAACCATACTCCACTTTATTAATATTATCTACATGTACTATACATATGTATTATATGTTCAGTGACTTTTCTTAATGCATTTGCAGGTGCATCCAAATGGCAAGACTTTGGAGGGTTGCTTCAACTTGCAGGCGCCCCGGGCGATGACGTAACTCTTATATGAAGTATTGACTCAGTGTAGATCAGACAAACATTAGCTATTGAGCATATTGTTGGAAGCTTGGCAAAAAGGTATGTTTTGTCTTGTTGTATAATGACTTCATTCCAAATTTGACTTGTTTATTTCATTCGTTCATGTCATTATCCATCACTTAGTGAGTGACATGATTGGCAATATATATACATACATACCCTCTTTTCTTTGATCAAGAACGTGATGGGCATTATCCATTTGGTCATGTTTGCAACTCATCTTTGAAATATCAGTCAACTCTTTTGTTTACATTTTTGGAGGAATCAAATGCCCTTTTAGTTACAAGACAAACTTATTTAGGACACCCCCTCGCTATAAAAACCACATCCCTTGTCTCCATTTAACCTCCTAACTAGAATACTCGATTCTTTCCTTGTAGCATAGCATCGGCGCAGCTGGAGTGACATGGAACTCCAGTTCCAGACAACCAACAAGTCGAGAAGTAGCAGCAGCGGCAGCAGAGGCGGAAACAAGAACAAGTTTGTCGGGGTTAGACAAAGGCCTTCGGGTAAATGGGTAGCAGAAATCAAGAACACCACACAGAAGATCAGGATGTGGTTGGGGACATTTGACACTGCTGAAGAGGCTGCTCAGGCTTACGACGAGGCTGCATTCCTCCTACGTGGATCAAACACGCGCACCAATTTCTTCAACGGCATGCCCTGCAACCCGGCCCTCTCTCTCAAGATCCGGAACCTTCTCAATCATAAGCGAAGCTTGAATAAGCCCAGGCCTACCTGTTCTCCCCCTCCGGCTTCCTCCTCCAACCGGAAGAGTTTCAGCAACCAAGAAACCAGTTCTAAGGTTGCTTCTTCCCCGAGTAGCGACTCGCAAGGTAGTAATGATGGAAGCTTTGGAACAGGTAGCTCTCATGGCAGTGGTTTGACTCCTTCATCTATCAATGAGGATTCGTATAAGCCGGACTTGAGCTTTTGCTCGTCTCGGCTCGTTAGTTGCTTCAATCAACCTGCCATTGTCAGTATGGATTTCGACAAGATTCCTCTCCCTCATGACAGCCTTTATGTGCCAAAAGGAATGAATGAGGTGCAGTTCCCGGATTTCGAACAGATGAAGGTTGAAAGACAGATATCAGCGTCGCTATACGCCATGAATGGGATCAACGAATATTGGGAGAATACCAGCGTCGACTGCAACGATCCTTTCTGGGATTTCCCTCTTCTATCCCAAATGTTCTGTCAAAGTTAGTTTCTTGTTTAGTGTGTGTAATGCAGCTCGAGAGAGTCGGAGAAAATCCATTGAAAACATCCCGGAAAACGGCGATCTTGCTTCATCTTTATATTAGAAGCATGTAGTGAAATGAGTTTCTTCTGTCATTCTTATGATATGCAGTGAATGGATGTTCATTAGCAGCCATGGATGTCCTTTTTATAGATCATCTGCTGAGCAAAACCTTTTTTATAAATCTGTAAGGAGACTTACTTTGATGAATGGAACAAGAAATTTATTCATACATACAAACTGGAAAGAGGAATTGAAGCAATTGGAATTGCTAGAGAAAATCGTTCAATTGTTTTTTAATACAAAATTATCTATTTTACTAAAATCCGTTTTAATTATATAATAAATTAATATCAAATTAATTATTAATAAAAAAATAAATAAAATTGAATTAATAACTTATAATAAACATAAAATTACATTAAAATAAAATAATATTATTGATTTTAGTCATTCGAATAAACATACTCTTATTAAATTAACAATATATATGATGACAATTTACCTACCAACATAGACTGAAAAATAATTGCTTACTAGGGTTTATCAGTACCCAAATCAGCCAATGATAGAAATATATTTAGGATTTTAGATGAGACGTCAATTTCATTTCATTTGAATTGAATACGTTTTAGGAAAGATATATATATATATATATATATATAAAACACGAATGAATCGACAAGTACGGGCTTTCATTTAAGCCCAATAATTGGGCCAATGTGGACCTGTTAAATTAGGTCATATGGGCTTATTTGAGGTTCCACTGGACTTTATTTTACATGGTCTTTTATAGGCTATTTTACAATATAATATTGGGCTTTATTTGGGCCTAATGTGCTGGGCTTAGTTGAATTTTTACAAATTATATTGGATTTTAAATTTTTATTAGCCTGTGAAACTAAAAAAAAATAAAAAAAATATTAAAAGCATTTATGTTACAAAATTTGAAATTAATGTAGTATTTAAAATACAATGTCATCGATATTATTTTTGTTGGTTAGAATTAATGAAATTTTTATTAGTTTACACCACAGACCATCCTTTCATCGTGTGGACATGTGGACCAATCAAATGCGACCTTCACCGCCTGAGCGGAATAACTGATTTAATATTGTTAAGACAAAAAATCAGAATCAAAATTACAATTTAACATAAATTTTATAATATATATATATATAGTCACAATTGGAGGATCGAATCGATTGATCGATATATATAGAGAAGATAATTCAGCTGCACTTTTCCACCGGCGAAAAAAAAAAAGGTGAGATTTGCGGACCCTTGGAAAAGTTTCGCCCATTTTGCAGTTCAATTTCTAGGGTTTTGGCCGTGGTTGGTTCTTTTGTGAGGGGGGATTGCTGACGTTGGCCATGGAGGTTAAGATGGAGAAATGGCTGTGTATATTGTTGATGTGTGTGTTGGCGGAAACGGCCGCGACGGCGGCGGTTTCGTCGCCCTCCGAGTGTCAACGTGATTTCAGAGGTTTTGTTTATGATCTCAATTCGCAGTGCCCATTTTCGAATCCATTCTATTCCCCACCAGTTCAGGTGTGTGTATATATATATATATATATATATATTTCTCTTCCTTCTAAGTTGTTTTTGCCTAATTTTGCTTGGTATGTTGGTTTGCTGTTCCTGGAAAGGGTGTAATGTTTTGTTTCATGGTTTCTAGGTTATTTGGTTTTATGCTCTTGCTCTAATTGTTTTGTTGGATGGTTTTTGAGGTGCTGAGGGTTTTCTGATTCTGGTGCAGAAGATGCATTCAATCCTTTCTAGATCCAAGACTTGTGAGTTGTGACATAGCCTGCTTCTTCAAAGTGAAAATTGGACACATAAAACTTAAAAGACCTCCATAATTTGCTCGAATTGAATTCCTAGCAAAAGAATTTTGTGAAGCTGTCTTGATTTGTGACCGAACTAAGCTGGCAGCAATGGTTAGGAGTTAGGACTGTACTTGAGTTTTTATTTAGCTTCAGCTATGGATAGGAGCTTTGGCACTTTTGTTTTCCAGTTTTATCATGCTACTTTTTGTTGTGCTTGATTGTAGGCTATTAGATGGTTTCTAAGTTTCTTAGGAAGTTGCAATTTTGAGGCTTTAAAAAGTTGTTTGGAAGCTTATACATTGTTTTAAAATTTAAAACATAAGCTATAAACATATGACTTGTGTCAGTTAATCAAGATTAAGAGTTAAGAGATAAAAAAGCAACTGTCTTGGATATGGTTTAGTTTATGTGTGAAGTGGTTCAGTTTTTGAAAGAGATTATATTGCAGATATTATATGTTATAATAACTATAAAGGATGTTGATCCTCTACACATGTAATTGGATTTGAAAATCATTGAAATTGAAACATGTGACATGAAATTATTTGCATGAGACTGATGGGGGAATTTTCGAGCATTAGAAGTTTTGTTGTTTGGTATTGAACATCATGCGTTGTAGATATAATTGCTTGAATGACAAAAATGATACAGATGCTGCAGATTATCGGAGAATATATAATACAAAAGTGCTGACGGAGAATATATAATGCAAAAGTGTTGTTGTTGAATGTTGGTTAATAAATGTTAGACTGGCACAAGCATGCTCCTTTTAGACTTACAAACTTGTTGGTTGCACGCACTTTCATGCAACTTATCTAGGCGTGTGTGTGTCGTCATTCGCAGGTGCCTTTTGACATCTGATACTTCTATTATGGAAGTACGACAAATTATACTTTTTGATGATTTATATTACTATTTTTAGTCAACATGGTTAACCCTAAGATGCAGGAATTAACACGTGAACTTTTAAATTATATTGTAAAAAATTACAAAGCTCTATTAGTTAACTAAGGTTTCATTGCCACGCGTTCATTGATACTGTTTTTTCGCCCACACCATGCTTCTGCAAATATTTTACTAGTTTCCATGGCAACGTAGTTGTTAATTGTGCTCCCTTATGAAAATGACGCAAGGCGCAGCCTCTGGGATTTTTTCTCAGATGAACTGCTGGCCTTCAATGAGGGCCTGCACGCATCCTTTTTCAGGCATGCTCTTTGACGTTTGAAGGTCCATTTTATCTGCTCTTTTAAGCAAGTTTATTTTTAGATTTAGTTATATATAGCTATATTACAAATAAGAAAATCAATGCAGGGAGTGTGAAAATTCCCTAAGCCCTAGAAGTCATTTCAGAAAATAGACCTTGCATCCAACTCTGTAAATTCTTGGGGTGCATAATATATTGTATTTCTTTGTTATTTTAGTTGGATGAATGTGCCACCCAGCAGTATCCTTCTGTTGAGTAATCTGATTTCTATAATTGTCATGCATTTCATAATTGATGACATGATTAGTTAGAACTTGTTTTTTAACTTGAGGCTTTATATTGTTATTATTATGAGACTTGTTGAATTTCATTATATTTATGTTCAATGATTAACAATTGAATTTCTTGTTTATGTTTAGCATACCTGTATTCATAGGGAATTTGTATAACCCTTCATCACACCATTTCTGTTGACATTTATATAGTAGTGAATTTATTTTGTGAAATATATGTATGTATGTATGTATGTATGTATGTATGTATGTATGTGTGCATAATCTGGTTAGCCTTGTTGACTGACAAGGCATGTTTCAGTGGCTGGAATGTAAGGTTGTGTATTTTTTTTCTTCTTTTTTTCAATTGAAAAGTTGAATTTACCCCATCTTTGTTTTGGCTGGCATTAGATTGGCCAATCATATATTGCTTGGTGACAATTTTTAATATCGTTGCTACAAATTTTGACTTAAGATGTTTTTGTTGTCAATTTTTTTAATGTCTAGCTAATGATTATCCTAATTCCTAATACATATTGTGGCATTCTTTTGTTGCCACATATTGTGTGTGTATGTATATATTCCCTTAATGAGAATGATAAATTCACTTAAAATTTTAATGTTTAAGATTCCAACATTTTTAGGCCTGCAATCCTGTAAAGTTTTTAACCAAATGTGGATGCATCCCTAAATATTTACTTTGCAATGCCTTTTGTCAATCAATTTGAACTTTCTATATATTTGTTTGTGTGCATTTCTAGTTTTCTGGTATGCTGACTTTTTGAAAATACATTTGGTTTATTTTCTTTGATAATTTACTGAATTAATCTCTCACTGAAGGTTGATGGGGAATCATTTGAAAAGATTGTGAGCTCCAGTAAGAAAAACAGCTATATTGCTGTACTGTTTTATGCTTCCTGGTGTCCTTTCTCTAGCATGTTTCAATCAAATTTCGCCACTCTCAGTTCCATGTACCCACAGATCGAACATTTGATGGTCGAACAATCGTCTGCCATGCCCAGGTATCTTCTACTCCCTATTTACATTCACCCAATAGTTTTTTTCCTTGTGAAAGCTTACTTCACTGTCTTATTCACTCAACAACAAAATGCAGATTGGGTTCACAGTGCTTTAGCTTATTACACCTTCACTCTTGAAACATTATCGAATATTGCTTTTCTTAATATGTGTATCCATGCAGCAAAAAGTAAAAACCTTAGCCAGTTGGAAAGGCTACCACATCTTATATTTCTTGCATCTAACATTCTACTTCTGTCATTAAAATCTAATCTGTGGTGGTATGCCTGCAGTGTTTTCTCTAGATATGGTATTCACAGTGTACCCGCACTGCTGATCCTGAGTCATACAACAAAAGAAAGATATCATGGCCAGAAGGATCTGGAGTCACTTATAGATTTCTATAAAAGAACTACAGGTATCAGTACAACCCTTATATTAATATTTGTCCAATGCTAAGATGATGACATATTAGATAATTATGCCGCCGAAACTTTCATGTGCTATAAATTGATTCTACATGCAGCCTCCCATATCAAGGGCAAAGGCATTTCAATCTTGAATGGGATAACTCTTGTGTATATCTATTTTACCCACATCATCTTTCTATTGCCTTAGGTTTATCCCCGGCAGTGAATTTAGTCAAAGAAACATCTCGTCATCCAGAAAGTGGTCGGCCCGACCACAGCCTCCAATTCTGGAATAGATCTTCACTGAAGGAAACATTCTCAAGGGAGCCTTATCTGATGCTGTCTGTCATATTCGTCCTCCTGCGGGCTTTCCTTTACTTCTGTCCAGAAATCACATCTCGGTTGATGACGCTGTGGACGACATACATCCCTCGCCTTAACTTGGCTATATTTGGGGAGTCAAAGCAGCTTCTAGAGCATACCCTACACCTAATAGATGTGAAGAGGATTTGGAGCAAGCTAAAGGTATGCCAAACAAGAAAGTTCCACAAAGGAGCGAGAAATGCGCGGGTTTGGGCATCCTCGCTGGCCTCAGTGTCCTTAGGGAAGACGACATCGTCTTCATCAAGGCCAGCAGTAACAGTAGCAGTTGCTTCCAGAGACTTGTGAGACTATGCCTGCATTTCCTGGTAATGCCATGTTTGTACCTTACTTTCTCTTTCTTGCTCCTTTCTACTTGGCATCTTTTTTGTAAACTACTCCTCTAGTGCTGCTGCTGCTGCTTATGAGATTATTGTTATATATATCTATATATGAGAGAGATAGAGAGAGAGAGCAATGAGAGATGATTAATGGTGGGTTTGTGATGAGGAATGGAATGGTGTTGTAAATTTCAGGAGACATTCCTTCTCCACTCCAGTGTGAGGCTGTCTGTAAAAAAATTATCGTGTGATGTGATGTGATGTAGTAGCTAAAGCCTAAATGTGTTAACAAATTCAATATGTGCTTTGTAGTTTCTGCCCTTTAATTATCTGTGTGTTTGTTTGTTGTTAAATTATGCATCTTGACAGGAAAATTACAGAACACGGCCGTGTTCACGGTTTAACACGGTCATGTTCGAAAAACACAAACAGTAGATTTCGGTTTAATCCTGAACACCGCTAACACTTGTTATTTTATTGGCTCCTGTTTCTTATTCAAATGGATCTAAAATGCACCCTGATCAATTAATATTCACTAGATTATTTTTTATCTGATTAAAATAATTTTGCAGTATATATTTAGTTGAATATCTTCAATTTTTTTATCTTTAGCATTATTCATTGTTTTTTAATAAAATATTGTTTTTTATATTAGGTTAATAACTTTTTTAATTTACTTTTTTTTAGATTTTAAAATATATTTCAAAATATATCTACATAAATATGAATATACCAAATGGTCCAAAATACTCCATGGCCCAAACTTACTCGTTGGTCACAATAATGGGCCGTATGGTTTGGCCCAATTTGATATCCTTCATATGAACCGAGGTCGGCGTGTGTATATAAAACATATGTGGTAGCCCAACACCAAGAAGACTCTGATAAACCCTAATTTCTCCGGTTGGGAGCTCTCAAAAACCCTTGTAGCTTTGGGGCAATCACTCTGCGCTTGAAGTCTCCGACGTCACTCATCATGGTAATGGCAACCTTCTTCTCCGCTTCTTATTCGCTACGTTCATTTGAAGGTTTGGCTTTCACTTGTCGACTAATTTTACGTATACTATATGTGTGAATAGACTGCAGAAGCTGTGAACCCGAAAGCCTACCCGTTGGCAGATGCTCAGCTCACTATAACTATTCTCGACTTGGTTCAGCAGGCTGCCAATTACAAGCAACTCAAAAAGGGTGCTAATGAAGGTTGTCCACGATTTTTTATTTTTCCTTTCGGTTTATTTTCTTTTGAAGTTTTGAAGTTAGTTCTGAAGTTTATAATCTTCGTCTAAACGGAATTGTTTCGTGTCGGTTAAATTTTTGCAGCAACTAAGACGTTGAATAGGGGGATTTCTGAGTTCATTGTGATGGCGGCAGATACAGAGCCCCTAGAAATTCTTCTTCACCTTCCTCTTCTTGCTGAAGATAAGGTGAGCGATTTCTCATTTTCTTCTTTGTTTTCCAATCATTTTTGCAAATGCGCATAGTAACAGTTGCTCTTCTTTTTCTCAGAATTATGTGATTTTTTCAATGATTATTATTATTATTATTTATTTTATTAAATATTGCTAACTTGCTAGATTTTTGACATATTTGAGTAGATGGTCTTGTTTAAATAGATGGTGCTAGGGCTATTCTTTGATTCAGTGTTGATTTTCCCCCTTACATCTGGTTTGTTTACTTGCTACATAGTCTTGATTATTGGTGTTTTGAACTAATAAATACATTTGTCGTTCGGAATGTCCTGCATTTTGATCATTTTTTTCTGTTTGAATAACATATTTAAATGTGCCAAAGGCTGCTAGATGATATATAAATCTTTGGCCTCCACCTGTTTTTTTAGGCTGTTGAGAATTGTTTTTCCAATGTGATACTCTCCATCTTTTCATGCATTCTTCTTACACTAAATGTAAAAGTCGATGAGAATGTGAGCTCTCTTTGTGCCTTCAGAACTATTTCATTTGAACTTCCTCTCTTCCATGGCCCTTTCTAATTTTAAATGCATCGTAAACATGCCGATCTTAGTGTAATATACATTTTTTATGGAAAAGTAAACTAATGTTTGTTTGTTTGAGTGCAGAACGTGCCATATGTTTTTGTTCCTTCTAAGCAAGCGCTAGGACGTGCATGTGGAGTAACGAGACCAGTTATTGCCTGTTCTGTGACTAGCAACGAGGGAAGCCAGTTGAAATCCCAAATACAGCAATTGAAGGTAAACATCTCTGTAATTAATCACAACTATAGCTTTCAATTGCTTGGTTTGTATAAGTTTCTTGGTATTTATATCTTCCCATCATCTACAGGATGCCATCGAGAAACTTCTTATCTAAATTACATACAAGCCTTTTCCAGTGTGATGGGCCTCTGGAGCCAACCCCGAGGCTTGGACGGAGTGAGCTTTCTTCTTCAAGTGTTTGTTTCATCATCTGTTTTGCTCTTATCTAGACCTATTTATAACCGTGTTAATTTTAACGAGTAATGTTCACTATTGGCACACGAAAAACAAATGAAACTTGCTTGTTCTTAGTTGTTGGCTTTCTACAAAAATCTTCCGATGTCTATGTGAAGTATGTTGCGCTTCAGTTTTCAGTACTAGTTTCAATTGTAGCTCTCCTAAATTAAAGGTTTTACATATAAAGACGATTTGTTTAATATCTTGATGTCTTTTGAGTATTGGCCCCATACATGTGCTTACAGACAGGATCGGAATCAGTCACTGTCATTATACTCGAAAACATTCTAGAAACATGTCCAAATGGCTCGATTCCAACCTTTATTCTTACTAGATGCATTTGCAGGATTATTGAATCACAATACTCTATTATTGAACCTTTATTTGATTTCATAATCTAATTTAGTAGTGAGCAGAACTTCTTGAGGGATTGAAATTAGACACAATATGTATGTATAGGCCGGCCATTGGACAGTTGAGATTTAATCCTATTTTCTACATCTGGCCTATATATAGATAGACTAGGTGAGCTGCTGACTCTTCTTACCAATTCAAAACTCCCTATTAATATTTATTTTATTTTATTATTATTATTATTATACTATAATGGTAATGTAGTGTAGTTAACCTGTCAATTTCATCCTCATGTGATAAAATATCCATTTTATAACGTGTGGTTTTGCTTGGAATGAGCTCTACTCAAAATCCTTTGGACCACATCACATAATGGCCACCAACTACCTTTAAGGCATGCTTGTTTTCTTTTGGGAATACTTGAGCCTCAATTTTCTCCATCTTTTGTTTTTTAAATTTTTTTGTTATCGTGTTTCTTTGCTTGGGTAATTGAAGCTTTGCTATAAGGAGTAGTCATTATGTTAATAGTACATTGCATTCAAATTGTATGACTTATTCCTGTAAACTCTATTATGCCATTGTAGGTATTTTCCATATGCATTAAATTGTATATAATTGGTAAGTCATCATATATATATATATACATATGCATTTATATTTTTTACCCTTTTCATGGTGTGGCCTTTGAATCCTGGCATATTCCGAGGATCATTTTAAATTTCGATTTTCGTTGCAATAGTTTAAGCAAACAAAATGATTTCCACCACAAAAAAATAAATAAATAAAATGACAGATTAATTATTGTTGAATTGCAGAAGAAAGTGTGCGAAAGCAATGATTTCCACCACAGAATGCATCAACGTAATGATAATCATAACATTCTACTCCAAAAATAACAGCATCACAAAATTAATAAAAGCAATAATACAATCAGAAACAATAGATTAACAACAAATTAGGTATTATATAATCAACAATAAACAGGCAGAATACGAATTTACGTGTACATAAAATTCTTCAGTAGAAAAAAGCCCAAACCATAGCAACCAGAGGAGCCAGCACAGCAGGCGCGAACGCCGCCGCGTCGGAGGTAGGGGAGGGAGCCGGAGCATCGGCGGCAGCCACGCCGGCGACGTTCGAAACCGCTACGAGCACCGCAATCATCAATGCAACGGCCAGCATCTTCGCGCCTTCCATTTTCGCAGCTCTGAGAGAGAGAGAGAGACACAGAGAGAGAGAGAGAACAAAAAAAAAAAAAAACTGAATAACTGAATGGGAATTAATCTGTAAAATGGTGGGGCTAATATATAGAAGCAACCCAACAAAGACGCGGGCAGCCGGGCAGCTGCCCGGCGTTTTATCATAGAATAAAGTAATTAGTTGGCCTTGAATATAAATTTTAACTAAAAAGGGGAATTGGACATGACATTGACAGCACACTTATGTCCCCCTGATAATTATTTAACTTCTTATATTTATTTTTTGTGTAAAAATTAATATTAACAACTAATGACAGCATTTATTCAAATTAAAAAAATTAAATAGCATGGCTTATTATTATTATTTTTTTTTTCAATGTTCTTGTAAAAACATTAATTATAAAATCATAGTAGTAAGTAACACACACGAAGACAGCTGTGTAATGCCCTTAAGCTTTACTCCCAACCACTACTTTGTATTCTTTTCCCTACAGAACAGTTGTACATCATGCTCCGCCTCTTGTACCTACCTAACTCAATCATGCTGTCACATCTGTTCTCATTCATTTTTAATAAGTAAGTAGTTCTTTATTTATAATATAAAAATATTACTAAGTCGTAAATAAATATTCTTTCACTTATGGGCTTTCTTTGAGGCCCAGTTAGAAATAATGAGCCCAATCCAATATGAATGGGCCGCAGGTTCAAACTCTTTTTTGCCGGAGAGAAATCCATCGTACCGTCCATGATCAGATCCGACGGCCACGATTGATTGATTTTTCACATCTAATCAACAACGGAACTATGAAGGGAACCTCAGAATATGAAGAAACGTTGTGGTTAATAGAATTTGAAATTCTTGCAATTACATTTTTTAAGAATTTCATAGTTAGTTGCATATTATTAACAATAAAATTGATATTCTTTATAAGCACAATACAAAACAATTAAATATTTTTGCATTGTTAAATAAAAATATATATAATATGTGTATTATTTATTTGACGACTGAGGTAAATTGACTGTAGCTACTTTTTACTTTCATGATCGATCATTTCATTTCATTTTGAACAGTGCATGGCCACTTAATTATGGTTTTCAGTAGCTTTAGGACTGATTACTTAGGTTTGACTACTGACAACATACATATAAAAAGAAGTTAATTTTTATCAAATTTAAGAGTAAATAACCAAGATGATAGAGTCAATTTAATTAAATCGAGTTATGTGATAAAAGAAGCCAAGCCAAGCCAAGCCAAGTTGATGATATGACGTTGCAAAGCAATTTCTTGACAAATGGTTACATGTGCTCTGAATATTATTTACTATAAATAAATCAAGAGAAGTAGTATTTATTTAGCCATAAAAGAAACCCCAACTTCACAAAAAGACCCAACCCTTAAATACTACCAACTTTTTCGCAATCTCCACCATTTTCAGTTACTCACTAGACAATTTAAATGTGCAGACTGTCCTGTAAAGTGATTATACATACATACCCACATATATATATATATACTACATAGAGAGAGAGAGAGAGAGAGAAGAGAGAGAGAGCAAAAATGAATGGCAGTGAGAGAGTGGGAGTTAGATTTTTGAAGGAGAGGACAGTGAATAGCAGAAAGGGAATCCAATGCAAATCTCATCCCATTTCAAAAACTCAAATGGCCCTTTCTCTCTCTATCTCTCTCTCTCTCATCTTCACATTTTTATATATTTTTAATCATATCTCGTTCAGATTCCCACCCCATTATACTTACTATTTTAATAGTATTGTACTGTGATACTGCTGCTGGACTGGACTGGATTCCATTTCATCAGTGCACTGTAGTGTTCCCACCACTTAAATAATTGAGGCTAACCATCATAAATTAAACAAAAACAAAAAATCATTTAAACTCAAAAAAATAATAATAATAAAAATAAAAGAAACACAAACCAAGGGCCAATTCCATTTTTTGCTGCAAGTTTCTCTCACCATTTTTGTCAAGAAACCTTCATCTGGCTGCCCCTCCCAACTTTCTTCTCCCACTCTTAACATGGAAGAAGATCCAAAAACAACCTTCCACCAAAACCTAATAACAATATACCTAAAAATAAAAAAGAAAGCAGGAGGTAGGTGGTGTACATGGCAGATTTACTCACTCACACACACACACACTCACTCAGAGATTTAGCTAAAAAGGACTTGAGACTACATTGAATGATACAATGGTGCTTCCCAAACATGGCTGCCTCTTCTTCTTCTTCTTCCTTCAAGGGCAATTAGGGTTTCTTCCAGGCCCTCCATAGTAGAAGTAATGCCCCCAATCCTCGTTGCTCCCCGGCTGGACATCGTAGCAATTCGATTGCTCCGTGAATGTCCCGAGCCTTTTCGGGGCCTTGAGATTGTTCGAGCTGTCCACCACTTGAATGTTCCTGAAATAGCTCGACTTCCCGAATCCTTCTTCCGGAAAATGCCCGCTCCCCATTTGTGTCGACGTGTGCTGCCCGTCCGGCTGTGAGTTCACTACCTCCCCACCCCACTCGATCATCGACGCACTCTCTGCTAAGTACGAGAAGAGGAACGATGGCCAGTACCCAAGCACGTAGTCGTTCCCAAATTGCATCCACCAGTTCCCCTCCTTTGGATCCTACAATGGAAGCGTAAAAAAAAAAAAAGAAATACAAAAAAGGCATAAGCTTTAAAAGGGCATAAAAATGCAACCAACGACGAACGTAATAAGAGCAAAAGGAAAATGAAAGATTCTCAGCATCTGTACAGCAAAGCCAGGAGCTTTTCATTTTTACAACTATTTTTCGAATACCTTTTCCATTGAAAATATTCTGTCAACCTTACCTTTTACATAAAATTAAGGCCATTAAACTATAACATGTGCCAAACACCTTTAAAAAAAAGACAGCATGGATTGAATATTGTAGTTGGCCTTTTACCTTCCAGACAAGAATGCTAATATCATATTGGGAACTCCGGACTCCCGAAACGGGAGAGATGCTCGCGCCCATTGCTATCTCACTATTGACCTGAATAAAACCCGAGCAGAGAAGGTTGTAGCATCCCGTTGCTTGATACGCGTCGCTCTGGAATGCAACAGCATCGAATTCAAACATTTTCTAACAAATTGTTCGATACACATAAGATAAGAGCAAGTAGAATTCAAAATCCTACAGTCCAGTAAGTGAAAAGCCGGGTGTTGTTGTCACCGTAGAGATCAGGGCTGACCTGAAATCCGAATACGAATCCAAAATTTAGTCATTCGACGACACAAACTATACATTAATCTGCTGCTAAACTAGTATTTGTTACAATGTAACTAACTACCTGCCAACCAGCTTCAATGCTGTTAAGATCTTCGCCGAAAGAGCCGCCCAACAGCCAAATTTGGGAGAGGCTGAACTCATTCGGCTGCTGTATTTTGGGTTCCCAAACATTAATAGTTGCTTTTGCACCATAATACTTTTCCCCTTCCACATAAGCTATAGCATGCTGATCGCACACAACATCAAAAAAATAAGAACAGTGCTTTCGAAAAAAGGATAATTGATTAATCTACTGGAAAGAAAAGCAGCAACTGTAATATATGAAAATATCATTCATGATTATAAAAGGAGTTTCCTCTTTTATGGCGTAGCTTTAATTACCTGATGACCACTTTCATTCATTAGGTCAGGATCTGCAGACCTGGGCTTGGGGATGCTTATGTGCTTTTTCTTTCCATACCGTTTGACAGAGCTGGCTCTCAGGACATCCTCCTTCTTTGTTCTCCTGACAGGGATGGTGTCCTTAGGGCACTTGCCGTTCATGTGCCAGAGCTGAGTGATTGAATTTGTTCTTTCTTTGTTCATCGTTGTCTCTTCAAATAACCCCTCTGGATGGTAGCTAGGCCTCACCTGAAGTCGCGTAGAAAATTTTATATATAAAAATTAAGAAAATGTAGAGAGATTTGTTGCAAAGTTTAGGGAGATTTGAGGTGAAAGAAATGGACCTGGAGCTTGTGATCTTTGAGGAAAGGGTGGTCAAAAGCAGGCTGGTGAGAGATGTGGATGCAGTCAATCATATCCCCATCTGGACTCTGTAAATCATCATTTTCATATGTAGAGTAGCGTTAGAGAAACATTATATAAAATGAAAATGGGGGTAAGAACTACTCTCCTCTTGTTTGAGCCCTAAGAGATGAACAATTAATCGAGCTCATAAATGGAATAAAAAGGCAACTCTGTTCAGTAAAAGCTCGTCTTCTTAAGAGGTGTTGAGGATGAGGAAGAACTGAATCCGTACAGACAAAACCCTAGAAAAAAAAAAAAAAAAAAAAAAATTGGAAAATGTATAGAGAGAGAGAGAGAGTAGGAGTGTACCGGAATGGATTTAATGGGGGGTTTGTTGAGGCGATTCAAGTGCTTCTGAACGAGAAGCTTCTGCCGCGACGGCGACGGCCGCCGAGCTGAAGAAAGCGAGAGCATTCCCCAAAAGCATAACGAAAAGAGCAGCAACAGTTTCGAGTTCCTCCGCCAATGGCGACCGGTAAGCCGGTCCGTAGCCATTATTGTTTACCCGAACGCCAAGAGCAACAACAACAGCACTCGAATCAGCAGGAAACGGCTCTGGTCGGTTGTAAGATTCAAGGATTGAGACGAGAATCCGGCATGGATGGGCGGAAAGAGAAAGAGAGAGGTATTTGTCCCGACCAACAACACAACACACCTCTATTTTGGTGAAGCAGGGGGAGCAGGTCTCGCTTCGCTTTACCAACAACAAGCCTTCCCTTCTTCTTTGTAATTGTATCTCTCTCCTCTTCTCTTCTCTTCTCTGTGACTGTGAATGAGTGCGGGGCTGGTTCGGTGGTTCGTAAAATCCAAAGATGGCGCAGATGTAGATGCACAGCAGAGCAGAGACGTCTCTGTTCTTTTCTCTTTCTATTTTTTTATAATTGAAACTTGAAATGAAAAGCCACCCCCCTCTCTCTCTCATTAATTAATACTCCCTCGTCTTGTGTTATTTTTTTTTATAGTAAAAAAATATATAAAATTGTAATAATTTTTTTTTCATGGGAAATAAAAATAAATAAATAAAAAAAAATAAAAAATAATTGAGCATAAAGTTGAATGACTGAGAAATTATTAGATTGGGATAAAATAGAAATAAAAATAAAAAAATTAAATTATCCCTAATATTATATAATATAAAATAATGGGTAATCTACTGTAAATTGGAATGATATTTGCAATATTTGGTAAAAAAAAAAAATCAAGATATTTTGTTATAGAATGAACCAAAATAAAAAAACTGATAAATTGTTAAGGGACGACTATTGTATCGTAAAATCCAATATTATTGTTTACCAAATAAGATTTTAGTTTTTTATTTTTGTTTTAAATAATGAAATTTTGAATTAATATAAATATGTATTAATGTGATATTTTGAATGTAAAATTAAATTTTAATTTAATATAATAAATAAAAAATTAGTATTTAATTTAATATATTTAAAATAGTAAAATCAAATAAAAATTTGTACAAGTAACACACTATAAGTAAATTTTTATTAAAAAATATACATTGTTATTTTGGATTTTTATTGTCATTTAAAATTAAATATGTTGATTTAAATTTGTAATTATATATTATTTTTTATATAATATTTATAAAATATATATATATAAAATAAATTTTAAAATTTAAATAAAAAAAAATCACGACAATATATACATTTATTTTTGTGGTAAAATCTAACCATATTATATAGCGTTATAAATATTTTAAATTTATATTTAAAATTAAAATATAAATAGCAAAAAAATACTATCACCACCTACAGTTTAAATAATTATTATATACAGTTCTTTTAATATTGGATCAAAAAGTAATATATAGTAAGATTAGAAGAAATATATTTTATCACATTTTTTCTATAAAATACTTAAATTTGTTATATTTTTTTAAAATATAAAAAATAAAAATGGTTATCTTAATAAAACATGGTGAGTATTACTCCCTTCGTCCCAGATACCGTGCTACACTATAGATACGATATTCTAGGGTGAATGTAATTAGTAGATAATTAAAAATATATTAGTAAAAATAATTATTGTATAATATAAATAATAATAAATTAAGATTAAGATAATAGTTCAATTAAAATTTAAAAAAAAATAAAAAATTTAAAATAAGATTAAAATGTGTAATAATTCTTTAAAAAAAAATGACATAGTATATAAGACCGAACAGAAACAGCAATAGCAACAACAACGTGGACATGGTAGATGAAGATGGGACGGAGGAAGTAATTAATTAATTAATTAATTAATGAGTTATGGGGGAGGCACTAAGTTATAATAATAATAGAAAAAAAAAAAACTAAATATGGCGATTATGATTAGGGGAGGACGTGGAAAAGTTGGTAAAGTGGAAACTCCACCCGGCCTGGCCGTCCACTCATCTACTCTCATTTTTGCTTACCTATTTTGCCCTTCCGCCTTTTTCCTTATTTTAAAATTTAGAGATAAGATTTGTATCTTATCAAAAATAAATTATGATATATTTTTCTTATTAAAATTATAAAAAATTATAATATCGTAAGTTTCTTTTATTCCATTTCATTTGTTTACTATTTATATTTTTTTCTATATAATTTATTTATTTATTTTTAAAATAATAATTTATTTTTTTTGACTTACTCTAAAAGACCTCAAAAGTTGATTAGAACTTATAAGGTCTTCACAACTTCTAATGTGGACTTGGTTTGTACCCTTAATATTTAGTCATTTTAATTTGTAATTATTTTTATTAAATTATAATTATTTTTAGTAATATATTTATTAATTACTCATTAATTAAATAATACCTAAAACTTCATAGCCCTCAAAGAGAACAAACTACGTAGGACGGAGGAATATATATATTTATACAAAATAATATACATTATATTTATTTAGAGTAGTCACAATGATTTTTCTTAAGATATATTTTCTTTTTTTTTTTTGTTATCTCGATGTTTTTTCTGATAACTACTTAAAATTTCCTCGTGAAGAAGGGAAGCGACGTGCTAGTTTGGCGATAAAATTGAAAAACTATGTGCAAAATTATTGTAAAAAATATATTTTGAGACCAAAGAATAACGACACTCTACGTATTTTTGTTTGTCTTTAAAGATTTGCCTTAACACGTGAGATAAATATTCTATATTACTAGTACTTTACATTCTATCTAACAAAAAAATAATAATAATACATATTTTAAGTTCGGTCGGGGTTTATCCAGTGCGCACTTTCGGGTAGCGATTTGTCATAACAATAAAAAGTAAAAATAAAAACTCATAATATTGTACAAATTAAACACATCCATAAAACCTAATTAAATTAATACATACTCCATTTGTTATGGATGATTATTTTTAACATATTTACTAAATTAAATAGTGATTCGTTTATAATCCTACTAGTATACTTGAGGCCGTACTAGTAATACTAGTTAAAATAATTCTATTTAATATTTATTTACAATAAATATTATTAATTTTATTATATTATTTATTTATTTACGTAAATTTATATCTAAATTTCTTAAAATACATTCAATCGTCTGTAATTCTTTCAAATATATATATACATATATGTATATCTCATATTGGACCCAAATAAATTATTATTATTTTTATTTTTAAAATTTTCATGTTTATAATACAAAGAGGACGGAGTATTAAAAATTAAAAATTTATTATTTCAAATATTTTTGTAAAATATGTTCAAATTTTATTTTTTAAAATATTTGTGTATGCAATAATAAATAATACTTCATCCGTTCCATATATTTTTGGTCTATTACTGTAGATACGAGTATTTAAGTAAAATATAATTAGTAGGTAATTAAAAAATATATTAATAGATATAATTATTGTTTAATAAAATTAATTATAAATTAAAATTTAAGATAAATAAATAATTTAATTAAAATATAAAATTATAAAATCTAAAGTTTAAAATATAATTAAAAATAAAATTATATTTTAAAAAAAATTATAAATTATGGGAGACGGAGAAACTAAAGAATATAAAAATAATGTTAAGACAAATTGAGTGAGTGACAGAGTCAATTGTGTGGATTTTGACCCATCAATAATTACACATATCTTCGTCGCCAGTACTATTATTATTATTATTATTATTATTATTATATTTATTCGATACGTATTCACGTGACCCTCCCTCGATACATCTTACTTCTGGCCCCACACACGTGTCACAATATTATTATTATCATTGTTATTGTTATAATTATTGTATCAATGTATTTTATTTTTTTACACTATTTTGAATATTGCTCTCTTATTTCTTTTATATTGTGTCTTTACTCTGTTTTATATTTTATACTTTCTTTGTCCTATATATTTTGGTATATAAGATGTAATTAATATATAATTAAAAAATATATTAATAAAAAATAATAATTATTATTTAATAAAAATAATTATAAATTAATATTAAAATTAAAATAAATAAATAATTTAATTTAATTAATATTTAAAAAATATAAAATTTAAAATATAGTTAAAGTAGATAATTATGTTTTTAAAAAAGAAAAAGATAAATTATGTGGGACTGAGAAAAATATAAAAGATGAACAAATTATGACAGGATGAGTATCTTTTAAAAATTTATTATACGTAATCCCTTTGTTTCGAAATGATACGATCGTTTGTCTTTTGTACATAAATTCTTTAATATTAATATTATATTTTATGCCGTACAAATCAATAACATAATCAAAATACATCCATTAGTATTGTGTAATATATAATCGTATTTATATAATATATTTATAATACTATGTATATAAATATAATACAATTATGAAATAAGAAAATAATACTTATTTTGAAAATGTCAAAATTTAAAAATGACAATATTTTTATGTGACGAAAAAATTCTATATATAATGTAATAAAAAGAATTCTATGGGTGTGTTCGGTTGTGGGATTTTATCCCAAAATTATTATTCATTAAATTTTATTTTTTTAAAAAAAATAAATCAAATCAAACATCTATTTTCATTTTTTTTATGTTATATTAAAAATTAAATTTACATTTAAAATATTTAATCAACACCTATTTATATCATATCATACCAATATTTCAATTTAAAATTTTTACTGTTTAAATCTCTAACTCAAAATTTAAACTTCCAAACAAACACACGCTAATGTGATATAATTTTTGATTATATTCTAATTAAAGTATATTGATGGCACCTTGTAATAATAAGATTTAAAGTTTTTATTAATATTTGTGGGATCCATAAAATATTTAATAAAATAGTAGTAGTTTTTACTATCGAACCATAAAATAATAAACAAGCAGAGCCTGCATTGCAATGTGTCGGACTTGGGTCTAAAATATCTGAATACGAAGCAGACTCAAAGATAAAAATAGAGTCAGAATTCCTTGGCCACGAAGCCATCGAACAGCAACGAAGCTTCAAGCTTCGGAGCCAAAGATTGTTGCTTCTACAGAGCCGAATGCAGCAATTTTTATTGGTTTGTGGTGCTTCCACAGAAAAAAGCAGCCGCCTCCATGGATTTTGAGGTAGAAACACATTGGACTATGGTGCTCCATCCTGAAATAATGTTTCCATAAAATCAGAAATTATTGTCTCAATTGGGTTGAAAACTATTTTCCTTGGAAGATCATGGGACAACTACTTCAATTGGCCTTAGGTTAATAATTTCGTACTTAATATTAGTGGAGGGCCTATGCACTTTTATACTTTATTCAATAAGCTTTATCGAACAAACCAACAAGAGGAAAATCGAATATTTCATTTAACTCAAGGTTGTTGGGGACACATTCCCGTAGACCGGCTAGAAGTACGATGGAAACAAGTCGGAGCAAACGGCAGATCTGGTCTAAAGATAATGGAAGAAGTTCAGACCAAGTGGAACCCGGTTCAGAGGCAATGGAAGCGGCTGAGAGCGGATGAAAGAAGGTTACGAGGTAGTTAATAGCTGATGGAAGGAAGTTATCAGGGAACCGATAGAAGGAGGTTACCAGACAATTGAAGATAGTGGAACAAAGTTACCAAACAGTTGGAGACAGTGGAGGGAAGTTAGCATACGGTTGAAAATGGTGGAAGAATAATTGGAACTGCTCATTTTCGGTGAGAAGAGACAAATATTCTATGTTAGGATTAAAACTAAAAAAAGACACATTACATTAACACACAAGAAGATAAACTTGCATATTTTTCTGTCCTTTTCGTAATTTTTAGTTTCCATTTATGAATAATATTATGAATGTACTATTTTATAAAAAAATAATAACAAATTAATTATTAATTATTAAAATAAGTATAATAAATTACGAAAGGACTATAATTTTAAATATAAAAAAAAATATAGTGACATAATTTTAGCGGGTGTAAAAATTATTATTTATTATAATATACTCCCTCCGTGACATAGAAAATATATATTATTTTAATTTGATCTGTCTCATATAATTTATTCATATTTTTTTAAAAAATAATTATATTTTAAATTTTATAATTTATAATTTTTAAAATTTTAAATGCAATAAAATAAATATGTTATGTAACGTTGCAATGAGATGAATGAATGATAAATGTGTTGACTCTGACTGACTGACACAGGTCAAATTGATTCATTATCTAACTCTTTATTTTTACCATATTCGGTCAAAATTAAGAAAGCTCGAAATTCAATTAATAAACATTATTATTATTATTATTATTAATTATTATTATTATTTGGCAATGGAAGGGCACTACTTGCTAGCTAGGTTGAGACTCGAGTGACGGTCGATGATAAGAATGTACACTCTCGCACGTGCAACACACGTGACCATCGTCACTAATTATACGACCGATCGGCACACACGAGTTGTATGACACGACTATGTAAATGAAATTTTAACAGTACTGTACATCTGTAGCATTTAAAAAAATAATAAAATTTTAAAAAAATACTAAACATACAAATTTCACATTCGATAGAGTTGCATTTAAAATAATTAGTACGATGAAATTCGAACTCGAGACTTAACTTAAGATTTTAAAATGTGCAGAATGACTGTATCATCTGAATTTTTAAGGATATTCGTCATTAATATATTCATCTGCAAACGAGAGCTCCATACAGTGTGAGACATTAATACTTTTCAAGACATTAGTGCGAGCCAATTTTTAGGACAATTGGAACACTCTCTCTAATAGTATAATCTCATCATCGAATACTAGATAATTTTAAAAACTCTTATGTTAGAAAAATCGTTAAGTTTTTTAATTCAGTGAATTTCAAACAATATATATTTTTGATATGACATAATATAATTTTACATAACCCAATATTGATTTCAATACAATAAGTATGCTTATACAATATCGTGTTTAATTTTGGCTTTGAAAAAAGAAAAAAAAAAAAACAAAAAAAACAAACAAACGAACCCTAAATTTCTGTGTAATTGGTTTGGGCTTGAAAATTAAATTTTGGGGCATTAATTTTGTAGGCCCATTTTTCTGTCCAATTAAGGCCCATTGGTACGATCTTTACATAATTTTTACTACTTGGGATTGAGTTCATATTCTTTAATATCATTATTTTTTTAATAATGCAGGAATCCGCATATACTATCCGAAAATACGCACGGATAATCTGTCCAAAACTAATACTCATTACCTCACGATCACAAATTTACTTTCCACACCATCACGTCATCTCTTGGAGAACATATTTGATTCATTTTAACGCAATAACAAGTTGACAAAGAAGAAAAGGAATTAGGAAAAATAAAAAATAAAAAGTGAAAGATCACAGTGAACAGGGTTATAGTGTTATTTGTTTATATATATATATATATTTGTCAATTCTATGTTATTTATTTTTTAAAAATAATTTTATACTATAATTGAATTTTTAATTTTTTTTAATTTTATTTTTTTAATTTTAATATATAATTATTTATATTATACAACAAATATTTTTTATTAATATATTTTTTAATTATTTACTAATTGTCTGAATTTTTTATCAATAAAGAATAAGATAACTAAAGTAGAAAGTAAGATAATATTTTTAATATATAAACTTGTATTTTTTATATAATTATTATATATTATTTTTTTTGTCTCAATTAATTTGATCATTTTAATTGGGCTCTAATTAGTGTAAGTAATTAAAAAGTATCCATGTAAGTCAAAAGTTATTATAATACTCATTTTGTTCCAAAAGTAAATATTAATGTTTTTTGCACGTAGTTTTAAAAATATTAGTATTATATTAAAATATAATAGAAATAAAGTAGAAATGATTAAAATAACTTTATTAGTACATGTGATATAAAGGTAATAATATTTGTGCAATATATTGTAAGTTATAAGGGTATTTGTAATGTTAGGTAGACAGTACAATTAAATATATATTTTGTTATGAGACGAATTAAAATGAAAAAATGGATATTTTGTTATGGGACGAATTAAAATGAAAAAATGAATATTTTGTTATGGGACGGACGGAGCATTATTTTAAAATGACTAAATAATTTATTTAAAATAAAAAAAAATTAAATTACGAATTTTAAATTATAATTATATTTTTAAAAAATAATAAATTATATGATAAATATCAAAATAGAAAGAAATGATAAATTACAACTAGAAAGAAACGAGAAATTATGTTGTAGAAAATAAATATTAATTACAATTGAAAAGAGGACATTTGGATTCCCAAAAATTAACATTGTAATAGATTATTATTATTATTATTATTATTATTATTATTATTACTCTAAATATCACTTTTTGGGGGGTTTGGGGCAATTGTTCCCTGCTCTACTTATTTTTATAATATTTTAATTATATTGATTATTTTATTTTTTTAAAAAAAATTAATATTGAGAGCATAATATAGAAATGATGATACAAGATCAATTTAACCAATGTTCATTTATAATATATATTTAGTTTAGCTAATTATATTATACAAGTGCAAGCAAACAAAACAAGTCGATAAAATAAACTATTAATTAACAAAAACAATTGACTGTAAATTAGTAAAGGGAAGGGGATTAACTCGAATAGCAACGGCGAGTTTTCATATCATTTAAAAAAAAAATTAAAAAAAATAAATAAATAAATAAATGGTATTTAGTTTGCAATCAATCATTTTTGATTCTATATCACTTACTTAGCCTCCTATTTTAGAGTGTATGTCTCCATATTTTGTAATTGAAGTTTTGTGTATTTACTTTATATTTCCAATATTATTTTCCGAATAATTTTTACACCAAATAGGCAATCAGAAGTGTTATTTTATTTTTACTTATCAAATAATAAAAATATATTATTTTATTTTAAAAAAATACAAAATATTTAGCTTAAAATATTTTTATAATTAGTAACTGGGTGAGGATAGGGTACTTACTGCCTGTTGATAATTAAAACTTAATAATATATAATTATATTATTTATTTCAATTAATTATATAAATTAGGCTAATTGATATTCAGTGATTCTTAACTTATATCTTCAAAACTCTATCCAATTCTATTTGTAAAACAAGAATTATTTTAAAAAATATTTAATGCAACAAAAAAAACAACATAAATGATTTAATTTTACAACGAGTCTCTTCCTATTTATATCAGCAGATATCTTTATCCAGTGATGTAGATTGATTCTATAGGATTAATTCTCCATATATTTTTGCCTAATATTTTTTAGACTATTTTAGAATTATGTAAAATATATTACACAATTTTAGAATGTATGAAAGAAACTATTCCTTTATTGCAATATATCTAAGAAACCTATAAAAAGCTCACCAATATATAGGATCCGTGCCCATATATTATGGACTATTTAATCAGCACCTTAATCTTCCACCAAAGTGTAGGGATTGGATTTATGACCGTGAGGTCATGGGTTTAAACTCCGTCGTCTCAGGTCACTTGCCACACATATTTTGCCTAGTGTGACTCTTCCGTCGGGTCTAGTTTGCAAGGTATTAGGTTCGGCCGGAGGTTTTACCCAGTGCGCACTTTCGGGTAGCGACTGCGGATTCCCACGTCATCCAAAATTATGTATGCCCCTCCCAAAACACCAATAATAAATGATGTTTTAGAGAGCATGCCGCCATTACATATATTGTCCAAGAATTTGATACCCCATCATCATTACCTTTTGCTTTCAATGTCTCATGCCATTATGGGTTCTTGGATGGATAAATGTAGACATGAGTTAGACACATCAACCATTGGTAGGAATATGACAATCATTTGTTGTCTGTTTTGGGTATCAATTACTATCGGAGGGTGTTCTTCTTCTAACAACTTAATTCAAGCGCGATCAAAGCAACTAATGAGTGAAAAAGTGTAAAGGGCATGAAGCCTGTCGATCAAGGTATGCATGTGGAACACTTTGTAGTAAAATTTGATTGTATTCCTTAAAAAGTTCTGTTTGGAAAAAAAGACTGCTAAATCTAAAAGCGTAGACAAGAATATTACACTTTGGTTGGCCAAGGAAAGAACTTTTAAATTCCACAAGGTTGGTGTAAGAAAAGGACACAACCTTTGGACTTATGTTGGAAATACTGTAAACATCATATAAACATCACATGCCATTGAATGTTGGCCTGTTGGATGCCTTTCTTTTTAGTGATTCTATCTCTTCTTCTTCTTTTTCACGTAGCTCTAAGGTTCTCTAAATATCGACTTCTAGCATATCTCCCAACTCTTCTTCCAAGCATCTGAATCTTGCCCGAAAGCTGGATTACCAATAATGCATGCAAAGTAAGGAAGAATAAGTTCGATAGTTTCCCTATAGTCTATTCTTTCTGGCATTGGTGAACAATAGATGAGCCATTAGAAGACAACTACTGAAAGAGAAATGTTTACGAAGGAATCTATTTTCATGGGAGCTATGCTTTGTGAGGTTCACTGCCCATTCATTTGCTTCTGCAAATCTTCTGCAGCCCATCTTTACAGTTCAGGGCCGTTGAGGTTGGAAAACACACCACACGACGTTGTTCGCTCCACAGAGCAAACTCATGCTGTTCGCGATGTTTCTGCAACAGCAGAAACTTGTGGAGACAAACAAGGGTGTGGTGGGAATGGAAAGAAGGATGCAGGAAACATCCTCAAAAGTTGTATCAGACGAGCCCCGTCTCGCTCTGATGTGCGTAAGAAAAGAGTTCAATGGATGGATAGAGTCGGGAAACAGCTGGCAGAGACAAAGGAGTTCGAGCCCAGGTAGTCCAACAATCTTGGCAAAGAGTTGATCTTGCATTAACCTGGAACTCGTTACTACCTCATGGGTCTAACTAAGGTTAAATGTATAGTGAAACAGGGGACACCGATGGCGAAGAGGAAAGTAGCAGTCACTGTATCTGTGTCATTCTTTGATACTGACAGAGATTCGATTCGGCTCAAAGAAGGCAGCATTTTCAACTAAACCATCACCAAAGGTAAATCTTCTAAGAACTATATAATTATCTTATGTTTTCAGAGATCACAAAAATTGTTAGAGCATAGAATGTATAAGTTCAAGTAATATCTATAGCTTTACGATTCTTAGTTTCATCTCTAAAGAATAAATGCAGTCGCAGTCGATAAAAGTTGCATCTTTGGCTGCAACTCTTACCTCCTACTATTTTCAAATTCAGCTTAACATATTTCAAGCTAAGTTGAAACTCCTGAACTTTTCCGAGCAGGGAAGCTTAGGCCACAGGTCAAGTTCTCCATGGTTATATATCAACGATACTCAAGCATAACCTTCTCTATAGAATCGCAAGTTCAAAGTCGCAGAAGCAAGCCCAAGATTTTCTTGCAGTAGCAATTTTATTATGCTTCCAAGATTTTTATGCTATAATTGATGTTTTGTTTGTATATCACTTATCAATTTTTTAAGTAACATTTAATTGAAAAACAATTGAAACTGCCTCTGAATGTAAAAGAAGAGTACGAAAAGATGCATACTTACAATGATCAGCTAGTCCTATTTGCAGGATCCGATAACTGAGTGCTCTTTTCTCGGCATCCAGTAGATTGGGATGTAATAAAGTTTAGCTGCTCCTGGGTGCTCCAGTTCTTACTTCTTGTTGAATCCAAATATAGATTTGATAGCATTGATGGCATTTTCGTTGATAAATGATTCATCAAATTTCTTCATAAGAGGTTCAAAGTCCTCTGATTTCCTGACATTCTCGAGGTCGGGATCTGATCGGATTCTCTGTTGAAGTCGGCAGCAAAAGTAGTGTAAGAAGATTGCTTGTGCAAAATACACGATGCATGCTCTGATTCACATCAGCTAGCTAACCTTGAAGTCTTCGAAACCATCTTTGAGAGCCTCCTCGAGTGCAGAAATTGCTGCTTGTATCTGTTAGAACTCCAAAACAAAGTGTAAATGAAACATGATCACAATCATTATGCATTTTTTGTTCGAAAAGGGTGCAGCAAGTGCAGGCATGGCTATGTTATATTACCTGGTTAATCTTCGAATAACAGCAAGCTACATTGTAGCTGGCTATTGCAGCTTCATCAGGTTCCGGTTTTGAGCCTAATACTGATTCAAACTTTTCCAAAGCCCCGTCGTAATTTCCGCTCCTTGAAAAATGATTACAGATACATAACAAAAAGATGAGTAACTGACGTCGCAAAGATGAAGGATGTATGATCTAGTTGAGCTGCTGCAGAGTTTATCTTACCTGTAAAGCTTCAGTCCTTCGCGGAGGTCCTTTTCCCTTTGCTCCTTGCGTTCCTTCTTCCTTAGGTAGTTCTGCATCTGCATTTATCAAATTATAAATGAGTACTCGAAGCAACGGATGCTAGTTAAATATTAATTAAGAGTTTGGTAGAGTTACTTGAATCTCCCGCACTCTGCCGCCGATGACGCCGGAGTTCCTCTCGGCTCTGATGATTTCCTTTTCTGTTAACTCACCAGTCTCGTCCATCTTCCCTGGTGCGTAGCGTAGCATTAAGGTTTTCCTCAATCTACCTTAAAGATGATTTGGTGAAATTGAAATGAATCGGCGAAACTCACCGTATCTCTTCTGCATTTTCATCAGCAGAGGGCCAATTCTTTGCCGAATGGTATACATTGTTCGTCCGTACTCTGCAGCAGGCCAAATTTCTTCTCCAAAAACAGCACTGCAATTGTATTTTCAAGTGATGAGAGTATATATATATATATATGTATGTATGTATGTATGTATAAACTTCAACAAGTGCAGCAATGGAAGAAACAGCAAATGAATGAACAATATCATCAATAGCAGTATAGCACCTACCTGGTGGCAATTACTTTATCCCCGACGGAGAACACCCCGGCCTTATCGGCGGATCCTCCGGGCGCAATGGCGTCAATGTATGTTCCTCCATCTCTGCCCTTGGCGAATTTCAAGCCATACGGCTGCACCAGCTCCACTTCATACTCTTGGTCCTCTTCTTTTTCTTCCTCCTCTTTATCGTCACCATCTTTTCCTGTGCCTGATGTCGAACCTTTAGTCTCCTCCGTCTTGGATGCTCTCACAGGCTTAGGGAAGAAACTGGGTGTCGAGACCAGAAACGAGCCGCTGCTCTTTATCTGGTTGAGCTTCAGCAAGGAGCAGCCAAGGGGCGGTGTGAATCTAGTGGGGAGAGGTGGGGAGGGGCGTAGAGAAGTGCAGCTGCTGGAAGCCATAGCAGCAGCAGCCATGGATGTGTTGAAATATGATACGATATGATCCTTGTGAGTGAGTAAGGGAAGAGAAGCTAAAGGAAGAAGAAGATGGAAGGAGGGAGACCAGTGGCTCAAAGCACCCGTTGAAAATTACTTCAATGAGACATCGACACGTGGCGGGCAATGGGATTAGTATAAATGGGACGGATGGAGTATCATCTACACATATTAATAATAAATAAATAAATAAGACACTTGGGCATGTTGCCACCACTGACTAAATGCTCGCGTCAGCACCGCTGATAGAAACCGGACCGGATCTTTCATTTATTAATGGCAACTTAAGTTGCTTGTAGTGTCTGTGATTGTGAGTGGGCTAAGCTTAACTATATACTAATATGGATAGAGATACAGATAAGAGTTTATGGTCAAAAATAGGTTTTCTGGTAACCTTAATTTCTTTCTATCAGAAAAGAAAAACAAACCATAACCAAAATACAAATAAAACTTAAAACAAAGCCGTATCCAGCCAGCCAACCTTTGCTGGATTTAATAATCATCTCTCACTTTTGGAGAAGGAACCAGCTCCATATAATGTGGGATTCTCTCTCTCTCTCATCATGCACTGCGGATTTCGCTTTAGTAGCCATATCCTGATTACACACATATATTACATGTTTGTTAGTAAACAAAGATGAGATATTTATTATTCCAGTTTGTCAATCACTGTGATATTCTTTCTTGAAGGAACCCATGAGATTTAGGTAAGAACTTGCCTGAATTGTCCATGGGGTTTCCGGGAAGAGATGCTGGCACCGGTTCTTTGATCTCAACCACCACACAATCTGACATCAAGAATGTCTTGGCCACAGATGCTGCATGTTCTAAGCAACATCTCACCACCTAGATCAACAAGTAAGTTTCTTTTCAAGTTCCCAAAATAGTCTTCTTGCAAAGCTGAAGCAGTATTAATCAGATGCAGAGATGGGAGAGAATAGGCATCTACTTTATTATGTGATTCTCAAGTATTTAAGAGTGTATAACCCATTTCAGTATTAGTGGAGTCTGAATTGCTAAAGTAAGTTAAATGAATGAATAGCCTGCAAAATCCCATCATACCTTGGTAGGATCTATAATTCCAGCAGACATAAGATCTCCATACTCTCCGGTAGCAGCATTGTAGCCGTACCGGGAGTTATCACTTGCCAGCACCTTCTCACTAACGACACTTCCATTAACACCAGCATTTTCCGCAATCAGCTTCAGCGGATAGCTCAAAGCTCTTTTAACAATATCAGCTCCAACCTGCATTCCAGTATTATGCATAAATTGCAAAATTCTTATTGGCAACATCACTCGGTTGAATAATTTTTAAAATTTTCACATTTTTTTACCTTTTCCTCAGCATTCACAAGAGTTTCCTTGATAGCATCAACCTTGGATGCAAGCCTCAACAAGGTACATCCACCTCCAACAACAATTCCCTCCTCGACAGCTGCCTGTAAAGAGGATACTTTCCATACAGTTAGAATCATAGATTCCACGAACAAAAGAACAAACGGCAAAGATCAGCAAGACTTAATCAAATAGCTCACCTTAGTGGCATTGAGAGCATCCTCTACTCTGAGCTTCTTTTCCTTCAGTTCTGTTTCTGTCTGTGCTCCAACCTTTACATTTCAAATGTAAAATGATGCATATGAACCTTTGACAAGAAAGTTCATAGATTTGATATGCAATTGAGAGATGGCAAGGAAGAAGACCTGAATTTACCTGGATAACAGCAACTCCTCCTGACAACTTAGCAATCCTTTCGTTTAGTTTCTCCTTTTCGTAATCCTGGTCTGCAGCCTGCATTTAAAATGAAGCATCAGATCCTTAGAGCATATGAGCATGGTTCATATAGTTATACAAGCATAGTCAAGCACACCTCAATAAGATTTTTTATCTGAGCAACACGTTCATTTACAGCTTCGAGTGTGCTCCCATCACCAACTATAGTTGTGGTGTCCTTAGTCAAGACCACCTTGGCAGCATGGCCCAAAACTTCCTTGTCAGCTTTGTCTAGAGTTAACCCAATTTCGTCCCTAATTACAGTTCCTGCATTCCCATATGATGGTTTTTAGCAACAAGATAATAAACTACTATAGGCCTGTCTTTGTACCCAGATAACAAAATCAACTATTCATTGCCAAACAGATGCCATTGAGAAAAGGTATAACCAAGAAATTACCTCCAGTCAGAACTGCAATGTCATCGAGATATTGGCTCTTTCTTTCACCAAATCCAGGGGCTTTGAGAGCCGCAACTTTTAGCACTCCACTTAGCTTGTTCAAAACAAGAGTCCCTAATGTTTCTTGCTCAATATCTTCAGCAATTATTAGAATAGGATAGCTGGCCCTGATAGCCTCCTCCAAGATCTTAACAAGATCCCTTGCATTGGTGATTTTCTTGTCAACCAGCAACAACTATGAAAGAAAATCCACATGTTAGTAAGACGAATTTCAATGTAAATGCAGTATTTCAATGTCATATGTACAGAAAAGAGATAGGGTGGGACAAGTACACACCTTACAGTTTTCATATTCAACAGTCATTTTCTCATTGTCAGTTACTAAATATGGAGAAATATAGCCACGATCAAATTGCATTCCTTCAACAACATAAAGGCTGTTCTCTGCACTCTTGCCCTCTTCAAGAGTCACAACACCTTTCCTACCAACTTTGGCCAAAGCGTCAGCTATCATGTTCCCCACTTCATAGTTGTTCCCTGCACTTACAGCGGCGACATCTGCTAATTCACTATCTTCAACCTACAGATTTCACACTTGATCAGTCATAACATTCACTTTAGAGCAAACTTTCTATAAGAACAAAGTTTTTCAAGGGCATTGCTTAAATAAATTGAAAAGTTAAACAGGTACCTCTTTTGAGATTGATTTCAGCTCAGCCACCAAAGCTTTGGTAGTCTTTTCAATGCCTCTGGTGATTAGAACAGGATTTGCTCCAGCAGCAACCACCTGGAAGAATTTCAGAAATTTTCATAGCCATGAGTTATCAAGATTCAAGCCTGGTGGTAAACAAGAAGGGGCAATTCAAAACAAAAATGTTCACACCTTGACGCCTTCAGCAATAAGACCTTGAGCAAGAACAACAGATGTTGTTGTCCCATCCCCTGCCAAGTCATTAGTCTTTGAAGCGGCCTGTCTCACCAATTTTGCGCCGATATTCTCAACTGGATCATCCAACTCAACCTACATGAAAATCCACAACATCATGGATGCCAAATGCCTCTGAACCTGAAACTCAGTTTTGAAAGGTAATATATAGCTGTTCCTAAGATCTATCTTAGTGAATGAGGTAACGTTAGAAATTGTAATATGTGAATCTGGAGCTTGAAAGTGTATAGAATGAAACTTAAGGTTAAATTTGCAGTGACAAATGCTGTATGATCATGAAGCATAAAATAAATTTCTTGCATTCTCGGTCGGTCAGACAACTCAATCATCAATCAGTAACCGCATATCTACCGTGAAGGTATCTATAATTTCCCGTACCTCTTTCGCAACAGTTACTCCGTCATTGACAATTTTGGGGGCACCATACTTGCTTTCAAGAACAACATTTCTTCCTTTGGGTCCAAGCGTAACACCAACCAAATCTGCAAGTTTGTCCACACCAAGCTGGGACCCAAAAAAACCAACCGTTAGCATGGGAGGAAATAAAAATAACTTCTGATGCAATAACCTCACATAAATGTTCATTTATTACCTGAAGCTTCTTCATAGTTGATCCATCTTTGTTGAAATACAAATTCTTAGCAGCAGCTGATATTTGGAGAGACCTTGTCTTCCGGAGAAGAGCTTTGTTTCTCCATGCAAGTGGGATTGGAGAAGATATAGAAGCCAGAGAAGACAATTTGTTTGACGAAGCTCCCAGTTTATTATCATGTATTCTGCCCCCAGAGGCAGCCAGCGCAGCAACTGAGGACATGCCAGTAAAAGTTGACGCCATTTTCACCTTCAAACCTGAGCTATTAGAGAATTATATAAATATTACGTCCCGAACACAATTAAGATATGATCAAATAGCATGTTGCTCGATTGAACGAATTACACATTCTTATCACCATACCGTGATTTTACTGGATAGCCTAAATTTGTCCATTAGTTAAGGAAAAAATTATCATTTCATATACTTGCCACAATTTATATGCGATAAGATTATGCACTGTATCGCTCCAGGTTTAGATTAAAACACCGGCTTTGAAACGAGTGAAATGCATTATTAAAACAACAACAGCAACATCATTTTCAGCACAGACCATTTGCAAGTCACATGTAGCAATCGGCCATGCGTTCAATCACGCAACTTCACGAAATCTCTCGATCTCGAAAACAGAAACAATTGACGGAAAAAAAAAAAAAAAAAAAAAAAAAGAAGGTTTTCTAATAAGCACATTTCGGTAAATCAAATTAACACACCACGTCATACAAACGAAAAAAAAAAATCTCCACAGAATCAGTCTAGCCAGAAATGGCGACGCTGAATCGCGGAGATCCTCAACTTATCATCGTAATCACGAAGCAAAAATCCTCGACAATCAAGAAACGACTTTTCATGAAACAAAGCATGAGAAATTCAAGAAAAGGCTATTGGCGATCGTCGAAAAACACAAACAACACGCCGTAATCGTAAACAAGCTTACCGATAGATGAATGAGAGCTGCGGTTGCGGCGGTGGAGGTTTTACCGTCCGAGTAGAAGCAGCTGGAGGAAGTCGTTGGCACTACGTGTTGAGAGTCGATTAGGTTTATAGGAAGCAGTAGCAGTAGCAGTGGCCAGTGGGTAATACTGCTTCTTGAAGTTTCCATTTTAATCTCAACTATTTTTGGTGTCGAATGGAACACTCTAGAATCGCTGCTTCATTTAATAATAAATACTAATATATTAATATTCACTTGTCCGTCCGGAGATGTTTATAGCGTTTTATATTTAGGGTGTGTTTGTTAGGCGGTTTGGATTTTGAATTCGAGATTTAAATACTGTATGATGTGATATAAATAAATGTGATGTTTTGAATATAAAATTGATTTTTAGTATAATATAAAAAATAAAAAATAGAGATTTGATTTGATATTTTTAAATAAAAAAATTTAAATAAATAATAAAATTTTATCAAAATCCTACAAACGAACACACCTTAACTGTAATAAGAAATTATTTATTGTTATATTTTAACTATGTAACATAAAATTCAACATTTTTTAATAATGCAAAAAAGTATGAAATGTTTTGTATTGTTATATGTTTTGGCATATACAATTGAGATACCTAAAGAAAATTGGCATATTTTCCTGAACTAATTGACAAATTTAGGATATCTGTATTTATTTTTTTTTTTTTTTTAGAACGACGATACTATCACACACAAAAGTTTCTTTAGGGCCCGAGAAGATATAGCTTTAAGAGTGCATTTGGTATGGTATTAAATAACCTATTCTCAATTTATCTCTATTCTCTTTATTTCAGCCAATGAGAATAAAACATACTGAGGGTGTGTTTGTTCGAAGGATTTTGGTGGATTTCCACTATTCATTCAATTTTTTCCCCCCAAAAACATCAAATCAAACACTTATTTTTTATTTTTTATATTATACTAAAAATCAATTTTACATTCAAAATATCACATCAAACCCTATTTATATCATATCATACAACTATTCAAATTCAAAATTTTTACTATTCAAATCCCAACTCAAAATCCAAACCCCCAAACAAACACACCCTGAATAAATAAGAATACAAATATAATTTAAAACTTATGTGTTTTACATTTTTTTTTTATTATTTTTAACGTTATCCTTTGTTACTTATTTATTTTATTTTTAAAATAAAAAATAAAATTTATATCCAAAATTAGCTTGTACTCAAATATTTTTTATAATATTTAAATTGTATAATTTTTATATTTTAATGTAATCTCATATTATTCACAAAACTAATAGCACTAGAATTTTATCATTCATATATATTTCAAGTGTTTATTTTACAATTTTTTTTTTTAAGAACAATAATCTATAGGAAATTTAGATTTTTATAAAAAATATTTAAATTTAATTTTTATTTAAGTTATTTTTAGTTTTATTGTGCTGATTTATATATATATTTTTTGTAATTTTACAGGAGTATTATTCTTTCACAAAAGATCATATTATATTAAAAGATTATAAAAATTAAAATTAAGTATTATATAAAAGATTAAATTTATGTAATGTATATAATATTTCGGCCATGAAATAATATCTAAAGTGTATTTCAATGTGATTTTTTTTTTAAAAAAAAATATTACATTTTTATAGTAAATTAATATAACAAATATTTGAGAATTAAAATTAATTGAATAAAAATTAATTTTTAATATAAATTTTTATTATTTATTTTAAAAAAATAAAATCAATAAATAATAAAGATATAATAAAAAAATAATAAATTCTAAAATACTTTTTCAATATATAAACTTATGTTTCTGGTTTTCTTCTTTTCCAAGTATCACTATCTTATTGGTTGGAATTGAGAGAGTAGAGAATTTGGGAGCAAGTGATCGTTTGGTACAATTAATGAAATTAAAGATACTAGAAAATGTAATAGTAGAAAAAATAATTTAGTAAAAAATGAGAATTGTTTTTTTTTTTTTTTTTTTTTGTTTAATAAGACAGATCATTTAAAAAAAAAAAAATACACTAGTTAAAAAAAATACATTGATGGTTAAAACATGATAAATTATATAAGAAAAATATTATTATATTTTTTATTTATATTTTTTGTTTAACGATTTATTTTTATAATAATTTAGATATGATATTTTATAAGTTTTGCATAATATGAAATTTATAAAAATCAAATAATAGTAAAAAAAAAAAAAAAACAGAAATTAAATTGTAAGAATTAAATATAAAAAAATAAAATAAAATAAATATATAAACACACTTTATTCTTTTAATTTCATCTATTTTCATTTATCAGTCTCTATTTTTCTATATCAAACACCTTATTAAGTGGTTTAGTTTATATTTGAGGTATAAAAATCTGAGTTGATAATATATAAAATATTTATTTTATATTTAATATTGACTTTTAAAATAGGATAAAATATATACTCCTATATTTAAAATAGTGTTAAAAAAAATTGAACAAACAAATCCTTTTTATTTTATACTATTTTAATCTTAAAAATCAAACCAAATAGCTATGTTTATTTATTATATTACATTAAAAAATTATCTTATATTAAAAAAACATATCAATATATATTTATATCATATCAAATAATTATTTCAATTTAAAATTTTATTATTCAAAATCTATATCTTTCAAGTAAACACACCTAATAAGTTATTTAGGTTGGATTTATAATTGAGGTTTGGTTTGATATTTTGTTTAAACAGTATTTAATATTTGTAAAAATAAGTAATATTTCATTCGTCTCATAAATATAGTCTTAATTGGGTTAGACACAACGAAATTTAAGAAATATTAATATTTTATTGGTAGTGAATAAAAAGTATGAATAAAATATTTTTTTGTCATATTAGTGTAAAAAGTAGTGTGAATTGGGTAATAGAAATGAAAAAGTAGAGGTAGTTTTACAGTGATATGATTATTTATAAAAATAAGATTATTATTTTAGAACGGAAAAAAACGGAAGAAGAATATTTTTATTAAAAATACATATAGAGTAATATAGGCTGGAGTTTGAGATCACACACAAAGGGTGTGTTTGTCTGAGGGTTTGGATTTTAAGTTGAGATTTGAATAGTAAAAATTTTGAATTTGAATAGTTGTATAATATGATATAAATAGGTGTTGATGTGATATTTTGAATATAAAATAGCTTTTTAGTATAATATGAAAAATGAAAAATATGTGTTTGATTTGATGTTTTTGGAGGAAGAAAAGTGAGATGAACAATGGATTGAAAATCCAATCATTCAAACCAACACCCAAAAAAGAAGTTATATATCAATAGAAAATAAGAATTAATTATTTTATTTAATAAATATAAAAGAATATAGTATATAAATGTAATGAATAAAAATAAATGATTAATTCGATAAGAAAACTATTTATCAAATGATAATTCATAAAAAAACTATTTTTGGTATTTTTTTTATTTAAATAATAAATTAGATATAATATTTTATAAAATTAAATTTTAGTGTATATATATTTTTTGAAATTGTAAAAATTAAATATTCAAATAATAAATTAAATGTGATATTTTTAATATTAAAATAATATAATATTTTAAAATTATAAAAATAAAAAAATATAAACCAATTTAAAAACTAAGGTGATAAATATACTGCATTAACTCTAATAAAATATACTGCATTAACTCTAATAAAATATACTAATCACCACTGTCATTATATGACATCTTCTATCAGAGAGCTTGTTTGTTCAGTGATTGGATTTTAAATTTACTATTTATTTCATTTTTTTATCAAAAATATTACATTAAATATTTATTTTTATTTTTTTATATATTATTAAAAATTAATTTTACATTCAAAATATCGTATCTAACACTTATTTATATCCAATCATATAATTATTCAAATTCAATATTTCTACTGTTCAAATCTCAAATTAAAATCCAAATCTTCCAAACCCCTTCTATGAAATTGGTTGATTTTAATTTACATTTTCTTTTTACCTTGTATTTAAATAATACCTTAGGCACAATATTTTAGTTGAAATATGAATAATAAATATTTAAAAATATATAGAATATAAATAAATATATATTAATATTACGATACTTAATAAATTTTTTAAAAAATATGTAAATACAAATTTTAAAATATAATTAAAATTAGGGTATATTTTTTAAAAATTCTAAAATACATATATATTTTAAAAGTTTATATATTAGACATATTTATTACTTCCTCCGTCCAGCTAGAAAGTATACATGTTTCTATTTTGGGACGTCCAATTACAAAGTAATCATTTCATTAAATACTCCATTTTTTCCACAAATACCCCTACTTTACATCACATCATTATTTTTATACCAAAAAAGTAAAAACAAAAATGTCATTTCACTACTTTTATCTACTCACTATAACTAAAATACTATTATTCCTTAATCTTCGCGCCAAAAATAAATGTATACTTATTTAGTGGACGGAGGGAATATTTTTTATATAATTTACCTAATTTTTTATAATTTACATAAAATATTATATTTCCAAATATTTTCACTAAACAAATAAACTCTAATTCTTTTTAAAGAACATAAATAAAAATTATAGTAAAGGATGAAAAAGTAATTTACAAAGAGAATATGTTTTTATTTGATTTTAAATTAAAATAATAATTTTACATAAATAAAGGTACGAAATAAAAAATAAAAATTTTAGTTTAAAAAAAAAAAAAAACCCAATAATATCTTCCGCACTAAGCAAAGAAAAAATTAAAATAATTCGGCATACGTGTCTGCATTGATTGAGCATTAAATGCACACCTCATTTACCTCTTTCTAGAATATAATTCCACTCTCGTCTTTAAGAAATTTTCATTAATTAAACTTATTTAATGAAAATCCATCACAAATAATTTACAATATATATTTTGTATAATCAATTTTACTATTTATACTCTAATATAATTTATTTATTTATCGATTAATTTAAAATTTGATTTTATCACAATCAGGAATAGTAGGAAAGTCCACTATATACCAAAGCATCATATTGAAAAATCACCCGACAGGGGTATTTCCGTCTTTTCACTTATCAAACATATGTGCGAATTTTATCTCAACAATACACGGCACGACTGGACGAAACGCGTAAGGGGTGACGCGACCGAACCAATGAGGAACTGCCACGTGTTTCGTCAGCCAATGGTGGCAGACGCAGCGGAGTGCACCGTCACACGCGGGTGAGTTTAGCGCCGGGAAGATCCGCAAATTGGATAAAGTTGAGGGACTAGAATGAAAAATATGTGGAGAGGATGGTACAAAACCCTCGGCCCAATCCCTTTTTGTCTCTCTCGCTCTTCCCTCTCATTCTCTCTCCACAAAAACCCAAACCCTTAAAGCTCTTCTGTGGCGGCTGTCAATCCTCTTCCCCATCTCACTTGCTAGGGTTTCTCTGTTCAGATCGGAAGATCCAAAGTCTTTCCAGAATCATGGCCGCCGTCGCTCCTCCGGCAGAACGTATCCTCTTTTTCTGGTTTACTTTTATATTTATGTTTACTTGTTTTCAATCTTGGTTCGCTTCTTGACGTGCTTGATTTGCTTCTTGGGTAAGTGGATGTGGGGGTTCAACTTTGATTTCTGTCTGCGCGCACAGATCTGTGCTTGTTTGCTGTTGCTCATCTGTTGTCCGGCGGGTCGGATATTAGTCTATCTTGGTTTTCGAAGTTATGTTTTTTCTTGAATATGGATCGGCTTGGTGATTTTTTCCCACTCCGTCTGCGGATTGAATTTCTTTGTGTGTTTAAAGTTATAGTACTATTTTTGCAATTGTTAGTTCTTCTACTTCAATGGAGACGAGCTTTCTTTGTTTTCTCTGTCAGACGTCTGTGTGTTCTAAATCTTATTGAACATGTAGTATCTTGGAATAAGTTGTTAGTTGGCTGTCTTTGTAGGGGATTAGGGAGTAACTTTCCTTGAGTTTTCTATGTCTTGTTTCTTTATCGAAAAGGGAATTTGGGATATGATTTTCTTGGTCTGTTCTGGGCTGTGATTTATGTGATTGGTGAATTGATAGTTCTTTTGTATAGTTTTCAATTATGATATTTGATGTTTTGCATTCCTTTACACGTCTGTAGAGACTGCAGAATTATTGCAAAAGTTATCTTTGGAAACACAGACGAAGGGCATTGAAATATCAGATGCAACCAAAAAGGTACTTACAAGTTTATGTACGAGATATCTAATGTATATATGTGACGTCTGCTCCTTTCTCAAACATGATGTATGACTGTTGATTTCATATGCATGATGCAGCCCTCTATTGATTCCAGTAATGTCTCCAATGTAATTACATCAGATAGATCTGTTACGCCGGCACTACCTGACTTTGGGGATCCAGCCGTGTGCTATCTTCAGAGCGGCTACCCTTTCTACTATGGTGGTAAGTATTGATTTGGCATGCGATTAATCTTTGTTCTACTCCTTGCTACTTTCTTTGCTGTTTACTTCGCCTGCAAATAACCATTTTGTTTATAAGTAGGTTATGACGGTAGTGGGAATGACTGGGAAGAATATGCAAGATATATCAATCAGGAAGGAGGAGTCGATATGCCTTCGGTATGTCTGATTCATTTGTGTTCAATTCAAGTTATCTCCTTTTTGATATGTTATGATTGTAATTCTCCTATCTTGATGCTACTTTGCATGTGTTCTGAAATTGTAGGCGGTATATGGTGAAAATGGATCACTAATGTATCACCCCGGGTATGGGTATGCACCCTATCCCCCTTATTCACCTGCTGCTACACCTGTCCCAACTGTAGCACATGATGGACACATATATGGAGCTCAGCAATATCAATACCCTGCTCCATATTTCCAGTCTATGACACAAACAAGTGGTCCACACCCGACTCCGGCTGCTAATGCAAAAGGTGAGATAGCCGCCTCCGCAGCTGCTGATCAAGCAGCTTTGCCTGTAGAATCTACTAATTCAAAATCTAATGGCGTTGCGAATAGCGGTGGGCCAAAGGGAGGCAATGGCGCTGCTCCAACAAGAATGGCCTATCAGAATTCTTCTTTTAATGTCAATGGATCTTATGGAAGGGGTTTGCCTGCTTCCGGTTATCAAGACCCAAGATATGGATTTGATGCTTTGCAGTCTCCAATTCTGTGGCCAGAGAACCACTACTTCTCTGATGGTCAGCCAAGGCCTGCAACTAGTTCATCAGCAACTTCAGTTGCTAATGGCAATGGCTTCAATTCTTCTAGGAGTCAAAATTACCGGCCTCATCCAATGGTATGACTGTTTAATTTCTGTCAGTGTAAAATAAGAGTTATTCATTATTAAATCATAAAATTTGAGCCAATTCTCGTTCTGTTTGTGTATTTGTTTAAGAAATGTCCTTACCTCATGGTGTGATGTTCCTTGTACAGGGTTTGCACCACCCCAGGCCGGTGCCAGGTTTGAATGCAGCTAGTGGGTACATCAGTAGGATGTACCCAAACAAATTATACAGCCAGTATGGAAATGCCTTCAGATCTGGTTTGGGTTTTGGAGCAAGCGGTTATGATGCCAGAGTGAATGGCCGTGGGTGGATGGCTGTGGATAGCAAGTACAAACCAAGGGGAAGAGGAAACAGCTTGTACAATTGCAATAATGAAAACATTGATGGCCTCAATGAGCTCAACCGGGGACCAAGAGCCAAAACCTCTAAAAATCCGAAAAGCTTTTCTCCAGCAGCTCTGGTGGTCAAAGGTCAAAACATTCCCTTGACTGGAAAGAATGACAACGAGGAGAAATCTAGTTTGATGCCTGACCGGGAGCAGTACAACCTACCAGATTTTCCAGTAGCTTATGATGATGCTAAGTTTTTCATCATCAAATCATACAGTGAAGACGATGTCCACAAGAGTATCAAATATAATGTCTGGTCTAGCACACCAAATGGTAACAAAAAGCTTGATGCTGCATACCAAGAAGCCCAACAGAAGCCTGGAAACTGCCCTGTTTTCCTTTTCTTTTCGGTAAGCATGTGTAATCATTGATGCTTGATTTCCTTAGATTTGTGATATAAATCTAATGTTTGGGCAGTCTTAGCTAATTTTTGTGATTAATGTTTAGGTTAATACCAGTGGACAATTTGTTGGGGCTGCCGAGATGACTGGGCCAGTCGATTTTAACAAGAATGTCGAATATTGGCAGCAGGACAAGTGGATTGGCTGCTTCCCTGTAAAGTGGCATATAGTGAAGGATGTGCCTAACAGTTTGTTAAAGCACATCACTCTCGAAAACAATGAGAATAAACCTGTGACCAACAGTCGGGACACCCAAGAGGTACGCTTTGCTGATTGCTGGTGTTTACTGTGTCTTGTGTGAGTTACTTAGGATGCAAGGTTGAGTTAAATTTACATTGTTTTATCATTTATACAGGTTAAGCTGGAGCAGGGGCTTCAGGTCTTAAAAATATTTAAAGAACATATTAGTAAGCAATGCATTCTTGATGACTTCGACTTTTACGAGGATCGCCAGAAGAAAATCCAGGAGAAAAAGGCAAAGCAGCAGCAATACCAGAAGCAGGTATGCTCAACAATATGTAACCTACTGCCATTGGTTTTGATTGTTTTCAAGCAATCTATGGTTAAGATCAGTCTAAATTTGCTGGCCTTTGTTCTTAGGTTCATGTCTGGGAAGGAAAACCCACTGAAGACAAGAACAAGGATGGCGCAAATGATGATGTTAAATTTGTTAAGTCGTCTGAAGTGGCATCCGATTCAAACAAACAAGCTACACCACAAGTCCAGTCCAACACCAATACAGAAATCAAGATTGCAGAAATAGGTACTCTTACAAAATTGGGAGAATCAACCAAGACCACCACAAAGCCTGCAGCAGCTGTTGTGGAGAAGAAGCCGATAGCCAATGGGGTAGCCAATGGGTGCTAGCTTCACCAATGCCATCTTGAATGGGGGGCAGGCGGGGGCTTTAATAGGAAGGAAAATCCTTTGTGTTATAAATTCGATGGCCTGCCTTTAGGTTCATACTGCTCTATGCTATTGCTGTGGTAGAGCAGTATGGAGCCGATCCCCATTTTTCTTCATGATGGCAAATTAGTTCTTAGTTGGTGTTGTCGAATTTCTGCTAGAGGGTTTGGGTTTTAGGAGATGTACCTTTTTCTTCTCTTTTTGTCTTTTTACTGCTTTTCTTTTTTAAAAGATCGGAATCTATTGTCTCTGTTTTATCTCTTCAGTGTCGGTCGACTTGGTTCTTTTTTAGTTTTGTGCATTTTGCAAGACTCCTTTTTGCTATTTGTGTGGGATTGTGGTTCTCTCCTGTCTTGTTTTCTAACTAGCAAGATAGGGGAGATGGGAGTGGAATATAGCCTGTTTTAGATGAGTTTTTTCTTTTTTTTTTTTTTTTTTTTTACATTTTTATTGTTAATTTGTTGTTGTTGTTGTGTGTACCATGAATGAATGGCCCTGGTGATTTCTTGTTTTCTTGGTGGATGATTTGTTGTTGAAGGATCAAAAAAATGGTGGCCAGGTTTGGCCAAAGTCAGGGATGTTTTGATATGATGTGCAACTTGTGGATTTTCACACATTCAAGACCCAATCTCAATCCAATAAATTATTTGTTTGTGAAGTTGGTATTGCCCTTGAATTTTCCATTGATTTTGGTGTATTCAAGTTGGCATAAAAAATATATCCGATTGAAAAAAGTAATATATTAACTATAAAATTATACATAGTAAAGAAAACAACAGTAAGCAAATACTATTAACTAAGCAAATTATAAATAAAAAAAATATATATATATATATATATTAATTTTAATGTAAATTTAATTAAGATTAAAAATATCTTTTACTAACTTATTAAATAAAATATTAAAATAATTTATTTTTTCTTTCATATTTTCTTTTATAGTCTTGTGCCAAAATATATATATATATATAGTAATTAAATTTGAAAAAAATGAAAATTTAAGAAAATTATTAACTATTTGTTATCGTTTCTTTCATATTGTTTGTTGGCCTAATGAAAAATAAAATTCAAATAATATATAAAAAAAATACGCTAAACAAAATAAAAATAAATATTTCTATTGTTGTCTATTTGAATATTTTTTTTAAACAATATAAAAGAAAAGACAAATATACTGACAAGAGGAAAAACAAATATTGACTTATGAAAAGCATATAAATTATAAAATTCATATTGAGATTAAAAATATTTATTGATAGTTTATATTAGATTGAAAAATAAAAAACTTGAAACGTGAATATAATTAACAAATTTGAAGAAAAAAAAATAAAAATAGTAATTCTAGACACCAAATCAATTTTGAAAAAAGATGGGTGTGTTTTTTTTTTTTTTTTTTTTTTGGTGTTTTGATTTGAAAGAATTTTTATTTTTTATTTTTATTTATGTAAAGTATATAAAACACGGAGATAATGTAAATATAATGAATGCTTTACTATTTAATTTTTTTTTATGATCATAAAAGCGATATCAAGCATTAGAATTCGATTCTTTTGATTCCAAACTTTAAATTTTTATTATTTGAATTATGGTTTTTTTGAATAAAATACTTCCTCCGTCCCAAATAAAGTGCAATATTTATTTTAGACACGAGTTTTTATATGAGTAGTATTAAGTAGGATAATTTAGAAATTATGTGATATGATGAAGAGATAAATGTATATATATATATATTTTTTTGGGTGATGTGATGCGATAAAGTGTAGGGATATATATTAAGTATAATTAATTATTTGGAAATGTTGCCCAGTGTTTGAGAAAGCATATATTTTTTCTTTTTATAAAATATTCTATTATATACTCCTCCGTCCCAAACACCATGCAACATTTTCTTTTTGTATGTTCCAAATACTCTACAATATTTTTAAATTAGGAAATAATTAATTATACTTAATATATATCCACACACTTTATCCCATCACATCACCCTAATAAAAATAAAATAAAATATAAGCTTCTCTCTCCATCACATCACCTTATTACTCAATTATCCTACTTAATACTTCTCACCTAAAATCTCTTATCCAACTTAGATGTAGCAACTTGTTTGAGACGGAGGAAATATTATTTTAATACTAAACTCAAATCATATATTTTTTTTTTTTTTAAGAAGAAATTTTGACTTGCTTGAAATATAGTCATAGATTTCAGGTCCACACTTCTTCCCTATTTCAAGAAAGCATTCCTCACCTAGTCATTGTTGATTCACATATTATGATTCCTTTGGGTGTATTTGTTTGGGGTAAGTTGAAATTTGAATAGTAAAAATTTTAAATTTGAATAGTTGTATGATGTCATATAAATAGGTATTGATGTGATGTTTTAAATGCAAAAATTGATTTTTAGTATAATATAAAAAATAAAAAATAAATGTTTTATTTGATATTTTTTGAAGAAAAAAATTTGATGAATAGTGTAAATCCAATTCAATTCTCCAAACAAACACACCCTAAAACTTAAACCTTCTTAGACAACATTTTGTGGACAGAAATTGCATTAGTATAGCCTCTCTTATTTATAAGAAATCAATACTCTCTGTCATAATTTAAAATTATTTTTACAATTTTCATCTGTCAAATATTTGTTTTTTAAAAATAATAATACGTTGATATTAAAATACTTTAATTTTTTTTTTTAAATTATAAATATACTATTACACATACGGTTACCTTATACATAAATATCAAAATCTTCTTACTCACTTCTACTAATTAATAAAGTAGAATTATTTTTTTAATGTACAACAAAATTTCAAAAAGCTCATTTGAAATGGACAGGAGGGAGTATTTATTTATTATAACAATTTTTATTTATATAAAGTTTTAAATTTTTTTTATCCAAACTTATAATTTTGTAGCAAGCAAGATATAATGGTTATTATTTTTTTAATTTTGTATTCTATTTTTTCCAAACTCACTGCTGTGGGTTTGTTTTGTGAAATTATTTTTTGTGTATAAAATATAAAAATAATAAATATAACGTGTGTTAATATTTTTAAGAAAATATTTGAGTTTTAACTTTTGTAATGACTTTTTTATAATAAATATTTTAACTTTTGGATTTAAGCGAAAATGATCGGGTAATCGGATTTCCATAAGTCCATAGCCTATACACCAATGGGCTTAACAAAGCTCTATTCGAGTCTACTCAGTGAGGGTTTAACCCACGAATACTACGACGTCGTTTCGATCTTCGTCTTCGCTGCTCTGATCCCTTCACAGCATACCATCTTCCATCTTCCGATTTCCATTACTGCTTATCCCCTTGCTCCCCCAATTCGCGCGACGGCTCCATTAGGAATCTGTTGATTCGCATTTTTGCGAGGGTAAGAGATGGGCGGCGACATTGCACTGCACAGGCTATTGTTTCTATGCTGCATTACTCTGTTGATCCATGCCATCCCCAGATCGGAGGCATCTCAGCCGTCCGCAGAGTTATTTCTGGGAGTTTCCCCTCAAGGTGGGTCTGATTAAGCCTCTACCTACTCTTCCGTGTTTTGTTTGCTGACTACTGGTTTTTGGGATGTTTATTTTGTTTGCATAAATGTTTGGTTTTTTCAAACAAGAGACAACGAACGGATGAAACCGGATGTGTTGCAGATGTAAATTACTACAGAGGATTGTTATCGTCGAGTACGGTTAAGTGCAAAGACGGATCAAAGAAATTCGACAAGTCCCAGCTCAATGACGACTTCTGTGATTGTCCTGATGGCTCTGATGAGCCAGGTACTCACCACTCTCTTCCTTTTTCAGTGTCATCGTTGCTGAATCGTAAACACATGCGCCTAATGTTTGCCAGTTATAGGAATTATAAGTTATGGTGTTGTGGATTTATGTTACTGTTTTTTGTTGATTTGGGTATTGGGATGTTACTTCGCAGGAACTTCAGCTTGCCCTAATGGGAGGTTCTACTGCAAGAATGCTGGCCATATTCCAGTTATCATATATTCTTCAAGGGTCAATGATGGCATCTGTGGTAATCACCCTGTATTTGTCAAGAGATTCTGCTGAACCTTAAATTGAGGGGAGATATATTGTTGTTTTACTGCTCAAGCTTTTTTTTTTTCATTAATGAAAAGCTTGATGCTTCTTCGTGCTTGCCAAGTTGATAAAAGTCTTACATTCCTATGAAATGACCCATTGCATAAATGCTATCCTATCCTCTTGATTCCATGGAACTCCACTGTATATGGTTTTTCTTGGAAATTGCATCTCTAGGTTACTGGTCATTTGGCATCCTTTGTTATTCCTTTGTGTGCCAACTGGTAGATAGTCTGATTCTGATACGATGAGGATAAATGGCACTGAGTTTTCTGTTTTCTTGAGGGTATGTGTTAGAGTAGTTATCTTATAGACTTTGTGAGACCTGAAGAGCCTATGTTTTTGTTTTGGATTAGAATGTAGCTGTGAGATATTAGTTGCCGAAAATGTGAGTTAATATGGCAATTAGGATATACTTACATCATTTATTATGTCATAATGTAATATAGGAATTCTATTGAATTCTAATTAACACAGCACCCCCTACTGACATACTCACATGAATGCTGATTTGATTGTTGACCAATGAGACTACTGCTTTAGTACAAAGTGACTATTATATTTTTAACCTTAAAATGCATTATTGATTTATCTCATTGCTAAAATAGTGGCAACATTCAACCCTACAGAAGAGTTTCACAATATGAAAAATAATAATTGTTTTAACCGGTTTATTGCATTGCAGTGACCTACTTCTGTTTATGAGTTTACTTGTCCATGAATGATTGTAAACAGAATAAGAGCTCTAATTTTGTGATGGTACTATAACCTGCCATATTCAAGGATTCTTACTTCAATTCTTGCCTAGAGTTACTTTGCATTTTAGATTGTGTGTTGGTCAAATATCAGTATTGATTTTTTGGTAGGTAAGTCTTTTTTAATGCTTGCACTTTTTTTTTTTTCTATAAAATATGTGTGCTGACTTGACTTTCAGACCAGAATAGCAGAACCCTTTTGTTATTTTAATTTTTGTTATATATTTGTTAAATCATATATACTTTGGCATTATAATTTATTGTGTGATCTTTCACAACTGAGGCAGATTGCTGTGATGGGAGTGACGAGTATTATGGTAAAACCAAGTGCCCCAACACATGTTGGGAAGCTGGAAAAGCAGCCAGAGAAAAACTGAAGAAAAAAATTAGTACATATAAGGATGGCATTGCTTTGCGCAACAAGGAAATTGAGCAAGCAAAATTAGCCATTGCGAAGGATGAAGGGGAACTATCAAAGCTTAAAGATGAGGAGAAAATACTTAGACCCTTGGTTGACAAACTCAAGGGTATGCTTCTTTTACATTCTCTGTGTGTGTTGGTAGCAACAAAGACGAAAACGAGCTCCATAAATAAATAAAAGCATAGAGAACACCCTAAGACATCCAGTCTGTTATGTTTCTGTTAACAAAGTTTATTCATGGTCAATTATATGCATTAGCATAGGAATGTAATGGTCACATTAAAGTTTCTTCTTGTTTGCTTTTATGACGAGTGATTGCCAAGTTCTATTTTTTGTAAGGTTTGAGTTGTTTGAGTGCATATCACTGAGATCATTTTCATTTCATCCATATGCTTACTCTGCCATTTCATTGATATTCACTGCCTAAGATATGCATTTATCCGTACTGTTGTTGAGTATGTGGTCTCTGTCAAATTTCAAGTTATTACGGCTGGTTGCCTTCTAAATAACAATATACTAAGCATTAGGTGTAACTGATCTTTTTATATTACTATGAATGTTTTAATGTACTGCACTGTTTCTTCTCTATTTTTGTGAAGAACGCAAGGAGCAGATAGATAAAGTTGAAGAAGAAGAAAGGCAGCGGAAAGAAAAAGAAGAGAAGGAAAGACAGCAAGCGCAAGAAAGTGAAGGCAAAGGTGAAGATGTTGAGCCTGTGAAGACTGATGTCCCTGATAATACTGGGATAACAGATCAAATTCAAAAGGTTTTACTAAATTGGTCATGCCCTTTTCATTTGATTATACTAATTTGATCTTCCCGTCGCTTCTGGATTGGCTTAATGCCTTAATTGCTATTGCTTTCCATGATTTTGGATAAATTATAAATATCATGCTTGACTGGCCAGAACCTAAACTTTGAATTCAGTGGCTAAAAATCAATTAGGAATTAGTGCTTCTGCCAGACTGCCACATGAAAAAGATTTAGATGATATGTTTTTGCATGAACATTATGTGAACTTGAAGTATATTGAATGCCAATCAATGATGCATGCTTATGTTCAAGCACAAATATGAGTCGAGGAATTTTTTTGCAGAGAACATTCATAAGTCGGAGTTATTCAGGTCTGGCTTATGAAGATGATATTCATAAGGCATATATGCTTGATAATGGAAAAAGTTGTGTCATGAAAGGCTAGACTAGGTTTCCTTGTCCAGTGGAGATGTCCTGATTAATCTTTGCTTACCATTTATTTTTATACATTAGTAATAGTGAAAAATCAATTATGATAGCAAATAGTCATTTTTTTTAATCTCTTAACAGTAATGATGATTAAATTCTGTTTAAAGAAACAGAGGAAATATTTAGAAGATTTCTCTTGATTTTTAGCTATTGCTAGGGATGATTCAACAAACTTGCTCTACTGAGTTACATCGAGCATAATCACCCTGAATCAATCTCTTTCGTTCTCTCTGAAATCATACATATGACATAATAGGACCTTGAGGAAGAGCATCGTGAATCTGTCAGTGAATCTGAGCCAGAGCATTCTTCCATTAAGCAAGGACTTCCGGATGATGAAGTAGAAGGGGTTGGTGAGGAGTCCCGTCAGGTTTGATCATTTTTAGATAGGAAAATGGTTTATATTATGCGAAACTATTTCAATTGTTGATATAACACTTCTGTTTCGTGTAGGGTGCTCAACACGCTGAGGAAGATTCCAATGTTGATGGTAAGGAGGGTGTTGATACTGGCATTCAGGTATGTTCTTGATAATTGCTTTAAGCAGAGTTTTTATGACAATGTTATGTAGCTACCTGTGATTTTTTGGTTACTCATTTTTTATGACCCAAATTGATTCACATTCTGATGCCTCCTAAGTGAAGTAAAACTGTTATCAGACCAATGATTGGGTGGCGTCCAACTTTTTTGTTTTCCCAGGATGAGAATGGAGCTGAAGATGGTGAACCACTATCAAGGGAGGAGTTAGGGCGCCGTATTGCATCCCGGTGGACTGGGGAAAAGGCGGAGCATCATATGGATGAAGTCGATGACTCCTCAAATAAGGGTCATGAAAAACCTGATGAAACATATGATGAGGTGAATGACGAAGAAGACAACAAATACGTCTCTGATGATGACGAGCATAAGTATGAGGATGATGATGTCAATGGTGATAGTGATAGTGATGAAACCTATGACCACACTGATGACTTGGGCAGAGAGGATCATTATGATCCAACTTCTCAAATTCATGAGTCTGATGATGAATCTGAATTAACAGGTGTGGCAGTTCTTTGTTGAAATTCCTTCTGAGATCACAATGAACTTAGACAATTAAACCTGTATATGGTCCAAATTTCAGATATAACTGGCACAGGCGGCTCATCTTGGCTGGAGAAGATACAAAACACAGTGAAGAATATTTTCCAAGCAGTCAATTTGTTCCAGAAACCTGTCAATATTTCTGGTAATGAAGGTTTTCTACATTTTCAACATTCTTGAGCTTTGGTTCAAAGGAAATCATCTGTTACCTTTTGACTTTGCAGATGCTGCTCACATACGGAAAGAATATGATGAAGCCAATGCCAAACTATCCAAAATACAATCAAGAATATCAAAGCTGACGCAGAAACTAGGATATGATTTTGGTATGTAATTTATTAGGCTGGGTATAACATCATGGTGAAATTGCTTTTGCATATATCGTGCAGTATAATACATTTCTGGGATGTAATTGGCTCCACTTTTATACCGCAGGCCCCGAGAAGGAATTCTATTCATTCTATGGCCAATGCTTTGAGAGCAAGCAGAATAAGTTGGAAATTTCTTAGTTCCATTTTCTTCATTTCCTCCATTAATTAGTTCTCCTTAATACAAATATATCTATTCTATTTCTAAATTTGATTGGAACTATTGTTGTAGGTATGTCTACAAGGTCTGTCCCTTCAAACAAGCAACCCAAGAAGAGGGTTACACAAACACTCGTCTGGGGTAGGTTCTTTTCCATATTTCAAGATGCTTCTTCGATTCTGTATGGATGGATTTGTGCAGCACCTTGATGTGATGCCTATGTTCTTATCCCTTTTTCAATTTTATTGGGTGTAGGAGCTGGGACAAATTTGAGGACTCTTACAGAGTGATGCAGTTTCGAAATGGAGACAAGTGCTGGAATGGCCCCGACAGAAGCCTAAAGGTAGACATCACAAATCTTGAATATGTCTGGCATCGTGAATCACATTCCCTTCTCTCTCAATTCCATGTCACCATTGGCGTACGCCTAACCATTGATTTAAGATACGCCTTTCTGTGTTTGTCGAAGCAATTACCTTGTGGGGCAATCAAATTAGAAACATCCTCTCAGTTTAATTGTGTAATGTTATTCTCACACCACTTACCAATTCTGTGATGTATCTATATCCCAGGTGAAGTTAAGATGCGGATTGAAAAATGAACTTGCAGATGTCGATGAACCTAGCCGATGCGAGTAAGAATCTCTCCACAACCTTCCTATCTATTGTATGTGATCTTGTGTAATAAATCCATTCGATGCATTAACGAGACATGTCTTCTTTCCTTTCAGATATTTGGCACTGTTAAGCACCCCGGCTGTGTGCGTCGAAACTAAACTTAAGGTCACTCTTCGTTTCCTTCCCATTGAATATGATGATGAAAACATTGATTTGGGTTGCTAACCATCCGTATCATTATTCATTCAGGAGCTCGAAGAAAAGTTGGAGGTGCTGAACAAGGAGGAGCCGAGAGTCGAGCAGGGAGAACAACACGACGAGCTATGACCCGACAGACAGCTGCGTAGAGACGAGAATAAGATCAGAGATGGATGGAACGAAAGGCCGGACACGGAGGAGTCAAGTTGAGTCAATATTTCACGAGCAAACAGCCACACCATAGCAGCCATGGCGAGGCCCCCAACACTGTCTGTCTGTGTGTCTTAACTAATTAAATGTAGACTAGACTCCCCATCCAATGCTATCTATAATATAGTCTTCTTGTGACTCAGTTCAGATTACAGACACACATACATCAATGGATTGTATTAAGCAGTTGAGAGAGAGAGAGAGAGAGAGAGAGATCCGTAATTTTGTCAGCTGAGAACATAACCCAACAGGGAAGGAGATGCACACAATTATAATCAACTCATCTAACTTGAAGTGGGTCATGTCCGAAAGTAGTTTTGTAAGTAAAATTTTTTTTGAAGAAATGATTTTTTGGTGCCGAATTCGCAACGTTGGCCAGCCGTTGCCACAACTATTATGTTGTTTACGCGGTGATGCCACATGAGTAACGGCTGGCTACAGTTTGCCATATATATATATATATATTTTATCTTAAGTAAATTAGTGTCAACGTTTTGTGTCTCCCGAAAATCACACTAAAAGTGCCCATCAACCACAGCCATACCCATAATAATAATAATTATTATAATAATAAATATACGTTTTGTGTCTCCCGAAAATCACACTAAAATTGCCCATCAACCACAGCCATACCCATAATAATAAATATAGGATGAAAGCATGACGTATGTATATTGAATGCATTAGTTAATTATATTAGGAGGATATCGTTATTTTATTGATTTAATTATATATATAAAAAGCATTATTAGCATTAAATGTGAAAGAAATTAGGCAAAATTGATTGGTAAGTAATGGCAGTCGCAGTCGGAGTAGCATTCGGAATAGCTTCTTCACCATCTTCATACACATACATATATACATACACATACAAATATATATATATATATAATAGTAGATAAATTGTTATGCTGCTAACTGATTACACACACACATACATTCATACAAAAGGTAAATTTGGAATCCGATCGTCGTTTCTTCCTCTCCTCCGCCATGGATGCTAATAATGTTAAGCGCCCCAAGACTAAGATCGTGTGCACGCTCGGTCCTGTCTCTCGCTCCGTTCCCATGGCCGAGAAGCTCCTTCGCGCCGGCATGAACGTCGCTCGCTTCAATTTCTCTCATGGTTCACACGAGTACCACGCCGAAACCCTCAGCAATCTCCGCCAGGCCATGGAAAACACCGGAATCCTCTGCGCTGTTATGCTCGACACCAAGGTACGTACATTGGAAATATGTATAGTGTATTCTAATTTTTCGCACAACTGGAGAAATGACGTACTGTACATCTTTTACGATCGGTAACGGTATTTATAGGAGTTTTGCTGTACGAAACATGTATCGAATAGCAGTTTTTTCCTCTTGATGTTAGATGTGATTCGAAATGGATCCAGGTGAATTTCATATTCCTTTCTTATAACTGGGGGAAATATGAATGATTTCGTTACTCGTGGTGAAATCTGAATGATTCTGTTGCCAATTGATATCTGAATTCTGATCTTCACAGAGCGTCTGCATTTCACTCTCTTGCACTTGCGCAGGGTCCAGAGATTCGAACGGGGTTCTTGAAGGATGGGAAGCCTATCCAACTGAAACAGGGGCAAGAGATCACAATATCCACTGACTACGACATCAAAGGCGATGAAAAAATGATCTGTATGAGCTACAAAAAGCTTGCAGAAGACTTAAAGCCTGGAGGTGCCATTCTCTGCTCCGATGGCACCATCACCTTCACCGTTCTGGATTGTGACAAGAAGAAGGGCTTGGTACGCTGTCGATGCGAGAACACTGCAGTTCTAGGCGAGAGAAAGAACGTCAATCTTCCAGGGGTGGTTGTGGACCTCCCAACTTTGACAGACAAAGACAAGGATGACATCATGAATTGGGGCGTTCCCAATCAAATCGACATGATCGCTCTTTCTTTTGTTCGCAAGGGTTCTGATTTGGTTGAGGTTCGCAAGCTCCTCGGTGAACATGCAAAAACCATCGTCCTCATGTCCAAGGTCAGTGTCTCTCATTTTAATCTATCTATGCATATGATCAAACCTGTGCAATTCTTCTCTTGAAATGTCTGGTTTGGACATTATTATGTAATTTAGGAGATGATGGTGTGTAATTGCTGAAAATTGGGATATTTTAGTATTGGATAATGGATAGAATTCATTCGTTCATTCATTCATGTTTCCAAATCTGTCAAATAGGTTGAGAATCAAGAAGGGGTGGCGAATTTTGACGACATTCTTGTCAACACAGATGCGTTCATGGTGGCTCGAGGTGATCTGGGAATGGAGATTCCAATCGAGAAGATATTTCTAGCTCAGAAGGTGATGGTATACAAGTGTAACATCCAGGGCAAGCCTGTGGTCACTGCAACTCAGATGTTGGAATCCATGATCAAGTGTCCAAGGCCAACTCGAGCCGAGGCCACAGACGTCGCCAACGCTGTTCTTGATGGAACTGACTGTGTGATGCTGAGCGGCGAAACGGCTGCAGGAGCCTATCCAGAGCTGGCCGTGCGAACCATGGCGAAGATTTGCATAGAAGCAGAAAGTACAATCGACTACGGCGATGTTTTCAAAAGGATCATGGTGAATGCCCCGGTGCCTATGAGCCCGTTGGAAAGCCTGGCGTCATCGGCAGTCCGGACAGCGAATTCTTGCAAAGCAGCTCTTATTCTGGTGCTGACGAGGGGAGGTAGCACTGCGAAGCTGGTGGCGAAATATAGGCCGGGGATGCCGATACTTTCGGTGGTGGTGCCGGAGATAAAGTCAGATGAATTTGACTGGTCATGCAGCGGGGAGTCCCCGGCAAAGCACAGCTTGATATTCAGGGGGCTGGTGCCGGTTCTGTGCGCGGGGTCTGCGAGGGCGTCGCATGAGGAGTCGACGGAGGAGGCGCTGGAGTTTGCGCTGCAGCATGCCAAGAGTAAAGGGCTGTGCAAGGGCGGGGACTCGGTGGTGGCGCTTCACCGGATCGGAACTGCATCCATCATTAAGATTGTGACTGTGAATTGAGTAAAGTATGAATTCATACACAGAAGGATTGGATTGGAATTGAGTTGGGCAGAGGGAGGTGGGTAAGTGTTAGCCTTGCCTCCTCCATTGATATTTCTTCTCAGGGAGGAGCTTTCTTGGATCCATTTGAACTTTTTATTTAAGATACTCCATATGTTTTCATTTTGGTGGTCTGCCTGTTCAAAGAATGAGAATCCCTCCCTCCCTGCTGCTGCTGCTTGGACAGGTGCATACTTCTTATCTCATTATTCAGTCACTCCTTTTTGGCCTTTAATTTATACTTATACACACAGGCATAGATTGGATCATTGTAGCAATAGTAACAATAGTAATAATTTTCGATAATTAAAACATAGATAGATAAAGGGTAGTGTGTACACGAAAAATAATAATAATAAAAAATATAAAAATTAAATTTTATATATACACGAAAACATATCCCACTCGATCCCCAGCAGAAAGGTGTATGTATGTAGGTTTACAAGATACTACTACTACTACGACAATGGAATAATGGTTAGAGGCAGCAATTTGTCAATTTAAAGGGGGATATGTCTAAAGAAAGAAAAGCTGAGAGAGAGAGAGAGAGAGAGAGAGAGAGCTGAGTTTGAGTAAGTTAGTTGAGTTGAGTATACATACATACTAAGAGTTAAGATGACAGAATTGGCTTGGCTTGGCTGGGCTCGGCTTGGCTTGGCTTGGCTTGGCTTGGCTTCACAGATTATCCGGAAGCTCGCCGCCATTAATGCTTGTTACATATAAAGCACATCCAACATATATATATATATATATATATATCAGTTGTTATCTTCATCCTCCTCCCTTGCACCTGCACCTGCTCCTGCTCCTCCATTTGTCGTCGGCTCAGAAGATGTAGACGCTATAGATGAATTTCCAGGGACAGACCGGGGGGATCTCGAGATGGAGATGGAGGATGAGAACAGACTGCTGAAAGGCCATGGCAGCGGAGCTGCTGCTGCTGCTGAATACTGTCTGTCCCTATCCCCACCACCACCACCATTGTTGTTCCCATCATTGCTGGTACTGGTGCCTGTGTTGTTTCTCAATCCCCCCTCCCCTGTGGCTTCAAGCTTCGACTCATCGCAGGGTAACTGGTGCCTGCACACAGGGCAGGAGCTGTGGAGCTCCAGCCATGGCAAAATGCACTCACTGTGGAACTTATGCTTGCAAGGCATCTCCTTCATTTCAGTCCCCGCCTCGCACTCATCCAAACACACCGAACACTGCAGAGTTTCCTCCACCTTCACCTTCGGCAGCGCCTCCACCGCCTCTTTCTGAGCTGGCGGCGTTCCGTATCTGTTAGGATCGTTCTCCGACAAATGCTGCAGCAGCAAGTCGAGACTGGGGCCAATGAAGTAGTCGCCGAACGATCCAATTGGAGCTGGAGCTGGAGCCGGAATGCGGTTCTGAGAGTCGTATGAGCCTTGTACGATTATCGTCTGGTTAAAAGGATTGATCAGGATCACACGCTCCCCTCTGTTATCATTCTCTCTATCTCCACCCTCCAGCTGCAGCTGCTGCTGCTGCATATTCTCCAAATTTGCTGTTTCGGCGAGTATTCCGGCTCGGATTCCTTGCAGGAGTTGTAGGATTGCGGCGGAGCTTCTTCTTCTTCTCCTCCTTATTATGGATTCCAGTTCTCGGTCGAGCTCTGTATCCCTCTCCTGGTGTCCATGGCTGTCGATGCTGAGAACACTTTGATCGTTGTTGGTGGTGGTGGTTGCGGCGGCGGCGGTGTTGTTGTCGTCCTCGTTGTTATCTTCCTCTTCGAATTCCATGTTCCTGATGCGACGGCGCCTCCTCGGATTGCTGATCATGCCGAGCAGAATTGGTGCCCATAGGGAGAGAGCACGGTCAGAATCGGAGCCGAGTTCGAGAGGAGGATCGGAATTTGGGGCAGATGCAGAAGACATTTCCTCGACGAAGCCGCTCTGGCAGATTGGGCATTTGACTGAGTCGACCTCCATGATCGGATTCACCGTCTGCGAACACATATGGCACCAATATCGCGACGACGATGCCTCTGATTCCTCCATTGCAGCTTTACCAGGTTCGTCGGATTTCTAGAGGTATCCTTTTTCTCTTTTACTTTTTTTTTTTTTGTTTTCCTATTCAAACAACAAATGAATCGACAGGGTGAGGGATCAAGCAAGGTTCAATGGCAATTGGCAAGGTATTTCTACTACAGTAAAACAAATTCTCGTTCAGTATTCATCGTCATCATCAACAACAACAACAACAGAAAATGACTACTGCATAGATCTGAAGAAGATTGAAATGACCACAGCAGTCCTTAAACGTTAAATATGGATTGAATTGGAGGAAGGCGAGAGATCGATAATCTCAAACAGCCATAATAAAAGCTCCACGCCAACAAGACCACCATCATTTGATGAGAATTCAAAAACAGAGATAAATTACCTACCGAATTCGGTTTTCTCGGATGATGATATGATGCAGCAGCAATCCAAGTCAATCCAAGCCAAAGCAATCTCTCCTCCTCCTTGTCTGTTCTGTTCTGTTCTTCGCCAGAACAGAAAAGCAAAATGAAAATAGGAAAAGAATCCTCCTCTGCGCGTGTTGTGATGGATGAGTTCTTCTTCGGCTTCGGAGGAAGGAATCCGCGTGGTTTTTGGTTTGAAGACAACAAACAAATACCACTACCAACGATAAAAAAAAAAGAAAAAACAAAAAAACAAATGATTAATATATATGGGAGGGTCCTGGGGCCATCCTGCTGTGGATCGCTCTCTCTCTCTCTCCTCCTCCGCCTCTCATGTGCGGTCGGATCCGATCCTTTGAATTGAATCTAACTACCATTGCCATTACTGTTAAACCATCTAAATTCAGAGGTTGACGATACCACTCATACATATATACATATAAATTCATTATTGTATATTATTCCTTCCCAGTCCAAGAATGGCTGCCACTAAATTATTATTTATTAATTAATTAATAATAATAATAATAATAAGAGAGCGCAGAGACAGAGGAAGAGAAGGCAGCAAAGCAAGAAGCATCCATCATCAGAACCGCGTTTTTCTCCTATTTCCACTCCTCTTACGTTATTTGATTTTTATTTATTTTTCTTTGCCGTTTTTGTCCATTTCAATTAATTGCTTTTTGATGAAAGCATTTTATATTTGTGAGTGATAGTTGTTTGTGTGTTTGGTTGGGAGTTAGGGAGGGTAGGGTAGTAGATACGATAAGGTAGTTCAGATTCGTTACTCCCAAATTTCAACTAATACTTTTTGTTATTTGAATTTGAATTTGATTTTGATTTTAATTTTGATTTTGATGATACCCCGATTCCTTAAATTATTATTTTCAATAAATTACATGCAATTGTTTTAGAATATACTTTTTTTTTTTTTTATGAATTTGAAAATTTTTTAGTTTGAATTTAATATTAAAATAAAGTACGAAAAAATATCTTGTAAGAAAATATATATTTCCTCTGTCTCGTATGGAATTTTAAAAATATTAGTATTATATTATAATAAAATAGAAATAAAATTAAAATGACTAAATTAACCCCTGTTAGTGTAATATATTGTAAATTGAAAAGGTATTTATAATATTATTTTATAATTTTTTATATAAGTAGATTTGTTGGTATTTTAAATATTTTTAACATTATTTTTCAATAAAATATATACAATATAAATATTATCTTATAAGAAATAAAATTTTTATATAATACAAATAAATAAAAATATATATATTTATGTATTTAGCATTACCATAAATTAATTTTATAAAAAAAATAAAGAATTTCAATACAGATAAAAATATTCATGGAGAGAGATAGACTTTTGAGTAAGTCCTAAGGAATTAAGAATTTAATTAAATTGATTTTTATTTATTAAATATATTTAAGATTGATAAATTTATTTAAAATAAAAGCCATTTTGTAGGAAAAAAAAAAAGAAAAATGGGTCATGTATACGTGGCACCACTAAGTGAGTATAAACTTTTATTTTTGTATAAAATATCTAAATTCCATGATATAATTTTAGAATATTTAAATACATATTTTAATTATACATTAATTGTCATTAATTGTGACCATGAGGTCATGGGTTCAAATCCCCGACCTCAGGTCATCTACCACACATGGTTCGCCTAGTGTGACTTTTTCGTTGGGCCTGGTTTGCAGGATATTAGGTTCGGTCGGGGATTTACCCAGCACACTTTCAGGTAGCGACTGTGAGTTCCCGTGTCATAAAAAAAAATAAAAAATACTAACATACTATTAACATAAAAAAAAAAGAGAAAAAAAGACAATACTCTAAAGGTATTTTTTTTTTATATTTGAATTTTGAGTTGAGATTTAAATAGTAAAAAAGTTAAATGTAATAGTTGTATAGTGTAATATAAATAGGCGTTGACGTGATGTTTTGAATGTAAAATTATTTTTTAATATAATATAAAAAATAAAAAATAGATATTTGATTTGATTTTTTTTTTAAAAAAATTGAATAAATAGTTAAAATCCATACAAACTTCCAAAAGAACACAAATATATTTTTTTTTTTTTATTTTTATCAATCTCACTATAAACATATATTTACTAATGTAATAAAAGTAAATCATTAATTTACTAAATTATATTATGTTAAATATTATGTATTTACTAAATTTATTATGTTAAATACTATCTCCGTCCGGCTCGTCCCATTTATTTTTTTTACGTTGATATTTGAATATTAATTATTATATTTGAATACAAATTAAAGAAAAATGACAAAAATTCTTTTATTAGTATCTTATAATAATATTATTGTAATAATATTTGTACAAAAATTTATTCAAACATAAAAATATTTTTAATATTAAATAATAACACAAAAATAAATAAGACTAGTATAACTATATATAACTATACGAAGGCAATATTATGTCAATAACCAAATGCATATATTGAAATGAAACGGACAAAATATAAAACCACACGCTTAAAAAAACATATCATATTCAACATACATTTATATAAATTTGTATTATTTTTAAAAAATTTATGAAATATAAAAAAAATTCAAAACTTTTGTGCAAACGAAACCAATTCCAAGTCCAGTTTCATTCATAGCTGGCAGGCAGGCAACATGCGATGGGACACCCAAATAACACAATTTGATTTCTTGTCAGTCACTGTCACACTCCAGGGGAACTCCACTAATACCAAATTAAATTAATTAATTTTTATAATATTCCCTCCGTCCCACGTACCATGTCCATTTTGCTATTTGTGTTCGTCTCACATACTATGTTATTTTCCTTTTTAAAAAAATATTACACACTTTAATCTCATTTTAAATTTTTTAATTTTTTAAAATTTTAATTAAACTAATTAGTTATCGAAGATAATTATTTTCACTAATACATTCTTAATTATCTACTAATTACACCCCATACTACTCCTACGGTGTATTTGTTTGGGGATTTGAATTTTGAGTTGGAATTTGAATAGTAAAATTTGAATTTGAATAGTTACATGATATAAATAGGTGTTGATGTGATGTTTTGAATTTAAAATTAATTTTTAGTATAATATAAAAAATAAAAAATAAATGTTTTATTTGATTCTTTAGGAAAAAAAAATAGGATGAATAGTAAAAATTTAATCCAATCTCCCCGACAAACACACTCTAGAATATCTTGATTCTATAAAAATTTAGAAAATTAAGGGATAATAATAGTAATAAAATTGAATAAAATATAATTAATTATTTCATATTTTATAAATATTGTTGAAAATTCCTTCTGTCAATTTTATTTTTATTTTTTTTAATTCGTCTACTAAATTCATCCTATTATTAATTTTAGCAAAATCAACAAATCAACATTTAATTATTAGACTATAACAAATACTATTATATTACATTCTCTCTCTTTATTTACTTTACTTTTTAACTAAATTTTTAAAAATACCCAAAACTATTAATTTTTAATAAAATATTCATTTTATTTATTTATTTTTTTAATTCTCGCCGGACCAAAATAGGCTAATTTCAATTCTAGGCAGTGAGTATATAGAACATCTAAATAAAAAATATTGCAAAATATATAAAATGAACAGAGTAATATATCAAAGTGGATCAAACTAAAACCCAAAAGCTAGAACAAAATCCAAGATGGTTGGGTAGGTCCCACAACACAAATTTGAAAGAGCCAAGAGAAGTCAGAAGTATGTTAATGTTGCTTAAAATTCTGTTTTGCATTCATCACAATCTTTTACACTAATCCCACCAGAACCACCTCATAGAATATATGCATATATATATATATATATCAGGAATCAGGATCCTCTCTCTCTCTCTCTCTCTCTCTCTCTCTCTCTCTTACTAGGACAAAAATATCAAATGTAAAACGAATGCAATATAATCTCTGACTGTACATATAATAGCAATGCAATATGTCTGTCTAGTAATTGAGCAAATTGTGAACTCCCTTACCTCCAATAACCAAACAAAACCCCACTTCAAGAAACTAACCATCCATTTTAAGCCATCTGCACTTTTCTTGTATCAGCAGCAGCAGCAGCAGCAGCATTCTCATCCTGAAACATTGTTAATCAGTGAGTGGGCTCATCAGTGTATATCTTATGGACAAGCTTTGATAAAAGCTGCGATGTTAGGGCGATGGATCAAACAGAAGTATTAGTCACAAAATAATGGAAATGAATTGAAACTGGAGCATCTTTTGATATAATGGAAAAGGATGGATCTGATCAAAGTTCTTGGCTGATATAAAATTCTGTTGCTCATTCTTATGCACTAGTCCTAGAGTTTAAAAAGAAATGCTTATACAAAGTATAGGGGATCACTGAGATAAAGCTACCAACTTACATCTTTAGCATGAAGAAGTCTGCCTGGGGATGGGTTTGGTGGAGATGATCCATCAGCAGACATGCCGTCTGGTACAGAAATCTCCTGATTGTCGCTAACCTGGGGGAGAATACCTCAATAAGCTTCATTTCAGTCAGTGAAACACAAGAAACATAATTGATCTGATTTATAACGTAAGGTGGGAAGCCTGAGAAAACAAATCCTATAGCAGAAAGACTCGGGCAGAACATCTATATCAACCAACATGTAGGATAAGCATTAAGCTCCACAGCAATGTTCAGATTGTTATAATGTTCGCATAAATAGAATTAAGAAATAAAATTGCACTCAGTTCTATTTTATACCAAGCACATTCCTTATCCTACCAAGGCTCTTGAAGGTTCTGCCATGGAGGATATTGGATAGGCAGCAACAATCAGTAGAGTGAAAAGTGAAGGCGATTTTATTTTATATTATATTTGATCATTGTCCCATCACTCAACTCTTAGAATGCCACTACCACATGCTGCCACAACCCACAAGACAAACCAAGTCTAGCCATCAAGGCAGCTGCTATAATAATTCACTAATACAAAAGATATACTTTATAATGAATGACCCAACTACCCTTTCTAGACAGTGAAGCAGTTCAAATCACATGTATGCAGAAATCCTATTCCTCTTTGTAATTCTCACAGGGGCCACATCAAACCAAACAATCCAATAATAGTTTATATAAATAGGGATAATTACCTTAGAACACAGAGCAGCTCAGATTATCCTTTTTCAAATTTATCAGACACTAATAAAAGACTATAAAATGTTAACGATGTAAGATACGGGAAAAACACTAGGTGGAATGGCTGTTGAACGAAGCAAAAAGAACAACATGCTACCCTCCAAGGGAATTCCTATGGGTTTCTAATGATTATTAACCTTTATGTTATTTTATAACATAGTCAATCCTCCATATATAATGGTTAGCTATCTTATCACAGCGTACATGTATTGTTCGAATTTTACAAAAGTTTCCAACTCAAAATTAAGTAGTGAAGTCAATCTTAGGTGTCAACTCCGCTGATCTCCACACATTTCCCTATATTTGTTCGTGACCAATATCAGCAGTCATTCCTCTACCAAACTTTTCTCCTCCACTATCCAATCCAGGGTTTTTTTCCCTCAGGGCTCACTAATCAACTTCTCATCTCGCCAACGGAGTACTGCCATATGTGAAGATTGCCATAAAAAACATTAATCATGGTAGGGGGGTAGGGTAGTGTAAAACTGCAGCAAAATAATTGATAATAATACCAAGAAAATCTTTAATGGACAAAATTTTCAAGCTAAACTCTTCAATCATTTTACATAAATATTTCTAGACCTTTTCAAGATCTACAAGAAAGAAACGAAAATCGTAGGTCATGTTGAGCATTGTCAAAGCATTATCTCCTAGTAAGTGCACTTCTATCAATCTACATGAGGGAGTATTGCAAGTTAAGATATGGTTTGAGTGAATGGAGCATACCCCATCCCGCTCCTCAAAAAGAGATGAGTAGTATGTAGGATCATATATTGAGCCCCCAACAGCATGATCACAACCGGAAGGATTCCCAACCATAGGAGTTGAAGGGTTGAGAAAACTATTCCTCAAATCTGCATCTATATCTCTAGCACCTGAATTATATATGTAAGAAACACCCAGTCTGTACATCTGTATCCACAATAGAGATGATGAAATCCTCACGGAGAATCCAATAATTTGCATTGCAAATGTCAGCTTAACCAAATCGCTGACAAATGTTCCATAGAACTCAGAGGGAAAGTGCCTGCAACCATAGATGGCAATTTTATACGTTTAGAGTCAAGGAGAATGCTGAGAATTATTTGGTGATTAAATCTACAATATAATGTTGTTCAATACACTCAATTGAAACAGGTAGAGGTATAAAGGATTAACACCCGTCTTTATGGAAAATTGAAGCATCTACCCAGTTTAGATAGAGCCACACAGGCAGCAGCAAGCAATCTAGATAAAAGTTAACCCCATCACATATTTACAAGGCAACAACAAACTTTGAACCAGCAGCTAATGTATAAAAAGTGAAATCCACGATATCAAACACAGTTTGGCATATAAGTAGATATGGTGTCTCTGATTTTGGTCTCAGGTTACACGCATTTTTATAATTGCAGTAATCTAGAACCATCAGAGAGCAGTTGTGAATGAAAGATAAGAAAGACAGATGTCTACCAGCCTTTATAATTACAACAATGTCCTTGGATTGAAAATTAGAGGAAAAAAAAAAGTATTTTTATATCATAGATCATTTGATTGTCACAAGTTCAGAAGTATGATTTAGTGTGTGAACTAATAAAGACATGCTTAAAACTCTTCTTGTGCGCATAGGAAGTTAAAATGGATACGGGGCTTACTAGGAACAAAAACCAAGAACTCATGGGACCCTTCTAAGGATTTTGCATAACAGAATAACAAAGCTGTCCAGAATGAAGTGACTATCAGAGTTCATAGATGCAATGAATTGTTCTTGGAATAATAAATAGAAACATTAGATTAAAACTTTCAACTGAATCAACCCTATATTAACATAATTCCAACCCTTCAGGTGAATCTGTCATCAGCATACAAAGCAGCTAATCTTCCTGTATGAGTGGTCCATAACTGCATGTCAGGATGTCACCAAAATACTTCCAAAGTGAACTACAGTCCAGTTGCATTTATTGCAAAGCTGACACCTCAAACTCTCTAAACAACAAACTAGATGCAATGACTCATTCATTTCCATATATATATATATGTAAATACATAGCAGTCTAAGTTAAAAAGACCAGAGTTATTGACCAAAGGCACATAATGCTGGGACACTTATACCCACACAGTACATAATATTTCAAGCCAAAATCAGGATGTCATCAAATTTTACAAGCAATACAAAAATCAGTTTACATATATAAATTATATAGGAAACTGAACACTTTATTGTGGATAGTGATTATTAATCAATAGCTACAACTAATCCAACAACAATATTCGTCACATAGTCAATAAATTCCAATAAATCATATGAAATAGCAGTTTGGAAATAAGCAAAGCAACTAACAGGACATGCTAATGGATACATTAATCAGCCAGGCTTGGGGAAATGAGTACTTGTCAAACTTGCAGTGGTGTAGACATCGCAGACAAAAGAAGATACAATACTAAGCCAATCAACCTTCATGGTGACAAATAGCAAACCATTCATCCCATTTCTCTATCAAACCAAAGGCACATGGACATAGCTGCAGGTTGGAAGCATAGAAAGTAGGCAGCGGCAATTTCATGACGAAACCAGTCGTAATATAAATCAATCCTAAACCAAGACGTAGGACAGGCAGAAATACAGGTCATAAAGCATATAGTGACATTTCCTTGATGAATTTTTTTTTAAACAACGATCTGAGAAGCGAAGAACTACAGATATTCATGGAAAAGTAGACAGTTGTAGGCTAAGAAAGCGAGAGTACCAGATATCGTGCGAGAAAAGCAAGAACCAAGAAATGTCGAGGGCAATGGAGCAGAAGAGGAGGCAAGCGTATGTCCTAGCAAGTGTCTGACTGCTGCTCTCAATGGCGACAAGGCCGAACAAAGAAATCCCCAAATTGAGGAGCAATATGCCGTTGTAGAGCGGGCCAAGCGATCCAATCAATGCGCAGCCAATCTGAGCGTAGATCAGTTTGACGGCGAGGCGCTGAAGGTTATCATAGTCTCGAATCCAGGCCTGTATATCTGTCCACCGCAATCCACAACGCATCATAAGCCAGATTCACCACTGTCGTGCAATTACAATCCAAATAAGAAGAAAGAAGAAAAAGAATCAGTGGACAGCAGGTGGAGTCACGAGCAGGAAACTGTCGACTGCTCGCGCACTCTCTTCACGAGGAGGAAAAAGACAGCCACGGTACTGGCCGGAAAGTAAGTTACCGGCGACGGCGCAACAAATCGATGATCTCGGTTCAATGTAGTCTCCTCCGATTGCCGTCCTTGGCCTTGCTGCGGTTTAATTTCATTATTTGCATAGAAGCCCCTCGGTTATGCCCAATTGGCAAAAACAGCGCACGTCTCTGTCTGTCATCTGTGTAACTGTAATTGGCTTGCGCGCACTATTTATACCGCCCTCGTCTCTCTCTCTCCGTTTGATTAAATAATAGAAAATTGTTATTCCACACGTGCTGTACATGCTTTCACTTTTATTTTACAATTTTATTTGATGTATGCGTTACGAATACTGAGAAATGAAGATGATCTAATTTTATTGAGTTAGAGAATAAGGAGTTGACAAATAAATTAATTTTTTTTTTTTTTTTTGGTCATACAGAAGCAGAGAATTGAATACTATATTTATTTTTATTTTTTCACAATTTAACTTTTATAAATTTTTTATATTATACTATATTATTTTAATTTTATAAAATATTATATTTAATTAATTATTTAAATATTTAATTTTTATAATTTTTAAAATAATTATACTAAAATTTAATTTTACAAAATATCTTATTTAAATAACAAAATTCAACACTAAAATTTCTTCATATATTTTCACTAGATAGATTTCTCTTGATGAATCATTTATTTTAAATCGGTCTATTATATTTCTTTTATATTTTTTAATTAAATTTTTTATTTTTACTTAAAAATTAATTATCTTACTTATTACGTGAAATTCACTGTTCCTATCCATCCGAAAGTGTTAATCGAATAAATTTTCGTCATTTAGGAAAATTTTATTATTGTTATTATTATTATTTACTGCGGTTTAAAACAATTGGGATGCTACTGCATATCGATCCAGCGAACAGCTAGTGCGTGTGACTACGTCATTGAGAGGGAGAAGAAGAAGAAGACCAACTGGAATGGGAGAAGAAGGAGACCCGACTGCTCCGGTAACCGACTCTGCACCGCCGCCGCCGTCCTGGCGATCTTACCTATCGGAAGATCTTCCCCGCAGCGTCCAAGAGTCCGCCGATTCTGCCATTGGAGCTGCGCGCTCACTCCAACAATCCTCCTCCAACCATTTCCGCTCCCTTCAGGTACCCCTTTCCATCCTTTGTTATTCCTCCTCGAATCTCACTTCTATTCCTGTCCTCCAACGAAAGCTATTTCTCGCGCCTGCGTTTTTCAGGATCTCGCTCCCGAGATCAGAGCTCGATACAGTAATTACGAGGAGGCTTTCGTCCACAGAGTTAAAGGTTCCTGTCTCCTACCTCCGCCTTCTCCAACATCTGTTCCGTATAAATTTCTTATTTCCTTTGTTGCCGTTGTTGTTATCCAATGCTTGCGAGCATTTTTTTTTTGAACCAGAGAATACATGGAGGAATACGCTCCTTAATCCCTAATTTCACAATTTTTTCATAGCTACTTTTTGTGTCTTCTGCACATTCTTTCTTTATGTGTTTTCTTTACGGCGCCTTAATTTTGTTTACCGCTTGTCTACTGTATATGCAGATGAGTTGACGAATTTAGCAGAGCATCCAGCTCTAGCGTGTGGAGTTGCTGCTTCTGCACTACTTCTTATGCGTGGTATGCTTCATATCTCATTCCCGAGCCTCCTTCATTTCACAATTGTAAACCAATTAGGTTTAAATAAAATCCCGATTAATAGTGCCTTGTACAAACTGTATTTCATTATTCTGCACTTGCTTCCTCATAGGATTAGATACTGTGTAACCATCCATTATCCAATACCAGTCGCTTAATTCAACCATGACTCTACCCTTTAGGCACTGCAACAAAAGTTTATTATTGTAAGATGACTTGTTGGGGCTTGTGGTATGCAGCTATGGCCATTTTCCAAAATTTGTCTGCCATTCTATAATGTCATTAAGGAGATGTCAGATTAAGTTTTCTTATGAAAAAAAATAAAAGCCAAGGGAAAAAAAACCTTGCTAATGCTGCATTTAAAATAATATTCCCCTTTTGTTTCAATGCTATACACAATCCAGAATGTCACATCTGTTTATTGAGGAATAGTGACCTCACCCAACTTATTTATGTTTTTGGAGGAGGTGGTTTTCTTAACATAGATTGGAAAAAATGAAGAAGATACTGACTGGTCTCCTTTTACAACAATGGAAGTTTCTTTATAGCCAAAATAGAAAAAGGGCAGAATGCTATTGATTTCAGTTTTGTGTTGTCTTTGGGTCACTCCATAACATCTTAATCCCTGACATGAGGACACTTCTCTTGGTGTTCAACCATTTATGTTGTGCCAATTTCATATGTAATGATCTTGTAGAATAAGTGGTTTAGATCCTTGTTGTTGAATAATGTCCAGAGCTTACTGAATGATCAATAGCAAAATGACCTTGGGAGAACCATAAGAGCCATGGAATGAGAAATAAAATACCTCACCTAAAAACTGAAGATTTTTTAAATCACTCAAAAAAAAAAAAAAAATCAATTCTTGCATGTAGAACAATTTTTCGTTAGTAATTGAATGTGTGACTTCATGTTTTTATATTACATAAAATAATGCCATTTTCTAGTTGCTTTGGCTAACCGCCTCACCAAATAATCACGTCCTAATTTGTGTGTATAATACTATTCACCAAGACAACCAAACAAATCCATGAATAGTGCATGTTATGGAAGATGTTAATATTTGATCTGTCTTCGATGAGCTCAACTGGGTTTCTAAGTGAATTAATCTATTCATGAATTTGGAATGAACCTAGGGTTAGCCCATTAGTGGGAGAAATTTCTCTAGCTCATGTGAGTGCCATGTGCTCTATTTCTTGTTTTAAGCTCATGAATATTTTGTTTGTATTTGTAGGGCCAAGAAGATTTTTATTTCGGCATACATTTGGCCGGCTTCAGAGTGAAGAGGTAGCACTAATATCTCTACCGTCTATATCTTCACATGAATATATATGGGGAGTTTGGACCTGAGTAATCACTGCATTCATACTGTCTGATATGTTCTGCCGGCTTCACTCTCTTTTATGCGTATGGGCAGTTTGTGCATAAAAATATGTTGATTGGTATTCATCACCGTTAATCTCCAATGTTGTTTTCAGGCACAATTCATTAAATCGGAGAAGAATGTCAAAGAGTTGGCCTTGTCTGTTGATATAATGAAGAAGGAAAGCAATAAACTTCTTGAAAGATCAGCACTAGCAGAAAAAGACATGAAGCGTGGCCATTATGACCTCATGTAGAAGATTATTTGTGTTTATTTGATTTGTGTATGGAATAAGCTGTTGTACTATGGACTTAATGTTTGAATATTTATGCAGGGATGCTGGAAGTCAGATCCAAAACCTCGCTAGATCAGCTTATAAGGCTGAAGTACAAGCTGCTGGTATGTTTTCAACTTTTTACTTCATGTATCGTTCTAGTTTAATTTCTGTGTTACTTATTTAAACATTTTGAATACGATATAAATATTAAGGCCTATAAAAACCGAAAACTAGCTTAAGGAGAATCGAAAACCACATTGCTTCTGAGTAAGCGAATGTTTGAGTGACTCTACCCTTCTCTTTTCTTGAGTAAATTCAATTGTTATCAACATGTTTGAGCATTAAAAGTAATGAATGATAAAAGCTACTAAGGATAGTGAAGCTAATGTGCAAGTGACCATCCATTCTGTTTATATTGCAGCATACACACTACCTTCTTTCCTGTTGCTAGATTAAAAAAAGTTCCGCATATAATTTTTTTTTCCCATACTTTGTCAAAAATGCCTCGAATTAAGTGTTTGGGGCATCTAGATCACGCACATCTCCTTTATGATGGCATATTTTAGACTTTTCTTATGTTCCTCAACTTCCCACCCTGTAATGTTTGTGTTCATGCATTTTTATTGTCTGAGATTTCCCTTAGATTTAATGGATCTGCTGCGAGAAATTCCTGGCAGGGAAGCTTTGAAGCTACGAGCAGATGTAAATCTCATCAATCTTAACAAAACTGACTACATGTTTTCCTTTTTCCATTTCACTTGAAATTTAAAAAATTTCTTTTCGACATCTGCTATGGCAGGTTGCATCATTGGCATCACATCTGCGGCAACAGAGATTGGCCATGAATAAAAGAATCTTGAAGATCTCTGAATTAGGTGTTCCAGTGTGATAATTTTGACCCCATTTCTCTGTTAATTTGGGGAAACTGACCATACAATATTTATAACTGGTATTGTGAGAAATTTTCGAAGTTTCCATGTGCATCACACTCCAACTGTGAGTTGGGATTGAATATGGTTTGTGAGCAGATTGATGAGTTTGCTAGTCATCATGAATGTAGTAGTGAAGAATCTCCCAGTACCAATAATAATAAGTGAAAAACAAACAAATTGGCAGTTGAATGTGTTTTATTTCCATGGCCTAACTTTTAACCTTAATAATACTTTCTCTCTTTCGTAGAAGGGTTACTTCTTATTTTTTGTATAGAAGAATATTTATTATGTCAGCAGACTGAAATGAAAAATGACAATGGGACGAAGAAGTATATTCTTTCCCTAGAAATGAAAAACAAACCTTCGACGCCTCAGATTACTTTTTTTTTTTTTAAATACAAATTTTATATTTTTACCCTTCATTTATTTATTATTTTTAATCTCTATCATACAATTAAGGATAAATTTATCGATTCATAACAAAAGACAATCACCTAAACAACCGTGCTAGTATACTTTAGGATAATAAAAATTGGACGGAGGAAGTATATATATTCTTTCCGATCAAAATAGTAACAATAATAATATATTCTTTGCACCATTAGTGAAATATATGAATCAATTCAGCAGTGTTTACAAACAAAGTAGGCTCACCCCTAAGTTAAGAACCCTAATAATATTGTTCTCCATTATAACGAAATACATTCATCCATACATTTCTGAAATATTCTTAACACCAAAAATAAAACAAATGTCCTATTCTGCTCGGAGGTCAAATTGTTACCTCAGCTCAGGCTTTGCACTGACTAGCAAATATGTTTATTTCCTCATCTGTGTAAAAAGACTGGATGAAGGTTTCGCAATTCCTGTACCACCATTGCCTCCTCCGAAAGCGGCAAACCCACCACCACCACTCGGCTGCTGGGTACCAAAAGCTCCAAATCCACCACCACCTTCAAGTTTTGCACGACAAAATCAGCAAGCAAGAAATATCGTTAGCTATACAAAAATGAGTCATCGTCTGTTATGACCAACACTGAAGTGATATATATGCACAGTTATATAACTAACTAAAAGGATAAATTCTTTGCATTAGATGGTTAGCTAGCAATTTATATTTATAGCATATTTACCCGAAGCAGCTGCAAAACCACCACCACCACCACCACCTGCTGCCGCTGCAAATCCACCAGCTCCTGATGCCAGACTTGCAAATCCACCCACTGAAGGAGCTGAAGTAAATCCACCTCCAAAAGCACTACCAGAAGAGCCTGCGAAACCACTTCCAAAGCTACTTGCAGAGGCAACATTGCTTCCTGGTAGGGCAGACCCAAACTGCCTAGATTGTCCAAAAGAACCAAGAAGCGAACCTAGAGCTTGTTGGCCTGCTCCTACATGCGCTGGCTGGCCAAATCCAGCCGCTGCTGAAACTTGACCAGAGTTTCCGGAACCAAAACCACCAGAGAAACTGACAGGCGAGTTTGAAGGGTTTGGAGGCTGCGGAGATTGAATGTTAAAAGAAGCAGGTCGAAACAGCCCACCACTGGAGGATGGCATCAACGGAGGGGTAACAATAGATGAATCTTGTTTGAGAATTCCTACACCAAATGGATTTGATTTTGGCACAGATGGATTTAGGGTTGTGCCAAGTCCAAAACCATCAAGGCTCCCAATTGAAAATTCAGTTGCTTGTTGAGATTCAGGGGCTTCCTCATCCATTTCTTCCTCATTAGAAACATCTGTGATGGCGTTTTTCATACTGCCGACAACTCCTTCAGTTGGTTGAGAAATTTGTGGAAGAGGTTCAGTTGTTTGAGGCAGTTCTAACTTGGTATCAGGTGTTACCACAGGTGAACTCTTTGAAGAGCTGCTTACAACAGTAGAACTTACAGAATTTAGATCTAATACCGCAGCAGGTGTAGATGATGGCACAGGAAGTCCGAGTTTCAAACTGGATTGAGAAGCTGACTCCCCAGGCTGTGATGTTGGAGCCTGTATATTAGCATCCTGTCCAGGTTTTAATGACATATTGACAACCTGAGTCACTTTATGGGAAGCATCATCTGTTTTTGCACCACTCATCCCAACAGGAGGCTTTGTCACTGAAGTCGCAGACTCTGATTTGTTTACACCAGAAGAAAGTGATGCGGATGGAGGGCTGCTTGGATGAGTTGAGAAAGGTGATGGAAAAGGAAAACTTAAGGCAGATGGAACTGATCCCAAAGGCTGTGATGCAGCTTGCCTTGGATTCACACTGGCTCCAGGGCTAGGAGTCGCAGGGAAGAGTGTTGATGAGCTTGGCTTTGACACAGAAGACGAAACTGATGGAATATTGCTACTTGAAACCAATGTTGGGCTGATCACTGACTGCAATGAGGTAGAAGCTGTTAAACCATCATTAGACTTACTACTAGCCTTTTCTGCAGTTCCAGTGAATGAACCTTTCTCGAATACATTGAAGCCAGAACTAGAAGCAGATGCAGAAGTGATAGGACTTTTAGATCCAAATGCAGGGGCTTCAGATGCTACCAAAGAATTTTTCTGATCCCAGGCTCCAAATTTCGATCGATCAACATTCTCAGTAGAACCAGAAGGTGGATTCATCAGATTTTCAGTCAACTGTTTGGAGATAGATGGTGATGCATTGAAGCTTGAATCAGATTTCTGGACAACTGTAGACGGACTTCCAGCAAAAAAATCTGTCTTTCCAGGAAAAGCTAGACTGCTTTTTGGCTTTTCATCAAATAGCTTGAGAGCTCCTCCCAATTCTCGATTTCCAGTGATCCTTGTCTCCAACATGGATGTTTGGAGCTTCGAAGATGTCACTTGAAGTCCAGGACCTATAAGACCAGCTGTCTTTTGAGATGTTGCTGAGTTTTTGCCAGGCGGTTCTGATGACATTTCAGTAGTGCCTGAGAAGTATACTTGCTTCTTAGAATATATTTTGATCAAAACAAAAGTTGCATGAATTACTCCAGATAAATTTTACCTTTGGTTTTGTTACTGTTCCCAGAGGCTCCGGAGATATTTACAAATGCTGATTGAGCAACTTCTGATACATTCTGTGCCTGAGATGAGAAATGAGGTTTAGAAATGTTTGAAAATGACTGGCTTGCACTCCCCTTCTCAGAGCTGCCTTTTAGTATTCTCTTTACAGTAGTTTTCGGCGGATCAAAGCTAGCCCAACTCTGCATAATAGTGGAGAGTAGAACAATGTAAATAATTTCTGTGTAACAACATTTTCAAATGGAAAGGAGAAATGTGTAAACATGCATACTTGATAAACAAACTTTTAGGAAATCCATCTTGTTCATCACCCATTATTAGTACTGTTGTTCCAGATAAAATACATTCTTCTAACTAAGCTAACATTAACATTCCTACCATTCTTTGTGTTTAAGATGAAATGAGAAGCCAATACAATCAAACTGTGGAGAATTGAACATCTAGATTTAAGGGGCATGCCAACACACATGGTACAGGCATATCATTTCCTGAGGTAGGATGCCGGACAAACACTATGTAAACTTTCAAATCCACAGGAATTTTGTTTTATAGGGGTCAAAAGCACTCATTTGATTTTCTTTTTCGAGCTACCATTATATACAGCACCATCTAACCAATTATTACTAAAACACATAGATGCCACCTAGGCAATAAGTACAATCTACCAGAACAGTCGCAAATCAACCCTAAGAAGTATACATTCCCTCATTCCCAATATTCCTCCCAACTTATTTACGTGCCAAAATACTAGGCATGAAGGTGAGGAAGAATATTTTTCTAGCACAACTTTCTAGCTACCAAGTAAACGCTAATGACATCAATTCAAGCGACCTAATTCAAGAACACATGTACATATACAAATGCAAATATTACTAATATAATGTAAGTTACCACAAATAATCATCTACAGACCAAGAAAATAGGTATGACATCAAAATCAAGAAAACATAAGTAGAACATAAAGATGGGTAACTCAACAAGAAAAAAAGCCAAAATTCAGTATGCAGAAACTTTTACATGATCCAGAGATTCTCTGCGCCGCCTGGCAGTTTCTGGTTCATCATTCTTAACAAACGTAGCATGGTTTCTCTGAGATTTTTCTTTGGAAGAAAAAGTGCCCGAAGCAGCAGAATGTTCTATTTTTGAAGGTGTTTCAAATGTTCTAACTCTTGCTAGAGATCTTGGGGTCTCTCCACCATAAGAGAGGCCAATGCATTCAAAGAGCTGCTTTTTCAAGTCTTCTTTTCCGGAAGATTCAATACTCAAAGCAGACATCTGATCTGAGAGACATCCGGAAAGCTGCTCAGCAGCTGTTAATTGTGCCTGAATTGTCTTATGTAGACTCTGCAAGGACTGAATTTTCCTGCAACAAGAAAACTTTCACCTCGGATGATAATAGAAGGCTCTTCCTAGTCACATCCAAAGTCTTTTATTCTGGAAAATCAATAGAAATAAAAAAACTGAACCTCCAAAAAATTATACAAAATACCTAGATGGCCCCTGAGAATTCTGCAAAACCCTCCTATCATTCCGCATTCCTCCATTTTCACCAAATTTGTTGAACTCCAAAGAATTGAAATGCCTCTCCAATTCAATCAACTTATTGGTCAGCTCCTATATGTTCGCATGTTGAGTTAAAAGGGCAAAATGATAGTACTTGGTTCAGGATTACAGAAATTAGAGCAAAAAGATTTTAAAGGTCGACTAATATCAACTATAATGTGCACCTGGTTCAGCTGTAATATACGCCTTTGCTTCAATTCCAATTCAGAGCTCAACTTTTGACGATTCCAAAGTTCCCAATATCTGCTATCCTTAGCTTGCTTGAAGATTGCTTCCACATATACTTTCCTGACAGAAACTGAAATAGCAGATGCTATTTTAATTAATGATTGAGAAAATTACAAGGTATAGCACTGGATAAGTTATGTCAAAGACTCATGTGATAAAAAGCAGTTTAACAGTTCTTTCTGCAACCTGAAGATAAACCCATGAAATGATAAGCCAATTTAGCAACATACAACCTTTACTGGAAGAGAATATATAAATCAAATTCCAGGGTCATATTAATAGACAAAATGCTGACTTGTAATTCAATCAGCCAGATTTCCACAACTATAAAGATAAAGATTAGGCGAATTACGTGACACCAAGACAAGATCACATGAAATCAGTTATATTATCAATCATCTGGGCCATTAGGATGCCATAAACATCTTCATACAGTTAGTTCAAATAAAACGCCAGCCCTGTTATTTATTATTGCATAACTTTTCCAGAAAATAAAACGTCTCAATCAAGTCCCCTATTAGAGAAGCCAAACATTAATGGACTCCTCCACTTAAAAACAACAATTATGGCAATGGACAAGCAGAGAAAGTTAGCTCCAGCAGAAACAAAGTAGCAAGCCTGACACTTTTATGGTTATCATACCCTTTCCAGCCAAGTGGTTTTCACATTAAGTGGAACCAAAACAAAAACAATATGAATAGTCTCTAACATAACTACAAAAAAAAAAAATGTATCCAACTACTATAATTGCATAATCGTACCACATAAAATAACTAAAAAACAAATGTAAGCACTGAAATATGGAGAAAACCTTGTATCATCTTATCAAAAAGAAGTTGGACTTCCCTTAGTTGTTTATCCATTAACCCCTGCATAGTCGAGAAAATCAACAAAAAAATTAGACAATTTAGTAATATGATGCAAACAAACTAACGCTGAGCAATGAGCATCATTGCTCCAGTCTAACTCTGAAAAAGCCGGAGGTTTTTTGTAACAGGTTGTTAAATTTGAACTTCAGATCACATGGAGATTAATGATGAATCTGGAATTCAGAATTTCCAACTACGGCAATTCAGTTGGCCATGCACATTATTTTGACTTTGGTCAAGCAATTACTTGCTTGCAAGTGTTTATTAAGCACTGGACATGACCCCTTCTCTAATACTATATCTTCAGAAATCCATAACGAACAAATGAACAACTTTTCACCAACAATATAAAACCATCATCAACCCTAGAAATCTGCTCCTTCTGGAAAATTTATCAATTGAATAACACACCATATATAAAAAGGATGGAAAATTTATGACATAGGGGAAACATTGCGAATCGTTAGCCTGCATAAGGAAAAGATATATGGAAGAAGAACAAACCCTCCAAACTCTGCATTTGTTGGAAAAAGCCCATATGTCCTCCTCCAATGCTGCTAGTCGCTCAATTTGAGAAGTGATGGATGCATCTCTGAAGCCTCCCTTTTCTTCAATACCTTCTAGAAGACTATCCAGATTTTTGGCCATTTCTTCGACCTGAAGATGCAGAGCATTTAGAAACAGACACTATGCGATCTAAATAAATTGCAGATCTAAAAGAAAACAAATAAAAGGCCCAAAAAACTTTATAAGGCACATTCAGCTCCACATTGCTTTCAAACCCCAGAAAGGGACAATGAGTTTATTATAGTAAGTTCATGGAGATCAAATTGAAATTTAGACAGAATGTATAGAACAGAATGAATCACTTTAGTAAGTATTATGTTTACATTTCCAAACTGTTTCGATGTAGTTCGAGAAAAGGATGGCTGCCCCATAGACGAGGAAGGAACATTGAATCCCTTTCTGTGTTCAGGCACTGAAGGCTTTCCTGAAGCAGCACTCCCACCAATGGGAACTGATGAAACAGGATATACCGGATTTCTATTACCCTGTCCAGTAGGCAATGTCTGTCCAAAAGAACTGAAAGGGGAAGATGTTTCTTTCTCCTTTAGATCTGTTGGATGTCGCGATGCACCTCCAGCAGATTGAAATGCATTTTTGTTTGACGCGTCAACTACATTTGGGTGTGTAACAGGATATGCCGGAACTGAGTTTCTACTACCCAGTCCAGTAGGCAATGTCTGTCCATAAGAACTGAAAGGGACAAAAGATTTTTCTTTCTCTTTTAGATCTGTTGGATGTCGTGATGCACCTCCAGCAGATTGCAATGCACTCTTAGTTGAGGTATCAACTACATTTGGTTGTGATATAAACCTCAAAGTAGAAGATTTTGAATCATCAAGTCTAGCATTTGACTTGGTTGAGGACAACGCAGATCCAGAACTTGTTTGGGGCACTTTACTTAATGGCTCCATATTCGTACTTAACATTAGATGCTGGCTTGCTGATAGATGAGATATGTCACCTCCAACTTGCCCTGGAGACGAGCCGATGCCAAATTTAGCTTCAGATACTGGCCCCTTCTCTTTGTTCTTTTCTAGAGTCTCTTTAGGCTCACTCACTGGCAAAGTCCGAGGATTAATAATTTGCTCTTGGGATCTGACATCAACATGAGAAGATGACGACAGATTCTTTGGGACAGAGGCCTCAGCAGCAGTATTTACAGCTTCAGTTTCAGTCACTGTCAATGCACTCTTAGTTGAGGTATCAACTACATTTGGTTGTGATATAAACCTCAAAGTAGAAGATTTTGAATCATCAAGTCTAGCATTTGACTTGGTTGAGGACAACGCAGATCCAGAACTTGTTTGGGGCACTTTACTTAATGGCTCCATATTCGTACTTAACATTAGATGCTGGCTTGCTGATAGATGAGATATGTCACCTCCAACTTGCCCTGGAGACGAGCCGATGCCAAATTTAGCTTCAGATACTGGCCCCTTCTCTTTGTTCTTTTCTAGAGTCTCTTTAGGCTCACTCACTGGCAAAGTCCGAGGATTAATAATTTGCTCTTGGGATCTGACATCAACATGAGAAGATGATGACAGATTCTTTGGGACAGAGGCCTCAGCAGCAGTCTTTACAGCTTCAGTTTCAGTCACTGTCAGGGTAGGTTCTCTGTTTTTCCCATCATCTGCAGAAGAGATGAGGTTCACCTCAGGCTTGGCTGATGTCTGAGAATTGTCATCTTCCTCATCAGAAGTCCAAGCTTTAGATGACACTAAAGCACCTGCAGCACTACAGGAAGGTAGATTTAACAAGTAGCTTCCACATGGTGCAAATCCCAAATGATCTCAAATTAAATAACTGAAAACTATAGAAGGGTACACACAAACCTACCTAGCAAAGTGGAAAACTGAAATATTTCCATCAATAGTCAAACATATAATTATGCAACAAGGTGAGGCTTCGGTTTCTTCATCCCCCAGTGTGAATGTAACATTCTCCTTTTGGGAAACTTTGTCAACAGAAAGCCCCACAAGCACATTTTCTTCACCATCATCTGAGATCAAACATCACATCAGTTAACTGGTAACTTCCACACATGAAAGTGAGGATTGTGATCCATCTAATAGATAGCTTTCCGGATGAAATTGCAAATGAGTTTCATCAGATATGATTATTGCCCTGTGCTTCATGAGGTGTCATTTTGATGGTTTAACATGTAAACTGTAAACTCCATTTTCCACTCACACACACCCCTCACACATACTATTTACACAATTTGGAGATTCACAATAAATCTAAGTACCAATATAATTAATTGGAATAAACAAACTCAATTGCTTCAAGTAAAATCAGCAATGCACAGTTTCAGATGCACAAAATAGAAGAGATAATACGAGCATATCAAAAATGACAAATTGATGTTGAATTACTTGAGGAAAATACTCATAAGATGTTTTATCAGAATAGCAGTTTCAGTACCTTGTGAATCTATATAGAGATTCCATGCATCATTAAGAATTTCAACCATTGAAAGTTCATTCTCCCCATTGTCCACTGACCAATGGAACAATCCAACATGACAGGAAAGATTCCTAGTAGCAACAAATGCCAACCCACTGCAACAAACAGAAATACATATTTTTAACAAGTTAAGTCTGACAAAGGGATAGGTGTTAAAACAGCACTGCAGCGTGCATGGCACTGGTATATGGAATCACAAGTCATAGATGGGAATAGATAGGAAAAAAATTAAGCAGCAACATTAACTAACTTGCTCTATTTGTTCCTTCAGTTGGATTCTTTTTATGCAAACAGAATCTCTAAAAGGATAAATAGCAAGAACCTAATTATCAGTGTAAGTTATGTCATTGTCACATAATTGATTTTCCTAAACAAACGCTCCCGCATAGTGGTAAAAGTTAACAAGCACCAGTAAGAATACAGCAGACTTTTTGGGAAATCAAATAAATCTCGCATCAGTAGCAACAATAATAAAGGACATGAGCTAGATGAGGATAAGACTTGGGAGTTTTGGTAAGGTGATATGAACACGGAAATGTAAAGGAAAATAAGTGCCAAAACTAATAAAAAGTTAAAACTAATAATGTTTAGATTAGCCAAGGAAGCAAAGGGAATGAGCTCGGCTGCTTCTCCTCCACACTAACTTAATGTTGTCTAGTGTCCCCATCTATTCTAGAAAAAACTCAATCATGGGATATGTTTACTTGGTCATTATTTTCAGTTTTTTCACTATTAAACCCTTGTGATTCCTTATAAAAATACACTACTTCCTCAAATAAAATATCACATCCAAGCTAGTATTCAAATTTAAAACCAAATTAAAATAAAATAAAATAAATAAAATCACCAACTAAACACATCCATTACATTTACATATTTTAATGCAAAAACACATAGGAATGCAAAAGGTAAAAGGCAAAAGAGAGATAAAAGCCAAGTGAGACCATTATTAGACAAAAAATAATTTCTTTCCTTAATATAGTTAGATCCGAAACATTTTAGCATGGTTACCATCATCTAAATAAATTCAATCTGTCAAAAACACAGATGAGCCATTAATTAAAGTAAACACCATGTAGAATAAAATATCCATACCAAGGCCCTAGATAACTGAGAAACAGATGTGGTCCACATTTGGTTGGCACAGCATCCAGAGAAAGATCCATAAATATATTACTAAAAGATAACACAGTTGGCTTTGATGATTCCTGAACAACGTAAAGGATAGTTACTCAAGATGACTTGGTTGCACAATAAAATTATAAGAAAGATGAACAAACAAACTTATTCACAAAATAGCTGAAGAATGAAGAAAATTACAGTGACGTCGGTAATTCTCCTTCCCTTGGTTGTGATGACTTGGACCACGTAATGTTCCTCCTCCCCATCTTCATTTATTAAAAAGCACCCAACAGCTATACAATCTGAACGCACCCATCGGACAGAATCCACTGATACTGAATATTAAGGTCAGGAAAAAATATTGAACATCAGGTAGCATGATCAAAAAACACACAAAGAAAACTGTTTTTAAGTTTTACATAGAAAACAATAACCAAATAATTTGTCAATCAAACCAGCCTTTGTAGCAACGCAAAAAAGTCTATTGTTTGGTTTTTTTCGTTAAGAACCATATCTATATTCCATAAAACAATCAGAACAACTAGTGATGATGTCATCATTAGAAGCCTACTAAAAAATACAGTAGCAGCACTAATACAGAAATGAGGATGCCCATGCACAAAACTTATAGACCATTGTGACATTGTGGGGCAACACGAGGCAACTTGCAAGTTCATACCATCATACTTATAGAGAGAGCATCTGAATACAGTGAAAACAGAAATTGCACAAGGAAGCTATTCCAGAAACAAGAACAAAGATACTAATGGTGCTGAATTGTTATAAAGAACAATACCTTTTCTAGCTTGGTTACCATCAGAGCCTCCTGTGACAGACTGAGATTGCAGCAGAAAGCTTAACTTTTCTTTGAACTGTGATGACAGTATGCTCAGTCTGTTCTTTCTTGCCACAGCAACAAAATTGCCTTTAACACTCCAGTCAACTATGCCATCAGATAATCTTAAATGAGCAAGAAAACATTGAAGCAGTTCAAACACAATTCAAACACAGTTCAAACACAGATTACAACTAATCCATAGTTTCGTCGAAAGAATTAGTTATATATCCAGCAAGCTAAGCATTCTGGCCATATGGAAAGATGATAGTTTGTGATGGGTAGCACAAGCTATAGTTTCACACTATTTTCCCAAACCTAGAACTAATAAGTTTGTAGTATATAAAACTAAATTCGAGCGTTACGGGGATAATATAGTATTGGAATAACAAAATACAAGCACTATAATGATTACCAGCATCAACATCTTCCATCACATAACTAGGTGGACCTTGACCAGATCCATTGTATAATTTTCCATTGGCTGCAAGAATAATATAAACTTTGGCAACTTTTCTGGACCAACAAAAATCCTTGATATGGCCAGGCTCATCAACGGAGACTGAATATGAAGGTTTCTTCTCCTGTTCAATGACCATACAATAAATTACAAGTCTTAACCAGCATCCATTAATTGCCCTAATTAATATTTCAATATTAGCTTCTACAACTTGGCTTTGGTGAGTCATATTTAAATATAAGCACACCAGAGGAAGGAACAATGATGGGCATGCCCATCATCTTGCTTTAATAGTAATTGAATAAATCCATGTTTCAAGATCAGATAAGATGCAGCATATGCAGAAATTATTACAACAGCAGCGAGATCACAGGGTGAGCAAATGGCGCTGGCTAAGAAAGAATAAACAACTCAGAGCACACACATCTCCTTCTCCATAGTTTCTGTCAACCAGTAATTCATTTACCAATCACTTATTCTAAAATTCTAGCTCCAGAATATAACAAAAATTCGAAAGTGAGAGGAAGTAGATGAAAATTGAGAGTTGGAGTATAAGCTATAATGGTATATGGCTACAGCAATCCATACTGAGCTAGTGAGCTTTCTTAGTCCATAAAAGCCAAGCCATACCTTATGGAGTAACGCGCTAACAGCAAAGAAGTGTACACAATTGTCCATACAAGCAGCAAGTACAGAGTCATCAGCAGACAGGGCCAGCACTGAAATCTTCCCCAAAGAAATTTCTACAAGACTCAGCTCCTGTACAGATTTCCCCGCTTCTTTCTCTTTTATCGCCTCTGCAGATGCCATGATGTCCTTTGTCCTCGTGACATAAAACCCTAGACCCAAGAATCCAGTATGACGCAACTTGCAATAAAATCGAAAACAGAATAGTTTCGACGAGAGGAGGAGAAAGTGCGGTTACCCTGGGGATGAGCGACGAATAGGAGGCGGAAGCGTTCGGAGACGACGAGGGGCCGAGACGGAAGGCATCCGGAGTCGAATCGAGGTGCGGCGTCGGAGTTAATAGGGACGGGTTCTCCAATCTTGGCAAAGCGGTAATTCCTGGAACCGACTTCATTACCTTCAATTTCGTCGTCCAATTCTATGGCGGGACTGCCATCGGCTGCCGTGTCAGACATAGAGTCGCTTCAACCAAACCCAAACCAGGCCGCCCGGCGGAATGTGGGAGAAATGAGGTACTGAAATGCGAACAGAACTGGAAGTAGGTGATTCTACTGGTCTGGTTTGCTTTCGCTGTGAGTGTCAATACAGTATGAGCGGGTATGGAATGCTCGAAGGGAAAGGGAAGGAAACGTACCCTACCGCGAAGGCTACTCTGCTTTGTTTGATTTTCATATATATACGCTGTAGTGTAGTCCGTCCGCTTCAATGTCACGCCACGCCATTTGCCGACTTCGAATCAAGACCTAGATAACGGTTTTTTTTTTTTTTTAATTGCGCAAAAAAAACACATACATAAAAAAATATAAATATTTTTAAAATTGTGCCAATTTTTTTCATAAAATGTTATTTGACCTGCGGGCTAATTTTAAAAATTTATGTTTCTAATCATTTAAAATTATAAATATATTTATTACTCTTATTATTTAATTTAAAAAATAGTAAATATACTAAGGGTGTGTTTGTTTGGGGGTTTGGATTTTGAGTTGGGATTTGAATAGTAAAAATTTTGAATTTGAATAGTTGTATGATGTGATATAAATAGGTATTGATGTGATGTTTTGAATGTAAAATTAATTTTTAGTATAATATAAAAAATAAAAAATAGGTGTTTGATTTGATATTTTTGGGGAAAAAAATTGAATGAATAGTAAAATTTTGTTAAAATTCTACAAACGAACACACCCTAATTTTGTTATTTTTAAGAGATTTTATTTATTTATTTTTAAAAGTTAAGTAAATGTAAATGAATTAATTTTAGATATTTAGAAATGAGTATTTTAAAATTCATATGTAAATCAAATAACATTAAATAAAGATGAATTATGAATGTAATTTGATACTGTTTTAAAAATGAGATATTTTGTATGATTTTGTAAAATCACAAATAAATTTTGTATAATTTTATAAAATTACAAGTAAAATTTGTGCAATGTAATATTTTGTTTTCAATGTAATTTCTTTAAATTGATTAGTTTGTACTCAGTATATATTTTAAGTGATTAAATAAAAAAATATTATAAACCCTATAATTATTTAATAAATTTATGAATTAATTTTAATATAATATTTACTTTATATAAAAAATATAGTACAAATTAAAAAAAAAATACAAAAATACTTGATCGTCCTATATGTAATATGGGTCTATTCAAGTAGATACAGAAATCTAAACAAGTATAATTAGTAAATAATTAAAAATATATTAATAAAAATAATTATAGATTAAAATATAATTAAATAGTTTAAATAAGATTAAAAAAAATTAAATTATAAATTTAAAAATTTAATTAAAATAGATAATCATATTTCCAACAAAAAGATGACAAATTACGTGGGACGAAAGAAAATATAAAATATAGACAAATTATGTGGGACGAATGGACTAATATAATAGAAAGACATTTGTAAAAAATAAAAATAAAAAATTATACAAATATAAAAATATTTTTAATATCAAATACAATAATCAAACTCGTAGAAAATAACCAAAGAAATATTAAATAAATTGTAGTATTATATTAAAAGAGGTTAAAGAAATCAAATAAAAATACATTTCAAGTAAATATTAAATAAAAAAATATTATCGTGTTTATATCAAATTATTTTAAATTAAATATAATTTAGATATTTTATTAAGTAAAATTAAAAAATATGAAGAACGAAAATTGAATAAATAATTCTACAAATTACTATTATTATATTGAACTAGTAATTATTATCTCATACTCTAATACATTAAAATAAATATAAAATTAAAATGGATCGATTAATATTATTCATTACAATCTCGTGAAGTAAACGGGTGTTTTTGTTTGGAGGTTTGGATTTTGAACTGGGTAAAAATTTTAAATTTGAATAGTTGTATGATATGACATAAATAAATATTGATGTGATGTTTTGAATATAAAATTAATTTTTAGTATAATATAAAAAATGAAAAATAAGTGTTTGATTTAATGTTTTTTTAGAAAAAAATTGAATGAATAGTGGATTGGAAATAGAATCCTCAAACAAACACACCCTAAACATAAAATTATCATCAACAATTATTAAAATATACTCCCTCCGTCCCACATAATTTGTCCCTATTTTCTATTTTCGTCCGTCCCACATAATTTGTCAATTTTTTTTTGGAAATATAATTATACACTTTAATTTAATTTTAAATTTTAAATTTTAAATTTTATAATTTTTTAATTTTAATTAAACTATTTAGTTATTTTAATCTTAATTCACAATTATTTTTATTATACGATAATTATTTTTACTAATACACTTCTTAATTATTTACTAATCACACTTTATCTAAATTCTCGTATTTACAGTAATAGACCCATAATACATGAGACGGAGGAAGTAATATTTATCATACTTCATAAGATAAAATAGTCATTACTTCTTTTTTTTTTTTTTTTTTTTTTGTCTTCTTCTTTACTGATTCGTTTGATTGTAAGATTAATCCAACAACACAAGTGAAGCCCGAGTACCTAGTCATTGTCCGAAAGTGTACATTTGGTAAATTCTCCATCTAATCTCATACCTAGCAAACTAAAGATGACAAAATAAAGTAAACTAAGTACGACAAAACAAAGTAAGTTACATTAGACGAACTATATTATATGATAATTGTTATATTACGTTGGAATTGACAATATGTGTGTAATATATTATATAATGTATTTATATTTTGCACGGAATTTTAAAAATTTTAGTATTGTATAATACAGTAGAAATAAAGGTAAAAAGACTACACTAATATTATTATTAGTATTATATAATTAAATGTATTGATATTTTTGTAATATATTATAAATTGAAAGAATATTTCTAATATTAATAGATAATATAATTACCAAAAATAGAAATTGATATGTTATCAACTGACCAAAATAAAAAATTAATGAGAAGCAGTATATTGTTATCATAGGAGTAGATCGATGCTGAATTTGATAAGCACCATTAATTAATTAATTTAATTAATTAATGCCGCCGAAGAGAAAGGATGGGTGAACTCGTCCGCATGGAGGCATTCTTAACGGTGAGTTTTTAGTTGTCGAAATTCAAGGCCTGGAAGCCCTAACCCTAATCAATCGGAATTCATCAACACAGAGATGATTGAATCCAATGGAGCAACGCAATCGACGGAGATTCGACGAAATCAGAGGCAAAGAGCAAAGTCAGGGACGAACGATGCAGATCGCCACGTATCCCATGCCTCCAAACAGTATATAAAGGTGCAGACGACCTCATCAATGGCGGCACCCACTCCAATAAGGCATATTGCCAGAAGGAGCCGCTCCGGCACCCTCTCCTCCCCGGCAATAATCCCAATAATAAGTAAATATACATTTACAGAAACCAAAACCCCAATCCAATCATCATTTTCAGTGCAGTGCAGATATGGCGGGGGCTAGCGGCAGGGCGATAATCTCCACGGCGGCGCTGGTGATATTCCTGGCGGCGGGTTGCCTCGCGGAGGATCCGTACAAGTTCTTCGAGTGGCACGTGACCTACGGCGAGGTTGCGCCGCTCGGAGTCCCCCGGCAGGGGATCCTCATCAACGGCCAATTTCCAGGCCCGAAGATCAACTGCACCTCCAACAATAACATTATCGTCAATGTCTTCAACCACCTGGAAGAGCCCCTGATCTTCACCTGGGCCGGAATTCAGCACCGGAAAAACTCCTGGCAGGACGGCACGCCGGGGACGATGTGCCCCATTCTCCCCGGCACCAATTACACTTACCATTTCCAGCCTAAGGACCAAATCGGAACTTACTTCTACTTTCCGACCGTCGGCCTCCAGCGGGCCTCCGGCGGGGTGGGGATGCTCCAGGTCCTCAGCCGGGATTTAATTCCGGTCCCGTTCGACACTCCGGCCGACGACTACTCAATCATCCTCGGCGATTGGTATAACAAAGACCACAAGACGCTGCAGAGGATTCTCGACGCCGGCCGCTCCATCGGCCGGCCGGACGGCGTCCATATCAACGGGAAGTCGTTTAAGGTCGGGGACACCGCCGCCGTGGCGTCACCGGATTTCAGTATGGAGGCCGGGAAAACTTACCGGTACCGCGTCTGCAACGCCGGGCTCCGGCTTTCGATCAATTTCCGATTCCAGGGGCACACGATGAAGCTCGTTGAGATGGAGGGATCACACACGGTGCAGAACATCTACGACTCCCTCGACCTCCACGTCGGCCAGTGCGCCTCCGTGCTGGTGGCGGCAGACAAGGCGGTGAAGGATTACTACTTTGTCGCCTCCACCAGGTTCTTCAAAGACGCCATGACAGCTGTCGCTGTCGTCCGTTACGCCGGAAGCAACATTCCGGCGAGCCCTGAGCTGCCGCTGCCCCCACCGGAGAACACCGAGGGGATCACATGGTCGATCAACCAATTCCGGTCATTCCGGTGGAATCTCACCGCCAGTGCCGCCCGGCCGAATCCACAGGGGAGCTACAAGTACGGGAAGATCAACATCACCCGGACTATCAAAATCGAGAACAACCGGTACGACTCGGACGGGAAGCTCCGATTCGGGATCAACGGCGTATCCCACGTCGACAGCGAGACGCCATTGAAGCTCGCTGAGTACTTCGGCGTCGCCGACAAGGTGTTCGTCTACGACCTGGTGAAGGACAACGATCCCTCCGCCACCAAGGTCGCGGCGGCGATCGCGCCGAGCGTGATGAACGCAAGCTTCAAGGGGTTCGTCGAGTTCATCTTCGAGAACCATGAGAAGACGATCCAGACGTGGCATCTCGACGGGTACTCGTTCTTCGCGGTGGCGATCGAGGCCGGCGTGTGGAGTCCGGAGAAAAGGAAGAACTACAACTTGTTGGATGCCGTTAGCCGGAACACGATCCAGGTGTACCCGAACACGTGGGCGGCGGCAGTGACGACGCTCGACAACGCCGGAATGTGGAACCTGAGGTCGGAGATGAGGGAGAGGGCGTACCTGGGGCAGCAGATGTACGTCAGCGTTTTGTCGCCGGAGAAGTCGCTGAGGGACGAGTACAACATTCCGGCGACGCAGCAGCTCTGCGGCATTGTCAAGGATCTGCCGAAGCCTGCGCCATATGTGTAATCAAATAATTTCTGAAACTCTTGTTGCTTACACTGTCTGCATTGTATTGTATCACACACGTTGGATGGAGGTTTTGGTTTCAATATATATTGAATTGCCGTTTGATGGGAGCCAACTTTTCTTGTTTGAGTTTGTCATATTTGAACACCTAATGGTAGCTGATTGGCACACATAGATTTAAATGGGTAAGATTAAAATGGGGTGACAAAGACGATCCATGAAATTATCAAGAAGATAACAAGAATGAGTATGAATTAACTCTCAATGTTAATCGCAGTGAAGGGGAGAAGTTGTTGCTTTACTGAAACTTTTTGTTAGATTTCCTCCGAATAATCAAGATACATTGTTTTTTTAGCCTAATTTTCTCAAATTTTACTATTTCTCGAAAAAAATATATTTTTTATTCTCACAAAATACTTTTTGCACGTAGTTTTAAAAATATTAGTATTATATTGAAATATAGTAAGAATAAAATTGAAATGACTAAAATAACTGATAATTGTAAGTTGTAAGGGTATTTGTAATGTTAAGTTGATAGTGCTGTTACTAAAAAAAATAAATACTTTGTTATGGGACGGACTAAAATAGAAAAATAAATATTTGTTATGGGACGGAGTTTGAGTTGAGATTTGAATAGTAAAATTTTTGAATTTGAATAATTGTATGATGTGATATAAATATGTGTTGAAGTGAGTTTTGAATGTAAAATTAATTTTTAGTGTAATATAAAAAATAAAAAATAGATATTTGATTTTATATTTTTGGGTGGCAAAAATGGGATGAATAGTGGATTTAAAATCCAATCCCCCAATCAAACACACCCAGTGTTTTTTTAATTAGTGATAAGCCGAAGTGATCCTTAAGCCTTACAAGTCAAGAGAGTTCTCTCATATTTACCAATGTGAGACAATATTTACTACTTTGCCTTCGATATAATTTCTAAAATCCATACCGGATCAATATCCAAATAGAAACTTCCAACCTACAACATAAAACCAATACGGACTTGGTTACCGGATTGGATATTGATTATGTATGAATTTTTGACATTATTATCTGCAAGGGAGTGTAAAGGCCATTCCATAATAATTATTGTCCATTTCTTAAAAACTTATGCAACTTAATATCTCTTATATTTTTGTATATATATACATCTCTTAAAAGAAAGAGATCCATAATTAGACTAATTATAATAAACATCTATTCAAATTCAAGCTTGAGTTCAAGTTTAACTACTCGTTCGAACTTGAGCCCGTGTTTTGTTGGCAAGATTAGCTTGAACACTCTGCTACTCGGCTCAACTTGACTGTCTATCTCTATAAAATGTTCGACGCCAACTGCGGTCTATATCTATTGCTAGTATCTATAATTTTATCAAATGTCTGCGAACCTTGGACACCACCCGGCACGTGAGAGAAACACGTGTGTCAGTTCTGTAAATCACCGAGCTGCCATCGTCTGCTTCTCCATAACTCTTCATGCCATCAACAGCCTGTGCTTCTTCAGTACTTCTTGGAACCTTGGAAATATTTACAGCCTGGAAGAACAGGAAACGAGTTACTTTGGACCGGGTTGTATTCCCACTAGTGTTCAAGATATGGCCATTTAAATAGTTGCTTATCTCACCTCATCAAATCGTTGAGTATTACAGTCCTGTATCCCGTGCAAGTAGTCTGGAAGAGGACATAAGATATACGAGATCAAAGCATCGAACATACCCTAGAACTAACAGATACACAATAAATGTCATCAACCTGAATACACTGTATCTTTAAATATCAACAAGCTCCGGGGCATCAATACGACAGAAAAAGGAGGGTGTTTGCTCAATTTCTTCCCAGAACTCATTTCAATATGCTCCACTTTGGTCGAATTGTCCCTGCTATTTTCTGATACTTCCTTAGCATTTTCAAAACTAGGATGGGGAGCAAAGTCCATCACCACAGGCGATCCGAGAGAGAGGATTGCCACCACTGGCACATATGCAGGTCCATCCTGGTGCGGCTGTTACGAAAATTCAAATTGCGAACACACAAATACACATCAGCCAGGTAAGAGTTGGAGGGATTTCTAAGACGGCACAAATCACACTATTATTTTAACCCCCTTTCTCGTGAGTCAAGCAAAGCAATGGGGCAGTACTCACCATAATTCCTTGGTCAGGGAGATATTCATTGATGAGCACGTGATTAATAGCTTTAGGAAACAAGTTCGATTCCTCACATATCCTTTGTGTGACCTCTTTGAGCCAACGTGGCACTGCAAAACAAAAGGAAATTCAACGCTTACCCAATATTACAAGACAGTATCATTTCATGGATCAAATGATATAATGATATAAATCTGCGAGACTAGCATTATCTAAAATACAAAGGTTCACATAGAATTCAGAAAACAATAATGAACTATGTGATGCAGTCGTAATGTGTCGAACCAAATCCCTTGAATCTCAATTTAAATCAACACCACCACATCAAGTAGGAGATTGGATAAGCAAAATGGGATTAGGGAAGCAAACCCTTTTGAACCGCTCCAGTTTCATATCAGCAAACTTCATATTAAACAATAGTTTTTGCGAAATAAAATAAGATAGATAGCAGTCTGGTTGTCTAGACAGAAGCAGCAATACTAATGCCATCTTCTTATGCTCAAACGAAAGCAGAATGGTTACATACAAGGGATGCAGACAGTCATCCACCAGATAACCACAATGAACGTAGTTAACAAGCGCGCTCTAAATAAATGGTTGCCTCCAAGTGAATGCATTTAGAAAACATTTACTCTAGTTGGTTCTAGGATGGTCATGCGCCACAGATACAGCTACAATTCCAATGTGCCTATGATTGGTGATGTGCTGTTTGCAAGACTCAAGTTTTCGCCTCTGATTTTCTTGCACTAGCATCTCATACAGTCACCAAATTTACACAATGAATGGCACCATAGTTACCGTTAGACTACTTGACAGTAGCTTGCATAGCTACTGGAGGCAGAATCAACATCAAGAAGAGCTTCTTAACCGCAACAATTGAACAAAATAGATGAGAATCCTTGCGCCGTAAGGAGGAGGGGGATCTCTAATCATACATGCTTCGATTATCTTTGAATTTTACTTTCAATGGCCAGCTATCAGTTTTACAAGTAGTTGCTCAGTTCATTAGATGATGAAACTATTGCCAAACAAAGCAGATTTATAAAGCAGGTTTAAGAGGAAGCAGGTAAGATTCAAGTGCATCAATAAGAGCAATGAGAGAAGAAACAAATGAACGGCAGCCATTTGCCTACTTACAATCTTGGGGAAGAAGACCCTTTTCGTGCACAACACCTCCTGCCATCAACAATTCACAGTCATTCAATCATGGACCACAATTTCTAAATACAGATGACACAGAGGCGCGTTTAGGCGGATATAAACCTAAAGTTCAAGTGCAGTAGCAGACGTACCCCAATTCTGCAGCCGCCTGTTCTTCAATGTTTTCCACTTGGAAATTGGAGCTCTGTAAATCTGCAAAACGAGCAGAAAAAGTAAGCCAGAAACTCCAAACCAACTACAAACCCAACCCCGTGCTCCTATTAACGCATATGCACATTATTCAAAAGCTGTTCTTCTTCCGTAGCAGTTATGTATTCTGGAATGTAGTAGACAGTGGGCACGGAGCCGACGACGTAGTCCTTCAACGAGCCTGTCAACCTTCCTTCTTCCATGAATGAATCCGGTGGATTTCTGCCTGCCATTTCCGCAGGCGAAACGAAGGAACTCTCTGGAACACAAACGATCGTTTAATGGGCCAATTGGGCCTTAATAAATGCACAAATATTATCGAACTTATTTCAAACAATATGGGCCTTTAAGTTAATGGGCCCAATGTGCGCCCAATATTGAATTTAATAATATTGGGTCGGGTTGACCTGAAATAAAACCCAACATTATTATTTTTTTAATTTTTATTTCGGAAAAAGATATTTCTTCGAGGATAAGGTTTGGCGGCTTCGTCGCCTTCGCTGGCTGGTGCTTCTTGTTGACTGTGATGAACAATTGATCACCTGACTTCACTGGGAGGGATACGTTCGAATACTGGGAGAATCGGAGTCTGTAAGTATGTCGAACGCTATAGTGAACGGAATAGCGGGTGCCGGTGGAGGTATTGTTGCGCAGATAATCACCTACCCTCTCCAGACGGTACGCTTTCCCATCTTCACTTTGTTTTGGGTATCGACTGATCTGAGTCTGTTATTTCTTATTTTGTTTCGATGTTATTATCCTTGACTTCGATTGGCTGCTTGGATAGTCGCTGCGGATATTTCGCTTTAGGAATTAGATGGAGATGCTGTTGTGGATTTGATGCTGATATTCTTCTTGTTCCTGTAGGTGAATACACGGCAACAAACGGAAAGAGTTTCTGAGAAGAGCTCGGGTTCATCCCCTGCTGCAAGCACGCTTGTTCAGCTCTTTCAGGTTGTTATTGTTGTTTGTTTGTGCGTGTGAGGTTATGGTTCGCTCATTCAACTTCATTGGATTTGCTAGGTGGTTAGAAATGAGGGCTTGGGAGGACTTTACAGCGGTCTTAAACCTTCTTTGCTTGGCACAGCCGCTTCTCAGGTAAAGTTTTTTGCCTCGATTTCTCTTCATTCTTCTTCAGTTTTTTATGTTGAAGGTTTCACATGTTCTATGTTTAATGGATTGTCTGGGATGTTGTTGTTCCAATTTGTTTGTGTCGGATTTCATTGTTATTTGATCTATGGCTTTTGACTGTGAAAGCCGTCTTTGGATTTGAGCATAATATACCTGTTTATGTCTTCGGCTGCGAACCTTTATATTACCCATTTGGAACATGCATCAGGGATGTCAACTCTTAACTAATACATGCTATTTTTAAGCTTCCAGGGTATCTATTATTCATTTTACCAGGCATTCAAAAACAAAGCTGAGGATATTGCTAGGGCAAACAAAAGAAAAGGACGGGGAGATGGCTCTCCGGGAATGTTTTCCTGGCTGCTTGTAGCTGCACTTGCTGGGTACTGTTTTGCTCATTATTTATTGACTGTCCCGCAGCTTGTTATAATCTCTCCTGTCTTGGACATGCTTCCAAATGTAACTTGGATTCGTTTTTGCCTCTTCCTGGATGCAAACTTATGTATGGCAGGTCTGTAAATGTTCTGCTGACCAATCCCATATGGGTACTTGTGACACGCATGCAGGTAGCATTCTTTCCAGCCAGTTAAATATGACCGCTTGATTATCAAGAATGGTGAAGTTCTTTTGTCCCATTCAATAAAAATGGTAAAGATGAATTTGACATACCCCTGTTTAGGCATGAAATATCAGCATTTTAAAGTGTTTGTTTGCCTTCTTCATATTTCTTGCAGCATACTTGATTATCTCCTCCAGATTTATACTATTTGTATTACTTGTAAAAGTGCACCAATAATCTGAAACTATACTGATGTTGAGACGATGACATTCCCAAGACAAAAATACCCTGTTAAGTAATAGCTTCAGGAGCATCACATCGGAGTAGGGAATAACTCATTCTACGAACAAAAATGTTTAGAAAGACGATGTTGTCAGATGACTCTAGCCAGACTCCTTTACTGTTCTATTGCACAAAGATTATTTTTTTGCATTTTTTTCTGCAGCTATTTTGAAAGCAATTGCAAATTGAAACTGCATGCAACAGTATTGACATCATCTGCTTCGACAATAGCATAATAGTTATTTTGAGGATATTCTGTGATTCTGTCTTACATTATGTATTTTTACTAGTAGACACACACTCAAGCAGAAAGAAAGATTGCGGAGGCAAAGAGGGAGGCTTTATTAAAGGAATATTCAAAGAATGTGTTGTTAAAGTCTTCTTTGTCAGAGGAATTGGCTGAACTTGATTCTGTAAAGCCACGTCCGTATGGAACATGTCAAGCGGTGAATATTGCTTCCTTTTTTATTTTATCTTTCTTGATTTTGCAAGAAACAGATATATGTTTATGGGGTAGTCCATACTTCTTCTATTTGGTTAAATGTAGGCTGAAAAAGTAACCGAGGCTTTATTCCCTCATGTTTGCAACACCCTTTTTGCACTATGTAATTTACAGTAAAAAGATTTTTCCAACCCATAAAAATCATTTATGGCGCCTAAATTCTACACAAAGCATCATAGCCAATCACTATTTTCCACTCCAAAAACTCAAATAAAAAACAACTCAAAACACTAAAACATCCAAAAACTCAATCAAACACACCCTTGCTTTTCCCGCTACTTTCTAGCTGATTGAAAACTATAATCTTTCCTGTTATTTTATATGTTCTCCTCTTTCTAATCTTCTTAATAAAGCTTCCATTTGGTTCTGTAGTAGGCATGCGAGGTCTACAATGAGTCTGGAATTGCTGGATTCTGGAAAGGCATCATTCCAACACTAATAATGGTTGGCATATACTTCTTTTTCGTAGATAATCAACTCAAAATTTTCTCTTAAGTTTCTTCCAAGACTATTTGAGTTTTCGCTTTCCAGGTGTGCAACCCATCAATTCAATTCATGATTTATGAGAGTTTGTTAAAGCGTCTGAGGGCTAGGCGAGCAGCAGGAAGAAAAGGCTCGATAAATATAACGGCTATGGAGGTAGTTATGTTGAGGTGGTGTGCAATTATTTTTTCCATTGTCAGATTGTTGAGTAGGAAAATGCCTCCAGATGTCTGAAAACCCATCGACTGTGTCAATCTCTTTTGTGCTTTTAGAGCCTGTTTATTTGCTTAAAATGCAAAGTTTCTGTTCCTGAAGACCGAAAATGATGCTTGTGAAGAAGCTGTATGGATGTATTAATTCTAGCTGTTAGATTATGTTAGATTTGGGGCACATATGGTTTGAATTTGATTGATTTAAAATTTATCCTGAATAGATTGAGATTGGTTTTATACCCTAGTAGTTGGGATTGCCGCAATAAGGTAGCTGTGGTGACAAAGAGATGGGGATCGGGATGGAGGAAATAGAGTTAGACATTATCATGTACCAATCTCTACCTCTTCGGAGAAATTTTTGTAGTTAAAATTTGTTAGCATTCAGAAAAAAAGAAGACCATGAATTCAATTGGTTCATGTTCATCGTCGACCAAGCTACATTGCCATCTTTTTGAGGGCTCATAACCACTGTTTAACCGTTCATTCCATTGTTCTTGTGCTAACAGATTTTCCTTGTTGGGGCTATGGCAAAACTTGGAGCAACTGTTTGCACATATCCTCTACTGGTGGTTAAGGTGAAATCATCGTAACTTAGAGCATCTATTTGCTCCCTCTTTTACATAGATGCAATCGTTAGCATATTCTACTTTTTTTAGGTGTCAGAGACAACATATATTTCTCTGCATGATTTATAAATTACAAACATGATATGATTAGAAATGGTGTTTGTGACCTATGATCACATTGCATGATTGAATCAATATCTATTCGCACGCCTTTAAAAGGCATAACTCCGTTCACAGACAACAATCAGTACAATTGGCGACATTATAATGCGATACATTTGTTACAATGCAGTCGAGACTTCAAGCAAAGCAGGAGATCGGTGGGAATGTTTCCCTCCGATATTCAGGTTCCATTTAGCTACCACCACACTCTATGTTCAGTTTCATCTCCATTTTTGTTTCCAGAAAACTCATACTTACTCGGCTTGCTTAGGCACTCTCGATGCGATCCTCAAGATGATCCGCTATGAAGGGATCGGATGCTTCTACAAGGGTATGCGGACGAAAATTGTGCAAAGTGTGTTTGCTGCATCTGTGCTCTTCATGGTGAAGGAGGAACTTGTTAAAGCCTATGATGCCATCTTCATCAAAAGACCTACTGCCATTGTTAAATGACACACCTCTACCAATTCTTCACTTTGATTAATTTCTCATATATATATATAGAGAGAGAGAAGAGAGAGAGAGAGAAGAGAGAGAGAGAGAGAGATAGGGGATGTTTGTGCCAACAAAAGTTGCTTTGATCTTCATTGTTCTTAAGAGTTTGTAGACATTGTTGTGGCAAAATTATTTATAAGCCTGTATGGTTTGGACAGTTTGTACTTTTTTTAAAAAAATATTGATAAATGAAAAAAATTCACAGGCTTGAAAGACTTGATGTAAAAATATTATTTATAATTAAAAATAAATTATATTATGATTATTATTATTATTATTATTATTATTATATAATTAATAATAGTTTGGGACTGGATTGAATGGCAGTGTAGTATAAATTGGCGTGGGAGAAGTTGTGGTAGCTTTGCTGCGTTCGCCCGTTGAATCAGAACCAGATCCGATCTGTCATCTGATTTCAAGGGAAGAGCAACGATCAAGAAGAAGAAGAAAGCGGAAGCGGAAGGAGAGAGGAAGAAGAGCAGAGCTGGAGCCGGTACAGGAGACGCAGTCATTGAAGCCTGCCGGAGGAGGAGGAGGAGGAGGAAACGGCCAGATTCGATATCGATCGCCATCCGCTGCCGAACTCTTAGATGCCCAGCAGCAAGTGCAGATGGAGAAGGCTCTGAAGCGCAACAGGCAGCAGGAATCTTTGCCCGATAAGATTCAGCGATGGCGTGGTCCTATACTCTTGGTTTTGGTCCCTCTCCTGCTCATCTCCTTCGTGCTGTTTCTGATGCCAGTCAGTTCCCCCTCCGAATCCGTCTCCCGCAAGTTTTCGCCGGACTTCCTCGCCAAGCGATACGCCGTCATTTTCGACGCCGGTAGCTCCGGGAGCAGGGTGCACGTCTTCTGCTTCGATCACAATCTCGATCTCGTCCCAATCGGACAAGATCTTGAGCTTTTTCTCAAGGTAATTTCTGTGCTTCATCTGCATTGCAGCCATCTTTAAGGTATCAATTTATGCATTTGATTTTCTAGTTATTCTTTAGATCTAGGCTACTTCTGGTTTTGTTTGAATTGATTGTTAATTTATCAATGCCTAATTCTCAGTTACACGCTGTTTAAAGCTGATCTAGAAAAGCATTTCTTTGATTTTACATGGAAGTAAACTCTATCCCATGGGATTATCCTTCTTGATTTGCGGCCATGGCCTCCAAAAACCAATCAATACATCGATGCGTTTTTCAATTGAGTAAAAATTTCCCCGAATCCATACTCTCTTATTCGTGATTAGTCTCTGTATTTGATTCTGAATTGCTTTTTTGTTATAGAAAGAAATCTATATTTGTACTCTTTTTTCTGTCTTGATCAAAATTGTCTCTGTAGACGAAAGGAGGTTTGAGTAAATATGCAAAGGACCCTGTGGCTGCTGCCAATTCACTCTCATCTCTTCTTGAACAAGCAGAAGCAGCTGTTCCCAAAGAGCTGCGTCCAAAAACACCTGTCAGGGTTGGGGTATGGCTTTTTGACAGAAGGATTTATGTGAGACTGATTATTCCCTTGAATATGTAGATACTTAATTGTTTCAATGATGTCGATGCAGGCTACTGCAGGTCTGAGACAATTGGAGGGTGATACATCTGACAGGATTTTGCAAGCAGTAATTACATGATCCAAAACCTCCTTAAAATATATATAGTTATGCTGTGTTTTTATAAGTGCAGCCTAGTTACACATCTAAACTTCTGCAAGGTGCGGGATTTTTTGAAGAATAAAAGCTCCCTCAAGTCCAGGTCTGACTGGGTCACAGTTTTGGATGGAAACCAGGAAGGTGCTTATCAATGGGTATGGAAAAACATTTCTTTGCAGCAGAATCTTATGAATTTTTTAGCTATAAACTGTGGTTGTCAAAGGGCTTGAGACTTGACAGTTACGGATGAGAATCATGCACAAGCAAGCAGTTAGCAGTCCTCAAGTCTACATATTTTTAGTTTAAAATGATAGAAAGAGTAGACTATAAATATGTGGATTTATCTGGAGTAAGTGTCTTGATGTTCAACTGGACTATAATTTTTTTTTTTTTTTTTTGTAGTCTCAGTTGACCTGTAAACGGACTTTTAACAATCTCAGATAGTGGGACGGGTTTAGCATTAATTTGTAACTAGGTAATTTTTCTTGAGTAGGAACTTCTGTATAAATAGATTCTAAAATGTAACTATTATATTTCTAAATAGGACTCTAATATTAAGTTTCAATATAATAGAACAGCCTCGAGTTGAAAAAGAAAGGAATGCCAACTTCTTGTTTCCTGTTCAGTTTAACTATTCTGTAAGTTGGTCTTGTGTGGCGAGGATAGGTCTCTTTAATATCTAGCACAAGTATGAAATATGTTTATTTACTTGGTTGTGTGAAAAGTGCATGTTTAGTACATTGCATTTGACTTTGGTAGTTCTAAAAACATCTTGCTTTACACTAAAATATATGAATAATTGTTTCAACAAACTTACAGTTAGATTATCACTTACTATATATACTTTGGTGTCAAAGAATCAATCTATTAATAAGTAATTTCTACAATCAGTGTTTATTCTAAATTAGATTCAAGTATTATAGTTGTTTAAGAATATATATACACACTGCCAAAGGTTCCTGAAGGGAAAAAAGAACATAGATCCCCTGTATAATATAGCACACCTGGGAGATGTTATATGTTGTTTTATGTGTTCCAAAAACCTGAGTTTCCAAATGATAAAGTGTATTAAGTATATGGAATTCATGCATACAAATAATTGCAGCAGATCTAATTCTCTTGCCTCTATCCCAAGTATGCTGGCTGCTTATGTATTACCTTTCTTTACAGGTGACCATTAACTACCTATTAGGAAATTTGGGTCAAAAATATTCTAAGACGGTTGGTGTGGTTGATCTTGGGGGTGGTTCTGTACAAATGGCATATGCCATCTCAGATTCAGATGCTGCTAAGGCTCCAAAGCCATCTGAAGGGGAGGATGCATATGTGCAACCAATGTATCTCAAAGGAGAACAATATCACCTCTATGTGCACAGGTATCTTCTCCTTCGTAGGTGCTGTCACATAGGTGTGTTTACTTCTGTTTTGGGCATTTTGTGTTGTTTTGGATTTGATTTTTTTAGTGGAAAATAGATGTTGGATGTGTGTGTGTGTGTGTGTGATTTTTTTATTTTTTTTATTTTTTTGGTGAGGAAAAGTTAATTTTTCTGTAGATTGCATAGTATGAAAGTAAGGATGAAAAGCAAGTGAACACACCCTTGTGTCTGCAAATGATGTTAGTTAAGAGCGTTTTGCATGCTGGTTTCTTTCATTGCTTATCATTATTTCCCATATGCAGTTATCTGCGCTATGGTTTACTGGCAGCTCGGGCTGAGATTTTGAAGGTTGATCAAGGAGTTGATAACCCATGTATATTGTCTGGTTATAATGGTGCGTATACATTTTGGATGCTGCATTATTTTTCCAATCCCTTCTCCCCAATTCCACTCTTCTTACTCAAGTCTTATTTCTTGACAAACCACTGAGTGGAGAATGTGGTGACATAGAGCTAACAAACAACTTTGAACCTTCTGGGTTCTCTGACTTCTGTAATAAAGTAAAAATCATAGTCATCACCTCTGAGGCTTTGACATGTTACACGGATATTGCTTGTGTCTGTTTACCATTACTAATAGCCTTATAGAGTCTTTTCTGATGGTGAACTAAATACCTGGAGTTTTGATATATCCGATGGTATAATGTAAATATCCTACTCATGAGCACTTAGTGTTGTTAGTGTAACAGGTCAAGCTACATGGTTTAACATTGCATCTTGATCATTCTCTTTCCTTACTAGTCGTAGCAATTAGATGATGGTGATAATGCTGAAGATGCTAATTGCCTGTGACTGAATACGTGGCATTTTGACGGCATTTTGACATAGGCGTGTGGCTGATCTCAGAGTATCATTACTGAATGCTGCCAAAAGTAATTAATATATTAATTTAACCTTCCTGATGATTTGAGTGAAATGATAGAAATAGTTTTTAAAGTCTTCACTCATAGTGGATATGGGGTGGAAAAAAAACATACTAGATTAAGTTCAGTGTAAATGGAGGAAATTTATTTCTGGTTGAAATGAAAGGAAAGTTACCTCTTTGTAATATTTACCCCATTCATTATAATTGCCCCTTTCTTCATTGCTTCTCTTAAAGAATTAATAAACTTTTGAATGGTTTGTTTCTAAACAATTGTGATGAGAGGTGCTGGTTAAAAAAGAAAAAATAAACATTTTCCGTTCTTTCTATTGACCAGGTACTGATGAATTGTTCATTTTGCAGGTTCTTACAAATATGGCCAATCAACCTATAGGGCTTCAGCTCCACAGTCTGGTTCAAACCTCAACAAGTGTAGGGAACTTGCTATTAAGGCTCTGAAAATCAACGAATCAACATGTACACACATGAAATGCACATTTGGGGGTGTTTGGAACGGTGGGGGAGGTGACGGCCAGAAAAATTTATTTGTTGCTTCATTTTTCTATGATAGAGCTGCTGAGGTAAAGGCAAAGGCAATTCATAAATATGCAGTTACAAGTGTTTGCCCTCAACCCCTCATTTCTGATTTCTGTCTGGTATTTTTTCAAATGGTTGGTGTGCTTTAGGCTGGTTTTGTGAATCCAAGCTTGCCTGTAGCGAAAGTTCGTCCACATGATTTTGAGGATGCAGCTAAACATGCTTGTGAATCAAATATGGAGAATGGCAGGTCAACTTTTCCTAATGTGGAAGAAGACAACCTGCCATACTTGTGCATGGACCTTGTGTATCAATTAACATTGCTCGTTGATGGTTTTGGTGAGTGAGCTAGCTAGCTAGCTTGTGTTTCTTCTGCCGGACAAGTATGATGAATGATGATTATTATTATACCTAATTGTGTCGTAACGTTGTATGTATTTTGACAGGCCTGGATCCTTGGCAAAAGATTACCTTGGTGAAAAAGGTTAAATATGGCGATTCTCTAGTTGAAGCCGCATGGCCCCTGGGGAGTGCTATTGAGGTTTTGTCGTCACCGATATAAGTATAATATTAATAATCTTTATTATTTTTTTTAAAAGATTCATGGCTTGTGCTATTATTAGTCAGTGAATCAATCCCCAGGGCAGGCAGGCATATGCATGTCATCGACCTAGCTATGAAGTTCTTCTACCACAAAGAAAGCCCTCCTAGTTTTTATTATCTATCTCTCTCTTTTGATTGAAAATAAAGATTTGATTGATAACTTAGGAAAAATAGTGTAAGCAAAAGAGGATGATGATCATTCACCATATGTTCATTGTGACGGAAATTTATTTGTATCTTTTTTTTTCCTCATTTCTTGCCTGTGTGTTGCTTTGTGGAGGTGTCTGTCTGTGTCTGTTTTGCTGTAGATGATGATGAGATCACACAATAAGGTATGCAAGTTTTTTTTATGGAATCTTGCATGAGATATATAATATAATCACAATAGGAAGGGTCAAGTGTATTATAGAGGACACAGATTTGGGAGTTGAATTTGATGTTTGAAATACTATCCATTTTGTCGTTAAAATTTTGTGCAAAATACAAATTGATAGGTAATTACCTTTCAATTTGTAATATATTATTACTTATCATGGAATACTAAAGTTAGTTTAATCTTTTAACTTTCTACTGGATAGATATGAGACAGAGGGAATAGGAAAAGATTTATCTGAATGAGGAAAAGTTGTGTACGGTGGAAGTCCGCTGCAAATCTATAACCAACTAAACACTATTTGGATATGTTTCTTGGGGCAATATAAATCTTTGATTTTGATTTTTTTTTTAAAAAAAAAGAAAATAGAAAATAAACTTTTATATAATATTGTATATCTGATTTGATCGATTGTGGGATAAAAAGAATTGTGCCAAATTTACACCCAACTCAGGTCAGACAGACACACTACACTACTGCAGACTGCATTTTTGTGCTGTGATTAAGCTTATTTTATCACATAAAACAGTAAGTAACACATGACGTCGCCTTGTGCCAACCCATTTCCTTCCACTATTCTATTCCTGTCCTGTCCTGTTCTGCCATTTTGGCAAAATTCACTATAAAATGATGTAGTAAGTAATTCACAAATTATAATAATACGTATATACTACTAATGAAGAAACATTTCTTCTTTACCATTAACATCGACTGTGCACTGCAGGAAGTATACAAACAAAAGATACATTAGACTGAGTTGCAGGGACATCAGAAGGTTGATGATTCTTGAAACACTCCTCTGCCCATGTACCTGCACTTTGGACATTATACAAACAATCCATTCGTTATATACAAGATATATGTAAGCAAATAATGTCAAGCCACTACTCCAAGATCCAACCTTCAATTATATCGAGACTAAGATCAGCAATCAACCTCACTGGTCAGCAGCTGCTCCGCCGTAGTAATCCACCATAAGCTTGTTCAGTTTGTGATTGCTAATCCTCTGCTGGTAGACTCTGTCGTCTTCCGAGCTGCATTTCATTGTAAAAACCGAATAATCGATATATGTATATGTTGGATTGTTGTCGTGGACTAACTTAACAACTTACATGGCTGCTGTTGATGGTGGAGGTAAGAGCCTCGAGGCTAACTTCTGGACGTCCCTCGTGCAGCTGATTGTGCGGTTGAAGCAGAGGTATCGGCCATAGGAAGATGGGTCCTCAAACACACAGATGTGAGCATCTACCAAGAACTTGAGATCTACTGTCACGAAAACTCCATCTTTAAACATTTCGGCGGCGCCCAACAAGTAGGGGTCTTTAATGCTCAGATCTTGACACATCAACAGCCCTCCATTGATGGACACCATGTTCACACCTCTGTCCATTGCCAGTGCCCAAGCTGTCCTCTCCGCCATGGTCTTCGACACACCGTGCCACAACTGCGCACCGTAATTGTCATCAGCACACATATAAAGCAATGGAATAGATTGCTTTGCCTAAAGCATTGTTCTTAATCAGGTTGCTAATCAGGAGTAGTGTACATCACCTTGAGCTTTTTACAGAAGTTAATGTCGCTCCAGTTCCGTTCGTCCATACGAGAATCAGATGGTGTTGGTGGGGCATCACTGCGCTGGCAATCCCTCCAGATGACAGCTGTGGCCGACGACGTAAAGACAACCTTGTCGATGCTTTCTGTTTGAGCACATGCTTCCAGCACATTGTGTGCTGCTCTTACTTCCAATTCACCTATCAACTCCTGCACCAACATTACAATTTAGATGCGCTAAGAACAGTCCGAAAAACTAGGTAAAATCAATTCAAAGTTCTAATCCTCTTTTCGAAACAAATGAACTGTAAAATTTTCTAATCGAAGAAAAAGTTGAGAATCGCACTACAAGCAACAGAGTCGGTTAATCTAAGTTCCTCCGCCTAGAGAGAGTTTTCCCTACTTTCCTTTGAATCATTTTATTATGCTCATGGAGACGATGACCAGGACAATCAGGTATACCGGAATTATTCGACCAGAAGGATAATTCCTCGATTAAAGCATAGAGTAATTAAAAAATAAAAAATGATAATGATCGCGATGCAAATAAGGAAAAGATGTATGTATTACATCGTAAGTAGGATGATCGGAAGGAAGCTCAAAAGAGTAAAACAAGGCACAACATCCCCTGAGTGCGTCCGTGATGCTGTGATAATCCAATGGATCTGAATGGAACACCCTCAGGCTGTCATTTTCGCTCCACTCTCCTTTGTAACGCTCCAAATCATCTGAAAAATCACAACTAATTCCAATGAGTTCGTAGCGATGAATATTCTGATTTCAACACAGCTGCCTCCAACAAAACGAAAGGCAATCGGAATACAGCATATATGTACAAATAGGCAGAAACGCTGCCGAAAGATAACATCAATGGAGCGAGATACACAGAAGAAAATCGAGAAAAAAAAAAAAAACAATTACGGCGAGAGTGAAGCGCGGCGTGAACGATGTAACCGTCGAGTAAAAGTCGGTCAACGAGAGCAGACCCTAGCCTTCCCGATGCATCCATAACGCACACCGTCTTCTTCCCCGCAGCTGTCGCCATGCCTGTCTGAATCTCACAAAAAAATACCAGACTACACTCACACACACGCCGATCAAAACACAGAGAATTCGCCTCCGAATTGAAACCTCAAAATCCCCAGAACCTCAAACACTCAGACACACGCCTACGCATCTGCATCCATACATACATACAGACATATATACATGCATCACCACATTGAAATTAACTGGATAGGCTGTGCCTGCTCATTCAGTGCTGCTTGCCTTCATCTTCAACCCTCTTTATTGCGCAGCGCAATAAATACAGAAGAAATTTGGAGAGAGAGAAAAGATAGGCAGCGCGTGGCCATTGAAAGAGAGTGAAGTGTTGCAGTTGCAGGAAGCTGGGAGTAGTTAGCAGACGGATGGTTGGGAAGCTGGTAGATGCAATCCTACGTGGACAGATGGACGGTTGGATCATCGTTTCCTGATGCCAACCCTACCCTACCCCACCCCACCCCCCCTCGAAAAATATTTTTTTATTTATTAATTTAAGTTATCGTCTTACATTGTCAATGGCCTTCTTCCCCTCCTTGCCACCCGTTACAACAAACTTTGTGCGTGCGGTTCACGTGCCAAAATTTTATCGGAGGGAGGACAAGAACAAGGTTACGTTTTCAAACAGCTCACGCACGTGTTTTACCTATTTGATTCAAACTTTTAGCTGTAAATTTATTTGGTATAAAATTTATTTTTAACAACATGTGAATAGTATATCATATTAATTGATTATTTTTATTTAATTTATTTGTATTTTGTTTACATTTATTACAATACTATATTTGAAAAAAGAAATAATATTTATTTATTTTTAAATCAATAATTATTTAACAAATATCACTAATTTTATTACATTTTTTATTTTTTTATTTTTTTTATTATTAATTAAATTTTAAAAAATATCTTTAATTATATTCTTATTTTTCCATATTTTTAATAAAATATTTTTTTTTGCTGAGTCTAAAAACTAAATAGAGGGAGGGAGTATAAATTAATATATCCACTCATATATATATATATATTTAATTTATATGTGCATTTTAATATGTAGTGACTTATAACTTTGGATGGTAAAATTTTCATTCTTTTTTTTTCTTTTTTTTTTTTTGGCTAAAAGCTGTATACATTCTTTATTAGCCTGCAATCATAATTTGAACTATAACTTGCTAGTCACGTGAGACAAAATGGATTAATAAGACAATAACAAAGTCTAAAATAATACTCGTTTCGTTCAATTTTTATTATTTTAAAATATATTTGTACTATTTTTTAGGTAATTGTTTTTTTATTATAAATTAACATATTTGTTTGTATGGGAAAAATATAAATTTTGTGTTAAAAAAAAAAGAAAATAGGAAAAAAGTAAAACATTAGTTTGTGGACTGAGGGAATAATAAACTTTGATAAAAAGGGTTAAATACTTTTAGGGTGTGTTTGTTTGGGAAAATAATGGGATAAATAGTGTATTTAAAATTCAATTCCCCAAACAAACACACCCTAAATGTATCTTGAAGCATTATGAAATAAACAAGGGTATGTTTCTTTTGATAAATTTGGAAAAAAAATGGTTTAAGTTTGGTATCAAAACAATATACGATGAGATATTTTGTAAGAAAAAATATACTCTTCCGTCCAAATCTAAAAGTCATATTTATGTTTTGCGTAATTGTACTTCACATTAAAAATATTGTTATATTTGTATAATTTTATTTATTTATTTTTTGTACAAATATCCTTCTTCTATTAGTATCATAAGACACTAAATGAAGTGTTTTTGTAAATTTTTCTTAATATGTACTACGTTTTGATATAATAATTAATATTTAAATATCAACACGTAAAAAGTAAATGAAACCTTAAAGTCGGACGAAAATAATATACTCCCTCCGTCCAAACAATAAGTATACATTTACTTTTGACGCAGAGTTTAAAAAGTAATAGTATTTTAATTATAGTTGGTATGTAAAGTAATGTAATGATATTTTTGTCCTTACTTTTTGGTATAAAAGTAATGATGTTATGTAAATGTAATGGTATTTGTGAAAAAAATATGAACTATTTAATGAAATGATTACTTTATAATTGAATGTCTCAAAATAAAAATATGTATAGTTTGTAGTTGGACGGAGAGAATTTTTTTAAAAAAATAGTAAAAATCAGAGATTTAAGGCAAAAAGAACAAACCTAATTTTAGATATAATATATTTTTTTTAATATAATATTAATAGTGATATATTCAATGTAAATTTCGGAGCAAATTTACATTGGACGCAGTCTTCACTTGTCCAGCCTAATATTAGTAGTGTCCGCTAGGGTCGGCTGGGTGGGCATTATTAGGTATTTTTTAAAAAATAAATAAATATATATTTAATATAGTGTTTTATAAAAATTTATAATTTGATAAATAAATAGTGCAATTTTTTTTTTTTTTTAAAAAAATATATGTAAATTACTCCTAAATTTGGTAAAAAGATTAGATAAAATTATGTTTATATATCATATATGGAGTATTATTTTTTTGGCATTATCATGGATTCATCATTAATATTTTTTATATATAAAAATCACATCAAATATATATTTATTATTTTTAAAAATAATCATAAAATTATTGTATATATTATGATAAATACTTTTTTTATGTATTTCTTTTATTTTAGAATTTTTAAAATCCTTCCAAAGTATATCAAAACACAATTTAGATATTTGGACAGATGTTGAAATGACACGTAATTTTTTATGTTAATGAAAAATTTAAGATACTTTTTGAACAGGGAACAACATGTCATATGGTCCCAAATTTTCATGAATATGTACAAAACTATAATAATGATACTCCCTCCGTCCCATCTAATATGGGTGTATTACCGTAAACACAAAAATTTAGGTAAAGTATAATTAATAAATAATTAAGAAATGTATTAGTAAAAATAATTATATATTAAAATTAAGATAACAAAATAGTTTAATTAAGATTAAAAAAATTAAATTTTAAATTTTAAAATATGATTAAAATATATAATTAATTTTTCAAAAAATGAAAGAACAAATTACATGGAACGGACGAAAATAGAAAATAGAAACAAATTATGTGGGACGGAGGAAGGATTTATTATGTTCTATACTCTACCAAAAATATAGTGTTTGTTCATTTATATTCATGTGATTTTAAAATATAATACTCCCTCCTCCTCTTAACAATATATTCATTTTTTTTAGTAATTGTATTATCTATCTAATATTACAAATATCCTTCCAATTTATAATATATTACACAAATATCATTACATTTATATCATACAATACTAATAGAGTTAATTTAATCTTTTTACTTTTATTTTTACTTTATCCCAATATAATACTAATATTTTTAAAACTCCATGCAGAAAATAAATAAACAGAGTATATAATAATAATAAGTAATAAAAACATACAAAAATCAAAAGAAACATATATATAAAAGTTTTCTATAATATGGTATATGTCATATTTCATACTTCAAAAAATAAAATAAAATAGTTCTGTCATAGTTGACACGATGGTGTGGGGTTGGGTTAATGGGTTCTAAACCCCTAAATCTTCAGGTAATTTGCTATGTTTATCGTTGTTATATTAGTTTAAAAAATATCTTTATATTTATATAATTTTTTTTATAAATATTATTAAAAATATATTTTTATATTTGGGCGAATGTAATATTTTAAATTTGTATAATTATGGAGTATAATATATATATATAAAAGTTGATAATACTATCTCCCTTTCATTTATTGATTGTTATAAAAAAATATTTTTATTTTTTTTTTAAATAAAAATTATTATATTTTTTTGTATTTTTTTATTATAAAAAAATAATTATTATTATTTGCTTCTATTAAAACTATGTCCGTAACATGAACATTTGCATTATAGAAGAAAGATTAATATTTTAAATATAAAATTAATTTTTAATAATATATATATATATAAAAGTACTTTGATTAAATAATTTTGGAAGAAAGTATTTTATAAATAGTAAAAACTAAATCAAATCGCCCAGATAAACACAATCGTATTTTTTGCGTGAAAATTTGAAATATATGTTTTGACTAAAAGATAAAGACATATGGTCCCGACTTTTCATGAATATTTACAAATTATATAATAGTGATATTTAAGCTTTATTTAGGGCATCTACAACGGCTGCTGTCAATCAAGGCATCAAGCTACGTTTCCGCCGACATTTTATTTGTTTAAATAATAATAATAATAATAATAATACCACATCGTCTAGAAACTAATGTTCTATTTTTATTTTTTTTATTTAAGACGTTAAAAAATAATTGTCCTTTTTTTTTAAATACAAATTTTACATTTTTACCCTTCATTCATTTATTATTTTCAATCTCTCCATACAATTAAGGACAAATTTGTCAAATTCATAACAAAAAGACAATCACCTAAAAAACCGTGCAAATATATTTTAGGACAATAGAAATTGCACGGAGGGAGTAATAATACTCTTTCTGTCTCAAAATAATAATCTGGATTGTGTTTGACACGATATTTAAGGAGTATTGATATTATATTGACATTGAGTAAAAAGTACGAGTGAAAGATTTTTTTGCCTTTATAAGTGTATGAGTATAAAAAATAGTAGCAATTGTGTAATAATAATGAAAAAGTAATTGTAGTTTTATAGTGATATGATTATTTATGGAAATGAGATTATTGTTTTAGAACGAAAAAAATGATAAATAAAACTACTGTATTAAACGAGATAGAGTAATAAACACAAATTGGAAGATATTGTGCTCCGTATTTTTCCACGTGTCACATTTTCTTAACAGTTATTTATAACTATTATAGTAATAGTTAGGGTTTGTTTAGTTATAGGGTTTTACTATGTTTTTTAACATAAAAAAAATAAAAATTAAAAAAAATTAAGGTTGCTATTTAAGTGTTTCTACAGCAATTTTCCATAAATATTAATAGATATAATATTTATTTAGATATGATCTAAATCAATAGATAAAACAAAATTTTAGAAGTAGAGGCCTTTTCAATAAATTTCACAAATCACAGGAGTTATTTTACTATTTTTTTTTTTTTAAAAAAAAAACTTCATATTATGTGAAATATATAACCAATAAAATTTTCTTTTAAATCAATTTTTTTTTGTAAGATTTGATGTGTGTTTTGTTACACCAAAAACCCCATATATTTTTACTATTTGAACTTTATATTTTTCGAAAAAAAAATATAATTTTTTTTTCTTATAAAATATCACATCGTACGTTATTTTAATACCAAATTCACACCAAAATTTTCAAAAACAAACCTTGTCCAACACTATTATTATTATTACTATTTTCTAAAAGTGTCTTTAAGGATTTATTTGGTTGTGATTTGAAATATAGTGTTTGATTTGAATTTTTGTTTAAATAGTAAAATTATTTTTACTTATGGTGCAAGGTTTAATATTATTGTAATAGCTTGGTAAAAATAATGTAAAACAATTTTGCATATGGTAAAATATGAGTATTTATAAAAAAAAATATATATATATATATGGTCAATAGTTACTTAAAAAAAAGATAACTATATGTGTTTACTTGTGAGGTTTTAGCTTTGAGTTTTGATTTTGAATAGTAAAATTTTGAATTGAAATTGTTGTTTGGTATGATATAAATATGTGTTGATGTGATGTTTTGAATGTAAAATTAGATTTTAGTGTAATAAAATAAATAAAAATTGAGTATTTGATTTGATGTTTTTGGAGGGAAAAAAAAAAAGTTGGAATAGTAAAATCAGTATAAAACCTGACAAGCAAACACTTAAATGACCTAAAATAGAAAATATATTTTAATGTGATGTTTTGTAAGAATAAATAATTTAATTTTATTGGAAGTCTGCCGAATCAATAGTGTTAATTTCAATTTAAAATAAAAAAAAAATCAAATAATTTCTACTTTCTCCCTCTTAACAAACTATTTAATTTTTTTATTTTGATCCGTCTCATAATAAAATATCAATTTCATTTTTTTTTTTATAGTAACTGCAGTATCTATAGAACATTATAAATACATTTTCAATTTACAATAAGTTACTATAACGTCATTACCAGTGTATTATACAATAAGGTTAATTTAGTCTTATACTAATATTTCTAAAATTTACGGACGGATAGATAAACATGGGAAGAATGGAGTATTTTCATACTATGTTTACTACTTACGAAAGAATTAATTTTTTCCAAATAATATTTTGTTTTTCTTTTTTGAAAAAAAAAAAACCTCCAAACTCAAATTTTAAATAAATTGATAAGAAACAGATAGGAATTAGTTAGTTGAATAATAGAAGAAATTTAATTTAGGATAGAATTGTGTAGTGCGTGGGAAGGCATGAGAAATGTATGTTTGTTTTTATTTATACGTTTGAAATACCATCACATTATTCATTCCGAATTAATTAAATAAATTTACAACAATAATAACACACGAAAAATGAAAGATATACGACTCAAATGCCTCTGCAATAGTCCCTCGGGTTTGGATGATCTTTTACAAATTATATATATATATAAATTAGTTTCTATTATTTAAATTTCATCATTTATTATTTCACCTTATAGTATTAAGTTTAAAAACAAATTAAGGGTGTGTTTGTTTGGGGGTTTGGATTTTGAGTTGGGATTTGAATAGTAAAAATTTTGAATTTGAATAGTTGTATGATGTGATATAAATAGGTGTTGATGTGATGTTTTGAATGTAAAATTGATTTTTAGTATAATATAAAAAATGAAAAATATGTGTTTGATTTGATATTTTTAGGGAAAAAATTGGATGAATAGTGTAAATTCAATCCAAAATCCCAAACAGGAATTGGATTTTAAATTTACTATTCATCTCATTTTTTCCCTAAAAAAATATCAAATTAAACACCTATTTTTTATATTTTATATTATACTAAAAATCAATTTTACATTCAAAACATCACATCAACACCTATTTATATAACATCATACAACTATTCAAATTCAAAATTTTTACTATTCAAATCTCAACTCAAAATTCAAACCCACAAAGAAACACACCCTTACTACATTTGCTTGGTATCTGATTTCAATTTATTTACTATGCATATTTTATAATTTTGTAAAAAAATAAATACTATTAGAAAATAATTCGAAAGAATGAAAAGAAATTTAAAAATTAGAAGTAAAAAACAAAGAATTAAGAGCTGAGAAAACTCTATTACGGGTGTGTCTCTTTTAGGATTTGGATTTTGAATTGACATTTGAATCTTAAAAAATTTGAATTTGAATAGTTGTATGATGTGATACAACTATACATGGATGTGATGTTTTAAATGTAAAATTGATTTTTAGTATAATATAAAAAATAAAAAATAGATGCTTGATTTTATACTCCCTCTGTCCCATAACAAAGTATTCATTTTCTTTTTTAGTAATTATACTATCTACATAACATTACAAATACCTTTACAACTTACAATATATTACACAAATGTCATTACCTTTATATCACACGTACTAATTTGGTCATTTCTATTTTATTTATACTATATCCCAATATAATGCTAATATTTTTAAAACTACGTGCAAAAAGCAAATGGATACTTATTTATGAGACGGAGAAAGTATTTTTTTGAAAAAAATTTATGTGAATAGTATAAATTGACACAAATCCTTCAAACAAACACACACGTAACAAAATATGACTATTAGAGGTTTTGTAAAGGATAATCCAAACCCCAACACCTCTAGGTACATCTGCCACGCAAGGTTAGTAGATCCGTTTTGTCGATCGCTTTATGCAAGTTTTTATAATAAAATATTTTAATTACTTCCTCCGTCCACTTACCATATTTATATTTACTTTTGGCGCGGTGTTTGAGAAACAATATTATTTTAATTATAATAAATAGTTAAAAATAGTGTAATGATATTTTTGTCCTTACTTTTTTTTGTGTAAAAGTAATGATGTGATGTAAAGTAAGGATATTTGTGGAAAAAAATTGGATATTTAATGAAATGTTTATTTTGTAATTGAACGTTCCAAAATAGAAATATGTAAACGTTGTAAGTGGACGGAGGGGGAGTATTATTTTTAATAAATAATGTATCACATTTTAAATGAAAAAAAAAGAAAATTTGATACATAACTTAATTTAACATAAATTTACTTAAGAAATAAAATATAAAAAGGTTATGTGCATTTTCAATAAAATATTATGCAATTTACTAACGTACAAATATAAATTAAAGATAACCTTCGAAAACATGCCAAAAGAGTAAGACTACGGTGTGTTTGTTGGGGTTTGGATTTTGAAATGAGATTTGAATAGTAAAATTTTTGAATTTGAATAGTCATATAATGTGATATAAATAAATGTTAATGTGAGTATAATATAAAAGATAAAAAATAGGTATTTAATTTAATATTTTTGGGGAAAAAAATGAGATGAATTAATTAGTATATTTGAGAGAAAATCCTCCAAAGGGTGTGTTTGTTTGGGGATTAGATTGGATTTACACTATTCATCAAAAATTTTTTCCCCAAAACTATCAAATCAAACACCTAGTTTTCATTTTTTATATTATACTAAAAATCAATTTTACATTCAAAACATCAAAACCTATTTATATCACATGATACAACTATTCAAATTCAAAATTTTTACTGTTCAAATCCCAACTCAAAATCCAAACCTCCAATCAAAAACACCCTTAAAAGTAAAGACAGTTCAAATATTCCATGGTAAAACGGGTCGGGTACGGTCGACCCGAACCCAACAATTAACCGAGCCAGAGCCGTAGAAGCCCTTTGCCCGTATCGTCGTCGTCGTCGGCTTCGGCTCCATCAGCGCGGCAGGCAAAATCGACAACGATGTCAGAAAGAGCTACTAGATATCGCATAGGATACGCCCTCGCCCCGAAGAAGGTCGACAGTTTTATCCAGCCATCGCTCCTCAATCTGGCCAAGGAGCGAGGGATCGACCTAGTCCCCATCCAGCTAACCAAGCCCTTGCTCGATCAGGGCCCCTTCGATTGCATAATACACAAATTTTCTCACCCCGAATGGATTGATCAATTGCAGGAATTCCTCTCGAAAAACCCTAATATTACTGTTATCGACCCCGTCCAATCATTCCAGCGCCTCCGCAGTCGAACCACCATGCTCCAAGTCGTTAGCCAGCTCAATATCACTACTCAAAATTCTCTCCGAATTCCCAACCAGATACTTGTCGAAAATCCTGACTCATTAGCCGGAATCGTTGCGTCAAAGAGCATCGAGTTTCCTGTGATTGCGAAGCCTGTTGCCGCGGACGGAACTGCTGACTCGCATCAAATGTCACTGATCTTCAACGAGGAAGGCCTGAAACAGCTGAGCTTAACCCCTCCATTTATATTGCAGGAGTTTGTGAACCATGGAGGTGTGATTTTCAAAGTGTACGTGGCCGGCCAGCACGTCCAATGCGTGAAGAGGCGATCGATGCCAGATATTTCCGAGGAGGATGCAACTGATAATGTGCTCTCATTTTCGCAGATATCTAATGCAACAGTGCACGATCAGGGTGTGAATGACCAGAGCGTAGCAAAGCTAATGGAGGCAGCTGAATTGCCCTCCATGGATTTTGTTAACGAAGTAGCCAGTCAATTGAGGCAGGCTTTGCAGTTGAATCTTTTTAACTTCGACATGATAAGAGATAGCAGAGCTGGAGATCAATATCTTGTGATCGACATAAATTACTTTCCAGGTTATGCAAAGTTGCCCTGTTATGAGACGATGCTGACTGATTTTTTCCTTGACATTTTGCAACAGAAGCAGAGTGTAGTTTCAGATGACTGCAAGCCGGCGTAGTTCCATAGTTCTTTCATCCAATATGGTGTAATAACAATGGCATTGCCATCTCCCCCATCTTGGTAGTTGTTAACTAGACAGTCGTCAAATAAATCCGTCGATGGGGAGCTGATTATGTGTCTTCAATTGTAAGGATCATAGCTCTTTGTGCTGTTTTACCTGTATGACGAATTCACTGTGGTTTTTCCTTGCTTGCATAGAATGAGGCTCGATTGTATGTGCGCAAAACTAGCTTGTTAAACTTGATGCTCTCAGATTTTAGTTGCAAAAATGAGGAGCATATCTTGTTAAGGCATGGTGATCAGTACAATGACTCCCGGGTTTTTGCATTGTTTCCTAAAAGTGATGAATACTTCCGGCATTTGTTCTTGTTAGAATAAGTCAATAATTTGTGGTATCTTCCATTCCATATACACGTGGGCAGTTTATCAAAGATCTTTCTTGAATTTATCCTGTGTTTTTTGGCTTAGTCAATAGGTAATCGACATGTATGGATGCTGCGGCTCAAGAACCTGCAGTTATCGATAGTAAAATAATGGTTGGCATGTATTATGTTTTCTATGTATACAGGCAATTCACTTATTTCCCTATCAAAGTAATGTGGGAGTTGGGAGAACTCGTCGTCTATATTCAGAAAATGAAGAAACTTCTGCTGCTATTCACCAGAAATCCATACAAGAGCATTCTCCCCCTATAAAATGGTGAAATCGATACCGGTCTCTCAACACTATTTCCCTATCATAGAGCTTCGACACCAGCTTAACAACGGAATGACAGTCTTGGCAAACCCGAAGATTCTTCACAATCCGAATTGGTTGAGATGGGGGAAGGGTGAGAAGTCCGAAAGCAAGTGCCAATCTTTCACTATGGAGATGCAAAGCTATTTCCTGCATATTTTCTTCTTCCACCAGTTGCAGCACTTCTGACTTGTTCGGCACATAGCCCGCAGACTTCAGTCTCGAAGTCATCTCCTCCAACTTTAGGTATATCTTCTTCGACATTGGATGGGTGTTGTCTCCTACTAGAAACTCGTGCACGGTGCCCTCCACCTCAATTGAACTGCAGCCGGCTTCTTTCTTCAGACCGGCATCTCTCATGCGCTTCCTCAGATCAGAAACTTTATCCCACTTCCCCGACTCAGCATAGATGTTGGACAGGAGCACATATGCTCCATGATTATCAGGCTCGATGTTGAGTAAATGGCTGCCGGCATGTTCGGCTAGATCAACGTTCTTGTAAAGTCTGCACGCCCCGAGCAGAGCCCCCCAAACAGATGCACCCGGGCTCATCGGCATCTTCTGGATAAACTCTGTGGCATCGTCCAGCTGACCTGCCCGGCCAAGAATATCAACCATGGCGGCATAGTGCTCCATACCAGGCGGAATCTTGTACACACTCTCCATTTGATGGAAGAACTCCCGGCCTTCCTCAACTAGCCCCGAATGGCTGCAGGCAGATAACAAATTGGTAAAAGTAACGGAGTTGGGCCTCACATTCGCTTCCTGCATTCGCTGGAACATCTCTACTGCATCCCTGCCTCGCCCGTGCATGCCCAGCCCGGCAATCATCGAGCTCCACACGAATACATCCCTCTTCTCAGCTGATTGGAACACTTCGCGGGCCTTCTGCAGATCGCCACACTTGGAGTACATATCAATCAGTGCTGTAACAAGGTAACAATTCAACCTCACAACTTCCTTCCTTGTATATACATGGATCCACCCTCCCAACTCCATTGCCCCTAGCCGCGAACATGCTGATAAAGCACTAACTAATGTTACTTCATCAGGTTTCGCAGCCTTGCTAAGCTGCAACTCGTGGAAAACTGCTATGGCTTCCTTCGGTCTACCATTCTGTTCATAGCCTGAGATCAGAGCATTCCACGCTGCAATGTCCTTGCGAGGCAGCGAATCAAAGAGCTGTCTAGCTGCGCTGAAGTCCCCTATCCTCGCATAACCGGCTATCATCGTTGTCCATGAAATGATATCCTTGTCCACCATATTGTCGAAAAATAGCCTCGCTTGCTCCATGCTGGAGCACTTGGTGTACATATCAAGAACTGCATTCCCCAGAATGAGGCCCATGCCGATGCCATTGTTCTCTATGTAAGAATGCAACCACCTGCCAAGCTCTGCATCTCCTGTCTTCCCGCAGGCAGATAAAACACCCACCATGGTGACATCGTTTGGTATGACACCTGCCTCCTCCATTCTGCGGAAAAAGTTCACTGCTTCATCAGGGTATTCGTTCTGGGCAAGGCCATTGATCATGGAGTTCCAAGAAACAACATCCCTTTTAGGCATGCTCCAGAAAACCTGAAGCGCCATGTCCAAGCATCCGCATTCCATGTAGAAGTGAATCAGGCAGTTGTTCACGAACAAATCGGAGCTTAAACCCTCCTTTATCACCATCCCTTGAACTGCCTTCCCAAGCCGCAGATCAGAAAGCTTGGCGGAGGCTTTGATCACGAAAGGGTAGGTGAACTTGCTGGGCCTCTCGACGCTCTCATGGAGCAAACGAACGAACATGGAGATGCTGCGAGTGACGTAGGGGGAGGCGGCGTATGCGCGAATAAGGGTATTCCAAGAATAGAGATTCGGGTGGGGAATTTGGTCGAACAGGTCGCGGGCGTAGTGAAGGCTGGGGGAGTGAGACAGAGCAGCGGAATGAAGGAGCTTGCTGGCGGAGAAGGGGTCGAAGAAAAGGCCGAGACGAAGCATCCGTGCGTGGATTTGCTTCAGCTGCTGCACATTTGAGCATTGATCGATGAGGGTAATGGTGGGGTGAGTCGCCCAGTAACGGTGGTCTTTTGGGAAATTGATGAGAGGAGCAGGCGGCGCCGCCATCATCTGATCAGACTTCAGAGCTTTTGGGTTGGATGTGTGGATTATTGATAAAGAACACTACTTTTGTTTCTTGGACCGGTGTGGATAAATTGGTAAAACCCAATAAACCTCCCTTTTCTCCAAAGCGGGCTCGAGGTCCTTTTGTTCTTTCTTCTTCTTCGTTTCCAGAGGACACCCAAAGAATCACCAATTTGAAGTTTCAGTTCTTTAATGGCTGGCAACGGTAACGTCGCCCCCTCGAACCCTAGCCCGGCTCCTAAAATTCTCTTGTCAAAGCCTGGGCTTGTTTCCTCGAGTCGTGGCAGAGGCGGTGGCGGTGGTGACGATGACTCGACGGCGCTTCGCTATCGGCTTCCATCCATAGGTTCTCTCAATCTCATTTCGGACTCTTGGGAAATCCAGATCGATCGTTTTTTACCAGTTACGATTGTCTTCATCTTCCTCCCATTCTTCCTGATGGTTTTTCCACACACTCATATATATATATATATATATATTTCTGCTGATATATGTGTTAATTTAATCGTGCAGTTTTTGACGGATAACACCGAGTTCACCGTGGTGGGTGTGATTGGTCCGACAGGGGTGGGAAAGTCGACCATTTTGAATGAAATTTATGGCTTTGATTCTTCTTCACCTGGTATGCCATTGTAACATATGTCGTCTGTTCAACTAATCTTGTATGGAACTTGGAGCTTGCTCATTGTTTCTGTGATCTTTTATCAGGAATGCTGCCCCCATTTGGTGTTCAAACCGAAGAAACAAGGGCGCTAGCTAGACATTGTACGCTTGGAATTGAACCCAGAATTTCGTCGGAAAGGATTATACTTCTTGATACTCAGGTTTACTATTTTGTTCATTCCCCCAGAGCTCGTTGCGTAGAGTTTATGTGAAGCTATATGGTTGGGAATGACTTACAATATATGATCTGCAGCCTGTGTTTAGCCCTTCAATTTTAGCAGAGATGATTAGACCTGACGGTTCATCTACCGTTCCCATTATAAGTGGTGAATCCTTGTCTGCGGAGCTAGCCCATGAGTTAATGAGTATCCAGGTCGGAAATCTTCATTTGCAATTTTGTGAACTTGTTATATGCAGATTTTCTAAATGGGGTTAACTTTTTCTGCCTTTGCTGCAAGGAATTATTCTAGCTCGGCGTCCTTCTTGCATCTATTTGTCACATACTCATTGTGGTGTCCGAGGGAGTTCATGATGCTAGCATGTGGCATCTGATGTCGACGGTATTTATTTAATTTATACCTTACATGTTCTTCATGTCCATTATTTAACTACTTCGGTTGTTCGGCTTGGTTTAAATAGAAGTTTTGAAAGTTTCGAAAATAGTATTTGAAGTGATTTTGGAAAAAGATACTATGTGAAGTATTCATTTCTTTTTTTATGATTCTTTTTTCTTGTGCTGCTACTTTGCCAAAATATATAATACGGGATCACTTGCCTAGCCCATTTCCTCTCATGCAGGTGGATTTATTGAAACACGGCATACCGGATCCGGCTTCTGTAACACTTTCTCATCCACAGAGCTATGACAAAGAGAAAAGCAGCAATCTATTGGAGAGCAGAAATGAATACATTGCTTCTCCAATTTTTGTGCACACAAGGTTACTTGCACGAACCATTAACATCATCCTGCAAATAAATGCAAAGTTTTAGTAGTTATAAGGGAATTGCTCTTTGATTTTCTTCTTGTGCTTAGGCTTCAAAACCTAGACAATGTGGTATTCACTTCTGCTCGAATGAAGAAGGCACTTGCAACATACTTCCGCGATTCTTCATTTATAAGATCAGCAGCAGCCGAAGAAGCAGCAAAAGATGGTTGCCCTTCCGAGGCCGACGATGACGAGCTAAAGCTGTTTCTTGTTCCATTAGAGGCTAAAGAAGGGTCCCCCCGGCTGCAGCACGAAAGCTGTTCTTCTGTTCTATGGAAGCTGAGAGATCAGGTTCCATCCTCCTCCTCCCTCTTTCTCTATGTAATTATCACTACCACCACTACTACTACATGACTATGTTTGCAGGTTTTATCGATGAGTGTCCCCTCCTTTTCAAGGACTATTAACGAGCGTGACTGGTTGAAGAATTCTGTCAAGATATGGGACCTCATCAAGAACTCTCCAATCATAGCTGAATATTGCTCCACACTTCAAAATTCTGGCTTATATAGGAAGTAGTAACAGCTAGTATTAGTAATGTCGAGACATGGAGAATATAATTTGCATTGATGATAATTAAATAAATCACAAAAGAGATTAGGGCCAGTCGTGGGGTTGATCCCTATTGGGGTTATGTTATTACATTATTAATGTCATCCTCTCCAAATCCCTACCACTCCTTTCTTTCTCTCTTTTTAAAAAAAATAAAAATTGAATCTTTTTTGTTTTTATGTATGTATTTGTGGATTCAGTTGTTTGCTTGCTTACGCTTCTCCATTTGGCCTTCTCGTTAGAACGAGGATGTGATATATTTTATATATATGTATATATATTTCTCTTCAGGCACCACTTCTCGCCGATTAAGGCATGTCTTCATGCCGGGCCCCGTCTGCCATGATAAGGGTTCCCAAAGCTTCCTTCTTTCCCCGCAACACCACCACCACCGGTGTTTCCGCTTATAAATTCAGGTCCGTTTTAGGTCAGCTTGTGCCGAAATTTGGTGTCTCCGCCTCTTTAAGTTCCGTTGTTACCTCCGGTAATGCGATCGCCGCCGCAGCGGCGGCCGGTTCGGGCTCTGTTCATGGAGCGGTGACGTCAGCAATTACTCAGGTAGCGGTGACTGCTGTGGCGATTGTTTCGGGTGCTTGCCTTTCCACCAAGGTGGATTTTCTGTGGCCCAAAGTTCAGGAGCAACCAGGTACCCTCTAATATTTCCTCTTCTTCTTCTTCTTCTTTGATTAAAAGCGTTTTCTGCCATAGAATTGTAAAATACCGTCTATGCAACATCCTTTGTGTTGAGGACATAGAAATTGAAATCATTTTCAGAAAATTAAGGGTTCTATGTTAAGCACTCCTATCCTATATATCTGGTGCAGGCTCTCTTGTTCTGGATGGCGTCGACGTCACCGGGTACCCCATATTCAATGATGAAAAGGTTTATCATCTCTACTTGTACCTGTTAATGGCAGTAAAAAGCGACATGTTGTAGTGCCGCTAAGATTCTGAATATGTGAAGGCAGGTGCAAAAGGCAGTGGCTTTTGCCAAGAAAGCTCACCATGGCCAAACAAGGATGACAGGAGATCCCTACTTATCACACTGTATTCACACTGGAAGGATTTTAGCAGCATTAGTTCCGTCAACGGGTAAAAAAGTACGTCAGTCATGTTCTTGGGAAATTCTATGTTTGTTTTTCCAATTAAAACTTTATGCTTTGGGCTTTATGTTTGTATTCATCAGACGTGAGCCGCCTGATATCGTAAGTATGCAGCTCTGTGAATTTTCTTTGATTCTGTTTATATTAATGTATGCGTGGTTTTACGTAGGCTGTTGATACTGTTGTTGCTGGAATCCTCCATGACGTAGTTGATGATACTGGTGAGAATTTGGACACCATAGAGGGAGAGTTTGATGTTGATGTTGCAAAGTTGGTAGCTGGAGTTTCCCGCATAAGTTATATTAATCAGGTATGACATTTTATACAGGAATTACAAATTTATGCCAAAGATCTTGTTTCCATATCATAAATAGTGTAACTTCTCTAGAGAGTTTATTTTAACCACCACAAAATTAGTCTAGATAATTCTTAGAAACTGAATTTACATCTTGATGTATTGATGTTGAGATTGCCAGTTCCATTAGTATGTTTCTGCGGGTATTTTCACAATCTGTTCGTTTACTTTATTGACTGGTTGATTAGAACCTGAATGCATTTTTCCACCAGCTACTTCGCAGGCACCGTCGATTGAATTTAGGTCAAGCAACTCTCAGCCATGAAGAGGTGTGCTTTTAATGTTGTGTTGTCACTATAAGTGGGGAAAGGATCTTTTAAATGATTGACATTTTGATAACCCACACATTATCTCCTTTCTCATGTATGGTAACTTGTACTATTGAGAATGGAAACAATAGTTGAAATGATGAATTAACCTGATTGCCAATCAAGCTCAACTGCTTTGCTATTGCCAGCAACAAGGGCATACCATTTTTATTTGGGCATCTCATTTCTCAAATATCTTGAATGGTTCACAATGCTTTTGAGATCTTAGACTTCATATTGATCTCTTTGTTCATATCTCTTATAGAAATCTCCATATTCTAAAATTTCACGGTGTTAAAAATTTCTAGATGGTCTTTCGGGATTGAATTATTGTACCAACATCAACTCTGGCATGTTTCTCATGATGTTACTGTGCAAATATGGAGCATTATACCAAACTATTTACCTAGTGCAATATTGTTCACTGAAGAAAATTAACTGTCTAAAGTCATATAAAGCAAGCTCTGAACTAATTCAGGTCCTTGTTATTATACATTTATGTTATAATGATAAGTTGATAATGCTAGTATGTTTCACACTATTTTTTTTTCGCTAGGCAAATAATTTGCGGGTGATGTTGCTGGGCATGATTGATGATCCGCGGGTGGTTCTTATAAAGCTTGCTGATCGTCTTCATAACATGAGAACAATGTACTTTTCTATACTTTCTATTGCTTTATATGCTCCAATTGATATGTTACACATTTGTTTCCGTAGCTGTTGAATAGTATATTTTGTAACAGGATATTTATCAGTATGTAATTTCTATCAATTTGTCGAAGTATTTCCTAGTCTATATCTCAGCATTTAACAGTTTTAGGATAGTAAATATACTTGATTTCTTATCTTGTTATTGCATGCACTGTCCTTAATTACTGACTTTATTCTACTCGAGGAAAAATCATTTGGTATTGATTACATGGTTTGAAGGCTATTATTTTGGGCACCTTTTCTCTTGTTAGTGTTGTATTCATACGGTTGATTGATTTACGATAATGATGGCTCATCTAGCAATGGTGCATCGAGTAGGGCATCATGAGCTTCCTCTCAAGTAGAGATGGAGATGATGATTGATTCATTTGATATCTTTGATGCAATTTGAACACTATGGTCTCTTATCTTCATTCGACTATACAGATTGTAGAATGCTATTTTGAAGAGGATAGTATGCAATTAATTAGCTCTCTTTACCGCAGAAGCCTAATTCAGTATTTCAGTTGATCTCCTAAAACATGAAGTTCTGTACATCACATTACTGTTATGTATCTTTTATAGATATGCGCTGCCTTCTGCCAAAGCTCAAGCTGTGGCGCAGGAAACATTAGCTATTTGGTGTTCCCTAGCTTCTAGATTGGGACTATGGGCTCTAAAAGCTGAACTTGAAGATCTTTGTTTTGCTGTCCTTCAGGTTACCCTTCTTTGTCTTTTTAATATATGATTATTCAGGAAAGAGAAATGATGGTCCAGAAACCGGGAAACATTCTTCACTGCTAATTTAGGTCAATATACACTGCACAGCCTAAAGTATTTTGTCAAATGCGAGCTGATTTGGCTTCTATGTGGAGCCCAATCAACAAGGAGGCCTGCCACTTAAGAAGGGAGCAAGTGAAATCTAACGATGTGCAGTTTCATAATAGTAAGGAACACACAGATTGGGATGACCAAAACACTAGCATGAAGGTAAGAATTGTGATGTCGTATTGTCTTTGAAGTCATTAATTATTATATTTATAAGTGCTCTTTCAATCCTCAGATTCTTCTTCAAGCTGTACTTCCATTTGATCTCTTACTGGACAGAAAAAAGCGCATAAATTTCTCTAACAATCTCACTACGAACTTGGATACACCAAAGGTTGTGAGAAATGCTTCCATTGCCTTGGCATCACTGGTTGTTTGTGAAGAAGCACTGGAGCGGGAGTTATTTATTTCAACATCGTAGGTTTCGCTCTAAACAATATAATTTCAACGTGTTAATGGATAAAAGTTTAAATTGTTATCTACCTATATTTTGCAGCTATGTTCCAGGAATGGAAGTGACTTTATCCGGACGCCTAAAAAGTTTGTATAGCATTTATAGTAAGGTATTGACAGAATTCTAGGTCTTAAATATGTAATAACTGCAGTAATTGTCATTTATCTTTCACCAAATTCACTGTCTAATTACGATCATAAGCCTGTGTAAGCTGAAGAGAGAATTCCCATGAGTGGATATTATATGATGATATTGACCCACTAGAGAACAAACTTGGTCATTATTTTATTCTAATGGTATAGGATATCGAGTTTAGCTTACTTTTCGTAGAAATAGATTTTGTTTATGTTTCCCTTTGCTACATCTGTCATCATGTTCAAAGCACTATTTAAAATTATAGCCTTTTAACATCTTGGTTTTGATAGTTATTAATTGACCATAAAGTTTTTGATTCATAATCCATAGATGAAGAGGAAAGATGTCGGCATTGATAAGGTATATGATGCTCGTGCATTAAGGGTGGTTGTTGGGGATAGAAATGGAACGTTGCACGGGCAGGCAGTCCAGTGTTGTTACAATCTTCTTAACATTATACACAGGTATGTGTGTGAGGTCTTATTTCCTTTGTTCTATGCTTGTGTTATGCTCGGTTGATTATTTTTCTGGTTAAAGCGATGCGAATCGGCTAAAGGTTCTTTTTCTTTTGGTCTAGATTATGGACACCAATTGATGGGGAGTTTGATGATTACATTGTCAATCCAAAACCAAGTGGCTACCAGGTCAATTTTCATTTGCCACGTGTTCTATTTCTTTTTTAATTCCTTCTTTTCAAGATATAAATGTCTTTTATTCACTGCTGACTTGGCTTGCCCTGACTTTTCCTATTTCTCAGTCACTTCATACTGCAGTACAAGGTCCCGACAACTCTGCATTGGAAGTTCAGATAAGAACTCATGTATGAAGCTTCTTTGAATGTGCATCAGTATTAGCTTGGAAACAATCTCTTTTACACGAAACATTTTTACTTTTTTGTCTCTTCAGAGGATGCATGAATATGCGGAGCATGGGTTGGCCGCACATTGGCTCTATAAGGAAACTGAGAGTCTTTTGCCCTCCAATAGCAGTGTAGCTGTTAGCGAAGACTCCTCAAATTTCTCAAAGGAAATGGAAGATCAACATTCTGCTGAGAATGGCGTGTTAATGAAATACAGCTCACTTAAAGCAGGCCATCCAGTTCTTAGGGTCGAAGCTGATCAGTTACTTGCTGCAGTAATAGTCAGGTATAATCTCTAGATCATCTTCTGTAACTATGAATGGATTTGACCCGACTAACTTGCCCATAAATCACTCGATCTTCCAGAGTAGACAGTGATGGAAGAGAGTTACTTGTTGCTGTCAGCTTTGGGCTGACAGCTTCTGAAGCAGTAGCCGAAAGAAGATCTTCTTACCAAGTAAAGCGATGGGAAGCTTATGCAAACTTGTACAAAAAGGTAATATTAATTAGATTCTGTAGTTATTATTCAGGCATATCTGCTATATTAGGTTAGTATTTTCATTTATCTACTTTGTACCATGGTTATATTTAATCCCTGATTCCATTATTAATAAAAATAACTCAGAATTTCTCTCTAAATGTAACACGTAGTAACCGGAGGCAGCTGTTCACTAGTGTAGTGTATAAGTTTACCAAGTTCAAATTTTTTCTTGGATGCTAGTTTTTTAGTCGATAACTTTTAAAGAATAAGAGTAATAGTAGATCGACCTGATAATGATCTGTGTGCATTTTTCGACTAATATGGTTTTGTCGACTACAATTTGATCGATGCTAATTGCAGGTGTCTGATGAGTGGTGGTGTGAACCTGGTCACGGGGATTGGTGCACCTGCTTGGAAAGATACACCCTTTGTCGAGATGGTATATATCACAAGGTTGGTTATTTCAGGTTTTGTAGTTATTCCCATATCAAAATTGTCTCAACTTATTGGAGAATTATTCTTGTACCGCTGTGCTGCACAGAAAGACCAGTTTCAGCGACTATTGCCGACTTTCATCCAAGTCCTCGAACTGACAGATGGAGAAGAAACCGAATACTGGAACGTCGTCTCTGATGTTTTCGAGGGAAAGCCTATTGCTTCCGACTTATCCAGTTCAAGTTACAAGGAGAAGCCTAGTTTCGCCTTCAATTCGTCTTCGGAAACTGGCATCATCAACAACAAGGCATGGCTTCTTCACTATGATGTCTGTCATCGTCTTCCTCATTCTCAGGCTGGTCTAAATTTTGCTTGAATGGCGCAGGTACTATTGCTGCGGACAATGCTCCAATGGGAAGAGCAACTGCACTCAGAAGTAGGGCTCCAACAGTCAAATGTTGGCAGTGGCAGTGGGGACGACAATGGCAGGAGAAACAAGGGCCTGCTGTCTCTGGGGGAAGTCGCGGTTGTGTGTTGGCCACACGGCGGGATAATGAGGCTGAGGAATGGGAGCACGGCTGCAGACGCTGCTACGAGGATAGGACTCGAAGGGAGGCTTGTTTCCGTAAACGGGCAACTCGTACTCCCCAACACGTTGCTGAAAGACGGCGATGTAGTCGAAGTCATGAACCATGCGTTGCCGGAAAAGCTTAGGAGGTAATGATAATATGTACAAAGGCTTCTACCATTTTGTTTAGTATCCATCTCTCTCTATTGATGCCTTTGGAAAATAGGTGATGCCGTTGCCTCAAATGTAAATGGTTTTGATAAACTCCCTACCACACATTTGGTATCATTTATTGGATCGTAGATTATTTCTCTTCGCCCAAGCTAGCAAATGCAAACGTGAGCGTCAAACACGATGCCTTGTAGAGAGGAGACTAATAGAGAATGTAAGGTAAAAATGGACTAGGAAAACTTAGATTTGATCCATTAATAAGCTTCATAGGGGCCAAACTTTCCAGGGAACTTGAAGCTCAAAATGGGGCGAATACCATATTGGCCGGTGCCTGATAAAGAGGCATTATCGACTGGTTTGGGGCTTGTGGAAAACAATGGTGTCTCCCCCTAGAGTACAAACTGACTAACCTCAATGGAGCCTTAAACAAGAGCAAGTATCATTTGCCACTTGTACTTGTGAGCTATGAATCAACCATTGGAGTGGGATTAGATTCAGAGGATTTGACTTCTTCTTCAGTTGTTTCCATTTTAACTGTTGCTTCGTCGTCAACTTCAGCTTCTTGTGCCTCAGCCATTACTTCATCCTTGTCACCTATTGAGGGTTCAACTCCATTTTCCACTGAACTGCTCTGAGGCTGCTGGGTAATGTGACTTTCTTGAAAGGATCCATTAGAATTTTGTATCGTTGTAGGCGCAGATTGATCGGTTGATTTTGTCAATGCAGATGTGACCAATAGATTCTGCATAAGAAAATAATCGGTTATGCCAATGCAAGTGTAGCTGCAGCATAGACTGAACCCAAAATTGATAAATCAACTAGCTAGTGTACATGATAGAGAAGATACTGATTCATAAACCATCACTAGATAGTTAAATTTTGGTATATTTGCTGATAAACTTCTATATCAACAGAGAAGTTAACAATTAAGCCAAATTTCAATTGACTGAATTGTATCCCTTGTTTCAGTTGGTATTTTTTCTTCCTTCCGTCAAATGTTGAGCAATATTAATACCTTTTCTAGAGCCAAAGAAAGCTTGGATAGTTTGGGATAGATACTTCTTGCAGTCAACAGGATCTGTTCAGAACATAATGTTTGTCAGTGCAACTTAAGAAGTCGAAGGAAATCAAATTGGATAGTGTATATGTGTATGCATATGCTCAATCTCAGACAACAATTGAAAGGATGAAGGAAAAATGTGACCCTCTGCATCGAAAAACTGATGCTTCCAGGGAAGAATGCAAGTGAAGAAATAAGCCAACACAAATGATAGCATGATCACCTCACAAAGCCTTTGCAAAGTGAATGGAGGGCCCTCGTAGAAGCAATAAAGTGCTGCAAAAGAATTTGTGCACGCTTTAGAATGTAAGTGTAATAACTAAAGTTAATAGAAGCAAACAAAGTCAGAAGAAATATGCTGTGCAGTCATCATGCCTACATCTTTGTATAAAATAATATATAAAAGAGATGAAACCAGACAGTGATTTCCACGAGCAACAAATAACCAATCAAACTCCCTCAAACGATGACCAAATTAAAGTGTTACCCGATATTACTATCTAAAATTTCGATATTACTTGTTGTCAAGGTCGAGAAATTAAATTCTTTGAAATAAGGAAACCATTAAATAAAGGATTCATCAGCTCCCCCACGCCAACCTTGTCACGTGGAAAATAACCTTCTAACACACTTACTAATGAGACACAAACATATAGGTTGAATATTATCCTGCTTCTGCGCAATACTCCTGATAAAATTATGATGAAGGAAGCCTTTCAACCATACGAAAAACCAACTATTAGAAAAGATAGCTAGAAACAAACTTCTGTGGCGGATTATCATGTAATATCTTGTTGCTCTGTCAGAGAAAAAAAAAAATGACATCCTGTCTACTTCTACACAGGTAAATTGAGGTGACTGGGAATTACCATCATCCAATCTTTTCACCAACTCCTCGAAGGTTTCTCCTAATGTGGAAATCTGCTGCTCAGTGGTCATTTTAGCCTCAGGATATTCTGAGAGGACCTTTAACATAGAACGTACAAAACAAAGAATATTATAATACATGAAAGAAAATTTCAAGATGAAACACAATAAAACCTAGAACAATCATTACCATCCTCTAACCAACTGCCTCTGGAAGCTGGCAAAAGAAATGGAAATGCATCTTTTAAAATATTAATGTGTTGATAACCCAGTATACAACCCCATACCTGCTTAAGAGAGTAAGACAGAACACTCCTCAACTTTTCCCAGTCCAACCTAAAATTATGCAAGTACAATGTTAATCACGCCGAAGCAAAATGAGATAGTTACTATATCTACATACACACACATTAAAGGTGTGCATATACAGAGAAGTGTGCCGTGTATGATAGAATATTTTCTCAGTTAGCTGCAACTACACATAATTTCAATTGCAAGATGATATTGTAGCCATATGCTCTAGTTAGTTGTGCATGTTCCTTGTTCACAAAAAGGGTAAGGAAATCACTGTAGATGCTAAGGGGAGAGGGGTGGGAAAGAAAAAGATGTAGCCAGAAAGAAGATAGCAAATATTTTACATTTTGCCAACAAAAAAACAAGAACAAGCTGGTTGCAATGCCACAGATTGCAAAAACATTTACTGGCAGATATTTATACACAGATGGGTAGATGGTGCAGTTTATTCAGTATGGACATACATGGATTTATCTAATAACCTTTGAAGTACCTAAGACGTATAAAGATTAACGATATCTTCAAAAAAAGAAAAAAAATCTTAGCTCCAGTACAAACTAGTACAAATGCATGATTGCAAATAACATACGTTATAGCACAATCAATGATCCTCGCTACTTTTACAAACAAAAAGACTCAGACAATTAAATGATCCAAACCTTGACAAAAATGCTGAGTGAGATTGCAGAGTTCCGTTAGTTGTCCTAACTTTCCATGAAAAAATTTAAAGGTCTGAAATGTTTGTGAGTATCTAAGAAAAAATTATATCAATCAGAACAGCATACCAAAATTTCCCTGTTGATGCACTTGTTTCCAATGCACTTCTTACTTCCTCTGCTGAAAAACCGGGTGAAGATTCTGTAGCTCTGTGATTTCCAGCAATACAGATTTAATCCAGCTAGTGATAAGATACTCTTAACAGAAATCATGCGGCAACGGTTAACAGAAAAATGAAGCTGACACATATAAACACTAAGTTGTAGATGAATACAAAGGAATGAAGAGAAACAAAACATATTCTTAAGAACACTTAGTTGCAGATGAATACAACGGAAAGAAGAGAAACAAAACATATTCTTATGATAGGAAACTCAACATTAGAAATAAGAAGTCCAATTTAACCCAAAATTCAATTTCTCCCCCTTTCTTGCTAGCACACGCTCGTAGAACATTCCATCTATTATATTCGAAACTAATATAATTGCAAAATGTCCCGCACTTTGAATTAAGTAGTTTCCAAATAAACATACAGGCCTAATTCTATCGAAGCTAGTGCACAACTTAATTATGTATTTTGCTGGTGTAGTAATTAAAACAACTCATAGGTATGTTTACTACATGGGTTTAGTTGGGATTATTTAATCAAATGCACCAAACACACCTTCAGAATTCTAATTAACCATCCCCTAGATCTATTGAGCATAAGGATTTAAACTAAAAGTAGCCTAAGAAGACAAACTAAAATAAACTAAAGGGAAGATAGCTTCGAAAAAACGGCGTGAATGGTAATTGGTTCAATGAACGGCTCGAAGACTAGATCAGAGTTTCCACTGCAAATCCTTAAGCAAAGAGTTCATCACCTACGTCTATATTCCATATCCCGACATCACATATACTTTATGAGGCGAGATTCCTCAGCAGATTACCTTAGTTAAAAATACTCCAATGTACAGAGCTCAAAGCAGAACGAATAATAATTCAATTACTAACAAACGAAAAAAAGAAATCGCGAAAATTTAGTGTACCCCACCCATCATTGGGTAGCTGAGAGAGTCGATTTTCCTGATTCTCCTCCTCAACGGAATTCTGAGCAAGCAGATTCGGCGGCGCGTCCATGCGTCGATGTGGAAGGGGAGGAGAGCTAGGTCAGGGCAGCAACAGGAAAGCAGATGCTTGCAACGCCGGCCTCACTGGTACTGGAACTGAAAGAAGTGTCCGACTCCACCTGGTGCAAAAGTAGAGCACATAAACTCTTCACCTTCTCCTTCCCATTTCTAGACATCACCACATCCCCGCGATCTTCTCTGAATTGTATTTCTCGCTATTTTTGAAATGGCTTAGAATTGGATTGGATCAACATCAGGCCCGCTCCACTAAAATGGGCCGGGGGAATCTGCCTGAACCGGTCTCAAACCGGAACCGGCCCAAAAAGATTAAGACTTGGCGTGTGTTTGTTCGTGGGTTTAAATTATAGAAAAAAAAAATTGAATTTAAATAATTATTTAATGTGATATATATATATATATGAATATAATAATTTAATGTAAAATTTGATTATTTTTTTAAAAACAAATACAAATCTTGTGAAATTCCAGAGGACACAACAAAACAAAGAAGATTGGGACGGGACATATAAGCAGAGGATGACAATGAGTTTTACGTATCCAAACTCATAGGATTCGGGATCCATTCCAAAAGGTCAACTGTACTTTGTAAGTATATTTCATAAATAAATACTGATATAATATAAAAATTCAAACATTAAACAATATTTTCAATCAAACATCCATATAACAGTAACATCAATACAGCTATAACTAAATAGTAAAAAAACAATTAGTCGGAAGATACAAATCTCAAAAATTGTGAAAATTAACAAATGAAAGATTCTTCCTCGTCTGCCAAACTTATGAAATATTTTCTTTGTATATTACAAAATAAAATAAAATAAATATTATAAATTTGACGAATAAAGAAAATATAAAGCTGAAAACTAAAGCTAGGTTTGAAGAGGGTAACCTACACATTCCCGCCAAGGTTATAAAACCGATAGTTCGGCCCTATATATAAAATTTTGAAACCAAACACGCTTCATTAACACCGAAGCCAAGGGACGTCCCAACGGCCATCCATAACATATTTCAAACAAAGGATCAAGTGTTTTCGCCATTAGCATCGATCGAACGAACAAATAGTTTAGTTACTTCTGTACTGTAACTACTGAACCCATATCCATCCAGCCCTGTTTCTACACACACACAGTCTAATCTGTACTTAAAATTGCCTCAAGAAGGAGCCAATTACCTTACAGCAGTGGCTAAGCGAGCTGCCGTCTCATGTAAGTGTCTTCATGGACGAACACAGGGCCCTGGGCAGGATGGCCTTGCGGATTCTGTGGGGGGAATTGAGGTTGTCCCATGGCGATGTTTGCTTGCGGTGGGGAAGGGAAGGGTGCAGCAGGCCATGGATTGGCTCGGTTCTTTTCTCCGGTCATTATGAGGTAGTAAATGAGCCCCAAGCTGACGCTGGCTAGCGACAAGATAGCCGCCCCTGCGAAAACACCTGGCTTTACGACATAACAGTAGTAACCGCCCAAGTAAAGGCTCTCATCACCATGTTGGTCGTTGAGAGCAGCACCTGTTAGCAACAGGAGGAATGCTATAATGCATGTAAACCTGCATGTGTGTATATGGCGTTAGAGACGAGTGGCAGTAGAAAAATATCTCGAGAAAATAAATAGGGCTGTCTCCTGGAAAGTAACAGTCGCACCTCGTGCTATTGATTAAAAGATTATACAGTTTTGTTAGCCTATTCAATGCCAGTTGCCTATAAAGTATCTTCATAATTACATTGTCGGCAATTAGAGTCTAAGTCAGTAAGTACGAGACAATGAAGCTTCTAATGTATGTAGATGGTGGCTATCATAATAAGCATGTTTTACATGGGATTATATCCTAATCGAGGAAGTGAAGGTATAATTAGAAATGACGTGTTCCATGACGAAGCAAGGGAAATAGACTGCCAAAATCTAGATCATGTTATCCAAGTCTTCGGTGTCAGGATAGCAGCGCTATATAGGACAAAATATGAACGAATAAAATTACCAGGAAACAACAAAGCAGACAAGTGCAAGAGTCCAGTTAGAGTTGGATTGATGAGGGCCTTTTCTACAACAAACGCATCCAGTTGTTATGTTGATGATCGCTTGAGCAACGATGAGTGCAACAGCAGCTGTCAATCCGAGGGCCATAGCAGGACTCCTTGGATATATACATTCCATGGTAGACGGATATTCTACCTGATTTCCCTGCATTGCAGCGAAGAAGCAAATTATAGCTGAATAAAGAAAAGTTTAAAGCTAAAAAATCAACTCAAGTCTCGCTAAAGCTAATGCCACCAGCTGATAAAGGTTCTATCAAAAAAAACCTGTCACGCTCGTATTCACATACATATTTTCTACAGGTTCGTTGTACTGCTAATGGCATTATAACGGCTACAAGTGAATTTCAGTTTGCGGCATGTGAAAATATTGGTTTTGGTAGACCTTATGTACTAATTCAATTACATTTCCAACACAGATTTTATGTTATGCCATCAGATGATTGAAGACCAAAACCCACAAGATTTAAAAATAAGACCAATTAAACTTCTGCCCATTAGTTCAAATGAGGTCTTAAAATCCAGCTAATGTGTATAAAATTACAACAAAAAGCGCTTATCAGGTATAGATAACACGACTGTATCCTGACACTTATTTGTTGCCAGAGATGGGGATGCAAAGATGATAGAATTGATTATATACTCCTGCACCAGCACATAAATTTAAACTGCTTACCAAATGTGTTCACCGTTAATATGTATTCCATTGTTTGATATGCACGACAATTGACAGATCTATAAAATGGCGAGTTGAAAAGGACTTACAAGTCACACACACATAAGTGAAGATGAAATTATTGGACAAAGTCAAATAACCAATCGAGAAATGGCTATACTCGACAAGTAGTAAGTACTCGTCTAGACTACGATGGCACTATATCCATAGTAGAATCTTTAAACATACTGATAATGACTCTTTTAGGGGTTACATAAACGATGAATAAGTCGAAATCCGTCCCTAAAAAGTTCATACAATAGAAAGAGGTAAAATCCCGAACTAAAATAAACAGGACGAGAGCGACTTATGTAAAAACATCTTTAGAAACAACAAAAAAGCCAAACCAGAATCAGCCGATCGCAAAACCAGCAACAAACAACGATAAATCCGCAGGCGCTTATGCTGATACACACTTTACCTTAACCCTTGTGGCCTCGGCAGCAAATCCAGTAGCCGCAGATAGCAGCCCTAAAAAGCCAACAGCACAGCACACTATTATCGCCTTCCTCTCCATTTCCCCCAATCAGTTATCGTGGGTTTGAGTTAGCTTAGCCAAAAACTGCTGTTCGTGAAGGAGCGGGGCAGAATCGGGTTCGGTGAAATGTTTTTCCAGAATTTATAGCGACCGCAGCTTTCATCAGCATCGATTTTGTTGCTGCGTGTTCCTCTCAACTCTCGGGGGGCAAAATTGGAAATTCGTAGCGCCAATACGGACAAATACAATGGCCGCAACGTGACTTTCCGTAATTTACATTAGTTGCGTTTTATTATTAGTGTTTTCTAATTGGTGATATCGATGTCATTAATGAGAAAATATTTTGAAGAATTACGATAATCTCTTTGCTGTCCAATTTTAACTTTCTGCGTCCAATTTTAACTTTCTATTATAGAAAGTCACGCAGAGTTGACAGTTGGTTGATTCGTCTCAAATTAAATATTTTAAACGGATTAAATTATTCAATCATAATTGTTTATTATTGTTTCCGGATCGGTTTTTTTTATTTTTTTAATTATTGTCTTGTTTTATTAATTTTTATTGGTTTGAGTACAATAAATTATGTTGAATTATTTAAAAATTTAATATAAATAAATATATTAGCAAATTATTAAATTATAAATATTTTTACATATATAATAAATATATTAATCAATATTAATATATTATAATTTGCAGTTTCGATTCGAATTGAGAGCCTCAGTCCTAACCCAATTCGTTTATTATTGCATCGGATTTATGTCAAGTATCGGATTGAAATCTTTTACCAAACCTAATTATTTCGTATCAAATTCATATCGAGTTATCGTATTTGTCAACTCTAGTAAAAAGGTCATATTCAATACAAGCCTTGAAATCCATATTATATACTTCATATAAATTTTATCACATAACTTATTATTCTATATTTCAGTTTAATGATATTAGAAGAACAAAAAATGACATTTATATTAGTTGTAGCCTCTGCAGGCTTGATGAATTGACACAACGAATATCGTAAGTTGATAGAATGATCATACAAAAGGTATGCAAGTGAGTTCCAGTAGCTACTGAAGGCCATATAGTACCAAAGCAGCAGCTCCGGCGGCCCCGACAACGAGGCCGACGATGACTCCGATGGGCAGGCCTCCGCCGACAGCCTTGCCCTTCTCAGCATCGTACCTCGCGAACCTCTTCTTCGGAGCTCTGCACTGCGGGCAAGCGTAGTCCTCCCCCTGCTCTTCAAATGGCTTTGACAGTGTGTAAATGTATCCGCAATCGAGGCATATGTGCGTCGCCCGGGCCTGCATAACCAATCAAGAACATAATCGATGATCAATCAAAATCAAAATCAAGATCAAGATCAAGCCTATTGAGCTTCAGTCATACATTCATATAATCAATCAAGAACATAGTCTAGTAGATGATCGATCCAAATCTAAATCTAAATTTAAATCAAGATCAAGATTTGAGTTGCCTTTTGAGCATCAGTTAACTTTCTTCCAAAGGAAGGGGGAGCTGGACGCTTAGGTAGTCTCTTCACATCTACTTCTGCTCCCCTGCATATAAATGTGTTGAATTCGACTTAATTTCATCGACAAATCGAAAAACTTGATTGATACAGATTTGATTCAACCTGCTGATGACAAAATAAACAGAATCTGGCTTGGCCTGGATGGCTGTTTTGGTGAAGCCAAGCTTATCAGCAGGCCAAAGTTCATCCCCAAAGAAGCTGCTCGTGTACAGCACTTGATCCCCTGCCTTGAGACCTGCTCGTGCAGCATTTCCACCACTCTGCACAGCCTGCAGTGCACCAAATCAACAAACACAGACACAATTTAATGGTAATGGTGATGATAGTGGTGGACAATTGATTAATTGCTTACAGTGATGACAACTCCACCCCCTTGTTTTTGCCCCAAAGTTAACCCTAACGGCTTGTCGACTTCAACCTCGATGCTCTTTCCAGCGCCAGCAGCAGTTCTGGCATTGATTTCGAGTCCTCTTTTTCGCGCGCTTGTGCTGATACTGTTATCTGCCTCAGCAACCAATGAGCTGAAGAAGAAGACATTCCGTTTGGCTTCTTCTAGGGTTACCCCATGGAAGCTGGTTCTCTGCACGAAATTAACACATTTAAGAAACGGAAGAGCAAGCAGCAAGCCGAGTGGGGGTAACCACAGATAGATACCTGAACGTGAATCTGAGGAGCTGAGTAATTTGAATTGCTTTTGGTAACGAGTCTGGTGGAGATGGAAGAGCAGGATGCAGCAGCCATAGCTGACGACATTTTTGATCGTCGGAATTACTGGCTCTCCTGTGGCTTTGAACTATGATTGGATGAATCGACGATGGGTTAGGACAAAGCAGAGCCACACGCCCCCTGAATCTCTTAGAAAAACCCAACAGGAACTGGATGATAGCTCGACCACACACCTTCCAATCTCTATCACACTTTTTTTTTTTGTTATGTTAAATCTTAATAAATCAATTTGATCTCATCTAGTGTGTTCGTTTGGGAGTTTAGATTTTGAGTTGGGATTTAAATGGAAAAAATTTTGAATTTGAATAGTTATATGAATGTAAAATTAATTTTAGTATAATATAAATTGATTTTGATGTTTTTGGAAAAAAAAAAAAAAAAAAAGGATGAAATCCAATTCCCAAACAAACATACCCTAATTATATCAATTGAAAACTTTACGTACCCAAAATGTAGTATGACAAATGTATTTATAAATACTGCACCAAAATTTTGGTATCAATATATTAAATTATTACACTTGCTGTTTCAATCTTTTAATTTTCTAATGTTACATAACTTTCCTATTTTAGCAAAAATTATATATTTTAATTTATTAAATTTTAATTAAATTAATTAATTATTTTTATTATACGATAATTATTTTTATTAATATATTTTTAATTATTTACTAATTAGATCTCTTATAACATATTTTAGTATCTACAGTAAAAAAAAAAAATATACTATAGCCGAAACAGATAAAATAATATATTTTAAATACTAAAATATCGAAATTGTTTGAATATATATTAAAAATATCAAATTATATACAATCAGATTAAAAGGCGGGATAAAGTGGGGTGGGGGGGGGGGGGGAGGGTTGCTAAAAACCCCTTTGTCCCCGTGTAGTTTTCACCTATCAATACGGGCATGGATAATAGAGACGAGAACATGGCATTAACATAAACACAAACATATTTTTGAACAAATAATAGGATTATGAAAATATATGTATTGAGAGTTTGTAAAGTTTGATTAATTTTGTATTAATATAAACTCAAATATATTTTTGAACAAATAACAGGATCATGAACATTAACATGTATGTATCGACAGTTTGTAAAATTTAATTATTTTTTTTATTGAGATAATTTATTTATATTTTTTATTTTCGTTAGTTAATATAATTTGTCATTTTATTTTCTTGGAAATATGATTATACACTTTAATAATGAAATTTTAAATTTTATAATTTATTAAATTTTAATTAAATTATTTAGTTATTTTTAAGCTTAATTTATAATTATTTTTATTATATAATAATTATTTTTACTAATATATTTATTACTTACTAAACTTCATCGAAATTCTCATATTTACAGTAATAGTCTCGTATTGCCTACTAAATTTCTTTTTATTTTTTTTTTCATTCTCAAACCTCACTTTTTTTTTATCGGATCTCAAACCTCAATTTGAAGATACAGCCTGGGCCGAATGACTTAGGCCCATTAATTGAATAGGCCCAAATAGGGTAAAAGCCTGGTAGGGTTTCTGACTACAAATATATAACGACGAGCATTTGCCTACATCAGGGAAGGATTTGGTTGCCGAGTGCTGAGCCGGAGAGGTGAGTTCCGATTCTTCGACGTCGCGCCCGCCACCGCCGTAAGTCTACTCTATGTTTGGAAATCCTATGCTTTGATTACTCTTTATTATTGTGATAGTGAGGCGTGATTTGAATGGTTTTCATTTGCTTATTCTTACTTGCTGTTCGTGTGATTGTGGAGATGGTGGAAGCGAGGGGGTTGGGTCTTGTTTCTGCTTGCTAATAAATTGCGTACTTTGTTCGTTTTTAGATGTTTGATTTTGTGATTTTTTGACTTCCTGTGCAACTGGTTTGTTCTTTTTAACTCGTGCGGTTTATGGATTCTTAAATTATGTTCTTGTGGTAATTTCTTTTGAGACAATGCCCTAGAAGATTGATTATAACCTTGCTGGTGGAATTCTATCACAAGATAAATAAAGGTCTTTGTGTTATGTGATGCAATTGTTCAACTTTGTGAAAAGAGATGCGCCTGTACAGTATATGCGTGTTATGTGATGTAATTGTCGATCTTTGTGAAAAGAGAATTTGGTTAGGCGTTTTGTTTGTCGTGGTATGTGTTTGTTGTGTAGGACTCAATCAATTGAAATCTTAACGTGATTTGCTGTTATTTATCACTATGTTTGCCAAATGGCTGGCCTTCAGAGTCTGATTCTTTGTATGAATTATGTGTTCCTTTGTGATCTAGGTGAATCATGGTTAAGCATAACAATGTTATACCAAATGGGCACTTCAAAAAGCACTGGCAGAACTATGTGAAAACATGGTTCAACCAGCCTGCCCGCAAGACCAGGAGAAGAATAGGTAACCTAATGTTTTTGGCATTTTCTAGTAAGTTAAAAGACCTATCTTTTGCACGAGGATTTACTCTTGCGCAATCTTGTTTATTTTCAGCAAGACAGAAGAAGGCTGTCAAAATTTTCCCCAGGCCAACAGCTGGACCCCTTCGTCCAATTGTACATGGGCAGACATTGAAGTACAACATGAAGGTCAGAGCCGGCAAGGGATTTTCTCTGGAGGAGCTAAAGGTGAGTTGCTTCTTATTTTGCACATGTTTTTAATTGACATTTGCAGAAGATTGGTATCAATTGGATTCTGCTCATCACTTACTTCTATTTCATTCACTACGATATTTAGTTTTACTGAATTTCCTTCTTGGGGTTTGGTTGACATTTTTCATCAACAATATTCGTCCCTTGTCAGTGTGTTTGTCATCTTCTTTTCTCCGGACTTATGTTTTGATTTTGTTTGATTTGTTTCCATAAAGGCTGCAGGCATCCCAAAGAAACTTGCGCCAACTATTGGCGTTTCTGTTGATCATCGCCGTAGAAACTGTTCTTTAGAGGGTTTCCAAGCTAATGTTCAGAGATTGAAGACATACAAAGCCAAGCTTGTTGTCTTTCCACGTAGGGCTAGAAAATTCAAGGTAATGACAGTCATCACATCGCTTTCTCAGCTTCTTATCCAATTTTTTTTAGAAAAAAACTTACGGATAACTCCTCCCTCCACAGGCTGGTGATTCTACTTCAGAGGAGCTGGCGACAGCCACACAAGTCAACGGTGCTTTCATGCCAATTACCCGTGAGAAGCCGACTGTTGAGCTTGTTAAGGTTACTGATGAGATGAAATCATTCAAGGCCTACGACAAATTGCGTCTGGAGCGCACAAACGCCCGCCATGTCGGTGTTAGGGCCAAGAGAGCAGCCGAAGCCGAGAAGGAAGAGAAGAAATAGTGAGAGGGAAGAGTGCATTTCAAGTTTAGGACAAATCTTGCATCAGTTTTTATTTCTTCTTCCTGAATATGTATGTGAATCAAGGGGATCTATATTTTGTTTTGATCACATTTTTTTCATCATTCTCAGAGATGCTTGACACTCTAATGCTTCCTTCTTTTAATGAATGTTTCAGAATTTTGATATCTGACCAAATGCCCCTTTTATCCATTGACTTTACTTTGTAGGTTTAAATGAGCCCAACAGCCAAGAAGATGATAAATCAAGAAATTAGTTATCAAAATCTCTGTCGGCTGTCGTAAAAACTGAATCTTTTTTATTAACTCAAGAAATATTCTAATAGGAAAGTGGATTCTGTTACTTTTTATCTTCAATTTTGGATTGAATCTATTATTAAATCAAGAAATGTTCTAAGAAGGGAGTATTATTTATCACCGCCTAGCTAAGACTTCATCGCACCCACGTCTTCCAATACTTTTCGATCCAGATTGGCCCTTTTCAACTATCAATATTAAATAAGAGAATAAAAAAAAAATTAAGGGAGAAGAAGCATTGGCAGCCATTAGTTTTATTTAAAGTTCAACGCCGGGTCTCTATCAAGTGATCCTCCTTACTTGTGTTGTGTATTGGCCGGAGACGCGCCGCCGTCCATGGCTGCTCCGAGCATGGGGTCTTTGAGGCAAAGCTTTGTAAACAGGAGTAAAGACAGATTGCTCTCCAGAAAGTATTACTCCGGCGGAGCATTTGATGACTCTTTCGTCTCCCTCTCCCGCGAAGGCTGCTGCCATCGGATTTCTCAAGCGCTTTCCGATTGGTGGAACTATGCCAAGGGTTTTGCAATCAGTGCGTACGGAATGGGAAGATCCGATCCTAGAAAGGCAATTTTTGCCGCCAAGATGGGATTCGCCTTGTCTCTCGTTTCAATCCTTATTTTCTTCAAAGAGCCGATGAGTTACATTAGCCAGCATTCGATTTGGGCGATTCTCACTGTGGTAGTAGTCTTCGAGTTCAGCATAGGTGACGGTTATTTTAGAATAAGATTTCCACTGTAGTTCCAGATTTTTTTTAAGCAATCCTTGATCCTGCTGCCGCCGATTTGCTTTTGTTAGATCCTTACTGTTCGATGTGCTTGATTCGGCGTTTGTTTATGATTCTATGAAGGTGCTACTCTGAGCAAAGGTTTCAATCGTGCCCTAGGGACCTTCTCTGCCGGAGCTCTATCTCTAGGGATTGCAGAGCTGTCTGTGTTGGCCGGTCCGATGCAAGAGGTGGTGATTGTGATCAGCATTTTCATTGCCGGTAGGGTAAAGTTTCGATCGAGTTTCAATCTAGTTTAATTTGTGGAATCCTGATCTTCGATTGCCATGGAAGTTCTTAGAATGTGTTCTACCATTATGCTCGTCTTGCTTGCAGGCTTTTTTGCTAGTTATTTGAAGCTGCATCCTTCTCTTAAGCAATACGAATACGGTTTTAGGGTGTTCTTGTTGACATTTTGCATCGTTTTGGTATCCGGAAGATCGAATTTCTTCCAAACAGCATCTTCCAGATTGGTGCTGATTGCAGTCGGTGCCGGCGTTTGTTTGCTTGTAAATGTGTGTATATTCCCCATCTGGTCCGGCGAAGATTTGCATAAACTAGTTGTGAAGAACTTCAAGGGAGTTGCTACGTCTCTAGATGGTGAGGATTAGCTCGATTCACAGATTCTCGCTGCTTTAATGGAGATACTAACATCATTCTTCTGTTAAAATTGTTTAGGCTGTGTAAATATGTACTTGCAAAGCGTCGAATACACGAGGATTCCATCGAAAATCTTGGTGTACCAGGCATCTGATGATCCCCTGTACAAGGGGTATCGAACTGCTGTCGAGTCGACTAGCCAAGAAGAATCTCTGGTACGAAGAACCATTTATCTTTGGATATTATCCATCGTGTTTGCCATCACTTACTGTTTTTTCTTGTGCAGTTGAGTTTCGCAGTATGGGAGCCGCCTCACGGGCGTTACAAAATGTTCCGGTACCCATGGCACGAATATGTCAACGTAAGCGGTGCTCTAAGGCATTGTGCATTCATGGTGATGGCGATGCACGGATGTATACTCTCCGAAATACAGGTATTTGGGCATCCTTCGAACTTTATTTCACTCGATTCGTTTACAGCATCGTTGAAGAAATCGATTCGTTTACATTTGGCTATTCGTGTTCTTTCTTCGGACGATATTTGTGGGGATTATGTTGTGTAGATATTGGCTTTAGAAGCGAGTATCGGCGAAGTTTACCTAATTAAGCGAAACCTCGTCGGATTACCATTTCGATCTTTAAATTTTGATTGCTTCTCCTTGTCGTTGTCTCTGCCAATGTTCTTCGTGTTTAGTAAACGAGCTTGTGTTACGGTTTGCAGGCGCCATCTGAATTACGACAAGTCTTTAGGGATGAGATTCGGAGGGTCGGAACCGAGGGATGTAAAGTGCTACGGCTGCTCGGCGAAAAGGTAGATAAGATGGAGAAATTACCGGCCGGCGATGTGCTCAAGGAGGTTCACGAAGCAGCCGAGGATTTGCAGCTGCTGATCGACCAAAAATCGTTTCTTCTGGTGAGGGCCGAGAGTTGGGCAAGCGAGAAACGACCGGAGAAATTCAAAGATCCCGAACGGCTACAAGAGCTTAAGGACAACGAAAACAAGCCGCCGTTGATGAGCTCGCTGGCTGACTCGACTAATACGAGATCGACGCAGACATTGCGTAATTACGATGCGCAGAACCCGAACGCGAGCTATAACATGTCGTGGGGTTCTGGAACGGATCTTTTTCGACAGCAGACTATGTGGCCGTCGCGGCTTTCGCTCATCGGGGAATCTGCTATTCCCAACGAGCGCGAAGCGCAGACGTACGAGAGTGCGAGCGCATTGTCTCTTTCGACTTTTACGTCTCTGCTCATTGAATTCGTGGCACGGCTCGACAACATTGTGAACTCGTTCCGAGAACTCAGCGAGAAAGCCCGATTCAAGGAGCCTGCTGATCATTTATCCAGAGCGGGAACCGTCGACCGCGGCTCCTGGGGCAGACGGCTTTTGCGATGCATCTGCTGCTGCAATAATTGATTGATCGAGATCGATCGATCACTCGTTCGATTAATCGAATCGAATATTTCTCAAAAGTTATGTTTTGTTACATACTTATAATACCAAAGAGAATGCCGGCTTCAAATACTACGGTGTTGTTATTCAGAAAAACTTCAGGTTCTTTCGATTACGAGTATCTCTTAACATCAAAAACCAGATGAACGGACGGATAGGATTCAAGATCAAGAAGAAGCCTGCGCTGCCGTCGATTTTCCGGCAACCATCGCCAAAACTGACTCCGACTCCTCCGGAAACACACCGAGCTTCCACAGGAGCCTTTCGACCAGCTCGCCGGCAGCATACGACACCCCCGACGCCATCAGCCCGAGGATCACGAACGACGCGACTGATTTCAGGTAACGTTTCGGCGGGCGCTGCACGTACGCTTTTGCGACGGCCAGCCCGGAAATGCAGACAACGGAAGCTGCCGCGACGACCACCAGTTTCAGCTGCTTATCGTCTGTCCTCCGGAACGAAAGACCGTACGCCACTGGAGGCACCAGCCCGAAAAGCAGGTACGACGTTACGACAGCCACCGCGTGGATTACGAAATTCTCCCTCCGGCCGAGGACATCCCTGTAACGATCCCTTCGATCGATCGGTTGCTCGTTCCTTAGCTCCCGAATCTGCACAGTCGAACATATGCGATAATTCATCCTTAAGATGGCATAAACCGAGCGAGGTTTACGGAAACTCGAATGTTAGTGACGCAGCTTACGTTGTTACAGACGACGAAGAGGCCCCCGAAAAGATTGGCCATTCCCAGAGCTAAAATGTTCACTGCAGATGCAAGAAGACAACAAAATTGTTCCATAAAATTTGGCGACGCGGCACAGCCGTCGATCGGAAACCAGTGATTTAAGTAGCGGAGACTTACGTGAGGCGGCGCCACCGCCGGCTGCAGATGAGACGACGCTCAGGCTGGTAATCGACTCGGCTAAGCCACCATATACTATGCTTTTAATCACTTCGACTTCGACTTCTTTTCGCAATGGTTGTTGTAATGCACTTGCAGTATCCGTTGGAGTGATCGATCCTTCGACTGTTTGGGACGATCCAGGCGGCGGCGACGCGTCTATATTGATCACGGTATCCTTCCCTGCATCGGATTGAACTTCAAGAGCGCAATCGTTGTCGAACAAAAACATTGGTATGATCTACCTGGAGCAAGATGAGTTCTTGAAGTAGTGTCGACTATCGGCACCTCGTCGGCGGGGTGGATTTCGACTGCACCACTGGATTTCGGGATATGTTTTGGTATGTAGCTGTCATCCGGAATCTCACGAGCTGAACCCTCTGTCGATTCGATGTTATTAACTCGAGCAAATGCTGTTCCGGACGAGTTCTCATTGCCTCCGACACTGTCTTCTTCACTCGATTTTACGGCAGCTTCTGCATCAGATTTCAAATCGACGGATCATAATTGAATTGTTCTTACAGGAATAAGGAATGTATTATTACCTTGCTTGGCTGCTGGTTCCCGCTTGCTCGGCGCATCCATGGAAGTCTTGACTACAACAGAGGAATGCGTATAACATATTAGAGCTCACCTCGAAGTGATTTCTCATTAATGCTATTTAGTCGAATTCTTACCCATTGGGATGAAGAAGCTGAAGCAAGATAAGCATCTGAATATGGGGAGCCATTTGTCTTCTTCATCCTCAGTTGCAGAAGCTAATTGAGTTTCATCTTCTCCACCTGCATCTGCATCACGAGCTTGTGATTGATTTGTGTTACTGTCGAATACGATCTGTTCATCGTCCGGAAGTGGAACCGTGCGTTTCCTTTTGCGAAGAATAACCCTCTTTGTTATGCAGGAATTGCAGTTGGGGCAGTAGAGATCATGAGTGGTCTGATTCTGTATCACTCTTTCGACTTCGAATTCATTTTCGATCAAATCAATCTCTGCACTTACTTCCTCTTTATCGGATTCGCGGGGGATCGTGTTGTTTTTGTTTTTCGGAAACAAAATTTGAGAAGAAGAAGCCTGAGAATCTGAAGTGGGATCAGCTCCATTCTGGAAATTGTAGCCAGATTCATCACCTGCAAAGAGAAGTCAAAAGTTAATGAAGATGAACACAAACATGGCAATATTGAATCCCCATTGCAAACTATTCGAAATTTTCGATAAGTTGATCCACCTAACCATGTGTTGAATTGATAATTAAAGGAGTGACCTTGAGATTGAAATATGAGCAGGTTATTATGGCAAAGTTGATTATGATTCTGAATATGGTTGAGGTTGGAACACAGATTTCCATTTCGATTCCCAAATGTCCAAGTGCAGATTCTGCATTTCCATAGCCCTGAGGAGAATCATCTATATGTGATGGGGTAGTTGCACAAGTGATATCATAGATGATTTTTTTTTTTGTTTATTTTCTTTTAAGTGATTCTCAGAATGGATAATAGAAAGGAAAGGGGCCATTGGTGTTTGTTGTATTTATATTTTAGAGACATGTAGGGACGTGGGACAAGTTTAAGGTACAAGAATGTTGTGGATCTTAATCGAATTAAGCAGACAGAATCATTAAAAGAAATGGATCTTGGGTGCTGTAATTGTAAACAATGCTTTTACCTTGGACTTTGTCGTGGTAAACAAGATTATTGTTGTCCCACTCTTTCTCCTGTTTCTCTCTCTGTTTTTTCGACTCTTTTTCTTCTTCTTCTTCTTTTTCTTTTTCTTCTTGGGTTTGAGGTTTTTGGTGGCCATTAGTATGAACAGCAGCAATTCCAATGGAGGTGGTTTTGATGTCTTCTTCTTTTCTTGATTTTCTCACAAGAAGATTAGTGACTTCTTCTTCTTCTTCTTCTTCTTCACCTGCTGCTGGTTCTGGAAGGTTCCATGCCTGTTCTTCCTTTTCCATCTTCTCCATAACAACCAACAATGGAAGCAAGAAAGAAAGAAAGGAATAAAGGTAGAGGGGAAATTAAAGGGAATGGCTGCAGGTATGGCTCGGGTTCTGCTGTATATAATCACGGACAAGAAGTGTTGTCAATAAATGCCCTGGTTTCAGGAAATTGCAGAAAGCCATGAAAATAATTTTGTAGTTATTAGTATTTGTTTATTTTACCAAGTATTAATTTGGTATGGTTGAATAGAGGGAGGGCTTCTGCATCACAGAGATATTTTTATATACATATAGAGATAGACATAGACATAGATGAAGGCTTGCTGGCAAACCTATATTTATAGAATATAGCTGACACCATGCACTACTGCATTTCACATAATTAGTAATATATATATACATACATTATATTCTTATTGTAACAGTGAAGTGAAATCTTTTCTTCTACTTTCTACTGTTGGTGTTTCAGTAAAAATAAATAAATAAATGCATCAAAATTAATTAATTAATTAGTATTGCGTTGTCAAGATTAGGTGTAAGTGAGTGAGGAACTCTATCTAGCAAATTAGTTCAATTAGCAGTTACTACTACTACTACTACTTTTTTATTTATGGAGGCAGACAGTCAATTATATACAAGGGGGGCAGGCAGCCTAGAGGTACATGGGTAGGTTTAATAGTAAATGTAGCAGTAAATATTACACATGATGGAGATGATATATATATATATATAACTACACATAAATTATTGTTCCCAACTAACTATTTATTCCTATTACTATTACTATTTAATACACACTTATTTACATTAATATAACACAAACATATATGTCAATGCAACACATGATATATATAAAACAGACATGACATATTTTCAAATAAGCACCAATCAATACCATAACCAATTCACCATATATCAAGTATCAACCATGGAAGCATAAGCACATTAACAATAACAGGTACCTTCTAGGAGGGATCTCATTTGCGAATAAAATTTCTCCACTCAGTTATGCTTCAATCCAAATGACACCCGAAACATAGTTGAGAATAAGGGATGATAGCAATGGAAACAAAATTGCAACTGTCTATGTGTGTCTTTATGGCAACATAAAAGATAAGATAAGACAAGACAAGACAACAAACTATTTCCGGCGCTTAGCACCTACTGATTCCGCAGCGGCACCCTTCAATGGCCCCCTCTCCGCCTTCCTTTCAGCTCCGGATCCCTGCATATCATCAAATGTCAATTTTAGTTCTTATTCTTCCTTCCATCAACAATATTGTCACTTGGATAGTGGGGAAGGCGACGATTTTTACCTATCTATATGATCCAGAATCAGCAATCTTGGCCCCGGTGGTATTTTCACATCCCTAAGAGCACTGTACGTTTTATACATATAATATTTTGTCAACTGGAAACCTCGTATCACAATTTGTTTCTTATCTTTGAAGGGATACAACTCACCTGTCTGTTAACAAAGGTAAAGTGGTGTCCGTCAGCAAACCTCTCTTAAAATTCTTCTCATAGTTCTGCAGCCCAAGGTTGCTTAACATCGATCTTGTCTTCACATAGAACACATCTTCAACTGGCGGTTGTGAAAACTTCTGCCCCAGCTGCATTTCACCAATAAACAATCCCATATTTAGAGACATTACCAATCGCGCTATTGATGCATTAGCTACATCACTTGTAAGTTAATCACCTGGAAAAGTCCACCTTGAACGAGCGCAAAGAAAAGGCCAGATGTAACGGCATTCATAGCCTGATTAGGCCCACCCATACCGCTTACTAGAGAAAACATTGCCCCAGAACCAAATGCAGCAACCATACTGCGATAATCAAAACCAGAATTGGATTAGCAGGCAAGATACCAACAGAACTAACAAAATTCTGGGCTTAAGTGAATAGTCGACAAGAAAAGAAGTAGTACGGTGTACAATATAATAAGCTTTGTATTATTTTGTTATATATTATCATTATTATTTTGACAATTCAACACAGTAAGGAATCCTTGTATCCTTGGCAGCATAGTGCAAATTTCAACCAGATAAGATGTTTAATCACATAGATATATGTAGAAGTAGATCGAATGTGCTTTTTCCTTCTTCCCATCATGATGATGAAAGTTTCTACTTTCTAAAGTTAAATAGATGACCAAATAAATTATTACAGTCTTGCAAAGTGCATTCAATTGATATCTCAGTCAATCTAAATGAAGCAGCAATAAACAATACGGGTCGAAAGCATAATGAAGCACCTTTCAGAATTTAAATGTGCACAAACACCCAACAAAATAATACTCAAGACAAGAGAATGCAGTTTTAAAACCAGAGAGGCAAAGCTGTTTCGACAGGTATTGGCTGGAACAGAATGGAGTATACGGGTGGGGAAAATGACCAAAATGTAAAGAACCATAAATGAATTCTCAATATCGTTACCCCCCTTCATCTACTGCAACAATTACATGAGAAATACCTTGATTGAACATCCTCCTTCCCTCTCAGTCTCTTCATAACACAAGAAATACCGGCATTGACGCCTGTCATGACAGCAAAGTTCCGAGCCTGTACCAGAGGGCCTCCGGACAAAGCCTGCAGTGGAAAGATGAAGGATAATCTTTCATTAGCCTTATCACATCGATCAAGCCTCTTGAACCCACAAATCAACCTCTAGAACAATTATCCATCACTTGAATTATCCAAAATATCAGATGCAGGCTAAAACTAGTTTTATTGATTCACTCATCCATTTGACTGTAATTCAGCAACAATAGAGAACAAATCAAAAAACGATCAACCAAAAGAGGACCAAACGCAGTTTGCAGATAGCTCGTAGAACAAGACAAGTACGGGAAAACCCCCAAAATCATCCGAATTCTCCAGAATAAGCTCAAAGCCAATATTTCACAGCGGAGAACAAATAATTACACTCTTAACCGACCAACCACTGTCGCCATACCCTCGACGTAACGATATGCACACCATTGGAACCAATTAACCGAACATAAAACTGTAATAACAGCGGAAATCAAACCTGAGCTTGTTTCAGCGACGCCATAGCTTCCGGATTAAGGCCTGGCGCATTGGGCGGAGGAGAAATCAAGGAGGAAGCATCACCGGTGAGCGTCCCCATGAAAGCGCCAATAGCCGCCCCTTGGCCGGCGCTGGTGGCGGTGACAACGGCAGCCTCAACGGGGAGAGACTGCTTAGCTAGCCACTCCTTGAACTTGACCTCCACCTCCTTCAACTTGGCCTGTATCAACACAATTGGGTTCTGATTGGGGAGTCCCACTAATCCTCCTCCGCCGCCGGCCTTATTTCCAATAGCCACCGCCATCACTCCTTGCTTACCTTCACCCATGCTGAGTAACGAAGAAATCCCTCCGGAATGCCCTGCGACGATGGGGCGGCAATGATGGAGAACCTGAAGGGGGTGAGAATTAGGGAGGTTTAGGGATGACGAAGGATTCGGATAAATAGGAAGACGAAGTAGGCAGCTCGCACTCTCATTCGGCACAGTGAGGCCAGCAAACTGCTCTACCAAATTTCATTTTCATCCCCGAACAAAGTGAAAATTCACGACTGAGGAGGAGGTTGGGACCTCCCAATGTGAGAATATATCAAATTTGCCCCAACATTTTTCACTCTCTCAAAACATGTAAAAGGAAAATGCTTTCTGAAGCCCATTTGATGATAATAATAATAATAATAATGTGGCCTGTGTGATTCATAATTTGTTACACTTACACTTGAGAATTGTAGTAGCAGCAAGCAAGCAAGCTTTTTCACCTAAAATGGTAGTAACAGAAACAGAAGCCATGAGGGCAGGACACCTATACAAAGCTAGAAGACAATTAATTGGTACAACATTTAATCATCAATGAATGCCTCCCTCATCATACAACTGCAAAATTTGCAGCTTCAGATCCATGAAGTTAGTTAGATCCATGACCTACAAACAACATCCATCTTCAACAGCATTGCAGGCATTTTCATGTTTCTGCACTGCGGGGTTCGATTCTTTTCAGAACAGCATTTTTTTTCCTAGTAGAGAATATAATAGCCCTCTATCACTTGCAGTCAGTCACCTGGAACCAATGTTCACAGACACAATTTGTAACCTCAACATGGCAGTGACTCAAATCTCTCTGTTAGGAATGCCTTAGCAGTGTCTTGGAAGAGGGTGGAATCATAAAACCCGAAGCGCATCATCCCTCCAAAGCAGTCGATTTTTTCCCCTACCTGGAATGAAAAAAGAGTAATTTAAAAGTTTCCTCAAGATCCGAAACAAATTGTTGTATCATTCATTAAGACAAATAACAAACTACATCTGACAATCTCCTGAATGGCATAGGCTTTCAGCTCCTGAAAAACAACACAACTTTAGAAAGAAATGGAAGAATCATTAAATACAAAAGAAAGAAGCAAAACAAACACAACATTAGTTATCGCTTTCTTGCCATACCTGCAATACAACAAAAAATCAAACAAAAATGAATCAGTAACGCATTCTTAAGCATAAAGGTTTTAATGCTCCTCCAGTTCTGATGAACCAAACATCTTCCATATACTGAAGGGAAGAGTGTTAGGAAATTGAGAAGATTACACGGCTCTATATTTAAAACAAACCAAACCAAAAACACTGAATAAACAAAGTATATAAAGCAGGATGCCTCAGGCAGCCTCAAGGTAAATAAGCAACTACAACTTTTAACACATGGAATTAAATATGTAAGGAGCACGACAGCGAACAGCATCAAATAGAAATACTAATTCTAATATAACCGAGTCTTATCGTACTTCAAGCTGCTAAATGCAATACAATGCAGCAGCTCAAGCATTCATAGTAAGTTAAACAGGATATAGCAACATACACTTTCCAAGAGTTTAGTGTCTTAAGACATTACTAGAGCTACTCATAAAAAAGGAAGTAAAAAGGCACGACAACTAGGTCGGCCATGGTAGTAATTAAAAATAGGTTCTTTAGACCCTAACTTAAACTAGGAGAACGAAAGTGCATAAGGAGAGAGACCGATGCATTATTAGCAATTATAACATCTAGCTCATATCCATGCCATCTCCAATCGGACTGCAGATGGGACTGACAGCAGTAAATGACCGCTCAAATGGTGAGGGTTGATACTGGGCATCCCTTCTGCGCTTAAAGGCACAGCTTTCAGTGGGGGGACAGTTCTCTGCATCAAACTTCCTCCGGATACCTCTCACAGCCTGTTGCTCAACTGTTGTTAGGGGAAAAATCTGTTTGCTCACCCTGCAGAGGGAGCTATGGTTATCGTATACAATTCTCTGATTGCAATTTTTGTCACAAATGTGCATCAGACCAGTTAGCTTGCAACGATACATGTTCCCAAACACAAGTTCATTTTCACACTTCCAGTCACACTTGTGGACAGGGTTAGGCTCATCTTGTCCAAGAATACTAGACAAATAAACAACATTGGTAGGAACAACTACCGTGGATTTGCCAAATACCTCCATTGCTGTCTGAAATGTTAAAACTCTTTAAAGAATCCCTTACTCCTGACCTCAGGACACAGATGTTCTGCCGACCTAAAACAAACAGAGTATTATTTAATCTGAACGAAGAAACTAAAATGTCATTGATTATCTAGAATCGTTCCTAGCCTTTCTCTATGAAAACAAATCCGTAAGCGCATAGTCAATCGACCGCTTTAGAACAATAATCATATTTGTTCTTTACTCTTCACCCATTCCTCAGTTTTCTCCCTTTCCTCTTCACCAAAGCCATACCAACAACGGCTCAACCACACTGTGCGTGCGTCCATACACTCGAAATTTTACATAAATTCACGCAACCAAGAACAAGAACACAGATCCGCAACAAATACACAACATAGACAAAAATCCAAAGCCAAAATCACCCATGCAACACGCAAACGACCAGTTTCCATAGAAAATTGACCTAACCGCGCCTAATTATCAACCGAATTCAAATAAACAACAAAACGAGAGCATCAGAGGACGAGGGAACTTACACGACAAAACCAAAACAGCACCTCCGCTCGCGAAACAAGGAAGCACAGCGCAAATAGCAACCAGAAAAAACCTAGAAAAGGGGAGCAGCGACGGAAGAAGAGGCAGGGCGGTATTTATAGATAGAAAAAGTAAGCAAATAGTGATCCGATTCTTATGTTTCACACCTTGACTTAGACTTTACACAACTACCAAATTTAATGGAGTAATTGCCTATTGGTACTCAAAAAATTCGTTAATTTCACTCCGGCACCCAAACTCACGTAATTCCTGCTTCAACCCCTACAATTTATCATAATTTGAATTTACCCCAAAATTCCAAATCTGTGCTGCTGCTGCTGCTGCTGCTGTGCTGTGTTTCCATTTCAAATGAGATATTACACATTACAACAGTCCATTGTCAATTCTTGTATTACATCTTCAAAAACCACCAAAGCTAGAAGAAGTAAAAACCCAAGAAACATAAGTTATACAAATACCAGGGACAGGAGAAAGGTTAATTTTACAGAGCAGTCTGCCAATCCAATCCCACAGTCGAGAAGCAACGCGACAACTTTTGTTTCGATCTCTTGAGTCTCCCTTTTGTCTCGGCAGAAAACAACAATCTTGGTTGAATGTGATGTTGTCATGTCTATCATATCACTAAGCCAACATTCTATTAATAATTTGAGATGCTATTCGCGAGGCCGGGCAAGCCATAGAGTGCTGAGGGCACGCAGGCGCGAGAAGTAGTCGCTGATGGCGAGGAGGGCGCGAGCTGACTGGCGAGTTGTTAGTATCCGGTGCATTTGTTGGAGAGTTTGCTGCCGTAAATTGTCAGCCTTGTAATAAACCAATAGTAATAATGGTTAGATCAAGTGAAATATTTATTGCTTGATGAAGATATCAAATGGAAAAAGGAGATAACCTGATGAATGAAGCCTTGGAGGGTTCCCAGCTTGCCCATGGCCATTGCCATTTGACCCATGTAGCTGGCGACGTTTCCAGACGAGCCTGATGGGCCGAGAGAACCTGCTAATGTCTCAGCCAAGGATTGTTGCAGAGCTTCCATGCCCTGTGACAAGGCATCTTCTGCCTGTTGAGATGACTGCTGCAGGTTGTTTAAGGCTAATAGCTGCTGCTCGGTTAATGGCTCCAAGTGATTTGTAAGAAGCTGCAACCAGATGCAAAACAAGAAAAGTATTTTGTTCACACTAACTTACTGTTTCACAAAGATGTGTGATGGAGGGCGAGTTTAAAAGATGGAGAAAGAGCAAAAAACTTGAACAGGTGTTGCTTACCTTGAGAAGTTCAGACGAGCGAAACCCACCGAGCCAAAGGAAGCATCGCTCGGCGGGTGTCTTCCACATGCCTGACAAAATGTGAAAGACATCAGCCTTTGCAGCATCCCCTTTTACTTTAAAAATTTCTTCGTAATGCGACACAACGCCCTCCACAATAATGCGAAGTTCTGCATCCCCCGCATGCGAATTGACAGCGCCTCTGAGCTCATTAATCCGTCGGTTATGCTCCTCTAGCCAACGGGCATATTCAACATCAAAGGCCAAAGCACCTAGGAATTTGAGATTAACAGGTTGACATTCGCATAGATGAAAGTTGAAGTAGCCATAACTGAATTTGCTGAAAGTACTTTTTTATGTTCTATATTTCCACAAAAACAAAAACACACGTGTAATATCTAATTTGCCTAGTACAACACAATGATCAAACTCTCCTACCCTTAGAGAGGAAAAAACTGTTCACCAAACCAAGTTCTACTGAAAAGCATGTCTACCAAAATCCAAGCTGTCATTCACTAGAACCGAATAAATTCATTTACTTTAGAAGTTCCAATTAAGTAAAAAGTAATCAAGTTTAATAAACTATGAAATTCCTTCCTTCTTTTCCAAGCCAAGAAGTGCATTGGGGGTAGCAGCAAACAGAACTCACATGTCAGATCTGAAATCACATGGTAATTTAATAGCAGTTCAAATCTAACTGAATCTTGTCTAGATGTTGATTGTTTATCACCTGCGGGAAGGTTAGACAGTCTCAAAGGTCAAGGTGATCCAACTTTGAAAAGCCCTTAGCCCTTACAATACCCACATCCTCAAGCTAAATTGCCTACAGCTGCATCCCTAGTTTAAATCCAACTACTTTTGCTCACTATGATTTACATAATTAAACCTATTTCCAACATTTATGAGAGCTATAGTTATATAATAATTTTCCTATCATGCATGAAATAATCCCATTTTTTTCTTTTGAAATGAAAACCACTCTATCAATTGTTTGTTTTAATTGCAGGGGATTGAGCACCCCTACTCAGTTTTTCTTTCTTTTTTTTTTGTAATGAAGCAAAACTCTGACCACTTTTTGTTCACTGCTCAATTTTGACTTGCTCCAGTGAGCATCATGGATCTACTAATTAAGTGGGGGAGCTAACTAGAGTCAAACACACTGGAATTTAGCATACAAGTTAGTTCGTACCAAATTCAAAGAACACAAGCAGAAACCCAAAACATACTTACTACCACATATCAAGTTAGCATGTAGGAGTTCTACCACTTCCCCTAGCCTTGGCACAGGCACTTAGTTCATATGTAGGAGTTCTACCACTTCCCCTAGCCTTGGCACAGGCACTTAGTTCATCTCCATAGAGCCAATAAGCAGTCCTGCTATAATCTAAGATCTAGACCAATTTGATATACAGACTTCATCCAATCTACATGATCAATAAACCAGGCTTCACATAATCAAAAGAAGATGGATCATACCGTTTCCCCCAACGGATTGCGATTGATCTCCTGAACTTGAAATGAATATCCCCTTCACCAAAGACATGTATATTTCACAGATTGAGAAGCAAATAAATGCAATGAAAAGGTGCTTGCGATATTGTTGATTTAGACAGAATCCAGACCTGCTGCCTGGCCCGTTGAAGCTCCTGTTCGAGCTGTGTCAATTTCATTCTGCTGCTCTCTAACTGTTGAACATAGGCCTAGGTTCCAGGAAGGAAAAAAAGAAAAAGAAGATGATGATGAACACAATATGGTGCTGTCAGATCGTGGAACACATCAATCATAGAATATCAACAGCTCCATGTAATCAAAGTCATTCACAATCTAATTATTTTTACTTTACAAAATTCATTCTCTCAAAAGCGAATAAATAAAGCCCGAGTGAACAATACCACAAACCAAGACATTACTACAATCACACCATGCCGCAAACAACAACCAAACTTATCTTCAAAAAAGCTTTGCGTACAAGAGATTGAAGATTCACTCAATTAATTATCATGTTAAAGCTTAGAAGCTTATGTTATTTCTTGGTGACCTTTTTTATCATCCCTTGAGGGGACATCTTCCACTGAGTTACCAGGTACATTAAAAAAACATTTGTAAAATAGGGTAGATGGTGTTCTTCAATTACATGGGAGTTAATTGGATGCATGCATCATCAAATATTAGACATATACTTAACATAAATGTAATGAAAGTAGAGTATGCACAAAATGATAATGTTACCTTTTTTCTCAATCGGCTTTTTCTTGCAGCTTCACGATTTTGAGCAAGCCTGCGCTGAGTCTGAAAGAGACATGGTATAAAAATTATAACCTTTATAAAAATCATATCTAACTTAACAGCAGAAAGGAATCTGCAATCCAGTAAGCAAGAACCTTTTGATCTCTTGATTTATCACTACCATCAGAAGCAACTGTCTGCAATTGATTGTTCCGAAACTGTAAAACAAGAGATGCACCATTAAGTTAATAAATATATATATATATATATATATACACACAATTGTACCCTGCTAGAATAAATGAAGCAATGAGAACTTCGAGCAAGCGCTTACACCTCAAGTCAAAGTACGGAAACATCAAAAAAAGGGATATAGAAAGGGGGGGAAAGAAGATAGATGCAGCATATCTTTCAACTACAGATAAATCTAATGAAAGCAAAACAACTTTCTTTGAGAATATAAATTCAAGATTACCCTTGAATTCTTGTCTTCAGTATCTGCATCAGTTGAAGTATCAGTCCTAGGACTGCCATCAGCCATTTTAAACACTCCACGGCTCCCGGAGTTAATTTAAATTGCGATAAATAAATGCAGTCAGATGTCTGAGAAAGGTCAATAATCAAAAACCAGTGTTGCCCTGAAAAAGAAATAAAGTAACTAAATGGCCTCAGAATCAACAGACAAATTATAGATAATATTACTGTTATCAACAAACACGCGTTAGCCGCTGCCGCCATTTTTTCTAGATGAATGGTTTGGTAGGCATATGCAAATCATATTTAGCTGAAATAAACAAGACTCTTAGCCGTATTAATCCATAAAATTCCCTATTTATCATAAATGAAGAACCATGGAGAACAGCCAGAATGCCATGGACCTAAACTCCCTACTATCTTAGGTTTCAAATATAGTTTAAAACCTAATAGAAATCTTCAAGACAAGCACATACAATCCATACACAAAAATTGAAAAAAGAACACAAAAACTAAGATTTTCCTCCACACTAACATTTCCACAATAAGACCATGTTTTTTTTTAAGGAAACACAACAAGAACAAAACTTCAAGGCTCATCCAAAAACTCCTATTTTTCTTCACTCGCAAATCATTGCTCGTTGATTCTACATACACATAAATATTTACATCAAGCGAAAGCATTAATCTAATCGCAGCGACAATTGATATAATAACCAAAACCACGAATCCATACCAAAAAAATAAAATAAAACTTCTACCACTCTCGTGATATGGGTATCCAAAATCCGAAGTGTTTTCCGACAAATTCGCTGGTCTCCTCGGCCAACAACGAGTAGGAATCAGTTTAGCAGACTGTGAAAGCTTCGGTCGAGGTGCGTGAGGTTCCTTTCCAGATTTCTTTGTATCTCCAGTTGTCCCACTGTTACCGATTGGGAAGAGTTGATAGGGTTTGTACGAAAAAGAGGGGAAAGGCCACGAAGAGATTATTGATTGGGAAAGCTTCAGTCAGAGCAGAGCAGCACAAGCACAGCGCGGAAGGTAATCGATCGGAGAGAGGGAGAGAGAGAGAAAGGGAAAGAGGCATACGGAATACACAGATTACAGATGACAGTCTACGCACCCTTGACTGCATTCCACTTCATTTGCAGATATCAATGTTTATATGAACAAAGGAGTGATATATATATATATATATATGTGTGTGGGTGGGTGAATTTTCATACATTTTTTTAAAAATATTAATTATTATTATTATTATTATTATTATTATTATTATTTTCTAGTGTTGAGAAAAAAATATTGAAATTGTTATTGTCATTTTAGTATGCAAATTAGTATGTCATTAAAAAAAAAAAATAATTGTGTAGTCAGTTGCCCATTGCATTAATAGCCTTAGGCATACATGTCTTCAATCATTTATCCCTTGGTGTAGTAAGCAAGTAGTATTCACATAATTACATAGTTAAGACACTTAAGACTCTTTCATTTCGACAAAAACTTAATAATGTGATATTGTCCCACATAAAATGGAGGAATCGAAATGAAAAATAAATAAAGAAATACACACTTTATGTAAAACAAAAAAAAAAATATACTACATAAATAAATAAGAAACATATTTGATATATTTTAAAAATTGTAAATGGATATGTGTATACAACTCTTTAATTTTGAAAAGTCTAACAAGTTTGGTTAAATTGCACAAAATCTACCTATTATTTTTTCATACATTGCATTTACACGTAAAATAGGGTACATACTCGTCATCCACAACTTGTTGGAACAACTTCAATCACGGGCCAAGTGAGGATTTATACAAATGCATATATGAGTCGATATACATGAGCTATATACCTAAAAGAGAACGGGCATACATTTGAAACGAGCACAGCTCAACCCATTTTGTCATCGACATTTATTTGTTTATCGATATGATGATACTAAACAACATAAATGCTTACATATATAAACTTAAAGAACACAATTCATACACCAGCTATCAATCTGTAGACACTGTAAATACGAATGAAGTCTTCCCGTATCTTTATTGAGGTAAGGTTTTAATTCCATGAATAAAGAAGGTAAGGTATTCGATTGTTTTATAATTTCAATTCCCAGAACTCAGAATTGCACAACATACAAAAAACTATGGAGCCGAGGGAGAATTGCCAGAGGGTTTCTACAGCGCTAAATAGAAAGAAGAGAATAGTTTCAAGGGCAGCACCATTTTTCACTTCCCGTCTCTGCAATTGCCGTTGCTTCTCTCTCTCTAAGGTAGCAACTATCAACTTGCAAAATACGCCATCAATGTTAAAAGTATTTTGGTATAATAAGTCACCTTGTAATCCTTCTCTTTCTAGTGTTCATCCTTCTGGCTTTGCAGAGAGAAAACAGGTTTGCCTGCATCTGAGCCATTTTGATCAGCAGATTCACCAGTTTCATGACTCTCGTCGCCGGCTTCCCAGGAGAGAGCGTTAGTTTTTGTGGGACCTGACGTAGATCCAGTTTGGGAGCTCTGATCAGCTTCACTACCTGGACCTTTGCCGATGACGCTCTTGTATATAGTAAGCGCTTGAGCCATCATATTGGCGGGGTTGGAAGCAGAGGAAGGAAGCAACATTGTAGTTCCCTAGACGAAATTAATGGAATGAAATATAAAATGCAAGTGTTTATTTGTATGATTATATGTTATCATAATAACGGAAATCATTGCATGATGTTGATTAAATCAGTGGTAGTACCTCCTTTGCAATCATACTAAAGGCATGAATGTATTGCTCAGCCACTCTTAAACTTGCCGCCTGAAAAAAATAAAATAAATACAACTCAGTGCAAATGGAGTATGCAGTCATTATTCTTTGCAGTTGATATGTTATATACGACTTTCAAAAGAGGCTGGATGATCAACTATATTTTACAACATGTCAAATAAATAGCCACATCAATCTTTTCAATTCTCGGGTCGTACTGGACAGGCATTTTCCAGAAAAATGGCAATAATGTTTAGAGAACTGGAAATTGATTTGACATGTTTGGATGGACTAAACTTCTTAGGATATATATCATTTGACCAGAAATGATGCAACTCATTCTACAGAGTTTAAAATGACACTGAAGGTAAGTTTCCAAATCTGTCTAAAGTTCTATTATTGGTAAAACATTTGTTGGTGTAATATATATCAATTTAAAGATCGACTTAAAGCACATTTTCTGAAATATGACCTTTCATAACTACATATTAGGATTCTAGTGTGTTCACAATAGAAGCAAACAATGATGACCAGAGGAGAAGCAAAGCACAAAAGATATTTTGGCTAGTTAAAATTAATTAATTGATCAAATTGTATTTTTTGAAAATTTATGCATTTAATTGATGAGGTAAAGAGAAATGAAGAACCTCACCTCAACACCTCCAGTTTCTTGCAGGGCTTTTGACACCATGGCAATTCCTTTCGCAGTTGCTTGCGCTCTAGCAAGGATAGCTTCTGCCTCACCTTTTTTCCACAAGATTCAAAGGAAAAGCATAGGTAAAGGCTTATTTCCTCTATTATAAATCAAGCCATTCAGTTAACTAACCTTGAGCTCTGTTCACTTGATCCATCTTTGCAGCTTCTGATTCAAGGATCACAGCACTTTTCCTCCCATCTGCAATATTAATATTTGCCTGTCTTTCACCTGCACATTACCACATATTAGCCCATGAATAAACTAGAAAGTTGAATATTCCCTTTCCTCAAGTACATGTATAGAGTAAACACGGGGATTAAAAGGAATTTCATTCACCCATTGACAAAATAAATAGGTATGTACTGAATCACTTTGAAATTAGTGGCACCGAATTCTAAATAAGAGAATGTTAAGACCTCAAAACATATGACATATTGATGTTATTTCAAAGCAAACAGTAACAAAAGTTGGTGGTAAATAATTTATTGTTTCCACAAAATAGTTTAATGACCATGATGGCAAAAAACAAATAATTTATACAACTCGTCTTTCCATTATGCAAAGGTTTCATTTCCTCGTATTAAATGCCATAAATAAGAGTCTGTTTTATGATGATAATAGTGATAAAGCCTCTATCTTTCCTCCCCAGTACCCATGAATACATAATTATCTCTAGAAAAAAATATCAATAAAGATAATAAGCCTGAGATATCTTTGCACCATCCATAGTGATGATTTAGAAGGCTAGGGAGAATTTCTCTTGTTTTTGATACATATGCAACACATCCTAAATGGGTAAGTGTTCCAGCCAGAGCAATCTATGAACAATTTGTTGCTTCCTTGAGTCTTTAAACTAGCACAAAAGCTCAATGATTGAGAAATTTAGGCGTTCACCATATGAAAGGCAAATGTGGATGCAAGTATTTCAATGTTCCATAATTGATCAGTACATAGGATCTAAAACTTCTACATAAAAGGGAGTATGAGATGTTCAGGAATGTATTCTACAGTTTGAAGTTGAACAACATGACTGAATTTTTTTTTTTTTTTTTTCCTAAAAGATGTGCACAGAGGAAGAATTTTCCTCAAAACATTTCAGGCTAGGATAACAGTAACAGTTTTACCTTCGGACTCAAGAACTTGAGCTCTCTTTTTGCGTTCTGCTTCTGCCTGCATCTCCATTGCAGCCCTCACACCTCTAGGAGGAGATATATCCCCTAATTTCATTAAGGGAGCCCAACATATAAAAAATCACCGGAGAAACTTCATGGAATTTATTTAACCAGCTAATAATGATTCTTCTCATAAAATCTACCCACTTATTTCATAACGAAGACACTGCAAGCCCCAATCTTTTGCCGCATCATTGATGGAAATCTGAATGAGTGTCAGCAACCATATGCACCGAGACATGTAAATAGTTCTTAATGCAAAATGAAGGAGCAGTGATAAGTAAAAATTCACAAATAATGCCAGGCAGAAAGAAGGGGAAGCAAAAATACAAAACCCAACCCTTTAATAACCCCATCTCAGCCTGTATTAAAAGCTTTACTCAAATACATAGGACCTTTCACTATACAAATGATAGAAACTCCAGAATAGTACTACCAACCATCAACATAGTTCAGCCAAAACCATTTATTAATACATATATCCTTCAAAAATAAAAATCCTATTTTACAATTAAAAGATTGAATATTCATCCATTTGACCAAAATCCCTTGTTAAGTGCAAGAAAAAGGTCAACTAAACAAGGAGTATCAGAAACTCACCACTATCTTCTCATTCAGAGTATCCCTTTCTTCAAAAGTCTTGTCAAGGGTGATCTTACCTAGCTCACTGCGCATTGTGGTCTGTGCAAGCTGAATCACAGCATATAATGGATTCTCAACTCCATATGATGCCAGCTTAGGATCCACTATCTGCAAATCCAAAACACACGTAAGCCCCGTGATAGGTACTAATTTACATGACCAAGTGCTTGGATACCTTGACATAGAGGACTCCATCAATTAGAATGCTGACATTGTCCTTGGTAATAGCAGATTGGTCAGGAATAGGGATGGCCTCTTCCTTCAAGGAGTGCACATATGCGATCTTATCAACAAACGGAATCAATACGTGGATTCCAGGAGTCAATGTCTTCACATACTTCCCAAATCGCTCAACCACAAATGCTTTCTTCTCAGGCACAATACGGATCCCCCAATTCACAGGTGGTGGAATATCATATCTTCACCCAACGTGGTGTTATTGTTTCCCAGGTTATTTGGAAAGACCCAAAACAATTTGCATTATGAATTCATTAGCAACGGGCTTAACTACAAAGGGCTTAATTAGACTTCAGAAATAGTAATCAGATTGATTTATTTATATATATATTCTTGATCTTCTAAGTACGCACTGCTAATTTTATCACAAAGACAAAATATTCACAGTATGATTCAATATCAAGAACATTAATTGTAATTCAATTTAACTATTATGTCAGCACCTACAAGAGAGAATACTCATAGGGGGAAATGTGGTACAATGAACTAAAACATAATAATAGACCGAGTAAAATGGAGGCTAAAAACGGCTGTCACAAAATGTCCATTTCCTAACTCCCCTTCCCAAGCAACATATCAACACCGAGCATCCAAGAGAGAAAAGGACAAAAAAAAAAAGCCACAGGAATATCAACATGTCGTAACTCAACAGCAGCAAGCGGCGATAAGAAGGTAATGCAATTTAAAAGACAGACTGCGAAACACCATTCAAAAACCAAAATGATAAAATGCGCGAAATAGTAAAGTACCTCGAGCTCGGGTCGCGTGAGGTTCGTATATAGCGGACGCTGGTGAGGAACGGGGAGCAGGGAGGAGCCGGCGATCCACGAGCGGAAGGGTGATGGAGCAGCGGCGGTGGAGCTGTGGAGATTGCGCGCGAGATGACCGCAGATTGCGCGGCGACGAGATTCAAGGCCGGGCGGAACTTGGAGAGAGAAAGGGATTTAACAATACTCATAACTCCGGCGACGGCGACAGGCGACAGGCGACAGGCGGAGGAATTTACGAAAGATTCAGAAAGAGAGAAAGAGAGAGATTAGGGATTGGGGCTTTCGCAAAAGCCCTATTAAAACCCAGATAGGCCGAGAAACGGCTATGCTGCTCGCACGGTCAATACGTCAATTTACATACGAAATAAATCATTAAGGGTGTGTTTTTTTTGCAGGAGGTCGGAGAAAGTTGGGTTTGAATTTAATTTTTGTTTGAATTTTTAGATTAATTTGAATTTTGTTGTTTTTTTTGTATTTGGATTTGATTGGAAAGTTTTGATGTATATTGATTCAACGAATAATAAATAAAATAATAAAATGTGTATTAATTTAATTGATAAAATTTATATTGTATGATTTGATTATAAATTTATATTATACTTAATGTATATATATTTAAATTTTTATTTATTTGCATTATAAAAAATTTATTCTCTATAAAATGACATATCTTATATATATTTTTTCATTTAATTATAATAAATATTAAATAATATTTTAATTGTTTCTTAAATAATAAAAATAAAGTTGCAATGGAACTTCTGTTAGCATATACAACATAGATAGGGTGAATTGGGATGGTTTGGCGCCCATTTCACTTTGCACAGTAAAATGAGGCCAAACCTTATTAAAGAAACACACCCTAAATAAATACTAAAATTATAACATAAAATAAAAATAATTTGTATGATATTTGATTTGAACATGATTGTATACAATAAAAAAAAAAAAAAGTCAAACACGTAATCACATTACGATGGTAAAGTTATGAATTCAAACTTTCGACGTTTTCATATCATTTATCACACATAGTTCACTTTGCTTATCGTACCTAATTTACAAATATTAAATTCGGCCTGAAATTTATAATAATAATAATAATAATAATAATAATAAATAAATAAATAAATAAAACAATCATGTAAGATCTTGTAGTTTGCTCATGAATTGATAACAATAAAGTATGAGTTCAAATCTTAATGTCTTCGCTGCCATGATCAAATTTGATCAATTTTTGTGATCAACCACAACAACAATAAATCATATTAAGTATCCTTTTCTTTCGTGGCTTAAGGGATGCCATCATAGTGTAAGAAGTAAAATGATGACGTACAGCACACTAATTTGAAAATTGTTCTGTCATTTTTTTTTTAATCGTTATTTTTTTTCTATTTTAAATTATATAAATTTATTGAAAACAGTTAGAATATTGAATTGAAAAAATCAGCACCTTATTATATAATAGTATATAAGATGCTAAATTCAATTAATATTTATATTGTATAAAATTATAACATGTGATGTTAATTTATGTATTGATATATTGTATTTGTATTATTTGTTCACAATTTTATATATATATATATGTACTGTATAACTGCAGTGTGCTAAATAAATATTAATTATGCTGTATAAGAGTGCTGTTGCTAGTTCGTATTATATTTGTATTATACGAATAATCTGGATGCTCCCGGCAGTAAAACCGCGCCGCCGCCAAATTTATTAATAATGTTTTATAAATTCTTTTCCTTCTCCCTCTCACTTGAACGGCAACGGCGCACACGAGTAACCGCTGCAGAGGGCGGTGCTGCTGCTGCCGTACGGAAACAGCGACACCGGCCGGGTCGGCGGCAGCTCCTCCGCAGCGGCTCTTCTCTCCCCGTTCAGATACTCCACCACTTCCTCCATCGTCGGCCGGCCTTTGCTCTCGTTCAGCGTGCACATCAGCCCGATTTCCACCACCGCCACCGCCTGCTCCGCCGCCGGCCCCATCCTCCGATCAACAATCATCCCCTTCTCTCCGCTCTCGTGCGCCGCCCACGCCTCGTTCAGCACCTCCTCCGCCCCCTCGCCGACCCTCCCCGACACCACTTCCAGCGCCAGTACCCCGAATTCGAAAACATCCACTCTCTGATTCACCGCCGACTCCGCCGCCTCCAGCACAAACCCTAGGTCTCCAACCATCGCCCTGAAGCTAACGTCCAAGAAGACGCTGCTGGCTTTCACGTTCCTGTGCGCTAATCCCCTCGAATGGAGGTACCTCAGCGCCTCCGCCACGTCCTTGACGATCTTCAACCGCCGGATCCATGGCAGGACGCCGAATCCGAGCAGCCACTGGTCCAGACTTCCATTAGGCACGAAGTCGTACACCACAATGGCTTCGCCATGGTCGAAGCACCATCCCCTAACAGGAACTAAATTAGGGTGACGAATTTTGCCGATTGCCTTCACTTCCTTGATCATCCTGCGCTGGAGGATCCCTCGCTCCCTGACATTGACAATCTCCGGTGAGAATCTCTTCACCGCCACATTACATCCGTTGAACAGAGTACCTTTGTAAGTGACACTTATGCCATCGCTGCCTAATGCCTGCAGGTCGCCGAATCCCCGAGTGGCGGTGGAGATTTCAGCTAGATTGAATTTCCTGGCTCTGTTTGGAGGCCTCAGGGAGACTTTCTTCTCAGGTATAACTTCGGAATCATCTCCGGTGGACTTCCGCTTGCCGTTGAAGTAGAGATTAATCATGATGATAAGAACAAGCGCTACTACGGCTAGAAAAATGTAGAAACTGCTAGGAGCTTTGTGGGGGATGTTCTGATCGTCGTCGTCCGACACTGCAATTCGATTAGCGCAGCTGTCGGAGGAAGGATACCTGAGAGAAGCTTGGCTGATGGAGCTGAAATTCCAGGAACATATGCTGTTGATCTGTGTGTGGCTGTTTCCGGTGGAACCGGAGAATCCGATGAACATGTATTCGTTAAGATAAGGGGAAAGATCGAGATAGCCGGAATAGACAGGTTTAGAAGGGAGTGAAGCTCCGTCATGGCCAAGATGAATTTGTAGGAACTGCCGGTTCCCGTCGTACGTTATCCAGGTTCGAAGAACTGACCGGTCGTCAAGATCGATTCCAATGTCGCCAGCATTGACAGTTTTCTTGGAAACTATGCTGCCCAAATTGATGCCAATGTGGTTGTCATTGGGGTCACCAAATTCCGGGTTCTTCCTTGTGTCGAATTCAACTCCAACAATTTTGTACTCGTCCTCACAGGCATCATTCATCATACCTAGCCAGGGGCCAGGCCTGCCGATGGTGAGCTCGTCGGGGACAATGATGAAGCTGAGGCCACCGGAAGTGGAGTCGGAGCTGTTGATTTGGAAGGAGAAGGTGGTGCTGAAGGAGGCAGGCAGGAGGCGGATCGGAGACGAATAGAGAGCTCTCCCGGCTGCGTATTCACGGTTGTTTCCGGGGATCTGGAGGCAGCCGCTTTGCGGGGAAATCGCTGCGCTGCCTAAGAGAGTGATGTCCGGAAGCGGATTGGTGGGGCTGAAGTTGGGGAAGGAGATGTGCTTTGTGATGTTGATTACAGGTCCAGAGTTAGAACCAGAACCGTGTGCCAAGAATATGTCGACGAAGAACAGCCAGGAAGAGAGAAAGAGATGGAAAGGTAATCGGATAATAGCCATGGCTGGGAAGCTTGAAGGATATCAGAGTGCACTGGTTTTGAAGAGGATGGAGGTGAGAATAAGGAACTAATTTCATATTTGGTAAAGATTACAGTTTTACAGTAAACTGTAACAACTAATAATGGACAGAAGATGAGAATCAATCAGTGCAGATTCTTGAGTAGGTACACTACAAAGTGGTTTTCAAATTGCAAATGATGATTCAATGAGTTAAATTCATTCACATGTCAGTAGTATATGTGAAGTTGATGTTAGAGGCAAATGGTGATTGAAGGGAATGAATGGTGTGGCTGTGAATGCTCCAAATCAGCTCAATAATACCATTTTCTTACAAGACTGACATGATGGGTGACAATGTCCCACAGGTGGGAACTGGACAGATCCTTCCCAATCATTCATGGCAAAAAGAAAAAAAGATCAAAGAAAGCATGGGGATAGGCTGAGGAAGGCCTCCTGAATGAAAGAATGGATTTCTGAGGAATTAAGAGCAATGTAGCAGTATACCAAATCTTCCATTTGGTTCCAATCCTGAATCCCTAAATTCTGCACCACCTCAACAATGGATTCCCTGATTTCTGAAAAGGGAGTGCTGGAATACTTCACTGCACAGACACAGTTATCTTGGAAGGCCTGAGAAACATCCCATGGCAGCCTGGCTGAAAAACTCACACCCCTTCTCCTCCTCTGCTTCTTCATCCACATTCTGCTAGCCCCTCCTCCTGCTGCTGCTTCATTTCCAATCTCCATGGCCTTTAGATTTTAATATCAAGTCAAGAATTCAGGCACAGTGTATATATATATATATATATGGAAATGTGAATGATGACAAGGAGAAAGAGCAGATCATGTGTGGGGTGGGGGAGGGGGGATGGGGGTCACGTAGCCATCAATTTTTAATGAGAATGAAAGCATTAATGAAAGGCACATGTATAGCTGCATAAGGAGCGTTTCTATATGTGAACAAATATCATATTGAATCAATACCTTTCACTGTGCTCCTTCTACTCAAAAGTTTAAACAAATCGATTCGAGAATGAAGAAAACTCGTACCAAGATTCAATGTACGTGACTCGGAACGATTATTACCATCCATAACACAGGTAAAAATTAGAGCAATCCAACAGAATTAATTACCATCCAATCTAACAACCAATCATGTGAATTTACACCATGTAAGATATAATACCTACCTTTCAGAAACCTGGAAGCGTTGCGTCGCTACGATCAGGGCAGCTCCTCAGCTACAACAAGACAGTCTTAGCTCTACCATATTTACACCATATTTCTTGAACTACTTTCAGAATATGTCGGCTTTCTTCAATCCCAGGATCGAGGCCACCATCGTGGCCGAGGAAACGTTACACCACGCTTCTTGGCCGTCTCTAGAAAGTCCACCTCCCCACCACTTCCACCGTCAGTATTTAAATTTCGAACAATTTTCTTCAGTATACCCGAAATCTCCATTAATCCACCCTTCTTCTTCTTCTCCACCATTCTTGCCACATTGCTACCTTCCTCATTAGTCTCCTTCCCCTCGTTCAACTCACCATTCTTCAATTGAATCCCTCCCTCCCGATCCTTTTGTATCCTTCTCCACTCGTTTGTCGGCTCCTCTCCTACCACATTGGCCCTTCCCTCATTCTGCAAAAGATCCTTCATAGATGCCGGCAATTCGCGCTGCTGTCTTTTCGAAGGAATCGAGGCATTACGTTCGATACCCTTCCGTTTTCTCCCTGCTTCTTCCCAACCAGAAAACCTGAACATATCAATATCCTGAATTCTCATGAAAGCAGTTCTCCTTCCTTCATCCACACAGCCATCTTTTGACAACTTTCCATCCCCTGATGCATCAGCAACCTCTCTGGATTTAGCTTCGACAGGACATTTACGATTGGTAATTTGATCCTCAGCCTCACTATTGCTCATACTCTCGCTTATTTCGCTGCTCACAAAATTCCTATCGATTTTGTCAACCCTGATGTCTTTAGGCTCTTCACACTTACTCCTCGACTGGTGGTTTTTATCGCAAGCATCAATGGCGGACGCGTCCGGTTTCTTCAAACCAATAGATTTCCGCACATCGTTTTTAACCCTGGCTTCTTCCGGCGTGTCTCGCCTATCCACAGCCATGGCTTCCTCATCGGAATCGTCGCTTCCCAAATCAATAATCTCATCACCAACAGCTTCACTTCGCCTGACTTCATTCACAATCTCCTTGACCGGAGTCGCTTTCCCGCCAAATTCCTCTCTAGGAACCCTAACTTTCTTCGGCTCAGGCTCACCGTCAAAACCACTGACCTCCTTCGATCCATCTGCGCCGCGACATGAACCAACCGCCCTCGCAACCTCAGCACACAATTCGACGGGATTTTGGTCCTCCGAGGACGACAAGTTGGAATGTAAATGGTGCTCCGGCGGAGTGTGGAACACAGCGTTGTCTTCCGTTTGGCGGTCGGCCGAGGTCTGACTCCCTGGGAAGGGATCCGGATCCTGGAAAACGTCTGAATCGGAGTGGAAGGGACAGGTGCGGAAGTAGGCCATTTGCGATGCGGTGGGAAGACAGAATTGAACGATAGCTCCAAATGGATCCTCAGCAGCAGCAGCAGCAGCTTCCAAGGGTTCCTGTTCCTCCATCAGGCAGCGCCGGAGAGTGAGTGAGGGCGAGGGCGAGGGCGGGGGCGGGGCAGGTTAATTTTGGGGGATCCGCCATGGTTTCTTCGCAACCGCCATCCACAGAGGAATCTGTGGTTCGACATTGCCACAATTTTCCGTCGCTCTTTTTCACTTACGGCGGTTCTTTTTAATAACTCACTTTTATTAAAATGAACACGGCTGGTTGACGGAAGAACTATATTCAATTGTGGAGTATTTTAACTATAATAAATAGCATAAATATAAAATAAATTATAATTTAATTTTTATGTAAAGTGAGGTATTATTTTAAATAATTGTTATTTTAAAATTATTTTAGTAAAAATAAAAAAAAATAAAAGAAAATTTTATCTCCTTCTATCGTCCAATTATGTGCTCATTTGACCGGGCACGAATTTTAAGAAAAATATGTAAAAATAAATTTTTTAGGAAAATAGTATTTTTTATTTTCGTCCAATTATGTGCTCATTTGACCGGGCACGAATTTTAAGAAAAATATGTAAAAATAAATTTTTTAGGAAAATAGTATTTTTTATTTAAAAAAAGAGAGAATAAATTTGAATGATGAAGAGTGTATATTTTTTATTAAAAAATAAAATAATAATAATTTAAATATCAATTTAAATGATCGAGAAAGTATTATAAAATACAAAATATATATATTTTCTTACTTCAATCGTTTGTCATGTTTAAAAAATTATGAATTAAGTAAAAATTCTAAAAAAAAAAATAAAAGTTTTTATCATTATTTTTTTAAATTATTTTTATAATTTTATTATAATATAAATATATATAATAAATTAATAAAAATAATTATATAAAATATAATTAATAATTTTTTATTTTTAAAAAAAAAAATTATTCCAACCACCACGACATTATACATTCTCTTAATACTTCCACCAATCTTAAGGTACTGTAGAACTACATTCATACTAATTCAATCTGATATCATAATACAATCAAAATATGACATTAAAGAAATATCAAACCCTGTTAATTCAACGTACTGATGTAAAGATGTGAAACAACTCCTTCTCAGCAATGGGAAAAAAGCTTTCAAGACCTGATTTTTTCCCTTTTCCACTATAAATTAAGCAAACCACGATATACAACGAAACACATACCTTTTATCTATAACCATGCCAAAAGCTCGGAGCTCCGACCGGACCCTCTCTTAGCCAAACCATCAGCCAGGTAATTGCGTTCTCGCACCATGTGAGATATTTATGTCCCATTCGAATGACTGATGAAGCTACAAATTCCTCGCACCTTGCGATCAAAACGCCATGAAAACCCTCCATTATTGGCGAGCCAAGCGACTACCGTAGCGGAATTGCTCTCGACAATTGATTTCGGAATGGGAAAGGCCACATATAGCTTAATGATTTGAAGAATTTCAAAAATTGCTTCCAGTTCTGCAGTATTGGAATCTGCACCTCTCCATATACTTTGAAATGATAAGGATAAAGTGTCCCCGCTTATCACGAACCACCGCCTCTATACCTGCATCTCCTGGTTTACCCAAGGCTGAACCATCCACGTTGATTTTTCACATTGGGATCCATTCCACGTCTCGACGTAACATACCACAATTGAATTTTGATTGAATAGAAAGCTTCGCCAAGTTATCGTCAATTATAATGGAACACCTACAAATTCCTGAGAAAATCCGAAAGATTGATTTTCGAAAATAAATTAATTCATTACGAGAAGACCAAAGACACCGAGGGTGTGTTTGTTTGAGGGATTTGTTTGAATTTTCGCTATTCATCCTATTCTTTTTTTTCTCCAAAACATCAAATCAAACACTTATTTTTTATTTTTTATATTATACTAAAAATTAAATTTACATTCAAAACATCACATCAACACTTATTTATATCACATCATACAACTATTCAAATTCAAAATTTTTACTATTCAAATCTCAACTCAAAATCCAAAACCTCAAACAAACACACCTTTGTGATTGCCAGCAGAGCAAATTTCCATATCATTTATCTTTCAGATATTTTGTCCATATCATTTATCTTTCAGATATTTTGTTCACCCTTATGCATATAGTATTTTAAAATTTTACTCCAACAAGTTCGTTTTTCATCCATTTTCAATTTGTACAAAGCATTTTCTTAAAATTAGTAAAAATAAAAATAAAATAATAATAAATAAGAGTATTATAAAAAAAAAATATTTAAAAAATGATAAAGGTAATAGAATAAATAATCCGTCTCAATCGAATGAATATATTTACTTATTTAATCAATTTAAAAGTATTATTTTTATTCATTAGTAAAAATATATAAAAATTATTTTTATTAATATAAAAAATATATATTTTGAGTAAAAGAATCAAAATAATAAATAATTACATTGGTTTGGACAAAAGGAGTAATAAATTAATTATATATACTCCGTCTGTTATATTTCAACGTATCCGTTGAACACTCCAAATTTAATTTTTAATTACTTTATAATTATATTATTTAATTAATTTTATTAATATAATTAAATTATAAGTAATCAACATAATTGCTAAAAATTTTTAACTTCAGCACATCATCTGATCTTATTATTATTATTATTTTTCTTTTATTCATTCAAAATTATTTATTTCCTAATCTAATATATTAAAAGTACTATAAATATCAAAATATTATTATTTTATTTGTACTATAAAAGCAAAAATATCATATTATTTTATATACTTTTACTATTTAATAAAATAATATAATTTTTTATTCTATTAAAAAAATGACCCATGAGAATTACTCTACTTTGAAACAAAAAATTATTTTATTAGTTTCACTTACTATTTCTATGTTGCTGTTTCTCGTTTTTTTTTTAAAATGATTATCCATTTTAATTTTATTTTAAATTTTATAATTTTTTTTATATATTAATTAAACTAATTAGTTATATTAATTTTAATCTATAATAATTTATATTATAAATTAATTATTTTCACTGTATGTACAGTAACCAAGACATTCAATGTGAGACAGATGTAGTATTAAATAAAAATATAAAATTATAATTGCTAAAATTATTATAAGAATTATATCGTAAATATATTGGATAATAAAAAATAATATTTGCAAAACAAAATAAATACTGTATTTAGTATGATAGGTTTTTTTTTTTTTTTTTAATATTAATAACACCAAAACTTTTTTAAAAAAAATACGTTCCACCTAATTTATCCTTATTTTTTTGAAAAATTGATTATACACTTTAATCACATTTTAAAATTAATTTTTTTTAAAAATTTTTTAATTAAATAATTTAATTATTTTAATTTTAATTTATAATTATTTTTACTAATATATTTTTAATTATTTATTAATTATATTTTACCTAAATTATCGTATCTATGCATCCATTTTATTTAGGAATGGAGCAAGTATATAAAAATAGCTTAAGTTCTGGTGACGTGTCCTCATGGACCTCATCCAGCTACATTACAGTCTGTCGTGTCTCCTACTCATCGCTATTTAATCCATCAATATATATATATATATATTCCATTCAAGCATGCATGTATGTATGCGTCACCAATCACCATAACCTCTCGGATTTAGAAAGAAAATTCATTAAATTATTTTAAATTCTATATGTTGTTTCGATATTATTTACAGTGTTTAAATTTTGAAGAACTTTTAAAATAATATTTTATAAAAAAGTAATAACAATACTCCTAAAAGCAGTGGATGCTTGACGGGCTGGACTCCGTCATTCTATTTATTTATTATTTTATTAACCGCCAATCAATAAATAAAAGCGAAGAGGCACACGCACAAGAGCCAAGAGGGGAAGCGAAGAGGACACAGACAAGGGCACAGTTGCAGATATTGGTGGTGTATATGCCGTGTCGATATTCTCTCCCTGTAATCTCCAATCCTCTCGTCGTCTGTACCCTGCCTGCATCTCTCTGTCGCATTCCTCAATTGGATTCTTGGTTTGCAGCGATAAATTTGGGGTACAGGAAGGGCGATATTTCTGTTCAAATTATTGGGATACTCTGCTCGTCGGAATGTTTAATATTGCACTGAAAATAGGGAGGAAGAGGGCCGCCGCCGCCGCCAGAAGAATACGGAAGGTGAAGGTGTCGAGATTCGGGGGTTATGCGTCTAAGAGCTACACTTCTGTTTCCTGCACAACCTTCAATATACTCGCCCCTATTTACAAAAGGCTCAATCAACAGGTAATGGCGATCGATCGTTGGAGTAGTGAATTGATGTGTTATTTTGCGCTTTTTTTTTCACTGCTGCGATCTATTCTGAATTCAATGCGGATTGCCTCGATTTCGTTCTTTGTTGTTTTGGTTTGTGTTGATGTGCTTGCTTCATTGACAATTTTGTTTTTTGGAGAGAATTCTGAATTTGTTTTGTGGATTCATTGTGGTTTTGCACCGTCGGGGGTTTTGGCAGGACCCTAATTTCAGGGAAAGTGATGTTAAGGATTTTTGGCTGGACAGGAACCACAGGATTCTGGATTGGTTACTGTATGAAAGATCCTCCGTAATCTGTCTTCAGGTTCTCCCCCATTTTCCACTCTGTGTTTCAGTACAAATTCTGTGATTTGAGATAGAGATGTTATATATGATGATTGATTATATACAACTGTGGGCTGTTGCAGGAATTCTGGGTCATGAATGAAGAGCTTGTGGGTATATATGATAAAAGGCTTGGTGATGCTGGCTACATCAGTTTCAAGCTTGCAAGGACAAATAACCGTGGCGATGGTATACACCTATTGCATTTTTTACCATGATCAGAATATTTTTTATGCTGCAACTGAAACTATTTTTGTAGTGGATTTGGATAGAACTTACAGGATATGCTACCTCGTGTTTATTTGGATATGGCAAACGAGTAATGGGGTTTTCTTTGGCAATAATTTTGTGCTTCAAATTTCTGTGTGAATCTAATTCAAGACATGTTTGAACTTTTGGGAGTGTAGAATGCAAGAAAAATAATCCAAGAACCAAAAAAAATGAACTTCTGAAGATTTGAAACTCTGTTTATTTTCAAGGGAAGTGTGGACACCACTTCTTAAGTTTACTTTTATAGGGTTGTGGAACTTGGTCCATTTTGAAGTGTTACTCATACGCACACTTGTGCTCTTATTCGAATTTATTAACAAATTTTTGGTGTTAGTAAGATTGTATTTGATAATTAGCCAAAATTATTCTATTCTCAGTAAGTTTTTGTATGATTACATTTTGATGATTGTTTAACAGGTCTGCTGACTGCTATTCGTAAGGATCAGTTTAGAGTGATCAACAACAGAGAGCTACTTTTTAATGATTTTGGCGATCGCGTTGCTCAACTGTTGCATGTTGAATTGATTGCACCCTCTTCACAGTTTGAAGACAGTAATCTTTACAAAGAAATTCTTATAGTGAACACGCACTTGCAGTTTCCACATGATTCGAGTTTGTGCTTGGAGCGTTTGCGCCAGGTATACTGAATTCTCTATATGCCAATTAACATATTTTACTTCCGAATTATATAGTATGCTTAGTTCTGATATATATATATATATAACTACATTGCAGGTCTACAAGATATTGCAGTACGTGGAATCGTATCAAAAGGAAAACAAACTTAGGCCCTTGCCTATCTTGCTCTGTGGGTATGCTTCTTACACTTTTCGAGACGTACAAAAGGTTTTCATCCCGGGTGCCATAAAAAAGCTCATTATCATTTTTCTATTTCTTTCAGTGATTGGAATGGAAGCAAGAGAGGCCATGTGTACAAGTTTCTTCGATCTCAGGGGTTTGTATCATCATACGACTCCGCTCATCAGTACTCTGATGCGGACGCTCACAAGGTAATTGCCCGTTGCTTGAAACTTGTCCTTCCTTTCAGCTTTTGAGTTCTTGACAAGAGGTTCATGTTTCTGATATGTCTCCATGTATGCAGTGGGTGAGTCACCGCAACCATCGTGGGAACATCTGTGGCGTCGATTTCATATGGCTTCTCAATCCCAACAGCTATAGAAAATTACTTAAAACTAGCTGGACCGTCGCAATTTTTGGAATGCTAAGGGTGAGAATGCTATAACACATTTTAGTAAATACACTTCTGATTCCAACACATCCTCGAGGATTATGATCTCATGACGTTATACATCTGGTCTTTAATGCAGTATCATATCGAACGAGCCTCTCTGACAGAGTTCGATGCCTTCGCTTTTCTAAAGGCTGATAGCCCTGGTGATTACATCACCTACACTGGCTTCTGCGAAGCACTCCGGCAGGTTGATCGCATCTTCCATTTTCCTCTTCAATTCGACTTCTAGGTTCGTAAAATTTTCCATAGATAAGTTATTGACATTCCATTCTTGGTGTTGGCACAGTTGAACATGGTTGGGCATTGCAATGGTTTGAGGCCTGAAGAGATCAGAGAAGTTTGGGAGCAGGCTGATATCGACGGAAATGGTGTTCTTGACTACAAAGAATTTAAGGTACGATGCTCTAACACTCTTCATTTTGTAGAGATCTTATCGTTCTAACGAACAATGCTATTGCAGAAGAGAATATGGAATGCTTCATTAGCACCAGCGAGTTGCGACGAATTTTGCAGCGACAACGACAATGGAAGCACAGAGCAAAGAATTATTGGATTCAGGGTGAAGAATGCGGCGCTGTTCCCGGAAGAAGTAGAGAAAGGGACGTGGCCGGAAAACTACTCCCTCTCCGACCATGCTCGATTGACAGTCACATTCGACGCCGTTGCATTGCCATGCTCGACAGACTGACTGTTTTGTTCGACAAGTCATAAAACTTGTGTAACAAAACTAGGCGCCGTGCGGACGCTTTCTTTGGCCTGCGAAGCTGCAGACGATTGATCGCCGGGCGGTGCGCGTCGGTGCTCGGAAATTGCGGAATACGATTGAGCAGTGAAGATGGATAAGAAACATGGTAGCATGAGATCATTCATATTCATATTCATGTTCATATTATTATTCAAACTGGTATTCATATTCATTTTGACATATAATGTCAGCCAGACGCTCTTTTGCTCTTTTCTGTACCTTCATTTATCTCCCACGAGAACATGGAATAAAACATCGTCGTCGTCTTCCGGGTGCTCTGTCCTGTCTGTAAATCAGTTATTATGAAGTGTATTCAATATTCACCATTGCAGTTAAGCTGCGGGGGCCCTTATCTTGATTTTAGAGACGAGAAACATTTAACATTGCAATCTCCGAAGTCAACAAATATCCACTATCAAATCAATAAACAAAGAATATGTATGTGTGATTGATGCCTTTGCAATTGGGGGGCACGTGGCGGGGTCTGATTGGTCAGCTGACGCAGACGCTCGATCTTCTTCTTCCAGCTCTCGCTTTCACAGTATGAATGATACTTGGACGAGGGAGGGCCTCCGTCTCCGTCGTTTTCCAATATATATATAAATGTTACGTTTTTTCTCCATATCCATAATGAGTAGCAGCAGTTACGTAGTGACGTATGGGGATGCAGTATTGGCGAGATGACGATATCTATCGGTACGGAGAGTCGGTCTCGCACACGGGATGGACACTGAATTGAGCGACCAACGCGGCATCCAGCACCTTCGCTGAAGCTTCCTCCACCTCTCATATTTCCCATTTTCCAACCCTAATTGAATGATTGAATTTCCATGAAAATCTCCTTCCCTCTCTCTAGTATTAAATATACTTGCTTTTACCGTCCTTCCTCTCCATTGTTGCTGCTGATGCTGCTGTAGCTACTATTTTTTTTTTTTGTTTTTGCACTCATTTCAATTTCGGTTGAGCAATGGCGCTGCTCCCAGTGGGATATAGATTTCGACCAACAGACGAAGAGCTTATCGATCACTATCTGAAGCTCAAAATCAATAGGTGCGATCAACAGGTCGAAGCTATTCGCGAAGTTGACGTTTGTAAATGGGAGCCTTGGGATTTGCCTGGTATGTAATGTTACTTTCTCCTGCATCGAATCTAACTATAGTAAATCTGCTGTAAGTAATGTGCGCCCGTTATTGTCGTTATACAATCTTTCACATTTTAGTTGATAACTATCGTTCGGCATGTTAGTTATCGTTTTAATTTAAGAACACCATCGACATTACGAGCAGCATCTTGTGGAAGAAGATCATGCAATCAATCATCTGTAGTTGATTATGAAAATTGATAGGCAGATTTGATGTGGTTTGGTGGTGACCAAACTAGTTTTACCATGGTCGAATGAGTCGTGTTGTTTTTCCTTATAAGAAATCATCAGTTCGAGCACTTGAAGAAGTTCAAATCTGTCTTCTAGCAAAGCTAATAAGTTTTTATCAATGTTTCGTAGGCTCATTAGATCTTATACACATCTATCTATCTCCCAGATTTATCTGCCATGGAGTCTGCTGACAACGAGTGGTTCTTTTTCTGCCCCAAGGATCTGAAATATCAAAATGGCCATAGATTAAACAGAGCAACAGAGAAAGGTTACTGGAAGGCGACTGGTAAAGATAGGAACATCATTTCACGGAAGGGAGTAAAGATTGGGATAAAGAAGACTCTAGTTTTCTACACAGGTCGGGCGCCGGATGGCAAGAGGACTAATTGGGTGATACACGAGTATCGTGCTACTGATAAGGCGCTCGATGGCACTCATCCTGGTCAGGTATGCTGCTGCTCAGCTTGCATGTTTTCTTTCATTACCTACCTTGTTCATCTTTTGATCAGTTCATTGCTATTGAAGCTCAGCTACATGTGCTGTGTTTTCTTGTTAAAACTATCAAATCCCTTTTCTTAATCTTGGTAGCTTGCCTAACCATGTGCGGTGTGGAAGAATCTGTGATATATAAGCAGCCACATATAACATGTAAAGCGAAAATGATCGATTGCATGATCTAGAGTATGTATGCTTTTGCCTGATAATCAGTTGGTCTCTTTTAATTTCCTAGGGTGCCTTTGTACTCTGCCGACTGTTTAAAAAGGCTGATCTAATGCAAGATGAGATATCTGAACGACGTTCGAGCTTCAACAATGAAGAGGTTGTCTCTTCTCTTGCTGTGGCTAAATCTAATTGTGCTCAAGATGATGAGTTGAAACCAGTGACTCCCAATTTGGGTCTTTCTAGCGTTGAAAGCGATTCAACTATAGATTCTGAGAAAGCTGTAGCTTACGCTCCTATGCCCGTCGATTGGTGGCCGAGGAATAGCCATTTTGTTGATCAGATGCAGGAAGACACGACATTTATTTCTGTGAGTGAATTAACTAACTGTCACCTTAATTAGCTTTCGAGCAACTCATTTCTTGGTAGTGTCTTACAAATTTGCATTTTTTTTGTTTCCTTTTATCATCAGCCTGACCCTGCAGAGATGGAAAATTTATTCGGAGATTATTCTTCCCCCATGCAACTATCATCGTCAGACTGGAAAATTTTCTCGCCGTTGCACTCACAGATGCAATCAGAGCTCGGAAATCTGTATGGCAGCATTGCTGGTGACATGAACACTAGCCAAAACAGTATCCCTTTTCAATATGGGACAAATGCTGTTAATGGGTTTTTCAATTCATTTCTTATGGAGCCTGCGGAGGCGAGCTTGGCCGGCATGTGCTCTGTGTCGTCTGTCGATGCTTCTAAGTACATACTTGAGGCAACAGTGGACAATAATAATTCGAGTAGAGAATTTGAGAGTGCGGTGTCTCGTAGACAGGTAAGCATATATCGATCATGAGGCAAATGTTGTTCATATGGTATGGTTAAATGAGTAATTTATCTGAAGATCTTTTATGGCTTATCTGTGTGTGTGTCACTGCAGCAGCAGGATTTCATCAAGGAAGACATCAAACAAGAAGCTCTATTCCTGGGTGAAGAAGATCATACCTTTGAGCATAATGGTTATGGTTATGAGCACAATCATTTGGGTATTGCTAACAACACCCGCAAAGTATCAAATGATTTCGAAGCTGATGGTTGTGGCGGCCCTGCAGTGAGATGCATGATCAGTGGAACCGGAATTAAGACCAGGCCTCGCCTTCACCCAGATAATTCAAGTAAAACCAGCAACAGCAACAGGTACTCTGGTGCAGTGCATGGAAGTGCTCCCAGAAGAATTCGGCTGCAGAATAACAAGTTTCAAGTGAATGAAGCAACCGGTGAAGGAAGCAATGAGTTGATTGAGGAGGTGAGAAAATACATCATATCCACACACGGCACCACATTCCTTTCCCATGCATCATGTTTAATTAATTAAATGAATGGGATCCATTGGCTGATGTTATACAGGGCAGCGTAGCGAAGAAAGTGCATAGTGGTGCTGATGATGTAGGCATACAGTCGGGCTCGGGCTCAGGCTCAGGTGGTTCTTCTTCTTCATCGTCGATATCATCATCAGCATCAGCATCAGCAGCAGGCGGGTATATAACAAAGGTAAGCAAAGGAATAGCTAGGAGCTATTGGGTGTGTTGTGTATTTATTAAATTAATGGTATTTAATTACTATGATGTTTTGATGGTTGAGCAAAGTGGGATGTGGTTGTGCAGGATGGGGTGGGAATAAGAAGGGCGTTTGTATTGAAGAGCACGAGGACGAGGACGACCACTCTGTCGTGTTACGTCCATTGAGATTGAGATTGAGGACAATACAGCTTCCCTTAGCTTTCTTTGCTTGTTTTTCTATGCAGCAGAGCAGCTATAGCTGGGTGGTTGTAGAGTAGATATTCTTCATTTTGCTGTCTGTCTGTCTGTGTTTTACAAGGAAGAAGAGATGGTTGGTTGAGATGTAAATAATTTGATTTTTTGGATGTGAGATGTTGGGGACTACACTACACTACACTACTACACATACTTACATACTACTTACATACTGATTGATTGATTATTCATTCGATTATTTATTTAATTATTCAATCATGTGTTTATTATTTATTATATATATATATATATGGCTTCTATGAATGATAGATACTATTGACTACCATGCCATGAACAGCCAATAAAAAAAAAAAACAAGTGAATTGGGGTGAGAGAGGCTCGAACTCTCGACCTCAGGATGACTCTCTCAAGCTAAGCTATGAGACCTACGCGCTAGCCAACTGCGCCACCACCCCACTTGTTTGTTGTCATCTGTTTCAATTAATTAATTCATTAATTTGATGATAACAAGTACGTATGGGCTAAGCAACCATTGCGAAGCTCTATGCGTTGGGGTTTGACGTTTTGGTATAGGATGTATAATATCCATCCTGATCCTGATCCTGATGATAAAGTTAAAGAAAAAGAAACTAATTACTTTTTCAAAGACACACAGTCAGACTCAGGCATACAATGAGAGAGAGAGAGAGAGAGAGAGAGAGAGATGATAATGCATATCATATCATGTGCATGTATATATATAAGCTGAAAAATAACATACACATATATATATTCATGGAATTAATTAATTAGATGGAGTTGGTTAGGAAACCCATTTGGATGTTTTCCTTCTCCATGATCTATATTATATTAATCAGAAACTGATTCAATGTACTAGACTAGACTAGATTTGACTGGACTTGGTATATAGAATATAATTATATATATATAGTCCACAGCACAGCATGACCAACTCGTCCCATACGTTGCTGCTCCTACTTTCCATTTTTGTCTTCATCCCATCCCAACCTCGATCCTTTTAATTAATTACTAATTCTTATCTCTATCCCTAACTGAATTACATATATAAATCAAATTATACAGATGAATATATAAATAATCTGAGACTAGACATCTAACTAACTAACTATTTATATACTACTATATCATGGATGATTAATTTAATATTATTATTATTATTATTATTATATATAGATTAAGGACCTGTCTGTCTAATCAATCATATATAATGCTCTGCGCAAGGAATTACAAGGGAACCACCAAAACAATAATATGAGTCTATGTTAATGTTAATGTTAATGTTGCCCATCCATCTTAATTAATTGATTCATTTCACCCACATGCACATGGAAGCGTAATACATTACTTAACTAATTAATTAATTACTTTATAATCACTTAAATATCTTCTTCAAATTAATTTAAAAACTATATATATATAAACTAATTAAAACAAAACTAAAGCGCATGCACAGCACCGCACAAGGATGACATACCCTCCAGCTGGAAAGCCCTCCCTCCCTCCCTCCCACCTTAGCTAATCACCTTTAATTAATTAAATTGCATTTTTTTATAAATATATATATATATATATTTCATTTAATTAATTAATATAATACTTGCTATATATATATATATGATTCTGGTTAAGTATTAATTCTGATATATGATCCTTTAATTGATTTCCTAACCCTTGTAATTATTAGTAATTTAATTTTACTACTAATCAATTAATTAATTACCAATATGAATGAATAACAAATATAGTTATATATATTCTCAATTGACATGCTGCATGGAAGATGTATATATATTGCTCATCATGACCACCTTTCTCTCTCTCACCATTAAAATTAATTCCTGAATGAATGAGAGTATATTTGTGAGGAGACAAGACTGCACATGCACATGCATGTGCGGTGCATAAGTATATATACACATATTCATTCATTCAAATAAATAAATAAATTAAAGATTAATATATATTAATTAATTGTGGTAAAGATGGTAAGTCTCCAAAGCCCTTTTCAATTCGAAGAAACGCATGCTAGCTAAGTAGCTGCTGGTGTCCTTTTCATCCCACAAATTGATTAGAGTTAGTTATATGCGTGACTTAGTCTAAATTCTGATATTATATATCGGATGTCTGTCCTAAAACCTAAAATCCAGTCAGCATTATATATATACACATCACTATCACTTGAATTGGAATCATATATGGAATGGGAGACGTTTCTAATTACATCAAAAACGACAATTTGCCTTTCTTTCTTTCTCTGTTTATTTCAAGTTTGGTTCTTCAATTCATATATAAATCACATCTTTAATTTACACTTTCCTAAACTCGTCACCATCCATCTTATAAATTACTATACATTTCTCATGACTATATATATGCATACATATATATGTTCTTCCCTCTGTTAATTATTAATTATTGTTTGGTAAGGGTTTATATATTATGATCGAACCACATATATATACATTTAACCTTACCTTACCTTCATCTTTACCTTACTCTACTAATCAATTATATTGCCTAATTTCAATATCATATCATAGTATATATATATTTACCACATCTTGCTTAATCAGTTAGGTACCTGTCTCTGCCCAAATTATATACTCCATATAATTGCGCCATTCCTGCCTGCTCTCTCTCTCTCTCTCTCTCTCTCTCTCTCTATATATATATATATATATATACTTACGACTCCCTCTTAGTATCTCTCTCCCATCTTTCTAATTTTTCTTTGCATCAGAGAGCTTCTGCTGATCCCATTTAGCATCCAATTAAGTATATATATATATATATATATATATGGGGGAAGAACTTAAACAGGTAGGGGCTTGGTAATGGTACCTGTTTCATTATAATTACAATTATAATTACATCCCAATTCTTCATTACTCCCTCTCTAATTTTCATTCATTAACTTGATGTAATTATATATATATATATATATATCGATTGTGTTTTGATCGAGATGCAGGAGGAACCCAAGAAAGAAGAGAAGAAGATTGAAGAAGAAAACAAGGAAGAACTCAAGAATAACAATAATAATAATAACGAAGAATCAGCAGCAGAAGCAGAAGCCCCACCCCCACCCCCACCCCCACCTTTTGTGTTGTTGATGGAGTTGCATTGTGTTGGGTGTGCTAAGAAGATTGAGAAGTCCATTCTCAAGATCAGAGGTTATCATCTGTTTGTTAATAAATTAATTTTTTATACTGAAGATATATCTTCTGAAACCATCAAATATATATAATGATGAAATTGAAACCATGCATACCATACAGGAGTGGAAGGAGTGGTGACGGACATGGCGACAAATGAGGTGACTATAAAGGGCGTGGTGGAGCCTCACGCAGTCTGCACCACAATCTTGAACAAGACCAAGAAGATGCCCAAAGTTGTATCTCCATTAATGCCTGCTTCTCAAGGTCAATCCATTCCCGAGGTTGTTGCTTCCCAGGTATATAAATCAATGAATTTAATCCATTATAATTTGAAAATTAATTAATTTATTAAAATGAAATGATGAATATCTATCTCTATCCATCTGCAGGTTAGTGGTTTGATCACCATAGAGCTTGATGTCAACATGCACTGTGAGGCCTGCGCTCTGCAACTCAACAAAAAGATTCTCAAGATGAAAGGTTTTCATTTAATTGATCAATTTAATCGATATATATATACATCAATGGTGTTTGTGTTCAATTAATTAATTAATTAATGGTGCAGGAGTTAGAACAGTGGAGACGGATTTGAGCTCCAGCAAAGTTAGGGTTACAGGAACCATGGACGCCGACCGTCTCGTCCGCTACGTTTACCGCCGGACCAAAAAACACGCAAGAGTCGTGCCCCAACCCGAACCCGAACCCGCCCCTGAACCCAACCCAAACCCGGTGGAAGAATCGGGAGACAAGAAGGAAGAATCCGGAGACAAGAAAGAAGAATCAGGTGGTAATGATGATCAGGCACCGCCGCCGCCGCCGGAGGAGGAGGAAAAGAAAGATCCGGAGGAAGCCGTGGACGGCGGCGTTGAGGCGGAGGCGGAGGCGGCGGCGGAGAAGCAGCATATGCATATGCAACGAATGATGTACCACTATGATCACCCGCCGGTGTATGTGATGGAAAGAATTCCGGCGCCGCAGCTGTTCTCCGATGAGAATCCCAATGCTTGTGTGCTCATGTAATTAATTATTATTACTATTATTATGTAGAGGAACTGCTATTATTATAATATAGATTCATTATTGTTATTAAATCATATACATAATAAATATTTGGGTCAAATTTAAATTTAAATTTAAATTTAAATTGAAAACTCGAGATTGATAATTTATTTTGATATGTCAAACTCAACATATTCGGAAATAATTTGAATGTGATTTTACTATCATTATATTCGAAATTATATAAATTTAAAATTAATTAATTTTGTTAATATTATATATACATTTGTTTTGTATTTTGCCAGCCTAATTTTCGGGTCAGTCTAATTTTGGATGTTGGGCTGACATGGCCCAATTATTTTTAGTACATATCTTAACTGTTTGATATCATATATTAGAAGGACAAATAAGTAAACGTAAATAAATAAATATTTAAAGACAAATTTTAGGACACAAGTGAATATAAATTTGCCTATTTGGATTTTGAATGAAATTGGTCAGTTGTTTAAATTACTTTAATTTTTTTAACTAATTCTAAACTTTGAATTATTTAACAGAATTAGGCTTTGGCGAGAAAGTGATCCGAATTTCTAATCTAAAAATCAATTCGGATATAAGTGAAGCAGTCGTCATCCCTTATAAAATAGAAGAATTCCAAAATTCCTTACAAATAAAATAGTTAGGGTTGTTCTTTCTATAATTTTTTTTACACGTTTTTTTTTTAAATTAATACACTAAATACATTCATTATTTTTATATTTTCTACACAATTATTTATATTTCACATAAAAAAAAATAAAAAATATATATATTTTTCAATCATGTCACTATGATACCAAAGTTTTTATTGCACTAATCCTACTGTAACAAACCGGTCAATGAAAAATTCAAATAAATAATGTCAAAATATAAAGTATCATAGAAAATAGTGTGTAGCATATGACAAATATTTAAAAAGTATATACTCCTATTTATTTCTTTCTAGCACTATAGTAACAAGTAGACAATATATATATATACTAAAAGAATAAGCCATAACAAAATTTAAAATATTTTAAAATTAATAATGATAATGATAATTATATTCGTCCATCAATTAATTGAATCAACTGGTCCAAATAAATTGTAGGAAATAGACTTTTTTATTAAAAAAAAAAAAAAGAAAAACGAAAAAGGAAATGGACTTCGTGGCTAAGAAAAAACAAACCACGTGTAACTGTCCCGACCTATTATAAATAAATAGATAAATAAATAATCCCGTGGAAATGCTGATACAGATTTACACTTCTCCGACTCACCCAACTCACTTTTTTCTAGCCTCCACTCCACAATCCACATGTTTGCTATTGAAAATTTAAGTATATATATACCAATCTTTTTAGTATTGTTGGTAGTTATAAGGCTGTTTGATTTGGCTTAAAAAATAAGCAGAAGTTAAGAACAGAAGCAGAAGTCAAAAGCAAAAACAGTTGAATTTTGTATTTGATAAATCATTATTATAAAAGCAATTTTTCGTAAAAAAAATTATTTGGACGTTATATAGTTGAAAGTGCTTTTAAACTGTTAAAATTACTTAAAAAAGACATGCGGTTAATATAATACTAGTTTTTCTATAACACTTTTATAATTTAATTTAAATTTTATAAATTATATTTAAAGATTTTAAATTAAAGTATAAATAATGTACTTTTAAATTTTGATTATTTATATTTTAAAATTTTAATTCAAGGATAATATATCAATTAAACATAAAATTACAGTATAATATTATATAATTTATTTTAAAAGTTTATAAATTATATTTAGTAATTTAAGTATAATTAAAAAATTTATATACTCCTATTTATATTTGGTATTTAAATTTTAAATTTTAATTCAAATATAGTACATAAATTAAAATAATAAATTAATTATATTTTTAATTTGTATTAAAATATAATATATAAGTTATTTATTTTTATATTATATTATATTATTGTATTTATTATTATTATTATTATTATTATTATTATTATTATTATTAAGGATAAAACAGTAATTTTAACTGAAAAGTACTTCTGTTTATTTCAAAAGCTACTTCTAATGTGCTTCTGAAAAAAGCACTTTTCAGCTTAAAAAGCTGCTTTTGTTTTTGGACTGAAGTCAATGCCAACATGTGCAAATTGCTTTTTTAGAAGCAGAAGCCAAAAGCTCATGCCAGAAGTCAATCCAAACGGGCCTAACTGTAGATAAATATATTAATAATATATTCCTTAAAAAAATTTGAGAGTTGTTTAAGATGAGATGGGAGCATTTTATATAATGTAAGAATTTTAGTTCTCGAGCTCGAGTTTAACCAATCATATAAAGAAAAAAAAATTCCAGAGGGAGAGTATATAATAATTTTTTTTTCAATACTTGAAAAAATATACATTTATATACAAAGAGTTCAAAATTAAGCTTGTATAAAGAACAAGATCTAAAAAGCTACAGTACCATCATAATCTGATTAGGATTTTATAATATATATAAAAGTGAGGGTAAGAATATAATTATCATCGTCAGCATACATGTGTTCTTGCCTAATCCCAACCCTCATCAAATAAATCAAACTGTACAATATAAACATGCACACATGCATGCATCAATCTTATATACATACATATATATATATAGCTTATTATTAGGACAACCTCAATTACATCATTGATTGTAACAATGGGCGGCGATCTGCAAATAGTGGCGGCGCCACCCAAGACCGTGGAGGCGCAGTACGTAGAAATGATGGTCCCATTGTATTCCTACGGCTGCCGGAAAAAGATCCAAAAGGCTCTCTCCCATCTCAAAGGTACCTTAATTAATTCATTTTTAATTTTCCAATCGATCGGCGATACATTTATATATATATTTTAGTCACTGTTAGAATAAAAAATTGAAATTTTTTATTTTAATAATAAAAATTCGTACATATTTCAAAAATTCTACAAATCTTTTATACAAGATAACTCTCGTATATCTATATAATATTTTTCTAAATATATTTTAACAATCGCAATGTATTTTATGTAGGAATATATTCTGTGAACGTTAAGTTCCCACAACAAAAGGTAACGGTGTGGGGAATATGTGATAAGCACGATGTGCTCTCAATAGTAAAGAAGGAGAGGAAAGGTGCACGATTTTGGAATCCGGAGATCGATGATCAGATGGCAATCGATGGTCAAGATCGCTCGCCGTCGCACTCTGCGCCGCCGTCGCCGAGCAATGGGGGCGGCGCTGACTCCACGCGCCGCCGTGGGTATTTGACGGATGTGATTAAGAAGCAAGGGTCGGCTCTGAGATTAAATTTGTCTTTAATTAAAATCAAGTCTTTGAATTGGCATAAATCCGTACTTGATAAAGCATTTTCACGATCATTCTCATTTTGAATTTTTATGGTAATGATAATTTCTTAAATTTATATTGTTAGCTTCAATTTGTCCCTTTTTTCTTTTGACAGAATTTTAGAAAAAAAAAAAAATTATTGTATGGTTAGATAAATTGGATTAATTCCGTGATCTAAGCCTAACTTTAATTTGGCACTGTTGATTGTAGGAAAAGTGTAAAAGCGTTTTAGTATAAAAACTAAAGTCGTGTTCCACTCATTCAGCTCACGTAACGTGTCGGCAAACACGTTTTTGCAAGTCTACGCTTTTGCTTCTTGTTTTCAACTTCAATAAAATAAAAAATTAACAAGTTATCCACGCAACTCAACGAAAGTTGCTTTTACTTCTCAACAGAAAAAAATAATAATAATAATAACAATAATAATAATAAATGTTAGTACTTGATTAAAATAGAAATAATTTAAATCAAGCACAGTATATATTAATTAATATATTTAGGAAGACGTGTGTCACACCACCACATATATGGATCAGGCGCAAATGAGATAACATACGACTATGTGAAAACATTTTTATTTTTAATTGTAGTTTTTTAATTAAATTAAATATTAATTTTTATTTACAGTACTTTTTGTTTTTTTATTAAGTAAGAATTCGTAGCCGCAGTTCGAAAATTGAAGTCTCAAATTCATTCCCTACACTATCGATCATCCTGACTTAAAATAATATATTTGAATTTATGGAGCCTAATTCTTTACAAAATATAATATTCTAATATTAAAAATTATGGAAACAAAAATCCAAAAACATATAATAGTAAATCATTTTGCGAGAAACACACCCTTTGCTTTTGTGTGTTATTATTATTATATTGAAGGAATAGTTAGTATATGTTGTTGGTTGTCCTAAGATCACAAGTCCACATATGTGGATAATAATCCCACTGCCACAATTAATAATATCAATAATATATTGGATGGCCTGCTGACTGGGGTTGGATGTGTGGAGGTCATGAGTTTAAATTCGGAACGTCTTAAGTTATCTGTTATACATGGTTCAGTTAGAATGACTTGCCTGTTGGCTCTAGTTTGCAGGGTGTTAGGTCCGGCCGGAAGTTTATTAAGTGCGCACTTTCAGGTAGTAATGTGTATATATATAATTACTTGATAAAGAAATCTTGTTCAATTCCCAACCCCCACTTCATCACACCCCCTTAATACTTCTGCTTCTTCTTCTTGGTGTCTATATATATATATATATATATAGAGAGAGAGAGAGAGAGAGAGAGAGAGAGAGAGAAAGAGAGAGGGAGAGGGGGAGAGAGAGATGATTAAAGTGGGGAAAATGGTGGAATTGATGGAAGAATACAGTTTGATGATGGCAAGAATGAGACAGCAGCTCCAGGATTTTGGTTTCTTCACAACTACCCACCTTCATTCTTCTTCTTCTTCTTCTTCATCATCTTCTTCTTTTCTAATGTACTTTTAATTTATATATATATATATATTTATATGTATATGTGATTATGTGTAGAGAGAGAGAGATTTCTTGTGCTTTGTTTGTTATATTGATTGTGATTTTGGGTTCATTTCTTTTTAATTTATATTTTTCCTAGTGTATGAATCTATATATATCTCCCTCCTTTTCAGAATAATAAAATTGCTTATTAATTGTTTTTCGACTTGAATTTAATTTTGTAGATGTGGGTTTGGTATTGGACCTGTAATATTGATTAATTAATCAATTAATTAATTAATTAATTATACTCATGTTGCAATTGTCTAGTTTATTATTAATGATTTTAATTAGGATTAATCGTATATATACTGTTTGTTGGAGAGAAATCAAAATGCTCTTAGCATACAATTTTGGCCTTCCGATCTATACGGCAAAACATTATCAATAAATGCTGGTCATTTCTATATCATATATTCATTTAATTTTTTTTTATAGATACATTTAGTATGTACTCTCTCTGTTCTTTAATAATTTATCTATTTTTTTATTTTGATCTATTTCATAATATAGTATCAATTTTTTTTTAGTAATTATACTATCTACTTAACATTACAAATATTATTTCAATTTAGAATATATTACACAAATATCATTACCTTTATATCATACAATACTAATAGGGTTAATTTAGTCTTTTTACCTTTATTTCTATTTTATTCCAATATAATACTAATATTTCTAAAACTTCGTGCAAAAAATAAATTGATATATGAATATGAGACGGAGGGAGAATTATTTTTTTTATTAAATGAAATATAAAGAATAAAAAAAATTGTTGAGACAAACAATTCCTCCAAAATTATCAAATAGTAGTGTATAAGAAATGCATTTGTGTATTATATAATCGTTTCTCTATATATTTTGTCGTTACAGAAGGAAAAGAAAAATGCACAAAATTACATTAAATTTTGTAATGAAAAATATTTTTTCATCGGAGAAAGCAATATTTTTATAACAAAATAATACTTCCTCCATCCCAAGCATTCTGCAACATTTTTTTTTTGGCATGTCTCAAATACCCTACAATAATTTCAAAATAGAAAATAATTAATCTCTACCCCACACTTTATCCCTTCTTATCATCCAAATAAAAAAATAAAATATATATTTCTCTCTCCATCACATCACCTATTTATAAATTATCGTACTTAATATTATTCACCTAAAAATTTGTGCCAAAAATAAATGTCCCATCTTGTTTGAGACGGAGGGAGTATCTTTTAATTAAAATAATAAGAATTGTATATATATTAAAAATATTAAATGGAGTGTAAAAATGATCGTATACTCATAGTCTGACCAATTGGCAGCAACACATCATGTTGGTTTGCCTGAATATGTTTTTAAATTCATCTTTTTTGTTTCTTTTACACATTTAATATTATCACCCTTTACTGTACTACTGTGAGAATGAAATTATTGTTATATTATCTTTAAATTATTATTATTGCTATTATTTTAATATGTAATTGCTATAATTTTTTATAAAAACTAATTTATCATTATAAAATATAACATCTAAATTAACTAAACACAACTTATGTATATAGTTCATCTGTACTACCCTAATTGACACTATTTTTATTTTTGCATGTCTCGTAACAATTGATACATTTTTATTTTTAGTAAAAATTATTAAACCAAAATATATTTAACAAATATAAATCAATTTAATTAATTACGTAACATACAACGTCATTAGGACCAATTCAAAACCCCTTTATTTTTATCTCTCTCTTCAAAAAAATAATATTTTTATTTATATTTAAAACTACACATCTTTTATACAATTAATTTATGCTAATTATAAATAAACAAAAATATTTATTTATTTACTTGTATTATAGAAGATTTTATTCTGCTAAATGATATTTATATTGCATATATTTTTTAATTGCTATATAATTTTTAAATATTTAAACATATGTTTTAATTTTTTTAATTATATATATTAAATTTACTTTAAAATTATAAATATTATTAATTATATAAAAAATAATATAATAATATTATAATTAATTATTATTAACTAATTAAACATCTTCACTTTAAATACTGTGTCCCTAATCAAATAGTTTTAATTCCGGTGTAACGGAGGATATATTATAAGAGATAAACTAATGATGTAGAGTCCTTTGGTAATCCTATACATTTCCATTTTCTATACAATAGAAAAATTATTGAGTTTTTTTAATAAATAGGAGTATATTTTCTGTTCGATTCGAAAGGATTATATTTATATATTTTTTATATATTGATATTTAAATATTAATTATTATATTAAAATATAATATAAAAATAATAATAAAATATTTTTTATTAATATTTTATAATATAATAATATTTATTAAAAAAAATGATACAAATATTTATAATATTATACATAATAACATAAAAAAATAAATGTAACTTAAATACAAATGAAGATAATAGTATATATAGTCTATAGACTCTTAACAATGTCGACATATGATAGATAGGATGCTATGTTGTATATCTATTTTCATTTACTATTTATTAATTTTTTTTATTATTTTAAAATGTCATATTAAATATTATATTAATAATTAATTTTTTATATTAAATTATTTATGTGGTCCTTATTTATTTGTGTATTTTTGGATCACATGCTCATTAATTAATTAAAATAATAATTAAAATTACGAAGATAAAGAGAGCGGGACCCATTCTTGATCATTGTACCGGTTCCACAAACACTGCTGTAAATTGTAATCATGATGAATAAATTTGATAGAAACACTTATTGGGACCAAAGAGCATATTAATATATTACTCCCGCCTTCTACTAAAATTAGCACACTTTAGGTTATTTCTATTAAAATTAGCACATTTAAGTCTGGTACGAAGTAAAAAATTTTTTTTAAAAAAAATTTTATTAAAAAAATAATAAATAATTAAAAATATTTTTGAAAATTTATTTAGAAATTAAAGTAAATAAAAAAAAAATTGTAATAAAGTTAATGATATTTATTATAAATAAGTATTGAATGGAAGATAATAATGAAATATTGATTTGTTGATTTTGCAGTAATGAAATAAATTTAACGGACCAACAAAAAATGAAAGTGAGAATAAATTTGACAGACAGAGGAAATATCTACTCCCTCTTTCCAATTAGAAAGCATACATATTTATATTTTGAAACGTTCAATTACAAAGTAAATATTTTATTAAATATCTCACATTACATTATATTTAACTACCCATTAAAGAGCGCGCCAAAAGTAAATATATATTTTGAGCGTGTTTGTTTTGGGGTTTGAATTTTGAATTGGGATTTGAATAGTAAAAGTTTTGAATTTGAATAGTTGTATGATGTGATATAAATAGGTGTTGATGTGATATTTTGAATGTAAAATTGATTTTTAATATAATATAAAAAATAAAAAATTAGGTATTTAATTTGTGAAAAAATTTAAATGAATAATAAAATTCAATCCCTCGAACAAACACAACACACCTTTGTACATGGAGGGTAGTATTATGGCTAAGTTTTAGGGGGATGGGAAACGAGATTATGGCTAACTAAAGGGGGTACGGCGCAAATAAAAATACTACGCAATCGAGAATCGCATCGAAAGTCAAAAAAGAAAAAAATACCAATCGTCGCAGTAGTTGCACTTCGACGGTGAGTAGATACTTCGCTGGGAAGGAGCTGCGAAGACTTAATTGGAGAAATTGAGGTCAATTCTTACCCTTCTCGATCTGGTATCGCCTCGATATTGATTCCGATTATTTTTATTGCTGTTGTTCGGTGTGTTAACTGAATTTTTCTAGAGCCATGTGGCGGTGCGTTTGTTGATCATCGTTGTTTCTGCCCTATTTGTTTTTATTCTCGAGTTAAATTGGTACGCAGTTTGTACGGGTGTGAATTTTCGTTCCAGGTATTGATCGGTGGGTTGTTGTTCTTCCAACAATGATGAATCTGAGTTCCATGGGTAGTGGATTTGGGGGGAATTCGTCTTCATCGAGCTCGAATCTGTCAGCTTTAGCCCCTCCGTTTACTGTTGATAGATTAAACCCCAATTTCAATTCGAGCCCTCTTTTGCATTACTCGGACTCGCCTAGTATGGTTGAACCATTTAGCCATGCCTGGGAATATGCGCGGCCGTCGGCCCCTGGACCTGAGCTTGTTATTCGTTCCACGGGGGAAACTGGAGTGCATTTAGCTGATGGTTATCGATTTTCAACACCTGCACCTATGAGCCTATCCAGTGGGCAGTGGTCTGCCCCCAGTCCTGGAACCCAAGCATCAGGCAGTGCTTTTGTTTATGGTGGTGAAATTAAACCTTATTATCCCACCTATAATTCGCCGATGGTTGAGGAAGACACTCCTTTGGTCCCAAATCAGGGGTCTCAATACAATTTTGGGCCTGCAGCTGGAACGAGTCATACATCTCAGCTTGATTATACTAGAAGCTCGTTTGATTTGCCGTATGGACCTCGGTGGGGCCATAGTTCGGGTTTCGATGATGGGAAGAGGGCGAAAAGGGTAGAACCTGATAGGAACTTCTTTTATGACAATGGTGGTTCTAATAGTCACAGTCAACTTGACCGAGGTACGCATGGATCATCCAGTAAAATTTAGACGTTTTGATGATATGCAGCTACCCTTTTGCTGTTATTTTGCTAATACTCAATTCAGATGATTGCCCGTACTCTGTTCCCCTGGTGGAATGTAGTTCCTCCCCAGTGCTAAGTTTGCCAACTATGAGATATGCTTGTTTATGTTCTGGCAAACTGCCCTGCACTGGCATACATCAACTTTGTTTTTTCATGCCATCTACTAGACATTGGTTTTTTTCATTTATTCCATTGTATTTATGTTATCTGAAGATTCTGAACTGTCTTAAGGAAAAATTCAGTTGAATATGGTTTGAGCTTGGAAGCAACCTGCTATCTATTAATAGTAGTTTGTTCTGATCAGTAGTTCTTCTAAGCAAATTATGATAATCTGTTCCATCATCTATTTACTTTTCTTTGTGATTGCTTTATTGATATTTGTATATTATTGCCTGGTAAATGTAAATTGTGTATGTAACTCTATTACAGGAGGATACAGCACTGGAACCTGGAGCAAGTTTAAAGAGGAATTTGATTTTTCATATACAAAATTTAATCAGGGTTCTGACTTAAAATTCCATTCTGGAGCCTTAAATGTTGGAAACTTGGACGACAAGCATATTGGAAAGGAATTTTGCTTATTTTCTGATGATGCAAAGAAGGCAAATATCATGAAATCCGATGCAATGTACCAAGAACCTCATCCTCCTCACCTACTTGGTGAAATGGATAGCATCCCCAACTATAAGAGTTCATACACGCCATTTCACAAATGCATTAGACCTGATGACACAGCCTTTACTGGCCCTTCAGTACTGAGGTCTTCTCCTACAGTAGTCATTAGACCGCCTCCTGCAACCAATGTTGACGTCACCCAAGCTCCACTCTCTCATAAAGCTCATAATATAAACAATGAAGGTGTTCAGAATGTTGATTGTGGTCGCTACAATCCGTCCAAGAAGAAGGATATTGGTATGGAATCAAGCTTCAAGATCAATGACAATGACCCTGAGAACCTTATCAACTTCTCTAAGCAGGGGAGTGGTCTGTTTCCATCGGGTTCAGTAAAAGATATGTCAAGTTTGTGTTCTACCGGAGTATTTGATCACAAGATTAATACAAGATGTGTACCTCAGCTACAACCTCTGACTCTCTCTGGTGGTTCTGCTCTTGCTTGGGACAATTCTCACGTAGATGATTCTGCTGATGCTCCTTCAGATTTTGCAGATACTCATAATCTGGGAGTGGATTCACCATGTTGGAAAGGTGCACCATCTTCTAAAATTTCACAATTTGATGTCGATTTTGGCACCCAAAAAAATGTTGGGAAATTTTTTGGTGAATATTGTGGATTTGATCAAGCAGAGGATCAAAATCTACATTCAATTGTGGTTTGTGATGGTGTTTCTTCTGAGAAATCTGGTCACGTCAACAAGAGCAGTCAAAGTGAATCTTCTAGAATGGATGATGCGTATAAACTGGGGAGGGCCACTGGTGCTCTTTGTTCGAGTAGCGAACAGATTTTATTGGATGATGCAAGATGTCATGAGATTTCAACCACAACCAACAATGAAGGTGTGACAATCAGTGCTGATCTGAATATGATGAGAAATGATTGTGCCCCTCCAAGAAACTTGACTGTTTTTAACACGAAAGATTGCCACACCAAGCATTTAGTTGATGAAGAAGGTGCTGGGATCATGAACCTAACTTATGCCTGTGAAGGTGGTGATGTCGCAGTGCATGCAGCAGAGAAGGTTCTAGATTCACCTGCTTCTCAAGATACTGCTGATAAGCATCCTAAGCTGCCCGATCCTGAATTGCATGTGCCAACAATCATTAAGACAATGCATAACCTTTCAGAGTTGCTTCTGTTTCATTTCTCAGATCATGTGAACTCTATTGATGAAGAAAGTACTGAATCTCTCAAATATACCATAAGCAACCTCGACTTGTGTTTGAGCAAAAAAAATATCCCAGCAACTGATAAGCCAAAATCAAACAAACCTGTCGGAGGCACTTCTGAAGAACTTGGGGAGTCTTGTGATTTGGTATGTCCAATTTGTCGGCTTAAGTAACAACCATGGACAGTAGTGTGTTTTTCTGTTTAAATTCATTTCAGATAACTCTAGCCTTATCATGCCATGCTTTTTCATTAATCCTTATTCTGCTCTCCCAATGGTTCTAATGCATCTTGTCCGGAACAAAGATTTAATTCCTTCTTTTGCAAATAATACATGTCATTGTTTTTCTTCAGGGAGCAGTTTCGGAAAATAATGCAACAAATGAACCTTTGAGTTCTAACTTTAAGCTTGAGTCCAGGGTTATGCGTGAAGACATCGCAAGTATCAATTTTTCTGGTCAATGTGGTAAGAAAGATAAGAAACTTCTAAAACATTCACCCTTCGTGGATGACTTAGACATGACAGGAGATGATGATGTGGCCAAGGTATGCCTTTTGCTGTCAATATCAGCAGTGTTATGAGAGAAGAACGTTCATTTTAAGGAATATACTTATATATAGTTCTTCATAAGACCTGTCTTCTGCTGTCCATTTTGTTATTGTCATCATCCTTGCAGGCTATAAAAAGAATACTGGAGGAGAATTTCCATCTTGACGAAGAATTGCACCCACAAGCATTTCTTTTCAAGAATTTGTGGCTTGAGGCTGAAGCTAAACTTTGTTCCACCAGCTATAAATCTCGTTTTGACAGGATGAAGATTCTATTGGAAGAAAGTAGACTTACGGCATCACAAGGTTAGATTTTATATGATGATGGAGCTAATTGATGTTATTCTCCCATCTAATCCAGAGCTTTCAATCTTGCTAGAAATTTTAAATATCATTAAAATGATGTCTCAAGTTTTGCATTTTGCCAGCTCTATCAACAGCCTCCCAGGTACCTCCCAAGACTTATGATGGAACAAATCTCAAATCCACTTTACAGGACTATTCTACCTCTAGTGGCGATGGTAATGAGATTGAGGCCTCTGTTATGAAGAGATTAAACATCTTGAAATCTCGAGAAGAAAATCAAACATCGTCTAATGTGGAAGAAGAATGGCAACCTGGGATGGTTGATGGTATGCATGCACCTTCTGATGTGCACAGAATCAATGCCCTGAAATCCTTTGAGAGCAATAAAAAATCAGTAGATGTGGAAGAGAAGGCGGAACACATAACTGATTTGGTTGATGGTGAGCATGCGAATTCTGTTATGACCAGATTCAATATCCTTAAATCACGGGAAGGAAACCCAAATTTGATTACTATGGAAGAGGAGCGTAAACCTGAAAAGATTGATGGGGTACATCCACCTTCTATCATGAAGCGCTTAAATATCCTCATGTCATGTCATGACAACTCAAAAACAGTTGGCGCGGGAGAAGAACAATCCAAGGCAGTCCATGGTAACCTGAATGCGGCTCAGTTGCCTGATCAAATTGGCAGTCTTGGTCTTGTTGAAGGCAGATTTGGCGTGTTCATTGACGAATTTCATCTCTCTGCCGTGAATGGCCCTATAATGCATCCATTCAACAGCAGCAACATAACAAATGGAGATACCTTTGGGTCTCGCGGCAGTTCTTCAGACTGGGAACATGTACTGAAAGACGAAGTTCCGTGGAAGAAATGAAGGAGGTCCTATCCCCACCTCTTTAGCTCTTTCTTTCTCTGCACTCCTTGTGAAATAAGTTTGTGAAAATTGTTTACACCTAATCTGTGGGCCATGAATGTTCTGTGCAAATGATGGTGGCTTTGTCGAATGGTGTTTAAATAATTCCGAATGGTGTTTAAATAATTCCGTGCCCGATTCATGGTCGCTCTAGTGTGCTTTTAAGGAATACGTTTTACGCAGATATGCAGCATTTCTTTAGGTATGGAATGATAGAGCTGTTAGTGAACTGAATGGCTCTATTTTGCTCGTTAATAGTTTGACTTGACTTGTTTATATAGATAGGCGAACCGAGTTTGGTTCAAGAATTATTAAATTCTGCAAAAGAGCTTAGCTTGTGAGTAGTTTAATTGAAATAGTAGCATGTGCAATTTTTTTTGTATCAGAACTTGAGTTTGAGTCTAACCAGTCGAGTTTGAATCGATATTTTAACTCAAATTCTATACAACTAAATCATATTTGTACAGTAAACTTGTTTCGTATAACAACTCTATTTGTCTATTTGTAGGTGTTTGAAAGAAATACTTTTGATAGTGGTATAGTTGTGTATCACAAGGCAAAGGAGGAGAAATTGTAGTATTCTCTTAAATCCATTTCTAGTGTAAGCCCAATAGCCCATTAAATTTGGGCCAAGGCCCTAAAAACTGTACGGCTAGGGGACAAAATAAATAAACAAATCTGCCATGCCGTTTATTTTGTGGTGTGGTTTCTTAGTTCACTGATTTGATCTGAGGAATTTGTTCCACTTGAAATTCATCGCCACAAAAATGAATAAATATTTGTTTAAAATCTGATCCTAAAGCAGCCATGGATCCCAACCTCTTATTTGCGTTCCAGAATAGCACCGCCATGAATGCCTAATCGCCGCCGCTGACATGCCACCGCCGCCGCCCCAACCGCCGCGCAACCTCATCCTTCAAAAGCCCGCCGCCCTCCCCGACGCCATCTTCGCCGCCGTGTCTATTCTCACGCTCTTCTCCACTACCCCCAAATCCACGCCCCCTTTCTTTCTCCCCTCCAATTCGAAGCTCTCTTGCCCCCTGAACCTCCGCAAATTCCCGAAGATGTCTGTTCCAATCACCGGTCAACCCAGCCCAAGGAGTCCTCGCCGTCTTCCTCCGCCCTTCGCCACGCCGCAGTCGCTCTCCGATTGGCTCAAGCCGCGGCTATCCGCGGATTTATTTGGTTCCTGGGGGGTCAAGCCAGGCACGAAAAATGTTCACAATTTGTGGCTCGAAATCGCCGAAGGTGAGACGTTGTTGGCCGACTCCGTACCGCCTGTTCGTACAGTTGAGGTTGTAATTGTGAGAATCGTTCGCAACGATGGGAAACTCCTAATTGAATCGCACCAGGAGCTCTCCGATGGCGCAGTTAGACATCGCTGTCGTCCTTTGTCAGAGAAAATGAAACCAGGTGAATCCGTCGAGTCTGCTGTTTACCGCGCCGTGAAAGAGGAACTAGGATCGTTACCGCAAATTGCCTCTCTCGAAAATGCTTCTGACAGCAGTAATGGTGATGGCGGTAATGGAATTCACGAGAAAGTGAAAATTCTTCCGGCGTCCTATGTCAAAAAGGTTGAGGAGAGAGTTTCAGCATCTTATCCAGGATTGCCAGCGTGTTATGTGCTGCATACGGTGGACGCAGAGGTTGAAGGCTTGCCGGAAGCTGACGAGTTTTGTACTGAGGAGGTGAATGAGTATGCATCTGTGGACGACAATGGCTCAACAGATTCTGCAGTTTCATGTAAAAAGCACTTCTGGAAGTGGGTGGATTTGAATTCTCTATGAGTTTTCTGTAAGAGGTGAGTTTCGAGGCTGAGTTTTGGGCATACGTTACTGATTTTTGTCATATCTATTAACCTGTAACCTGAATCAAATTTTTTGTGGCTTCTTTTATACATGTAGTTTATATGAGATGAAAAAGATAATGCCTTGTGTTGTTTTGATATGAAATAAGGGCATAGCTTTGTTCTGATATCGTTGCGAGTATTTGTTTGGTGGTTGTAATATTTGAGGAATTTTGGCATGCTGATGAAGGTGGGGTTTCATTATAAAATCTATTTTTGGCATGGATTATAGAGTAATCAAACTTCTTTTCCATCCTAGTATTTGAGGTTGTTGAATTAGTTTAAGGCTGCCTAACTTGGTCTGTTACGAACGAAGATGGCGCATGTGCTCTTTGATGTTCTCATCCAGTTATGGATATTTTACTTTTATTCGATGTGTGTTAATATGTGGATTGTAGCTTGTAGACATCCAAGAAAGAGCATAAAGTTTTTTGATTAGATAAATTTGTACACTTTTTTTTGGAATTTATTGTGGAAAAAGAGACTAAGTTTTGTCTCTGGAGAAACATCCTTCTTGGCCAATTAAACTGTGGTAGTGAGTATTGACAGCTGAAAATTTACAAATTTTCGAATAGTAAGTTTTTTTTTAACTAATATTAATGGGCTCTCGCATGTGTTTGGATCTCTTGTACACATAAATTTTGTAATAACAATATATCTGGTCTGGGTTTTTGAAATTATTGTTGGATCTGAGGATTGGCATACTTTACCCACAAATGTGTTGTAATGCTAATCGTGTTGAATTCCTCCACTAGTTAGAATGGCCACATTTACTTTTCACCGATTTTCACTTTTTTACCCCGCATTATCAAACCTGAAAACACGAAACCTGAGTATGAGAAGATTGCTCGGTTCACGTATCCTTCAGTGACGATAATTTTAGTGCAATTCTTGGTTAAGTGCTTGGCACTTCTGTCCATGCTGGGCAAGCTCCTGCTTTTTTTTTTTTTTTGTGGGGACAAATTAGGTAGAATGTAGCCACCTCTTGATATCTCTAAAAAGTTAAATAGCTTTTTCACATACTGGGATCAATATTTCATAGGATACTGTTTATCTTCTCGCATGAGCTATGTGCATATGATTATTAAGCAACTCAACATTTTAAAATAAGCACTTACATCTCCAAAGAAGATAAAGAAACCTTAGAATGCCTTCATATCTGGAAGCAGTAAGTAAAATATTTCTTGGTCAATTGATGGGTTAATTCTCATCCACATTCATGGACCCAAAGCTCCTTTACAAACACATTTCTTTGAATTGGTATTTTCTTTTCTAGCTTTCTTTATCTCCACCCCCAAATCTGCTTTTCACATTAACTTAGACTGGTTGTTATGTTTTGCTTTTTGCTTTTATTTTAGGGAGAATTAAGCAGGGTCAAAGATTCTAGTTTTAACTATCCACCAATTAGTCAGCTACTTTAAGATTCAATAACTTCATTAATTCAAGAAGATCATGAATGCTCTAACAAGACATTTGATCCCTAAGTTTGCCAAGACTCATAAGCTTGTACCGGTAATTAAATATAATGTCCTACAAAGACATTTTAGGAGAATTACTTTGTTTACATGGGCTTGGAACTAACCTCAAAATTAGAGTAAAAAGGGCAGTATATCAACTTATGAGTCTGTGACATGTAGGGTCCAAGCAACACACTTGGTCCACTACATATTCATTTTTATGTATTGTTATTAGTATTAAAAATAGACTGCAATAGTTGACAAGGACGGAAAATTCTTCAATCAAATACAGCACTAGTAAATAACAGTTCCCTCCTTTTACAGCTTTCTTTTTTCCAACCTTTGAAATCCCATTACATTTCTTGGTTGCTACATCTTTCTCTAACCAGTGGAGCCATTGAAACACCATGGCTGAACTAACCAGGACTCTACAAATTTACTTCTTTATCTCCCATCATCCAAATTTGAGCTCAAAGCCATGACTGGGCTGGCTCAGCACAAACACATCATCTCCACAAGCACATGCATCGATACTTTACACATAGAAACTGTATTAGGCAATCAATACTTATGGAAAAGCATCTTATTTATATACCCTTCATGTAGGCATGAATTCAAGTTTCTTCACATAGTAGTAGAACACTGTGAACCTTGCCCAGAACTCAAGGGCGGCGAAGGTATACGCCCGAATGGCATAATTGCTATACAGTTCACAACAAACCTGTACCTTCCTGATACCCAAGTTCCAACTTTCCACCTGAGCCTGCCCATGACCTTGAAGCTAAGAGCTAATTTTCCAGTGTGCTGATCATGTTGAACTTCATAAGCGAAAGACGGGGCCACAGGTTGCTGGTTTCCGACCAAAGACGCGCTAAGCAGGTTTATTTCTTCATGCCCTTGATAGAATGCAGAGATTGAAGTGTCTGGAGTAATCTTCTGACCCTTGTAAGATGCATAAAGTAAGAACTCATCAAAGTATATTCCGACTTTCTTGTTTGGATTGATGGATAGGAGAGTTATTTCAATCGAGGAATTCAGGAGGGATGGGCCCGAGAGGTTAAGCTGATTCACATCAGCTTGTTTGAGTGAAAACTGTGGCTTTGTTGGATGGAGAATGAACCAAAGGAGGCATATGAGAGACAGAAGTGAGAAGAATAATGTGGAGAAGTAGAAGAAGCCCTTCTTCTTGAAGTACTTTTTAAGGTTGATCGTTTTCTTTTCGGCGCAGTGTTTCGGAGATTTTTCACTTATTTGAGACATTTGCAGGCACAGGGAGAGCAGTAGAGACGACGAGAGAAGCTAAAGATTGAAGAGGGGGATTCGGTATATGCTTAGCTGAGGAAAGAAAGAAGTTGAAATGAAGGGGTTAATAAAGGGGTAGGTTCTTGAAATGCAAAAGGTACCTTTAAATTTTCTGATAGCTCAGTTTTACCTGAAGTTCAAATCTTTGGAGGTTACTGTAAAAGTTCCACCTTAAACTTGGATACTGCACCTCCTGAAATTATTGATAAATTTAGTTTTGGAGATATGTGATCTATGCCGTAGGTGGAACATATTACATACGTATTGATCATGATTCATGAATATGCATCAACTTTACGGTCATGCATATACTTTAGGAGCACACAAATCTTGTAGATCAATTTTCATGGAGATAAAAGAGAGTCCTCTCTGCCCTTGCTAGGAATCTAATCATAGTACTTTTAGAATTATTGCTGGGGAAAGTTAATCACTTTATAAAGTGGTAAGAGATGGAATTGCTAATAGCCTTTTTTTCAATCCATTATAGTTTAGGGGAAGAAAGTGTGCTACTGCTAAAGAGATTGCTCTCCAAAACTGCAATGATTGAATGAGAAGATTACATTTGAGAATTCAATTAAGGGCCTTAAATCTGATTGTTTATCTTTGCACAATATATATAGAGAGAGAGAGAATCTGAGAAAAAAAAAATGAAGAAGGATTGACATTGTGCTATTGCTTTTGGATTAGGGAAAAGGGAGGTTTAGGTGAACATTAGTAGAGGTGTCTATGTAATACTAGCTCAACTTCTTTCTGTTTGGACTATTGTGGTTATTGCTTTGCCATTGCCAGCAAATGCATGGTTGAAATTGGTTAATTCTTGACTTGGAAAAACCCAATAAGTGTATTTTTATTTTTTGTTTTTATTTTTTGGTATTGCTCTCTCATTGCTTGCTTTTTGGAAATAAAGGTAAATTCTTTATTTTCCAACCACATGATTCAGTCTGAGGGATGTCTGAAATCAAGTTAACCATGTTTGAATTTATGTCCCATGTAAATTTCATGATTCTGGACCCCAAGACTGGGACCATGTCATTGTATTGCTTCAATTAATGATTAAAAGATCTTTTGTTTTTCTCTGTGTTTTTACTGTTCTTTTGTAATTAGCATTCTTTTTCATTTTGTTATTTTTCCAACTTCTTTACTTACCTCTTTTCCTGCAATAAAAATCATGAATACATATGTGGGGTGGGGTGGGGTCGTTGGGGTGGATTATACTTAGCCCCGTGTCTGAGTAGAATGAATTGTTGCTGCCACTGAAAGCTGGCACTTTGGCACCCCTGAAAATGACCACTCTTATGATATATATATATATTTATATATTATGGATGATGGGTAAGAAGATAAGGCCCTTACTTGCACTTTTTTTTTTTTTTTTATCAAAATTTGATATTTCCATCAAATGGTTATTTGGCTGCTTGTATTTGCCCTGGCATGCCCACTGAATATCATTTCTTGAATTCTGTGGATCACAGGTGCACACTAAATAGTTTCCTTAGCAGCTAATCAAAGGAGAAAGTAAACTGCCCACAAATTTATATTTCCAGAATTATATATATATTATGCTGCCAAATTATAAGGTGCACAACTCCTTTTTCATATAATTCCAAGTGATTTGTGTTTGGGGTAAGAAATATTTAAAGAGTTCAAAAAAAGGGATCAAATTAGAAATGTAAATACTTGCAATTGATGCATATGTTCCTTATACACTTTTGTCTTGAAATCCAAATATGATAGCAGCAACAAGAACATGTGTAGGTATATATATATGTTTTACAAAGAAACAAAAATATACAAACGAAGCATATATATAAAACAGCTGTGCAGTGAGTGATTCAGACACTCTATATCGGTGTTAGAATCATCGAACAGATGAGCAACAAACTACCTGTGTTCTCTAAGAGTTAACAACAAACTAAAGAATACAGGAAATCAGAAGCTAACTGATCAGTCTAATTTACTTTACCGCAAAATTTGTTCGTGTATGCACTTCTTACAGGATCACATGGAGGAGCTAACCAACCGATTAACTCCCGGGTTGGGTATCATTGGGTGCTTGGCGAACAAACTGCCCCTTCACGCGAGGGCGCTGCTCAGCCAACTTTTTCCGACTTTCATATCTCACCTGTCAGCAGAATTTGGTATTGGTTACAAATATTCACACTGTTTTTTTAAGAATTTTGCTACTGTCATGATATATAATGTTTGCACATAAACAATGGACTAGTACAGTTAATCATAAGGTTATAACAAGAATGTACCTTCTTCTCGAAGCATCTGTCTTTCCTCTTCTGCCGAAATTTTGTAAGAGCTGCTTCTCTTTGAATGGATCGATGAGAAGATCCTTCTTCACTGCCGCATTCTAGAGGGGCTTTTGTGATTGAAATTGCATTGAAGTTTCCAATGCTTCCCGACCCCGCACTCTGAATATTACTTGCACTGCCATTACAGAAACCAGTATTAGTGCTTTGATCATTTGCAGGTGCAGCAGCATGCCCCTGACCCTCCGGTATTTCTAGTTTTTTGCACTGCTTGCTGTCTGTCTGCTCGATGGAAATATTGATATTGTGATGATCCACCACGCTATGAAATTGATGAGAAGTTGAGGGCTGGCTGTCAAATGGATGTGATTTCAGTCGTGAAAAAGAATCTGAATGTTGAGCTGCACCAGGGCTTGGCGATGATGAGTGGCCCTGTTGTCTGCTACACACTGAAGCTACTGCAGAACCACGGGCATTCGTCAAGTTTTCGAGTCTCGCTCCTCTGATTGGAACTGGGTGAGATATTTCTCTAGTTTGAGAGTATGAGAATGCATTTTCCGGCTGCTCTTCAAGAATTGAGGCCATAGAGCTTATTGACGGGCCATGAGCGTCGTGTCCCTTTTGTTGATTACAGGTCCGAGGAGACATGGAGCTGTGATGCTGCAATGGCTTGCTTATATACCTGCGCCAGAGTTATTTCAGCATCAAAAAAACCCCTTCTGTCAGGTATGTGTAATATAGAATTCAATGTTTTAATTGTTTACGCCTTACAATGAGTTAATTTTCTCCCACAAAATTGGATCTTCACCTTTGGAATCACCCAATATATTCAAGAAATTTTCAAGATACTTCTAGGAAAATTCCTTTTCCCGTCAGTCCTATTTAAGTATTTGAGCTTTTAAATGTGAGATGGAGTGAGTTTTAACGTATGCAAGAAGATTCAGTTACAATGGACTAAACAGTGTAAACAGCTCACCTTGAAAATGGCGATGCGTCCGAGTGATTGAGCTTATGCATGTCATCATCTTGTTGATTCACAGAACCACTGGGATTTGATCTTCTCAAAGAAAGATCCAACAGAGGAGAACCTTCGAAACTTTTTGTAGCAAAATTGGCCTGAGGACTTCCAAATGTACCTCTGTGCTGATTGTCCAGAACACCAATTAAGTCAATGGCTCCTCTCGAAGAATTCTCAACAACATGATTACTATTACTATCCATGTTAACGCGCGACTTCTCAGCTGATTGTGTTGCTGCGGTGTAATTAGAAAATACCTTCTGCATTGGCTGCAAATCTGTTCTTAAGGCCAAATATGCAGATAATTAGTATGCTAGCAAACCATTTGGGTAAAAAGATTTATCAGAAGACAGGAGGCCTACACAAGCATTACCTCCATTCTCATCATCTTCCATATGTCTCTTTCTACTTTCTTGGTGACGATCTTCTTGCGCAGGAATTTTAACATCGTCTGCCAAATTATGAACACTCATTGGCAGCAAGATGTGCTGGGCATTATCAGTGTCTTCTTTTTCAGTCTCCAGCTCTGGCTTTGTGCACGAGCTCTGCAATGTGGAAGAGGAGAATGCTTTTGTCAGTGTCGAACCAGTAAACAGTTTCCCTCATTAAAGGTTATTCGAGATTCTGTACACGAATCGGGCCATAAAAAATGAGGTACCTGAGCATCACTTCCTTTCTCAATGTATTCCTTATTTCTCTGACTGGATGACTTACATCCACTGGATTGATTGTTGCTACCATCATTGTTCTCAGCAGTTGCTTCATCTTTTTCTTGAGCTACACCCTCCAATGGCGGACCAAGACCAGCGCCAGTATTCGACTGAAAAGCAATCTGAAAATAAGAAGCTTAAAGGGAAATAACTTTAGCATAGAAGCAGGGCAAGCTCGATCAAACTTACAACTTGTTTCCGCCAGACATGTTGCCACAAGTTCCTCAGCTCATTCTTCCTGACCGGCTTAACAAGAAAGTCAGCTGCTCCTCTCAGCATGCATTTGTAAACAGTACTCACCGAATCATGTGAGGACATCACTGCATTAACCATGGAGTTATATCTGAAACAGAGAACGCCACAAAGATGATGAACAATTCGGCATTGAAATGAAGTTATCTTACTTATTACTGGAATGTTTTTGCAGATTTGGTGCTCCATAATCAAAGTGAGAAGTGCATATCCAGAGATTGCCGGCAATTCAACTTCTGTCAATATAAGATCTATGTTGTGCGGCCTTACTTTCAGCAACTCCCACGCCTTTAATCCGTCGGGAACTGCAGCCACTGCTTCAACAAAAATGGAGGTTTAGTCAAATTCTCTCATACATACACAATCAACAAAAACAATATCCTCTTTCAGACATTTTTTGCTTTTATCATCCAAACCTAGCTTCTTTCACCATAACAGAAATTGCTTCCCTCCATGGAAATGGCTCTCATCAAGGAATTCTTCAATATTAAATCCTAACCATAACAAAGCACTCCCAAATTATATCCATAGAAGCTACATATTCAACTAATTAAGCAACTTTTAGGCGATTCATTCCTAATGAGAATATGTATTTTCAAAAACATATAAACCTCGATCATCAGTTAACGATAGAAGGATCAACACCATTTCACCAATCGGAAAATTAGGAGACTCTCCAACACAAACACATCTCAAATCCAAGAGATCAATCGATTGCCCTAATTTTCCAAACCAAAAGGACATAAACCCCCAAATTTTCATCAAACAGATAAACCAACCTCTGTAGCTGCATTTCCTGAGAAGAGCGGAGATGATCTGCCTGGTCGAATCATCAGCCTCCACCAACAGCACTCTCACCACCACTTTCGGAAGAAACCTCTCCCAGCTCACAATTGAAGAATCCCCTTCCGCCACAATCTTCTTCGAATTATTGTTCGTCTCAGCCGCGCGAGCAATCTCTGTTTCTTCAACTTCCAATTCCATTTCACCTCGACTGTTGACCGCAACTTCTTCCATTTCTAGCCGATTTCCAATAATAAACCCACAAATCAGTAACTGTAGCTTGTATGTGTTGGAATTGTCTGGAAATTCGTCCCTGATTTCTCAAATTCCTCTTCCCCCTGGCTCCTGCACCAGCCTCCGCGAAACCAACGAAAATATCTAAAACTAGCGGCGAGCAATTTCTTGAATTTTGATCGTATGGTGGTCGTCTTTAACCGTCTCCAATCTGATGGCTCACATTCCTCCGTATAAGCATATTGCATTTGCATGCGGCCCAGTTTGTCTTGTCAGTATTTATTTATTTAATTGGACCGTTGAAACCATTTTGCACTACACCCCCTTGAGAACTTTTAATTTATATCGCACCCCCTCTTAAACTCCAATGCAAACTGTTTAGTCCAAACTCATGATCAATCTTAATTACCATACAAAGCAATAGAAATTATAGAATAAGTGTTATTTTTATTTAACAAACGATAATTATGTCATACTAATAATAAAGTTCAACAAAAATTGAAATTTGAGTAAAAAACTAATTTTATATGTGATATAAATAAATTTTAAGCGTAATATTTTTAATAAAAAGAATATATTGGATGCTATATTTATTAAAAATATTATGAAAAGTAAAAAAAAAATCAAATATTTAAGTAGATGTAGCCTAAATGTTTGTACTTAAAAATAAAATTAAGCTTTAAAGAAAAAAAAAAAAAAAACCAAAAATTTGAAGATGTTAAGAAAATATCTACGGGCGATATGCATAAAAATACACAAGTAGAGGGGTGAAAGTGCAAATAATGACACAGCCGGTCTAGAAAACTCCTACGAATGGTGGCAATTGGCCACGTTCTTCCGAAAGTAAAGGGGCCATTGAGTTTTGTCTATTTTAATTTATTTTGTAAAATAATATTATTAATAATGATTAAATGTTGACGTATATAATTCGGATTGGGTAATTTTGGTTGGTGGCACAAATTGATTTTTAAAAATTTTGGGGGATGAATGGACGAAATTGAACGCCCAATCCCATAACATTAAAATATACAAACTTGGTGGAGATATTTATAAGGAAGATATTTTCAGCTGTCTAATGGACAGGAATTCGACACGTGGCAACCCTAAGGCTATTTTAGTTGGTTGTCTAATTCTCTCTAATGGTTATCTAATCATTACGTGTGTTCTTTTCCCTCCAGAAGCCCACTGGACGACAGTGACTTCTTTCTTGCTTGCTTGGGAGTTGGGCCTCATCCAAATATTTCCATTTCTTTTTTTTCTTTTTATTTTTATTTAAATAAATAATAAATTTATTGTGTAAGCGTAAAGCATGCAAACAAATATCTTTACTTCGTATTTATATATTTCATCCATCTCATAATTAAATATTTATTTACTTTTTTTTATAAAATTTTAAAAATATTAATATTATATTGGGATATAGTAAAAATAAAGTAGATATGTATATAAAATTTTGAATTAAATAGATACTTAATTAATCATTTTATATTAAAAATGATGTTTTAATCAATATAGAAGAATAAATAAATGGAAAAAGAAAAATCAAAGTTCTATTTACTTTTGATTTCGTATCATTAAAATTACTTTCTTTCTATTCCATTTGTATTGGCTTAAATTTCTTTTTAATATTCACTCGTCTCAATACAATATTTTTATTTACTATTTTTTATCGTTTCAAAACAATAGTCTCATCTACATAAATAATTATATCACCATAAAAGTATCAATACTTTTTTATTATTATTACACAATTGCCACTACTTTTTACACTAATATACTCACAGTGGCAAAAAAGTAATTTATTCTTACTTTATACCAACGATCAATATAGTATCAATATTTCTTAAATCTTGTACCAAATACAATAAGACTATACTTTTGAGACGGAGTGAGCAGTAGATTAAAGGAAAAATAAATATTCGGGTGTGTTTGTTTGGGGGTTTGGATTTTGAATTGAGATTTGAATCGTAAAAAATTTGAATTTGAATACTAGTATGATGTGATATAAATAGGTGTTGATGTAATGTTTTGAATGTAAAATTGATTTTTAGTATGATATAAAAAATAAAAAATAGATATTTGATTTGATATTTTTTGAAAAAAAAAAAAGAAATGAATAATATATTTTTAAAATTCAATCCCCCAAACAAATACACCAGTCCCTCATTTTACTTATATATCACTTCTGTATCACTTCTGTCCATTTCCATTTTCTCAGTATATATGTTATTATTTTTGTTATTCAAACAAAATATATCTATTTTTTTTTAATAAATATTAATCATATCACATATTAAAAAATGCATGCATATTTATATTTATTTACATCAATGTTCTAACAATAACTTTACATATTATAGGTTTTACATGCAAAATTACCACGTCATAAAAAAAAAAAAAAAAAAAAAAAAAGAGAAAATTATCACAAAGAGAAGAATAAGGAATGCTACTTGTTAAATGTAGTACTCCCTTATGTCTTATAAATATAATTTTAATTAGGTTGGACACGACATTTAAGATATATTGATATATATATTGGTAGTTTGTAAAAAGCATGTGTAAAATTTTTTTTTGTCCTTGTGAGTGTATTAGTGTAAAAAATTGTGGCAATTGTGTAATAAAATGAAAAAATAAGAATAATTTTATAGTGATATAATTATTTATGAAAATAAAATTATTATTTTGAAATGAACAAAAATAGTAAATAAAATTATTGTATTGGAACGGATGAACTATCGGTTGAATCTTCCTATTACGTGGAGAGCAATGGGATTGTATGTGTCATCTCATACATAAATAGGCAAGTCTTGGACTTCATTTGGGTTCACTCAAGATGATACAACAAAATGTGATATTTTATTATTATTATTATTGATTACATTCGTAGAGTAAACAATTCAAAATAGAAATTGCCAGACTTTGGACTTGCTACATTTTTATTTTTTTTATTTTTATTTTTTATGAAATGAAAATTCATAGCTGGACGATTGTTTACATGTAACCATACATCTCATACATTATTATTATTATTATTATTATTATTATTATTATTATTATTATTATTATTATTCACTTGTAGTCATAGTTCTAAATTGCAAATCATTTTACATGTAACCATAAATTATCTGCAAAATCTTTTGGCTTAATACTGGAGGCACTTCCGACTGATATTTAAACCGCATCCTACTCCCGGATTATTTTTATAACGTCAGCTACTCCCTCTGTCCAAAACACCCTCAAACATTTTTTTTTTTTGTATATTCCAAACACCATACAATATTTTCAAAATAAAAAATAATTATTTATACATAATTTCTGCTCCACATTTTATCCCATCACATCATCCAAATAAAATAATAAAATATATATTTCTCTCTATCACGTTACTTAATTTCTAAATTATCATATGCTTAATACTACCCACCTAAAAAGCAAGTGACAAAAACAAATGTTGAGGGAGTCCTATTCTTAATAACGAACAACAAAATAATCAAAACTATAAAAAACATAAAAAAAATAAAAAAATAAAAAAAAAATCCAAACACACAATAATCTGAGCAGCCGCTTGCATCTTCTGGTTTTCCCTTACGATCCGCCATAATTCGGAGGGGCGCGCTCGACGAAATTCGGGACATCTGCGACGGCGGAGTCAGAGATCTGATGAATAAAACGAGGGAGACGATTAAGACGAGGTGTGAGGTAAATTGCTGAAATATTTCTCAATGATGCTCATTTCTAATTTACGCAGACCAAAAAATATTAAGTGAAAATCCCTAGGGTTATGAATTTTTCACTTTCACTTCGCAGTTGAAACGCGATTAAGAACAGGGAAATACGACGCTGCTGCCTGTTTTGCAAACTGAATCCAAACTACAATTACGAAAATACTTATTCGATCTACAAGAAATAATTTGTTGTCTCCTTTAACGTTGCTGTTGGTATTCATGAGCCTTAACAGAATCTAAGCATTTCAAAAGAAAATCTTACATCAATGTTCAACAATGGTTTCAAAGCAGAACAATCCGTCAAACTGAGGGGCCAATTGTGGGGGCTTGCGCTTGATTATCATCTCCTCCTTCGCTCGTGCTGCCATTGAAGCACCTCCACCCGCCTACATTACTCGAGGTATTCATCCACTTCTTATCTCTTTTAAAAACATATATTATGCAGCGTTTATAATTGTAATTTTTATACTTACAGTGCTAATTGTCTTGTTAACATTTGGGTGATCTCTGGCAAGAAAATAAAACCCCATTGCTGATGATACGGCTGCTGTAATGTAGAGAAATGTAGGAGCCATATTAATTGATTTAAGAATCTCTGACTGGAGTGAGATATATCTATCTATCTATATACATACATGTCTTGTTTGAACCAAAATATATCTAAAGCATTAAGTAGATGTGAAGGTAAGGATAAGATGTTGGTGTGGTGGAGAAAATGGGTGTTGTTAAGGGCAAGAAAGATTCATTTTAAAAGAGAAAAAACATAAGAGTATGAGGGCCTTTTAGGACAGATAACTGGATGGATGGATAAGCATAAGCAACAATGGTGGGCTGTGAAAGCAACCCTTCTTATAGTATTATATTACCAAGAACTGCAAAAACATGACTTTTGATTTGCATATGATTTTTGTGTTCTCTTTTGCTGTGTTTTTGGTCAAGCATATTACCAAGTTTATCCAGAGGCTATTGTGCTGCAATCTTAGTAGCATCCTGATCTGAAATATGGAGGGTGTGTTTGTTTTATGAAATTGTTGGAAAATATATTTTTTTTATATAAAATACAGGAAATCGTGTATTAAATATACAAATAGTAATAAGCATAATGTATTAAATTTTTTGGAAAATCATGTAATAAGAAAATTAGAAAGAACAAAGCTGAAGAATGCTATTGTGGTCAATATATAGGCTATGTTTCTTTTGCATCAAAATCATATGTATCTATTATTTGGATTATATATTTTCTTAAAAAAATACACTTTTTCCTTTCTTCGAATATCTCATCATACATTATTTTAATACCGAATATCTCATCATACATTATTTTAATACCAAGCTCAAATCAAATTTTTTCCAAACTTTTAAAAAGTAACATACCCATAATCTATTTATATATAGGGATAAATTGTAATAGTGATATTAACAGTTGTATAACTGTTATCTGCTAGTTCATATGCAAATATTGTTGTATTTTGTCTTTTTGTTAAATAATTTTGTATTTCGTATGCTGTCATTGATGTGCTGGCTAATTATATCATAACAACAATATTAACGTGTGTATATATAAATTCTAATGATGGTCTAATGATATTGGGCATCTTGATCGTCATACTAGGCCTATATGCACCAATTCAAATCCCTACCAAAGCCTGAAGGCTGAAGAAATAGGGTTTCTTCAAAACAAAATCAAGATATAATTGAGAAGAAGGAATTTTGGTCCACTGTATATATATATACATACACAAATTTACAATTCCCCCTTTCACTAAAAGTTTAGGGAACAGAGAAACGAAAAGTGAAAAATATTATAATATCATATCTCAAAATGGAACTATAGTCTCAAAACAGTGAACTCCGTCAAATTCCGGAGCGAACCTCGGCTCCTTCCTTCTGATCCGACGTCGATCCTGCGGCGGCGGCGATTTCTTCATAGCTTCATCGGACTTGTCGCACGGACCATCGCTCTTCACGGCGGCTTGTTTAGGATCGGCGGCAGGCGGATTCCAATTGGAGAAGAAGCCTACACTCTCGGCGCAGGGAGCGTCGAACGCTGAGGTAATCGATCTCGTCGTCATGAACCAACTCTTTTTTATCTTCTGAGGAAATTAATTGAGCTGCAAGTCACAGAGAAGGAGCAGAATGAAGAGGAAATATATAGGAGAAGTGCAGTTGGAGTAGGAGGAAATTGGTAGAAGGATCTGGAAGGTGCGAAAGATAGCATATTGGAAATTGGATTGCCACGGCGAAGCCTTCAGGCATCATCCAGATCTCTCTTTTCTCTACGAGTATTTGTTTTGCACTATTATTATTATTATTATTTTTTTTTTTGCATTTTCTCAGTCCAGAGAACTATGTTGATATGAGCTGCTCCATATGAATTTTAATGAACATATTAGATATAAAGGTATTTTGGAAATTAATGATGAGAGATAAAATTTTGGATAAATTAAAAAAAAAAATGTAGATGATGACATATTTGTGGTTAGGGTTAGTTATACTTCATATAGTAAAAATTTGTATAAATATATCTAATGTTTTATTTATTGTATTTTTTTTGTGTTAATATAAGTTTTCACGAAACACTTGTTTAGATTTAGCTTTTGACAAGAAAAGTATTATGTGCAAATTTTAAATTAACACAAATGTTAATTTTTTTAGTTTCGGTCCTCAGCTTCTTTTGCCAGAGGCCGCCTGTCGTCATCGCTGTTTCAGACGTATTTGGCTCAAACCAAAAAATCGGCAATTCATGTGTATGAACCAAAAATCGGTTTCCGCCGGTTTGATTTTTATTTTTTATATATACTATTATTTTTATTATTTTTTTTTCTATTTTCTAATTTTTCTAGAATAAATTTTATTTAGATATTTATTTATTGTGTAAATATTATATATAAATAATAAATTACAGTATAAAAATAATAAATATAGTAAATAATTAAATTAAGTTTTGAATTAAAATAAATAATAACAAATTATAAAAATATAAGTATATTATTAATATAGTTTAAATTAAATATAATTATATAATAAAAATTATAAAATTTAAAATATATAATATTATATTTTTTTATATTTATTTATTTTTATTAACGTTAATATTAATATTTTTTATTTTTATAAAAATTTAATAATATATACAAATTTAACTATGAATATACTATTATTACCCTAATCACTAATTTATACATCCAGATCCAGAGTCCACAGCCGCCGCAGCCCGCCCCCGCAACCAAGGTTCTCCTCTTTCTTCTTCTTTTCTTTTTATTTATTTATTTATTTTTCCTCCTCCTTTCTCCTCCTCTACTCCTCCTCCTCTCTTTCTTCACTTCATCTACCCTCTCCAGTCTCCACTGCGCCCTGTGCTCTAAGATTCAATTAAAAAATAATACTATTAATTGTTGAAGGGCCGGTTCAAACCGTAAACCGGTGGTTCGCAGTTTGACACAAACCGAACCGCGGTTTGACAGTTTCGGTTCGATTTGTGTCCGGTGTAACCGCTAACCGAATGGGCAACTCTAGTTTTATCCTCCCCTTCCTTCAGCGGTACAATGTTCTACGATTATTTGAACCATTTCTTTTTTTTTTTTTTGGGCCCAATAAAAGTCTTAAAGAAAAAATTGCTTAAATACCTTACCAACGCATTATTCAGTTATACGTCCTCTAAAAATTCTCCCACTATGCCATTACATAAACCCAAAATTGGTCTCGTTCAGGTGGAGAATTCTGTTCCATCGTAGTGGAGATCGACTCTGACTAATAAATTCTTTGTGTGGTGTTTTTTTTTTTTTTTTATTATATTTATCTAGTTCAGATTTTGATTCTTTCAATTTCAGTCCTACAATGTCTTCCCGCTTCCAGTCTGCTGTGCTAGGATCATCGCCAGTATATCCAGATGCCATTGTTTGGTCTGAAGAGAACTTGGTGGCCGCTGCCTGCGATAACACCGTTTTAATTCTGGTTAAGTTTTGGCGGTTTGAAGCAGTCATTTAGTCTGCTTTGTTTCCAATTCATCTGTTTCCTTCGAATTTTGACTGAGCAGTTTGTTGTTTATTAGTATTTGGTAATATTTCTGAGAAAGAGGGGTTGCTTTTTGTCAGAATCCTGGCAACCTTAATGTTCGAGGTGTGGTAACTATTCCTACCAGCAAGCCCTTTCCTTTAGGTGTGATTGATGGCGGAGGTATACTTCATTCTTGCAAAAAGAGTTCGACATGGTTTCTTAGACGCAATCCAATGTTTCGGATTTTTACTGTTCACTGTTTTTATGTTTATGATTTTGATTCAATATATGTGTTTTGCAGAGGAAGATTTGCTTAATGAGTGTTTGCTGCCCTGTCATTTATCGTGGAATACTCGCCCGTCTGTTAGGTCCATAGCTTGGTCTCCTGTAGGTCTCGCTAACAATGCTGGGTATTGATATGATTTATTTCAGATTTGGTTATACATATAGGAGTTGCTTAGTGGAACTAATTCTTGTATTTCGATTGAATGCTCAGTTGTTTGCTTGCTGTTTGCACTACTGCGGGGCGAGTTAAACTATATCGTTTTCCTTTCCGTGAGTTTTCTGTGGAGTGGATAGAGGTGAGCAATCAATGAAGCTATTGTGAAGGTCTATACAAAATTATACATCTCACATTGTTCATGTGCACTCTTATTTGAATTGTCCCATGTGCTTGTTTAAGTTTCCTGTCATCCATGAAGTGTAGAACGTGCACAAATTTGTACCAATAGAATTGTTAATGTTCTATGTCATTTTCTTAAATCATATCTCCATAAGCTAGTCATGTTCATATTTGAAGATTTCCCAATATGACTAATGCAATATTTTCTTTTCTTGAAATTCTATAGGTTGGGGACATATCTGAAATGCTGTATGATTATCTAACTAGTTCCAATTTTGGGGAGTGCCAAATTATGTCGTTAGAAAGTTTGGACGTGAGTTACTCAATACTTTAAACTTTTTGTTGGATTTCTGGGACACATTTGAGATGACACATTCCTGAACCGTGCACAATTATTATGGTATTACTAACGCTGCCTTTATGTATAATACAGAGAGAAGCAGAGGCTGACCATGAATGTGCTACGGAACTGCCTGTCTCCAATTTAAGAAAGAAAAGGAAGAGAAATAATGGGGTTAGTGTAATGTTATTTCTGGTTTACTAGTTTCTCATATACCAGCCTTTTCTAATGCTCATTTTATTATCATTCAGTTAGACTATTTTTTTTGAGTTCCACTACATTAAACTTCCAACACTGTTTCTCGTGATATTTTTGTGTCATCAGACAGCTGCTAAATATTCTGAAAGTTTGGATGACAACAATGTAATGCAAATTGTTCCGGCCTCTGTTTATAAAGGGAAGCCTCCATTCGACGGGAGTGAAGATCACAATCTCCCATTAATAACTGTTCAGCAGTATGCTTCTCGCAATGCAATGCTGATGTCACTTACTGTTGCATGGTCTCCGATTGTGAGGAGATTGGTTAATGATGTCACTATTCCTTGTGACTCTTCAAAAAGTTGTTCTATTCTTGCTGTTGGAGGGACAGATGGTAGATTTTCATTGTGGCGAGTTCAGGCACCTGAATGCTATTCTATATATAGAACTACATCCTCAAGTAAAGTTTCGCTTGTTGGTACTCAGAAGGCACATAATACTTGGATCACTGCCATGGATTGGGCCCTGTGTGCTTCTGATGACTCCAAATCCCAATATCTGTTGGCTACTGGAAGTTTTGATGGCGTGTGAGTAATTTAGATACCTAGTGCCTAAACTATAAAATAAATCAGAAATTTGAAGCTATCCAGAGGTATAGCTGCAATGTATCTTATGGATAGCTTCATTGACATCCCTTTTTGCTGCTAAGAGGATAAACATTGCCTTTCTTTTTTCTGCAATATAATCACTCATGTTATAGTTTTTTCATCAAAAGAGTTTCATATTTTCTAAGCATTGTAGTTGAGAATTTGGATGGTTGATAAATACCATGATTTTCAAAAATATACAAATGTTTACACTAACACTGTTATTTGAAATTGTACTGATTATGTATTTCCTGTACAGGGTGAGGGTCTGGCAGATGAATGGTGAAGAGCTGCTAAATATATCTGAAGCTATTAATGATCCATTCTCTTTGTTGAAGGAGGTTAGCTTTCCATCTTAATCACTAGGTTACACCTTTTGAATTGACCTAACAATTTTAGTCAAATGCTTGAAAGTTGTTGTGCATACATACTTCAGGCTGTAACTGCTGATTCTGCAACGGTCTCTGTACTCTCACTTACTGTCCATTCACAATCACCTTGGAGATTGCTCATGGCCATTGGCAAAGGTTATGGTGCATTCGAAGTGTGGATCCTTGACATACTCACTAATGAGCTTCAAAATATTGGCTGCTATAATGCACATGACCGTATTGTAAGTTCTCATGACGTGCACAATGGCATTTTTTATGGTTGTAAGAGTCTTATCATTAATTTATTTTTAAAATAAACCTCAGGTTACTGGTCTGACTTGGACTTTTGATGGACATTGTTTATACAGCTGCAGCCAGGTATAATATATAATGTTGAATTTTTTATCAGAGGTATATACTAAAATTGTAACAGGCTTGATGGTTCCCTTTTTCATTGGCTATAAATTTTTATGCTTGATCAAAACTGAACCAACTGAACAAATCAGTCCACATGTTTTCTAATCCTTGATGGATTTACTCAACTCACTACTTACGGTTTCTTTTATATTATTTCCTTAGTTCTCTCTAGTTTCTGCAGTTATCTGATTTGCTCAACCTTCAAATGATTTTTATTGAACAACTTGATCCACGAGTTATTTATGAGTGGGATTTCAGATGAGCTTTTTCTTAGTTTAAAATAAGTGAAACCTTATTTATCCTACATATTCTGAAATTTTTCCTCTGGCCATTCTATGCTTCACTACTTCAGGTTTTGTGTGTTTGTTTCTTTTGTTTCAGGCTAACATCTTAGGCCTAGGGAAGTGCACTATTTTTTATTTTTATTTTTATTTTTAATGTTATTTCAATTCAAAACACATGGAAGTATTTTAATTATATGGTTGATATGAGGATTTAAAAGAGGACCTCCTCATTCTCAGACCATGTTGGAGGACCACCCTACATAAAAATTAACCCCCCCCAAAAAATGTTCGAGTTTAAATTCTTCCAATCAAACCCATTTTCTAACCATAATTATACTCTTAAGCAGTGATTACTGTTGCCTTCCAAATATTGCTTTAATAAGAACGTATCAGTATACCGTTATTAGTTGGTATTTGTGAAATGTTAATTGGCTGGCTGATAGGAAGAAGAACACAATTTAATAGAATTAAGAACCAATTTTATTACTCAGAAGAAGATTGATATCTTCTGCACAGCCCTACCCTCTCACGCTTCTTATTTTCTGGATAAACTTCTCTAACCCTCATTCCATTTATTTATATCAACTTATAAATAAGATAAGGACTAATTTGCAATGCAAATATATAGTAATTATGGTAATGCAGTGATTAGACCAAAATGCCCTTTTCCACGTCGTGTATAGACACGCAGCGGTACCGGGCCATTGTTTCCGGTGCTTGGCGGTTATTCTATATCACTGGCCTAGAAACTGAAGTTTCACTATGATTTTTCATTTCAGGATAACACTATGAAGAGCTGGATTTTAGTAGGAAAATCTCTGTGTGAAGTACCCATTCCTTCCAGTACTCCTTGCTTGAAAAGTGCCCCTGATGTATGGAAGGAGTTCTCCATATGTTTTTAAATCTTTTCCATCTTTGTTTGCCAAATCTAATACTATGAATTGTTCACAGGTTCCTTATGTTTTCACTTCTTGCTTTGGTCTGGCACTGTCACCTGGAAATTTAGCAATTGCTGTGGTATGTGTAGCATCTATCGATTGATTTGTGTTATTAACCTAATCTATTAGTTTGGCAGTAGATCTTTAAAAATCTCTATGCTTATTTTCACTCTACAAAGCCTATGCTTTGTGACATCTGATAAGGAGGAAGAATGCAGGCATGCTTGTGGATATATTGAGGGATGCTACTGTTTGTAGCCTTTTGCGAACTTCAATTTATAGTCTCTGTTTATGTGTGATGTTTGTTTGGGCCTTGTTACAACTTACATTACTATCACCTTTCAGACTATTCTTAATTTTCATTGCCAAGTTCAAAATATTGCATTACTACTGGTGTGTGCCATGCTGCTACTCTGAATTGCCTAGTTTAAGTTGCAGCCCCTATTATTAAGAGGTTAAAAGATCCTTTGAAGCTGCCAGGACAAGCTATTATGTTATTTCTTGAACTCTTAGTTATATTTGGGTTTCTTGACAAGTACCTTTCAATTACAAGATGCCAATAGCCTTATCCAAAATAGCTGACAGTATAAGAAATTATTCTGTTTTTCGCAGGCTCGCAGGTTTGATGTTGATCAATTGGATCCCATGTATGAGGGAAGGTGATTTCTTGACACTTTCCCTTTGTCATTTAATCTTTATTTTTCAGTTATGTGGTATAAATTTGAAACACCATGAAGGTTTCAAACCCCCAGGAAAGTTGATATATAAAGTTTTAACCGTAATGTTGACATGTCAAGGAGCACCTCCTTTCACCTATTCTGTGTTAAATTTGTTTTCTTTGTTGTACATTTTCAGAAGTCATAAAGCTGCTGTTGAATTTTATTGGATTGGAGGGCAGCAACTGGATCTTTCATCCCCCACCTCTCCAAAGATTGATTGTGAATCTTTTCCTGGATTCCCAAATAAAGAATCGACTTGGTGGGAAAGCAATGTATTATGGGCATTGAAGCAGTATGAAAATTGCAGTAAGCTTCTGACCATTTGGGATGTTGTGACAGTACTCATGGAGTTGAAGCAGTCTGCACCTGAATATTTAGATCATGTACTTCGGAAATGGCTAAACTCTTACTTTAGGGCTCAGTTTGGAATTTCTATTTCTCGCTTATCTGAAGTTGTTAAATTTCTATCCAAGCTTCCATCCCGACAGTTGCAGCTCATCAATATTATCAGCAGACATCTAGGCCCTAAAGAAAGTCGAGTAAACAAAATGAATAACAAACAAGAAGAAGAAGAGTGGAGTGGGTCCAAAGCAAAGGATGTAAATTTTTGGATGGACTTGCTTTCAAAGAGTGAAAATGAACTCTTGGAGAGGCTTATTGGCTTGAAGTTTTCTGCCATTTTGGGAGCACTATCCAATTCGTCGATGTTTTCAATTCAAGATGGTTGCTGGAGTGCTGATGGGCTGCCGCAAATGGAACAGTGGGTATCACATAGTGTAAAGACTTTGAAAGATCCCACTAAGGATCTTGCAGCAGAAGTTACGAAAGTTGAGAAACGGTAATCCCTTTGTGTTTCCCACTCTTGACTGACATTATTTCTCATTCATCACATTTTCGTCACACTTTTTTCTGTCTTCACTCATTCTTCTTATTCTTATCATTCTACATCAAACATCTAATAGAAGCCTGGCATGAGTTGTTTTGCACCCTACTGCTTTTGGTTTTTGTGTTTTAATTACTTAAAATTTGGAGTATATTGTTTCTGGCTGCACTTTGAGTTATAGGAAATACATTAACCAACAACTGAGTCAATGCTGTGCAACTCCATAAATGACCTATTCAATTCACCATTTGATCGATTCTTGTATGTACTACTATGCTAGATTTGAAATTTGTTCATCATCACTGAGAGTTATTCTGTTTAAATCATTCGAGCTAAAGTCCGTACATCTTTTGTGTATTTTAATTCCATTTTATTTGATTGAACTATTTGCATTTATGTGTGGCAGGATCATACACGACATTGTAGGTTATCAAAAAGATGAGCAATGCAATTTCTGTTCAGGGCTCGTGCCATTCGAATCAACTGATCATGCCATTTGCTGTGGAGCAAACAATGACAGTGAGTGTAACCAGAGGCATAAGCTACAAAGATGCTCAATTTCTATGCGCATTCTGCCTACAAAGCCCTCCTGGCATTGCATTTGCTGCAAAAGATGGGCTACAAAGTTAGCCCCTATCGTTATTTTCACAATGCCGGAGTATCCATCAGATTTGAAATCGTATCTAGACTCCTCCGACTACAAGAATTTATCAACACCCTTCTGTCTCTTTTGCGGAACACTCTTGCAGAGATTACAGCCGGAATACTCTCTTTCACCAGCGCCAATCTAAACACATTTTCTTCATCCTGTATAGTTTACAAGTAGTCCATCAATAGTTTACGGCACTCGGGTTCTCGGATTCATTCTTCTTCTGATTTCTTTGTTTAATCAGTGTAGATTTGCAGAAGGTTTGCTCAGCAAAGATGGAGGATAATCAAGAAATGATCTACCATTGTCGAACAAGCTGATGTTGTTGCCTTCTCAAGTAAGCATATAGTATTAATTATGTTGTCTTCTTAGGGAAATAAAAAAAAAAAAAGGGTTTATTACAATTTGCTGTATATTTATGAATGTATTTATGTATAATATGATGCAAGCATGATTTGTTGAGTTTGAGTCCCTTTCTTGAATAATGAATGATATATGCCTACGTAACCTGTTTTACTTTGCCTTGTTGTAAAAGGCATGATTGATTTATTTCATTAAATTCTGAAACTGTCACCACAGACAATGGTTTTAACGGTTGAGATTGAAAGGTGTTTGCAAGTGGTAGCCCACTTGAAAAAGGCCTTTTCTTGCCTCTTTTTGTCGTCTTCTGTCTTCTTTGCATCATTCATTTTTATTAGTGGTCCACTAATTCTTTCTTTTTTTCTTTCTTTTCCTATCAAATAGTAGTAAATGTTAACACTTAGGTTACTTTTATTATCTTTATTTTTTTCTATTTAATTGGGATGGATGCAGTACAAACAAACCTATGAATTTAGAAGCATCAAGTAAAACTCATAAATAAGTTGGGGATTTGCGTTGAAAAATTTAGGGTGTGAGAAGAGACTGGGGGGTGGGTGGATGGGTGGGTGGGTGATATTATTATTGGGAATTGTTAGAATTAGATACCTCAATCTCAGTAGCATCAGCATTAAATAAACATGTATAGTATATATGCAATACTACAAGTGTAAATTTCTTCTCTTGAAATTATTATTAGCTCTGAAGTAATTTTGATAAATTGAGCACCTGTGGGTGCCTGTACCTACTCTTGTTTCATTCAATAATTTCACCACTTTAGTGCTGCTGCACCACTCATCCCGTGGGGTTTAGGGTGGAGATTAGGCCTAAACCATCACATTCTTACTATTTAATCAAATAAGTTTATAATGAATAAATACATGTACACAATTGACATTCATACAAAGGATTTCACTAAAATAATTTGAAATTTTAGATAGTACTATATATATTTCCAATATTTTTTAATTATTTTTTATTTTAAAAATATTGCAGAATATTTTGGGACAGACAAAAAAAAAAATATTGCCAGATATTTAGAATGAAAAAAAATATTTTATTCGTTTACATTAATTTAATATAAAATATTATTATTTTTGTATTATTATACAATTCTTCGTATTTAATGTGAAAATACATCATCCAAATATACAATAAACAAACTCATTGCCTCATTGGATTTATTCATCCAATCTGAGTGGTACAATTTTTTATAAAATAATTATTTCTTCCGTTTTCTAATAAATTATTCATTTTTCTATTGTGGTTTATCTCATAACAAATATTTATTTATTTTTTTTAGTAATTGTACTAACACTACAAATATCTTTACAATTTACAATATATTATATAAATGTTATTATCTTTATATCAAATAATAATAATATTATTTTAGTCATTTCTACTTTATTCCTACTATATATATCAATATAATATTAATATACGTGAATACTAACTTATGGGACATAACGTACAAAAAATACAAATGTATATATTAATATAATATATATAATATAGCATATTTATTTTAAAAAGATAACCATTCAATACAAATATATTAATTTTTATATTAATTTTTTATACTTATCATAAAAAAAAATATATTCACACATTCATTATTAATATTTAGTTACTTAACTTAGCATATTTTCACAAAATAATTAAAAATTGCAACAATGTGTATATAGTTAGAAGCAGATAGCTGAGATCGAATCAATGTTGTACTGATTATCAGGGTCAACACAACCTTCGACTAATGTAAGAATTAGCAGTTTTTGTTTATGTAGTTAGTCGATCCACATACATACATATATAAAAATAATTACCATATGTATCTGAAATGACCTCTAATGAATACTGCTGTTGGCCATCCTTCAATCATCTCTCATCATTTGGTTTCTGTGTCTCATGTTTGGAAGAAATCGATCTAGATAATAAAATTGTTAAATAAGTATTTCTTTTTCTTTTTTTCTTATTAAAATAAAGGTGTAGAAGATTTTATTTATTACAAAGTGACATAGTAAATGGGCCCCCCTTGTCCCCACTCTCTCCTCATAATTTATTTTTCTGGGGCGTTGTGAACAAAGTCCAATATTATACATATGCATATAATAGTAGCATATGAATACATAATAATATTATTGTACAAGTAAAATGGTAAAACGGACAGCCCGAGGATATGGAAACCCCATTGCCCATTTCCTCACTTCTCTCTCTCTACACCTCCTCACTCTCTCACTCATCCATCCGTTCCCTCTAAAACCCCAAGAAATTTTTTTGCATCTAACTCTGGTTGTTGCTACAATTTGTTTCCTTCTCTCTCTACAGATCTTCTTGCAGAGACACTGTGAAATATTCTTACAAACAGTGTTAAAAAATAATAATAATAATAATAATAAAAATTAACAGAGAAGGAAGAAAAAGGTTTGCCTCTGTTTCTGCCAAGCTTTTTCTGCTGTGGTTGAAATCCTAGGGACCGATCGATCTTCCAGTTATTTTTGCTCAATGGCTGTCATTTAGTACTCCACACATCAGGTAAAAAAAAGCACTGATTCTTAATTTTATTATTTTTAAAAAATTTTAATTTATTTTCAATCGTGTGTGAAATTGGGAATTTCGTGCTCTGATCCGTTAAACTGAAGAATTGCGTTCTGGATTTTGTTTTTTCCTTTTGTTTCCGATGATTTGCGCAGAGAAATCGAAAATTTAGACACAGGATTTATCGGCGAGAAGATTTCTAACGATTTTGATTATGGCGGTGGTGGAAAACGCTGGGGTTAACTCTACGGCGGCGGCGGCGAATGGGGATTCCCGGCCGGACGACGTTCCCTCCGCCGCCGCGGATCACCATCACCACCAGCAGCAGTCGACAAAAGCCGCCGCGAATACCCAAAAGTCAACTAACGCCGCCGATCAGAGTTTCCATCTGATACAGCAGAAAATATCGAATAGCCATTTTCAGCTGCAGCGCCACTCCGCCGGCGGCCCGCCGGAGGAGAAGCTTGAGGGCGGCGACGATGGAGGGGAAGGGTTCAAAAGGGATATTAGAGATTTAGAGGAAATGCTCTCCAAATTGAATCCCATGGCCAAAGAATTTGTTCCTCCTTCGCTCACCACCAATGGCTCCGGCGGACTGCACATGTTTTTAATGGCTCCTCCGCAGGCCGGCAGCCCTGTGGCCGCGGCGGCGGCCGCCGGACATTTTGGGTTTGGTGTTATGCAGCAGCCGGTTAATTCTGGAGTTCCTAATGGAAATTCTTATAGAAGGGTTGGTATTTTAGATGGCAATGTGTTAATTTTCGATGTCGATTATTTCATTTTTGTGCATATATATGATTGGTTGATGATCGATCCATAGAAACACACATCTATTTTATGGAGATTTAGGTGGTTTTTGTTTTTCTATAGTATTATTGTTGGAGGGATTTGGTTGTACTAATTATTTTTGTAATATCCGCAAGAAATCCGGCTACTATAATGGAAAACGAAGGATGAACAACCGAACGAGCATGGCGCAAAAAGACGATGTGATTAGGAGGACAGTGTACGTCTCCGACATTGATCATCAGGTATATCAAAGTTAGATTTATAAAGATTGTATTTAACGAACGAATTCTTGTAATAAATTTTGCATTTTATATGTAGGTTACCGAAGAGCAACTCGCGGCGCTTTTCATTAGCTGCGGACAGGTAAAATATGTGCTATAAGTCGAACTTAGATATACATTGTTGGGATTCTTATTTTAACCTTGTTTTTTATCGCGGTGTTTATAATTAAGGTTGTGGATTGCCGTGTTTGCGGTGACCCGAATTCTGTGCTCCGTTTTGCCTTCATTGAATTCACTGATGAGGGTATGTAGATGTTTTTATTTGGTCGCGGATTTTAAGGTTGTAACGAAGAAGCTAGATCATGTGTATCGCATTGTTTCATTCTTAACTTGCAGAAGGGGCAAAGAATGCTTTGAGTTTGGCTGGAACTATGTTAGGGTATTATCCAGTTCGAGTACTGCCTTCCAAAACTGCAATTGCGCCCGTTAATCCGACGTTCTTACCACGGGTGAGAATTTTTGCAGTGTGTATATGTCATGTTTGAACACAATTTATCCCGAAGATGAAATGCAAATTCATTGCCGGTTTGTGATGCTAGTCCGAGGATGAAAGGGAGATGTGCGCGAGAACTATTTATTGTACAAATATTGACAAGAAGGTACGATTGCGATCTACATTGTATATTATCCATTTATTCTTAAGTTTGTCTGTTTTATCGCCTTATCGGTTCTTGTCTGAGCAGGTCACTCAAGCAGATCTCAAACTATTCTTCGAGTCCTTTTGTGGAGAGGTTTGTTTTATATATATGCTCATGCGATAATTTTGAATAATTCGATTCTTGAAGCCTTGTCATGGTAAGGATGATTCTGTTGGCTCAGGTTCGGCGCTTAAGGTTGCTTGGCGATTATAATCATTCAACCCGTATAGCTTTTGTCGAGTTTGTAATGGTAAGAATCGTCGCCGACTTGTAAGTCAATTCAGTTTGCTGTTGTTACTCTTAATATTCAATCAATTGAAGTTCAAACATTGCATCATTTTAACGGATCATCTAAATAACAAACATTCCCGATCTATTCCTTACATCACTTTTCTTGCGACTCGGTATATGTCATTGCATCATCGGGTTGTTATTCTGTTGCTGTCGTTATCTGCATTATCCTTCTCTTTATGTAATTACATTCGTAACTTCAAATGAGCTGCGCTTTCGCACGTGCCTTAAATCCTTTTCGAAGAAACTGCTGTTTGTCCTTTATTCTGCTAGTAATATATATATATATATAATATATTCGGAACTTTTGAGCAGGCTGAGAGTGCAATAGCTGCTCTAAACTGCAGCGGTGCTATTTTGGGATCGCTACCTATAAGGTTCAATGTCTCTTTCTTAATTACCTCTTGCATTTGTCTTGTCATAAAGTGCATTTTTTTCTTGCAGGGTTAGCCCATCGAAGACACCGGTGCGACCCCGCGGACCTCGGCAATCCATCCATTGAATTGAAGCTGCTGTTCTTCTTTAAGCTCCCTGTGTTCGAATGGACAATGATCAACTCACTCACTTTTTCTATTATATATATATATATATATGTATACATACTTGCATAGAGCAACTGGTATTGGTAAGAAGAGTACATGGCATCATCCATGCTGTTTAGTTTTCCCCTCACTCTGAGTAAGACCATATTCTCTGCCTTACATTATGCCCTCATGAGTTTACTAATTACTTACTGCTGCTGCTGCTGCTGCTGCATCAATGTTTCTTGATTTTCTGACTTCATCTCTCTCTATTCTCTCTCTATAAAGAAAGTTGGATAATTTAAGTCTGTCTCTCTCACCTGCATCACACAATGAGCATCAATGTTAGAATAAATCAATATCATTGATGTACATGAAGGGTCTGTTAGAAATAAATTACACTGCTGCATCAATGTTTCTTGGCTCATTACTGTGCCCAAACCTGACAACCTAGCTACTCTAGACACAATATATGTATATATGTACACATGTTACATTATCCTTTTGGAGCTAAATGGTACACATAAGCTAGTAATTAGTTAGGTAGCAGTGTAATCTATTTCTAACAGACCCTTTATTCCTAATTCAAACTAAACCACACCATTGCCAGCTAACTGAACCTCTGCACTTTTAGCCACTCAAATTGTCTACTTGCTTATTACACAATTACCCGACAAGGGGGTTGTTATTGTGCTGATAATACATCTAAACCAACAACACAGAAGTTATATTAATGTCAGTATATAATAAACTAACGATATAATAGTCCAAACATTACATTGATATCTTCATATAAAATATTCATACATTCTAATCAGCATCCTAATTGAAGCAAATTTGCATTTTAAAGAAGAAAAAGAAAAAAATCACCTTGTAATAAAGTCACTATTTTGTCTGAGATTTTTGCTGAGATATTTCCACAGAATAGTAGTGCCAGCACCAGGGCTGCCGCATGAGTTACTTGTACCTTGAGCATGAGCAGGTTGTACTCTGATGATCGATGCCCATGCGCCACCATCCACTAACCAAACCCTCTTGCATGCGTGTTGACAAAGTGAAGTTAACCAACTATACTTTTTATTCTCTTTTCGTCCACAGTAGAAAATCAACACATCTTTCGGCATTAATTTCCTACAAGAAAATGGCACAATTTTGACAGCATAAAGGATCTAGCCACTTCACTCAGAACAAACCATCTTCTTAACCTTCCTAAGACATTCCTAACAATTCCATAAAATATTCTACACCTTTATTCATCCATGGGGAACTCATTTCATCTTCACATACTAAAGAAATCCTGCATAAGATTACCTCAATGCGTCGACAGAAAAGATCTGCAGGTGGTGAAAATGGATGGCAACATTATAAGGCTTCAAGAACCACTTCTGGTGAGGGAACTTCTTGCGGATCATCAAGGGTTCGGGCTTAAGTCATCGAGAGATTCCCCCAATCTTCTTCCTCCGAGCTTCGAGCTGCAACTGGGAAGAACATACTATCTTCTTCCTGCAAAGATTCAACCAGGGGTGAAAATAGATGCTGCAGAGTCTAACACTGCTGCTGTCAAGAGAATTAAGGTTGTCATCTCAAAACAGCAGCTTCAGGAGCTTTTAGCGAAGAAGACATCATTGGAGAATCTTGTGATCGGGATGGACAGTTCCACGCCGAATTGGAAACCAAGCCTCTCATCTATTCCTGAAGAAACAGAATCGATATCGCCCATATAGGGTGTGCATTAGAGCCTATAGGAAAGAATTCGGTAGTGATGGCATTACATTGATTGTGAATTTTGTGTGCCTTGCTCACTCCCTCAAATCACAATCAGTATAATGTCTTGTGTAATAGTGAATGTGATGAAGTTAGTATTAGTTCAAGGAATGCAGATTACTGTTCTATTGCTCATATCCTATCTTTCTCATGTTCCTAAAACTTCACGAAGGTAAATTCTTGTTATAACTTCGACTTTACAGGAACAGGATTATTTGTTCATATGATCCATTTAACTTTGCAAAAGCTGGCCAAGAACCCTATGGAATATCATCATTTATCCAGCTTGATCTCTAGTTTTTATCATCCTAATCATACAGAATGTAGGAATTAGACAAGTTCAAACTTCAAAACCCAAAACCAAATAGTATAGATCAAGAAATTCAACCTTTTGATTGCTCAAATTTCATACCATAACAGGAGGGAGACAGACACTGTTTACAGAAGCACATAAATAAGCATCCCTGACCTAAAATGGAGGAGGCTCTTATCCACTAATGTCCACATCGATCACTTTCTTCTCAACCTTGGCCTTGGGAATGGAAATGTTTAGAACTCCATTCTTCATCTCTGCCTTCACTTTGTCCTTCTCGCAGCCATTCGGGAGCCGCAGTCTGGTGCTGTATACACTATGGGAACTGCTCTGCCAGCCATCGTCCTTCCCTTGCTCCGCCTTCTTCTCCCCTTTGATCACCAGCTCCTCGTCCTCCACCGAGACTTTAACGTCCTCTTTGGCAAGTCCTGGCATATCGAATCGTAGTTTGATTTCGTTCTCGTCCTCGCTAACATCCCAAGGGGATCGCATCTTGCTGGTTGTTGCTCCTGGGAACGTCATGGCGTCCTCGAATATTCGGTCCATTGTGTCCAGCATTTGGCGCATCGATCGCATTGGCGTTAGCGTGTCGAGCAAGCCTGTCAATCATCAAATTCGCGTTTGATTGTTAATTTTATTCGATTTTTCGGATTTGATATACATGTTAGTTCGTTCCGAATTTCCGATCCAATTGGAAATGGAAACCTAGGGTTCGTACCACTTACCGAAAGGGGATACGTCGAGCCCGACCCTACGCGGTCGCCTTTCCACGGCGGTGCTCTGGTTGTTGCTGCCGCTACCACCGCCGACATGATGCACGTCCACCGCAGTGTCTTTGTTATCTCCGGTGGCCTGAGCCGTAACAAGGCATAATTTCCTTCGAGAAGGAAAAAACACAGAGCAAGGCCCACGGCAAGCTCTCGTCGTTGCTCCGACGAGGCCGTTAGCTGCAAATGGAGTGGAAACTAATGCTTTAGCCGCCATGAGATAATACTTCCAGAAAATACACAATTACTTCAACTTGCAAACTCGATTGGATTGGAAGATCGCTGCATGCATATATATATAGGTGCGGAAGAACTTTGTAGATCAATCAGGAATCACCAACTCCATAGAAGAAAACAAAGATCCTGTCGAGGTGATTCCCGAGTGTTCTTCCCTTGCATGATTCTCCTACATTCGCGAATGATCGCGTTGCCTCTATTGGGTAATTGAGCTTTTATATTTGGGCCCAATAAAATTCAAATCGGCCCAAACATGTCATACTATTGGGCTTCATGTCACTAGACTCAATTACATTAAAAGGCCCAGTTACTTGCAGCACTGTGGGCCCTCTTATCTGTCCGATAGCCCAATTACTAACAATCTATTGGACCTTATTAATTGGTAAGAAAGCCCATAATGGGCTCAAATATTTGCAGCCTATTGGGCCTTGTTATTTAAGAAAAATAAAAACGGCCCAAATTTTCAAATATTTTGGGCTACATGTCCACTAGACCCAATTACATTAACAGCCCAGTTATTTGCAGCACGTTGGGCCTTATTATTTGTCCAATAACCCAGTTTGCAATCTATTGGGCCTTATTAATTGGTCCGAGAGCCCATCATGGCCAAAATATTTGCAGCCTATTGGGCCTTGCTATTTAGGCACAATAAAAAAAAAACGGCCCAAAATTTACTTTCTTTTAGGCTACATGTCCACTAGAACCAAGTACATTAAATGGCCCAAATATTTGCAGTCAATTGGGCCTTGCTATTTAGGCACAATAAAATAGTAAACGGCCCAAAATATACAATCTTTTTTGCTACGTTCACTAGACCCAATTACATTAAATGGCCCAAATATTTGCAGCCTATTAGGCCTTGTTATTTAAGCACAGTAAAATATAAAAAGGCCCAAAATTTACACTTTTGGGCTACATGTCCACTACACCCAATTAAATTAAATGGCCCAAATATTTGCAGCCTATTGGGCCTAGTTATTTAGGCACAATAAAATAAAAAATGGCCCAAAATTTACATTCTTTTTGGCTACATGTCCACTAGGCCCAATTACATTAAATGGCCCAAATATTTACAGCTTATTGGGCCTTTTATTTTCGCACAAAAAAAACGTGTCCACTAGACCCAATTACATTAAATGGCCCAAATATTTGCAGCCTATTGGGCCTTTGTTATTTAGGCACAATAAAATAAAAACGGCCCAACATTTACACTCTTAGGCAACATGTCCAGTAGAACCAATTACATTAAATGGCCCAACTATTTGCAGCCTATTGGGCCTTGCTATTTAGGCACAATAAAATAAAAACGGCCCAAAACTTATAGTTTTTGCTACATGTCCACTAGACCCAATTACATTAAATGGCCCAATTATTTGCAGCCTATTGAGCCTTGTTATTTGTCCACTAGCCCATTACTTGCTACCTGTTGGACCTCATTAATTGTTTCAAAAGCCCATTAAAAACTAAATTGCCCAAATAATTGGAGACTATTGAGTCTTATTATTTGGGCACAATAAAATTGAAAACGGCCCAAATTCTTACATTCAATTGGGCCACATGTCCACTAGACCTAATTACATTAAATTGCCCAGTTATTTTCAGAATATTGGGTCTTGTTATTTTGTCCAATAGCCCATTTACTCGCAAACTAATGGACCTCATTAATTGATCCGAAAGCCCATTAAAACTTTACCGGCCCAAATAATTGCTGTATATACGCCTTAGAATTTAGACCCAATAAAATTGATATTGGCCCACAAATTTACATACTAATGGGCTGCATGTCCACTGAACCCAATACATTAAAAGCCCCAGTTATTTGCAGCATAATGGACCATATTGCTTTGTATTGGACACTAGCCCATTACAACTAAATTGGCCCAAAATATGAAGTCTATTGTGCCTATTATTTGGGCCAAAGCCCAATTAGTTAAAACGAGCCTAAACATTTGCAGTGCATCGGCTCAACAATGGCCCATTTTGTACGGTTTCAGCTACCGGTCATGCGATGTTGCTTCGCAGAAGCTCCTGGACTCCAGATCCCCAACCGCCAGCGCACATGGTTTGGTGTGAGTGGCAGAGTGATCAGTGGATGGCGCAGGATCTGGACTCCAAGGATCTTCGAACAAACTTACACCTACAGTCGTCTTCTACATGCAGCAGAAACTGGTGCTGCTTCGTCTCTGCAAAACCCTAATCCCTAAAAGAACAGTGTAATTCGTCTACCCTAATTCTCTGCCATAATCATCAACTACCATGTGGATCCACCACAACTTCATCAAGAACACCAAAAAAGGAAAAAGTGAAAGGTAAGAAAAGAAAAAATTAAAATTAAAAATTCCACACCCCCTACCCAACCCAACACATTCTTCTTTCCACAGCTTTCATCACTCTCGAGAAACACAATATGTTCATGCCTGTCTGCAAAGCCTCCTTGATACATCTCCATTTGTTTTAATTTATTCTTTTCCTTTTGCACTTTTTTACTCCTCCTTATACATATATATCATTATTATCTCAGACCTGAGCACAGGTTGTTCCAATGGGCAAGAACAATGGAAGCTCTTGGTTAAATGCAGTGAGAAAAGCCTTCAGATCTCCTTCCAAAGTCGATGGAGCAGAAGAAAATGACGACGAAGCTGAACACAAGGTCAGTCATACTCGTTCATTGGGATCTAATTTACGTACTGTGTTGAATTGATAACGGTGAATTTAGGTATTTACTAATTTTACTTCCTTACAGAAAAGAGTAAAAAGGAAATGGATGTTTCTTACCAAAAATTACCCTCTCCAGACAACCATTCAGCACAATGCAGCCAAAATTAGGGCAAACGATCAGAATTCAAAATCCAAACAGGCGGCGGCGTTGGCCGACGACACCTCTGCAATCGCGGCGGCTATGGCGACCGCGGAGGCCGCTGTCGCCACCGCACGAGCTGCAGTAGACATCATCCGCCTCAGCACTGCTACAGCACCTTATCCTCTCCGACACCGCCATGATCAGGCTGCTCTTGTTATTCAGACACTCTTCAGAGGATATCTGGTAATTAATTAAGACTGTTTACACATACAGTTTTTGAAACTATTGGGTAATTATTTTAAAAACATAAAATCAAATATATTTTTTCGATTACAAAAGTATCACATTACTAAAACTATCTGCCTCAATGGAGTCTAAATCTTACAGCAGACAAACCAGGATTAGACAGTCAATTAGTAATAGATCGAAAATGACAATTTCACCTAAAAGTTTAAATGGTCATTTTTCAGGCAAGGAGAGCTCTGATGGCGCTTAAAGGCATAGTGAAGCTGCAGGCCTTAATTCGGGCACACATTGTCCGAAAGCGAGCCAAGACAGCTCTACAACGCATCGAATCTCTAGTTCGAGTCCAAACTCATTTCTGCGACCAGCGCCGCCGGCGATCCTGCGAAGAAACTACCCTTCCACGCAATAACAAGAACATGAAATCCATTGTAGGCATTCATTCATCAACAATCACCAATTTTTCTGGTCCAAATTCTAACAAATTTTTCGACCTCTTGTTATCGCAGCAACCTAGAATTTCAACCATCTCCGGCGACCACGGCCGGCGAGCAGTCGAGGAAATCCAGATTCTAATACAGAGAGCAAAAGAATTCTCATTTAAACAGACGAAGACAACTCTAGGACAAGTCTTGTTTGACGATGATCAAGACCAAGTTTCGGACAACAATTACGAGCGGCGCGGCGGCAAGAACACGAGAAAATCGAAGACCTTATGCAACCTACAAGTTCAATCTCCAAGAACTCCAACCTCCATCAATGTCCATTCCTGCAGCCAAACAGAGGAAATGAGCCACCAATCCTCCGAAACTCCGACGTCGTGCTCGTCAATTTACCGCCGCAGAATAAGCGTCGGAGAATCCTCGTGCCCCTTGCCGCGGCCTAATTACATGGCAGCAACTGCTTCAGCCATGGCAAGAGTCAGACCACACAGCACGCCGAGGAACAGGCAGTCGAGCCCGAGCAGAGAGCAATCGGGGCATTCGTCGAAGAAACGACTCTCATTCCCGTCCGCCGACGACCAAATTATCAACACTATTCATCCCAAACAGCCTTGTTATTTAACAGAATGAGGTTTGTTGATCCATAGTTTTAGCTACACTTAACAATCCTTTCAATGAAGTTCTTAAATCCCTTTCGCATCAATGGTGTGTTTACAATCAACTTTTGCTTTCTAATCTTGAAGTTGGCTTCTCATCTTTTCACTTTTTTATAAGAGATAGTGATTACAAGAAAATAAAAGTAAAGTGCAAAAAAGCAATTTAATTTGTGAAGTTTGATGCATCCTAAAATTTAAAAGGTAACAGAATAAATAATGAGAGCTAAGACTAAGAATGTGTATATTTTAAATTTTATATGTGTATATAAGAATGGGTATGGGGCTCCATGAATAATGAATTTTTTTTCATTGAAATTAATTGATGCATCAAAAGATGTGACACATGAATTATGTATGATGAATGTAAGAATATCTTAGCTTGCTCCATTATTCATTCACTACACTACTCTCATGCTAGAAAGCTTTCTGAACTGCCAATCTGCCATGCCATCTTTTTGGACTAGAATTAAAATCATAGATACTATTAGAGATATTTATTTATTTATTTCAGTACTATATTATTATCAAAACAAAATTGTTTTACAGATTAGAGTCTAAGTAGTAACAAGGTTTTGATAGCCCCTCATATCCCTTGGTTGGAAAAAAAAAAAAAAAAAAAAAAAAAACACCCTTACTCTTTCTTTAAGCATTTGACAGGGGAAGAGGTAATTCAAGAATCGAATTTGCTTGATGAAAGCAAAATCAATCGACAAATACTATGTAACTTAAAATTTAATAATCTATATATATATATATATGCACATGTATGTATGTATGATTGTGGGTGTCGTTATCTGTCAAGTTTTCATATGTAGTAGACGAAGATGTCATCAAGATTATGATCCATCCATACACCTCTGTGAATTCCAAGGCAACCTTTTCTTTTCCCTCATCCATATATAATACTTCTTCTATCGGTCAAATATACTAAATTTATTCTCGTTTTTTTTTAACAAAACATCATTTTTCCTATTTCCTTTTTTTACCCAAAAAAGTAAAAAAATTTATTTTTACTTACTTTTATTAAAATATGTATCCGATCAAATGAGCACACAATTGGATGACTGAGAGGGTATATAATTGAATTGAATGAACCTTGCATTGCATTGCAGCAGAAGCTGAAGCCCCACCCCACATGCATTGTTACATGCATCTACTACTACTTTTTTCACATCCGAACACTTTTTCAACTCTCTTGACTTGTTAATCTAATCATTCCCTCGTCTGCTCTCTACCCACACAATACTATTAATTAGCCTCAGATTTTCAGGCATCAAAGAAAATTTAAATACATACTAACTCACTGACTGATCATTTTATTGCACACAAGCCAGAACATAGATGGATATTTATAGATATTTTTTCAGACAAAATTTAAGGGACAATGTCCCACCAGCAAGCAATATCAAGAATCAACCAATTACTTGTAAACTGAATTTAACTCAGAATTTCAGATCACTCAGCATTGTAAAAACTCATAATAACAATCAAGATAGAATGCACATAAACAAGTACCATTTAAAGATCAGAAAGAGATTGCAGCAGACACAAAATTAAATTGTCAAGAAGTAGCACTACTTAATATTAGACCAAAGAAAAAAAAGAAAAGACAAGAAGAAGAAGAAGAAGGAACTAACTGTCTTATAGCTTCTACTCGATCTGATTGAACCTCGGGAATGCAACTTCGGAAGCATGAGCTGCGGCAAACGTCGGGCTATTGCAAACACTGCTATCAGAGTGCGAGAAGAAGGTCCTCTGAAGTACTCCGGAAGGCGACGATACAGTAGTGGCCGGGGTGCTGATGGAGTCATGGGGCGAAGGAGGATTCATCGACCCCGGGTGTAGAGCTTCAGCTAATGGCCCTCCTTGCGCAAATGGCTGCCAAGAAACATGGGACGACAGCCAATTCGAATTCTTGGATTGCTCGTTGTAGCATTCGAGCTGAACCTTCCCCATTCCTTCATCTAAGATGCTTCCAACAGCCATTGCCATGGATAGATCGAGCGAAGGGCCCTGATTCATTGATTTTCCATTCCCTTCGCTGTTGTTGTGGCTTCCATTGTTGAGGTTATCGATTGACCAAGCATCTATGAAACCTGTAGGAGGCTCAATTTCGTTCGAATAAGTAAACAGATTCAGCGAATGATGGTGATCCTCAAAGCCTTGATCGAAAGCAGGACCAGAGCAGCTGTATAAAGAAGATGACCCCTCGGTGGAAAATCCCATATTAGGTCCCAATAATGGCGACCAGCGTTGCTCGTCGGCATTCAGATTAACCATTCCACTCATCAGCCCCAAATCTCTTCAATTCAGAAACCAAAAAGCAACAAATTATGCAAGAACAGAGTAATAATTAATAAGTAAGCACAAATTGAACCTACCTGCTAGGTCCCTTGTAAGAAATTGCATCCGCCGCCGCCGCCGCCGCCGAGATGCCGATATCAGTCTTGGAATTGAACAGCAACAGAGGGGGTGGAGGATCATTACCATTTTCAGTAGTAGCTACCTGTTGGGAAGCAGAAGCAGAGGGGCGGCCATGGCTGCCCTGCTCAAGACGTGTCCTCTTGTGGCTTTCCCCATTGTTGTTGCTGCTGCTTTTAACTTCCACAGGCTTTCTTGAACGGGGACGTCCTCTGTGCAAGTGACGCTCGCAGTACTTCTGGTGTGGCGCCACGTCTCTCGAGCACCTCCATTTCTTCCCATCGGTCCTCTTGCATCTCCCAGGCTCTGGATCGCCATTTCTCGAAAATCTCACATTGTACACAGCTTCAAAAACACCAACACAATCAAACGCCATAGACACCCACCCCCAAACCTCAAGTAACCACAAGATATGCCAATCAGAACCAGACAAGAGCAAATAAGAAGATTACAGGAAGCAGAAGAATCTAAAACCGACGCCGCTGCAGGAGGAGGGAAATTCTTCGCGAGAGGGAAGAGCAGCTCAGGAGGCACCGGCACAGAACACATCATGTATTTATAAATCATAGCTTGCCTTTCCAGCTCCCTCCATTGAGCAGATGTAAAAGGGAACCCCACGCTCGCCGCCATAGCCACTGCATAAGCTCAAACACAAAAATAAAAAATATAGAACAAAAGGCAAAGGGGGTAACGAATACAATCAGTCCAAACTGCAGTTACTCTCACAATTAATCATCATGAAAGGGTAAAAAGAAAGGGGAAAGAAGATGGATAGGCTTGCCTGGGGATTTGTAAGTAGCTGCAGGAGCGAACATGTCAAAAGGCTGCAGGTTAGTAGTAGCAGTAGTAGTAACAGACTTTGCGAAATTTCCACAGGAAGAAGACGAGACATAGACATCATCACGGTTTATATTGCCCAAAGCCTCGTTAGCTCCGCCGAAGCTGTTACTGCCCGTGGGGCCCACGCCTCCACCACCACCACCACCACTGGCACTACCACTTCCTCCGCCACCAGTACCGCCATCGAACGGACGGTCCAGATTGTCCGCTTTACGGACGGCGCCCGTCACGAAACTCTTGGAAAGGAATGCTTCGGTACTGTGCGCTTTCATAGAACGAGCAGCAGCATCACTGTTTGACGATGATTTCTTGTCCGAAGTGCTCAATCCATTGCCCGCAATGGCTCCTCTCTCCATACCCACTTTCTTTGCCGGAAATGGCGAAACAGCCTTACCCTCTCGAACTAAGCCACTAAATCCCCAAATTGAAGGACGAGAAAACCCTAAGAAAATGCACACACACACAAACTCCACCAAGGAAATGAATCTAATGAATTGAACAGGGGAAAGGAAGAAAAACCCCAATTCTGGTTATTGGGAATCACCAAAACCAGCTAGCTCAGTGCTCAGCCACGTATTCCTGCAGTAACCTCCTCCTCCTGCTCATAGCTCATTCATGGCTTTATCACGGCTCTTGATATTTATGGAGTGCCTATCAGAGTTTCGAAAAGGGAAAAAGAGGGGATGGGCTATTATTAGGAATAATAGAAGTGGGGTTAGGGTTGGCATTTAGTAATTGATATTGCCGCCATTCTTGGCCTTTGGTGTGCCTCCATTCTTCCAACATTCGCACCGTTGGAGATTAGACACGACAGACACTCGTCCACAGTACACCACCCCAACTCGTCAATTTTTTTACTTTTTTATTTTAAATACAAATGGAAACATTTGCATCCTTTTCTCTTCTTCTTCTTCTCTATCAATGATCTACTTGGATCGAGTCGGGAGAAAGCTCCCATAATAATTGTTGACATATGCATATGCATATCCATCGTTTTCTGCATTGATAAGGCTTGACCACCGTACTGTCATCTCCATTATTCGGATCCATTTAATTATTCAAGAACAAACACTGCATTTGGATCAGTGCGTCTTGTTCTTATTTCTTTATTACATAGACACATTCATATTATTATATGTATATAATATGCTATCACATCAGATCATATTATATATGATCCTCTTACAATTAGGGTTTACCCTTATTGTTTTGGGTTTTGTTCTTTTTTTTTCTTTTTTTTTTTTTTTCTCCCATGCAAGAAAGTGGGGTAGATATGAATTTCACTACAGTTACGACCATTAATTTGGATGAAGTTTCACCTTCTCAATATTATTATAACAGAATGTCAACAAAAATTAAATGAAGAAATATTCAAAGAAAGTGAATTAATGTGATGGTGACAAGACACATAAAGTGGCCTTGAAATGACAAATAAAAAGAATTATCATTATAAATTTATTTAAAAATAATTTATACCAAAGAAGTATTCATGTTTTAATTAGGTTGCGAACATATACATATATGCATACACATGCATTAAAGATAAGGCCACGGAATGGGAGACAAGAAATGTAATGCCAAGACAGGGGAGTAGCTATATTGCTACTACTACTATTATGATGATGATGATTATTATTATTATTATTATTATATTTAAAATTAAAATGGCAAGAAATTGGAAGAAGAATTTGAAATCATAAAATGCAATTGATTTGAATTATAAATATGGTTAATATGAGACAAATATTTATAGGGTTGAATGAGATCTAATACTCCCTTTGGAAAAGATGTATCAATGTATGATGTATGGACACTGAGGAGTGGGGCACATCAATAAATAATGTATGGCCCAAAAACAATAAAAGAAGGTGCAGACAGCTGTGGAATGAGATAGAAATAGATGGCAAGTCCACATCACATGCAAACACACAGGGCAAAGTTTTTATTTTTTTTCTAACCCCATGAGGCCATAACTCACTTCCAAAAATATGTCACTCCACTCCACATTTTGGCTTCATTTCTATGTGATATAATTATATTACATGACCCCTCTTTCATTCAATGACCCACAAAATTTGTTGGGAGTTTGAACTTTGAACAAACAGTCACCCACTTTCCAACTTTTTAGTTTTATTTTGTTTATTCTAAAAGGATGGATGGATGGATGAAAAACAGGGGACAGGATACAGAATAAATAATAATGTTAAAAGGCCAAGATATACTAGTGTGTGAGATTTATTTTTTTTAATGGAAATTTTGTTATTTAAGTGAATGCTGATTGAGAGAGAGAGAGAGAGAGTGGGTGTGGGGGTGAAGATGAGGATGTGCCTCCAACAAAGGAACAAGAGAATAATTACAAATATGGGGACCATTAAATTCAATTAAATTCCCTTGCAATAGATTGGAATCAGAAAGCTACCTCCCCCTAGGAAACAACCCCATCCCTTTCTCCCAATTCATTATAATAAATTAATTTTACCACTATTTAATCATAGATTCTCATATCTCAGAATCTAACTTTATTATCATCATCAAGATTTGCATCAAGTTGGCACCCAGCCATTCATATCATAACAAATGTGTTTTTAACTTGGACCATCTGTAAGCTGAGGCTAGTGGGCCTAAGCCCCAAGTAAACACTTGTCAGCAGAATTTGAATTTATTTCAGTACAATAATTTTAAAAGCAAAATCCCATTCCAAAAGTGCCATCAAGTATCAACATTGGAAACCCTAATTGCTCCTCTAATATAGGGCAATTTTAAAGGGAAAAAAAAGAGCAATCAGTTAAGGTTTCAAGATTTGGAGGAATGAGATGCCAAGAAGCTATAGATGCTGCTTCAACACAATGCAAGCACAAACCAGAAAATATGTTCATTCCAATATGACAGAATGTTATAATCTTTTCAATCTGCCAAGTATTCGAAATCAGACTTTTCTTACTAGGCATAAATGTAACTCAATTTTTCTGATTGAGATTGAATAGACAGCACCTTGTTCTGATCCCCAGCTCTGTCCTCTGCTCAGCTACTTGATGCACTCAACTTAGTTCTGCCATGGCTCCTGCAACCCTGAAAACATCCTGTATATTAGTTAGTGTCACAATATAACAAGGACTAGGTGAATCAAGAATATATCATGAAAAAGCTTTTAAAGAAATGTATGAGAATCAGGACAACCCAAGGAAGGTTTGTTAGATGAACCAAATCGATCAGAAACCACAACTTTTTGATGCATTAAAAACAAAAACAAAATACTCCTTAAGACACCTTCTCCCAATTCAATCCATTTCAAGGTGAGGACTGCTGTAGCATGGGGAATAAGGAACTAATCACCTTCAAACAATCTTCAGTTCTATGTACCATAAATAAGTTTCACATGAATCTAATACTCAGCAGATATGTCACGCGGTATAGAACAAATCAACTTACTATCTTATCTTCTTTGGCTAGATGCAGCACCCAAAGACCTGAAAGTAACAGTCACCCATAAGAACCATTCAGACAACAGAAAAAAAAAATAAAAGTTAACATTTTCTTTGATACTCACCTGCTTTGCTGTTTGCCAACTAAATTCGAACCATGCCTTCCATGAGATGGTCCCTTGCTTTGAGAAAACTCATTTCTGTTTGTGTTTACTCCATTTCCAACAGTCAGCATTGACGTTCGGCTTGGCCTAGCTTCAGTACCATTAGATTCTGCAACATCTTTCGTTTTGCTTAATATTTTAACATTTGGTATTCCCCCAGCAACACGAAAGGGATCTCCGCTAAAGTTTTGATTCTGGATTTCCAAGAATGAAGGATGGCTGACAGAATTTGAAGATCTAGGGACTGCAAGCTCATTGTAACTCGCCTTATCAGAATTCACAGATGCTGAATCTAGAGATGACACTTTTTTTAAGCGGTGAGACTGAGCCAATGGAGTGAGTGCTACGGAAGCCATGGATGAAGAGAACAAAGTTGGCATTGCAGCTGCAGCTGCAGCAGCCACTTTAGCAACAGCTGCTTTGGCAGCTATAGTTCCTTGGGCACCTTCCCGGAGCTGAACATAGTCCCCTTCAACCAGAAATAACTAAACAAAACAGAAGACACTCTAACACATTTTGTAGTAATAAATTAAGTAAATACAAAAGATACACGTCTATGAGTAAGGACATACATCAGGATGATTGGCAACAAACTCATCAAGCTTTCCATACGTTCTTTTATAGTCATGCCAGTGTAGCGGGGCAAGCATCTTGCCAAGCCTATTAGGAAGCTATTTGCACACAAAAAACAGTTATTAGACATAAAAACTATATTAAACAGTAGTAAACTAACTGTATCACAGAAGGACAAATCAATTAACTCACCGTAGAACTAATCCTAATTCTGCCACCAGATCCTATGGCACGAGCTATAGAAGCTAGCAACGCTCTTTCATCCAGCAGATAAGTTTCCCCAGCTTTTCCAACTACATTGAAGTTCCTTTGTGCAGTCGAAATAAAGGCACTGGTCAAAACTGCATTGGAGGCAGTCTCTGAGGATTCACTAAAAATTATAGCAGGAGCCGGTGCTTCAGAGGAAAATGTATTGATAGAAAAACCAGTCTGCTCCATAGGCGTGGTTTTGTTCTCCAGTCCATGAATACCCACTGGATGTGCTTTGTTTTCCTGTGACAGTGGTTACAATACATGAGCTTTCAAACTATCAAGAATCATAAAAAAAATAATAATAACAATAAAATCAAGAATCATTAGAATTCATTGTTGTGCACGTAAAGGATGTGTAAAATGTAATAATGAGTACAAATGAGCATGTAGAAGAACAATTACTGAACCTCGGAGTCATTTCCATGTTCAATAGCATCCAGTCGAAGAGCATCATCAAACTGGGAAGAAATTTGCTGCAAGTTCTGCTGAGTTTGAGCATTTTCATGGTTTTCATCTATAGATTTGAGCACCTGAAAAATGGTGTGATCAATGCGGGTAAAGACAAGAGAAGAAAGCAGCAATTGCCTGTATCACATCAATTTGCCAACCTGTCCCTCCCCATTTGACAAACCAACCAAGCCACCCATGTCTTTTACTGGATTGATTGAAGCGTCTATATAATTAGCATGGATTGCTTGACCACTTCCTGATACTTCAAAATTATAATGAGGCTCCATTCTCAACAAGTTTTCTCCAGTCTGCTCTGAATACTGATTCTGGGTAGTCGTATGTTCCCCATCAGAGGGGGGCTTGTGTATGATAAAACAGGACATGAATAATAGCAAAGCATCACAACAACTGGCAATGGAAGAGCAGCAATAAAATGAATTATATTACTTACCTGTTGGTTTTGCCAGTTCTGAATTGATGACATTGCAGGCAATTGGTGAAAAGGAGATTGTGTAACATGTGAAGGATGTGGTACACCTTGTTGATGCATTACAAAGGGATGCATTGCAGTTGGAAGGTATGTTGGAACTCCAAAAAGGGAAGAAGGAGCAAATGCAACACTATGAACATGGTCCGTCTGGAAAAAGGTGATGAAACATTCAGGTAAAGTAAATTGAGATAGGAATTAGAACCTAATGCAATATATGCCCTGTATGCAGGACCCTCTCCACCAAGAAACTATGTGGCTAATTTTTATTCCTCTGTGGATCATTCCCCAAATGGAGAGGAATGAAAAATAAGATAGAACAAAATCTAGTTAAAGTGAAACAAACTAAATTTATGTTCAAATAATAGTTCTTTATCTATGTGTAATTCTTTTAATCATATACATTGAAATTATACATAGATACATCATACATGCATCTGTAAAACCTTCCAACTCCAGCATACTCAGCCAATCAATTTTAGACAGAACGGCCAGAAAAGGGAGAGATATTACCAGGTGAAGAACAAAAACAAAATGGACATCTACAATCACTTAAATGATTCTACAACAAAATGCAAACTTACGAAACTTCACAACATGCAGTTAGGAAAGTGCAGTGATAGAGAACAAAAAAATAGGGCAGCATTTACCTGTGTTAATGCATTCCCTGAGGAGGTTTCAGCATTTCCATTCTGCATACCAGTGGTTGGCTGGGGTGAATTACTGTCATTCACCTCCAACTGGTTGCCATTGGCATGTGCAACTTGAGAAACATCATTAGAATTTGTATGGGAGCCATGTGAATCATCTAGCTGAATTCCACTCTTTTCTCTCACATCAACAAGTTCAGCCTGGAGCTGCTGAATGTGCATATGAAGCTTTTCCATTTCTGCAAACTGAATAAGAACCATATCAAATTAGTATATATTTCTAAAATGAAACAGATTCTCCTTTTAAAAATTGCTGCTATAGCTTAAGCACCTGTCGTTGACAACCAAGCCACAGTTGATTGTATTGTTCTGTGCGGTCTCGAAGTTCAGCTTGTAGATTGTGGTTTGTGGTAGATTGAAGAGCATCCATTTCTTGGGCACGAGCCATCCAAGCTTGTGCCTCTCTCATCTGCTCATCTTTATAAAGGATAGCTTCTTGAGCAATCCTATGCTGGATGAACAAAGTAAACATCAAGACATGCCTAAACAATTTTGAAAAATAAATACATAAATAAAATAATCAGAAGTTTTAGATAAGCATGAACAAAGTAAACATCAAGACATGCCTAAACAATTTTGAAAAATAAATACATAAATAAAATAATCAGAAGTTTTAGATAAGCATGGAATATAAAGTCCAGACTCAAAACATATTTTTTACTAAACGAAACTTCAGCCAGAAACATCATTCTGAAATACAAAATTAGCGAACCATATAAAGATTGAACCTGACTCATGCAGATACAACATAATAGAAAGCAATTTTAAACCTGTTCCTGCAACTCAACGAATTGGCGCTCTTTTTCTTGAAGATGTTCACGAAGATCATGGATTTGTTTAATATGTTGTGCTCTCTCAGCTTCGGAGGTATCCCTCTCCCTCCTGCAAAAGGAGCAAGTCATATTAGAAAAAACCCAAGGCAATTTTGAAGGCCTGAGGACATCAAAACGAAATTACAATATAAAATCAAAAGCAAGTTGCCAAAAAAAAAATCTCAACAGATGAAACAAAATGACTTGGAAGGAACACATGAAAGAAAGGGGCATATAATAGGCCCTAAATTAACCCACTAGCTTCAAACATGTAACCAACCAAAAAGTACCTGTAACTCTGTAGCTCTTGGTTTCGCTCTCTAATTAGATCCTCTTTTGCCCAAACCTGCTATAATAGAGGTAAGAAATAATTTCAGTACAACAGTAACCAGGTTTCAAGAACAAACAATTCTAAGGAGAAAGAGATCATAGTTTATTCACTAACTGCGTCCTTCTCCAATCTACTAGCATGCAATTCTCTTTCCTTTTCATCCAGCTTTCTCTCCAGTTCACGTATTTTCTCTTCCTTCTCATGCAGTTGCTCCTGTAAGAAAAAGATTAGGGAAATAGCAATTAAACACTAACATTAGGGAAAATACATCCTTACAACTTCAAATACATTACAAATCTAACAAAAACACTACCAAGACAAATAATGACCAGCACATATTAGCCTATCAGATTGTAAATGCATAACTTCAAATGAAAGTGAAAGAAGATTGCCCTTGTTCAAATTCATCAACATTTCAACATCACAAAATGCATCCCCCCACAAAAGGCCAAAACCTGAAAATTGTGAATGGCATTTGCATGCTCCTTTATTTCAGCTTCAATTGTATTCCGCAAACCCACAATCTCTGATTTTGCAATAACCTGTGCCCGGAGGTCAACCTCTATTTGCTGCAATTCTTCCCTTTGTTTCACGACAGTGTGAAGTCTTTGCTGCAATATATCACTGTCCAAGCCCCCATCAATATTTATTGAGCAGAAATCCACATCAAGCGGCTCTCTCCCATGCTGCACCTTAACACAAAACACATCAACTAAGTTAAATAGCAAAAGGGAAAGAACAAAACATATAGAAACGTGCTAAAAAGAGATTGGAAAAATCAAAAGTTTCACTAAACACTGCCATTACCTCATATATCAATCTCTCGTCAGACGGGCCTAGTTTTGAACGCTCCATTTCCTGTGCATACCCACAAAACAAGAAGGAACATATAATCATAAATATAAAGGACACCGAAACCCTACCTTGGTAGCACTGCTGCATCAGCGTAAATTTGGAGGATCGAAAAATATTATATATGGAATGCCCCAAATGCAAGCATGCTTCTCACAAAAAGCCTAGCCAGTAATACCGTCTCACAAGAAAAACCACTTAAAACAATAATCACTATTTTCTGACAAAAAAAGGGTAAAGCCAATGCAAGTAGATTTTCACCTCGTTACTGGAGTTGCGAGCCGATTGTTCGGTTACAGCACGCCACTGCTTACGGGAAGGTTGAGAAGACGACGGCGGCATCGACGGCAGAGTAACACCTCCATTACGCACGGCGGCGGTAGCACCGGGCGCGGCCTCCATCAAACCGAGGTAAAGTACAGTCCTTTTCCCCTCAAATCCGCCCTAATTTCGCATCAAAACCCTCGGTTCAAAAAGCAATTGACAAAATGCCGAGCCGAAAACAAGAAAGTACGGGCCGAATGCAATAAAGAAGCTGAATCGAGCGAGAGACTTCTGTGTGCGGGAAATGGGAGTCTTTGGAGATTGGGGACGGGTGGGTTTTGCGAATCGGAGGTTTTAGAGGGACTCCATAGCAAATAAATACCAGGAGGGGAAGACCGCACAGAACGGAGATGGACAGATAGATATTATTGTAGGAAACGGAATTTAGAACGCAAGTAATCCTCACGCCCTTTATAGACCGAGGAGAAGACGCCACAATCCCCTGTTGACGTTCCCAGTGCGCTTGATGAAATCTCGACCGTCCGTTTAGCAATCGACGGTAAAGAATATATGGGCCTTGAACCCACTTAAAATTTACGAGCCCAATTCATCAAGCCCAAATAGGCCCAATTCAATAATAGAAGACCGAAAACGTACGTTTAAACCAATTTAAAAAATATATCTATATATATATATATACCTTTAAACCGTGAGCGCCAAAACGAACTCCGCCGGAAACAGTTGCAGAAGTGAGAAGAACCGCCGCCGGCAGCGATTTTCCGATCACTCACACGCTTGGTTTCTCGGAAGTTCTCGACGTATCAGAGAATATTGATCGAACCGTTCTGATCGAATTCCTACTCCTCTAATTCTCCGCCGCCTCCTTCCGCCGCGAACGACGGGCGGTGTACCTGCAACAAGGAGCCAGAAACCACGCCGTCGCCGCTCCTCCGCCGCCTCAGTGAGCGTATCTATAATAAATTTTCAGCACCAACAAACAAGAAAGGAAATCTGCAACCAGGCGGAGATTATTATTTATCTTCCGATGAACTCGTGAACAATGTGTTGTGGGGATTATCTTCTTATGCTTCAAAATGGGCTTTGCATTTCTGGAGTTTTCACATGTAAAGTATAATTTGGGCCATTAGAGAAGACCCGATTTTATCGGGGCCGATATAAGGCCCATTCTGTATAGCGGATGCATTTCTTTTAATCCTCTCTTCTCTGTGTAGGATATTTATTCTTTTTTATGTAAAACTAAATTATTTCATATAAATAATTTTTTACAGTATTCTCTCTATATATAAATAATATTTATACTTTATTTTATCACAAATATTTTATTCAAATATTTTTTAAAAATAAATAATATATGTTAAGATAATAGGTGTGTGTTCACTTTGTTTTTTTTTTTTTTAATAAAATAAGATATCACATCAATTACTTAATTACATTACAACAAACGATTATTATCATTTAAAATTTGAATTATCCAAAAAATACTATGTTTGGTTGTGATTTAAATAGTATTTAAATATAATATAATAATAATGTTTTTTATTTGATATTAAAAAATATTTTTTTAAAAAAAAACAAACAAACACATCCTAACACATCCAAACAACCCCAAAAACACAAGTAAACAAAACATGGTTTAAAAATTTAAACAAGGAAGGAAAAAAGCTAAATTGAAAACCAAGAGATATTTTGGTGGGGCTTCGAGTCTAACTCGGTAGGAAAGCCGACACTTAGGTGTAATTTTGTTTGTGACTAAAGGTACTTGTAGCTATGTTTGCACATATATATATATATATATGGTGTGTTTGTTTTGGGGATTGGATTGGATTTACACTATTCATCCAGTTTTTCTCCCAAAAAAACATCAAATCAAACACCTATTTTTTATTTTTTATATTATACTAAAAATCAATTTTACATTCAAAATATCACATCAACGCCTATTTATATCACATCATACAACTATTCAAATTCAAAATTTTTACTTTTCAAATCCCAATTCAAAATATATATAGTAGCAAATGCATAGTTTTCACTCGTAGAATCACACCAAATATCCAAATGGTAACTGTAATTGTAAATTTTCAGAATTTCAAAATTCTATTAAATAATAATAATAATAATAAAAAGGAAGTCCTAGTCATGCAAAACGACATAGCAATGAAAACAGGTGTCTGTCTATTCGAAAAGGAAAATGGAGTTTTGAATTGTCGATGGGATGGAATGGGTATTATTATTTTTATTATTATTATTATTATGGGCGTTGGTATGATCTCTTCTTCAACTTCTGTTCTTGGCTTTGCTAAAAGGAGAAATGGAAGGTGATTATTCGATATAATTTAATTAATTAAAAAAAACATGGGACAATTTAATTAATTTGCTACAGTAGTTTTCACGACCAACTAATTAATCTATCTGTCAGTTTCCCTAATGAGATTTAATTTGTTTGATCTAATTTGCAAAAGTATTAGATTCGGCTGAAGATGTACTCGACCGAATAGTGATGACGAATTTTTATATTAAAAAATAATCTTCAATAATGGCCGTTCAAGACAAAGGTTATATATATATATATATATATATTATGGCCCATTATTACCAAACAGGCCACGAGTCAAAATTTATTTTATTTTTAAAATATTTAATATAGTATTATATTTTTAAATCACAAATGTTTTTAAATGAAACATTGCCCGTGTGTATTTAGTTTTGTATTTTTATTTTAATTTTTGGTTAATATGATAATTGAATATACTATTTTTAAAAAAATATAAATATAACTGAATAATTAGAAAAAAAAAGAACAGCCTGTGTATTTCACAGCCGTTTTCTCCTAAATATACCAAACTGAAATACCACGTTGTGCCACTTGAATATTAGCACTTAGCAAATATTAGTAAAAGACCCAAACACTTGGGGTTAAAATAAAATATATATATATATATATATTTCAATAGTATTAATTTAGACATATATTTTTTATTTTATAGAATTTAATTTACTAAGCCCAACAAGCAAGTCACACTATGGGAATCATATGTGATAGGTGATCTGAAGCGTCAGGGTTTGAACCATGACCTTACGATCACACGTCCAATCCTCACACCACCAATCCATTCCTTACGGGACAGCTTTGTGTTTATATTTGAAGTCACGATGAAGCACGTTATATATACCGATTTTTATTTTATATCAACTATTTTTTCACTAAAAAAATAAAAAATAGTATATAGATATAAATACATACACATATGTAATCTCAATATGGAGATGTCGAAACCACCGACTCCGTCTTCGCCTTGCCTGTCAAATTTGTCTAATGCGTCTTACTTTATCGTAAATAAATAAATACTAGCATGTACGTGAAATTAGTTAACTACCATCCTTTGTCCTTCATGCATACCTACCAAAGCAATATGACGTTGAATATACATACATATATATTATAGTTGAATATCATATTTTAGTAGAGAGATGGAGTGTTTTTTAACGTTATTTAAATAATAATAATAAAATTTAAAAAAAAAATTGAATAGTAAAGTTTTTAAGAATTAAAACTTCAAAAGCTAACCCAATAAAATGCATCTCTACAATTGTTTGATATAATATTAAAAATAAAATAAAAAATTATAAAGTGAATATTTTTTTAATAGATAAAATATATAGCATTAGATTATTTTTTTTTCATTATATTTACAGAGAAAATGTGTAAAGATATATATATATATATTTGTGGATGAACATACCCTTGGACTGTTTGCATAACACAAAATTTTTACACTATTTATCAACTAAGTATTTATTAATAATTGTTTCTAAAAAAAAAATACTTATATCAAATACATCCCTAAAAAATTAATAGTAAATTTAAAATTCATTTTTTATATAAACATCACATCAAATATTTAATAATTTACTATTTAAAAAATTCTCAAAACTTCAACATATTACTATTAAAAATTTCTCAAAAAAACATAAGACTATCTTCACAAACACTACCCTAAAATTTAACATTATTCATTAATTATTTTTTATTTTTAAAAAATATTAAATTAAATATGTTTTAGTTCACAAAATACAACATACAAAAACTTAAAATTTGTTCATCTCAAGTCTCAACGAAGTCTAACTTCAGAAACTATTATCTAATTTTATACCACTATTGAATTAAATACCTACTACTCTTTTCAAAAGCTTTGTGTAGACAGACAAAGGCTAGTGTACATATATATATATATATATATTAAAACATATACTCTCTTCGACATTAAAATGTTGCTATTTTTTATTTTTGTCCGTCCTAAAACAAAATTATCATTAATTATACTATCTATCTAACATAATAAATATCCTTCTAACTTATACTATGTTATACAAATATCATTATTTAAAAATTATTAATATTTAAAAATTTAGGCGAAAAATATAATTCATTGTAAAGCTGATTATCATTAGCAAATAAAAAGTGAATAGAGTAACAGAGGCTGTAATGAAACAATGATGAGTTTTGTGAGGAAGACAGACATGAGAGAAAGTCCTCTAAACGATCATTAGTTTAGTACCACTGTAATTATTACTGAAGGGACACTGACATTTTCAGGATTAACACAACAAACAAGTGTTCTTCATTCATTTGTCGTTATTAGGCTATCATCCCATCTTTATTTCTTGCGTGTTCATCCTTCTTGTCTACCTCAGGACTTTCTTGTCCACACGCACACTTACGTATACCATCAGAAAACAAAACTAAAAACACGTACAAGTACTCTCTCTCTCTCTATCTCTCTCTCTAAATACTAGTATCAAATTATTATTACAAGACACAATAACAATGTTATTTATAAGTATAATTTTTGTGCCATTTACAATAAAGGGACTTTTCACTATCTCTCCCTTTTTGGTTAATTCCACAGATATTTCTATACTCACACCCTGCATAATCTCTGTTTCTTCAATTTGATTTATAGCTAATTTCCAGTCCTAATTATTATTACAATAAACGCCAAAGTAAAGATTCTAGTAATTTGTTTTCTTTATAGACTATTCCTTATGATCTCTGCCTCATTTTGTTTTACATTACTACTTATTTTTCCACAGCACAAACAAACACATTGAAAAATCACTGAAATGACAAGAACACAAGAAATTGAGTTACCTGTAAATTGTTTAAAACCAATTTGCTGAATCCAGGTAAATTGATCCAAATCCCATCAAAGTAATTGATCTGTGAAGGCCAAAAAGAATTCAATAAAAAAAAAAAAAAAAAAGAAAAAAAAGATGATCATCTATCCAAAAAAAAAAGATGATCATCTATCCAAAGAACAATGAAATCAAGCTTAATTTTGAAATCTACTCAGGTGGATCAAAATAGATACGTATGGATGGATACCTACCATGAATAGGGGTGAGTAGAAGGGGATGGAGATTTAAACAGCCAGCAAGAGAAAATCCAACACTTGGAGATCAACCAAAGGAGTCCCTTTGCAAGAATACACATCAATGGCCCCACACCTCTTTTGGCACCTTTAGACTAACACACCACCTTATCATATATTTCAACTACTATTTATTAATCACAACTTGCCCCAAAATCTGTCCATCTCCTGCAACTATGGAATCACCAGAGAAAGATGAGTTAGGGTATGAAGAGAGCCATCCAACATCATCCACCACTAAAATTAAAAACAGCAAGAATCCAAGGAGATTTACAGATGATCAGATAAAGTCATTAGAGTCCATATTCAAGCAAGATACAAAGCTAGAGCCCAGGAAGAAGTTGCAGCTAGCAAAGGAGCTAGGGCTGCAGCCTAGACAGATAGCCATATGGTTTCAGAACAGGAGGGCAAGATGGAAATCCAGGCAGATAGAGCAAGAGTATAAGGTACTAAGGGAGAATTATGACAGTTTGTATATGCAGTTTGATGACTTGCAGAGGGAAAAACAGTCCTTGCAAATGCAGGTAAATTGCCTCAAGTTTCTTTCTGATTTGCTTATGTTTTTGTTTAGACTTAATCTGCGGTGTGAGCATTAGTGTGCCTTTGTCAACAGTTGCAGGAGCTGAGTGATGCAGTAAAGAATCTTAACAGGGTTGATCTAACCGACAGAGATGCTGAATTGAAAGAATGTGTTAACAGTGCAAAAGAGAGGATGGATCGTTGCTACGATGTCATGAATGCAGATGCAGATGAAGATGAAAAATTCACAAACTATTTTAACAGGGCAGAAGAGAAAGAACCTTTGAGATGGGGTGAAGAGGAGGAGATCAGTCAGCTGGGATCACCAGAAGCATGGTGCAATCTGTCCTCATGTTGCCTGTTTGATCAGTCATCAGGAACTTCAAAATCAAATTGGTGGGACAGTTAGATGTGTAGAGAGTAGAAAGAAAGTATTATGGAGATACATATGTTATGATCACATTCAGGTCTTGTGTGTGTGTGTGTGTAATTGTTTTTGTTACTCAGAAAAACAGCTGAATATGAGGTTTGGAGGGGGGGGGGGTGCTGCTTCCTTTCTAGCTCCAGACACAAGAAGCAGCCTTGGAAGAAATGATTTCAAATGCTGTCAGAGCATAAACAGAGCTATATAGTCTCATTTGAACTAAAACCAGCCAAAAAAGCATCAGATAATCAATTACGTATGTAAAGGCATGTAAATAAGCAAGAGGGTTACAGATAAAACAAGGCATATATATGTAGGATCATTTGGTGTGGTTCAAATTTCAGCTTTTGCATCTTATGGTACAGATGAACAAAGGATATAGGCAGTTGTGTGTTGTGTTAGGTTTCATTGACAACAAATTATTAATTCTGTAGTGTTTTTCCTTTTACTTTTTTGGTTCAATAGCAATAGAACACATCCCTTCAGTGCTGTTAGTTGAAACATAAAGCTCCTTAGCTTTTGGAAGATCAGTTCTATCACTTTGGATTAAACTAATGCAAAGTAGCAACCCCATTTTGTCAAGCCATTTGTGGGTGCACAAAGAACAGTAAACGTTATCGTTAAACCATAGAAAAAATAAATCAGTAGTAAACAAAGGAGCCATTTCAATAAAATAAAAATAATAATAATAATAATAATAATAAGAGGAAAAACAGAGCCATTTATGAACAAAGCTAAATATGTAAAAACTCAAGTCTATGAAACATTAACTAGTAAAAAGAAATCAGTATCTGGTTTACAAATAAATGGAGCCAAGGTTCGATATGCTGCGCATAAAATAACAAACAAAACCATTTGTTTTCATTGAAACAAATAAAAGGAAGTAAGCTGAGCAGATAAGTGCAATTTGGGATCAACATGTAGTCTACTTGATCTTCTTCTTCGGCCTCAGCTGTACAACATTAAGAGAGAAAGGGTCAATCAACCATGAACAACCAATAAAGAAGCATATGAATAGATGTATCTTCAAGAATATGAACCTGGTTGCTGTGCCCACACTTCTTTTTCCTGCAGTTGACAGCACGAGGGTGCAGGCGAGCATAACACCTATGAAACAAAAACATGCACAGCATTTTATACATATAGGGATAGAGATAATTTTCAAATACCAATTCAAAGTGTTGTTACGGTAGCAATCCCCGACATTTATTTCGTTGATTGTATCAATTCAGAAGGCTTTAGAAGGAGGGTGGAGATATCCCAGTTTATTATTTCATCAAGACATGATCAAATTTTGGAATATCCAAAAATATTGGTAGCTCCCAAAGTTCTCTAAAGGCAGAGAGTTCTAGCATAACTGTCATTGCTATTTAAATCTAAAGTTAATTTTTACGTATCACCAAAAATATCTTGGCACTATTCATGGACAATACCATTTTAGAGAAATATATAAAATTAGAAGTCTTGGCACTAAAAAATCAAAGGTAATTTTTTTGAAAAAATATCATATCAATTTTTTTTTACTATCACAGAAAATGGCATCAAATATACAATTTTTACCTATTTCAATTTTCTTTTCAAATCTTTAAAATCCTCTATATAGACAGAGAACAAAGACTAAATAATCCCATTACGATCCTTATATTCAACCTAAATGACTAACAGCAACTTTCAAATTACGACACACTAAATACAAGTATCCAAGCCCATCAAATGAATGAATAGAGGCGATCTCTCTATATGAGACAGCAAAAGAACAATTCTATACAATTGTGCAATAGATGGAAGGAAAAAGAAAATACACGTAAGCGAAAAACGAATTTTTCGGATGAAAGATGTTAGTTAACCTACTTGCGGCAGATCATCTTGTCCTGGTTGTATTTCCTGGCCAATGCCATGAGCGAGGGCTCGATAATTCCACCCCTAAGCCTCAGAACCAAGTGCAGGGTCGACTCTGCAAGAATTATTTAACATCAGCAAAAAGCTGCGAGTGATAACAATAAGTAAAAAGACATAAACAAGTCTGATAGCCAAAAACCTTTCTGGATGTTGTAATCAGCAAGGGTGCGTCCATCTTCAAGCTGCTTTCCGGCAAAAATCAAACGCTGCTGATCCGGCGGGATTCCTGAACAAACACCCGATTACAAACACAACATAATTAAAATCAACGGAATTTTCATCTGCCTTTCCCGTTCCCTCAATATCCATAAAAACTCTCTTAAAATCTTACCCTCCTTGTCTTGAATCTTGGCCTTCACATTATCAATGGTGTCGCTCGATTCTACCTCGAGCGTGATGGTTTTCCCCGTTAGGGTTTTCACGAAGATCTGCATTTTTACGAGTCCGGCGTTCTCACAACTTCCACCACCACAACCCTTTGAGACGACTATATATTGCAGGCGGAATTAGGGTTCTTCAAGGACGTCGTTTCAAGATATGAAATCTTCTATCCCATTTGGGCTTCCTGAAAATAAAAGGCCCATATTGGGCTGGTAAATGGGCCAAGCCCATATCTCCCCAGACTTATTTGAGTTGGTTGATCCATTTGAATATGGGCTCAATTAATGGGCTGCACAAAAGGCCAAGAGCCAGCTTGCCAAGGTCGAAGACAGCTGGGCTGAGTCGGCTCCAATATATTTTATTTATTGCATTTAGAATTGTCTTAAAAAATTGCATGCTCACACTTTTGGATTGTAATACTATTCATTCTTTAAACAAATATAAAATCAATTTATTTTTTATTTTCATAAAATATTATATTAATTTTCAAATTTTTGAAATTTTCCAAAACTTTTTGTCAAAACAAAGCAGTTTTAAGAGGATTGTTGCAATAGAAAACAATTGCTTCATCAACTTTTGTTTGACATAGAGAATACAAATTAATGAGATTATAATATCAAAATAAAATAAATAAAAAAATAATAAATTGTGAAAAAAAAAAGTAAAAAAAAATATATATAGTAACATTATTTATTAAAATTAAAGTATTGAAATTATAAACGGATAAAGTATTTTATTATAAATAAGAATATACATAAGTTAAACAAACAATAAAAAATATAGATATAATTTTGACCGATGAAATAAAATCTTACTGAAAAAAGACTTGTGTCTTTTTTTTTTACAAATACTTTTGAAATTATTGTCATTGTTTATATTTATTAATTTTTCCAAAATTACTACACATCAAATATATATTTCTATCACAAAATACCAAACAATTTTTTTTTACTATTATTATTTTTTTCTCAAAAGTCTTTGTCTAAATAAAACCTGTATCTTATTTTAAAACTGGGCTAATTTCAAACCTCAATTCCAAATCCATTGTAAGATACTCCCTCGTCCCACAATAATTGACATTATTTTTATTTTTATTTGTCTCGTAACAATTGATACATTTCTATTTTTGATAAAAATTATTAAACTAAAACATATTTTACAAATATAAATCAACTTACTTAACTACATAACGTACAACATCATAAATGACAAACTCACTCAAAACTCCTTTATTTCTATCTCTCTCCTAAAAAAATTAAATATTTTTATCTATATTTAAAACTACACTATTTTTTATAAAATTGATTTATATTAATTATAAATAAATAAAAATATTTTTTTATATACTTGTACTATATAAAATTTTATTCTCTACAAAATGATATCCATGTTGCATATATTTTTTAATTTCTATATAATTTTTAAATATTTAAACATATATTTTAATTTTTTTAATCATGTATATTAAATTTACTTTAAAACTATAAATATTATTAATTATTCAAAAAAAATATAATAATATAATAATTAATTATTATTAACTAATTAAACATCTTTAATTTAAATACTGTGTTTCTAATCAAATCTTCATTTCCTATGGGATAAAGAGTGGAGTTTTTCTTATTTTGAAATTGGCCTATTTTCAAATTCCAATTGCAAATCCATTGTATCGTACGTGTCTAAATTTAGCATATATATCTTATCTTAGAATTGGCCTATTTCAAACTTCAATTCCAAATCCATTGCATCTTACATTTCAAGTTGGGATAAATAATTACAGATCCTTTCTATCACAACGTGAAACGTAAGGTATGAAAGTTTTAGGATCGAGGTTTCAATTAAATTAATGCATGTTGATAAAAAGTTGGGTAGGTATTTAGATTGTGTTTGTCTGGGGATTGAATTTTAAATACACTGTTCATCTTATTTGTTCCAAAAAAAACATTAAATCAAACACATATTTTTCATTTTTTTTATATTATCCTAAAAGTCAATTTTACATTCAAAATATCACATCAACACCTATTTATATCATATTATAGGAATATTCAAATTCAAATTTTTTACTGTTAAAATCCCAATTCAAAATCCAAACTCTCAAACAAACACACCCACTAAATTAAACATTTTATTGGTTTATTAAAGTAGGAATATTACAATAACTTGAATGAGTGGGTTAACTAAGGGTGTGTTTGTCTTGGGGGATTGGATTTTGAGTTGGGATTTGAATAGTAAAAAATTTGAATTTGAATAGTTATATGATGTGATATAAATAGGTGTTGATGTGATGTTTTGAATATAAAATTGATTTTTAGTATAATATAAAAAATGAAAAATAGGTGTTTGATTTGATGTTTTTGAGGGGAAAAAATTGGATGAATAGTGGAAATCCACCAAAATCCAAACAAACACACCCTTAAGTTTCATCAATTTTTCCATAATTTGAATGTATATTGAGTATATTTGTTTTGCATTTTGAATATAAAATTATATTCTTTTATGTTCGGATTATTATGTTTGGATTACTGTATAGATTTAAAAATTTAAGTCTCGAATATTATGTTCCTGTAAACATGAAAATTTTAAAAAAATATAATTAGTATGTAATTATTTTATAGTAAAAATAATTATAAATTAAAATCAAAATAACTAATAATCTAATTAACATTAAAATGTATACTTTTTAAAAAAAAAATTGACATAATATGGAATAGAGGAAATAATTAGTAAATAATTAATTTATTTAAAATAAAATTAAAATGTATAATTAATTTTTAAAAATAAAAAATTAATAAGACATGAAACGGACAAAACACCAATATAATTCAAAAAAATATTATTTAAATAAAAATTTTAATTTCAAGCACAAATCAAATAAAATTAATTATATTTTTTTACAAATTGAAATAAATGTAAAATTGGGAGAGAAAAAATAATTGTTAATAATTAAAAGTCAAGCCATCCTTTTGAGAGTTTCGAGAAAGGGTAACTAGGTTCAAAATAAATTTATTATAGCACGTGAAAAATAATTTCCCGGACACAACGAACACATTCCCTTTATATATTACTCCACTACACGTACAATAGAATTTTCAATCACATATACGGAAATACCTTCCGATCAAAACATAAAAAAAAAAAGGAAATACCTTATACGCTGCTTACGAATTCGACAGTGGTGCTGGATCAATGGCTTCACCTGCACGCCAAAAGAAAGTGATGAAATTCGACTCCGAGGAAGACGTCGCCGTCGCTCTCGCTAAATACACCGCCGATCTGTCTCAGAAGTACATCAAAGAGAAAGGTTCATTCTCTGTTGTTCTCTCCGGAGGAACTCTTATCGACACACTCAGGTCGTCAATTCACTTTGCGCTTTTCGTTTCTATTTATTCATTTATTTTTGTAAAAATCATTTCAGAGAAATGGAATTGTGGAAATCTGTAACCAGATTAGTTTCCTTTGAAGTATGACGTTTCAATCGGGCATTTGGTTGAGAAATGGGTGAATCGACGTTTGGAAAAGCTGAATACGATGTTTTCCTTTCGAACGTGATGTGTGGTGTTGAAATTTGAAAATAAATTGACAGCGATGGAAAATGACGAGATTGAACACATTACAGCTCGGTGATTGTACATATACTACTAGTAGATTTCCTGCGTTTTGTTACTGATCGGTTCTTTTCAGCGTTTAAAGCGTCTTTTTGTCCTTTGGCTGGTTCCGTTTTCCTTTCCAATAATGGCAGATGAAACTAATTTCTAGCAGTTACATTCCTACCAGAATTATAGTTATGCTAAATCTTAGACGCCCCTGTGAAGATATGAAAATGGCCATACTTATGATTTATTCAGAAGTTTCCACACAGTGGTGTTCTTATATCTTATTTGTGTATATACTCTAGTTCAAGGCCTGGGATAAATGCTTTTTTCTTATCTGTGATTGATGTTTTCGACGATCTAGGAAGCTAACAGAGTCACCATACAAGGAATCAATTGAGTGGACGAAATGGTTGATATTTTGGGTGGATGAGAGAGTTGTTCCTCTCGATGATGAAGAAAGCAACTACCTGCTTGCTAGCAGAGGCTTTCTTAGCAAGGTAACATCAAATCAATTATCTGTTTTTCCAGGGCATGGCTTTTGATTCTTGCTAGCATACACAACCTGTAATTGATCAAACTAAAACTAACCCACCTCAACAAACATTTGGATTTTGTTTTTAAAGAGCATTCTATATGATATGAATTAGCGTTGATGAGATGTTTTAAACGAGAGATTGATCTTTTTTGTGTAAGAAAGGTGTTTGAGATCAAAACCAAACATTGTTTTCTCTGCATTTGCAATTACAGGTGCCAATTCCTTCCAACAACGTTTACGCCATCAATGACAAGAAGTCGCCGGAGGGTGCAGCAGATGATTACGAGGAGCGTGTGAAGCTTCTTGTTGGAAGCAAAATCATACCTCTTTCAAATTCCGGGTTCCCAAATTTCGATCTAATGCTGCTAGGGATGGGGCCGGATGGGCATGTGGCCTCTCTGTTCCCAACACGGCCGCAGAGATATGAAAAGAAACGATGGGTCACCTTCATTACCGACTCTCCCAAGCCACCTCCACCAAGGATCACTTTCACATTTCCTGTCATCAACTCATCTTCAGAGATTGCAATGGTGATCACAGGCGCGGATTTGGCAGACGCTGTCAAGACTGTTTTGGGCGACGGCAATTCCCCTCCAGGTTCGACTCCTTTACCCGCTGCTGAAGTTTCTGCTGAAAATTGTCTCACATGGTTCTTGGATAAAGATGCTGCTTCCAAACTGTGAATCCAAGAAGTTATCTAAGTACAAAAAATAAAGGTCATCCACAGTCCATATGAATGTTGTCTGTGAAAATAAAGTATGTAGCATCATCCCTTCTAAGCTGCTTGTTGTCTGCTATATAACAAGTGATAGTTGTTATAGCCAGTTCCATTCTATCCTTACTATGTATGGTGTTTTGTGCTATGTTATGTTGTCTGCCTATCAAAATGTACTCTGCAAATGGATTATTTTTTATTTTTAATAATATGGTAAGCGGATAGAATTTAATAATCAGCAAACTAGTTGACAAAGTAAGTTATATTAGATGAATCCAAATTTGAAGATATGGAAAATTTAAATTCATGAACATGAATCCATCCTATATGACAATAATTCATTTTTGATTTGGTTAGTGGTCATTCTTCTTGCAAATTCATTTTATTTAGTTAAGATAAGGTAACTTTGGATCAAACATTAGAATGACTTGGATAACAAATATACTAAGGTTGGCTCATATTATATATGGATTTTTGGAATTTTAAAAATTTTAGATAAAAATATATATATTTAATTTGGTATTTTTGACGTGGTATGTTTGTAATACTATCATATTTATACTCTTTAAAATAAATAAATATATTTATAATATTTTATAACAAAATAATTAATTTATGTTACAACTCGTTTAATTTTGATGTAAAATTTAATCAATATTGTACTTTTATAACAATTAATAATATTTCGGTCTATTATTTAAATACCATTTTTTAATTGCTATTTTTAAAATATAATAAACAAAAAATCAAAATACTTACGAGTCATTATTATAAAAAAAGAAAAATTCTTATAAAAAATAAAAAGAAATTAAATATTCATTTAAAAATAATACTGCATTCATTATTTTGAGTAAGAAGAGCAAGACATGAAGGCACCGAAATAAATTCAACACGACATTTATTTATTTAATTATTAATTAATGGGCTGAAGCGGTTTCAGCTTCCATTCGGTTTGCATTCACCGCTCTCTCTCCTACGCCCTGGCCGATGTTGGAAATTTGGGAGAAAGGAGAGCAGAGTAGACAAGAGAAGGGGAACGAAGAAGAAGAAAGAAAGGATTTGAAGAAGGTGCTGTGATTCCTCCCCTACCCGTAGGCCCTGGTTGATGTTGGAAAATCCACCGCCAGGCGTATTGCGGCATCCCAGGGCCAGATTCGTAACACTGGATACACATCCGATGCTCGCCGGCGGCGCCGCTGCGGTTGAAGCCATCGGCAGCAGAATCGGTCAGATAAGCAGAGCGGTTATCGTCGGAGGTGGATTCTGGAGGGATGCGGCGGCAAAGGATGGCGCAACCCTCGCCTTCACGGCGCTTGCTGGCCTCGCGTTAGCCGCAGCTGTGTTCTACACTACTAGGTAATAATAAAGAGTGCGGATAATTTGTGCCAACCGAATAGTGATTGCCGAGGGCTTTTTGAAATCAGATGTTGTAACCCTAGGCCGAGTAACTTGCGTAGTTTGAAAACATTAGGGAAAAAATTATCATATTAAGGCTTGTTAAATGAAAGCTCTAAGGCTGATTCAGACTTCGTCATCGGCAAAGTCTTCGCCGCCACCGCCGCCACGATCACCATCACCACCCTCGAATGCGTCGTCACTTTCATCATCTTCCCCGCGGATACATCTGAGATCGGTTCTATTCTTAATAGCTTCCTCCAACTCCTCACCAGCCTCTTCTTCTTCTGCTCGGTGAGTCTCCTCTTTATTCCCCTCATCCCTTGCAGCTATTTTATTCATTTTGCTGCCTCATACCGTGGTGTAGTTCGATGATGAAGCTCAGATCTCGGTCGTAGATTTCACAGTTATAATGAGATTACCTAAATCTGGTATTTGCCTGTTCGTGTTCAGCTTTGCATTCCAGTTAACAGCAAGTCCTTTCACCCTCCCCCCCTTCATTGTTTGTTTTGATTTCAATTTAGTTAGTTAGATGTTATTGGAATAGATGTGGAAGAAAATGATTAATTTGAATACATAGTGGGGTAATATTTATGTTAAGTTAGACCAAAAGGATGGCTATGTACTTTGAGGCATTTGCTGTTTTGGTCTGTTGCAACATTGCCCTCTTTGGATTGGGGAATTAAGGCATAAATCATGTATATGACCTATTCTGATATTCTGTTTGTTGCAAATTCTTATGATTGCCACTTCGATCGTTAATGGAAAAGAGAGAAATCTGTGCTAGAAGTGGAAATTATTGTTGAACCTCCTGTAAAATGAGATGGAACATTCAATGACTTTCTATCAAGCTATCTTCCATTGCTAGACCTGTTGATAGATATACTACTTTGAAGGATATAGAAAAAATGACAGAAGAAAAGATGGGGTGGTTTGATCATGAATTTAATTTTGTTTTGTAACTTAAGTTCCACAGTCATGTGATTTATATTTCAGGGTAGTTATCAAATGGTTTTGGGAGTCATCTGGCCATTCCATGTTCTACCTCAATCTTCTTTGAGTGGTTCTCTGAGTAAATAATTTGGACATCATAATATTATTACAGCCAAGTGTTAAAATAAATGTCATCAGTCATAATTATTTTTAATAAGTATTATGTAGAGCTAAAGATATTTATTTTTGGCTAAATCAACAAGTGCTATCCATTGTGTTTGCAGTTTCTACGATGGTGCATGTTATGCATTTTTTTATTGCTATAAAACCTGCTGGCCATGATTGGTCTATTATCTACTTTCTCATAACGTATAAGCTTGTGATTCAGTCTCATATTTGCAGTCCTGTAACTTATCAAGTGAACGCTTGTATTTTTCCATTTCAGGGGTCGTCTCAAATCTCCATGGCATCGAAGAAAACGAAAACACATACTCACAGCTCATCAGTGGAGAAGTTTATTCACTCCTGATGGAAAACTTTTTGACAATGGAGTTAAATTTCTGAAGAAAGTTCGAAGTGGAGTAAGTAGTGTTTTTATGTTACTTCCAAATTTCCTGATTTTTGGTGGAATCTGATGTTCTTTCTATGCATATAAATGGGTAGTTTTAAAACTATTTGTATTAATCTTTTTCCCTGTTTTGTTTAGGGTGTTGATCCAAGCATTAGGGCGGAGGTTTGGCCATTTCTTCTTGGAGTGTAAGCTAATTTATTCTTTAAAATGTTTTGGTGTGGGTCTTTAGAAATAGAACACTATCTTTTTGTTCACCTTGGCTGCCAAACATAACATAACTGATACTGATCTTCTACTTGCAGCTTTGAGCTCACAAGTTCCAAACAAGAAAGGGATGCTATTATTACCTTGAAAAGGTGCACCTTCAAACTTCAGTTCTCATTTATCTCCACAGGTTCCCTACCTATCCATAAGCATGCTTGAAAAGTGACTTGCCCGTATCAATACCTTAATTTTTATTTATTTATTTATTATTATTATTTTTTTCCCTTTTCCTTTTACAATTTGAATTAGAATGCACCACCTCAATTAAATTTCCTATGGGCATTAAACCATGCATGCAGGGAGGAATATGAGAAATTGCGGAGACAATGTAGGCGGATTGTTAGGGAGAACAGTGACTTTTTGAAACTAAATGAAAGAGGTGGAAAGAGCAGTAGTAGCGGTGAACATCCCACTGAAGACATGGATTCTCCTGACTCTAAAAATGTCTCAGTTGCCGAAGATTGTGCTGCTAGTGAGGAAGATTCTCAGTATTGTGGAGACACAGACGAGCTCGCCAGCTCTGCAGTGGATCAAAACTTAGGGTCTAAACCTGATTTAAAGGTTGCTTCTGAATCAGACTCGTCCAATTCTGATTCATCAGATGAACCTGAAGTGAGCCAAACTTTCACGATAACAGAAAGCACAGAGGACAATGATCCTGACCTGCCATCCAATGAAGATTCAGCACAATCAAAAATGGAAGTTCAGTCAGAAACCCGCCGAAGAGAAGATTTCTCCACCTGGCAGCGAATTATCCGCTTAGATGCTGTTCGTGCAAACGGGGAATGGATGGAATACAACCCAGTTCAAGCGGCTGCATCAGATGCCGAAGCACGCCAGGCAGCTGAGCTTATCGGATTGACTGGTTACGATCACCTCGAACCTAGCAGGATCTTCCACGCTGCTCGTTTAGTCGCTATTCTCGAAGCATATGCACTTTACGACCCCGAGATAGGATATTGCCAGGGAATGAGCGATCTACTCTCCCCCCTAATTGCCGTGATCACAGAGGATCACGAAGCTTTCTGGTGTTTTGTTGGTTTCATGAAGAAAGCTCGCCACAATTTCAGGCTGGATGAAGTGGGCATCCGAAGGCAGCTGAACATCGTCTCTAAAATCATAAAGTACAAGGACTCCCATCTTTACCGGCATTTGGAAAGGCTCCAGGCCGAGGACTGTTTCTTTGTGTACAGAATGGTGGTGGTGCTGTTCAGAAGAGAACTTACGTTCGAGCAAACTTTATGCCTATGGGAGGTTATGTGGGCCGACCAGGCTGCACTTAGGGCAGGGGTAGGGAAGTCGGCTTGGGACAGGGTTAGGCAACGAGCCCCTCCAACTGAGGATCTGTTGCTTTATGCAATTGCAGCCTCGGTTTTGCAGAGGAGGAAACAAATCATCGAGAAGTATAACAGCATGGACGAGATTTTGAGGGAGTGCAACTCAATGGCTGGGCATCTCGACGTGTGGAAGCTTCTGGATGATGCGCACAGCCTGGTGGTGACGCTCCATGGAAAAATCGAGGCTCCTCTATGAGGGATGGAGGATTGTGTGAGGTAAGTAAAGCTAATTTCATTCATTTCAATTATTGCCAGCCTTTATAAATATTTCTGTGGGGAATGAAAGGGAAATAGTTCTGAATCTAAATTTATGACTGTTGGGGAGAGTTGTTGCGAAATATGACAGGCTGCTATGCTATGAATGCTTGTTCTTTTCTTTTCTTTTTATTTTTCTTTCAATATATATAATTTGAAGAGGATTTGTCCAACTTCTGTTACACCTTTCATAATTGGCAGCTTGTGTTGTAATTTCTTTGGTGGATAAAATTAGTGGAAAATAAGAGGCTGCCTTAATAGTTTTTATACTTTCGCCATCATCTTCGAACTGTTTGTTGTGATTATTGAATTGGCAAACGCTGACTTCATTAGGAGTCAATGTATAGACAAGAAATGGAAATGAGTAGATAAGATTTGTGCTGATTGTCTTGATAGAGTGAGTTTGATTTTAGAAGGAAAAAAATTGTCCCGTAAGGAATGACTTTGTGGTGTTGGTGGGGGGGGGGGGACTCATGATCGTGAGGCTATGGATTCAAACTTTTAACATTTTCATGTGTTGTCTAACACACATAGTTTGCTTAGTATAATTTGTTTTCCCGAGTTTAACTTACAGGCTATTAAGTTTTGCTAAGGGTTTACTTGGAGCGCATTCGAAGAGTAGCAATAGTGGATTTCCACACCAGTTGTAGCCTTATTTATACTAAATTTAATTTATCGAGTGAAGTTCAAGTTGGTCTCCTTGATTAAGGAATTTGTGAGTTTGCCTGAGTGGTGTAGGGAGTGAGAAACTAGATAAGGAATGGAAATCTCAATATTACATTGAATAAAAGAAACAAAGGACTTGTAATGAAATGCAAGTCCAGTACAACAAAGCAGTAGAGCACAACATGCTACCTTATTGTAAGAAATAAGAAAGCTTAGCTTGGGAGAGAGGAAAGAGAGAGATGTTGGAAATCATTTGATCGGAAATTAACACTAACTATCTAACGATAATATATCTCTTCTACTAACATAAGCTGGAAAACACGATACCAAAACATGTGTGATGTAGTAATAACTGGAATCACTTCTTTCCGTATTGGAATGCCAAGGCTATACCTAAGATCAAGAGAGGCACGAGGAACTGCAAGATCTTGATGAGTGTGTCGGAGGAGGTCTTGTCAGGTTCTTGGTGGTAAATATAGCTGGGTTTCAAAGGAATTGTTTCGGCGTCTATCTCCCCGATGTAGTATTTGTCCATCAAGTCTTTGGCCTCGTCACTGTGCCCAATGTCTTCGAAGTCACTTGTGCCGTCTTTTCCTGCAAAAATAGAAAGAGTTCATAAGGTGGATGATGATGACCTTTTAGGCATGAATGGTTTTTTAAGGCCTTGTTTCTGTTTAATTATGGTTTGTTTGTTAGTTAGTTGTTTACCTGTTGCTGCGAGCAAAACTTCAGGACCTCCAGGATGCTCTTCCATGAAAGGCGTTACGTTGAATACCTGAATTATTAATGATTAGATTTGTTATCAGTTAGTTGTAACAAATGTGCCCAAGGATTAGGAACGATATAGTTAAAAGTGATGATGACTGGGAAAAAAAGATTGGAAGAATAGACATAATATTGTAGCTACTAATGTTCAAATTTCATATCAAGTATTTTATTGTTTATAGAATTAGGTTTGTTATTTATTTTTAATTATTGTACATCATTTTGATGATTCTAGATTGAAACGGTCCTAAAAATGTTTTGGTGTTATATTTTTAGTGATAATATTAGAAACTGAATGCTGGAAAAATGATAAGATCAGGTGAATAAAATATTTATGGACGTTTGCTCGTATTTTTTTTTTTTTTTTTTTTCTCTTTGGTAAAAAATAATAATAAGAAAATTTTGTTTTTATTTTAAAATATTACTGTCAACTAATTATTTGAGTATGCTTTTTCTATTTTAAAATACCTTTTAAAATATGTACATTAATTTATTCTAGAATATTTGATTGATGTATACCTTATCTTTTTGAAATAGGATGTGCTCTATATTTTAAATTAAATATTTTTAATATATTATTTGAATTGAAAAAAAAAAAAAAAACTACATGTTAAATTATCTAGCGAAAAAAGAAAAAGAAACACACATATATTATTTCAGAATAATAGGTTCTTCTTAAGAATTTTATACTAGTGAAAAGGTTATCCTTTCTTTATGACTTTTATCTACCAATCCAAAACGTAATTTCTCTAATTGTTCCCTCATTAGTTGAGACTTTAGAGAGCAGAGCATATTTGCAAAACTAGTATCCAAATAATTATTCTTTCTATTAACTAAAGGAAGTGTCATGCGTGCTCCTAACTCCTAACTGTACTTTTTTATGCCCTAACCTAAATAGTTTCTATTGCACACCATTAGTTTATTTTAGGACACCAGTTATACATAATAAGCAAAGAGAAGCAGTTTGGTGAGGATGGATTCATGCATAGGATCAAACTTACAAATATAATAATAAAATAATGTTTTGATCTACGAAAAATTGAACAAACCAAAATACTTATTTTATATAAATAAATTATATATATATGTAAAAAAACTCACATAAATAAACTCTTATGTTTTTTCATATTTTTATTATTCAACAAATTGTTTTAAAATTTCAAAATGTTTTATCCCAAATTTATTTTATTTTATTTTATTTTTTTTAAAAAAAAGAAAATGCTCGCCTGTATCAATTCAAATTTCTAGATGAAAGATAAGACATATATTACACATGGATATATCTAGGCCACACGCCTGACGCCTCAATGTAAGGCAAGGTAACTTAAATCAGTCACGTGACAGAATAGTGTCAACTAAAACCAAATATAAATAAAAATCAGTCACATGACGGAATAATCGGATTCATGTTTCAAACCAGAAAAAAAAAAAAAATAAAATAAAATAATAATAATAATAAATAATAATAATAAATAAAATTTCACGGAAGGAATCTTTCAGATACAAGCTGTTAAATACACAAAGCAATAATAAGACGCGCGCGCCAACGCGTTCGAAGCACACGCTTGCCCCTCAATCATTAGGTCAAACAAAGGCAAGCGGAGCAATATCAAAACCATTTCTATACACGACCTAAAAATGCACGATGCAGCATAGTTGAAAATGACTGCAGATCAGAACAGAGACGCTCATTTGTAAACAACAACTAGGAATCAGTGGGAGATAGATCGGTAAACTCAAATAAAGACTAATCATTCAAAAAAATGTCACTAAAGAAAGGAACAGTATAGAATCCCTAGACAGAGTCAAACACCAATCCAAAATCCGTTCCAAAAGAAATAAACAGAGGAATCAAGGATCTAACCTTTCCGTGAATTATTAACCAGCAATCCTTTGTCTGGTTATGCTTCCTGACCTCCTCAAACGCGTAAACTTTCGACACCATGTTTTCTCGCTTTCACCGCCGCTCTACAATCCTAATCAGTATCGATTACACCAAAAATAAGCAACAGAACATCACACCACACACATCCGAATAATTCCGCACCAAATAATCGCAAATCAACTCATCCGAGAACTTACCCGCAGACAGAAAAGTAGACGATTGAAGAATGGAGGCAGAAAACACCCTTCTCGGCAAGCCGCCTTATCAGACTAGCAAGTATGTACCGTGGAAATCGTAAGCATTATAAAGGCCAGGAAATGGTAGAAATTACAAATATGCCCTCGTCGGCATTATTATTTTTTTGTCGATCAATTACGACCTGCCCATTAAATTATTCACAAAATAAATAGATGCCACTACCGTACTTGACAATCTATGGGCTTCTTTTATTATACTATTGTTTATTTTAAATAATATGTATATTTTTGTCTTAATTTAAAATGTTTATTTTATTATTTTGATCTATATTATTCAAAAATATGTTTTTTATTTTATAAAAATAATTATATAATAATATCAGAATATTTATTTATAATTATATATACTATTACATATATAATTATTTAATATATAAAATTAAAAGCACAAAATATTAAAACAACTTACACATTTTAGTAACTAATAAAATACTATAATACTACTATTTTTAAAATTTACTACAAAATTTCAAGAATTACATTCAAGTACACAGGATTTGAATCCGATCACTCCACACTTAGAAAAAATAATAAATAAATAAGTTTTCCATATTTGATTCATACACTAATGAAGACTTGTAAGAGTAGTTTTAACCAATTTGGACCCATTAATTTCAAAGTTGGTGACGTATTACTATTTTTAAAGAATTCAAAACAAGTAACATACATAACGTTGAATAGATATAAATAGAGACAAATTAATGTTAATTTTATTAAACTGAAATACACTATGCAAAATAATAATAATAATAATAATAATAATGATAACAACAGAATTCATAATTATACATGTATATGTAGACAGAAATACAATTTAATGAAGAAACTTGTATTCCAAAAGATTAATAACAACAAAAATCTGACTTCAAATTATATTTCACGATTTTATGAAGAAAATTGTGTTTATTATACCTAATACCACACCACTAAAATCACTGATAAAGGGAGCCAATAAAATACCATTAAAATACCATTAAAAGTTTCAAAAATATTTATAAAAATAAAATATTTTTATATAACATATTAAATAAAAAAAAATATTACTACCTCTGTTCCCCACGTACCGTGTATGCTACACTGTACACACAGCGAAAGGTGTAATTAGTAAATAATTAAAAATATATTAGTGAAAATAATTATCTTAAATATAAATAATTAAAATTTAAGATTAAGATAATTAATTAGTTTAATTAAAAAAATTTTAAAAAAAATTAAAAAGTTTAAAATGAGATTAAAATGTGTAATCATTTTTCAAAAAAGAAAAGTGAGATGATACGTGGGACGAACAGAAATGGCAACGCGGACATGATATGTTGGACGAATGGAGTATAAAACTAAGAATCAAACTTTAAGAATAGAACTTGTGGTGAATTAAAGGTGTATGTTTGACATTTTCTACGTTGAAACTGAGGAACATGTTTTGTGTTGCTAATAAATTTCACAGCTGCAACATATTTTATTTTATACATGTGTTAATACATATTAAATCATCACATAATCACATTCTAAATTAATTAATAATTAAATATAATCTTTTTGAATAGGAATTAAACATATTAATATCTAGAGCTCGCAAAACGAAATAATTGGGTTTAAATTAAAGATTGACACGAACCTAACACGATAGTAAACAAGTCGGATTAGGATTGAGGCTCTCAATTCGAACTCACACGTCAACCCAATCTAATATATTAATATTAATTAATATATTTATTATATATATAAAATAATTATAATTTAATAATTTTCTCATAAATTAATTTAAATTAGGCTCAAACCTATAAAAACTAACATAATACGACAACATAACAAAACATTATTTATTTTGAATAAAAAAATTCGACTTAATTATGCATACGAGTCAACACGAGTAAACCCGAACCCGACATGATAATAAACGGGTCAACACGAACCCGACATGATCATAAACGGGTCGAATTATGGTTGAATAATTTAATCCGTTCAAAATATTCAACCTAACACGAACCAGACACGAATGGACCAATTGCCAGCTCTATTAATATCCCTTTTTTATTTCAAATTTATTGTCAACCTTTATAATTATCGACTAGCTAAACTTTTCCATCTCTGGATTTAAATTCTAACAACACTCCATTTCCGTCCCCTCACGAGGTGCTGCTCTTACCAGGCAAGAAATTCATACAAACCGGCGGATTAATCTTAGCCAACGCCAGAACACTCGCCGGAAGAATCCACAATCCGTCGCCGCAGATCAGCCCCGACGCGACCGCCGGAATCATCGATCCCGACTCCTCTCTCCGGAGCCTCTGCCACGCGAAAACGATCAAGCTCCCGACGCACATATCGATCGCAAAATACGCTCCGACGAGAAAAGGCACTGCCATCGCCATCGGGAGAGGAACCCATCTCCCGAATTTCCCCGGCACAACATCCCGCAAGAGGTTGACAAGAACGGCAAACGCGAAAAACCCATAGCACAGCTCCAAGCAATGTCGGGGCAGAGCCGAGAAGCCCTCGACTCCGAGAATCGCCATGTTGCGGTAAATTAACGCGTACGGCGCCTTGTACTCGCCGTGAATATTCCCGACGTCGAATGCCTTGTAGAATAGGAAAAATGTGAGCGGCGCCACGACGCAGCCGATCGCCGTCCCGACCGCCTGGCTGACGAGCATCGATCGAGGAGACGTCATCGTTAAATGCCCCGTCTTTAAATCTTGCATTAGGTCGGAAGATATCGACACGATCGATTTCACTAATCCGCACCCAATCAGCCCGGCGACGACGCCGTTGTCCTTTCCCGACAACGACGCGAGCACGAAGAGCGCTACTTTCCCGTAATTGTAGCCCATGTTCATATCCGTTAGACCCGATCCGTACGCGTTGCAGAAGCCGAGCGCCGGCGCGAAAACGTACGCGACGAGAACGAAGTACCACTTGAGCTGTGGGAACATGATCGGGATGACGATGATCGAAATGACAGAGAGCAGCAAGTAGCCGACGCAAGCGACCCACAGGGGAATCGTCTCTCTTACAAACACTTCGTCCCTTCGAGCATCGTCCGCCAGCTTGTTTTTCTCGTCCTCAACTGCCGTAAGGAATAAACATTAGTGTTATTACAGCGCAAAATCATAAAAGCACCGATAAAAAACACGCTCACCTGCGGAAACCTTCCGATTATACGCCGAATACATGCTTAAGGCAGTGAACAACAAAGTCTTGACGAAATTGTAGAGCCCGTCGCCCAAAATAAGCGCGATCGAAATAAAAACCTGGAGAAATCATTACAACCTCAGCACCGATTCAAAACAACCTTAACATCCAGAAAAGACATCGTACTAAGTTAGTGTCAATTTTAGTATATTCGTGCTACAACTCTAATCGGCCCAAGAAACCATGCCAATGTACTAAAATTGGTAATTTTGTCCGGTGTCTCCGCACCAAAATGACTTTTATCGGGACAGTGAATATATATATACATACAATGCTCTGTTTCTTACTACCTTGTAACCATTGAGACTTTTCATACTGCTTTCCTTGATGTCTTTAGGGAACCAATCTCCCTTCTTATTACCTATCAATGGCCACATCAGTCCCCACGATATTACGGCGCCGAGCAGCAACGACAAATTGACGATGTGGGAGCAGATCATTCCTGCTCCGACGTAAGTCATACTGAAATTGAAGTAAAATCTGCACAAAATGGAACTATTTTTTTATCAACAGCAATGGAAATCAATCAAATTCATCGGAATTTCGGTCAGTGTCCTCCGACATACGATTGTTTGAAGGCTTTTAATCCAAATGTCGGAAAATTTATGAACCCACAGGAATCGCCGCCGGAGTAAAACCATTGGAAGAAACTCCAGACAAAGCTAAATGAGAAATACTTGATGAATCCCCTGACTTGTTTTCTGAATTTCCAACATAAATTAGCAGTGGTAAGAACAGGGCAACAGGGAATGGTCCAAATTCGGTTAGAGATATTACTAAAACATATATAACCTAATATAAGTCCCACACAGAACATGCTTAATACAAGAATCTTTTAAATATATGAACAAAAATTACATGTCTTTATTACATTTAGCATTTTGGCTTACCACTTACCTTGTAATCTTGTCTTCTTTACCACTGTGAAATCCGTTGATAAGAACAGCTGTTGCAGTCCCACTTGGATAAGGTAATTTGTAATCGATGATCATAATCTGCCCAGAAAGTCCAAAAGATAGATCAATCAGGGCAAGAATTGACTGAACAAGTTGTTTATGTAGCATATTGTAATGAACAGACACCTTTCTGAGAGGAACCAAAGCCAACAAACCAACAAAACAAACAACGAAAAGAAATCCAATCATCCAATCGAGTCGAGGCTCTTTAACACTCTGTGGTGAATTCCCCGCTGTATCGACCCCTGCCTGTTCATACGTCTTCCTGTTCAACCCCAACAAGTAAGAACCAAATCCACCTGACACAGCCAACAATCACAAAAACCGAAATCATGGAAAGTTGTAATAACAACGGGTTTAGCCATAGAATTGTTTTGGTTTTTGTTTTTTTAGTACAGTAGTGGAGTTGTTGAACGAATTCTGACCTCCATAGGCAATGGCGTAGCAAGCAACCGCACACGTCTGGATAATCGTGTTCTCCTGCCTCGTAAACGGCGTCGTTTTGAACCTCGTCTTCGCCAGGGCTTTCGTCCACGCCCTAATGAAGATGAACGCCAGCAGAGCAGCCGACACATTAAGGTTCGGGACAAGCCCCGTTGTCAGGTTCAGCTTCGTCGCTATTACACAGTACATTGTTCCGATTATCGTACTCGCGACGATTCCTCGAACCGTGATCTGTTTTGTCCATGGCGGAACTCTCCTGATCACGTCCTCCTTCTCGATCTCCATCCTATTCCTCTCCTCCATTGCCGCCAAATCCGCCGCGAATCTGTCGATTTCTTACCAGCCGCCTACCTTACCAGAAGAGGCGCAAAAACCTTTCGCTGTCCGAACCAAAACCCTAATCGAGGAGAGAAATGAATTCAATGCGGCATTGATACCAGAGATTTTTCCAACATTGCCGATTTGACGACTTGCGTCAGTTGGACAAAAATTCCCGTACCTTAGCCCGCTCCGAATATATAAAGGAAAGTCCACTCAAGAATTTTCTATTTCTTTTTTGTCCGAAACCGCCATCGATTGTATTTTTGTACTACACTTCGCCGCAGTAGTACAGAATAGCCATCTCTTTAAGTGTAACATTCTGGTTTGTACTGCAAATGGAAATTATGGTAATAATAATAATAATAACAATAATAATAATAATTGTCATAATAATGGTTGTGGCAGGTGGTGGTAGTGGGAAAATTTCCTCTGACAGTCTGACCTGCATTCAATTCTGCTTTTCTGTTATTGTTATATCACAGTAACAAAATAATGTCATTAAAAGGTGCATGATTTCGTGTGATTTTCACCATCTTGATATCATTTTAAATTGTGTTTCCTTTTTCTTTTTTAAAAAATAATAATATTAATTATAAGTAAAATCTGAATAGAATAAATGTAGATATTTTTATTTTTATTTATTTATTTATCTATTTTATTTATTTGTGGCCACAAACAAACGGAAGATTCGATTTGTATACAAATACAAGCCTACACTACAAGCCTCGGCATATAAAGCTTCTCGCATCTACTTTTAGTTATTCTCATTATCCAGCGAAGGAGACAATTACTAATTCACTGTAGATGAAAGTAGGGATATGTTTTTCTTTCCCAAAACTTCAAGTTTTTAGTGTTTGAATTTTGCGTTTTTCAAAAAATATATATATATTTTTTTCATAAAATATTGTATCATATATTATTTTAATATCAAACTCAAACCAAATTTTTTTCAAACTCATCTAAAAAACATACCCATAAATTTATACTCCCTCAATCCCAAAAAATTTCTCTTGTTTTTTCATTTTCGTTCGTTTCAAAACAATTGTCTTGTTTCAGTATTTAGTAGCTGTGGTCCCCACTTTATAACAAAATTATTCTTACTTTTCCATATTACCCCTAATTATTACTCTAACGTACTCTTTAAAATCCGAGCATTTTAATCATTTATATTCTACTTTATACCCACTTTCAATTAAATACTATTATTTTTTAATTACCGTATCAACTCTCAATAAGACACTTGGACGGAGGGAGTATGTAAATCATATATAGATACAAGTGAATGAGACACTATGGGCTTTGTTTATGCAAAACACTTTCATTTATTTTGTACTATTTATTTTCAAAAAAATTTGTATTAAATATATTTTTTTCATAAAATATCAAATTAAATACTAATATTTTATTTTCTTTTCTTTTATTTTTTTTTTAATGTTTCAAAATTTTAAAAACCTTAAAAAATCTCTATCTAAACAAAGTTTGAATTGATTGACTTTAGATATATGAATCATTGTACTCACTCCATTTACGAGGTAATTTTTTTTTTTTTTTACTTTTATACGATTCAATTTATATTTTATAGATATATAATGCAATAAAATAATATAATATCTATTTTAATCCATGATATTAAAGTAAAATAATATAAAATTTAAAAAATTAAGAATATTTTGATATTTAATTGAAAGTTAATTTTATTAGAAAAAATTTAGACTTAACACACTAAAATGATAATGTGAGAAATTTAGAGTTGAAGGGATGACATATTTATTTAGGGGCACTCAACAAAAGAGTTTGTTCATCTAATTTTGTTTTTGTCGAATATTATTTTTCATAAATATTATAAAAAATACATTAAATATATTTTAATGCAATATATAAATAATATGAGCACGGATATCATATTGATCTAATCATATCACGATGATGTTGATTTAATTGGATCAATACATATATATATATGATATAAGTAAAAAATATATATTTCTATCTAAAAGATATTAACTATCTACTCGATTTCTCATATATAACACAAATTGAACACATTTGAAATTATTACTATATTGGTTAATTATAATCAACACTCTAATATCCACTAATAGAAACATGTAAATATTACTCACTCCGTCCCAAATATCCTGCGACATTTTCTTTTTGGTATGTCTCAAACACGCTGCAACATTTCCAAAATAGGAAATAATTAATTATACTTAATCTTACTCCACATTTTATCCCCTCATATCATCTAGATAAAAAAAATAAAATATATATTTATCTCTCAATCACCACGTCACCTAATTTCTAAATTATCCTACTTAATACTACCCATTTAAAAATCCGTGCCAAGAAATAAATATTGCACATTGTAGTATAATATAAACTTATTGAATTAGGATAAACCTTTTATCTAACTAGCAGCCCTTCTTAGTGCTGGCTTGAATTCACAATAAACGGTGGTCATTGTAGAGAACCGCAAAAGTGCGCTTTTTCTGATTAATGACGACTTTACTTTATTCTATAACGATTCACAAACTCTGCTCCACATAAAAAAAGTCGTTCGACTTTTATGTTTGAGAATAATTACAGAATTGACTCTTCCCATTTACTATTATCTTCCACAATACCTCCAAACGATAGGGTTTTTGGATTTTAAAAGGTTATACTTTGATGTGATATTTCATTAAAAAATAATAATAATAATAATTTATTATTTTTTAAAAAAATGAATAGCGCAATAAAAAATGTAAATATGGGTGTGTTCGTTTGTAGAATTTCAACCAAATTCTACTATTCATCCAATTTTTTTTCCCCAAAAACATCAAATCAAATACCTATTTTTTATTTTTTATATTATACTAAAAATTAATTTTACATTCAAAACATCACATCAACACCTATTTATATCACATCATACAACTATTCAAATTCAAAATTTTTATTATTCAAATCCCAACTCAAAATCCAAACCCCCAAACAAACACACCCTAATATTTTACAAATTATGACATTCGAATTGGACACCTACGGAAAAACTGGCTGCCCACTGCAATAAAAATCCCAATAAGGAAATTTGTTATTGGGCCTATTGCAGTGTCAGATTTTAAGATTTGGCCTAATATTGGAAGGGGTATTTTCGTAAATGCAGTTGACCATGAACGCGGGATACGAACGACCATCGCGGCTCGTGGCCCTGATGCATTCCACCTGCGTTTCCTCCAAAATTCGTTCGTCAAATTTTCGAGGGCAGCGATTCCTCCAAGATTCAATCGAAAAATAATTAAGAATAAGATGAGAAGGGGTTCGTGGGAGACGAAATTAGTGCAAGAATTGCTTCTGTATGCGGCGAGTGCTGCTTTGAGCTGTTTGGTGCTGGTCGTGGGGCTCAGACAGCTGGACCCCAATCGCGATGCGTCGAAGAAAGCACTAGAGCATAAGAAGGAAATCGCGAAGCGTTTGGGAAGGCCTCTTATTGAGACCGATGCTTATGAGGTTAGCATTCATTTGTATTTGTTCATTCATTACAATGACGACCCTAGGTTTTGGTTGGTACGCTACTGGTTTGGATGCTATGGCAAGTTGTTGTGTTGGAATTATGGTTTTCGATGTTGTTTTGGGATTATGATCTAATGAAGACATGTAATAACTGGAAGTGAATTGAATTAACCCGCCCAATATAGTAGTTTGGGATATATTTCTTAGAGTGACAGATTTATAACTCAAGTTTAACGTGATTCAATTTGCTCAAGAACAACACCATGTTCTAGTAAAAATCACAAAAAAATTCCCCAAAATAGAGTAAGTGCGTCCGCATTAATATTCTTGCAGAATTAACATATTTTTCTGATTCTTGTCACGAGTTGAAATCCCACAAAACCTATGTTCCTTATTGGCTATTGATTGATAATTATGGATATTGCGCGAAGGACTAGAATGTGTTGTCAAGTGCATCTCAAAAGTGATTATGAACGGTGTTTGATTGTTTTCGATGCATCAATTAAATGTTTCTTGTTTTTCCAGTTCATCTAACTGAGTGCCTTGTTTGAAGAAAGGTGAATAAATCAAACAATGGAAATGTGTGAACTATCAGGATTGTTGATCTTCTGGATATCATATGCTCATGCTTACAATGTTCTTCTTGACCTTTCATAGGACGTTATAGCCTGTGACGTAGTCAACCCTGATCATATTGACGTCAAATTTGAGTCTGTTGGAGGACTGGATTCTATTAAACAAGCACTATATGAATTAGTTATTCTTCCTCTACAAAGGCCAGAGTTATTTTGTCATGGAAAGCTTCTTTGTCCTCAAAAAGGCGTGTTGCTATATGGACCACCTGGAACTGGGAAGACAATGCTTGCCAAGGCAATTGCAAGAGAGTCTGGTGCTGTTTTTATTAATGTTAGAACATCAAACCTAATGAGCAAATGGTTCGGGGATGCGCAAAAACTAGGTAGGTGCATCTTTATGCTACAGATGTTGCTCTTCCATGAACTATGATGATGCTAGGTAGAGATTCCTGTCCCAAGTTTGACAGGTTCCTTCTTGTCATCACGTAGTGATCAGAGTTGATCTTTGAAGTTATTATTTCACTTTTTATTGTCTGAATTGGTAATGATGTCTACTTTTGGAAGTTGCTAAATTTGCTGTATTCAACTTGGCTATTTTTCCTTAATAGAATATATAAGTGCCGGCCTTTTACTTTAGGATTTAGCGTTGACATTTGATCTTTTAACTTGGTATATTAACAGTCTTTCGCTAGTTGTGAATGTGAACTAAGATTAAGTAATATTTCTTTGAATTTCTTGTTAGCATCCAAGCAAGATGGCCATCTAATCATCTAGTTGTAAATTTGTAATCAAATAGGTTAAGCTAAAAGAATTGGATATAACTGAAGTTCCGCTTATGTTCTCCGAGAGTTGTAATATACTATTTTGGTGTAAGAATATGAGATTTAAATGTTTTCCTTGTCTCAGTTGTCTGCCTAGAGAAATATAGATTTACCGTTCTTACGGGTTCAATTATTTTCTTTTAACTCATGCGCCTCAAAAAGGAATCCTCTATATATAAATGTGTAGGCCATAAAATATTTTTATGATATGATCTTATTAACTTGAATCCAGTATTGGTGCTAGGTGCCAAAAAAATGTGCACATAGAATCTGTTGGTTTTATCCGTGAAATTCTATTTATGTTTTTACCTTTCTCGACTTTTCTGCAGTGGCTGCTGTTTTCTCATTGGCATACAAACTGCAGCCAGCCATTATTTTCATTGATGAAGTCGACAGTTTTCTGGGTCAACGTAAGAGTACAGACCATGAAGCATTAGCCAACATGAAGACTGAATTTATGTCTCTGTGGGACGGTTTCACTACAGACCGTATGTATTTCCAGTTATTCGGTTCCTTTTGAATATACAGAAGATATCTTTTGTTAGTTTATTGATTGGTAGAAGCCCGACCCTTTTTTCATGCAGAACATGCCCGGGTGATGGTACTTGCTGCCACCAATCGGCCATCAGAGCTTGATGAAGCAATTTTACGACGTTTCCCTCAGGCATTTGAAATAGGAATTCCTGATAGAAGGGAGAGGGCAGCAATATTAAAGGTGATACTGAAGGATGAAAAAGTTGAAGATGCCATTGATTATGACTATATAGCCAGTCTTTGCGATGGATGTACGGGTTCGGATCTTCTTGAGCTCTGCAAAAAGGCTGCTTATTTTCCAATTAGGGATGTTCTCAAAGATGAAAAAGTTGGAAAACCATCAAAGGTATGTCTGTATTTTGGTTCACTATATTGAGTGCTGCAACAATTTATGTGATTTGTCTGCTTCCTATCAATGTCACATAATTATTATGTTTGGGAACGACATATAAATTATACCAGAAAACCAATGTGATTTAAAACCCGAGAATCTTATTCATTGCAACAATATGATCCTTCTTTCTTGGTTTGATCAACTAGTTTATCGTCTTAGTAGAATTGAGTGTGTATTTAGGAAGTAAATACTCATTACTTGCATTTGCAAGTGTCGATCATGTTTGTTTCACCGATGTTAACATTATGCAATAATATTTTCAGGAGCCAAGGCCACTGTCTCAGTTGGATTTAGAAAGAATCATCGATACCACAAGAAATACAATGGTTTCTGCGAGTGAGTATGCCTCTTTATGATCCGAAGATCGATGAATTCGGCAGAAGAGGATGCTATCAAGAAGCATTCATTCCAAAACTTGTAAATTTTCTATGCACAAGGTTCCTCAAATATGGTCGTGAAGATCGATGTTGTTCCATCACATAACTGCTTTCTTGGCTTCTCTATATCATATCATAGTGTTAAAAAATGTAATAGAGGGATTCCGTTCCATTGGGACTTCTGTTTTCTCTAGTCCCCATTTTTGGTACATCCTTGTTTGGTAACTGGTATGCCTACATTACAGTATCATGTTTAATTATTTACCAAATTTTCAGATATATATACTTTTTAATTTATTTTTATTATTTAAAAATTCGCAGCTGCTATTCAGCCAAATAAAGTACACTAGTGAGTCAGCTACCCTTTCATTTTATCATTTACAAAAATAAATTGACATGAATTTAGACATAGAATTAAATGATATATATATTTTTAATTGTATTGTATAATAACAATAAAGCTATTTTTAACGATTTTTAATTGTATTCTCTAGTTTATTTCGTAATAATATATATAAACTTCATTCTATTTGATATATAGTCTATTTTCTGTATGGTCCTTTAATTTATGAAATACTCTATGCAATAAGAATCAGCTTCGCAATAATAGTTCCCCTCACCCAAACAGCCTCTAGCAAAAATAGTCGTTTTGTGGGCCGCCTTCGTTTCTCTCCGCTGCGATCCCATCCGCATCGACATCTCAGACCATTCGCACGGCGATCCTGCTTCGGGTGAACTTGAATTGTTTTTGTGATGCTTTTTGCTAGTTTTGTTTTTTGGTTGCTGTGCCCCAACTTCTAGTATCAGTTTGGGAATTGGATTGACCTTTTAGGGTTTCGAGTGTTGTGACTTTTATGTTTGTATCTGTTTCTGTAGCAAGAGGTATCGCATTTTCGCTTATGAAGTACGGTTACTTGTTCTTTGGTTAAATCGCTGTTGATTTCGCACAGGCAGTTGTAGATGGGTTCTGAACTTTGAACGTAACCTGTTGCCTCTTTTTTTTGTAGGGATTTGAGGATTGACCCCGGGCTTAAACGATGGTAGTGTTTCAACCTTCAACTCTTCCTCCAAAATAGCTCATTAATTAATTATAGAATTAATTTGCTATGATCTGTTTTTTCTGCCTCAATGTATTATTGTATGCTTGTGAGCAAATTATGTTTTCAGAATTTCATAATGGGAGCTTTCAAGCCAGCGTGCAACATTTCAATTACATTTTCAGATGGGAAAACACGGAAACAGGTGTAGTTTTGATAGTTTATTTGAAATTTTGAGATCTAGAATGCGCAATTAATCTTTTCATTAAATATGATTGGCATATTGGGTTGATCCTCTGCTGAAAATTAAAATTTATTCTGTTACCTTATCAGTGAAATAAATTTGGTACTGTATTTTGATAGTTGGTTTGAAATTTCGAGGACTTAGTAGCATTTTTCCTTATTTGTATTGTCACTGCAATAGGTTCCAGTGAAGAAAGAGAATGGTCAAACAGTAATGGTTCCACTCTTCCAAAGTCAAGAGAATGTAACTGGCAAGGTATGTTCAAAATGACATTATTGATATAATCTGTGCCACTTTGGACCCAAGTCTGCATCATGTTCATCCTAGCTATGGGCTAGAAGGTGCTCATATGTGTGTCTTCTGTTCAGATTACTGTTGATCCAGTTTCAGGGAAGAAGGTAGAACACAACGGAATCAAAGTTGAACTTCTTGGTCAAATAGGTCTGCTTCTTAATATTCATTCATGCATCCAATGTTCGCTTAAAAAATAAATTCTTATACATTGTGTTATAAGTGGGGCATTGTAATGTGGACTGCACATTAATTTTTAATTGGCCTCATAATTGCTCTTTGTTTTTCTATTTAAATATTATATATTAATTAGTTTAAAGTTGGAAAACACTTGGCGTGATCAAATTACACTCAGGGTGTGTTTGTATGGGGGTTTGGATTTTGGATTGGGATTTGAATAGTAAAAATTTTGAATTTGAATAGTTGTATGATGTGATGTTTTGAATGTAAAATTAATTTTTAGTATAATATAAAAAATGAAAAATAGGTGTTTGATTTGATGTTTTTAGGGGGAAAATTTTGGATGAATAGTAGGCTTTTGACAAAATCCTACAAATGAACACACCCTCAGTGTCTGACTTATGTGTATTGAATTATTTTATCTGATTGTGTATAAACCTTATTTTCTTTTTGCAGAAATGTACTTTGACAGAGGCAATTTCTATGACTTCACGTCTTTGGGTAGGTATCCATCAGTTGGTTTTATTTGGCATATAAGCTGTATGTGTCTTATGTAGTTCTCTAGACATCCATGCAGCCACTTGTTAAATTCTAAAGTTATCTACATCATTTGTGCGCTTGTTGCATGTCTTAATTCCACTATTTGTAAGAAATCATTTTTCTCATGTCATAATTTTGTTCTTATTTTCTTTTATAGTTCGTGAATTGGATGTACCTGGTGAAATATACGAAAGAAAAACATTTCCATTTGAGTTTTCAACTGTGGAAATGCCATATGAGACATATAATGGAGCAAATGTGCGGCTTAGGTGAGTTGCTGGTTTTTTGTTACATTTGTGAATAGAATATGCTACTGTCTTGATGCTTATGTGCTCATGAGATTAATGTTTTTGATCACCTAGTCTGTTTAGGAGATGCTTAAAATATTTTTCAAGACAATAAGAAAATCCATTTCAGTGTAGGTGATCTGTGAATAATGAATGGTGGTTGAATGTGCTATTATGATTTCGTTCAGTCCAAGCATGTCGGCTGCTGATATTGTACTGAAGAGTTTATATTCAGCCCTCAAATTCTATACCCTGTGTTTTGTTGTAATGTTTGTGACTTAGTTGTGCATTGACATGTTAGAAATATCACACTCTATCATGCGCCTTTTCTTGTACATATTTTGAAATTTTGTCTTTATTCATTTTGGTATCTGCTTGGCTTCATTGAGAATTTTGCTTGTTTCAGGTATATCCTAAAAGTGACAATAACTCGCGGTTATGCTGGTAGCATTACAGAATATCAAGACTTTATGGTGAAGTTCTAACCTATGACTTTTGAAAATGAAATGTTTTCCAGTAAAAAGGAATGAGTGCATGCACCATTGTTTGTGTTAAAAGTGAACATGATTTACTTGTTTCAATATGGCATCAAGTTACTGTTTACAAGATAATCTTACATTTCTCTATATATTACTGGCTACTCATTTTGAAGAATCTTTTGGATTCATGGCCGTGTCAGTAGTTCGTGGCCCTGTCAATAATTTGTGGTGCCTAATCCTCTACACTCATAATTAAGCAGTGAAATACAATTTTTTTAATTAATCCTGAAGCATTTCCCTTATATATTCAGTTGTGGTTACATTTGGGTTGAGGGGGTGCCTGAGCTGATTTCTGTTTGTTTTAAGTCTTTTGATTAGTATTATAAGTTTTTGTTGATTCAACCATTCTTTTTCTCTTGGACCAGGTTCGGAATTATACTCCTCCTCCTTCCATCAACAACAGTATCAAGGTATTGTTATTCGTTATTTGTTTGAATTTATAATTGTATTAGAGCATCTGAATTATATTATCGACCATGTTCTCCTTATCCAATCTGATTCATTGTGCTCTATTGTGTAGAAAATATATTCCCCCAACCCTCTTCTCAACATATAGAGGATATGCCGTTAACTGTTTGTCTTTTGTTATAGATGGAAGTTGGAATTGAGGATTGCCTTCACATCGAGTTTGAGTACAACAAGAGCAAGTAAGTTATTCTACTCTTTCAATTTCCTTTCTGGTCCGATTCGTCTCCATCTGGATCTATTGTTTCCTCTGCTTGTTTAGATCATGTGGATCTTGTTACAAGCTAATATATAGAGTTTTTTTTGCTCGAAACCTTAACAATTGATGGTTGAAATTTTGAACCTCCAGGTATCATCTAAAGGATGTTATTTTAGGCAAAATATACTTTCTTCTCGTCAGAATCAAGATAAAAAATATGGATCTCGAGATAAGGCGCAGAGAATCAACAGGATCGGGATCTAATACCCATGTTGAGACCGAGACACTTGCTAAATTTGAACTTATGGATGGTGCTCCTGTCAGAGGTATGTTAATAATTATTATATGTTCCTTACTGTATATTTCTAGATTAATAAACCTCATCGCACACAACCCCCTTAGCTCCTCTGGCGGCATCAATTTTGCTAAATTTAGAAAACTTTTGTTGTCCGATGTTGCGACCCTTGGATCCTAGATTAGGTTAAGGTTACTGCCGCTAGCTGCTCGTACTTGTGTTGTTTGCTTCGCAAAGTTTCAGTTCATGATTATGTTAGTTCCATGACAGGTGAATCTATTCCAATTCGACTGTTCCTAAGTCCATACGAGCTGACTCCGACGTATAAAAACATCAACAACAAATTTAGTGTGAAGTACTACTTAAATCTTGTACTTGTTGACGAAGAGGATCGCCGTTATTTCAAGCAACAGGAGATTACAATGTACCGCCTCGGAGATACACACTGAAAGTGATATGGAGTCTTACTGCCTTGTCGACTCCCGTTATCCAGTTTGTCACTTGCATTCCTGAGATCTTTCCCCCAAAGAACAAGGACAACTTTCAACTCTGTTTTAGGCCAATATTTGATACAGAATGTTTGCATTTGTACAGTACAGAGAAACAATAGTGTACATGGAATATCTATTCCTCTTGTTTGTCTTCCTTGCATATTTTGTAGATTTATTATCGGATCGACACAGTTGTGCTTTACCTGAACATATTCTTCTGTATTCTGGTGAACCATTTTGGTGCTGTGATTTGAATTCTTGTCCTTGCTAGGCTTTTGAGTTTGTTGTTCATATTTCCGTAGTAACTGTTTGAACTTTGTATGGAAAAGGTGTTAATAATTAATCCGTTAGTATGAGTTGATGGAATCAATACCTGTCGAATCTGAGGATTTTTAGGCTTTAGCCATCAATTGCTTGAGGTTCTTACGGAGAAAACTCTGGATCGCGAAGCGCTCCACTCATGCCAGCTGGTGGAAATTTTCAATTTCGCATTGAAATTCTTGTCAAATCGGCGGATTTCATAAATCGGATTCAATTAATCGAATCATTTTGCTAACGATTCCGCACTCCGTAAGCTCGCTCGTTTGTTCCTTCAATTATTATATGACTTTGTTTTTGAAACTGGATTTAGTTTGCTGGTTACGGAACAATCAACATCTGCGAGCATGCTTTGAGGACTCACCACGACGGCTTCTTCACGAGATGCATTGATTCGCAGGTAGCTGCTGCAACTTGAAATGAGGTTCTTCTTCCATCTTCTGCATCAATCTAATTCTAAATACTTATTATCAGCAGCATGGTTGCAACAATTGTATTCGTCTTCGTCACTGTTTGTCATTTCGGATTCATTAGAGTAGTCGATTCTTAGCTTCACGAGAAAAAACAACATGCTAACAACAGATTTACTTCTGAAACAATTATCGCGCTCATTACACACACATTTCTGTCCATTGAACTAAACCCTAACCCTAATCCGTCCATGCATAAGCTCATCTATTTTTCTGAAGTTCATTCTTCAGCTTCTACAGGTAGGCCTGCTTTGAACCAGTTATAAATCCCTCCTTCCAAGTGATACACATTAGTGTAGCCATTGAGGACCAGCAGGTATGCTGCAATAAGTGACCTGCATTTGCATTGAGTATTATGAATTGTCTAAGGACATGAGATTTATTTATATATTTTTTACTTTAAAATTGTAATCATGCCAAGCAAGTATATATGTGTGCAACTAACTTTGCAGGTATTCATGTATATCTGCATACATTACATCATAACTAAATATTTGGGTGGTTTTGCTCTTGCAGATGTATGTATGATTCTAAAACCTCCCAAATGAACTTGGCTTTGGTTCTACATTTTTGTTGTGGTTAGTTCATGCTGTTTTCTTTCAATCAAATCCACATTCTCGTGTTCCTAAAGTATATAGTACTCAATTATCATTTGCGTCGGTATGTGTTATGTCTGTTGAATTTTATCAGCATTTAAATCCCTTTCTTGCCTAACTTAAACCATCGCGCCGGGTGGAAAAACAAATAAAAATAACCTGGATTGTTGCCCTTCCGGAAGATTTTGTGACGGTCTTGTTGTTCCTCCGGCTGTGCAAGCTACTATAATTTTTGAATCCTTGGATAGTTTCGACTCCACAACTGATTTTGAAAGGTCAATCAGTATGGCTTAGTAAATGAGTTGAGGTTGAAAAGAGTAAAGGCTAAAGCATCATATGTCTTACTCTGTAGAAATTCAGGGTTCTCTTCTGTCCCTGAAAAGATGCCAAAGAATGCAAATGCAGCTCTTCTGGCAATGTCCCATGCTGTCCACTCCTTTATCAGTCGGTATACTTGCACATTAATAGCACCCTTAGGATGACCCTATGCCAAGAAAACATTTTTGCTACTCCGTCAAAATATGGGTGAGCATTTTGTGTATCTGTTTAGAAAATAGATTGATTACTTTGATGACGAACACTAGTATCAATTACCTCTTTGAACTCTGCTTCTGGCCGTACATCAAGAATGACAAAGTTGTTTTCATTTTGAAGTCGCAATGCTTCCTTTGCCTCCACGCTCCTTACCTGCCAATGCTTCCTTATCATCGATCCTATATGTAGTCAGCTAACTATCCCAATTAAGAAGTTGCACTATCTATCCCTTTGCTTATATATTTCAGGACAACATTGTTTGCTGATGATTTCGATATTAGAGACTCTTCTCCAACTACAAATATTTCCACAGTTGCAACTATGTTTAAGATGAAAACCTTTAGATGTATGCTGATGAGGATCAGGAACAATGAAGTGCCAAATTAGCATGATCTACATAATCAAGGTCACGGAATACTGTGTTTTAATTCAGATTATTATGAAACTAATAATTTGTCTGTATCACCATATCTGGTTCGCTTTGCAGTTTAGAACAAATCATGATTGAGGCAGATAATTATCATCTTTCCATGGTCACTCAAGCGATCCTTCGAGAAAACTACAGGTTGCGAATCTTGCGATGCAAGTGCATATTCTTGTTTTGAACACATTCATCTTGAGCACACACATCACACAAAAAGCTAACCATGTTACCTTCTTCTCAAGCAGCACTTTTCGCTTGGTCTTCCAATCTTCTTCAGCTGTCTCCTCCAAGTTAAAAAGGAACAACATTCAAATACATGTGATATATGTTTCGACCCATCTTGATGGCTGTATGTGAAACAGCACTACTATAACATACCTGGTGATTTTGCCGGCTTTGTTGCTGCATTTTGAATTGTAAGTCCTCTACAGATGCTTGTACTCTTTCTTCTATTAGACGATCTTCTTGTGAAACAAGAACTTGATTCAATATTTGGGCTCATATTGTATGCAAGAGGGGCAGCATGAAACTTATGATAGAGGCAAGAGGATGAAGACTGTGGATTGAAGGAAGTAAGTGCAGCCATATCCCAAAGAACAGCTTCAGACAGGTAACACCAGAACTTTAATTCGAATAAAACCGTGCTGATGTTTTTTTAGTTCAGATGATATGTTTTTCTAAGTTGGTATCAGAACTATTTGATTCTATCTTACTCCTCAGATATTTTCTCTTATATTTTCTCTAAGAGGAAGAGGAGGTCTGATGAAGAAACTATAATGACTGCCAGATAGTAGATATTATGGCTACCTTACAATCTGAACTTGTGGTGGTGATGCTAAGATTTCTTTGCAATGTGGATTTTATCCCATCTCTTTTGTTTTTTTATGCTTTTTGATAAAACCCCACTGATTCTACTATTTTATTTTTGAACTTCTTTCATTTATAAAATCTATTTTGACAATAAACTGAAAAGTCCCTTTCAGTTGGTTTCAATGAACTGAGCCATATTCCTTTTCTTGCCTTCATTTATAATAAATCTAGGTTTACAACACTGGTACAATGTACAAGATGAAATTAAATGAATGGTAGTATTATTTCACTATGAACAAAATAATCTTTATCTGATTGTAGCTAGAGAGGTCACATAGGTTCTCTGCAATATTTCTAGAATTACACACTCACAATACACAAACAACAGATTGGCTAAGTGTAGATTAACATAGATATATGCATATTTACAGAAATCCGCTTCGTTTCGCTTGTATAGAAGCGGATTCCATGTCCCCGACGAAGAACAAGATCTTGTCCAACAGGCTTGGACAGTCAACCGAGTCGAATGGTTGCGATTCTGCTCGTCTTGAGCCCAAATGCCGTTGAATTTCACCCTGATGAACTAGGAAATACTCATCTCCTTCTCTGATTATCTTCAAGCCCCTTTAGGAGAAATTTCGGGTTAATCTGGTGGTGTGTGAATAGGTATGAATCTTGTATGTGCGTAGTTATGAACTTACAGCCCAACACGATCACAGCGATCTTGAACAATGTAGACATCCTTCCAAGACTTTGAATCTAAGGGCGCATAAAATGTGGCCCGATCGATTCCCCATCTTTCTTTGAATAGATCCGACCATAAGGCGTCATCCGACGCTAAGGCTCGCCATTTCCTGCACACTTGAAACCATAATGCAAACATCTTCAGTTCTGCAGATCATATACAGCTACAACAGCATTACATGATCAGTTGATCAGAATTCTTGATGAAAATTCAATAGTTTGGAGTCCTTAAGTGTTAGTTCAAGAGCTACTTATATATATATATATATACATATACATATATTATTGTGGCCATGGTAGAGTTTGTCATCCTTAAACAGGTTTAACAATATAGGTTAACTATACTGATTTGAAGCAGGAATCAAACCATGGCGGCAACCAAGAGCAATTTGATGTCAAGAAAGAGAATCGATAAGATCTAAGCTGGAGTTGAATCGACAATTTTCTTCTAAGTAGCTGGTGGCTGTTTATCTTATCTGATCTGATAAATTCAGCCAGATCTCGAAATCCAGATGACTTCAATCTACCGAACGCTAGTGTATTCAATAGCGGTTGGAATCAGATCGAATTGGTTGTAAATTCAACCATAAAAACCCAAAACCTCACAGCTCCGACGTATAGAGCAAGCAATACCTTCAAATGATATCCACAACCGGATTAACCATAAGTGCAACTTTGCAGATCTAATTCAGATCTCAAGCAAAATCCTCGATCCAAACACCAGTAACAGGTACCAAAGTTATTGACTAAATTTCAGAGAACTCATTTCCCATGGATACCAGCAGTAGGTGCGTAAAAGAGGAGGAAGACGCACACAAGTAATTCTGCAACTGACCTAGTTGAGCAGCTGCGAGATTTTGATGATCCAACCATTGGAATATCTTCAGGCATAGATCCGTCGGCAGTCCCTCCATAAACGTCTGGACTCAACTACCTCCAAATTGCACCGACAGACAGAGAATGAGAAGCGAGAATTGCGTGGGCGATTGATCGAGAACATCTGCAATCGGTTGGACGTAGAAGATCTGGAGTCCTACTCCCGGAAGTCGCTGCCATCATCAGAGCTTTCAGGTAATCTCTATATTAATCCAATAATAATTTCCTCTATTTTTTAAAAAAAAAAAATAATAATAATAATAATAATGTCCTCTATTGCATTAGATCCTTGTATTTAATATGGGAGCAATCAGGTCTATGATATTCGAAATCAAATTCGTATCTCTAAATAATTTTTATTTTTGTAAAAAATAATAATATAATAAATTGGACCATATATTATTCGTCGCTGTCTTTTCAGTTGAGGATGGGGTCGCTTTATATATAAAAATAGTTAGCAAGATGCAGTTTTATTTCGAGCCATTGGACGAGGAGAAAGAACTCAATATTATTATCATCCAATTTTTTTTTATTTTTTTATTTTTTTATTTTTTTTTCATCCAAACTTTTTTTTTCTTTTTATTAAAAAAATACTATTTTTTCTATTTTTTTTTTTACTAAAAAAAGTTTATATTCAAATAGAATGTATTATTTATTATTTTTTCTATTTTTTTTTTCATCCAATCCACACAATATTGATTTAACCGCGATAGAATGTATTATTTATTATTAATTTTTTTTTATCGGAATTGTATTATTTATTATTATTATTATTAGTAGTAGTAGTAGTAGTAGTAGGTCGTGCAAGCATTTCGCATGGCACTTAATTTAGGGATTATGTATCCGTCACGGCCAATTTAAAAGCATAATTTGAGGATTCTGTGGTGTATTTTATCAACTGTTGTTGGACAAAGGGTGGAGTCCTTAATTGCAGGGGAAAAAAAAAAAGGCACACACCCACATAGTTAATATAATATAATATAATGATAATAGTATTATTAAATAATAATAAAGTTACCTAACAAGGCATCCTTGAGTTATTGCTTTTGTTCCTATATAATAAGAAGGCAAGAATGGTCCATGAAATCTTGGTTAGTTGGAGTTGGAGTTGGAGTTGGAGTTGATTGAATAAGTTGTGAAGGGGTTTTTATCTGTCTGAGAAGTGGACATGATGTGGTATTGCTCTGGCTCACTCTCCCATTACTACCACTTTCAGCTTAAGTTAATTTGAGGGTGAGCCGAATCAATATCACTCTTGTCTGTTTTTCTGCTATACACATACACTTAGAGAGAGAGAGAGAGAGAGAGAGAGAGACAGGGGTTTCTTACTTAATTCCTTGGTCAAGATATGCATTTGTGTGCATTAATTCATCCATCTTGTGTTGTTTGAGGTTAGTTTGAAGTTCAAATAATATGCCATCTTCTTACTCTTTCATAGCTGAGAGCAACTGTTTGTTTTTACGGTGATGGGTTTCTTGCATCAATTGTATTATTAAGTTTTGTTAATTATGCATAGATAGATGTATCTGTTTCTGGCTCATGGGTTTCGTTGACATTTTATGTATGTGCATTTGGATTTGAGAAGCAGATAGATAGATGCATATATATATTTATATGTATATAGATATGATTAGGATTATGGGGTTGTTAATTGTGTGTTTGTCAGTGTTGAAGATGTGATGTGATGCACAGAAATGGACTTGACTTTGGGATTGGGAGCTGCCTAGTTTCTGTCGTCTTGTGAACAAGCATCATGCCCAAAAATTCCACGAAATTAGGTATTATTATTTTATTACCGGAAGTGGCAAAAACTATAAAACAATAACTGAGAGCGGATATAGTATTCTCAGTTAATTTTGATACTCCATCATCCACTATACGATTATATAAATACTTATAAAACTTTTTGTGCTTTACTATTTGAAAGAGAAGTTTGCTTGTCTTGTTTGATGTGTTTCACCTTGCTTCGGTCAATTGGTCGGTCTCCACCCACTAATTAACTAAGTAAGTGTTGCACAGAAGCTAGTTTTTCTTAAATTTCTTTGATTCTATGAATCCATTGCTTTGTCAGTATAAATAATTAATGTATACTATCACAGTCAAATCTTTATCTATTAAGGACTGCTGCAGATTTATATAAATAAATATTACCTAAAACAACCCACAAAAACGCAGAAACATAAAACAAAACCTCCTACCATTAAAATAAATGTAACCAAATTACCAACCTTGTACGGTTAACTATACATTAATGGTGTGGTGTGTTTACTTCTAGTTTTGATTTAAGCTTTGAGGTAACGGGGCCTCTCTTGGCTGTATTTTTATTTCTCATTTTTTATCCATTTACAATTAACTTATATTATGTCCTCCCCAAAATACTACATCATACATTAATTATTTATTTTATATATTACATAAAAAAATTCATAATATCTCATAACTATTTATGTCAAACTAAATAGCTATTAACAATACAATACTTTTAATAATAACTCAAAACACCCCAAAACACAACCAATTTCTCAAATAAAAATATATATACATATTAAAGTTAAATCCAAAAATAGCTAACCAAAAAGGAAGAAAAATACTATATACATGAAATTAATTCAAACTCAAAAACTAACTACTGTGCAAAAACGAATCTGCAGTGCAGCTTCAAATCACTCCAGACTTCAACTTCAGAAAACCGGGCACCCATCCACCGACACCCCTTTGCCGGTCGGACACGTGGCAAGCGGACATCCATCCACGTAGTTCCCCCACCAATGGAACTCCTTCACGGCGAAGTACATCAGCACCGTCACAAACGCCGTCCCGGCGTCCAGCCCTCCGGACAGTATATAATTGTACCTCTCCCACGCTGCCTGCCTGTACCTGTACACCACGTATCCCGACACGAACGCCACCGCTATCCAGCTCGTGTAGTTCACCGACGTCGCCGGCGGCATCATCGCCGTCGCCCCCAGCAGCACCGGCATGTTCACCAGTCCGATCCATTTCTGGCTCGGGAACGCCTTCCCCGCCGCCCAGAACACCGCCGGCAAAATTGCTCCGGCGAGGAAGAACCAGTTCACCGCCGGGTAGACGCCGAGGTTGCCAAAGATCCTCTGCGGCCCGACCAGGCCCCATATGACGGAGGCGTCGTAGAACACGTGGTCCATCGGACATGTCCACTGGCTCCCCGCCGGCAAGAGGCTCTTGTCGCAGAGGTTCGGGATGCTTCCCATTAGCCACCACGCCGTCGCCGTGTAGACCACCACCGAAATCACTGTTCCTACCAACTGTACATTGAACATAGCCCTAGGAGGGATTTTCATGTAGTGGCCGAGCTTGAAGTCGGAGATGAAGGTTAGGGCTTGCGTCATGCTGATGTATCCGTAGACCTTGAAGCACATGTTGGCCACGGGGCGGCCCGGGTACATGTACCCTATGATGTACTCTGTGATGATGTTCAGACCAGGTTGCTGTAATAATCAGAGATCGAAAACGAAAATCAACTTCTGAGAAAGAGAAGAATGGGAAAGAAGATGTTAATTAATTTGAGAGGGGACCTGGTTGGTGGTGGCGGAGATGATGCCGATGGGAAGAGTGTAGACGACGGCAATGGCGCAGGCGAGCAAAACCCCCCACCATGGGAGTTGCAGGACGTCTTTGTAGTAATCGCAGGCAAAGAGGATGACGCCGATGTTGGCAACAAGGAGGATCAGAAACCACCACATGGGAACCTGTTTGTAAGCCTTCATAAGCCTTGCATGGATGTCTAATTTCTTGTTTTCTCTGAAAGCACTCTTGGTTTGCCTCCACAGCTCCCTGAAACCAATCATCAATTATTATACAATTAGTCGATATTAATTTAAAATGTGGATTCTGTACGTACCCGCCATTGTAGAGGATGACATGAACAAGGGTAGCGGACAGAGTGGCGAATCCGAGGCCATAAGTCATGGCGAACATGGTGCTGAGATACAGAGGACCTTCCCTGCCATACGCCGGCTTGTCGAGGTTGAAGTTGGAGTTGATAATGGTGGTGGTGTTGTATATCTGGCCGTTGCTCTGGAAAAGATCGGAGGAGAAAATGGGGAAGTTCTTGGCGTTGTAGATGTTGAACCAGTAGCCGATGGGGGTGATGACATAGGTCACCAACACGAATCCGGCGGCGATGTTGGCGGAAGCAAACCAGGGGCTGGCGAGGGGGCTGCCGAGGTACGACGAAATGGCGGACCAGTCCAAGGCGATGGCGCCGAGGCCGAGGCCACTCATGCCGGAGCCGAGCTGGTGGGCTAAAACAGAGTTGGGGAAGATCCAGCAAATCCATGAGAGGGAAGTGAGCATGGTGAAGAAGTAGCCGGAGAAGGTGTAGTAGCAGAAGCTGCAGGCTAAGGCTATGAGGAAGAACTGCGTCCTGGTGACGCTGCCTTTGCTTCTTGTCTCCTTTTCGTGTAATGCTCTACAGCAGCATCAGCAGCAGCAACACCAACAACCACCACAAAATTAGAGAGTAATAATGTAAAGCCATTAATGGTGTGTGAGGAGTGTTTTGAGAAAGAGGTTGAATGCAGAGCAGAGTAGGGTACCTGAAGAGTGAGACCTGAACGAGATTGCTCGGCCACCACATCTCCGCCGGCTCAACCAAATACTTCCGGAAGATTCCAGCCCATCCATAGCCTAGAAGCTGCGTATCGTACCAACAAAAAGTTCACTTTCTCTATTCATTTGTCATTATTTATTTTTTAAAAATATCCAAATTAAATATATTTTTGTACTAAGCGTGTTCGTGGCTTTTAGTTTTTAAGTTTGAATTTTTAGCAATAAAAAATTAAATTTGAATAATTATTTGATATGATATAGTGTAAAATAAATTTGTGTTATAATATAAAAAATTGTTTGATATGATATTTTTAAAAAAAAATAAAAAAATAAAAAAATTGAGGTAATAAAATCTACAAGAACACAATTAACCTAAGATTTTTCACATATACTTTTTCTTATGTTTCTAGATAAAATTATAAAATCATTCAAATAAGAAAAAAAAAAAAATTGCAAATGCTTTTTAAATATATATATATATATATATTAAATATAGTTTTTTCAACGAACAAAAATATAAATATATATATTCCAAACCCTCCCTAGAATCCCCGTAGAATACGGAAACCCTAAAAAAATGATAAAATTTATAAAATAAAAAATTATCCCCACGTGGAATGGCCTTGCAGTGTAAAATTTCCTAACGTAACTTCTTAGTTTAGATGCTATTAAATTTCGAAATCTATCAAAAACCCAACAATAGTTAGAGTTCACACATTATATTAAAAAAAAAAAAAAAAAAAAAGAAATCACCTTAATCTTATGAACTATCTCAGAACGATAATTCACCTTAAACAACTCATGAATTATGATATTAATTGGCAAAATCAATCAACATTATTCACAAACAAAAGTAGCTAGTGAAAAGCGAAACAAATTAAATTAAATTAAACAAAATTACCTGTGTGGTCATCATAACAATGAAGGCGGGAACAAAGCCTAGAGGCTTCTTATAGTACAGCTTGACCGCGCTCAGAATGTGAGTAGCGTAAACCGATCCGGCGCCTGAATTCGCAAGCATCGTAATCATAACATGCTCCTTGATGTTAAACGGCCCCGGATTCAACGAGAACTCCAATTTCGTCCCCTTGAGGAACACGCGCCTCGTAATCGTCTTCGCCATCAGATGCCCCAGCGGTACCACCGCGATTTGCGCCGAAATCGAGCTAATCGACAGCGGTTCCTTCCTGTACCAGAAGAATTGGTTCGCGAACGACAGAAGCACGCACGAAACTATTCCAAGCAGCCACATCCGGAACGTGTATACCGGAACCGTCGGATCGTCGGTTTTCGGCACCGTCATGTCGACTTGCTTGATCGGACAGTACTCATCCGACGCCGAATCGTCTTCGCTGATGATAGCCATCGCCGGAACCGCTGCTTCCTCTTCGTCCTCGGGAAATCAGCGGCGGTTGTTGTGGTTGTTGCAGTCGATTTTTGATTTGATGAATGGCGCGTATTTATAGAAGGGGAAAAGCCCTTGCATTGTGATACATAATATTATATTATTATTTTAATATCTAGAGTTTGTTTTTTTTAATCCCAATCTGCATCATTTTTATTAATTTTTTTAGATTTTTCGGAAAAAATATAAAATATCTTATACCCTCCGTCCCAAACAATATTTCTTTTTTATATATCTCAAACACCTTGCAATATTTTTAAAATAGAAAATAATTAATTATATCTGATCTATACTCTACATTTTTTTTATCCCTGAAATCATCCAAATAAAAAAATAAAATATATATTTTTCTCTATCTCACATTACCTAATTTCTAAATTATTATACTTAATACTATCCACCTAAAAATCGTGCCAAAAATAAATATTGCACCTTGTTTGGAACAGGGGGAGTATTATTTTAATGATAAATGATTAAATGATATGTCTATTAATTATTTTAAAAAAAAAGAAAAAGGTGCCCCTTAAATATGTAAATCAACAATTAGGTTACGTTATAAGATATTGCTCGATCGGGCAAATTGAAGTTGTTACAATTTTGTCGTGTAAAATTCAATTTATCACCACATGGGTGGGTAAGTTTGAATTTTTATTTTTATCAATATCTATTTTAAAATATATTTTTTAGATGCATGGTATCTAATATTGACACTTAATTTTTTTAGTATCCTTTTAAATATCACTTATTGTGAATGGATTAGTTATAAATATTTAAATATATTTTGGGTTTTAATGAGATATTGAGTTGGTTGTGTGGACATTGAAATATATTTTGATTTAAATAAAATTTAAAATATTTATTAAATTTATATATAATTAATACAAACTATTTTTTCAAAAATATATATTATAAACATATTATTTTGGTGTATTTTTTTTCTATAGATGTATTATTATTATTATTTTTTGATTAAATATATACAATTATACTAATAATATAAAAAGTAATATTTTATATCAAATTATTTTTATATAAAGTATTAAAAAATAGTGTAGTAAAAATAATTTGATGAACACATCCAAGGTAAAAGTCATATAATCAAATAGAGATTGAGGATGTGATCACCCCCAATAATTTTGTAGTAGTAACATTAGATATATATATATATGATTGGGTTCGACAATTAGCTGATAGGTTTTAGCTGTTAGCTGATTCAATTAGTTGATTTGACTAGCTGATTTAATTGGAGGTTTCTATTAAAGTGTTTAAAACATACTTTAGCTGTTTGTACATAAAATTACTATTAAGGATATTGATATGTTTTTTTTTAATATTTAATTTTTTTTATTTGTTTGAAATTTATGAGAATTTTTGTTATTAATTATTGAAAATTATAAAATATTTATTTTTATTTTTATTATTTAGATCTGAGAAAATTATTTTTACTAAAAAATAATAATTTTTATTGAAATATGTAAACTATAAAATAATAAATATTTCGTATATATATTTTTATTATGTTAATTATTGTTTTAATATATATAAATAAATTTATAACATTTGTTTTTTCTATTTGATTTAGTTTTAAAATTTTATATATTTTACTTATGTAATAATTAATAATAGTAATTATTTTAAATTAAAAATAATTAAATATATTAAAATTAATTAATAAATATTGCTATAAAAATATATTTTTATATAAAAAATAAATAATTAAATTTTAAGGGTAAATAAAAAAAAAAATCAAAAGAAAAAGCTCTTTCAAAAGGAGGACGTGAAGGATTACGTCGGGACGTGCCTTATTTGTCAGCAGGATAAGGTAGAGAACCAACCACCCGCAGGATTGCTGCAGCGCTTGTCGATACCTAGAAGATGTGAGAAAGCATCTCTATGGACTTTATTGTCGGATTGCCAAAGTCCACGGGCTGTACCAGCATCCTTGTGGTGGTGGATCCGCTGAGTAGATGAGCTTTTCAAAAATTAACTTTTTGGGTCCAAAAAAAGTTGTTTCAAAAAGCTAATTTACCAAACATCTAAATTAATTTTTTTTTACTAATCAAACAGCTAAAAAACCAAAAGCTCTTCATAAGCTAAAAACTTTTTAAAAAGTTGGTTTCCCAAACACCTTCGTAATATTCACACAATCATACATTATAACATAATTTATTTAAATACCAAACAAACCGATCCATAACAAACTAATCAAAATCTAATCGTATGGCCCAGATCAACTCATTACAATAGCCTCTCAGTGTAAACTTGCAGGCCCAAGCCCAATTATGAGGTCTAAATCAATGATTTCGCCGACCGAGACGCGGGTCAGCGCGTGTGAACGACGCTCTCATCTGTTCCCGATGTAACCGAAGTCCAAAACCAGCTAAACTCGAAACCAGGCACAAGACCCTCGCGCTCACCACGTCGTCTCCCTCCGAAAATGGCTGTGATCAATCCCAAGGTAACATCCGGAGATGTTAGTATGACGTTAATCATCCATGAATTTCCACAGTAATTCATGTTTCTGTAAATCAGTTTTACCGCGCCGCGCCTCTGTCGAAGCAAAGTATGATATGCTGAGATAGTCGAGGAAAACCTAAAGTTGATTAATTTAATTATTGCGTTTCGCTGTGGATTTCGTTTCTTTTTTTAACTTTGATATCTCGCACACAGTCTTTCTTTGTTTATTTGATTTGCTTGTTGTTTACTCTTGAGACAATTATGTCTTTTTCAAAGCTTGATTTTCTGCCCCAAATTCCACTTTCATGAGCCTCCTATTTTTTAACCAAATCTTGTGTTGCAATCTGCCACGATATTGCTACCTAACAAGCATTGATTTTCTAATCTCTTTCTTCCAGATTTGAGGAGCATATCGATTCTCTTGAAGGTGAGGAGCTTGTGTTATCTGAATTGGTTTTTTCACGCCTCTGTTAGTTTGTGTTACTTTTTTCATGCCTGTGGTTTTTCTCCATATAAATTATGCTTATCGGATTAAGGTTTAAAAGGTTTTGGTGATTACCGCTTTGGATTTCAAATTGTTTGTAGCAATGAATTGTGTTGAGTTCACGTGTGTGATGCAGATCTATGGGTGAAATTGAATAATTTTTGTATTTCTTTCTTGAAGAGTTATTAATTTATCAGATTATCCTATTTCTTGTATGCAAGCTTCACTTGGACTTTGTGTGTAATGAATCTCATCAATGTTTTGGATATGTAATTTGGTTTTGAGATCAGTGAGGGATCCGGGCCTGGAAACTTTGGCAGAATGAGTGAATTAATCGGTCCTCGGTTGTACAGCTGTTACAAATGCCGGAATCATGTTTCCCTTCACGATGACATAATCTCTAAGGCATTTCAGGTGAATCATTTGATCTTTGTGGACATTTTCAATCCCAATTTGGTTATTAGATTCAGTGCATCCATGTTATATATATACCCCTGAGTTCCGATGTGAAGAATCTTATAATATAGAAGTGATACGAGCCACGCCTTTCTAGTATAATCTATTCGATTTGTTTCCTTTATTTATGTTGAAGGGATTATCACTCTTTATCCATGTTGTCTGTTTGCAGCATCGATGTTCATTTTCACTACATACATAAATATTCTGGATTATGTTTAGATGGAAGTTTTGTAGTTTCAGAAAAAAATTTGAAAATAATAAAAAGTGAATTTTGGGAAATGTCTATATAAATAGAAGCTGATATACTCTCTTGTTTTGACGACATTTAAATGTTGCAGGGAAGACATGGCAGGGCCTTTTTATTCTCTCATGCGATGAACATTGTTATCGGGGCCAAAGAAGACAGGCATCTCATGACGGGCCTCCATACAGTCGCTGACATCGCCTGTGAAGACTGCAACGAGGTGTTGGGCTGGAAATATGTCCGGGCTTATGAGGCATCACAGAAATACAAGGAAGGTAAATTCATATTAGAGAAGGCGAAAATTGTGAAGGAGAACTGGTAGCTCTTTGTGGTTAGCCATTTGTGGATGCGAATGATCCATGCCGTAGATGGAGTTCATTTGTTGGAGTCACTCTCTTGTACAGTCGTCGTGGAAGTTATAGGAACAGCTTGGATTATAAGCCTCGGTTCTTCCAAAGTCTTCCGGTAACCTGAAGTTCTATCGATTCAAGCAGTTTGTTAGTTGAACTTAAAACATATATATATGTGGCTGCCTCTTTGTTGTGAGATTGTGGAATTCACAATCTTTCAGTCGATTTGAATTTGTTTGTGAATTTATTTCTTTAATTGGAATCAAATTTTTAAGTTTCAAATGTTACTGTCTTGTCTCAGATTCTCAGCAGTGGTTTATCTCATTTGAGTTTCATCTCTCTCTGAATACAGATTATAAAATAAAGGCTTCATGATGTGGTGTTTATAGAGGTGAATAGATATTTGATGTAATGAATTTAATAGAACCTAAATAAAAAATGGCGTTTCCGCGTTATAAAATAAAATAAAATAAAATAAATTGAAGTTTATGTTACACTCTCAATATATTCTTTACTAATATTTATGTAATCATCTTTTCTTTTTTTATTGTTATTATTGAACTTGTGTCCAAAGATTTTTATATCATATTTAATGATAGATTATTGGGATTTTATTTCGTCAATATATATGTTTAATGCATACTTCACTAAATTCTATTAAATGTTCAACATTTATATTTTATTCATCAATCTTTAAAATTTTCAAAATGATCCATTAATTTTTTAAGAAGCAAAAAGTGGGAAGATATAATTTTTGGTGTATATTGCGATTCTTAAAAAGCGTCAATTTAGAAACAACAGAAAACGGGTTTTTCCTCTTGCGGTGGGTTAATATAATTCCAACTTTGATTCACTTGGAAGAGATCGGAAACGGAAAATAGATTGTATAAAAATAATAATTATTAAATTAAGAGTATGTATCTGAAGAAGCCGTTCTGGAGCGACACCCTGAAGTCGGGGTCTGACGGCGAGCAGCGATCGCCGGTTCTCGAGCTCGTGAAATCGCTCGACAAGCAGCGGCTCTATCGCGAGGTGACGCTCGCCCTTCGAACGGGGCTACGAGAAGCGCGTGCAGAGTTCTCGTTCATCCGAATCCGTGGACTCCGTAGCATTCTCAAGTTCCTCCGATCTGCTGCCGAATCTGATGAAACGATTAATCTTTTTTACCACTCGCAATCAATTCCCGAACTCCAAGGTAACTTAGGAATTTTGCACTAGATTCTTTTCAAATTACCGAAAGGAATGAGATTTCGTTTTGCTTGCCTTATCTATTTTGTGAAGCAATAATTAGGCGTTTATTCAATTTAAAGCCATGTTGATCCATCGCATGCTTGTACTTTACAGCTTTGGTGTTTAATGCTGGTTTGTTTGCTCAGCAATTAAGAGAGGCAAAAATTGTTTATTTGCAATTAAACCATTCTTCTAGCTGGAAAATGGATCTTAAGGTTCAAGCCAAGGGGAAAGCCGAATAAGAAAAAATTTCTGGATCCTCTCAGTTTTATTGCCTTCACTTGTTTAATGTTGTAATGTTAAGTTTGTTGGGATAGGAGCTTGAAAATTGAGATGGCAGAAACTTCAAATCACAAAATCCAGACTTCAAAAAAATCAAACCACAAGACTCATCCTCGCATTGCACGTGATTTCCTTAAAAGCGAATTGATGGCGAGCCGAATTCGCTTTAAGGAATTTGTGTGCAATGCGAGGTTCTCACGTCTTGTGGTTCGATTTTTTTCCATTCGGATTTTGTGCCATCTCAATTTTCACTCTAATTTCAACAACTATCATGTAATGGGGAAGGATTCATGGCATTTAGTTCAGATTTTTGTACGACTGTAACCAGAGCTTGATTGGTGGTATTTCTTTGAACAGTGGTTCCCGTTTTGTTTCAACACTCTCTTAGAGAGATAGAGGACCAATCAGTGACTAATTTGAAACACCTATTTACTGTGGAACCAATAAAGATCAGTAGCCCCTCAACTGATGCTGAAGTGGCTCTTGCACTACGAGTTCTTGAAGGATGTTGTCTTCTTCATAGCGAAAGTACAATTTTGGCTCATCAACACAAGGCTGTTGCTGTATGTTAATAGACACCTCCTCTTGTCCTTGTCTTGTTGACGTTCATCATCATTGACGTCAGTTTTGTCATTATTCGGTGACGTTATTATGTCATTATTCATCACCGGTTCGACATTAATTGTCAACACATGTTTACACTACACGAGTACATTCAATGACATTATTATGATGTTTTACCTAGGACTTCTAAATTCAGTTGTTTTTTCTCAATGCAAGGTTTGACTTAGCTACTGCATGACAGGTTTTAATGAGTATATTGTCGACTCGTGGAGTGCTTGAGCAAGGTGCATGCCTTGATGCTTTAATTGCGATTATGCTGGATTCCTCCTCCAACCAAATGGTATCTCTTATTGCTTCTTGTGTATGGTTAGGAAAATTTGTAGTTTATGTTGTTCTTTTTGGTGTCTCCCCTTCCTCTCAATGTCTTATGGGAAAAATGTGTATTTCATGGAATTTCCTTCTATAAGATTTAGTACAGCAATAATACTTGCATTGTGATCCTATATTTAATTGAGACTAGATACCATGCTGATTTTCTCTGTTAGCACATAAAAAAACTGGCAAAAACAACACATGTTTTCAAATAGGTTGAGTTGTATGAACATATATCCTGTGGTAAAATCAATGGTAAATTAGTATTGTTAGCTCATGTTCTGTATTTGTATTATATTAACATAAATCGTATGTTGTCGTTGTGTTGAATTATGCGATATCTAAAAACTGCAGCCATTTAATTAAATCCCTTTTATTCATCCCCTAATTTGTTGATGTTCTTAAATCTCTAAATATTCTTTCTATTATAAGTAAATGCTTACCACCTTCACTCAGAAGCTTGGATGATTTAAAATGTTTCTTAACCAAGCAGTGCCGTGAAATAAATTGAAATATTCTATTTTCCCTTCTCTGCTGATTTAGGAACACTTTTGTTGTTAAGGGGCTTTGCTGTTGTCATAAGCAGCAAGAAATTAAGCGTTATTTTTTTCATTCTACACTAATAATGGATATGATTTCTGCATTTTCCCAGCCATTGACATCATTTTATTACTGGACAGGATTTCGAGAACTGCAATGGCATCGAGGAAGTTGCTCATCTCATAAGAGATAAACAAGCTGAGGAAAATCTCAGGTATACTTTTTTTTCAATTTCCAAATGTCATTTCTGAAGCTGAGCATTTAAATCCCTGAGTAATTTTCCTTCTGCAACTCCCCCCACTGGAATCCATATCCTTCGTCTCCCCTGATCATGAATGACAATTCAAATCAGGCTGAAATGCGGAGAGTTCTTGCTTTTGCTCATCGGCCATGTAAATGGAAGAGAAACACCTCCAATGGTGACAATCCATGATGACGTAAGGCGATTTCTTGGAGAAAAAACTGCCTCCTTAATATGGGCCGCAAGTCAGTTTGGATCGACCCTTGATCCGGACGAGAGATTGACTGCATTGCACATTCAAGCCAGAAGGGTGCTCAAGTCGGTTGATCTTTGCTGATGACAGAGTCCGATGCCACCGATCGATTGTCGACTACAAACTTTTCTTTCCTAGGTATGTTTCTTTTAATTTATCCAGCCTTAAGCTGTCCTACTAACTAAGCAACTCCATATCCATTGCTTTGTCATAACATCACATGCTTTACATATTATGCTTTTGTAACCCCCCCCCCCCCCCCTAATATTAAGTAGTTTCGCCATTTTGTGGTTAGTGCTCGTACTATGTTTTTATGCATGTTTATTTAGTTTTTTTAGTTGGAGGTGTTTGTATAGTTTATTTTTCGTAAAAAAATAATGTTATGAATTGAATTATTGATTTTATTTTATACGGTATTAGGTGTGTGTACATTATTTTTTTTAATTGGAAAATTCGGTTTTTCTTTTGGATGAACATACTTCTTGTTTATTTTGATTTTGTGTGTGTGTTTTATTTTCGTCTTATATTTAAATAATGTAACATTTATTTTTAGAAATAGTGTATTTTTGTAAGATCAGGATAGCAATGTAAATTAAAAAAGAAAATAAAGTGGATTGAACCCAAGTGAGGCAAAAATTTATTTTGCTGCAATTTGGGCTTTTCAACTTTTCCATTAATTGGGCGTATTCTCATAGGGGTTTATGGTTATCTGAGTGAAACATTAAATTCGCACATTTTAATACTATTTAGTGTATATAATTATTAATCATTTTTTAATAATGTACTACTATATATAAAAATATTAATTAAATTAGAATTATATATATAAAAAATCAAACGTAAAACAAAATCAAACAAACATTTTTTTATTTTTTATTTTGTGTATTTCGAGTTGAATGAAATAGATACTAGACATGTTATTTTGTATAAAGAAATTATATAAAATACAAATTATTAAATTAATGAAATAAATAATAAGACAGGCACTTCAGCGGCATAAAACAAGACTATGGAGTAACGTAACTACATTTTTGTTGCTTTTTAGTTATTTCTTCTTAAAAAACAACAAATAAAAAAATATTTATTATCGGACGCACGCGATTTTGCCACGTCGACAGCCGCTAAAAAGCCAGCCAAAACCACGTCCCGCGGGAACTATTTCTCCTTCGCGGGTTTTTTCAATTCTGTTTATTTAGGCACGAAACCCTCCACATTTCCCATTCATTTTTCCCTCTTTCCGATCTGCTGTGCGCCACAAATGCAGTCGCCCAGGAAGAGAACCCAATCTCTCAGGCCAGTTTCCGCCGCCGCCGAAGCACGGAAAAGGCTCAGATCGAAGCAGGAGGAGGAAGACTACAGCGACGTGTGCTGCCAGAAATGCGGGTCCGGTCAGCATCCTGCGGAGCTTCTTCTCTGCGACAAATGTGACCGCGGATATCATATCTTCTGCCTCCGCCCTATCCTCGTCGGAATCCCTAAGGGACGCTGGTTCTGTCCCTCTTGCTCCAATCGGAAAAATGTTGCAGGTATGCATATACTTTGTATTTAAGGTGTTTAGGTTTTATTCCGTGAATCGAAAAAATGGATCGGTTATTTGCGAAAATGTTTCTGTGCTGGATCTAGGGATTAGCGAGTATGTGAGTATCAATGGCTGCTTCTTTTACTTTCCCCTTTTATATCGCGGTTTGATCTTGGTAACCTATGTGCTTGTTCGGACAATGATTATCGAGGTGAATTAAATCGATTAGTTTGCACTGATTCAATCATGGCTGCATCTATTCCCATTCTTTGAAATTCAGCGGTGTTTCGTGATTAGTTTTAACTTAATTTTGGATTTCATAAGAGTTGCATATCTAGAATTGATGGTGATTGATTCTTAAGGATTGTCGATCATCTATGCACAATAGCTATTTCGTGCAACATATCTCATTGTTCAATTACCGATCGGCTTGCAGATTTTGCTCTGGTTCAAACCAGAATTGTCGATTTCTTCCGTATCCAAAGGTCTTCGCAATCAGGCGAAAAGCCGAGTCCAGGTAGAAAGCTTCTCCCAATTCCCAAATTTCATCACGGTCAGCTCTTCTGGTACTGAATTATGTGTTTGATCCCTACCCTGCTTAGATTGTCGAAAGAAGCGCAAGCGAAATTCCGGACTGGCAATGTCAAAGAAGAAGAGCAGGAAGTTATTGCCCTTCGTTCCAACTGAGGATTCTTCTCGAAGATTAGAACAAATGGCTTCCTTAGCTTCGGCCCTGACCGCCACCGGAACTGAGTTCAGCAACGAGCTAACCTACATTGCCAGCATGGCTCCACGATCAGCCAATTGCCCTGCTCTCGAAAAGGATGGGATGCAGGTATTGTGTCGCGTTGCATTCGATAATCACATCTGAAATAAAAACTGGTTTCTTAGTTTAGATTGGAACAATCTGGATTGTTTCAGGTCATGATTAAAGACGATATGGAAACCTTAACTCTCTGCAAGAACATGATGGAGCTAGGTGAATGGCCGCCTCTTATGGTCGTTTTTGATCCGCTGGAAGGGTGTGTGAAAATTCTCCTTAAACCACTTTGCCATTCTTATGTGCAGCAAAGTTCTTAATCTGTTTAGCTTTTCATTCCCAACCAGATTCACTGTGGAGGCAGATCGATTCATCCGGGACTTGACGATCATCACCGAGTACGTTGGCGACGTCGACTACCTCAAGAACCGCGAGCACGACGATGGAGATAGCATGATGACTCTTCTCTCCGCCGCCGACCCTTCCAAAAGTCTCGTCATTTGCCCCGACAAGCGCAGTAACATCGCCCGGTTCATCAATGGCATCAACAACCACGTCCCGTATGCTCTTCACCCTAATTTAACTAGTTTTCAATTCGAGCTTGAGCTTGAGTTCTAATTCTGACTAGCTGATTAAACTTTCGAATAGCTCGAATCATTACATAGCTCTAATTCTTGGTGTGTTATCATCGATGCAGCGGCGGGAAGAAGAAACGAAACGTTAAATGTGTGAGGTTCGACGTGAATGGCGAATCCCGGGTGCTTTTGATCGCAAGCCGGGACATTCGGAAGGGGGAGAGGCTGTACTACGACTACAACGGATACGAAAACGAGTATCCGACGCAGCATTTCGTATAGCCACAGATCCATACATACATACAGAACATACAGGGAAGGATCACAGTGTTAGAGAAATGTGTTTTTTTGTAACTTTGTTGCCGGAAAAATGTGTTTTTGTGTAACTTTGTTGCCGTAAAAATGTGTCCTTTGGCCTAATTAGATCACAAAATTTCACATTCATCGCCTTGCAGCTGCTGCTGCTGTATGAAGTTGTAGTTGGCACATTTTTGTTGCAGTATATTTAGTTAAGGAAAAGATTGGGCTCTGTTTATTAAAAAAAAATTCTTTAATTTATATTCATTTTATTGGGTTCTAAGGTTCATTTACCTTTTAAATTATTGTATTTAATATTAAAAAAATTTATATTTATATAATTTTTTATACAAATATTATTATAATAGTATTGTTATATATTAATAAGAATATCTTTGTTATTTTTTAATTTATATTATATTTTTATATAATAATTAATATTAAAAAATTAATACCATAAGAAGTAAATGAGACTCAAACAATATTTATGCTTAAAAATCTATATATAATCAACAAATAGGCTTAAGAAATTGGTGTGGCAATTTCAACAATAGGCTTTATGGGCTTATCTGTTTGGGCCTGATAAAGAATCACGGCCCAACACTCCAAGCCCAATAATAATATTATTATTATTATAATATTTAGTAGTATTAGTGCCAAAATTTAATGATCATTAATTTATATATTTAAAGCAATAATTAATATCTACAACTAAATTATTTAATTAATTTAAGAATATATGTAGGCTGTGTTGTGTAGTGATATCATATGTTATGATCCAGTAACACTAAGGAAGAGAGGACCACCCAACCCTATCTCTGCAAGATCTATTGAGAGTGGTCCAATTTGTGCATTACATTTACATACTTACCTTAATTCACGAAGCCTACCCACCTCCACTCTACCCCTAAGGAAGTATCAATTCGATCATTGTAGCACAGCACATCACATTGCTATTTTATAATTAATTAATTGAATAATAATAATAATAATAATAATAATAATAATAATATATTATTATTATTATTATTATTATTATTATTATTATAATAATAAATGAAAATGTATGTATGTATGAGACAGAAAATGGAAGTGGTTAGAGGGTATCAATCGTGGCATTAGAATTTATGGAGAAATGTGGGCATCACTGATAGTCTACAATGCCCCCACAATTTTTGCTCTTCACTGTCGTCATTACAAATATATTTTTATTTTTATTTTTAAATATATGTGTCAATAATGCCTTTCACACTATTTTTTATTATTTTATTTTATACTCCCTCCGTCTCAAACAAGGTGCAATATTTACTTTTGGCACGAGTTTTTAGGTGGGTAGTATTAAGTAGGATAATTTAGAAATGAGGTGATGTGATAAAGAGAGAAATATATATTTTATTTTTTTATTTGGATGATGTGAGGGGATAAAGTGTGGGACAGAGATTAAATATAATTAATTATCTTTTATTTTGAAAATATTGCATGGTGTTTAAGACATATAAAAAGGAAATGTTGCAGGGTGTTTGGTACGGATGGAGTATTTCAGTAGTGTATGTATGCATTAGGAAGCCATAGGGACAATATATATATTCAAATATCATATCCAAATAAATAAATAAATATATATATATATATATGTATGTAGCTTCGGGAAAATTGGACATCCACTCGTGCTATCCCTCTCTACACGTCCTATTTCTTACTAACATATCGAATAGCAATTGGTCAGAGAATTTGGCATTAAAAAATATGTATATTTTTTAATTTAATAATAGACGGGCAGGACTCGAACTCAAGACCTAACCTAGGCTCTGATACCATGTCGGAAACTAATGACCGTCTCACCTAAAAGCTCGAACTTATTAGGGAAACTAAGAGATTAGTTACATATCCCGCAAACGGGAGTCCTCAACAAATATAAGTTTGGATATTTATTTAAAATCTTTTGCAATTTTAAAGCACAGACACATGTATATATCATTATCAAATCCTCATCCTGAATAATTAAATTTTCAAACTTGATAATATATGATTGTAGGGTTTTATTTACATTCGGAGCACTGTTTATTTTTACTAATTGTTAAATGTTCAAAAACTCCAAAACTCTTTTTTTTTTTTTTTTTTATAAAAAAAAAAATGTAGAAACCCGCAGCCGCTACCCAAAAGTACATATGGAGTAAACTCCGACCGAACCTAATACTCTGCAAACCAGGCCCGACAGGAAAGCCACACTAGGTGAACCATACCATGATCTCACGGTCACAAGTTCAACTCCTACACCACCAGGCCATTCCTTACATATAAGGCTAAAAACTTATATTTAAATGAACCTATAGTGTGTGTTTATTTAAATGAAAGATTTATATGTACTTTTGAGTTTTGACGTTACAATTTAAAAATAATTCTTGTATTATTTGAAGGTTAGCTTTTGGCATTTTTTGTTTGTAAATATTTTGTTGTTTTGTATTTTAATTTGATATAATTAAGATATTTATAATGTATATGATTAAACTTATTTAAAAAATATAAACATTACTATATTTAGCAAATTTTTAAAATACTAACATTTAACTATTACTTTCAATTAAATATTTACTTACAATAAATAACACCATTTTTATTTCATTTTTTTATTAATTAACTAAATTTTTAAAATTACTTTCAATTATTTTTTATATTTTTTATTTTATACTATCTATGTCCGGCTCTAAGGGTCTCATTTATTTTTTGCTTATTGATATTTGAATATTAATTATTATATCAAAACGTACTTCAAATTAAAAAAAAAAAAATTACAAAAATACTTTCATCAGTATCTTATAATAGTAATAGAAAAAATTTGTACAAATATAAATATATTTTCAATATTAACTATAAAACCGTAAATGTGACCACAGAATGAGAGAATAATAAAATATTTTTTTTATTTTCATATTGGATCTAAAGAGACCATTTTTATGCGACCGATGGATACTTTTTATAGTAATACTTCTAATATCATCTATTTATTAAATTTAAAGAAAATAAATATATAAATTGTATATCATGCATTATAAATTAGAAACGTGTAACATTTTATTTATTTATCTTACAAAATATATAAGGGACACAAGATCCGTTTGTTTATCCCAAGATAGATTTATAAATTGATGAAAAGATAGACATAGTCAAAATCAATTTCCATAGAATTATTTTATAAATCAAATTTATTTATTTATTAGCCATCCATCCATGTTATGTAATGTATATATATTGTTTTGTGTCATTTTCAGGCAACAGTGGAAAGGAAAACCAAAATAGATTTGCCTGAATCTGAATCAGACGACCATTAATTGTCCCACAACTTTCTTGTGGTTGGAATTCAAGATTGCCCATCTGTCATCTTAATAATTATTATAATTCTAATTATTAGCAAACAAACAACAACCAAACACTCATTCATTATTTAAATATTTATTTATTTATTTATTTATCTATAATTTCCTCTTTCTCAATTATTGTAACTAATTGTGGTTTATGTCTTGTGCCTAAAATAAGAATCTCTTATTACAAAATTCCCACAATATCTGTATATATATATATATATATATGCTAATTAATGTTTTGGTACCAGGGCGGAACTATACGGGACTAGGGGGTCAACTGAACCTCATTCCTCAAAATATATATATTTTTTTTATGTAAAAAATAATAAAATTATGTATTTTATAGTAATTTTTTTTCTTATTATTTTTTATTTTTTAATATAAAAAATCATAAAAAATTTATCTGTTCGTTGATTTATATATTTTGTCTTTAAATTTTATTTTTTATAATAAAAAAATATTAAATTTTATATAATTTTGTTGAAATATTTTCTAAAACATTTATTTTTTTTTCTTTTTTTTTTTTTCCAGAATGTACTATGACTAAAAAATAACAACATTGAATTCATAAAAATATATATATATATATCGATTTTGCCCTATAACTTTTACTGTTGATTCCGTTATTGGGTATCACCTCTTCATGAAATTTTTAATGTGACAACTTGAGAGACAAAAGTGTGCAAATAAACATTAAAAAAAATACTACAAATTCCACATAAATAGTTACATATAGAAAAATTTAAGTTATAGTGTGTTTTTTTTTTTTTTTTTTGTCAAAATAAATCAGTATGTCTTTCTAAAAAGAAATTAATATATTAAATAAATTTATTATTTTTATATTATTTACATAATTATTCATAAGTTACGTTAAAAATAATAATAATTTCAAATTATTTCACAAAATAAAGACATTCGTAATGATTGATTCCGATATATTTTTATAAGAAAGAAACTTTGACTATTGGTTGACATAGAACTATTTTTTTTTTCATTTAAATTGTTTTTTTTCAAATTTTGTAAGGTGAGATTTAATTATAAATTTTTTATTTACATTTCTCTTTTAAATACATTAATATGTTTATATAAATTTATAATTTGCTAATTTTTATATCCTAATTTATTTTAATTATATATAAATACATATATATATATATATTTTATATATTTTCTCTGTTCACATAAATCTTAATATTAATTAAATTGTAGTTGATAATACTTTTATATGTAAAGATATTTTTGCATTTCTATTATAATTTGTTGGAATGACATTGATATAAATATTTTATAAAAAATTAATAATTTTTTAAAAGAAATTATAATATATATCATATTTATATATTATATTTTTATAATATAAACAAAATTAATTAAAATAACAGATTCAAAATAATAGTAAAATAAAATAAAATGGAGTTGTATTTGGGCAGAAGGATTTGTGTCGCATCAGTGCAGCGTACAAAAATCCCTCGGCCCCATTTATTTATTTTCATGTAATAAGAAAAAGGAACACGTCAGGTGATTTTTTAATTTTATTTTAATTTTAGGGATTGGTAAACAGTCTCTTTATGATTGTGACCAAAAATCTCATACGTATATATTAATGCTTTTCTTTTCTTTTGTTTAAAGTAGCACTTTATTCGATGGTATAAAATTTAAGAAAGATATAATCTATAAATAATTAAAAATATTAATAAAAGTAAATATAATATAATTAACTATAAATTAAAATAAAAATAAATAATTTATATAATTAAAATTAAAATTAAAAATTTTAAAATGTGTAATTTTTTTTTAATAAAATGACACAAAATATGAGATAGATTTAAAAAAATTGTAACATAATATATGGGATAGAAAGAATGCATACGTGGAATGATTAAATATTTTAGTAACTTCATAGCACGATGTACGTATTACAAGATTGTTATTATAATCATGTTTGTTCGTGTTTTTCAATTTAATTTTACCATCAAAGTTACAAGTTTTTTTAATCATAATTTTTTTTTTCAAAATACTACTAAAAAATCTAAAATAAGAATAAAGCCTTACAAATTAAAATTATAAGTTTTTTTTTTTAAAAAAAAAATGTAACTAAAAGTGTTCAAAAATGTAATACTAATATTTTATTTATCCATCAAATTTATCTTTATTTATATATATATATATTTTTTCAGTTTATAACGAATAACTCTTACACATTTGTTAATATATACTCTTCAATATTATACTTATTTCCAAATATGTCACTATTAATTGCAATTTAATATATCAACAATTTAATATAAACTCTTCTGTTTGGACATGGACCAAAAAACACTTGAACAAAAAGGAAACTCAAAGATAAAGACGAAGTTAAGATCCAACAAATTCACAAAATGCTTTTATTTTAAATTACAATCAAAATTATAATAATAATATATTTATTAGAATATATATTAATGAACACAAAATTTATACACAAAGGAATTATTTTATTTTATTTTATTTTTATAAAAAATGGAACATTCTTGAACAAATATTTAAACCAAATGATTATAATTTATTACAAATGGTTGCTTTTGTGTTTATTTCTTTCTGAGACACGTGAATGTGCCCATGATCAAGTGGACATGAATAACAGCACGTAGCAGCTCCCTGGACCCTTACACCAGATCCAGACACCCACCAATCTTGTTTTTCAGATCCATCTGCCGTCTGAAGTCCCGGGACCTACCAAATAATTAAAATTACAACATGCCCAACCAGACATGCTTTGTCCATTAAGTATATCATTAATTTAAGACAAGTTTAAGCATCAACCGTACAATAGTTAATCACATTTTTAGCCATTGTTACCGTTAAGTTGAGGGATATATATATTTCGCTTTTTTCTTTTATATACTCCCTCCGTCAAATTTCTATTGTTTAAAGTATATTTGTACGATTTTTTAGGTGATTTTTTTTTTTTCTTATAAATTGACAAATTTATCATTAATTGTATGGTAGAGATTAAAAGTAATAAATAAATGAAGAGTAAAGATATAAAATTTTTGTTTAAAAAAAAATAGAATAATAATTATTAAACATCCCAAATAAAAAAATAGGACATTAATTTGTTGACGTAGAGAGAATATATTTTACATTATATATCTATGCATACGAAGACATGTCTGACTGAGGTTTTTTTTTTTTGACAAAAAAATCTATAGGGTAATTTTGTAACTTTCCGTCAGTTATTCCTAATGAATTGATGATTAATTGGAGTCACGTGATCTGCAATGATTACCACTGCTTTTTCATTGTAATGATTTGATTAGTGAGTGATTGTGACGTCAGCATCCGAACAAAGCTGTCTGATTAAGAGGAAACACCTCCAATAATCTCTTTCCTTGACTTTCTAATATTCTTTTATTTTATTATTATTAAAAAAATATATTATCACCATTAATTTAGAGAACAAGTATATATTCTTCGGTTATAATTATTTTAATTTTTTAAATATTCTTTAAATTTATTTACAATATATTTACAGTAAATAACTTTATCAATTTATAGTTTTATTATTTTTATTTTAATAAATAATATTTAGTTGTCATTATATTTTTAAACTTATTATATTATTTTTTTATTAATTATTTTTACTTCTATTTTATTAATTATTTACTAATCAGATTTTTTCTCGTATAGTATTTAAGGACAGAAGAAGTATTTCTACGCAAAAATTGTTTAATATTTATATTTATGTAACAATATTAATACATAGATATAAAAAATAATAATATTGGTATGTATAAGGAATACTTACTAACAATAAATATTTAAATAATAAAAAATAATAGTTTTGTGATGATAATATAATTTTTAATTAAATATGAATTTATTATATGTTATAAATATTTTTAAATTTATATCTTGTTATATTAATATTATATATTAAATTTAATTAATAAAAAATCTGACCCACAAAAATATCATAAATTATCAGTCAAAATAAATATATACTCTCACAATCCCACAAAATTTGTTATTATTTTTTATTTTCGTCCATTCTACGTAACTTTTTTTAAAATTGATTATACACTTTAATTATAATTTTTTAATCTTAATTAAATTATTTAATTATTTTAATTTTAATCTCTAATTATTTTTACTATATAATAATTATTTTTATTAATATACTTCTTAATTAATTAATTAAGAAGTGTATGTTCTATACTTCTATTGGAATTGGATGGATTAATTATTATTATTATTATTATGGCTGTATTAAAGATAAAATAATTATCCATATTCCATATCTATATATCTATTTGCTTTTTGAACTAAATTTTAGAAATATTAACATTATGTTAGAATAAAATAAAAATAATGGTAAAAAAACTAAATTAATTTTATTAGTATTGTATAATATAATGGTAATGACATTTGTAATGTTAGGTAGACAGTACAATTATTTAAAAAAAAGAAATAAATATTTTATTATGAGAAAGACCAAAATAAAAAAATAAATAAATTGTCAAGACAAAAAGAGTTCAAGAACGAGATGGGATATTTATTATAAAGTATTTTTAAAGTGGTAGAAAATAAATAAATATATAAATAACGGAATGTCGGCCCATGCCCTATTTACAAAGAATATGTCAGAATAGGCTTTTCTTTATTGATTTTACTTTTATTAATTTCAGGGATAGGTAATAGGTTAAATATTTTTACTTGAGTGGCAATCAATTACTTAAAAATAATTTGTGTTTATAATAAGTCAATAATTAATATTCTTATATACTCTTTTTAGTTGACTGTCAATAAAGGAGCCTCACTCGTTGATCTTTCAGCAGCCTTCGATTTGGACCACGTAATTCAGAGCCTTGACCGCAATTCTAACACGGTCAGTTTATTAGTGCTCTATCTGGACCAGAGATCCAGTTGCAAATCCACCGTCGGTATGGAATGGACCCCACATAATCTACGATAGACTATACTCTGGCGTTCTGCTCCCGGGAGCTCCAAAAATAAACACCGTTTCCACGTGCTGCCCGTTTTCTTTAATCAAACTTTTAATTGGAAAATATGACCAAAATATCGCTCTCATTAATCGTCAATCAGTATTCAAAATATCTCATTACATTAGCTTGATTCTACCAATTAATATAAATATTTTGTGTGTTGTATTTTGAAAGTTTAGACCACTTTTTTTAGGTTAATTTTTAAACCAAAATTTAATTAATTATATATTGAAAGTAATTGTAAAAATATGTTGTATAACATGGATAATATAAAAATAAATTGCAATATTCATATCAAATACTATTTTATTAAAACTTTATATTTATACATCACTATTTATTAATTTATTTTACTTTTTAAAAACCAAATTCAAAAATGTATTTTGACACAACCTAATAACGTATTTGCTTTCAATTTTTTATACATACTTTACAATTAAATGTACCATTCTTTGTCATTTTCTTGAATGTTATTTTTTAAATATATATATATATATATATGTATGTATGCATATTTTAGAGACTGACTGACTGACTGTGGTTTGGCTTTTGACCTCCGAAGTGGAGAATTGAACATTCCATTCTAAACCACAAATTTGCCATATTTTGATAATTTGATTAATATATGCACACATATATATTATATTTATTACATCAGTTTTGTGAAATTGGCAGATGCAATTTCGGAGTAAGCTGTTGTGTACTTTCCCTTGGGCTTTCGTTTCCACACAGGGAAATTTTTGGGGCGAGAAATTTCGGTGCTTAATTACTCGCAGGAATCACTGTTTAGTGTCCGAAACGGGTGCGATTCCGATTCAAATCTCGTTTATCGGGCCGTCGATTCACGGATATCAATGAATTGATTTTACGTTGTTGGTTTTTGTTTCGCAACTTTTCAACCTATTTGACAGTTCGCATCGAATCGAATTGAATTCAACTGCCGTTTCTTTGGGCTGCCTCCTTTTTTAATGGTCCGTGCACTTCTTTGCTGTTCCCTCTCTTTCTAGAGACCCCAGCCCCCTCGATTTCGCTGCAAAAATTCAATTCCGTCGGATGAATCTGAAGCAAACGCATGTGAGCAAAATCTTTCTCCTCTGTTAGTTTGATTCGGTTCCGTTGTACCTAATGCGGGTGGTTTCTGTGTTGCTTTCGTCTTCCGTGGCTTCAATTGTGGTGAATTTGTTGTGTGCGTGCATTCGTTGTCTCGGGGAATGGATTTCGGTTATTTGTTTTCGGATCAACTGCGTTCGTTTGGGGTTTTCGAGATTGGGCGTTGGATTTGTTTTTCTAATTTTGATTATTATTATTAATTTTTTTCTTCGGTTGCGGGAAGGTTGTGGTGAGGTAGACCAGGTTCAATGGGTGTGGATTGGGATCCATGTTCGATATATCGTTTAATGTTTACTTTTTCCATTTGTGGTTTCAGTCGCTGGCAATATTCGATATACGATTTCTGGTCTGGTTTTTTGTTTTTATGTGTTTGTTTTGTTGTTTCATTTCAGAGCCTGGCTATGGCTGCTCCTCCTATTTTGTTTGTTCACTCTGTAATTCTGCTTTCTTTGTTCTTCGAAGGTTTTGCACAGCAGAGGAGTAAACGCATTGCCAATCCAATGGTGGGGCTTCTGTGATTTCGTGGATTAAACCCTAAGGAATCATGGATAGCTTCTCGGACGACGACGAGGGATCTGAATTTTTCGATTCGAAGCAGATTTCACCAGAGATTGAGGGGTTTTCTGATAATTGGGAATATGATGTTTGGGTAAATTCTCCCCAAAGTGTTACAGAGCGCAGAAGGAGATTCATTAGTTGGATGGGGTTTTCTCGTCATCAGTTTGAAGGTGAGATATTTGTAGACAGCCATGAAAACGATGCCGACAGTCCCTTCGTGGGGGATACTGATCGAATTGTGGCAAACAATGGAGCTGTGCTAAGAACATCTAGCAATGAAGAAGATGAACTGTCCTCAAGTGGTTCTTCTTCTTGGAATACAGCTGATTTGAATTTGTGTCGAGGTACTGTTTTAGATGAATGTAGAAATGTCAATGGGAATGCCAGCCATAGGAGAGGTTTTGAGATGGTGGAGAACAAGAAGCTTCAAAGAATTCAGGTCAAGGGGCCAGACAATATGCATCAGTCATCTAGAAAAGTCGATGGTGTTTCGGTTGAGGCCAATGGATATACACCTAGGACGATGGGGAGGCTGAAGGAAAGATGGATGAGAAAATTGCGCTCAATAACTTGTTCCATGGCGGGGAATGCAAAGGCTGATAGGGAGGGGTTTGATGGATCCGGCCAAGCTCAATCGACAAGGATCCGCCGAGTCTGTGTTCGCCATTGTCGAAGAAAGTTAAAGGAACTTTCAGGCCTCTTCACAGGACAAGATATAGAAGCCCATGAGGGGTCTATATTGGCTATGAAATTTAGTTTCGACGGCCAATATCTAGCTACTGCTGGAGAAGATAAGCTTGTGAAAATCTGGAAAGTTGTGGAAGACGAGAGGTTGGATGCAGTGGACATCCCGGATGCCGACCCTTCTTGCGTTTTTTTGTCCCTGAGCAATCTCTCTGAATTGGCCCCTCTAACCATGGAAAGAGATGCTAAATTCAAGAATCTTAGGAAAACATCGGATTCGGCATGTGTTGTTATCCCTCCAAAGGTGTTCCGAATTTTGGAGAAGCCATTGCATGTTTTTGAAGGACACACTGCAGAGATCTTGGATCTATCATGGTCAAAGAACAACGTATGTTTAGAATGCTTAATTTTATTCGAATACCATCTAAAATGTTGAAATGAACTAATTTGAATTCTATTGTTTTTCCCTTAGTGCTTGCTATCATCGTCTATGGATAAAACAGCAAGGCTATGGAAGATTGGACTTGATCACTGCCTCAAGGTCTTTCACCATACTGATTATGGTATGCCCTGTGCGAAATCTGTTCTTGTTAGATTACTGATCATACATACAGATCAAAACAATATAGAACTACATTTGCTTTAGCGTTGGTGATTTCTTCGGCTAAAGATACATATAACCCTCTTGCAGTGACGTGCATTCAGTTCCACCCTATGAACGACGACTACTTCATCAGCGGTTCGATAGATGGGAAGGTTCGAATTTGGACAACCACCGGCTGTCAAGTTGTATACTGGACTGAAACAAGGGACATTATCACTGCTATCTGTTATCATCCCAATGGTCAGGTCTGCCCTGCCGCCACCGCCACCGCCACCACCACCACCACCACCATTTGCTTGTTATTATATGAAGAACTAACGGATAATTATTTTCTTCTACACAGGGTGGCATTGTCGGCTTTATTACAGGCACCTACCGGTTTTTCAAAATTTCAGGTATATTTATTGGTTCTCTTATCTTTTTTCATCAATGTTCTGATGTCATTCTTGTGAAAGAATATTTGTCCACTTTGGGCGTTAATTATTATGATAGCCGAAGCTTTTGTACTTTGAATGCGTTGATGTTCTTGTCATCTCACATGGGCCTTTAATGTGCAATGTTGACTCTTTCTAATGTGTCTGGTGGTGGTATTACATTTTAAGCAAACTTTTCCCAACTAAATTTACGAGGTCTATGTGATATCTATTCATGTTGAGATGCCACCAATTTTGTTTTTTTCTCATTGAAAGGTCATAATGGTCTGCACATGCCTTGCTTACACGGGCATAAATTCCATCCGCAAGTTTTAGTTGATATGTGCATTGTCGATATTTGTTGTTTGGATCACTGTGCTTTGGTATATAAAATGAATTATCTCGAGGGAATCAATAAAGTAACCTTAGGTTTAACTATAGCCATTTGATGATTTATTTTAAGACTCAGATTTAATTACAGGGGCATTTATGCTTTGTGTTGCTTGTATCAGATGAATGCTTGCAATTGGAAGCTGAAGTTTGCTTAAATAATAAGAAGTCGACGAGCAGAAGGATAACTGGCTTTCAGGTTACCCATTGTAGCCGATTTGTTAATGGCATTACTAGTTTGATGACATAAGTTGCTTAACATTTGTTCTTATTTGTGTGTAGTTTTTCCCACAAGACCCTAGCAAAGTTTTGGTTGCTTCTGCTGATTCACAAGTCCGCATCATAGAAGGGATGAATGTTATTTGCAAGTACAAAGGTAAATACCTGATTTGTTTCATCCGATTTCACAATAACATGATCAAATGAACACAAAATATTTCTGTTTAATCAGTTATAATTCAAGTTATAAACGTAATCTGACTCAATCAATTTTTGTTACGGCCAGGCTTTCGAAATTCCGGAAACCATCCAACGGCATCGCTTACGTCAGACGGGAATCACATCATTTCAGCTTCAGAGGATTCAAATATTTACATGTGGAACTACTTTGTCGGAAAAGAGTCGTTCTTTTCTCAGCCTAGGGTCACTAAATCGTTCGAGTGTTTCTCATCCGATGCCTCCGTCGCCATTCCTTGGCCCGGCATGAATTCAAGCTTCCCCGGCAAGAATTCGACGAACCCGTTGCCGTTCTCATCATCCACCCAATTCTCATTAACACAAGAGTTCCTACTAGATTCCGGCTCAAAAGGATCTGCAACATGGCCCGAGGAAAAGCTCCCTATGCCAAGTCCAAAATTTGCGACGTCCTTGTTGAGCAAATCTCAGTACAAACTTTTCAAGACTTGTTACCAGAGTTCATCAAATGCTCATGCATGGGGCCTAGTTGTGGTCACTGCCGGATGGGATGGCCGTATCAGATCCTTTCAGAATTACGGGCTACCAGTCCCCCTTTGAGACAAGGCGACAGAAGTATTAAAAACAGGATATGATTCGTTAATCTTTACTCGAAGACACACACTCGTTCTCGGCGGTGTGCTGCGAATTCATTGCATGGATAGGCTGGCAAATAAAGCTACATTTGGCAGTACTGGAAAGTGCTGGCGGGGATGGACCCTAATCCGGTTCAATTGGCATATTTATTCGTTCGTTGGGTCCCGATCAACAGCTGTACATTATTAAAGCTCGGATGGATGGGCGGGCAGGCTGGTGGGTGACGATAGCTGGCAGGCGGGAGTCAAAGTTGCAAACTTGTAAGGTACCCCATCGATTTAATTTAATATGAGGGGTGGTAGTGAATGAGTGAGTCCCATATGCCTTGCCTCGCCTTCCTTAATTGTATGATGGCAGATTTATTTATTTCATTTGTTTGCTCTGGTAATAATTTTAGGCTATGGCCCCGGATAGAAACGGAGTTGTGTCGTAATTGGTCAGTTCTTGATATCGATATCTTTATGTTGGTCGTAGTGGGCTCGGGGCGGCTGGTGTCGATTTGTTTTCGACGAAAAAAGGATGTGGGGAATGGGATGGCTGGTTTGAATGATTGTGTTATTTGTCTGCTGCCGCTGTGAGATTCTGATACTTAATACTGTTGGAGAGGAAGAACCATGAATGAGCTTTGGCTTAGATTATAAACTGTGTTCTGTCAGTAATGGTAAAAAACTAACTTGATGGCACTGTAAGTAATAATTTGACTGTAGATGGTGCAGTAAGATTATAGTAGTTTATTAGAATTGAAATTTTTTTACTAGAATTATGGTTTTCTTTGTAGTATAAATTGTCCCTGATGTATGTATGTATGTATGGATTTAGTTGGCACCCTGTAATAAATGAATGAATTGTTTCTTCTTGCTGGGAACCATGCTCTGCTCTGATCTGCTTTTCAATAATGGGTTCACTTTTTTCTTTCTTTTCTAAATATATATATATATATAAATATAAATATATTTTATTATGAATGTGCAATTCTGAATCAAACTTATCTCTTATCTGTGCTGGGCGTCATGCATTATGGATCTATCTTTTCTTATCTCTTTGTATTCTTGTTATTGTTATTTTATTATATCTGGCAGCTGTAGTGTATCTTTTTTAGGGCTATTTCTTTCTCAACATTTGGTGTCTGTTTCTGATTTGAAAAAGGGATTATGGATTTTTATTTATTTAGTGTTTTTAATTGAAAATGGATTTGTGGCTTTTAATAAGCAGTGCATGAATGAGATATTTTTTTATTGAAAAAGACAAAATTGTCAATTAGATGGTATGGAAATAGTCTTGAAAAGACAAGCAAATACGCCGTTACAACTAAAAAATGATTGAAAATTTTGATAAAAATTAGTGGCAAGGACAGATTTTATTTGATGCTAAGAAATGTGTGTTTCATTTGTATTTTAAACAAAAATCAATCCCATTCAATCTATTTTTGGTTAAAAAGTATATATATTATTTCATTTTGCAAAAAATAATATCAGATCTCTAACTAAAATTAAAACCAAACAATCTCGTTTTGTACTCCCTCCAAAAAATTTTAATTTTAAATTTTAAAATATGATTAAAATGTATAATTAATTTTCAAAAAAAGAAAGGACAAATTATGTGGAACGAAAATAGAAAATAGAAAATATGTACAAATTATGTGGGAAGAAGGGAGTATCATTCTAGGGAGAATAAAATAAAGTGTGAAGAGTTTGGGCCAAATATTTTGGGCCTTTATATTGTGGCGATATTAAAAATGGGTTTCTTTTGGGCTTAAAATGTGTAATAAGTATGGATCTTCTAGAGAAGTTGGTTCGGCCCAATTAGAAATTAATATACATTATTAGCCCCTGCTATCGGTACACTGCAACACTGTATTTTGGCGGCAATTTGAACCTTTTTCCGGTGGGGACAATGGGAGAAGACGCCGGAGAGCCGCCGCCGGACTGCGTAACCGAAACAGTTGCCTCCGATGAAGCGAATTATTGGTCGACGGTAAATTACTCCGTCGCGCCATACCGGAACTATCATTTTTTCCAGCAGTTCAGAACAAGTCCTTCAAACCCTAACAACTTTCTTAAGGGCGTCAAGTGGTGATTGTTTCTCTATATATTGGTGAATTATCTTCAAGAATTTTAGCAGGGATTGTCTCTCGCTTCATGTGTTTTTTTGCTTGTTTTGAAAAGGTCGCCGGATGGTTCATGCTTCCTAACCTGTTCCGACGATAATACCCTCCGTGTTTTCAATTTGTAAGTCTAGTGGCCGTGGTTGTGAAATCTTTGGAATTTCTTGTGATTGAAATATGTTTAAAGTGTTTGGAATTCCTTTCTGCATTGTAATTGTTATGTTGTTTCCCCTCTCTATTAGGCCTTATGACGACAATGGCGAATCTGTCAATCCCCCTTCCATGGCGGATTCTGGTAGTTCACTCGTCTTGAACTCTGACATATGGTGCTTGAATTAACTTTTGAATAATTTGATGTATTTGTGTTGCTATTTTCAAAATCAAAGAGTGATATTGCAATTTCCGATTGATCCATTTAAGGCAAATGATAATTCGTTCTGTACATACTTCCATAATTCACTCAGTTTCCTTGCAGATTCATACGCAGCAAACCTTGTTGTGAGTGAGGGAGAATCGGTGTACGACTATAGCTGGTATCCATACATGTCTGCATCAAGTATAGGCTTGCACTTCATGATTTTATTTGATCAAATTTGGGTGAAGTTTTTTAGCTTAGAATTCACAAGGTTTTCTAATTTTATGATTCAGATCCAGATCTATGTGTATTTGCAACATCAACACGAGACCATCCTATCCATCTCTGGGATGCCAATTCTGGGCAGGTACTGCAATTTTTGGTTAATATTCTATTATATGTTTCTCATTGTTCTTTTCCAAATGATGATAATCTCTCTTATGCACATCATGGCATATTGTGTTAATATTTTGATAAAAAGTATCTGTAAATGGTAAATTTCAGCTGCGCTGCACATATCGTGCCTATGATGCCATGGATGAGATCAGTGCTGCCTTTTCAATTGGTTTCAACCCTAATGGAGACAAGTAAGCATCAATCAAAGGAATGGCATGTGACACCACTAAAATAGCATGATATTTTTCCATTGTATTATATGTTGGTGTTCGTTATTGTCATAGCATGGAATTGATGTAGTCTATCTTTATATTAAGATATTATCTGCTGAATGGGAGATCAGGATCTAAAGCGGTATTATGTTAGACAGTTCATTTATTCTTTTCTTAGAAAAAAGCAATCGTATATTGAACTGGTGACTTCCACATTTTCACTTTTTACTTACTGTAGTTGAGAATACTTTTTAGCATGTAATCTCTTGTAACATCTGTCATGCATTCTTATGTTCTCGCATGTTTGGTTCTGTTTCTCGGTGTCTCTCTTTGTTCTTATGTACTTACTTCTTTTCATGTTGACTTGATGAAATTTTTGTTATTTATTTTCACATCTTAGGGAACTTAATCATCTGGGAATCTAACATATTTACTTATTTCACTTTTAACTCTGAACCCTCTTTCTACTTCTGTATAAATATTTTGGTTATTATGTGGTGAATTTACCCTTTGCTCTAAGCTAGGCAATGCTTCATTCATGACTTTTTTATCTCAAAATTCAGGATATTTGCTGGATACAACAAAACTATTAGAGTTTTTGAGGTTCATCGTCCAGGAAGAGATTTTGTTCAATATTCAACAGTTACAGAAAACAAAGAAGGGCAATCTGGTAATCTGAAAGAAGAAAAGTAGAAAAATCTGAACCTAGTGAAACTTCCTATTTTTTATTGATATTATGACATTGTATACTATAATGTGGTATGTATTATATTTTATTTTTCTGGCTATCTGCCCAGTATACTATAATGTTATTCAAATATAAGCTTGTTCTTTGTTATTATCAGGGATCATATCTTCTATTGCCTTTTCTCCTGTTCATTCTGGGATGTTGGCTGCGGGATCCTACAGCCAAACTACTGCCATATATCGAGAAGATAATATGGAAATGCTGTATGTTTTGCATGGCCAAGAAGGTGGAGTCACCCAAGTAGGTGTAATTTCAACTCTATTGTTGGATTTTGTGTTTCTAGAAGTGATTAATCATTCAAAGTAAGCATCTCTCAGGTTCAGTTTTCTAAAGATGGAAACTATTTGTACACTGGAGGACGTAGGGTAAGAAAACCGTCACCCATGTTTCACATGGATGGCATTCTAAACTTCTTATGCTGCATATGATGCTGCCATTATCCTGATGTTTCTTTGCTTTCTTGCAGGATCCTTATGTTCTATGCTGGGATATTCGAAAAAACACTGAAATTGTGTACAAGTACGTTGCTGTTTTCCATTCTGAAATATAGTGGAATAACTGGATCTTGGACAAAATTTCTTTAAAATGTTTCTTGTATGGAAGTAACTGCCAAACAACTTAAAAGAAATGTACAATAAAATATGCAGCTGTCTCAAATTTTCAGTCTCTCTTTTAATGAAATGACATCATTCCTATCTACCTCCAAGTTTTTAGTCTAGAGGAAATCAGGACTAGCGCTTCCCTTTTTGTTTGTTTTGTTACTAAGTACCAACACCGCTAGGTATAAATGAATACAACTTCGTATCACTCGCTCCATTGAATGCCATGCATGGAAATAAGTATCACCCAAATACTATACTATGTCATGCCACTTTACCTTTCTTTCTGTTATTACAAGTTCCAATCCAATATTTCATTCATGCTTCTATTGATTTATCTTCCATGTCTGGTTAGACTTTACAGATCATGCGAAGGCACCAATCAACGGATACAATTTGATATTGAACCTCTTGGCAGATATCTTGGCACTGGTGGTCAGGTACCCTTTTAATCCACTGATATATTCAAGAATCAAATTACATCACCGATCTCATCTCTGTTTTTTTCCTGTTCTTTAAAGGATGGCATGGTGCATATGTATGATCTTCAGACAGGGCATTGGGTGTCGAGTTTCCAAGCTGCATTAGGTGTTTATTTCGTAGTCATTTGTTTGGTTTTCTTGACTTTATATTATTATTATTATTATTTGGACATTTGTAACCATGTTCTTTTGGCAATAATTTAATCATGTTCCAGACACTATCAATTGTGTATCTTTCCACCCCTACTATCCAATGGCAGCAACTTCGTCAGGACACAGACGATATGGAGCTCTAGACGAGGCCGATGGCGATGACCGTCTGAGTGGTACTATATCCATCTCTAACTTGATTAAACACATCTTATCTATCTCAGAATTTAATCAAAAAATGATACTCTCCTTATTCAGGCGACGAAAATTGTGTATCAATTTGGAGCTTTTACCCTTCAACTTCGACATGAGATGGATAATACAGCAGCAGCAGCAATTATTATCTGGTGGCATATTTATTGTAGACTTTGATTTATGAATATCCTACCGGGCTTTTTTAGCCATTGTTAGTTTTAATTAAGTTATATTTACACAGATATTTTTTTAAAACTTTTGACATTATTTATTTTTTCTCGTCAGAATGAGTCTTGGGTCCAAAAAGGGGGGACATGCTCAAATATTGTAAAACTTCTATGAAAAAATAACTTTAGCTTTCTTCAAATTTGCTTCCATAACGGGTTGAGCTTATTCTATCACAACTGTCTCAGCTTATGTTTATTATGTCGATACAGACTTTGCTAGGAATGAAAATGAATAATTCAGGCACAACAATTGGGTTATGATAGTATTAAGCATCATAACTTGTTTCATAGCAAGCCACAAGGTAACATAAAATCTTAAAGATATTTGTACATTCAAGGATCAAAGCACAAAATCCAACAATTCTCAAAAAAAAAAAAAAAAAAAAAAAAAAGAGAGAGAGAGACATGAAATCAAACACAGCTGCACTTGGCTTGGGCCTCAAACATGCAGGCAGCATATCCAAGAACCCTTCCTTTGTAATAAATTCAAGCTAACTTCAGTATCGATTGGACTCCATATAAATCCACACAAAAAACACAAATCTCAAAACTACGCAGTGATCCTGGGGTCGTGCCTGAACAATAGCCACACAGTGAATTCATGTTGAAGCATTCAGAATCTAAGTATAAATGTAGACACCCATGCACGGGTAATGCCAACGAGTAATGAAACCAAAGGTACCTTCATAGCTAATGGTATATGTAAAAGTTTAGAAATATCACGAAGGAATGCATTTACGTTGCCACATTATAGTTTCGGGGTGAGTATTTTGTGACCATAAAACACTTAATTCTCGCAACACATCTCAATTTCGAACTCCAAACTTGACCAACAGAATAACACAAAAGTATAGAGCAGCTTCATCATTAATAACTCCTTTAACCAAGAAGGCAAGTTTCGGGCCATATTTCGCTCACATGCAAATTCAAAGTTATACTTTCCAAATCCTACCCAGTTTCAGAAAAATGCCACCAACTAGCTCCCCGACCATGGATCAGATATTTATCAATTATCAATAAGCCATTTTTATACTATGATTAACAATTTATGGGTATTGATTCTTCATTTCATGATAAAAAACACTAGGTGAAAATTTTTTCCAGCCCAAACTACCACATCAAAGAAGATCTATTTTCATTCAAAACTGATGCTAAACACTGACCGGTTCTGTTTGATTGTGGGTTTCAAACCCAAATCACACTATTCACTGATTTTTCCCCAAAAAATATTTATTTTTCATTTTTCTACTACACTAAAGTTTACATTCAAAACATCAAATATAATATCAATTGATATCATCACATCAATGGGCTATTCTAATTCAAAATTTTACTTTACCAACCTTACGCCAACTCCAAACCTACAACCAAACAATATTTTTCATTACTAAAATTTCAAATCAAAGCAACCTGCAAAGTGCAAAACAACCTAAATTTCCAAGGATTTATTAGGGATCAATGAAAAGTATGAATTCAAGGTATCCCAAACCTAAATAAAGAATAACTGCTGCAATAGTATAAAACGATATTTTACAGCAGCAACAAATCATGATATTATTTTTCAGAAATGCATTTGGGATCAAGGAAAGACATGTCTGTATCCACAAGATAATGCGACAATGAGTTCAAAGGCTTGATAATAATAATAAGAAAAGATTATTTAATGCAAAATTGCTCTTAATTTCCGCAAAAGACCTAAATAAGACAACGTATTCACATAACCAACACGGAAATAGAATAATTGCGAAAAAATAATTCATCAAACTAATTAAAATTTTATTTACCTACAATCGATCGGCGAATTTCCACGACCGCGATCAGACAGGCAAAGTTTCAACAGCCAGGGGGTTATTCTTTCCATTCGCGTCAACATTTTGATTCGCGGAAGATTCCGTCGAGTTGAAGGATTGGAAGGAAGTGAGCACGAGCGGACGATCCTTGGCCTCGTCCTCGTTTTCATCGTCGCTGTCGGAGGTGCTCAGATTGACGCAGGAGAATCGCTCGAGGGACGCGAAAAACGCCGCCGCGACAGTCATACCCAACGAGCGCGCGATTCCGTCCATCTTCTCGTAGTACGAAGCCCCGTCGGGATTCTCCATCGCTTCGCCTTTGAATCAATGGACCGATCAATCGATAAACTAAGGAGGAGAGAAGAAATGCTGAAGATTTAGAATTAGGGAAGGAAGAAGAAAAAGGGAAACAAACGGTCAGCCTTATTTAATTTTCCGCACATTGCTTTTCACACTCTGGATTTCTCTTATTGGGCCATTTTATTTATTCCTATTTATTACCCCAGCCCATTTTCATATAATGGGCCACAAAAATGGGCCTCCACGAAACAATTGTTTGGCTTTACGGCCCATTTGATGGCATAAAAATGGCCCAAAGTTAAAAAAAAATAATTATAATAATAATAATAATAAATACTCTATAATTGACTAATTTTGAGTAGAATAGGACTTACTGGTTTTTATTTTGAAATCAAACTCATATACTTACTAATTCAAAATTCAAATTAACAATTATATAGTTGGAATTTTCCCCAAAGACTTTCAATATTCATCTCATAGTCATACTATTTTATATCGATATATACACATTATTGAAGAAGATTGAGTAAAAGAATACTCCCTTTCTCAAACTATTTACTTTTAAAAATAAAAAAATCAATTCATAAAATGCCATACTTTGTAGACGAAAAAATCCAACCATGTTAAGGTGCACGTTCTTGCTCTTACCAGTACAGATTATAGAGGCATGTGATCAATTGCGACAAATAACGTCGTCATCCTCCTCATGAACATCTTCTCAAAACTCAAAACAGCAAAAATTCAGCAAGAACTCAAGCATAGTATCTCCCCTATAAACTACACACCATTTTTTAAAAAATCCCTTAAAACAAAAAAAAAAAAAAATTAAAAACTATTAAACAGGCTTCTTTCTTCTACAGCTCGTCGTGGTCACCATCTTCATCGTCATCCGCCTTGTCGGCGCCACCAGGGCCGCCGGACCTCTGGTACACGGCACTGATAATAGGGTTGCACACTGCCTCTACTTCCTTAAGCTTCTCCTCGTAGTCCTCCTTCTCCGCCGTCTGGTTGTCATCCATCCACTCGAGTGCCTCCTTTGTCGCCGTCTCGATCTTCTCCTTCTCGTCGCCCTCCAGTTTGTCAGCCAGCTTGTCCTTGTCGTTGATCTGGTTCCTCATGTTGTACACGTATGTCTCCAGGCTGTTCCTCGCGTCGATTCTTTCTTTCACCTTCTTGTCCTCCTCGGCGAAGTCCTCTGCCTCTTTCACCATGCGTTCGATCTCTTCTTGGCTCAGACGTCCCTTGTCGTTGGTGATTGTGATCTTCTCCGACTTGCCGGAGGCCTTGTCCTCAGCCTTCACGTTAAGGATGCCGTTGGCGTCGACCTCGAATGTGACTTCGATCTGCGGGGTTCCCCTGTTTGAAACAGAAAAGAAATAATTTAGACGATGAAATGAGGTTGATGGGAGTGTTTTTGGTCGGGTGATTGACCAACCTTGGTGCTGGGGCAATTCCGGTGAGATCGAATTTGCCGAGCAGGCGACAGTCCTTTGTGAGACTTCTTTCACCCTCAAAGACCTGAATAGTTACGGTGGTTTGTTGATCTTGGTATGTGGTGAAGACTTGGGATTTCTTGGTCGGGATTACGGTGTTCCTCGGAATCAATTTGGTCATCACTCCTCCAACAGTTTCGATGCCGAGAGTCAATGGAGCAACATCCAAGAGAAGAATGTCTGTTCAAATGGGAATTTTGTCTTGTTAGAGACGAAGTATCCGACAAAAACAATCGAATGGATGACAAGAGTCGTTTGTTACCTTTAGTTTCATCACCGCCCTCACCGCTCAGAATTCCTCCTTGGACAGCAGCGCCATAAGCAACTGCCTCATCGGGGTTAACACCCTTGTTGGGCTCTTTTCCGTCAAAGTAGTCCTTGAGAAGCTGTTGGATCTTTGGAATCCTTGTGCTACCACCGACAAGGACGATTTCGTCAATTTGGTTCTTTTCCAAGCCGGCATCTTCCATGGCTTTCTTCACGGGACCCATGGTCTTCCTGAACAAGTCACTGTTCAGCTCTTCGAAACGAGCTCTGGTGAGTGGCTCGGAGAAATCAGTGCCGTCAAAAAGAGACTCAATCTCAACTCGGACTTGGTGCTGACTGCTCAAAGCTCTCTTGGCACGCTCGGCTTCTCTCCTAAGCTTTCCGAGGGCCCTGTTGTCCTTGCTGATGTCCTTTCCGTGTTTCTTCTTGATCAACTTGATGAAGTATTCCATAATTCTCTGATCAAAGTCCTCACCTGCAGACACAGCCACATAGGTTAATAGACATTACATTTGAAAATCAATTATAACAGTTGCACATTTGTAAGGTGCTTAAGCATCGTGAATTTAACGATAAGCTCAAACGTTAAGCATAACTTAAAAGGTTCGCAAAGAAATTATGAACAGCCGGCAAGGAGAATGTAAACGTACCTCCCAAGTGAGTGTCTCCATTTGTTGCAAGAACCTCAAACACACCATTGTCAATGGTCAAGATACTGACATCAAAAGTTCCACCACCCAAGTCGAAAACAAGGATGTTCTTTTCACCACCCTTCTTGTCCAAACCATATGCAATTGCTGCAGCAGTTGGCTCATTAATAATTCTCACAACATTCAGCCCAGAAATTGTGCCAGCATCTTTAGTGGCTTGTCTCTGAGCATCATTGAAGTAAGCTGCAGAAGAGGTGTAAAGAAACATTAATGACTGTGTGGCATTAGGATCTTCATAAAGATTCAGGTCATATTGTTACCAGGGACAGTGACAACAGCATCTTTGATTTTCTTTCCAAGGTAAGCCTCAGCTGTCTCCTTCATCTTGGTTAAAATCATGGCGCTGATCTCCTCTGGACTGAAGACCTTTGTTTCACCATCTTTTATCTTGACCTGGATGTAAGGTTTTCCATCCTTGTTAATGATCTTGTAAGGAACAAGCTTCATGTCCTTCTGGACTTCCTTGTCCTCAAACCTGTGCATTAACAAAAGTAACAGAGTTATGATATGGCAGTCGCATCATACTTAGTAAATAGTGCATGAAGGGGCAAAAGAAATTACTTTCTTCCTATCAGTCTCTTGACATCAAAGACGGTCCTTTCGGCGTTAACAGCTGCCTGATTCTTTGCAGCCTCACCGATCAACCTCTCCCCATCAGTGAAGGCAACCCATGAAGGGGTGATGCGGTTACCTTGGTCATTCGCTATGATTTCAACGTGACCATTTTTGTAAACACCAACACAGGAATACGTTGTACCAAGATCTATTCCAATAACGGTTCCAATTTTTGCAGCCTCCTCCTTAGCGATGGAGAATGCAAATAGGCTTCCTGTTTGGAATAATCAGGGACCATGTCAAATCATACAGTGTAATAATCGCCACTGAATCATTAAATACCTTAGCAACTCGAGTAAACATATGCTAGATTTTCATTCCAATTTTTGCATCCGATAGCATTAAATAAGCACAAACAACAATTATTCCATAATTAACTCTTCAAACAGTGAATAATACATATATCCTCAGGTATATGAGGGTGAATACACATTGAACATATACTCTCCAAATAATCACAAACGCATCCGCATTATAGTAACGTCCCTCGATCGAAGAGATCCATCCAACAAACAGTAACTCATTGTTGCCAATCATCATAGATGGATTAAAAAGGAACATCTAAACTGAATATCGACTAAATAAACTCAGATCTGAAAAATCAGATCCTAACAAATAAAATAAATCTCAACCATCTCGTTCGGAATCAGATTGCTAGAATCTGTGTCAAACTTTTTCCTAAAACTAACAGCTAGCAACAAACAGAAGACAACGTGGCATACCAAGCCCACACAGAGCACAAACTGCAAAAAAAATCGAACACACCATCCGTGCGCTTGCTCGGCGGTTAAAAGTTGAACCACTAGATCATACTTATGAGTCAACAGTTCAAAAAAATTGCTCACCGATCAGTACGATCCAGAAGCCAAGCGAGGATGCGCTTCGACTCCACGCACCAGCCATTTCCACAAAGCTCAATGCGTGCAACCTTTCTCCTTCTTCAACGTTGCTCGATTTGTTTCTCTGTGGGAAGTTCTAAATCTGAAGGTGTAACAGAGAATAGGGCAATATATATACATATATATAAATGATGCCACGGGTGCAGGGTTTAGCCCGTCATCGATGCTGACGTGGACCAATCAGATCTCGAGTATGAATCAAAACTCGCTTTGAAACCAAAATGTGGAGTCACCGAAGCCTGCGTGGTTCGACTACAGAAGATTGCCGTGTCATAGGTGATGACGTGGACCAATCAAAACGCGAGGAGAAACATGCAACCCAATGAGATTGTTGGGATACTTGGTTTGATCTGGACCGTTGGATTAATGTGGAGACGTGTCTGGTCAGATATATTTTCAAGCTTCGTTATTTCATTGGAGTTTCTCCAGAAAGTTCGCTTGCGGATAAATATAAGTTATTTATTTAGAATTTATTACTTTTAACTCAACTTTTACTATTTGAATGTATTTTTTGAAAATAATATATTCTTTTCATTCCATCTGTATTTGATTTATATCTATAAATACAAAAATTTAAGTAAAGTATTATTAGTAAGTAATTAAAAAATATATTAATAAAAATTATTATTATTTGATAAAAATAATTAAAAATTAAAAATTGATAAATTATGATATTTAAAATATGATTAAAATATATAATTATTTTTTTAAAAAAATTAAACAAATCATATAGGAAGAACGAAAATAAAAAATATGAATAAATTATATGGAAATCAAAATCTTTCAAACTAGAAACACACCCTTGTTTATTTATTTTTTTATTGATACAGGAGGTATTTGTTTAGTTGATATATATTCTCTTCGTCTCATATCTATATATCAATTTCTTTTATACGAAATTTTAGAAATATTAATATTATATTGGGATAAAGTAAAAATAAAAGTAAAAAAATTTAAAAAGTATTTGTAATGTTAAATAGATAGTACAATTACTTAAAAAAAAATAAATATATTATTAAGGGATATAGAGAGTATAATTTAAAAAAATATGAAATAGGGCTAGAATCATGTAGTAATATATATAAAAGTTTATATTAACATGTTAATTTTTGTGATATAATATACTCCCTCCGTCTACTAAATAAGTATACATTTACTTTTGGCGCGGAGATTAAGGAATAATAGTATTTCAATTATAGTAGGTAGATAAAAGTAGTGAAATGACATTTTTTCCCTTACTTTTTTGGTATAAAAGTAATGATGTGATGTAAAGTATGGGTATTTGTGGAAAAAATGAGGTATTTAATGAAATAGTTACTTTGTAATTGAACGTCCAAAATAGAAACATGTATACTTTCCAGCTGGACGGAGGGAGTAATATATTTTATGTATATCTTGAAAATTTATTTAGAAAGGAAAATTTGTTTATGTGAACAAATTCATAAGCCTTTTTGATAAATTTTGTTTTGTTTAATGTTTTTCAACTTCGACCTATATGTGTTTTATAACACTATATTCTTGTTGCCACAAAAAAATTATTAATAATAAGTATTGGTTTTTGAATACTAAATGGTGTGTTTGTTTGGAAGTTTGGATTTTGAGTTGGGATTTGAATAATAAAAATTTTTAATTTGAATAGTTGTATGATGTGATATAAATAGGTATTGATGTGATGTTTTGAATATAAAATTGATTTTTAGTATAATATAAAAAATAAAAAATAGATATTTGATTTGATATTTTTTTGGAGAAAAAATAGCATCAACAGTGGATTTAAAATCCAATTCCCAAATAAACACAATTTATTTCTATTATTTAAACGAGACAGGCCCTAAAAGAGAGGAAGTAATGGTCAATTAAGAATTAAAGTAGTGATTATTAATAGATCGATAAAGTTCATAAAATTATAAAATTTATAGATGTAGACTATTTTTAGAAATTTAAATTGAATAATTTTAAATTTTAAAAGAGCTTATATGTAAAAAAAAAATAAATCATATTTTTAGTATCTATATTCATTTAAGTCCAATATCGTACTTACTTAAATGAATATACATTTTGCAAACTGATAAAATATATATTTATATTATTATTTCCATCCATTTAAAAAATATATATTTATCTTCATAGGGGGTTAATAATAATAGTATTTAATTACAATGAATTGTTAAAAATAATATAAAAATAATTTTATATTTTACTTTTTAGTATAAAAATAATATTGTAATAGCAAATAAGAATATTTGTAAATAAAACAAAGTTCATAATTACTAAAAAGTAAAATAAAATTGTAATTAAATAATCCAAATTAAAATTATATATACGGAACGAAATTAGTATAATTTTATAATATTATTCAAATAAACATGTCAGAAGATTTTAATAGAAGAATACACATTTATTATTCTCGAATTTAAACATTGAACATTCTCCTAATATGTGTGTGAGCTATTGCTAATTTTGTGTTCGTAAATAAAACAAATATTAGGTGTGAATTTCTTATTGGGTATGAGTAACAATCGGAATAATAAATGACTAAAATGACCAATCACACAATACAAATATGCAAAATATATTGCTACGTGTTATTGATTATTATTTGAAATTTATTTAAAATAAATTTTTAATATTCTCTCTGTCCCATTGAAAAGTTGTTATTTTTTATTTATTTATTTTTTCCGTCCCAAAACAAAGTTACTATTTCATAATTTAGTAACTGTACTATCTACCTAACATAATAAATACCATTCAAACTTACACTATATTACACAAATGCAATTACTTTTATATTACACAATACTAATAAGGGTATTTTCGTCATTTTCACTACAACCTATTATAATATTAATATTTAAAAATTTATGTGCAAAAGTAAACGAGAATCATGCACCGAGACGACGGAGGGAGTATTACATTTTTAAGTAGAAATAATATATTTTTATTAAAAAAAAATTTTTAATTTAAAAGTTTGAAAATATCAAATAAAATATTTATTTAATTACTTTTATATTAAACTAAAAATAAATTAATTATACATAAAATATTATAATAATTAAAATTTATTTATTTATTTTATCAGTTAAACCTCCAATTCAAAATTTAAATTCCAACCAAACATACTAACAATTAATTTTGAAATTTTGAAAAAATTAAAAAATCAGTGACAATTGACAATATTTCTATTTTTGTCTGTCCGTAACAATCGACACATTTCTATTTTTGGTAAAAATTATTAAATCAAAACATATTTAACAAATATAAATCAAATTAATTAACTACTTAACATACGACCAACTCAAAACCCCTTTATTTCTACCTCTCTCTTCTAAAACAAATATTTTTATCTATATTTAAAATTAAACTACACATCTTTTATAAATAAACTAAAATATTTGTTATTTACTTGTATTATATAAAATTTTATTCTCGATATCCATATTGTATATATTTTTTAATTTCTATATAATTTTTAAATATTTAAACATATATTTTAAATTTTTTAATCATATATATATAATTTATTTTAAAAATATAAATATTATTAATTATAAAAAATAATATAATAATTTTAATTATTATTAACTAATTAAATATTATCACCTTAAATACACTATTTCTAATCAAATGGTTCAATTCCGATAAGAATATATTATAAAAAAATATATTTAATATAATATTTTTTAAAAATGAATAATGCCCTAGTAAAATTTGATAAAATGAACAAACTCGATACAAATTTTAAAATGAATGAAGCATAATGGAATAATTAAAAAATGGACAGATGGAAATATTTAATTGGTCGAAGGCAGTGATGACGTAGTACGACGTGGAAAGCAGTGTGGCCGGTGCTGCAGATAATAATTGCCAACTATACAAAAATAAATAAATAAATAAATAAATAAATAAAATAGTTGTAGTATTTTGCAAAATTGCAAAACTTGGGGAAAAAAAAAATAATCGAAATGAAAACAATTTTTTCGCAATCAGTTCAATTCAAAGTCCAGCTTTTTATCTGCAGCTCTCAGGTTAGGGTTTTCGCTGGCGCCGTTTTTTTATTTATTCGATCCGAGAGGGAACCTGTTCATCGCTCTCGATTCACACTCCATTTCCATTTCCCTAAGGTAATTGCATCCATTAGTTTATGTTTCGCATTATTTTTTACTGAGCGTTTGCTTGAATTGGGAGTGGTTGACCGTATTATTGTTATTATTTGTCTCCTGTTGGAGTTGATTGGAATTCGTATGTAGTTGCTGTAATTAGAGGGGAAATGGATCTATGCGATGGATTAATACGATTATTTGATTTTGTACCCGACGTCTGTTGTATTGTTGGAAAACGGGGGACATATTGGATTCTCGAGTGAGGTTAGAGGATGGGATTGTTTTATGTTTATAAGGTTTGGTTTGTTGCAGTGAGGTTACGTCTTCTGCTGTTGTGACGCGAGGTGTACTTTTTTTTGTGTGTGTATCAAAATCGTTAGACATCTGTTCACTTACTGTTTTTTATTTACTGTCAATGGAGAGAGTGATGCTTGATGGTAATATGTGGAAGTGTTGAATATGAGGAGCTGGATATGTCGATTTGTTTGGATTAAGGATTGTTTCCCTCTGATCACTGCTTTTATGTATTCTCATCGTGGAGTGATGTTTGATTTAAATCTCAGAGCCTGAGTGCGTGAATATCCTTGGATTAAGGAGGATTTCCCTTTGATCTCTTCATGTTTTGTTTACTAGCTAATTAATGTTATGTGCAGACATACAAAAAACGAGTTTTGTTATGCCTGCTATTGACTAGCCACACGACAATGAATTCGTCGTTTTGTTTTATCATAGCATTTAGTGTGTGGTTTTGCTTTTAGTTTCATAGATTGCCTGCAAGAAAATGTGAAATAACAATGCCGGCTCATAGTTAATTGTGTTATGGTTGGTTACTGTTTGGTAATATTTTTTGGGATATATGTATATCTTTATACATGTATATTATATCTTATGTGAGCATTTATTGTTTCAACTTTCAGCTTTATATAAGAGAGGCACACGTGGGATCATATTTCTAGCAGTATACTTGTTTGATACTGGCAGCGAGAATATGGCTATGGAAATCACTCAATTCCTTTTAAGTGCACAATCAGTTGATTCAACAGTGAGGAATCATGCTGAAGAAACACTGAAACAGTTTCAGGAGCAAAACCTGCCTGGTTTCTTGTTATCCCTTTCTGCAGAGCTTGCTAATGAGGAGAAACAGGTTGAAAGCCGCAAACTAGCTGGTTTGATTCTAAAAAATGATTTGGATGCTAAGGAGCAGCACAGAAAGTATGAGCTTATTCAAAGGTGGTTATCATTAGATGTGTCAGTGAAGAACCAAATCAAGGCATTGTTGTTACAAACCCTCTCATCTACTGCAGCCGATGCTCGATCAACTGCGTCGCAAGTCATTGCAAAGGTTGCAGGGATTGAACTGCCGCACAAGCAGTGGCCTGAACTCATCTTGTCCCTCTTGTCTAGTATTCACCAGGTCCCTCCTCATGTTAAGCAGGCGACACTCGAAACCCTTGGATACATATGTGAAGAGGTTATTCCAGAGGTTGTTGATCAAGATCAAGTAAATAAAATACTTACAGCTGTTGTTCAAGGCATGAATGCTAATGAAAGTAATGTTGAAGTTCGACTTGCTGCCACAAGAGCTCTATATAATGCCCTTGGATTTGCCCAGGCTAATTTCTCCAACGACATGGAAAGGGACTACATAATGAGAATTGTTTGCGAAGCCACTCTTGCCCCAGAAGTGAAGATTCGGCAGGCAGCCTTTGAGTGTTTGGTTGCTATTGGGTCGACATATTATGAGAAATTAGCTCCGTACATACAAGACATATTCAACATCACATCCAAGGCTGTCCGAGGTGATGATGAACAGGTTGCTCTTCAGGCAATTGAATTTTGGAGTTCCATCTGTGACGAGGAAATTAGCATCCTGGAAGAGTGTGAAGGCGATTTCACAGCAGATTCAGATATTCCATGCTATTATTTTATAAAGCAGGCGCTCCCTGCACTTGTTCCTATGTTGTTGGAGACACTTCTTAAGCAAGAAGAAGATCAGGATCTGGATGAAGGTGCTTGGAATATCGCAATGGCTGGTGGGACTTGCCTTGGTTTGGTAGCCCGGACAGTTGGGGATGATATCGTACCACTTGTCATGCCATTTATCGAAGAAAATATTACAAAATCCGATTGGAGGCAGAGAGAGGCAGCCACTTACGCCTTCGGTTCTATATTGGAAGGCCCTTCTCCCGGCAAATTAATCCGTACTGTCAATGTTGCTCTGAATTTCATGCTTACTGCTCTCACTAAAGATCCTAGCAGCCATGTGAAGGATACAACTGCTTGGACCCTGGGAAGAATATTCGAATTTCTCCATGGTGCAACTATCCCGACACCAATTGTTACTCGAGAGAATTGTCAGCAGATTATCACAGTTCTTCTCCAGAGCATGAAAGACGTCCCGAATGTTGCTGAGAAAGCATGTGGTGCTCTCTATTTCCTTGCCCAAGGTTATGAAGATGTGGGCAGCACCGGCTCGCCCCTAACACCATATTTCCAAGAAATTGTTCAGTCCCTTCTTAATGTCACTCATAGGGAGGATTCCGGGGAATCTCGACTAAGGACTGCTGCATACGAGACACTCAATGAAGTTGTGAGGTGCTCGACAGAAGAAACTGCTGGCTTGGTACTGGAACTTGTTCAAGTGATCATGACAGAGCTTCACAAAACTCTCGAGGCTCAAAAGCTTTCGTCTGATGAGAGAGAGAAACAAAATGAACTGCAGGGCCTTCTTTGCGGGTGCTTACAGGTCATCATTCAGAAATTAAGTGCATCAGAGGCCACAAAACATGCTTTCCTACGGTATGCAGACCAAGTAATGGGTCTATTTCTTCAAGTTTTTGCTTCTAGAAGCGCCACCGTGCACGAGGAAGCTATGCTTGCCATTGGCGCATTTGCCTACGCAACGGGCCAAAACTTTGCAAAATACATGCCGGATTTCTATCAGTATTTGGAGATGGGCCTTCAGAATTTCGAAGAATACCAAGTGTGTGCTGTCACAGTTGGGGTCGTGGGCGACATCTGCAGGGCATTGGATGAAAAGATTCTTCCTTACTGTGACGGGATCATGACCCATCTTCTGAAAGATTTGTCGAGCAGCCAGCTGCACCGGTCTGTGAAGCCCCCGATCTTTTCATGCTTCGGAGACATAGCTCTAACAATTGGCGACAATTTTGCAAAGTATTTGATGTACGCGGTGCCCATGCTGCAGAGCGCCGCAGAGGTGTCTGTCCACACATCAGGCGTTGATGATGAAATGATCGAATATACTAACCTTCTACGGAACGGAATTTTAGAGGCGTATTCTGGGATATTTCAGGGCTTCAAGAACTCTGCTAAAGCCGAGCTCCTGGTACAGCATGCTCCCCACATTTTGCAATTCCTCGATAGCATTTACATGGAGAAGGATATGTGAGTAGAAATTCATCTCATTTACTGCTCTGCATGTATTTAGTAACCTATTTATTACATGCTGTTCTTTCGAATCTCCTGATTATTTTTGCCTGCTCGATCTCATTAGGGACGACGTTGTGATGAAAACAGCCATTGGTGTCCTCGGAGATCTAGCGGATACTCTGGGAAGTACTGCAGCTTCTCTGCTTCAACAGTCTCTGTCGAGTAAAGAGTTTTTAAACGAATGTCTGTTGTCGGATGATCATTTGATCAAAGAATCTGCCGAGTGGGCGAGGTTGGCCATTAGTCGCGCCATATCTGTTTGAGCCGGTGCCCCGTCAGAGTCGAGATTCCATAGTATGTTTACCTGCATGCATGCATACATACATACAGTCAGGTCATAAAGTCATCGGGTCTGGTTTTGGTTAGTTTTTGTGGCTGGTCGGGTCATTGTTATTATCTGACAACAGAAAGTACATTTTCAACATGTTGTCGCTAACTTATGCATCAGCATGCGTCGTTTGCAGCGGAGGGTCGGGGGCGGGGGTGTCGATCGCAGGGAAAAGCTGGCTTCTAAAACTTTCCGGAGGAAATAGAAGAGACTGTCTGTTTCTGTGCCGAAGGGTGGTTAATGTGGTAAGCAGGCGAACCCATCCTCGACTGCATTTTTTGGTCTGTTTTGAGTACTTTGTGTCGGGAGAAACTATGAACAGGCAGTGTTATGAAAAAAAACATATTGTATCGCGTCAAATGCCTTGTTTTTCATGATACTTTAAACGAGTCGTCGCTGCCTTTATTTTTCTTTCTTTTGTGCATATTATAAAACGGAGTCTTTTATGCATTTTTTTTTCCCGGATTTTCCCAATCGGGTCTTGCTATTGGTAGGATATGATCTTACCGTTTAACGGGATTATAGTTTTGAGATGTACAGAGGCAGTGTATTTTTTGTGGCCTTGTGGTATATCTTAAAATTTCCCTATAAATGCATATATACTGTTTGCTATTCCAATTTGTAACTTTATGTGATTTGGTCATTTGGGTTTGTTATATGTATGTGTGTCATATATATATCTAATTTGGTAAGTTTTGAGGATGTGCTAAACAGGGTACTGCTAAAGACTAAAGTTCTCTGCTCGTTTTCACTAAGAAAACGCAATCCCACTTTAATGAAACCTTAAAAAGGGGAATGAATAATAATATTTCATATTTTTTTGTGGTGCAAAAAAAATAGGAAAGTCTTTGATCAGGTCAGCATACCAAAGATACAGACTGTGCCACAATTGTAACAGTGTTATAGTGATTTCCATTGCTATTTGCTATTGCTATTGCTATTCCTATCTCTTGCTGTATGGTGCTCTTGTCACTTACTTTTCTTCAACATGGAAACACCCTATTTGTTGCATCCATCTTATCCCCACTATTTATAATTGAAGTATCGTACTCATATTGCATGATAGTGATTTTTCTAAGTATTTATTACTACTCCCTCCGTACGGACTGAGCACAAGTTTAAAGGAAAATGGGTAAACATAAAAATAATTTTTTTTTTTTATGATAAAAGGAAAAATAGAAAAAGAATATCCTTTTACTAAAAATAGAAACAGGAATAAATTGGATGACAATCAAAATCAAAAGGGGAAAGTGAAAATAAGTTTGAATAATAGAAATTGTACTATTAAAAGGAAAAGTTACAAGTTCTTAACAAGAATGACATAAAGGATATGTTCATATTATGTGTTTAAATGATCATTGAGTTATGATACTTTGTAATAGAAATAGCGTGCATAGTAAAAAGAAACTAAAACAGAAAGAGAGCAAGTATTCCTAAATTGAAGTTATTTTATTTTATTAGATTAATTGTTTGACCTTAAAAATGTAAGGTCAAACACCAAGTTTATATTCAAATATCTTTCCAAAACCACTATATATTCAAAACATCCAAAGACAGAAGTTCAAATTCAAAATACCCCAGCATATCAAGAATTATTGTGGGAAAACAAGAAGCCTGCGTGACTGACTAATCTACGCCATAATGAATCATTAAAACATAAATGATTTTTTTTCAGCACGTAAGAAGATAGTTTTTGTTTTGTACCTTTTTTGTAGTGCTCTCAATAATGGCTCTTAAGAAATCAGTCACATTGATTTCATTGAGTAGGCCACTGTCCATATCTGTCTCTCCAGGATTGATCTACACAAAGAATCGAGTTAGCAAGTTTACACCCACATACATACATATATATATATATATATAATGCTACCATGCAAGAGTCGGTTTCAGCAATAGTTTTCGATGAGCTAAACCACCAAATTGTTATATATTTGATATGATATGCAACTAATGCTATCTGTATCAATGAGTGTTGTTCATAATCATGAATAGAAATAAAGTAAATCAATCTTCAAATATGTATGTGGAGGAGAATTGTTGCCACATACATTGCTAACATTTATTTAACCCAACTCCCAACAATTTACCTAACTTGGATAATGTTAGAGGACTAGAAGTCTTGAGTTTAGTCAAGTTTTCCAGTCCAATCTTACTGTTTCATAAATATCATCATATTGCACAACTATAGGTATCATAAGAATAAATGAATAGTCTAAAACAAAAATTAAATTATAAAACAACAAACACACTAGTACAATACAATAAAATCAGACATCTACAACAGCATAATTCAATCACAAAAAACATATGAAATATAATTCAATAAAAGTCCTATTACCAAACAACATAATTAAATTATTAGGCATCATATGCCCATTATCCATATATATATATATATATATATTCAGCATATGTAGTTAAAGAAAGCAATATATGCGTACCCTAAACCATTAAAAACTTGTATGTTTGAATAAAAAACTCATATTATATTTGGCATATCGCATAACTACTACAACCAGCAACAACTATAAACATGAATAGAAAATAATAATATATGCCTATTTGAAAAAATAAATAAATAACTTGCATGTCTTGAGTCGAAAACTTGTTTGTTGTATGAGTTTTCAAATTTATGCAGAAACAATATATTGCCTATATCAAAACAACATAATTCATATATGAATTTAACACATTTATCTAAAGAAAATATGTGAATATTAGCATAGTGTATCAGCACTGCATTCACTGACAATACAAAGAGTTGCTACATGATTACATTCAATAATAGATGTCCGTACCTCACATCATGAAATTTCATGTAATATTTATTTTTCTGTAGAAGTTTATCAATTTCACATAGTCAAGCTTGAGAAGGTCCATATTTGAGCTCAAAATGTTAATTAAGTTGACATTTATATTGATATTAGACTTTTAATCAGTAGATAAACATCAAAAGAAATTTCAAATGGTAAATAAAGTTTACAAGCACAAAACACAATGCCTCGATCGGTTAGAGCATGCCCACATGTAATTCACAAGAGTCTATAGTGATCTCAAATAGATTATTCGTATTGAGAAACCAGCATGAGACAATTTGAGACGCTGTAATCCAAATTAAACTTTTGGATAAAATAATGTTAGAGATACAATAAATCAAGAATAGAACATAAGTTGAACCAGCATAATGGAACAACTAGTACGTAATTACTCATGTTAACAACTTTCATATATCCAATGGAAAAGAAGGAAAAGGAAAAAAAAGGGAGAATTGGGTACTGTGTGATTATTATAAGTTTGATAATCAATACTTTAGTGTAGATATAAGTGACAAATATGGCAGAAAAGCAGATTGACTTATGAAAAGGTGAAAGTCTAAAAAGTGAAACAAATATATAAAATGCATATTATATAATTAAAGGCAAGATAACAAAGGATTGATTTCAGCCATGCAAAGGGGGGTCTGAACAAAGTTGCGTCCACATGCACATGACTACATTACATATGCACTATGGGTCTCTTTATATATATTAGTTATCATTTTATATGTAATATGTTTATTATGAAGTTGACCTAAACATTTTGGTAATGCAATTCATCATCATTGTATCAACTATTGAGTTAGTGGGTGGGTATGTGCGTGTGGCAAGGGAACAATTCAAGCAAACACCTTTTATGGCAACTTATGCTTATAAAAATCCAGCTTTTCTACCATTTTCTTTCTCTCCTAAAAATCGAAAACCATAGCTTGAATTCATTTAAGCTGCTGATTGTAATACAAGCAGCTATGAATCCAAGGATAAAGGGTTTTCTTGTCATTTTCATCTTCCTGTCTGCAGGTGATTTGGCTGAATCATATTCTAATTTTGTACTTCTTCTATCCACATTTACATTAGACCGTACCTGTTCCTCTTTTGGCAGGCATGGTTAAGAGCTCGGGCGACAGAATGCATCCTCTCAACTCGCTTGATGAGGTTCCGTATCCACTTTTCATTTGCTTTTCTGGCTACATATCAAGATATTGATTTGTTTGTCAGTATGTTAAAAATAAGATAAATATGAGCTGCACTGTAATATGGTGAGATATGCAAAGGAGATGGCAGTTTAACTGCTTTTTATAAGATAAAAATCCTTTCATTCTTACATTGCAAGGAAACAGACAACATTAATCTCACATTATGCTGGCCTAGTTATCTAAAACTGTTGTTCTTGCAAAATTCTGATAATGTACATGAATGCATTACAACAGGGTGGAGTACAAGCATATTCTAGAAAGCTCCTGGGGTTCGATGCTGTGTTAGACTATGACTATGCAGGAGCCAATCCAAAGCACAATCCAAAAGGAAGGAGGGGAGGTGGTGGCAGAAGTCTCTGACTGTTTATCTATCCCTCTAATTTACTGTCTTAAGCTCTATAGAAGTTTTGAACTGCATGACTATGAGTTTTTTACTAATATTAATAAATTCCCCACTGTTGATGTACAAGGAAGCCATGGTGCTTAGTATGCTCTAATGTTAACTTTATGCTACCTTATCATATATGTTCTTAAATTCACTATGTAGCACCATAAATCAATAATTTGGGGTAGTAGACATGACGAATCCTAAATATTTTTCTGTTTGAAATGGCAACGAGCTAACAGTCATTATTCACTACCAAATCTATTGGGAAATAATATACACACCCTTTCGTGAACAATGAATATCATTGGCACTATTTCATAAACATTGCCAAAAGAAATTTGCACTAGTCCGTTAAGCGATTGTCACTTACATCATGCTATCAGTCCATCCCACTTTAGCCCTTCATCAACCAATCCTTTTATCTAACACTCAATCAAATCCCACTATAAAAAAATTCTGCTTTTCCAGTGTCAAACTTGTGCCAAGCAATTGCTACTATATTCATATCTAGCTAGTACTGCTGAAGTGACTGCATGGGTTTGCTATTTCCAAGTTGTTCTTATGAATAGAAACACACCCACCATGATCCTAATTCACAAGTAGGTAGGATTATATCGTGCATGTGGTTTTACTCCACTTTGTGTTTTGTCCTAAAGCTATCTTGCTGCTATATCTATTTGTCCACTAATTTTGTTTGGTCTAAAACTACTTGAAGCACTGTTGAGATCTTTTTGACAAGTTGGGAATATAGATCAACAATCGTTAGAGACTTTTATTTTGGATTTTGCCTTTTTAAGTGCTATAGTTTTGGCATGGTGCTGTGGAAACTAAAATTCAGCACACTAAAAGTCATTTTATAAACCCGTATGTGGATAAGGCCACTTTTCTTTAGCACTGGAAAATGATGCCAACATTGGACCTAATTTTCAAGCACTATCATATCATATCATATCAAGCAAGTCCTAACCCCAATCACTAGCCAAAACCAATTTGATAGCTGATAAGGATTCAGAACTGCTAAGCATATAATTTACACTACTGAATTTCAAAATTGCTGGGTAGTCGTTGCTTGCATGAGAAATATAATCAGAAATGCTTCTGGCTTCAATCCATACAAGCTTTCACAAAGCATAAAGTCCTATTCAAAATGAAATACAGAAAAAACCAATCATATTGCAATGCACTGATCATGGCTAGGAATCGATCTAACTAGCAGACAATTTTATCATTAAATCCGCTAATTTGTTTGCAACTGGTAAAAATAAGCAATAACCTGAAATTTTTTGCTATTCCTCCATTTATTGTTAATTCCACTCATGTTTAATGGAAAGCAGTAATCATGATTAAATATGAATATATTATGAGCCATCCTTTTCACAGCTTTTCTACCTTTACTTTTCATTATTTGCGCAACTATTACCAAACCTAAGTGTTTGTCCAGATTTAAAAAATTATTAATCTTTCCCCCAAATAAAGTATTAATCACATAAAAGGAGAAATATCCAAGACAAACAAGGTGGCCAACAGAAAATATCTGTTGAAATGACAAAGAAATATAAGTGCATACCAGATTTGCTATAATAATGCTGACATCGATTGTCATGAGACTGTCGCTTCTGCTACAGATCTTTGTTGCGCGATACAGTAAGTCAACAATATTGCAGCTTTCCATCTCCACTACAGACTCTTTAAACAATAAATTAACCATATCAGAGGACACCAAAAACAAGTGAGTAAAATTCTACTGCATAGTATAGAGACAATAAAAATTTACAGAAAGGCTGAAAATGGTACTCAAAACGAATTGTAAAACTTAATTTCACTAAAATATGCTCAGGGAACAACACTTAGCATTTCTTTTATCAATCTCTAGACCCATGAAAGTCAATGGAAAAGAGACTTCATACAAGAACTTTCCATACTAAGCTTGTATAGAGGCTTATACCAGTGGTTCAGAGACCATTCATGGATAAACAAGCTATGAAGTCATCCTTTTGCTCAAATCAAGCATCATAAAGTTCTTGCCTCAGGTATCCAGGACCTGGCTTGAAAGGATCATCTTCAATGTATGCATCAGGGCGATATATTCCAGCATCATTAATCCGGTTGCTGATTACATGAAGGATTGCTTTCTTTGCACCACCATATTCATCTCGATTGTTCTCAACATATCGCTTTGCTTCAGCTGCTATTTCATTCACAAATTCATACCTGTTATCTTCTGATAATAGCAGTGTCTCAATGTCCATTGTAAGGATATTTCCTGTTTCCTTTATCTTCCGTACCTGCTCCTCAAGAAAGGGAACTCTTTCTGTCTTGTAATCCAGCATAGCATCTCTTTTGGACTGAAACAGAAGTTCAGAAAATTGGAAAAACAAGGGTTAGGTGTATAACAAATTGATACCAATCAGAGAAGCATAATAGTATAAACATTACATAAGCAGGATTATTGCATTCACCATCTAAACTTCCTAGAATCTACTACCAATTGAATCCAAGCACAATTATAGAAAACAGCTAGCAAAAAGACCACACAAAGTTGAGAAAACTTTCAGTTAGTTTTTTAAGGCATGGCGATGTAACAAATCCAATCCAAAAACAAAATTTCTTTCTGCCTAGTGAAAAGGAAAACGTTTGAAATGTAGTTGAAATCACATTTCATCCTTAACTCCACATTTAAGAAAATCAATGATATCAATGCTGCATTCCAAACTAATTATTTTCATCCAAATTACTCAGAAAATCAGAAATCACTACAGTTTGGTTGAGAAGAGTAAATCCAAATTACTCAAACTATACCAATTTTCTTCTCCGCCACACTTTCCTATGGCTGCGTCCTGAATTTGTCGAGTTTGAACTATCCTGCCATTCAAATATAACCATGTGAAAACGCATGTAAGAAAACCGCTAACAAAACTCGTTCCGAAACAGAATAAAAACACCCAACCTGCGACCTCACAGCACGACATGGCTGCCACTTCTTCTCTGTCTTCACTTCAATCTTCTGCAAACCAAACGGCTACAAACTAGTCATCTTCAATTCAAAGACCTAGTCACAAAATTAAATTTGTAAGGCAAAAAAATCACACGTACAGGTACACAACTTAAACATGTTAAAGTACTGAACGACGCAGAGACGGTCGCCATAGCCGCTTAAACCGAGCTACAAGCTCCAGATATATCTGATCACATTCGTGTGTCCCTGACTCCTCCTCGTTGTTGTATTCGTCGAAGTGTTGAACAAAGCCCGATCTAAATGGGCTTAACTACACTTTTATTGGGCTTTTTATGGGTCCAAATCAATCGGCTTTTTGACCCAATATGCTTTCGGAAGGAATGAATTATCAAATTTTGTAAACGAAAAAATATGTACATTTTTTTACCATTTTGTCCCACTTTATAGATTAAAATATCTTTTAATTTTTATTTAATTACTTTACTATTATTTATTAATATAAAAAACTCTTACCTACTTTACTAATAATAAATAATGTCCCCTCTCAAATACCGTGCAATATTTGTATTTAGCACGAGAATTTAAGTGAAGAGTATTAAATATAGTAATTTGAAATAATTTAGATATTAAATTATATGATTGAATAGAGAAATAATTATTTATTTTTTTATTTAAGTGATGTGATGAGATAAATGAAGCGTATATTAATATATATATATATAAATACTATTAATTATTTATTGCAGTGAATTTGAGGAAAAAAAAATCAAAATGTTGCACAGAGTATTATTTATTAATCTACTATAAAAACTCCAAATAACCCTTTGATTTTGGGATATAAGGAGTATTAAAATTTATGTAGAAAAAAATTTACTTGAATAAACAAATTGTACATATTTACAATAATATTTTTAAAAATTATTAATGCCAAAATTTCGAAAATATTATAAGAGTATATAAAGGTAACCTATTTTTACTTATTTGTTTATATATATGCTACTGGAAATAAGTTGATAATATCATCACAATTGTAAGTTTTGCCTGGAAGCTTTATTTACTTATGTATATATATACGATTTCTAAAAACCAAAATTTACTAGGAGTGTTTTATAACATTGCTGTCTTCGAGAAATCACTACAAGAAGCATTTTTTACTTCATCAAACTTCATGATACATTTTTCTTCTTTCGCGTTCATATAACAATTGCTTCGAGAAATACGAGAATGACTCGACGACCCTGTACTAAATTTGCACTGATACTAATCCATAATATGATCACATTCTCTTACAATAACTTACACTTACCAAAAAGAAAGAAAAAACGAAGACGAAGAAGCCTAATGAAGGAACCAAAAACGGTAGAGCTCTTCCAACTTAGTATCGAGAACCGGCGAGAGGTCGACGACAACGATTCGTCGATGATTTCCTCGAACTGGGTTTGTTCTCTCAATATTTTCCCGAACTTGCGTTCAATACTCGTCCAAGTATGTGTACAGCATATCGTCTTTCTTTGATTTACGTCGACTCAGCAGGGCCTTCAGCAGCCGTTTGCTCTTGCTCGGGTATTGCTCCATTTCTTTCGGGCTTTCTTTCCCGACCCGGATGCGCATCGAAGCTGATTTCCGTGGTTCCGAAATATACTGCAGGATCGAAAATACGGGCTTGACTTAAAGTCGTAAAACAATTATGCGTATGTAGTAACTGTGTATCTTTTTTACCTGTTGTCTTCCGAGAGCAGGGTTCGGAGTCGTTGGCCTGCTCCGATTTGGGGTGCTCGTATTCGAGCTTTTCGGAGTCGTGGGCTTGCTGTAGAGCGATCCCGATCGTAGCAGCGGGAACCGGTGCGGCGAAGCCGACCGTTTGTCTGAATGATTGTCGCCAATGCAGATTGAGAAATCAAGTTTGATACATTTGTAAGCTCAAACATAATCTTAGTTGAGATTACGAACCCGAGTCGCGATTGGAGATGTTACCGGAGAAGGAGAAGTTTCCGTGTCGATGGGCGAGCTTAGGAGAGGGAGTCCGCGAAAGCTCTTTGCTGCTAGAATTGAAAAAAAAAAAAAAAAATGATCGATTTCATCATGAATGAGTCGAAATGGGTTCGAAACTTATAATTTAGCGTCGCAAACTCACGAGACTACGGATGGCGGTGGAGTTTCTCGGATGGTGGCTCGGATAGCTGCAAAGGGATCATTGATAAGAACAAAATTTCGCGACGAAAGACGTTATCAGCAAGCGGATTGATTGACTGTTACCGTTCTTGAATTGATGCCACTCATCTGCGTCGTCCAGGCTGCATCCTTGGTACTTCGATCTCGTGCGCACGGCTCCGTCCATAGTTTCGCCGACTAAACGGGAAAGATCGACTATTTCAGTTATAACATGTATTTGATCTCTATTATCGAAATTGCGAGAAACAGTACCGGGTAAGATGTATCGTTTATGGTACTTGGGCGTGTTGATCACCAACGACTGCTGCGACAGACCCTCCCGATCGATGTATTCTTGGCACGTCCGAAGCCTCTATATATTTTTTTCGAAAAAAAAAACGAAACATTGTTAAATTAGCGTAAACACGGTAACAAATCGTGATAATTTAGACAAAAAATACCTGCCCAATGCACGAGACGCGGAGCTCGGTTCCGGAAACTTCATTGACTTTTTCGTCTAACAAATCGTTGACCTTGTAAGTAACGGAGCCCAAATGGTCTACGGTGTTGACGAGGGCTTTAATTGTGTAGTCCTTCAATGTATTAACCACTCTGACAATTTGAAAACATTTCAATGATCGAACAAATTTCGAACTAAAAACTCGAAAAAAGATCACTCTTGAATGACTTGTAAACTCACATATGCTTTTGGTTTTGATCGTCGTTGGTATAAGACAACTCGAAGTATTCGGCAGCCGAGTACAGTTGTTTCCTAAGATTCTTCAAATCCTAAATAGAGATTTTTATCTTGTAAGAACTCGGAACATCGACAATAAACATGATAGCAGAATGGACAAAAGTAGAAGCATTAAAACACCTTCAAGCTATCGGTAAAGAGCATGCTTTCCTGCATAGAGACCTCGTCGAAATTAGCGGGCTCCCGGGGGAACGGCATCCCCGAGCTTGCAACCATTGTCTCCATTAAGGAGAGAGTGACTACAAAACTGTCCTTACAACCTTAAACTCTGCAAATAAGGATCAAATCCTCATCAAAACCTTAAACTCTGCAAAACAGGATAAAAGAATACTCATCAAAACCTCAAACTCTGCGAAACAGGATCAAAAAATACTCATCAAAACCTTAAACTCTGCAAAACAGGATCAAATCCTCATCAAAACCTTAAACTATGCAAAACAGAATCAGACGAACTGTTCCTACAACCTTAAATCCCACAAAGCAGAAACAAGCAGCAAGCGTAAAGCCCATTTCAAGAAAATGGCTTGACGATGAAATTAGCAACTGTACATTTAAATTTAATTTAGTTTTCTTCTTTCTGTAAAAATGTAAAGTTAAAGAAGACAAATAATATAAATCTGAATTCATGCTTTTTTCCTCTTTGGCCTTTTGCATAGATACATACATACATCAACTGTTAAGACAGCAAGAATAATCCCAACCCCAATCTTCAAAAAGCAGCATCAAAAATCACAGACAAAAACAACACACACAGCAGTAAAAAAGATGGAAGAAATTACAGCAAAAAAATACCATAAATCAAATTCAGAAACAAACTCAATCTCAACAGAATTCCCAAATTCATCACAAATATATGCAATCCACATAAAAAAATATCTCAATTCACAAATAAATTGACAAAACCCCCAAATTAGAAAAGCCCTAAAAATTAAGAGCTCACCTTCTTCAGAAAACGCGCACTATCTTCTTCCCCGTTCAAGTTTGATCACAGAATGTGGTTTCGAACATCAAACAAACAGGGCAGCCGACAGGCGCCCAGAATCAGTGTCCTAATTAGGCACTGAGATTTTCGACTAAACCTAAACGGGAAGGAAAAGGGGAAAAACAATAAATACAAAATTGGGAGTGGGATATTGCGAAATGGGAGTGGAGCCGAGGAATTTAAGGCGATTGGATTGGATTGCAGTATTATTATTAACAATATTAAAATGAGAAATTTGAAAAGGTTGTAAGAGGAAGGTGAAGAGGGAGAAGAGGGCACACACCATGACTGTTCTAATTAGCTCTTTCTAATCATTGCTCTGCTTGGTGGGTCACCACTAACCTCTGAATTTTTTGTTCTTTTATTTTTTTTATTACATAAAAGAAATATTGCAATTCTTTTGCCTTTGACAGGAAAACAGAAGGGTTTGTCCCCGTTATAATTTATTTTTATTTTCCTATTAATAACTTTTTTTATAAGAAATAACATAAAATGGAATATTAAATTAAATTTCTTATTTTAAAAAAAATCACAAAACAAACTTTAAAGGACCACCTAAAGCAACATTGAGGGGCAAAGAGCATGTTTAATATGATATATATTAATTACATATTTATTTAGGAAATGAAGATAAATTATTTATTGAACAATAAATACAAATTTGACTATTCCAACGAATAATTATTTTAGGCTCAATAGAGTAAATTGGACAAATAAATTACAACTTTATTGTTTATGCATTATTTGATAGTGTTAGTGGGGAGGCATGACATGAAGGGATTGAATTCATGATTAATGTATGACCAATTTCTTTTTATTATTATTATTATTAATGTAATCAGTGGCGCAAATAGCGGGTGGGCCCTACTCTACTTTTATATATTATTTTTTTAAAATAATTCTCTCTCCGTTTTAGATACCATGTCCACGTTGTCGTTTTTGTCCGTTACACATAGCATGTTATTTTCTTTCTTTGGAAAATGATTACACACTTTAATCTCATTTTAAATTTTTTAATTTTAATTAAACTAATTAGTTATCTTAATCTTAATTTATAATTATTTTTGCTAATACATTCTTAATTATATACTAATTACACATCTTCTAAAATACCTGGGAGGGTGGGATTAATATTTAATTAATTTTATTGCCAACATTTATCGTCAAATTTCACACATGAAAAGTCAAGTCAGTGTGTGTTGACACCAACCTTCCAGTGGGCATTTCTTCTGTTTCTTTTGTTTGGATGTTTATATTTAGCTTCATTATCTAAATTTTAAAATGAAACAATATTAAATACTATAATATAAGAAATTGGATCTAGTATTCAATTGTTGTTATTATTATTATTATTATTATTATTATTATTATTATTATTATTATTATTATTTAATACTACTACGGAAACAATTGTTGGAGAGTTAATAAATTTTCAATGCTAAATAAATTCAATACACAATTAAAGTATCTAAGCCATCTTTATATATTTAATGCGCTTTTAGTACCAATATTCAATATCCAATTAACTTTCTAATATATCCCTCTATTTCTGAAATATTCGATTTCATAATATATTATCTAACCGGTTATTTAAGACAAAACACATTACATTGTTTTTTAGTAAAAAGTTATAGGAGTATTATTATTTTATTTTTTTTTGTATATTTTTTTTTAAATTATGAAAAAAAAAAAAACACACACACACACACAATCTTAAATAAAACGTTGTGCTAAAAAAATTGAGTATATAGTTAGATGATAGAGACTAAACTGAATAAACTATTTTTTCTTTTTTTTTTATAAAAAAAAAAAAAATAAAGTTTACATTTTCTAAATTAGCAACCCAAATATTGGCCCAATAGAATTCTGGGGCAACCAAAACCCAATACTATAGAAGGCCATTCAGGAGCTTCTATTGTAGTTACAGGCCAATAGCCCACAATCTAAAATTGGGCTACAATAAAATATAATTTATCATCTAAAAGAAATAAATTTATTATCCACAATTTTATTTCATTTCATTATATATAATACATGCACAAAGTGATGACTACTAACTTAAGCAACATATATATATATATGTATAACAAGAAGGATATTATACATCATATTTGGTGCAAACCGAGAAGCGCGAGGTACAAACAAAGCTATGGCAAATTTATATAGCAAACAAACAAAGCATGCACATTTTTTTAGTATTATATTATTATTTAAAGTCAAGTAAGTAAAAGTATTGGTTAATGATGTCAGAAGTTCTGATCCAGACAGAGAATTGTGAATTCCCAATTCTACCCCTCAGTCATCCCCTCCGCAGCTTCTTCTTCCATGGAACCACTGCTCTTTTCAGGCTCGAACATATGCCCTGCCTGCAAATGAAAATCAATTTTAATTCCATTAATTGGAAAATCAGGAATTTAATTAATTATAATAATTAATTAATTGATTGATTAATGGATGATCGATCATTGACTCACTCACAGGTTCGGATTCATGGAAGGCAAACTGAAGAAGCTCTTTCTTCTCCCAATTCTAGTGATCTTCACCTTCTCATCGTTATACGAAAAGTCGAAACTAGCCCTGCCGGGCTCCTCGTCGGCGCCGTCGGCCGGAGGACCTTTACGGAAGGAGAGAGTGCAGGCGAGGGACAAGCTCCGGCCGACGTACGGCCCGTCGAGGACAGCTGTCGGGGAGGGTATAGTGGTAATTTTGGCTTCGTCGTGGAGCATCAGCCGTGGAGGGAGGTCCAGACACCTAGCCGCCTTGTCCGGCGGCGCGGCGGCTCTCGGCTTCCCCGGCGCCTCCTCCCACTGGAATGGGATCGAAGCCGATGGATGGAGCGGCGGCGTCAGCATATGGAGCGGCTCCCTCGGCTTCCACGGCGGCGGCTTAGATAGCGTAAGCTTAGGCGGCGTAGCGCAGGTAGTTGAATCTCCCATCATCAGAAAATAAAATTCTTACATTACAGAAACCAAATAGAAATTATACATATAAATACATAATATATATATATATATGTATGAATATAATTTAATTATGGGGATATTGAAGATAGGGGAGTGGAGGGGCAGAATGGTAATTACAGAGGGGAGGGGAAGGCTCCTCAGTGCTCGGATTTGAAATAATAATTAATATTGATTCATTCATTCACGAGCAGAGGGCAAACGGTTGGGTTGGTAAAGGTAACGGATACAAAAATAAAATTTTATATATTAATTAATTAATAATAATAATAATAAATCTCACGACTACTTGTGATGTGTTTAATGTCGAAATCAGACATGGGTTGGGTCAGTCAATTTGGTAATAAATGTTTCTCAACGCCAACGGTAATCCATTGCCAAGAGTTTTCTTTCAACACCTCAAACGTCTCTATTATTCATTTTATATTTTCATCTATTTTTATTTTTAGTCTTAGCAGCGTGACTCTGATGGTATGGACAAACAAACCCATGTAGCCTTCTTGTCTTTATTGCGGAAAAAAAAAAAATACTCACTTCGTCATTCAAATTTATATTTTTTTTTTTATTTTTTTTTATAATTTAAACATATGATCTCACGATTACAAATTTACTCTTACAAGAACATTCATAATGGAACTAGATAGCTCTTCCATTTGATCTTAATATTTTTGGTATAACTGAAAGTAGCAAAAGCAATCCATGCCGAATAAATAATTAAAGAAGCATGTGCCCAAAAGAAAGGAACATCTTCACTGTCATAAAAATGAGGCAACAAAAGACAAGGGTGTATGTTTTCATTTCCAATTTTGTGCTATAAAAAGTACTACTATTATTTTCTACTCTTATAAAATATCAAACATTATTATCTTTTTTTTTTTCTTCTTATTACTCTCGTAACAATCCAAACCACAAAGGAACACACCTTAAAAAGTTAAAAAAAAAATAAAATAAAATAAAAAATAAAAATTGAATGATGATAGTAATCAAATGTGTGTGTATATATATTTACAAGGGATCGGCTACCCTATATTGATTTGCTTCAATCACTACATGAAAAATTGATAGTCAATACTGAGATAAATAGTAATATATGTTGTGTAGACTCAGTTCATAAGATGCATTTATATTACATTAACATAAATTATGTATTGTCTGTAATTATATTATACTGTGTTAAATTATACTCCCTCCGTCCCACATAATTTGTCCATATTTTCTATTTTCGTCCGTCCCACATAACTTGTCCTTTCTATTTTTGGAAATATAATTATGCACTTTAATCGCATTTTAAATTTTAAATTTTAAATTTTAAATTTTATAATTTTCTTAATTTTAATTAAACTATTTATTTATCTTAATCTTAATCTATAATTATTTTTACTAAATAATAATTATTTTTACTAATACACTTCTTAATTACTTACTAATTATACTTTACCTAAATTTCCGTATCTACAGTAATACACCCATATTACGTGGGAGGGAGTAAAATTCAATACAAGCAATCATATATGCAAGGCAACCGTATTGTATTGTATTGTATGTGCGGTCATAGTCTTTGAATTGCATTTGCATATGCAGACATTAATGAGAGGAAACAATGGTGGTGCTGTGGGTGTGTCTTGTCTCTCTTTAACTATAATGTGTGTATATATATATATATATATATGCATATATTTTATGTATATTCACAAGGACTGCAATGCAAATCCAACATTACATGTGGGAGCTACACAAAACCTCTGCTCAATTTCAATCCATAATTAATTACACAACACAACCATTTCAGAATCATGTTTGTTCATCCCACCATTTTATTTTATTTTTATCTCACTTTTGCACCATAAAAATATATAACCTGCTGTAATAAGATCAACTATAGCCATAATGGCCCCACCTTGATCCCCCAAGTCAGCATTGTACTAATTTGATCGGGTGAGCATATGTCATATAAGTGATCAACATATATCATATGCTAAGTTATAATATACTTCTTCCTTCATGTAAATTTATATTTATTTGATTGGGCACGAGTTTTACAAAAAATGGGTATGGAAACTATTATAATAATGAAAAAGTAGAAAAAGTGGTAATTTTTTACTAAAAAAGAAAGCGAAAATAAGTTTGAATCACAACTAAAAAAGAAAAATGAAAATAAATTTGAATGACATAGGGAGTGTTGTATTATAAATATGCTGAAATATGTATAATTATACGATGATCATCCCTGTAACATATGTTAATCCAGTCAAATCAGCACCACCACCATACTGACTTAATCAGATCAACATCTGATCCATACCCGGCCATAATTGAAGTGAAAATGTTGGATCTTGACATATCGTGGCAAGAAGATTATTCTACATCTTACAATACCGGTCCATGTATTTAAGTCATGTATAAATAATTTTAACCGTCAGCCACTCGATCATCCCTGCCAGACCTTCTTACAGGCTACCCCTCCCCTTTAAAGATACATTTGAACCAAATTGCCCTCATATCCAAGTTGCTAGGCTTTTTGATCTTTCTCCAAATCATGAATGAATCCAGATGGGATCTTAATTAGCCCGCAGTTAAAATGTTTCTTCGAGAAACTGCTCCAGACTTTTAGTCTCTTGCAATAGGCGAAATTATCAATCAAATTAAGGTTGCCATAGTTCTGCAACAACAAAACGAGAATTAAAGTGCAAGAACAGAGGAATTCATCTTAATCCTTTTCAAGAAATGGCAGATGATAGATAGATAGATAGATAGATACTATTTACAAGTCTGTATCCTCCAAAATTAGTTGAAAAGAATTTTGTGTATCGTTTAACTGAGTTTAGAATGTAAAATAACCCCCAAAAGCTACATTTTGTCAACAGATTCCCTAATCCCTCGTTTTCGGAGGTGTTCCAAAACACTATTTGGCCAAGGCTGTCTTCCCCTGCTCTTTTTTGTTTTTTGTTTTTATTTAAATAAATAAATATTGCATGAGGGTCTAATATTTTCAGTACATCACAACTGTGTTTCAGTTTTTCGTTTGTGTATGGTTCTTTGTAATTGGTTTATACTCAAATTACAATGGATATGGAAGAATCTCTCTTTTTGGTCATTCAAATACAAAATATTTACTCTAGATTTATCTTTAATATAGAGTATGGGATCATCATATGCTATAGGAGGGTGACTAAGATAGTATAAACATATGCTGTTCCCATAAAGCATATACTGACATTAATACGGTCAAATCAGCACCATACTAACTTTAAAAGTATATACAACCTTTAATATACCTTAAATACAATGCTCATTAAATTCTGAAGATATATATATATATATATTGCATTGGTTTGTGCATCTCACCCAAACTTGGTTCAATAAAAGCAACTCCAAGAGAAGCCCATTATATTATTATTGAAATCAAATCTAATTGGGGAAAAATGGTCATACAAATCATTATTTCTTACTATTGGCCAGTTGATGGTTGGAAGTGACACCAGTAAAACACCAACAAATACCTCAAAAAATACTACTACAGATTAAAGAACCTGACTTAATCAACACTGCTTTGATTATTGATAAAACCACATCATCAACATTACAAGAATTATCTCATAGCTTCCATCTAATCGTGTGATTATGTTCAAGAGCTAAAACCCCACTAAAATCAAGAACATCAAAACTGCACAAGAAGAAAAGCTAGAACGCACATAAAGCCAGCCAACACCAAATCTCTAATGGGTATATAATAAATTCATATATAATAAAACCAGAGACACATATGTAGCCATTAAATATGTCCATCTGACACCAAATCTCAAACCATATTGCACATACTGAATTCAAACCACTTACAGTAAGAAACTCGAGCCAATTTTCATCGATCGGATGCAAATATTCAGTTCCGAATGCACTCGAGTCCCCTGCAAAGCCACAGCCAAACACCAAACAGCATCACACAAATCATCAAGTCAAGTGACAGCACAACCCAAACTTGCTTCTTCCAAACTTTCTTAGCTCTCTGATGCCCTGCCATGTCAGGAGAGTATAATCCACCATTCCTATGGAGCATCACTGGAAACTTATGGCTCAATTCAATTCCATTCCCCTCGTTTTCTCCGTTTCCCCTACCAATACTGAGCTCTCCAGGCAATCTGCTGCTTATCTTGTTTATCCCTCCCTCCCCATTAGACGACCTCGGTCTCTCCCTAAAGTGCCCCGATCCACATGGCAGTACATCGGTTTGATCCATTCTCGGTTGCTCCGACGCCGGTCCGATTAACCGGCGGAAGACCGGGGAAAGGTCCTTCTGAAAACAGAGAGGATTAAAATTGTCCATATTCCTATCCGCATCAAAAACCTCCGCGAACGCATCCTTCACGGACTTCAGAAACCCTAACCCCTCGGATTTCCCCAGCCTCTCATCGAAAATTGCGAAATAGACAAAGGAATTGTCGATCAGGAAGGTGTAGCTCCTCGATCGAACGGTGTGGACAAACGTCGCGTGATGCGGCGGCGTATTCTCCAGGCACTTCGCGGCGGTTGCGCCGAACGTGGGATCTTTGGAGTTCTTCAGTTCAGCCAAGACGACGGTGCCCTTTGCAATGCAGACGTAATGGACGAAATCCGGAATCGAAATCATATCTCCAAACCAGGGACGACGACTCCAATCTGAAAATTCACAAAATCAAATTTAGAGGAAAAGCTGCTAATTTAGGGTTTGGAAGGAAGTCAAACGCAGAACCCAAATCTACGCAACAGCTAAAGCCTTTCAAAGATACCAAACCCTGCGCATACATAATAATCTATAGAAGATAAAGTAATAAATTGAGATTAAAGATTTGTAGGGCTTTCCCCTTTTCAGGGAGCCCTTCCAGAAATTCTCGACGGCCCGAGTCAAGCCCGGGCCGAAGAGGGGGTTTGGAAATAGTTTTCAACCAGCAATAGACGCGCCTCGGTTAGAACCTCACTAGCTGCGTCATTGCCCCAAGCGCAAAGATAATTTTTACAATATCCCTCCTCCTCCTTTAATAGTAGTCAGCTCGGCCAACTCTCTTTACCACAACCGATGTGGGATGCTTCTAAGGCAATATCTATGTCAAGGGAAATAAAACAAAGATGGACAATTAATTAAAAAACAAGAACAGCGGCAGCCTATTCATAATTCATTTACTGAAACATCTGTTCATTGTTTCATTCACATAACCATATATATAATATATACATGGCTCGTGTTCGTGCTCGATGACTAAGTCACCGCAACAGGCGCGGTGAGGACAGGCCGACGTAGGCTGCGAATAGGCTCAAGAAGGCTGCTGCTACATATGAAGCAGCAACAATTACTGGTTCTTTAATGCCATGTAAACGGAGATGGCCCTGCAATGGCGCCATGAACACAAATTAAACTAAAATCCAAACATGTACGAAACTAAATCGATACATTGCATTATTTAGTAATGTAATGTACCTGAAAGACAGCTGAGAATGACGCCAAGACGAACACTCCTGAAGCAATCAGCAGCGGGAGGAACATTCCCGTGCACGATGCCATTGCAGCAAGAGCTCCGCCTAAAGCCAAAGCCCCTGTCGCCCCCATAGATATAGGCGCACTATATCGGTGTTGGAAAAGAAAACCGATGCACGCCCCAGCCATTGATGCTCCAAATACAGAAAGCTCTGTTGTTGGCAAACACACAATTCCGGTTAGGGAAATTATTGCCAAGGTGGGAAATTGAGACCGCGCAAAAGCAAGGATTGATTACTGCAGCATATTGGAAGAACCACGATCGACATTGCAACAAAGGCTAAAGCAGCAGTTCCCACAGCTAATCCATCAAGCCCATCAGTTAATTTGATTCCATTTGGCATGGAAATGAAAAAGAATGTTGTCAAAAGTGGGTAGGATATAGATTTGCCCATTTTCCTGGGAAGAAAATGTTACATATAAATGAAAACCAAACCGGCACATAAGTTTCTATCTAGCCAAGTATTCAAATGCAAAACACATGAAAAACTTCGATGTTCTAGCTATGCATATTCAATCCTATTCGAATGCAAAACTCCGAAAGCATGTCAACAATTAAATATGCACAGCAAAACCTCCGATATTCTAGCTATATATGGCAAATTATGACGTTTAGAGTCACAAATAGCAAATAAGGTATAAAAAATCATACATGTTGTAGGGTGTTACTATGATTTTGGTGCAAAACCAATGCGAGAACCATAATCCAAAGGAAACCTGCAAAAACATCAAACTAATAATTAGATAACAAATTCGATGACAAGTCCACAAAAATACATTCAAAAAAAGCAGCACGAGATTCACCTCCAGGAAAACTTTAATCCAACCAGGTGGATTGTAACCATTGATCTTGATTCTCAAGAAATCATCCAATAGCCCAATTACAGCAAAGCAAATAGTTGCCATGGCTGCTGCAGAAACTTCAACAGATGAAAAACTCAGTACTGATTCTGCTACAAGTATGCCGATTGGTACAAGATACAATCCACCCATTGTTGAGGTTGCTTTCTTAGATGAGTGATGAGGAGGTACCTCGTTCTTGACTGGGGATTGAAGCTCAAAAGCGCATAGTAAAGGTGCACAAATGTATCCGGCACAACACACTGAAACTATAGATATCAAAAAGGGCTGCATCAAGTAAAATGACGGGAGAGGTAGCCGTGCAATTCTCCATGTGTAGTGATCCACGAATAAGAGGAGGAATGTCGAGAATGATGTAAGACCAACATTGTTGAGAACTCCATAGGTAGTCCTGGAAATAGAATAATTAGCTTATAACAATGGAAACTCCCAATTTAAAGTAACTTCTACTGAATGAGTATACGGCATGCAGTCACCGTGTGAAGTTGTTCGACTGTAGCAATTTCTCTTTCGATGGGGAATCATCATCGGTGAGCTGGGAAACTGCTTCGCCGTCACTTGCTTCACCATCTGTTGAAGCAAAAATTGCTTGTCTGTTACTATCAGCCATGTCACTGAATGATGAAACATCCCCTGAATCCTGGAGATTAAAAACATTGAATTGATTTCGACAAACAAGGCTAGTTTGTAACAGCATTAACATGCTTAAATCTGATAAACAATAAAGAATAACGATTAATCAGTACCGACTACTTGCAGGTAGGAAACTTTGAAATTCTTGCAAGATTCAACACACAATTCACATTAGACCACTCCAAGAAGATGATCCAGTATTCACCATTCTATTCTAGTAATTAAGAAATGCAATGAACAAGGTGCAAATATTGCAATAATCATGTTTTACAATCAATACAAAATTATGTATATGTTTGCTGCAATGAATGATGTGTAACAATTTTCAATCAACACATAAGAACGATATGGAAAACAAAGCAAAACCTTCATTAGCTGCACGAAGAACAGCAAGTGCAAATTCAAACTTAATTCTTATCCCCATCTTAATAATTCAAATCCATGAATTAGTTAAAAAGTAGATCAACTCATCAAAGAATCCATTACAAGAACGCAAAAGAAGCAATTAGACAGAATTAATCAATACATCATCCGTCGCAGAAACGCGAAGAACCCTACGCCGCACGCGGAAACCATTTCTTCGAACACGTGAATCAAATAACTGCAAACGAGGATAAAAAGCATCACTCGATTCTGTACCAAAAACATAAACAAAAAATCAGACACACAATTAAAGTGTGCATTCCTTCTTAGAAGCGGCTTATTACCCTGCGATCGAAATACGAACGGCGTGTAAAGTTCCGGCAACTGAAAGAACGGAGTGACGCCATAAGTCCTAAACCAGAAAAATAGCATAAAGCTTGAGATTGCATGACTGTGTTCATAAAATGCAGCCAATTGTCAACGAAAGCTCCAACTGTACGAGCAATGGAAGCAACCACTCCCCCCGCTGGGCAACTAACTTGCAGCAGCAGCAGCTACTCTCTTCTCGATAGAATGGTTTACCTTAATCTACACAACTTTAATTCCACGCGCCTCCAGGGCGCGTTCAGAATAGGGTACGGTTAATTGATTGTCGATTTCTTAACCACAAAAAACCATTTTACTTGGCGTCTACAGCAGGCATTCCCTATAATGATATGCTAAATCAAAAAGTAAGATATGAAATTATAATATAAATTTATCAAAATTTAAAATTTAATTATAAGGCTTTCCCCTTTTCAGGGAGCCCTTCCAGAAATTCTCGACGGCCAGAGTCAGGCCCGGGCCGAGGAGGGGGTTTGGAAATAGTTTTCAACCAGCAATAGACGCGCCTCGGTTAGAACCTCACTAGCTGCGTCATTGCCCCAAGCGCAAAGATGCTTTTACAGTACCCCTCTGCCTTCATTTTATAATCCTCCTGCCCGCCAGCTTTCTTCAAGCCGATGTGGGACTAATCCACTTCTCAGTTTCTGTTTTACCTGGCCCATTTGTGTTGTCGGGCTATCCATGTTGTAAATAAACTTTGTACTTTAAAATTTAACAGTTTTCTTTAAGAAAATAAATTGTAAAAATTAAGATATAAAAAAAAGATAAAAATGAATAAATATAAACTAACCATTCAAATTGGAAAGGTTCAATTTCAATTTCAATTCAAGAAACAAAACCAACAATTTCCAGAGGTAATTTTTCATTAACATATTTTCATTAAAAAAAATAAAAGAAAGCATGTTTATTATACAGGCGTTCTTGAAATTGAAGGTTATTAAAAAGTTCTTAATTTATTAAATCCAGGAACACAATTAAGCCACCGTGCCTCCTATCCTCAGTCCTGATCATGGGCTACACATCCACTTATTGGGCCCACGATTATTTTCTTTCGAATTTGGGCTTACTTGGGCCGGAAGAGTCGCGGTTCCGCTGCTCGAGCTCGACGACTCATGTCCCAGCCCACTCTTCGTAGAAGAATTCCATTGGGCCTGTGTTGGGCTTCGTTGCTTAACTGGGTCTTGAGTTCGAACTTTCGCTTTCGCCGATTGGGTCGGAGCCATGTAGCTCGGGATATAGTCCAAATCCAATCGTCTCCGCATATATTGGGTTGGTTCGCCCAGTCGGCCCATTTTGACATTCTCCGAGCCCAATGGCATAACCAAGCTCACATCCACAGGTTTCTCATGGGCTAAGGTGTGTCGCCGGGGAGGGTGGTAGGTTTGGGACTCCATCCATCTCTCGAGCCAGTTCCATCCCCACTGCGGCTTGTCGACATCGTCGCCACCGTATAGTCCAAAACTATTTACGTCGCCGACGCCGTCTAAACGGGAATGCAACACTTGTTGCATCCGTTGCTGCATCGATCATGTCATGTACAACATTGTAACGAATTTTATAACGTAAGGAAGTATGGTAGAGTTTAAGTTTGGAAACCTGATGAGGTAAAGGATTGTAGGCCAGAAGAGCTTTATCCCTTGTGATCATTTTTCTTTCCTCATGCTCGTCGACGTCGTCGGGCTTGCCCCGGAGCTTCTCCCGTGCGATTTGGAGCCTCCGAGCGCGCACACGGCCCTGCACGCGCACCAGCGCTTGCATGCACCGCATCGTCATCTGGGCTTGCTTTCGGACATTGTGACCTCTTACTAGAGCCTGAAGCCTGACCAAGCCCTTCAGCGCGCGCAATGCTCTCCGAGCCTATGTAAAGACACAACGAGCAGAGAAAGTTTTTCCGATCAACGTATAAAAGTGTCGTAGCTGCGAAGAGAGTGTGATGTGTAGCTTTGCTTACCAGATATCCTCTGTAATATGACTGTATGATAGTGGCAGCCTTTTCTTCCTTGCTGTGGCGACTGTAACCGGCCAGTCGAACCACTCTTGCAGCAGCCTGAGCTGCTGCAACGGCTGCCTCGGCAGCTGCAGCAGTGGCCATGGCCACTGCTATAGCATGATTAGGATCCTCTGATGAATCCGGGGACGACTGAATGCTCTCCCTGTTGGTTACATCCGGGGAGCTTTCTGCTGGGAAATGCTCGAGTGAAACCACTTCGGGTGCTTCGTACTGCCATTTTTCGACGCTTTCCTTCTGAAGAGGATCGGATAAATATATCTCTGTTAGTTATTATGTCTAATAAAACCTTAACATTGGAGACAATTTTGTATGTAGTTAGCATATTTCAGTGGTTCCATCTTCTATCTTCAAAGATAATAGAAATTAAAGGGTTATTCTAAGAACAGATTTGTATTAAGCAACTAAATGAAACCGTAGCTACATGCCATAAAGGAGGATTGGGATCGAACGTGAGGGATCACATGACAATTAATGTTAAATGATGTGGAAAGAAAGGTATATGTCATGAGGACTCTGCTGTTTGTCTTGGAGCATTGATAGGGGACCACGTCAAGGATTTAATGAGATTCGTCAATGGAAGAGAAAATTGGAGTTCCGTAGATCTTCCCTTCACACAATGAGGATTGCTACTAACAGATTGCTTTGATAAAAAACAATGTACGAAACAGAGATGATTTCCAGAAAATGTAATTAAGAATTTGTTAGCCTGGCAATGAGGATTAATGCCATGAAGAATCATTCCTCTTTGCACAGTTCACCATTCCAGGAAAATGATTGGTTTATATGCTTGATCAAGGAAGAATTCAAGAATTGGACAACAATAGAAGATTTCTACAAACTGCTCAGATTGATCAATAATAGGCATGCATTCAGCTTTTGCAGCTATGGATTCAAACACACAGAACTTAAGAGATGATCAATGTTACCACCAGCAACAGCTGAAGAATATTTAGCACTGAATTAACCGACCTTTTTTTCAGGCTGCACGTCCTTGTTTGGAGATTGCTTGAAGACCTTCTTTACGGAGGAAAACCAACCGCTACCGCCTTTCTTCCCCATCTCAGGTAACAAAAGCCTTTCATGCCAAAAAAAATAAAAAATAAAAAGAAGAAGAAGAAGAAATGACCACAATTCGTTCAACAAAATTCCTCACTGAGCTAACAATTGATTATTCCATTCACAATTCACCGATAAACGCGAATCTTTCAGGTAGCAATCAATACAACATATAACATTATACTTATCCACACTAGATCAATCAAACAGCTACGAAAAGCGATGATCGATTCACAAACCTGGAGCTAACTAATTAACTGCGCCGATCAAAGTTGCAAGTGGATGAAATCGCACATTACAAGCGAACAGCTAGCAAGCTAGCATGCGACCGATCAGCTTAACGACAATGGAATTGAGAAAAAATTGAGTAATGGAGGAGAGAGTGAGTGCAGGAGTGGGCGGCGAAGTTGCCGTTGGTATTTAATGAGACTCACAATTCACGAGAGAGAAGCTTTTGCCGCAGCTGTGAGCTGATTGTTCCTCCTCCTTCTTCTGCCTTCTTGTACAGTTGGAATCCGCCAATTGAGTGCGGCCACGTCTCAGGTGCCCTCTTCACCAGGGCTTCCTTCTACGCTGTCGATGGAGACGACTATTATCCGTATGATTAATTGATTGCCCACTCATAACTTTCAGTTAAAATGTGCAATTTTTGGTGAATTATGGTTCCTATATCACATCATATATTATAACTAGCCTGTTTTTTTTTTTTTTTTTTTTATCTTTATATTATTTTTTTACTATTTGGATTACATATTTTTATATATCTTTTAGATAAAATATTATTTTGAATATTTTAAGTAAAAATTATCTATTTTAAGAAATTATATAATTTAATTTCTCATAATTAGAATTGTAATTATTACGGAAGGGTAAATATAAAAAATTGTGTAGATAATATAAAAATAGTAAAAATAATTTATTTAGATATAATGTTAAAAATATTTAAACTCCGTATTCTAAATTTCTTTTAATTAGGTATATTACTTCGTATTTTAAAAATACCAAACATATTATTCATATAAAAATAATAATATCATAATTTAATATTAATAACTTATTAAGCTATGTTACTTAAATAATTATGATTAAAAAAATTATATTGTAAAGTAATTTTTAAGTAGACACATACAAATAATATAACATGTGTTTACTTGTAAGATTTTGATTTTAAATTTTAGTTTTAAATAATAAAAATTTGAATTAAAATAGTTATTTGATGTGATATAAATATGTATTAATGCGATGTTTTGTATTTAAAATAAATTTTTTATATAATATAAAAAATAAATAATAAGTGTCTGGTTTGATGTTTGTGTTAGAAAAAAATTTGGAATAGTAAAATTTGGGTAAACATTTTCTTTTGCTTTCTAGTCAACATATGTATTAGGATTTTCTATTTGTATTTTATCTTCTTTTTTTTATTATTATTATTATTTATATAAAAAATATAAAAATAATTATTTAAAAAATATATATTAAAATGTTTGTTTGATTGTAGATTTGAGATAGAAATAAGTTTCAAAATAGCCAAACTTTGAGTTAAAATAATGATTGGATGTGATACAAATATGTGTCATATGATGTCTGATTTAATCTTCTTAAAAATATTATGAGTAATAAAAGTGGAATTTTATTATTACAAATTTCATTATCATTATTTCTATAAATACCCGTCTTTTTATTTTTTAATAATATACTCCGTCTCTTAACAATCTATCCATTTTTCTATTTTGGTCCGTTCCATAACAAAGTATCCGTTCCTTTTGTAGTAATTGTACTATCTACCTAACGTTACAAATACCCTTATAATTTACAATATATTACACAAATGTCATTACCTTTATATCATACAATACTGATAGGGTTAATTTAGTTTTTTTACCTTTACTTCTACTTTATCCTAATATTTCTAAAACTCCGTGCAAAAAGTAAATTGATAGATAGATTGGGGACGGAGGGAGTATTTATTTATTTAGGGTGTGTTTGTTTGGGGGTTTGGATTTTGAATTGTGATTTGAATAGTAAAAATTTTGAATATGATGTGATTATAAATAGGTGTTGATTTGATGTTTTGAATGTAAAATTGATTTTTAGTATAATATAAAAAATGAAAAATAGGTGTTTGATTTGAAGTTTGGGGGATGGGGGAATTGGATGAATAGTGTAAATCCAATCCAATCCCCCAAACAAACACACTCTAGTAGTAAAAATTTTGAATTTGAATAGTTGTATGATGTTATATAAATAGGTTTTGATGTGATGTTTTGAATGTAAAATTAATTTTTAGTATAATATAAAAAATGAAAAATAGGTGTTTGATTTGATTTTTTTGGAGAAAAAAATTGGATGAATAGTAAAATTCTACAAACGAACACATCCTTAGTAGATGTAAATTTTCTGCAGTGTGAATTTGGGCCGGGCTCTTAAAAAATGAAGGTCAAAACATAATAAAGGTTCCACCGAGATTTGAACTCGGGTTACTGGATTCAGAGTCCAATGTCCTAACCACTAGACCATGGAACCAATCGAATTTTATGAGGTATTATTACTAATAAAATACTTTATTAAAATATAAAAACTTTATAATTCAGAATATTATATATATATATATATATTGATGATAAGAGGAGCTAGAATGTAGATTGTTATCTTACCAATATCACTTATATTTCATAATAACAATATAGTATTAATTTTTTCGTAAAAATGTTTAAGAAATAATAAAATTAAATATTTTTTTATATTTCACAATATCTAACAATAAAATTTTAAATAAAGTATAAATATTAAAAGAATATAACCATAAATTTTCATCATAGAAGAATAATTGAATCTTTTTCTTTATTTTTTTAATTTTACAATCGTTTTTTTTTTAAATATATATATATATCAATTTTAAATAGTTCATCTAAAATAAAATTATTAAAATTTGAAAGTCAAACTAATAAAAAAAAACTATCGAAAATACTATATTTATTAAATTTGAAAATTTTATATAAAATTCAAATGTTTTAATATATATTATTTATTTAGCAGATCTATAAACGTATCCAACACTTATGTAACAATATCAATACTCTATTCAATCCCTAATTTTATAATTCATATTATTGTCACTTTCAAATTTCAATAAAAATTGAATGCCATTTATTTATTTTTACCTATCAATTTCTAGTGTGTGCAAATATTATATATATATATATAATATATATTAATTGAGTGATTCCCATCCACCACGGTGTCTTTCTTTTTGGATGAGTTTGGAAAAAAATTGATTTGAATTTGATATGAAAATAATATTTGATGAGATATTTTATGTAAAAAATATATATATTTTCTTTTCAAAAAATTGCAGAATCCAAATAGTAAAATTTTCGAAAACTCGGCTAAAGAAACATACCTTAAACAAATTCTACTCACAGCTATTTTGACGTTGTGAATATAAAACTAACTTGCGTAGGTGTAGGGTATTGTCAACTCGCTACAACCAATAGCATTTGGACGCGTGGCAGCATTTTGGAAATGTAGGGGGCGGTCGAACTTTAAAAATTTTATATGCACTACTACTCTTTGTTAATAATCTCTTAAAAAGTCAGGACATAATCTTCACCCTAATATATATTTATTTATTTATTTTTTAAAAAAACTAATTAATAGAAGTATATATATATTATGTTTTATTTTGAAAATAATTCTGAAATTCTTTATTAAGGAAATTGAAAAAATTCAGAACACAATACATATTGCTATTGATTTTATCACACATCATATGTTGACACAATAATGTATATATAACTAATAATACATATTGGTTACGACAAAAAATAATAATAAATATTGGTTAATCTCAATATCGCCATAAAATTCCAGTTTGCAATAAATAGAAAAAATAAAATATTTATTTGATTGAGATTCAAAATTAAATATTAATTTAAATGTTTATTTAATAATATTTATACAAAATGAATAATATTTAGAAAGGATAAAAGAACAAAACAAAAAACGTATGCATGTACTACTATTTATTAATGAAAATACATGGAAGTAAAATTCAATTAATTTCAGAAAAATGTCACACATTTATTTTAAATTAAAATTTTTAATGCATTATTGACGTTTGATTTTGACTTTATTCCCCATGGAATAATTTTCAATTATTAGTTTACCCGTAAGTTTCATTAATTTTACGTTGACTCCAGATGACACGTTTCCAAATCAAACAAAAGATACTAAATTCGATGTACTTTGTAGTAATGATCTCACATTATTTATTTTTGAAAGTTATGGTTAAAATTCTTATGCCTTTACTTCTTTGATGATCGTATGGTTCGCATAATGCAATTTGAAAAATAGTGGCAACGAGTTCTTACATTATAAAAAAGATTATAATTTAAAATTAATTTTTAAAGTCAAGTATAAAAAAAAAAAAAAAACACATACTTTTTCACCATAAAAATTTTATGTTTATTTATCCGGATATTAATTTTTTATTTTTTATTTTTAAAGTAACAATAGGTAATGAAAAGGATTTTTTTTAATAAAAAATAAAATAAAAATATGAAACAAAAATATACATAAATTTAAATGACAAAGTTAATTGTTTGGTCAGAGGACACTAATTTATATGTATTTTATACTACTCTTTCCCTTTAGATAAAGTTGAAGCCTTTTGCATGAGAATTTAGGCAGTACTCCCTCCGTCTAAGCAAGAAGTATACATTTATTTTTGTTGTAGAGTTTAAGAAATAATAGTATTTTAACTATAGTGGGCAGGTAAAAGTAGTATAATGATATTTTTGCTCTTATTTTTTTGTATAAAATTATTGATGTGATGTAAAGTAAGGGTATTTGTGGAAAAAAGTTGGGTATTTAATAAAATAGTTACTTTGTAATTGGACGTCCCAAAATAGAAATATGTATACTTTGTAGCTGAACGGATGGAGTATTAGTTTAGTTATGTAGATAGCAATAATTAGTTATTTAATTATTAAAAAATTTTAAAATATGTGTTTAAATATTTTTTAACATTATATTTCAATAAAATATATATAATATGAATATAATTTTTAAAGAATAAAATTTTATATAATACAAATAAATATTATTATAAATTAATTTTATTGAAAAATAAAAAAATTAAAGATAAATAAAAATATTTATTAATGAATAAAAGAAGTTTTAAGTAAATCTACATATAAAATATTAGAAATTAATGTGTTTAAAATTGATAAATTTATTGAAAATATAAAAAAATCATCATTTATACTTAAAAAAAGAATAGCATGGGAAAAGAAAGTATATTTTAGTACTCCCTTCGTCCAAAACTAACGTCCTACTTTCCTATTTGAAATGTCCAACAATTATTGTCATCTTTCTATTTTTATACACAAAATTTACTCTTTTACCTTTACTTTATTTACTCTTTTATTTTATATACACAAGATTAATGACAAATTTGTCATTTTATAATAAAATTCTAATTACCTAAAAATAATTGTAAATATGAAATAGGACATTAGAAAATGTACAGAGGAGCATTATATTATAATTATTATTAAAAGACAAAAGATAGAAGAAACTGTAAAACACACACAATTAAACGCGCTCAAATTGATTGTATTTGAGTTTAAGGCTGTGGGTGGTGTGTGTGCCCGTAAAGTTTTATTTTAAGTTTTGATTTTGAATAATAAAAATTTAAATTAAAATAGTTATTTGATATAATATAAATATGTATTGTCATAATATTTCGAATGTAAAATTAATTTTTAGTATAATATAATAAATAAAAAATAATTATTTAATTTGATATTTTTTATTTTTTTAATAGTAAAATCAAAATCAAAATTCTACGCGTTAACACACTAAATATTTTTTTACCATCAAAATTCCAATTTCTATTTTTAAATTATGCTTTTCACAAAACAATACTTCATCCATCTTAAAAATGTTGTCCATTTTACTTTACAACAAAATTAATTTTATATTTTATTACTCTAATTTATTTTTTAAAATCTTTAAAAAAAGTAAAAATAATTTTGTCATTTATATTATACTTTATTCCAATTTTCAATTTAATATAGGAGTATTTCTTATTTTTCATGCCCACTTTCACTATGACACATGTTGGGACAAATATAGTATTTTATATTTTTTTTATAAATATTTTTATTCTATATTATTTGTATTTCTTTATACATTTAAACTCCGATTTTTACTATTTGAACTTTAATATTTTTTTAAAAAAAATTATATATATTTTTTTCTAAAAAAAATATTTTATTATATATTATTTTAATATAAAATTCAAACCCCCTTTTTTTTTTTTTTTTTCAAAATTATCAGAAAAAAAAACACCAAAATTTTCCAAATCTCATAAGAAACACACCCAATTAAGGAAAATATATCTATATATGGAAATAATTAATCTGCTCCCGGGTGCATAACAAATTACAAAAACACCAGCAGCAGCAGAAGAAGACTTTTCCAGGTACGGACGGATTCATTCACCTCTCCTCATCGACTCACTTCTTCCCCAATCCTCTTCTCAAATCTCTACCGCTGTTTATGTGCTGCAATGGATTACGAGTATGCTTGATTTCGCTTGTCTGTTAGTCAATTACTTTTTTCTTTTTCGCAGCTTGACTTTGGTTTCTTCGGCGATGGAAATGGGGAAGAAAAAGAAATAATATTGAATTCCGTAAGGAAGGGTTTGCCTCTTTGGTCCATTTCCTTTTTACTTCCTTTTTCCAATTTTGTTTTGTTTCTAAATGGGCCCAGAATCGAGATCGACTCTTTTCGATTCCTGTGTTTTAAGTGGCTGCATGATTTGATGGAAATGGATTTTGAATTTGAGTGTGACTGGCACCAGATAGCATTATCTCGATTCTGCTTTTTCGGAAAAAAAAAAAAAGAAAGAGTTCACGAATATTTTGGGGCTTTTCTTTAATCTTCTTCAATAATGGTGTTTTTCGACGCACTCCATTTGTAACTTTTTTGTGTGATCTTGTGTTGATTGAGATGAGAGATTTGTCCTGCCTTTTGTTGATGGTGAAAGAAAGCCATGGATGTGAAATGCGTAGTGCTGCTTGTTTGATAAAATCCAAAATTAGGTTTTTTTTGTACTGGATACTAGAAACAAGTCTTTCAATAAATATGGTCGGACACATCTTTGTACGGTGTAAAGTTTATTTTTTGAATACAATATTTCGATTCTACTTGCCTCAGTTACATGAAATTTGTATTGTGTATTGTGATAATACAAATATTTGATTCTTGATTTAAGATAATAATATAAAAATAGATGAACAAAAGAAATAAAGTGAAAGACAGGAAAATCTGCGGGGATGTGTTGTGCAATAGAATTGTCTTGTCTTATCTTTGTTTTTCCAATCCAGATTAATCTTTGTATTTATAGAAATAAAGACATCTTTTCGAACACTTAAGTATTTCCTCATATGCATTCTATCTCATTGCTATTTGACATTAGACCCACATAATAAATTATATTTAAACACACAAAACACATAATAAATTATATTTAGTGATGCATCTCTTGTCTTGTGTGTTACTTACTTAACATTGTGAATTCAGACACAAATCGATCTGCCATTGGTTGCTCATTCTTGTTTGTGCCCTAATTTGTAAGAACTGATAATGATCATAGCTGTTTTTGCAATGGATCCAATTTAGGTGGTGTGTGATCACAACAAGTACAACAACTAGCATGAATTTCTTCTGATGGGTTGTCTCAACACTAAACCTGCTAGGCATACCCCCGGCTACGAGGAGCCCTCTGTTCTTGCTGCCGAGACACCCTGTAAGCGAACATTCCGTAGTTAATTTGATATTCATTGCTTATGAAATTAAGGTTATGTATGTTTAGTTTCATGGATTTTATATTATGTTTATGTAGTCATTGGTGTCGTGCTTTGAAATTTAGAGGCGAATTTAAATTTACGGCATTGTTGTGGTGTTGCAGTCACAGTGAGTGAAGTCGAGGCTTTGTATGAACTGTATAAGAAAATAAGCAGCTCCATAATCGATGATGGCCTCATTCACAAGGTTGTAGTGTGTTCTTGTTAAGTACTCCCATGTTAGATTATGCTGATTAATGATGTTGGAATGCTTGGATTTTATCGATGCTGAATGGTAGTGTTTTTGCAAACTCGACAGGAAGAATTTCAGTTTGCGCTCTTCCGGAACCAAAACTGTAGAAATCTGTTTGCAGACAGGGTATATATATATATATACATACACTCATACATATAGTGGCAAGATTTTGCATTCTTCGAAGGTTGTTCTTGACAGAATCTGTATTTGAATTTGTCTCTAGGTATTCGACGTGTTTGACTACAAGCGCAACGGAGTGATTGAGTTTGGAGAATTCGTTCGATCATTGGGCGTGTTTCACCCCAATGCACCTTCGGCAGACAAAGTCGCTTGTAAGAACACCGGTGCAATGAACCAGCTTTTGCTTCTTTCTCGATTATTAACTGAACTTTGCTCTCGACAGTTGCGTTCAGATTGTACGATCTGAGGGGCACCGGCTACATCGAGTGGGAAGAGGCAAGATCCTCATTTCAGCCTAATCCCTCCTTAAAAAATCTTCAACTTCTTTTTATCATTTATCCGTCTGATCTTTTCCAATCCAATCAATCGCAGTTGAAAGAAATGGTGTTGGCGCTATTACACGAATCTGAGCTGGAACTCTCCGAGGATGTTGTCGAAATGATTGTGGACAAGGTAAGGAACCTCTTATAGAACTTCTTAACGAGATACGCACCATTTACTTACGATATCATGTTAAATAATCATCTTATATATAAACTTAAACTTTAAGGATGCGCATCATTAGTTATTATATTTATATAGTTAACCAACAATTATCTTCTTGTTGAATTTGCAGACATTTTCGGAAGCGGACAGCAAAAAAGACGGAAAGATCGACATGGAAGAGTGGAAAGAATTCGTGTCGAAAAATCCTTCTCTGATGAAGAACATGACTCTTCCATATCTCAAGTCTGTTAGTCAATTCTGCAATTCTTCTTCTTCTTCATTGTTATTGAGTTAATTGTTCTTACATACATGGTTTGATGCAGGGAGATGACCGTAGCATTTCCTAGCTTTGTGGTGCACACACAAGTCGAAGACCTCCAAATATAACACACAGTAATTTTATTTTTGTCCAAATATATGTACATACTTTACTTACACACTATTACAGTTATTATTATGAGGTTAGTTTGTTTGTAATTTGTTAAATGTTAAGAGAGAATTGATGTAAATTAGCTATTATTATTATTATTATTATTATTATGTTTAAATTTGAAAAGTCGAATTTAAATTCGCCTCATACAATTAATCATTATTAATATTATGCAATATATTGGTTTATGGGCGAATTTACATGTAATGTTATAAATTGCATTGAAGTTCTATTTAGAATTTAGATTAGCTTTTGTCAGACTTTTGATTCCTGATTCTAAAAAAGTAAAAATATTTTATATAGTTTTTTTATTTTTTACTTTTAAAGCTAATCCCGAAATCATAAACATAAGTTTATCTATAGCTTGCAAATCAGAACACTCGAACTAGATCAAGAAGTCTTCGATAAGATTGTTTGATGGATAATCTTGATCATTCTTACCGACTATAGAAGCAGTATCTTGATGTGCTTCTTTTTTTTATTGAGTTTGAAAAAAAATAATTTGAATATTATTTAAATATTAATATAACAAATTTAAATAAAAAAAATTATTTTAATATAATATAATATTTTTAATAAAAAATAATATCTTTAGAATTGTAAAAACACACTTTTTAATATATACTCTCTTCTTTAGAAGTATGTATTATTATTATTATTTCTACTTTTTAGTAAACGTTTTTCTGTTATTAGAGATTATTATCATCCTAAATTAGGGGACTTAAATAATGAATAATTACAGAAATTATATAAAACGGAAAACCTGAACCTGATGCCTAATTAATCATCCACGCCAGATTAAGAGATCCGACCGCACGCGCACTTCAAGACGTTGTTTCCACGCGCCTCGGCATCCAAAAACACCTCGTTGTTTCTTCCACAGAAGACGAGGAGACAAAAGGAGGGCGGAGCTACCCACTATCGTCTTCAGCGCATTCTCCGAGTGAGTTGGCTGCGTCAAATATTTCTGCAGTTTCTCGTAAAGCTACAGCAGCGCCGTGCTTTTACTTCTTCTTTTGTTCTCTTTCCGAAATTTTAGTTCAAGGGAAGGAATCGAATCCGAATTTAGAATCGGAATTCAATTATCTTCGTGCCCTATCAGGGCTACACGACAGGTCAGATTGCAAACTCTCGTTTTCAATGTTTTTACTAAGTAATTTAATTTGTTTAACGTGTCGCTGGATCGCAGAATTTTGTGATTGTTTGTGCTGCTTTTTGTTAGCTTTTTAAATTTGATTTTATTCGTGTTACTTTTCCTGAAGAATTCTGCATTTGTTGTGATTGGATGAGTGAAAAGTTCTACTTTTATTTTTCCTCTTTCTGTAAAAGTGGGGAAGAGGGTCGCGGAAAAAAAAGAAGAGGTTTGGAAGAAGCTGTAAATTTATCTAATTCTTTGATTAGGGCTTTTTTAGTTTGAAAACTCCTGCAACTGTTATGTGTTTTCATAGTTCTACCCTTCTAGGTATACGGAAATTTTCACAGCAATGTTTTTCTTAAATGTGAGAAATGTTCTTCATTCAAATGTGGCAAAACATTTATTGTTAGTTATAAATGCCAGCTTTGATTAACATACAGCTTGTTCTTTTCATATTGTTTCTTTTTCAGATTATTGAGCATGTATCTCTTGATTTAAATACTCCTGAATCTTGGATTGCTGATATTGTGATGCAAACGCGGAATAAGAGTAGGAAGAGGAAGAGTTTGGAGTGCGGAATGCCTGTAACTGAGTCAGCTAATGCAAATGCTCTGGGTGATGCATTTTCTGTGGAAGAGATAGTGCAGTACCCATTGCCTGGTTATGGAGCTCCGACTGCGATTAGTTTTAGCCTTGATGATAGTTTGATAGCATATTTATTTAGTCCTGATCAAACTTTGAATAGAAAGTTGTTTGTGTTTAATCCCAAGAGTGGTAAGCATGAGCTGTTCTTTAGCCCTCCTGATGGTGGTCTTGACGAGAATAATTTATCGGCTGAAGAGAAGTTGAGAAGGGAGAGGTTACGGGAGCGTGGCTTAGGCGTGACACGCTATGAATGGTTGAGAAAAGGTCTAAAGAAAAAAAAAATGATGATACCTCTACCAGTTGGGGTATGCTCTTAACGCCTTATATTGTTTATATTTAGGTGTTTTTGGGTAATGAATTCTTGGCATTCTAATTTATCTCTTTATAACCTTTTAATGCCCACTGTATAGGATTTACTTAATGTATATTGGGTGGGATCGTGATTAGTTTTTTGATGATTTGTGGATATGAATTAATATTCATAGAGATGATTCAAAATACTTCTTGAATGATGAGAAAGAAAATTATGGAACACTCTCTGGCATCCACTCTGTTGAATTAAACTTGTTTTTTCGTCTTTGATATTCTGAGAGTTACATTTCTTTTTATTAAGGTTCGCAATTACTTTTATCTGCCTCATGGACTCACCTGGTCTTGCTAAACATGGGCAGATCTATATTCAGGACAGCGCAGGTAAACCGGAACTTAAGCTCCCAAGCGTGGCTGGTTCTCCTATCTTAGATCCACATGTCTCTCCTGATGGCACTTTGCTAGCTTATGTGAAGGATAACGAGCTTCACGTGTTAAACCTTGTAACTAATGTGTCAAAGCAGTTAACTGATGGTGCCAAGGAGAATGCCATAGTAAGATTGTTTTTCTTTTGCCCTGCAGCTATACACTGCATGTTGCCAACTACCTTCATATTGAATCGACCTTAAAGTAGCTCTAGTGTTTTGACTTTAATTTTGTTTGGTGATTTGATAATATGAACGACTGCAAAGTATGTTAAGTGAAGGAAGCAAATAAATGAAGTGACCGAGCATGATGAGGAGGTCTTGGGCGTGAATTCATTTATTGTTTTAATGATTTCCCAGAAAATGTATATACACAGGATTGTTTGTTTTCAATGATTTTTCACTACCCACAAGAAGCAAAATGACTTATTTTTCGAGATTGTTTATAATTGACTTACTAGAAGGCAATCATAGAATGTCTATTTCATGTCGTTCTTCATTTATATCTAATGCAGTTAGTATCATCGAGTTCTGTGGTGCATAATGTGATCATTTCTTTTGCTGTTGTTTCAGACACATGGACTTGCAGAGTTCATAGCACAGGTTAGTTATTGTTCAAGCTTGCTTCTTTTTTGCGACTCAAACTGCAATAAGATTGAAATGATCCCAGTGTTTGCTGTAAGAATGTTCATGTGTTCTTTTCTGGCTGGTTGTAGGAGGAAATGGATCGAAAACATGGATACTGGTGGTCCTTAGACGGCAGATACATTGCCTTTACTGAGGTCGATTCATCTGAGATACCTCTCTTCCGGATCATGCACCAAGGAAAAGATTCTGTGGGTTCAGATGCTCAAGAAGATCATCATCCTTATCCTTTTGCAGGTGGTTCAAATGTAAAAGTCCGCTTGGGAGTTGTATCTGCCACTAACGGACGAATTACTTGGATGGATCTACACTGTGGAGGAGAAGAATCAAACGATGAGGAATATTTGGCGAGAGTTAATTGGATGCACGGGAACATTCTTACAGCTCAGGTTCTGAATCGAAAGCATACTAAACTGAAGATCCTCAAATTCGATATTAAAACAGGGGAGATGGAAGTCGTATTGGAAGAAGAAAATGAAACATGGATTAACTTGCATGATTGCTTCACCCCTTTAGATCGATTACCCAAGAAATCGACCGGAGGATTTATTTGGGCTAGTGAAAAAACAGGATTCAGGCATTTATATTTGCACGATCTAGATGGCACGTGTGTGGCAACACTTACGCAAGGCGATTGGATGGTCGAGCAAGTTGCTGGGGTGAACGAGGCTACTGGGACCGTGTATTTTACCGGAACTTTAGATAGTCCTTTGGAATCTCATCTTTATATGGTCGATTTATATCCGAAGACGAATACAGGCCAATATCCCGTAAAGTTAACCACCGGAAAAGGCAAGCATTTGGTCGCGCTTGATCACCAGTTGCAGAGGTTTGTCGACATCCATGATAGCTTGAGTTCTCCCCCGAAAGTTACACTTCATTCTTTGGTCGATGGAAGCTTGATCACAACGCTTTTTGAGCAAAAGCTCGATCACTTTCCTAGATTTAAGAAACTCTTGTTCGAGCCACCGGAGGTTGTTCAGTTGGAAGCGAAGGATGGAACAACGTTGCACGGCACACTGTATAAACCCGATGCAGAAAAGTTCGGACCGCCGCCATACAAAACGATGATTCATGTGTACGGCGGACCCGGTATTCAAATAGTCAGCGATTCTTGGATGAACTCTGTTGACATGAGAGCACTATATCTGAGAAGTAAAGGCGTATTAATTTGGAAGGTTTGCTTGTTTAATACCCTGCTTGAACATCTTCGTTTCCAACAATTTCACGTTTACGATGGCTGATTTGAACGATTTCTTTTGTAGATGGATAACCGAGGAACTGCGAGACGCGGACTCAAGTTCGCCGGCGCGATCAAGCACCGATGCGGGGAGGTAGACGCCGACGATCAGCGGACCGGAGCGGAATGGCTGATCAAGCAGGGGTTAGCGAAACCCGGTTACGTAGGAGTTTACGGATGGAGCTACGGCGGATACCTATCGGCGATGTTACTAGCAAAGTTTCCCGACTTGTTCAAATGCGCGGTGTCGGGCGCGCCCGTCACGTCGTGGGATGGGTACGATACTTTTTACACTGAAAAATACATGGGGTTGCCTTCGGAGAATCAGTCGGGATATCTGCAGAGCTCGGTGATGCACCACGTACACAAAATGACGGGGAAGCTCATGCTTGTGCACGGCATGATAGACGAGAATGTGCATTTCAGACATACGGCGAGGCTCATCAACACGCTGATCGCCACTTGTAGGCCATATGAGCTTTTGGTATTCCCTGACGAGCGGCACATGCCCCGGAAGCTTTGGGATCGAATGTACATGGAACGCCGGATCACGGATTTCATCGACCGGAGTTTGTAGTCGGAAAAAGGCTGCTGCAGCTGCTGCTTGTTCTTGTTGAAGTAAGTTAGAACAAATTTTGTCTTTCAATTTGGAAGAAAGATGAATAATTCTGTGCCTACTTTGAACTCAACTGTTTAATTTCTCTTCAAATTACTCTGCTCTGCTCTTCCTTGTCTTTTTTTCTACTATATGAGTACATGAAAAATGCCCAATATATATATATTTTTTATATGTATAAATAAACTATTTTGTTTTAAAATTTTGAAAAATTAGTCATTTCCTATATGGGGTTCTGATTCCGACTATGTATATATTTATATATGAATGAATGAATTAAGGTGTTAATAATTTGTGAACAAGGTCTCTTCCCTATTCCCTAGTTCATTGGATTTTATATGACACTTTAATTATGACGTTGACACTAATTGACTAATGTTCTATTTATTAATATTAATTTCTCCAGCTCTTCTAGTGAACATGATGATAGTTTAATTATATATATATATTGTCAAAATTGCTAGCCTATTATTAGTATTATCATGTGGATGTGGATATATCACATAATTAATAATAGGTTGTTCTAAGCATTGATTGTCATAAATATGCAAAGCCAACCGACACCAAATTTGTAGCATTAAGATTGTGCCCACACTACACTATCATAATCATCTACGTCAATTATTTATTTATTTATTTATTAAGTAAATTCTTTTTTGAAGAACAGAATATCTTTGTGATCACTTTTATCCATTATTATATTGTGTCAATTTTTCTTCTATTCAGATTTAACGGTAAGTGATCACATCTTGTAGCGAATTTACCTAAATTTAAAATTTGTTACTTAATAGTTGATTTCAATCTTTTTATCATATAGCTATCGTATTTTTATATAGAAAAGATATTATATTGCTTAGCATAAAAATTACTATTTAAATAATAATAAAAAAAATCAAATCAAATATACATTTACTATTCATACCATATATATATATATAAATATATATGATACAACACATCAAATTATTCACTATACTCAAATTTCATGTACTTCCTATCCATCCAATCATTAATACAATATTTTTTTTGGACAACCCATTTCAATTAAATTTGAGTCGATTCGATTCGATTCGGTTCGATTTAGGTCGATAAGCCGGCCAAGAACGCAACACCGGTCGAGGGCAGCCACGACGAGCCATATATAAACTGCGCCACGGTGAACTTTCCGGCCTCCTCCGGCGAAGTGATCACCCGATACCCGGGCCACTTGACGCGCTGGCCTATGGCCCCCCCGGGGCCATAGTTCATATACTCGCCGTAATACAACGAGTCCAATGCAAACGTGGCGTTCCACTCGAGCCACCCCCTCGGGTGGACGTGGTCGCCGATGTACGACTGCATGTAGACGACCCGAGAGAAGAGCTTCCACGGCCGGCCGAGGAAGGTCGGGTAGGCCGACTTGGTGATTTGGAGATCGGACTCGGCGACGATCCGGCAAGCGTGGATCGACATGCCGGTGTTCTGATTCGGGTCCTTTCGGTTTTGGGCCGTGATTGTGTTCTTCTGATAGGGCATCGGCTTGCGGGCGTGGATCGTGCAGTTTTGGAACACGGCGGCCGCGTTGCCGAACATGAAGTCGACGGTGCCGTAGATGTCGCACTCGCGGTAGAATTGGCGCTGTGAGTGCGCGTAGAGCGTGTCCTGGTAACCGATCACGTTGCACCGGTAGATCACAGCGTGGTCGGCGCCGACGCGGAGGGCCACCGCCTGGTGCCGCCCCGGGCCGGCATAGTTCTCGAATGTCATGTCCCTTGCAATGAATCCGGCGCCAGTTGCAGCTGCGGTTTTACGACACATGAAATAACAGTAAATGATTGATTAATTAATGATGATGATCAAAGTAAGCTACAAGTAAGGGTTGTTTGCTTTGGGTCTGAGGAAGATGTTTGATACGGTGTTTTGTTAGAATAATAATAATATAAATTTATTGAGAATTTGATATAAAAATAATAATGAAAAATATTAAAAATCCAAATCAAAGCACATATAAGTCAACTCATAATCCACTATTTAATGATTTTTTTAGGATTCTGATAACTTGGAGCCACTCTGGATAAATTTTTTATCGAACTTAATATCTTAAATTAGATTTGATAAGATAAGTAATATTAATGGCAGACAAAACATTGAAATATAAATTTATAATTTTCGGTCACGAATGTATACTCACACATCCATATCATCCTTTACTGAGCATATTTAATAAATTTTGGTAAAGGAAACCATAGTCCAATACTAAACTAAACAAAACTCAATTCATTTTGGCAGGTCCGGTCACCACCCACCCCACCCCACCAGCTACATGGCATGCTGCTTTTACTTAAAACCACAGAAGTTGAAATTGAATTGGTCCAATGGTGGGGGATGGATGGAATGATCCATCACATGAATTTCAAGCTTTTTCCTAAGTATTTATATATCTGTCCAAAAGGCAACATGACAAAATGCACTCATGAAAGCTAAACTACTTTTTCCTCATGTTACATTCAGGAATTCCCTAACTAAATTTCTCTTTCTTACGTCATGTTGATCGCAGCATTACGCATTTACGAATTATATATGCTGCTCCTAGAAGGGTAATACTAAGGTTAGAGTACACGACGCATATAACTAATTGCGAGTTAAATGGAAAGAGTAAAACTGTAAAAGTGAAATGGTAAAGAAAATTTTTATTTTTACCGAAAGTAGCTGTGCGGAAGGTGGTTATATTATCCTGGATGCTTTTGCCACCCGTAATGACGGTTTTGCCCTTTCCGTCCCCGATGAACATCACGTTCGTCTTCTTCCTCCCCACTTTGAGAATACTCTCTTCATACCTGACACCACATTAATGGAGTTACCATTTCATTCCGTGTGATCAAAATTATTTAATGGAGGGGGGGCATAATTGTCATTTCAACTCACTTTCCTGCCTTCACGTAAATGATGAATCTCCGGCTGCTGTACTGCGGCGCCTTTTTAATGGCCTCGGCTATGGTTTTGACCGTTCCGTTGCCGTCCTTGGAGACGATCACGTCGGCTTTAATGGCGGAAACTGGCGCATCCAGCAGCATTCTCTCTCTGCGATTTAACCACGTCGGAAACTGGTGGCGGTTGAAATTTTGTTCGGCTTTGCCTTTGCCGTCGCTGCTCAGCAATCGGCGCCGGCGATTTTGTATCGGAACTCCGGCGAAATCCTTGTCCCCGGCGGCGGCGGCGTATATCGCGAGACAATTGCTCACGAGCTCCGAGAGATCCTTCAATCGATTGGAGAGTTGATTCTTCACGTAACCGTTTACTTGATCGAAGCCTTCGGTGCACGTGTCCTGGTTCGTCAAGGAGGCGCTGAGCCAGGTTAACACGTCCTGCGGCGAACCACCACCGCCGCCGCCGCCGACGGAGCTGAGCGACCGCGCCAGGAGAGACACGGAATCGTCGAGAAGCTCCAAACAGTCCTCGTACGCCGACCTGAGAAATCGCCGGAGAAGAATCACTCGATCGATCGATTTCAATTTAAAATTCAATGTGAATTTGAATTTGAATTTGAATTTGAATTTGAATTTGAATTTACAGACCTGACGTGCGGATCCATATTTAGATTAGAAATCTCGGAGACGGAGTAGAGCGCCTGACCGAATTTCTGCAGAGTGACATTGACGGAGATGTGGACGAGGTCCTTGTCGGAGGCGGCGGCGCCCCCGGGAAAGTTCAGGAGCGAATTAAAACAGAGGCTCTGGTACCTCGTTCTGCCGCATGCTCGGGAAATCGCCTGCGAAGGACGGTGAGCGTGCACTCTTCCGCCGGCGCCGGCGCCGGAATCATCCACTCGATTTCGTGAGAAAAAAACGAGCGCGGCGGAGACGGCGGAGGCGACGAGGAGCGTGGTAGCGAGGAACAGAATGAAGTTGAGCTTGAAGCGATTTGGAGCGCGGTTGTTGTAGTTGTAGTCGTCGACGGTGAGGCTCCGTGTTGCGGCGGCGGATTCCGGTTTTTCGAGCCTGCCGTACTCCATTTGAGGAAGGTAAAGTGCAGAATGAGTGAGAGTGTGGGGAAGACGAAGATCGATAGATATATGAAGCGTGCAGGTGTGACGTCAACGTCAATGGCGATGAGCTGGATTCCACCCGCTCCTTATAGTAGTGTAGGGCTGTAGGTTAGTACAGTAAACTATCAATTTATATTAATTTATTTTTTTATAAAAAAGATCGTATTAAATATTAAATATTTAATATTAATGTGATGTTTTTTCCGAATTTAATTTTCTGTTTAGATTGAGCCATGATATTTGGGTGCAATTAAAAATAGTGGGCAATGGAGAGGTATTGGCTATATATATGTCCAATGATTGAGTGGAAAGTGAAATATATATTGGGAAATAATTAAAGTCCCAACAGTAGAAAATCAAATCAAATATTCACCCATGCTGACAGTACACACAGCTGACGATGATCTGCATGCATGCATACTGCAGGACGTAGTTCTGTAGTAAACTCCATGCACAGAACTATATATTATTATTATTATTATTATTATTATTATTATTATTTACGTTAATTAATTAGGTTGGGTTACGTTTCATGGCAATTCCAAATAGGTGATGATGATCTGTATGGATATTGCAACATTTAATATAAGTATAACTAAAATAGGCAACATGTGCGTCTGTATTTATGTGATCAGTGATCGCGATTTGATACATCATATATACACTTCTGTCTAATTTATTTATTATTGTCATTCATTCCCACCCTCTGATGAATTATTTTTATTTTATTATATATTTGAATTTGGTGGGGTATTGGAATTGGGAATTAAAACAGTTGTGCAGAGAAAATGAAAGAAAGAAAGAAAATTCATTGGACCCCCAACTGTATATATACTCCGCGCCACCGACAGCATATTATTATTATTATTATTATATGATATTGATTATTTAGCGCGTAACAGTCCATATACTCCGCGTATATCATAAATATTTAGTATATATATAGTAATTGTTTAAATATAAAATACATATATATCAATATAGCATAAATATATAATTATATAAATTGAAAATACGTATTTTAATTTAATTCTATTTATACCCTATAAAGTAATTATATTTGATATATTATATTTTGAAAAAAGAAAAACTAACACTTTTTTATTAAAAAAAATCAACACTTTAATATTTTTATTACTTTTTTATTTATTTTAAATATTTTCTATAGATTATATATATATATATTATTTTTTAAAAAATTAAAAAATTAATAAAATAGGGTAAAAGTATAGGGTAAAAGCGGGGTTGGGGTGGCGAGGATGGCCTGCACCTTAGTCTGCCACTATATATATATATAAGTCGAGGTGCTTCGTTAATAATTCTCCACTGTGGACAAGTATTTGTGGAACATAACATGTCATATGATTCATCTTATTCACTGAATAATTAATGAAATAAACACTTAATACACAATATACAATTAACTTAGATGTTTTTTTTTTTTTTTGAGAATAATAAAAGTTTTATGATATACCAAACATACCCTTAATTTTTTCTACTACATATAACTAGTAGATCATTCTAATTTCTGCTGGCAGATAACATACACATATGTCGTCAGGTATCATATCAGGTGGTGTGTTAAATAAATCTTTTTAAGACATTCAACCAACAATCAAATAATTCATATATATATAAATAGATGTTATTAATGATTGCATGTGCTGAATTGGATGAGATGGGAGACACCACCACCACACCAGATTTCATTATAGCTACTTTGACTTTCTCTCTCTGATGTACATGTAATATTTCTCTTTTAATTTAATAGTACCTTCGTCCCACGTATCAGTCTGCTATACTGTTAAAGTATGTAATCATTTTTTTTAAAAAAAAGTGACATGAAATGTAGAACAGACAGAAACGACAACGTGGACATGGTATGTAAGACGGAGAGAGTAATAATAATGACAATAATGGGTGTGTTTGTTTTGTGACAATATTGGAAAAAAAAATAATAATTATGGAAAATATAGAGAATTTTATAAGAAATATAAAAATAATGAATGTGTGTAGTATATTAATATTTTTAAGAAAACAAAGCCGTACCAGACACTGATACTATGTCGAATGTTGAATGATCGTCTCATCTAAAAGTTCAAAATTATAAAAAAACGTAGTCATTAATCGTATATTCGCAAACGAGATTCCCAACATCAACAATCTCATATTAGTATAATATTTTGTAGCATTTCAACAAAGTCGTCTTTACACTGTTTTAAGTTGTTAGCGTGTCCTATCTCTTCTCAGTACTAACTTTTGGGCCATGCATCAATAATTTCTTGTCCCTTCTCAAACCAATTACTGCAACTCTGGTCACGTATGTTTTCCAATTTATTTTCTTACTATTCATATATATATATATAAATAATTATTTAAAAATATTATTAATATTTAATACTTATTTTAATTCAATAAATTAAATTAAATATTATTATTATTATTATTTTGAAATTTAAAAATGTGTGTAAATTTGATTAATAATAATGATAACAATAATATAGACAACATAGTCAACAATACCGAAAAGGGATAATGAAATTAATTTGCATTTGCATTTGCATTTGCATTTTCTCCATTCTTTCATGTGCATTGTGGCCTATGCTGTTTGTATTTATCTGCTCAGTCTCAGTCTCAGTCTCAGACATGCATGTGGTCCCAACTCCCAAACAATACAATTGGATGTGCTCCTCCTCATTTTAGGATGTTTAATTATCTATACATTATTGTTTTCATTTTTATTTTTATAATAATAATAATTAAATACTCTCCTTTTCAATAAATTTGCTGGTTCTAATGGCTTTTGATTTTTTTTTTTGTTTATTTCAAGTAATTATTTATATTATTAAGAAAAAGATAAAATTTTGGACATAGATGAAAAAAAGTTAAAAATATCAAGAATATTCAGTAATAAAAATAATAACAAATGTATTGAAACGGAAGGAATAACTTGCAGTATTTTATTTGTGGGCCTCTGAGTTATTATTTGAATTAATCCTAATTGTTTGATCTAATTCATCATTTTTTTTTAAAAAAATATGTATATATATATATTGTGGATTGCCCAAGTGAACAAATAATTATTATCGTGGCTGGTGTTTAGCCCAATGTGGGAACTTTCACTAAGTCCACAATGATGGCGTGATTTAGGCCCAAAAAAAGCCCAATAAAGTGGGTGAGTAAATTAAAGATTACGCATTTAACAAAAAAATTACTAATAATTAATGAATCAAGCTCTCATATCTAATGTATGTCGTATAATAATCCATTTTAATGCTGTCCTTGAATTTTAGCCTCATAGTGGTATATATTATCATTTGATCATTTATGTATAAAAATAATTATACATTTTTTTTTATTTTTATGACGTGGAAACCGTAGTCGCTATCCGAGAGTGCGCATTGGGTAAATTTTTGGCTCCGAACCTAATATCTTACAAATTAAGCCCGACGAAAAAATCATACTACACTGAACCATGTGTGGCAGGTGACCTGAAATATCGGAGTTTGAAATCACGACCTCACGGTCACAAATCCAACCCCTACACCTCGGACAAGTAATTATATATTTTGTTAAAAGAAAGAACAAGTTCAAATTCCACATCATCAAATTAAAAAATAAAGTAAAATATTGTTATAAGTTACTCCTTTCATGTCCTAAAATTCTGTTATTTGCAGGACTACGTCTCGGCCATGTCGAGGGCTCCCATGGACACGGCGCTCCGGGAGCTCCACATTCTCAATGTTAGAACCTCAGCCGCCGGCTTCAAGATCCACCACTCCGTCGGCGACGGCGTTTCTCTGGTCTGAGGAACTTCTTGTCTTCGTCTGGACAATGATTCTCCACTTAGAGATTCGCCGGCGACGGCGTTTCTCTGGTCTGAGGAACTCCTTGTCTTCGTCTGGACAATGATTCTCCGCTCAGAGAATCGCCGGCGCCGGCGACCAAGCGATTCGCCCACCGGATTCTTGATTTCATTTTCAACGAAGTCAAGCTTGTCAAAAACGCCATGAATGTGGTAATAAATAACAAAGCAGCGGCAGCCATTATCGTCTCCTTCTTCTTCTTCTTGCTTATTAGTAATACATTTTTATTGCAGAGCATTAACGACGTCGTTCTGGGAGTAACCGAGGCCGGCCTATGTCTGTATCTCCATTCAAGCTATGGTGAGCAACTGAGCATGTATATAATAAATTATCTTTCCAATTTTACCCTTTCTTCCTACAAACAAATTAAATTAAATTAAATACCAAATATCATGGATTCATTAAATCACCACCACAGAGAAATACAGACAGCTGGGTAACAACGGTCCAGAAACTGCGAACAAGAAGACAACCACAGTCATGCCCAAAAAGATCCCACTTTTAGGTCTGCTGTTGTTTTCAAACTCAGACTCTCTGCAACCATTGAGGTAACAACTGAGGTTGGGATTTCAATGTTACAAAAATATATATATATATACACATTAGCTATATCATATTTGTTAGGCATAGTCGTCCTACAGCTCTAAAATAATTGGTAATAAGTGAAGTGGTCTATATAATGTCTCTTCAAAATACCATTAAAGAAGCTGTAATAAAATTTGGGCTTGTCCAGGATTCTTCTTATCACTGTCCCTGGATTTCTATTATTGCTATTTGCCATACATGTTAGGCTGATTTTCTACCGATATATTATGAATTTAATTCTATAATTGAATTTAGGTATGATCGAAAAACCCCAATTCTTGGATTTCATCGTAGTTACAACTAGAAAAATATCTAATCATTTATTTATTAATATATTTAGCCATACCTACCGCCGCCGCCACTCCTTCGCCGGCGGCGGTCACCTCCAATTTTATGCTCCTGCTAACCCTAGGAGGTCAGTTCGTTCATTTTATCTTAGATACAACAATATATGTGTATATTATTATAATATAATATAATATAATATATGTATATATATAGTGCTCTCCTCATCGTAAACCCCTGGCCGGAATATAGAAAGACCTCCGGCCGGCGACATGCACGATATATTCCCACGCCGGAAAATTCCCCGGAAACTCCAAATTTCCATGCCGGCGGTCAATTTTAATTGCAAAAAATTCAGACTTTTGAACTCCACCTCATCTCCACCCCAACACCCAATTTACTGAAATTGCAATTTTTTTTGGTCCTTCATGGTTTTTTCACATTCCTGATACAAATATAACATATATATATGTATGTATGTTTGTATATATACACGCACACAAATACACTCTTCTTCTAGCTGCCTCTGCAACGAAAAAATCACAAAATTTAAAAATTTATCTAATGTGAAAATTTAAACTGCATTTCACACTCATCATATGGACCTTCTCCGCCTATACATACACGGGCCTGTATCTATATTCGATTGCGTACAAGAATTTTAGCTTCAAAAAAATTTGCAGCTCCCTCGAGAGGTAAAATAGATTATTGATAAATTAATTCTAGCTACACTTCTTTAGGGCATGTATGTGTGTGTATATGTATGTATGTATATATGCGCCATATAAAAATTCTAGTCCCCTCTCTTTCTCTCTCATCGGCGCGCGGAGCAGTTGAAGAAAAACAGAGATCCCTATTCCAATTCTAATCGTACTTTCCAATTTGACGCCCGGAACCGTGAATTTCTCGGACGAATTTCGAGCTTCGGTTGATTGTAGAGGGGACTGTATCTGCTATTGCCTCTGCGTGCGGCTTTCGGATGCCATTGGAGGAGCTCTGCAATTCTGATTAGGGTTTTGAGTTTGGTCGATTTGGGTGTTCCTTCGGAGGGACATGATAATAAAGAAGAGCTTGAAAACGGTAATGCCGATTATGAAACGGTGCCGCGGCGCCGACTCGGCGGGTGACGACGACGAGTCGTCTTCCTCCAGCCGGAAAAAACGCAGAGCCGATGGCTATTATCGTCTGGACCTCCTCGGCAAGGTTGCCGCCGGCATAATTCCATTCAATGGATATGGAATTGAAAAAATCACCGAGGAAGTTAGCGAGGGGAAGGGCGGTGGCGCTACACCGTTGAAATTAAAGGAAGAATCGAAGGAAGAGTCACCGCCGCCGCCGGTGAGAACTTCGCGCGGTAGGGTTCGCTTATTGCCGTCACGCTTCAACGATTCGGTGCTCGACAATTGGAAGAAAGAGGGGAGCATTAGCACTGGTAAGAACACAGTAAGAAACTCTGGTCAGGACACAGATTACGTACCGTTCGAAAAGAAGGATAACAGCAAATTCAGCTCCAAATCCTTAAAAATCCGCGGCGATTTGACCACTGGAAAGAAGAATAGCTTCCAATGCCGTAAGTTTTCTCCATTATCGGAGGAGGAGATAGCAGAGCTCAGAAATTCATCGGCTGCACTTCAGGAGCAATTGGAGGATACTGAGGAGGAGCCAGACGAGTGCTGCGTAGCAATAAGTAGCGTCGATCGATTGCACAGGGCGAAGGATTTTGCCGAGGGCGACACAGTTTGGGCGATTTCTGGGAAGAATTGCCCTGCTTGGCCTGCGATTGTGCTCAATCAAGAATCGCAAGTTCCCCAGCAGGTTTACAACTTTCGTGTTGCTGGCGCTGTTTGTGTGATGTTCTTTGGCTATTCTGGAAATGGGACACAAAGGGTACATTTTGAATTAGTGTCTTTTTTCTGTTCTGTTTGTTAGTTTGTCTGCTGTTGTAATGAAAAGCTTAATTTCATGAAACAGGACTATGCGTGGATTAAGAGCGGGATGATCTTTCCTTTCGTAGATTATGTAGACAGGTAGTGTGTGTGTGTACGCGCATATATATATATATATATATGGATTTATTTATAGTTATAGTTGCTTTCTTTGCCCTACAAACTGTTAGCTTGAAGTTATGAGTCAATGTGTTGTAGGTTTCAGGGGCAGACTGAATTGAACGATAAAAAACCGAGTGATCTCCGCTCGGCGATAGAGGAAGCTTTTCTTGCAGAAAATGGTTTCAATGAAATGCTGTTGTTTGAGATCAATGCAGCAGCTGGGAATTCGGAGTATCTCCAATCTCTGACTAGGGGAGTCGGGACCTCTGATTCGGATCAGGTGCAAAATTGCAATTCGGTTTCACCGGTAAGTTCACAATTTGTTAGGGAGAATAGTAATGATGGGGCTGTTACCATTGTTAAATATTGTTTACCAATTGAAAAACTCTCTTATTTCCGAGCAGGTTGTAAATATGAAGAACGAGTCAGAAACCTGTGATGCCTGTGGTGTGTGTGTTGCTCCTAACTTCTCGAGGAAATCGAGCCATTCGGCTGCTGGAACCAACCGCTTATGTGCTTCTTGTGCCAGGGTATGTATGTCGCTTGTTTTTGCCGTGCAATGCTGTTAAGTCACCTCATATGCCATCCTTCTCGACACTTTCCTCATTTTTATTTTAGCTGCCTTAAATATTTCTCAGTTAAAGAAGATGAAGCACTATTGTGGCATTTGCAAAAAGATCCGGAATCAATCTGACATCGGAACTTGGGTATTATTTGTAATTAATTCTGTTTTGGTGTATATCTCTGTTTTTTGTAATGTCCTCTTGATACATGGTCGTTATATCGTCTGGATGTCTTCTATTCCTTAACAACAGGTGCGGTGTAAAGGTTGTAAAGTGTGGGTTCATGCCGAGTGTGACAAATTCTCAAAATGCAATTTCAAGGTAATCTTTTATTTCCCATCGTATAAATTGGATCTTTCTCAATGAATATCTGCCCTGTTTATCTGTATTGGCCTTAAATTAACAATTTTGGAAATACCTTGCTTCTTGATTCTAGGATCTCGAAACAAGTGACTATTACTGTCCCGAATGCAAGGCTAGGTTTAATTTTGAGCTATCTGATACAGAAAACTTACAGCTTAAATCTAAGTAAGCCCTGCTCCCTGATTCTTTGGAAAATGTTCACGCCAACTTATTTTGTTGGTTTTATATTAACAAGCAAGATTATCTTGATGCAGAAACAACAGGCAGAGTAGTAAAAATTCTTTGCCTGACAAGGTCTCCGTTGTCTGCTCCGGTGTGGAGGGAATTTATTTTCCTAGCCTTCATTTGTAAGATATATATATATTAAAATTTTCAAGCGAATCAATATGTATGTTTTGCAATTCTCAATTGTAGGCTAAAAAAGAAAATAACGAATGCCTTTTCATGTTGCAGAGTTGTTTGCAAGTGTGGATCTTGTGGCATGAAAAAGCTGGCGCTCAGTGAATGGGAGCGGCACACGGGTTCGAAGACTAAAAACTGGAAATCGAGTGTCAAGGTGAAGGGTTCCATGACGCCGCTTGAGCAATGGGTATGTCCATATTCAATTTACTTATTCCCATCATCTAGCTTCACATCTTCGACTTTTTTAGTTCTACTTTCAGAATTCGAGTGTTTGATGATGCATGATACATACTTGATCGCTTTTCTCGCAACTCATCCGGAACATATGTTTGTGACTCGACAGATGCTACAAATGGCCGAGTATCATGAACGTAGTCTTGTTCCTGCTAAACCAGTCAAGCGTCCGTCTATCCGAGTGCGGAAGCAGAAGCTGCTTACCTTCCTACAAGGTATCTTCCCAGCCCCATCATTAAGTTTTTTACGACGATTAACTGACCATGTCTGCTCTTGCATGAATAACAAGTTCACTTTGCTAGTTCTTAATTATTTATGTTCACAATATAATTTATGTGGTAGAACATTATGAACCTGTTCCTGCCAAGTGGACAACAGAGAGATGTGCAGTTTGTAGATGGGTTGAAGATTGGGACTTCAACAAAATTATAATCTGCATTAGGTATTTCAAAATATGTTCTGTATTGCTACCGAAACTGAGTATAAAAATTATACCATTTCAGACTTTTAGCATAAGCTTCTTTATTACTGTCGAAATTTTGCAATTAAGGTTGTTTCGATGGTCTATCTTAGTGGTGAATTGTTGTGTATAAATCAATTTGTCATTATGATCTTGTGTTGGTTCTCAATGTTGGCTTTCAAGCTATTCCAGATTCTTTCGATATAGGGTTGATTTTTCCTTCTTGCTCTTCAGATGTCAAATTGCTGTTCATCAAGAATGCTATGGCACGAGAAATGTTCGTGATTTTACTTCATGGGTCTGTCGAGCCTGCGAGACACCTGATATCGAACGGGAGTGTTGCCTCTGCCCTGTTAAAGGTTGGATCTTTCCCCACAATTTTACACCAAACAATCTTCTACTTAATTTGACGTGTGTTTTTTTCTTGGTTGAATGATGAAATTTTTTTACTTGTGTTGAATATATGTAGGGGGAGCTCTAAAGCCGACGGAAGTTCCACCATTATGGGTTCATGTTACTTGTGCTTGGTTTCAACCTGATGTTTCTTTTGCAAGTGATGAGAAAATGGAACCTGCCCTTGGAATACTGAGAATTCCGACGAGCTCTTTTGTGAAGGTAATGATTAATGAATGTTGCTTCACCCGCCATTACTTATTTCTGACTATGTCTTTTCCAGTTCTTCTTATCCACGGATGCTTCTCTGATTTTTTGTATTTCAGATTTGTGTAGTTTGTAAGCAAATTCACGGCTCCTGCACGCAGTGTTGCAAGTGCTCCACGTATTACCATGCGATGTGTGCATCGAGAGCAGGTTATCGTATGGAGGTGAGATGAACAGAATTGGTACTTGGAGAATCTGATTTAACTAACTGTCTTCATTCATGTGCCTAATTGCAAATCGACATTTTGCAGTTGCACTGCCTGGAGAAGAACGGCAAACAAATCACGAAAATGGTTTCTTATTGTGCTTACCACAGGTGCGTGCTAGTTCTGTGTTTGTTTTGTTTGGATTTGTTCGATTTGCTGTTTATCGTCGCATTTTTTTGGTGATTCTATGCAGGACACCGAATCCTGATACGGTTCTTATTGTGGAGACTCCCAAGGGAACTTTCTCCGCTAAAAGCATGCTCCAAAACAAAAGGCACACTGGCGCGAGGATGATTTCGACCAGTAGGTTGAAACTTGAGGAACCTCCTGAGGAAGATACCAGCGAGGTTGATCCGCTCTCAGCAGCCGCTTGCCGAGTCTTCAAAAGAGCAAACAACAAGGTCTGTTAATGGAGGTTGATAGTCGTCTTCAGTCTCGGTATCTTATGAAAATTCGAATTTAGATTTGTTTGTTTTCTTATCCACCAGTGGCGGACGAGTAAAGAAGCTGTCATCCACCGAATCATGGGGCCTCGGACTCATCCGATGAGTGCGATAGAGAGCATGAACGCTAACAGAGTAAACCTCCTTTCCTTTGCTATATGTATTAGAGATTGTGAAAACCGTGTGATTATTCATTCTCGGATCTGTAACAGAAAATCGAGAAGATGAAGACGTTCTCCACCTTCAGAGAACGGCTTCAACATTTACAGGTATGTGGTAATTGTGTAACTGTTCGTTTACCTGTATTGGCAGAACTGAAACTCTTCTGACCTTATTGATGTATCTATTGACTATGAGTCCAGAAAACAGAAATGGACAAAGTGTGCTTTGGCAGATCGGCGATACACAGATGGGGATTGTTTGCGCGTAGGAACATCTCCGAAGGAGAAATGGTATTTCATCTGATTAATCACTGGTCAACATTTGTTGCAGACGCATTCATTCCATTCTGCAACGATCTGTTTTCTGTGGTCAGGTTGTCGAATATCGCGGCGAACAGGTTCGACGCAGTGTTGCGGATCTTAGAGAGGGGCGTTATCGTGCAGAGGGCAAAGATTGCTATGTGAGTTCTGAGTTCGTTTGTTTGTTCGTTCTCTCCTCCATATTTGATGTTGAGCTTTATATTCTTCTCTTCCCTGGACAAAACCCTAAATTCAACCATAACCAGTAAACCTCTGGAATTTCTCTTTTCAGCTATTCAAAATCAGCGAAGAAGTTGTGGTGGATGCTACAGATGCAGGAAATATTGCTCGGTTGATAAACCATTCAGTAAGTGCTGCTGTTTCGATTCGTCTGCTTTTATTCCTGAAAGTTGTTCTGCTCTTAGAATCAAAATCCTTAATCCTTACAGCACAATTAGATTAGAATATGTAGGAGGAAAGGCAAAATACAGATCGGAGTGCTTACTATAATATAATATCTCAATAATTTCTTCAGTCTGACACGACGCTCTTCCTCACCTCACTACCACTAATCTACAACATATATTTTTCAGTGCATGCCCAACTGCTACGCAAGGATCATGAGCGTAGGCGATGACGAGAGCCGGATCGTTCTTATTGCGAAGACAAATGTAGCTGCTGGCGATGAATTAACGTACGCATACTCTCTGAATTGCTTTCTCGTTCCCAACTTTAGGTTATTTGTATCAATTACGGTATGCGACTACTATATACTGGTAAATAATTTGTGTACCTTGCGGTTGGTGACTGGCAGGTACGACTACTTGTTTGATCCTGATGAAGCTGAGGAATTCAAGGTTCCTTGCCTATGTAAAGCTCCAAATTGCAGGAAATTCATGAACTAGTTTTCCTTGGAGATGGAGATCTCACCGGTTAGTTGGCAAAACTTGATATCTAATATTTATTCTTGTGTTGAAGGAACACAAAATTTTGTGAGTATGGGAGGATGATGATGTAGAAGTAGGATGGGATGGATTAGTGGCCATATATCGAGTTTCTAGAAGTTGAGAAATTTTACAATCTAGGAAGAGGAAAGGGAGGAGAGGGGCATCTTTTTGTATAAATGATAAAAACATTGAACCACATATACACAATAGTAATAATAATAGTAGTAAGTAGTAGTCTGTGAGTTGAGTATTTATACGATAAAATTGGTATTTGATGTGATTTATTTATTTATTTTTCCACTTTTGTTGATAAATAGTGTTTAGAAAAATGTACAGTAAACAGAATCAGGCTCTCTTTTGGATCTAGAAGAATCTGTTCATTGATCACGCCCCAAGTAAACTCAATATTGCTCATGCCATGAGATTACGAAAAAAGAGGTTTGATTGACTGGAGATTTTTAAAAGGCTGTATTGAAATTGGATTTGAGTTATTGAAGAGAAAAAATTTAAGTTGAAATAATATTTTAAATTATATATAGTAATTAAAAATGAATATTTAATATAACAATTTTAACAAACCAACAAACAGACCCACCTTTGAACGTCGTCGTCTTCTCTTCGATTTTGGTCAACTTTTAAAATATGTGTTGTCAGTAAAGAAAAGATACGCTAGATGATAAATGAGGGAGATATTTAAAGGCAAGAAAAGAAGACAAGAATATAAGATGACTTCCACCTAAGCAGCACATTGGAATTTGGATTGACGTATAAAGCTCGGCTCCATATCTATCATACCTCAACACCGCCTTCATACAAGCTGTAATGTAATGTAATACACAACTATTATAATAATATCATCAGACCAACAAAATGGAAAGTTAGTCAGTCAATCCTACTTGGCCACAGAAGAAGAGGAAGAAGACTATTACAGTACCATTCGAAATGTGTGTGATGATGCATTAGTGTTTATAGCAGCAACAAATTGGTGGTAGCAAAGACAAACCATTCTTTTTATGTGCAAATAATAATTGTGCTTCTAATCTTTAGATGGACTTAATCTGTCTGATCGGAATACATACCGCGCTCACCTCGCACACCGTCACATCACATCAAACAGATCCAAGATTCAAGCTGCTGCTGCTGCAATATCGCCTGGCCTTGCCTGTCCGTTGCCCAAGAACTAACAGGCCTTTGTTCCTGAAAATTAGAATTGGGTATGCATCTTTTAGCTAGAAGCTGTTGCTCGGGAAGCCAAAGAAATGGTGTGTTTTATCATAACATCATACATACTGTGAAGTCAAGTCAGGTCAGGATCAAGAATAGTTTCTTTTAGATCAATCCTTGACGTTGTAGATCGGTGAATGTCTTCTTGTTATAAATGTTGCCCTCTTGGTCTTCGTATTCTTCTTCCAGATCGGGGCGCCACTTGTTCAGACCTTGCTTTTCTTGGATTCTCTCCCAAAGTTGTTTTGCTTCCTGAGGGCATAAATAATAACGAATAGCAAACACTATTATGATTTTTCTTCAATGGCAAACAGAGGCTAAAAAACATGGCATGATATCTAATGATACCTCTATAGATGTAATTTCGTTGAAATTTTTGGTGTTTGGAATTCCAAGACAGCGCATCCCGTGCTGATGCCTCCATTCCTTGAAGTGGCGCTCATATGCTCTGCGGCCCCAATAACTGTGATTCCCACATATCTCACATTTGAACTCCTGGTAAAAATTCACATGTTCTTGAGATACTAGCAAAAATATACTGAGGTTGTAGGGAAGGACTAAAGATGTTTGACAGTGATAACAATATTAATAACTATGACATTTAATATATGATTCTTCAGTATGATACAATGATACTCCAATATGATTTCCTACATTCTAATGTATCGTCAACAAAACAAGATGGACTCCACTAGAAAAACACAAGCAGTAGCCATATATGTACACAACTATTTGAATTATTATTATTATTATTATTTCTTTTTCTTGTCATTTGCTACTTTCATCTCCTTCAGCTTTTCTACTCACTAGTTTCCATCTCTTGCTAGTGAAAAAAGTAATGTCCTACCTAATACTTCAGTTTTCTCATGCTCAAAACTTAATTCACTAATGACATAAACAATCAATTAAGGTATGGGGTGTCTGCACTGTTACAAATTACAGAGTAATGTCCTAAAATAGGTAGATAGCCTTTTAGATTAAGTATACACATAAACCATATGATGGACCTCCGATGCCTACACTCCAATAAAAACACAATTATCCAAACACATTCATCAAGCATAGGCAAAACGACTAATTAGACATACCTGACCAAGCCCATGAAGCTTGTACAACCAGTACGGTATAGGCTTTCCATCCCAACCCATTGGTAATTTTAAGGGATTGTAAATCTGCTGATCTTCGTCATCACTCTCAGGCTCAGGTTCCACCTCATCCTACGAGTAGAATTCATGTTAATATATATATATATATAATATAATATATGGCCAGTAATAAAGCATGATGATCAAAGCTCAGGTCAGACATACTGCTCAGAAGAAACCTGCCTTCAAAAAGCAGCAGGCAAATACTAAACCCAAGGTTTATGATTGAGACCCACAGGTTGAAGATACAAACTACGGGATGTGATTAGAGTGATGCATTTGGAATGACAAAAATCAAGATACCAACATATACAAGTAAATGGTTGCATTATTTATTTAGAAAAGGACATCATATTTTAAAGAGCTGCAATCTCTAAGGTACAGGGCCATGAAGCAAACTAACACATGTCTGTGTGAGAGAAAGAGAGAGGCATCACAATAAATTTCGAAATTGCTAAAGGACACAGCTGAGGATTTTTCCCTTGACATCTAAGAAGCACAAAACTGCCCTTCAATTTATAGGTTTATACCACTTGTTCAGGGGTTTTCAGTACTTCAAAGAGATGGCCTTTCTTTCATTTATACATAATTGACATCCTATTCTAATTTTCAGGGAACCTATACAGTTAAAGAATAGTACCTCTTCACGTTCTTGTACAATCTCATCATAAGTTAGGGCATGTTTCTTCTCAACATTTTCTTTGGTCCGTACTATAGTCTGCAAAGAATAATTAAACCAAAAAATAATGAGGCAAGGCATCAATTATGATTCAAAATATGCCATATCGGTGGATAAAATAAATAAAGCTTTAGCTAGTAAAATAGCAATGCCACAAGTGCGGTTGCACATGGAAACAAAGGGAAAAATAAAACAAGGATCTGAAATAGGGGAGAGTTAAAACTAGCCATAGCATTAGCTTACCTCGCTCAACAATTCACACAACTTCTTTATTTTTGCTTCCATCAAGGCAATCTCTTTTGCATCTTCACTGGGTTGAATAGCCACAGCGCCACCATTTTGTTCAGGTCGACGTGAATTTTTTGCAAAATGTTTTTTATCCAATTTTTCAAGAGGGGTATTCTGCAAAATAAAGTAAAACAACAAGACTTAATGCAGAAAATTATTAGCATTTAACCAAAGCTTGACCTCTTCAAATCCCGAGATTTTCCCTAACATCTTTCTAAAAAAACAGATTTTAGATATCTTGAAGGTGAACTGGGCAGAGAATCAAACAAGTACCGACTTTTTCAGTTCACTTAAATAGATGCGCAAAAGGCATTCATGTTTCCACACACAACAATTCGTTCGAGAGAGAGAGAGAGAGAGATTGATACGAAAGGATATATGTGCTTCCATGATCAGAAAACACTTGATTGGATAGCAAACTATTGGCCAAATTTTAATCAAGAGAATTCACCTTTGTAAGAAAAAGCCTCTCTGCACGCTGTCTTACTGTGCCACCAGTCTTCAAGCCAAGCGCAGCCAATGCCTGAAAGCATAATATATTTGCAACATAAGCATCACAACAAAAAGCAGCCACTTATATAACTTAACTGCAAATTATAATGCAAATAATCAAAGGCCAGGCAACACAACCAAACAACAATTAGAAATCCAAAGCAGTTAAGCAGTTTCAGATAACCTATAACATGTGAATTTCAAATAAAGAAGAATATACAATACCATATTATTTTCACACCCATATCACCATTTATCTTGTGTAATTCTTAATCCGCTTAAGAATCCTGCTTTTACTGGGGAACATTAATTTTGTTGCATAAATACATGTATTTTTATTTCCTATTAGATTTTCCCAAGCAACAATATTCAATTGGCAAAAGAAAACATGCAGATTTAGACACATCTATGGACTTTGTTCAAAAGCAGACAGGCACACCTCCTTTAATTTCTCAGGTCCTACTTCCATCAGCTCTTCAACAGTACTATAATAATCAAGATCTATCCTGGAATCCTGTGACTGTGCAGTAGAATTTTCATGACTCTCATTCTCCCATCCTTCTACAAGTCCACTCTTCCATTGCTCTTCAAATTCAGTAATTACCTGCCAGACAATAAAACATCAAAAGCATAATTACTAGTTGAATATAACCACAGCCTGACATCTGTCTGTTTGATTCTATTTTGTTAGATACAAAAATCATAAAACATAAATATCAGCCTCTGTAATTTGGCAGGCAGTCACTCAAATTGCCAGATTAGTAAATTAAAAGCGCGATGCCAAAAAGCAGAGAGGAAACAGCCAATTAGAGCATTGAAAACAAAATGAATTTAAGGATTACCTTTGAAAATATCCTTTCAAGGTCTTGCAAAGGTTCTGTCCGCTCAAAAAAGTATACAAGATATTCCAGAAGTTTCTGCATATATTCCCGATATTGCCTGTTAAAAACAACGGAGGAATATCAATGCTAACTTGCACATGATGAGTTATAAGTCAATTCATCCACGGTACTACAACAATAACCTTATATCTCCATATATTTCTCATCAGTCTCTTAATAAGAATATGCAACAGGCAGATTAATTAGCAGGCAGAAGCATTGTTTGGGGAAAAATCAACTTTAGGTTTTGTAGGACAAGAGATTGGATACCAAAGAATAAGAAACCAGCATTCGTCAATATACCACAATCTTATACGAAAAGCCTTTAGACAGGTCATATAAGCACGAAATTAAAAACTTAAAAATAACTTGGAAGTTAAAGCCTGAAGGATGCAGCTAATGAAGAGAAAGTTGCAAAAAATAACCTACCTCGTCAACTTCAATTTCTGAGGTATTCTTCCAGGATCCGAAAACACATCAAGATAAGCAGTGTACTCAATTTGCTGACCAAATTTGGAGTTTATGTACTCATTGTATAGCTCATGTAAATCAAGGTACCGTCCAAATGCTTCCTAAATCAAATAAACAAAATTTGGTGATGAATGCGAAACATATCAGGAAATTACTAATAAGCTACTCTTGTGCTATAAAAGCAAACAATTCAGGAAATTCCAACTCTGTAAACATACTGTCTACTATACACGCACAAATCAAGAACATACTTCAAGTCACTCATCATCTTTCAAGGACATTCAAACATTTTTCTGTAAACATCCAAATTATATGTTGTTCTTCTATCTCAGAAATGGAAACCAAATCCAGAATCAGTTGATATGGTTAGAATTATATGCCTTCATTGTATTTTTGATATATTTTGAAGATAGTATTACCTCCCCAGTGAACTCAATGATAGGTTCCTCTTTGAGAAGCTCCTCGTACTCATCATTTGGGTCAACATACCGTGCTGCAGGATGCCTTCGGTGGTAGTCACGAATCTGCAACAACACGATAAAGCCCACAGAAGTTGAAATGCAATAACAAAAACGTTACCAGACAATTCACAAGAAAATTGATCACATACCTCTTTCAACCTATCGTAAAATGCACTAAAAACGTTAACATTAGCCGATGTCGAGCTCTGTCCACCGAGGGCGGCAATCTCATCCTTCCTCGCATTGTCTTCATCTTCGTAAATATCGATCTATATAACCCAAAATCCACCGAGCTAACACTCATTACACAAACACACACACACACACAAAGAAAAAAGAAACTAAACCTCATAAAAACACAAAACTAGAATAAACAATCGATTAACCATACCAGTTTATGAGTAGTGGACACGATTTGCTCGATCATATTACGAACGCGGTGGCTCTGGTAAAGCCGGTCCTTGTTGGTCGGCGGCTCCGTCTGCAGATCCTTTACAACCAACCGCTCAAGCCGCTCCACTTCCTCGTGCGACGCACGTGTGACCTCCAGCAGCGTCGAAGACATTGTTCCTACTCTTCTCCACTCGACGAACGCTCGTTCTCACCTTGCAAGGGTTTCTGATACGCGAGAGAGGTTTTCGCGAAGAAGAAAGGAGATGGGGAATGCATATACGGCGTCGTTTCTCTCCGGGTCAATTTGTTCTTAGTACAATTCACATAGGGTTTCTGCGTATTTTTATTTAACTTGAAGGATCGTTTTATAAATTTCCAATATTCAAATTTTGAAATCAATCCCTGTATATTATTATTATTGCAAAAACACCCAAGTCTTCGCACAGACATTATGGCCATGGAAAGTTGATCTGAGACACAGCGAAAGCTGAGAAAATTAAGCAATGCAGAGGCTTTTCCAAGGCGAAGATGAAGAACAGCAAGACTATCTGCTTGAGGACGCTGAAGTACTCTGTTCGCTCTCCCCTTTGCAGGTACATTGACGGAATATTTTATGACCTAATTCGCCATCGCTGTCTTAGTTCGAAGAGTTGATTTTTTACTGAATCTCACTGCGATTCGTAATTTGGTGTCTCTTTCCCCCTTCAATTGAGCGCAGAGAGTTTACGCGTTTGCTGCTTGTTTGCTCGCGGGACTTGTGTGCATGTTCCTGGTGAGAAATTCTTCGATCGTTTGAAGAAAAGTCAGCTTAATCTTATACATTTTTGTTTCTTAATTAGGGAAATGGATTGATTGAAATTTTTGGTTTTTGTGTTTCTGTGCAGTCGCTGATTGTTTTTGCAAACCCTATCAAATTCGCGTTGTTGTTTACATTTGGCAACTTGATGGCTATTGGAAGGTTTGTAGCTCAAATAGGCTGTTTTTGGGATACCTGCATATGTTGATTGTTTCTGTAATTTTTTCTTTTCGTGTTCTTAGTTTTGGGGCAGAGGAAAGTTAACATCCTCACAGAGGCAGGCTTGATGAAGTATTATTAGGATTGAAAACAATTTGTAGATTATAGGAAGTTGTGGTTCTATGGATGTTGGAATGATCGTGGCGTTGTTCTTAGTTTTTGGAGATCAATCCTGAGCATTCAATGAGCTAACTGTTTGAAGGTATCCTGCCGAGATTTCGAACATAGGGTGCCAGTGAAGCTTACATACATTCTTGAGTTCACCATTAAAATTTGTATGGAAATTGGTTTGTTTGAGATGTTAATTAGAAGTGAATAACCAAATATAAAGAGAAAAACCAGCATCGTACTCGTTACAATGCATTGTAGTTTGGATCGTTAATTTTCTAGGAAGGATAATGTGCAATATATGGGGATTTCATCTCAATTGTTTTAACAACTTGTGAAAATTGCATATGAATCGAAGTAAGTGGTGCAGAAACCAAGATCTGGGTAGACATTATTTTGGTTATTTTTTGATCCCGTCTTATTAGCGTCACTAGAATATAATGGCGTGTCTTTTTCTTGCCGGGGTTGACATTCGATTCTTCATTTCATTTGCTTTTCTAGTTTTCTAAATCGGGATATCTAATTGGCAGCACAGCTTTCCTGATTGGGTCAACGCAACAGCTTAGGATGATGTTTGATCCTGTCCGAGTATATGCTACCGCAATTTACATCGGGTGTGTCATTGTGGCGCTTGTCTGTGCTCTTCTTGTAAGTGTTTTCACCCTAACTGTGTAATACTGATTTCAAAATCTTACAAATTTGAAATAATGTCCCTACTCTCGCAGCCTAATGTTGCATCCCCGGTGGAAGATGTTATGAACTTCTAAACGATTAAATTGTTCATCCTAACGTCTATTCTTTAGTCTCCATGTTTTATATAAATAGTGTACATCGAATGAATCATATAAATTATAACCACTTTAATTGTGTCAACTCTTACTGTGCAATCTAATTGCTGCACCTCTTTACTTAACTGTTCATAAGTTTTTAATATCGAATGTCCTTTAACCAAGTGGTTAATCTTCTGTTTTTGGTTTTATTTCAGATTCACAGTAAGATACTTACTCTTATCGCGATCATTTGTGAAATATGTGCCCTCTTTTGGTAAGTTTGCGTATCTTTTATTCCATTTTCGATAGCTATTTATGCTTGCTTCTTGGCAACAATGTCGTTAACACAACAGATTGGGTCATTGCAGGTACAGTTTGAGCTATATTCCTTTCGCTCGTAGGATGGTTTCTGACTTGACAGTTCGTCTCTTCGACACTGAAATCTAGAGGTCTGTATTTGACACCAAATTCTTGGCCATTCCCATCAAGAAATTGAAGCATCATTGTTTTTCGTCGGTTTTTTGCAATCCAAGTTTTCCTCAGGATTCTGAACATTACGATTGATTTGCTCCACTGTTTTATCGAAAAGAATTACCAAAGTTTGTAAACAAAAATACTGTCTTGTTTGTGAAATCATGGTATGATATCGACCATTTATTTATATTGGTGATGCAGAAAGTAGAGCACAAAAGATTGTCGTTGAAGGCTGATTGTTTGTAAATTGTAACAAGAAGGAATGAGGAGGGGTTGTCTGTTTCGAACAAGCGTGGTAGGTAATAAGTTAAGGTAAGGTAAAGTTTAGTGGGCATGGGCATGTCTCAATCTTTCAACCACCAAAATGATGTAAGAGTGACGGTGACGTCATGGGTTCAAATCTTTAATATCTTCGATTTCGTTTGTCATTGATGGTTCATCTAATATAATTGGTTTTTTCAGGCTTAACTGTTATTAGGTTCGATAATTCAAATTTTTTAAGCCTTGAGATGTTACCTATCATATGGTCTGCTGGGATTTATTAGAGCTTATTTTAATAATAATAATAATAATTGCAAATTTTTACATTATAAAATTATTAAATAATAATACAATAAGATCGAAAATATTTTTTGGTCTATTAAATATTTATATTTAAATACTAAAGCATTACCCCACTATAACTTTTTTTAGCTGGGCCCATTGGTTGCTCTTTTTTTGGTATTTTTGTAGTTTTTTGTTTTGGTGGGAAAAGTTGCAGGGTGTGTGTTTGTTTGGGGGATTTGTTTGGATTTTCACCGTTCATTCCATTTTTTTTCTCCAAAAATATCAAATCAAACACTTATTTTTCATTTTTTATGTTATACTAAAAATTAATTTTACATTCAAAATATCACATCAATAACTATTTATATCACATCATACAACTATTCAAATTCAAAATTTTTACTATTTAAATCTTAATCCAAAATCCAAACCCCCAAACAAACACACCCGTATTGTATTCTTGCTGAGTCCCAGGTATGCAACGCCAGGACGCAGAGTACAATAACGAGTGATGCAGATGCATATCTGGTGCGGAGATCCATAGAGCCGCCACTAACCAACTACATGGCCCATCACGTGAGCGACTGCGCCTTTGAGAGCAGAGAGGTTCCACTTTACCCACTCACAATGGACAACGCTAACGCCAATCCACTTTTATTTTATTTTCTACAATAAATATTATTATTATTATTATTATTATTATTTAAATGTTAGAAAAAGTATCAGTGTGGGGCTGAGAATGGGAATGGATACCAAAATGTGATCGATCAATGAACAAACAAACTCCACTTTCAAACAAGGTGTTTGCTTGTAGGTTTTAGTTTTGATTTTGAGTTTTAAATAATATAAATTTAAATTAAAATAATTATATAAAAAAATATTGATATAATATTTTTAAAAAAATAAAATTAAACATGTAACATCAAACTCAAAACCCCACAAATCAAATCTAATGATATCTACTAGTGTGATTTGCTTTGTCGAACCTAATTTATAGAGTATTATATTCGATTGGAAATTTACCAAATAGATATTCAAATACATTTTTTTACAAAAATATATAATATTAAATAAAGATAATATTTAAACAAAATTTTAAATACAAACACAAATCAGTCAGAGGCAAATGGTTGTATATAAATAAATTATATATTTATATCTATTAAAAATAGTTCAAGTAAATTATATAAATGGTTGCAAGTAAATTTCAATCTTTAAAAATATTTATTTTAAGAAAATGAAAATGAAAATACAATGTGAATCACGTTCAGAAGGCTAAAACTAAACAGATCCTAAAGTTGTCACGGGACCACAGCATGATATTACAGCTCAAAAGTAACGGGACTCTTTCATGTGATTTATGCCCCCAACAGATTATATAGTCCGGGACCCCGAGACCCCACTCTATCAATGGGTGGATTTGTACTGTGCCCAGTCATTGATCGTTGGATTTGATCTGGCTCGTAGTCCCTGGACTATTTCAGATAATAGTTACAAAACTTCTCAATCTTTGCCAGTGACTGACATGTAACTTTCTTGCATTAACGGTCAAATATTCGGCCATCACTTTTGGTCCCTCAGCTCTTTTACAATTTTTATTTTATAATTTGTAAATTTTCTATTTCTCGAGTGTATTCTCGATAAATTTTCAATCGAATTTAATATTTTGTAAATTAGGCTCGACAAAGATAAGTTATATTAGGCAAACCATAAAGTGTTGAATGCTAGAAATTTTAAGAGAAAATAATGAAATTGTGTTATTGATCATCAAAATATGAAGCCTATACATAGGTAATACATAACATGCTAGATATACTCAAATCTAAGTAATTTAATCTATGGATAATATCAAATCTAAATATAAATTTACTAAATCTAAAACTGAATATCTAAAATATCTTAACATCCCCTCAAACTCAAGATAAGACAGTAGAGACCAACTTGAGTTTGTCCAAGAGTAATCGAAAACGGCCTGAAAGAAGAGATTTGGTGAAAATATTTGTTGTTTGATCTTCAGAGGATACTGAAACGAGACGAACTACTCCATTGACAATATATTGTCGAATGAAGTGACAATCAAGCTCAATATGTTTGGTGCGCTCGTGAAAGGTATCATTATGGGCTATCTTCATAGCACTCTGACTATCACATTGAAGAGTCATAGAAGATGGCTGAGGGGCACCAAGATCAGTGAGTAGCCGTCGAAGCCATAAAAGTTCTGAAGTAAAATCAGCAAGAGCACGATACTCTGACTCGACACTCGAGCGAGAAACTAAAGTTTGTTTCTTGCTGCGTCAAGAAATGAAAGAATCACCCAGGAAGAAGCGATAACCAGTGGTCAAGCGACGATCGGTGGGATCACCAGCCCAATCAGCATCAGAGTAACCGTTGAGAGTCAATGACGAGTTAGAGGAGAAGTGTAAGCCATGTAAAATAGTACCTTTCACATAACGAAGAATATGTAAGATGACAGAGTGGTGAGAGGTCCTCGGAGCTGCCATGAACTGAAGCGATATCTGGTCGAGTGACAGTCAAATAGATCAAGCTCCTAACAAGCTGACGATAAAAGGGTAAGATCATCAAGAAGAGAGCCATCACGAGGGGTAAGTCGAACGTCGTAGGCAAGTGGTGTAGATACTACCTGACAATCTGTAAGACCATCTTGAGCATGAAAATCAGAGGTATACTTAGCTTGGGACAGAAAGAAACCATCGGGAGAATAAGAGACTTCAAGCCCCAAAAAGTAGCGAAGAGGACCCAAGCTCTTCATCTCAAAGTGCTGGCTAAGATATACCTGTAGATTCAAAATACCAGATGCATCATATCCCGTGATGATCATATCATCAACATAAAGCAAGAGTATAACTATCTCAGATGAAGAATAACGAATAAATAAACCAGAGTCGTAAACACATGTGGTAAAACTAAACTCCAATAGTACAGCGCTGAATGTGGCATACCAAGCCCGAGGGGCCTGCTTCAACCTATTTAAAGCACGACGTAAGCAACAAACTTTTCCAGAAGACAAGAAACTTGGAGGAGGGGTCATATAAACTTCTTCAGAAAGTGTGTTGTAGGCATTAAAAATTAAATGTATAAATTAAATTAAATATCATGTATTTTGGAAGAAAATAAATTTTCAATAATATAAATATATGGTATTTAATTATGCACATATGTTAATTTTTGTACAATAAATATCAACCATTAATGCAAAAATATGCTTAAAATGGAAGATATCGTACAAATATTACTTGCATAAATAGAGCCATAATAAGTTTGGCAGCAAAATAAATTAATCTTGTCAATAAATGAAGTATATAAATTAATATCTTCCAAAAAAAGGCAATAATATAAAGATCTTGTCAATAAAGGAAGTATATAAATTAATATCTTCTAAAAAGACAATGATATGAAGATTTTGGCGAGAAAGGAAGGTGCACAATCAAATCCGTCAAGAATGAAAAGTAGCATCTTATGGAAATGGAAAAGATTATAAAATCTTTCCATCCACGTGGCACCATCCGAAAATGAAGCTAAGGCCACTCTCCCCTATAAATAGGAGCCTTGGCCAATTCATTAGACATCGAAGTTGCATCGAGGATTCAAGCAAATGGTAAGTCTCTAGACTCTTTATGTATTGTTCTTCATGTTCTTCGTGTCCTTCGAAGCGTTCTTCGTTGGAAGTCACTGATTTGGAAAAATGATCCAATATTGGTTGACGAATCGATGAAGTTAACGTTCTTCATCGTATGTCCAAGCCGGAGGAAGGATCAAAGCTCTCAAAGCCATTGAGGAATTCGTCAAAGCCAATGGTCTCCAAAGTTCCTCTCAAAGTTTCAAGATGTTCATCGCGTTCTTCAACAAAGCATCAACTAGGCCTTCTTCGATCCAAAAGTCAAAGAGACACGCCGCCAAAAGCGTTATAGAGCACTAAATCCACATTTTCAAGCATCAAAGTTCCAAAAGCTATTGAAGAGTTCATCAAAGCCAAGGAAGAACATCCAAAGTTCATCTCAAAGCTCCGAGGTGTTCATCGCATTCTTCACCAAAGCAACAACTCCGCCCTCTTCGATCCAAAAGTCAAAGAGACACGCCGCCAAAAGCGTTATGGAGCACCAAATCCACCTCTTTAAAGATCAAAGCTACGGATCGTCCAAAGAAGATATCGTTGATGCCGTAAGTGCGTTGGAGGCAAGAATTCAAATCCAAAGTTGAGGATCAAATCACCCGCACGGAGACCAAAGCCCTCCAAAAGCGGCAAAGTCAAACCAAAGATCAAAGCCTCGGATCATCCAAATAGGACATCAAATCCAAAGGCGACGATCAAATTGCTCGCATGGAGACCGAAGCTCTCCAAAAGGCGGAAAAGACAAACCAAAGATCAAAGCCGCGGATCGTCCAAAGAAGACACCAAATCCAAAGCAGATGATCAAAACGCTCACACGGAGACCAAAGCTCTCCAAAAGGCGGCAAAGGCAAACCAAAGATCAAAGCCGCGGATCGTCCAAAGAAGACACCAAATCCAAAGCCGTTGATCAAATCGTCCACACGGAGACCGAAGCTCTCCAAAAGGTGGAAAAGGCAAATCAAAGATCAAAGCCGCGGATCATCCAAAGAATACATCAAATCCAAAGCCGATGATCAAATCGCCCACACGGAGACCGAAGCTCTCCAAAAGGCGGAAAATACAACCAAAAATCAAAGTTGCGGATCGTCCAAAGAAGACATCAAATCCAAAACTGATGGTCGAATCGCCAACACAGAAACCAAAGCCCTCCAAAAGGCGGCAAAGCCAAATCAAAGATCAAAGCCTCGGATCGTCTAAAAAAAAGACATCAAATCCAAAGTCGAGGATCAAATCGCCTGCACGGAGACCAAAACTCTCCAAAGTCCGGCAAAGTCAAACTGAAGACCAAACCTCTTCGGATCAAAGAAGCCATCGAAAACCAAGTTGGAAAATAAATCGACCCGGAAGGAGAATCAAATGACCCATTTAAAGAATATGACCCGCTTTAAATTCAAATCAAATATAATTTGTACAAATTTTGTGTTTATTAAAAATAACACAATTTTTTGTCTACATGTGCTATGTAGGAATGCATTCTTGACATCTAACTGAAGAAGGGACCACTGACGAACAACCGCAACGGCAAGAAGACAACGAACAGTAGTGAGACGAGCAACGGGAGCAAAGGTCTGCTCGTAGTCAATTTCATACTCTTATCAAACTCAAGTTGGTTTCTGTTATACCACTTAAGTTTGAGGGGAATGTTGAATATAAACGCAAAAAAAAAAAAAAAAAACGCAAATAGAAATAAAAGTTGACTATCCGCCGGAGCAAAAAACGTGTGACTCTCTATCGGAGCTGAAAACAACATGACACTCCACCGGAGCAAAAAACGACATGACTCCACCGGAGCCGAAAATAAGATAAATCGCAAACACCAAACAGATCGCACGCACGCAAACAACAGACAAGCAGCGGACATATGGCAAATCGCAGACAAATTTCAGATCGCACGCAGGCAACGGACAAATAACGGGCATATAGCAGATTGCATACAAGTTTCAGATCGCACGCAGGCAACAGACAAGTAGCGGACAAATGACATATAGCAGGTATATTTCAAAATTACAAGACCTTCGGGTACAATTCAGGTTGAATTTACCCGGAGAAACGCAAGGTTATATCTACCGTATGAGAAAAATATGCTCTGATACCATGTTAGAAATTTTGGGGGAAAATAATGAGATTGTATTATTACTATATACCCACGTTACAAACAATTTTGCCAATTTCAAAAGATTATAGCCTTATTTGTCATAGTAAAAAGTAAGCCATCATTTACTCAATAAATGAAGAGCAAAGTGCCGTGAGTGAATTTATGATCGTGAAATTATGAGTTCAAATCAGTGCGCATTTGTTTTCCGTTATAAAAAATAATAATAATAATAATAAATAAATAAATGAAGAGCCAACTTAAAGTAGTTCCCAAACAATCTTTTTAAATCTATAGTGTTTGTATGTCCTAATTAGGCTAATCACGTTTTAATTTGGGGAGTGATTAAAACCATTAGAATTACATATACATTTGTCATAAAATAAAATAATTTTCTGTATTCTCCTTTATGTGATTCGTTTTAGTCTTCGCCACAATAATTTATAATATTTAAAAGAAAACTAATAGTAATATGACCAAAATAATATTTAAAATTTTATTCTCTTTGCACGATGAAGATTATATATTACATAGAAATAGTAAAGATGCAACTAATTAATAAATATTATCATAAAAATAGAAAGTAAATGCTGCTAAAAGAAAGATTCTGACGATATATATATGTTTGGTCTGTAATTTTTTGTTTGTATTTTGTATTTATAATTTTCTTTTAAATAATAATTTAATTTAAATTTTATTAAAAAAATCACAGAGAATTACTAATAAAAAAATAGAAAATGTTGCAAAAAGAACAAAATTTATACCTGAATTTTTTTAAATAAAAAAAATCAGTTGAATATAAATGCTTTGTTAGGTACCTGCGTGTGTCTCAACTAACACAATTAGAGTGTGTTTGTTAGGGCTTTTGGATTTTAAGTTAAAATTTAAATAGTAAAAATTTTGAAGAAATAGTAATATGATTGTGATATAAATAGATATTGATATAATATTTTGAATGTAAAATTGATTTTTAATATAATATAAATAAAAAAGAATATTTCATTTGATATTTTTTGAAAAAAAAATTCATAAATAGTAAAAATATGGAGAAATCCGCCAATTTTTACTATTTAGATTTTTATTTTTTTTACTTAAAAAATATAATATCAAACAATTATTTTCTTTTTTTATATTATATTAAAATTTTATTTTACATTTAAAACATCACGTCAATTTCTATTTATATCACATCAAATAATTATTCAAATTTAATTTTTTAGTATTAAAAATCCAAATAAAAAACCACAAGCAAACACATTAGTGTTTTTTAAATAGATATATTTTTTTATGTTATATAAAAAAAAAAAATTATATATTATATTACTACTTGTACATTGAATTTTCGATTATATTTCTTGAATCTATCATCATATTGAAGGAACAAATCCAAAGATATATAATAATAATAATAATAATAATAATAATAATAATAATACAAAGAAAATAAATAATAAAAAATAATAAAAAAATAAAAAATTATTATTACACTCCTTTTAGTATTTTACAAGAGTTAGGGTGTGTTTGTTTGTGAATACTTGTTAATCTTGATATTTTGAATATCAAATTAATTTTTATATAATATAAAATAGATATTTAATTTGATATTTTTTAAATTTTTTTTAATAAATAATAAAATCCAGATATAAAAAAAAAACACTTTTAATATACCTTTTCATCATAATATATACTGCAAAAATAAAAAATAAATTTGAGCGCCGCTAAAGCTGGTCGTTACCTCCAAATCTATATCTGCCACGTGTACATTGCACAAACCAATAACCGCTCGAGTTATCAATGGTTAATTACAGTAACTGTAATTTCCCATTTTGTCCGTTTATAATTACTGCTGGGTACTTGTTAGGTTAATAATTACTCCATAAAGAAAGAAACCATTAAATTAAATTAAATTAAAATTTCCAATATTTGCGTCATTTATGGTTTCCTAGAAATTACGGAAGCATGAAGTGTGATTCTCATTCCATGACATGGGTTAGCAATACATCACATCACTTCAACATACATACATACATACGCTCTCCATAAATACGCACCAACTCCATTCCAAACACGAAGTGCAGACGGAGCCAGCTCGCCACCACTCCACGGCGGCGTTTTTTCTCCTCTTTTGTCAGTTGTCTGCTAACGACACGCCATCCGACACCTTCTCGGACTTTACGGGAGCAGTAGTGTTGAACAGAAATTTCTCCTGTTTCTGATTTATTTCCAGATTTCCGCGCATTTCAATTGATGTTCGTCGCGCAATTGAGCGGTTTCCGTGCCTGAATCGCCCTGATTCTTTGCCAGATCTGATCAATTGTCGTCGCTTGTGTATAATTGAACAAACGGAGGAATAGCATTTGATATTTGTCGATCAATTTGGGAATAATCCGGTGAAGATGTCGACGGTGTCGGGATCGGGAATCCAGGTGAGAGGCGGTACCTTGGTGAAGTCAGACTGCGCCTCGGGACACCAGCTAAATGCTTTGACGGCTTTAAGCCGGAGGATTCGGGTGTCCCGAGGCTCTGTTGCGAGGCACAGGAGGGTGTTCCTGGAGAATGGATTTGTTCACGGCGCAAAGCTCCGGGATTGTGCTGCCTCGAGGTTTCTTCGAGGGCAGAAAGACGGGTCGGGTCATTGTCGCATTAAGCGGGCAGTGATTAAGAATGCAATGTCTCAGGTGCCGGAAGAGCCGCTCGGACTGTACGATCCGTCATTAGACAAGGACTCCTGCGGGGTCGGGTTCGTTGCCGAGCTGTCTGGTGAAAGCAGCCGGAAAACGGTAAGTATTATTTGCATGGATGGATTGAAGCGACCTTATTTGCCCTTTCATGCATTTGTTGTTTCGTGATTGCGTAGGTTACCGATGCTATCGAGATGCTGCTGCGCATGTCGCACCGAGGTGCTTGTGGGTGCGAGACGAATACCGGAGATGGCGCTGGAATTCTCGTGGGGCTTCCCCATGATTTTTACAGACAGGTTGGTTATTATTTACTGGTTGTTATTATTTAAGTTTAGAAAAAGCTGCTCGAGGATTGTGAGATGTGCTAATGAGCTCTTTGATTAACTCAAGGCAACTAAAGCTTCTGGGTTTGAGCTTCCTCCGCCAGGGGAATATGCCGTTGGCATGTTTTTCTTGCCTACTTCAGACAGTCGAAGGGAACAAAGTAAAGTTGTATTTGCGAAGGTAATTAATAATAGCCAAAACTTTTCTAGTTTGATTGTTTGGCACATGATGATAAGATTATATTTATGCATATCGACATTGCAGGTAGCTGAATCACTTGGCCATACAGTACTTGGGTGGCGCCCAGTCCCCACAAACAACTCGGGATTGGGCAACTCTGCTCTGCAAACTGAACCAGTTATTGAGCAAGTTTTTGTGACAGCCTCTCCGAGGTCAAAGGCTGATTTAGAGCAACAGGTGTAAACTGCTGGCCCGAAATGATATGTCAGCATTAATGCAACATAAGTTTTTCGTACATTTGTCTCTCACCAACTCTTTAATACCATGACAGATGTACATATTAAGGAAGCTATCTATGGTAGCTATCCGATCTGCTCTCAATCTCCAACATGGTGCAGTTAGAGATTTTTACATCTGTTCACTGTCATCTAGGTTTGTGTCTGTGGATATCTGTCTGTTTTGAAATGATTTTTACGTACAATAATTAGTTCTGATTTTTGTGCTGGTCTTTCGTAGGACTGTTGTCTACAAAGGTCAATTGAAACCTGAACAATTGAAAGAATACTACTATGCTGATCTGGGTGATGAAAGGTTTACAAGCTACATGGCCCTGGTAAATATTTTATCCATTCTGTGTGTTGTTTCTATGCTGACTCCTAGTTTACGACAAACAGCATGGGATCAACGGATTAATGGCCATATTGAGGAATGACTTCTGAGGAATTGCTGTATGAATGATCTCTTATGTTCTTCAACACCCTTGATCACTATTTGAATTTGGATGCTGGAATTGAATATTTGGGTGAGTTGGTGAGGAACTTCTTTATGAAGTTAATATGTTTGCGGAAACCTGGTATTGTTCTGCTGTGTATGATGAACGGGGGTTTGTGCTGCTCATCTGCGCCTAGGGTCGAATAGTTTGCTTTCTAGTGGCATATTATATATCATGTTGAAGTGCCCGGGAGATAAAATTTCTACGGACCTGATTGAATTTGTTTATAATTCTCTTGAAGGTACACTCCCGATTCTCGACAAACACATTTCCTAGCTGGGATCGAGCTCAGCCGATGCGTGTCATAGGACACAATGGAGAAATAAATACACTTAGGGGAAATGTCAATTGGTAGGCCCTTATTTTTACTTGGGTCTCCTGTATATATTCCAGAGGAAATTAGTCAGTCCTTGATACCCGTTCTCATATATTTCTGATAAATTTGTTCCTTAAAAGATTAATTCAACATGCCATATATCTGTGTCCATTTCGTAGGATGAAGGCTCGTGAGGGTCTTCTACAAATGAAGAAACTTGGCCTCTCGAAGGAGGAAATGAAAAAACTTTTACCCATTGTGGATGCCAGCTCATCTGATTCAGGTGCATTTACCACAAAATTTCCCTTCTTGAAGTTGCATATCCAGGAACATCTCTCTGTGCACCCTTCGTTGCAAATTGCAATTTTTAAATGGTTCTACGATTCCTATGTTCTGCTTAGAATCTTATTTTTCTGAAAATTTTTAACTGACCTACAACCCTTCAGGTGCATTTGATGGTGTACTCGAGTTTTTAGTTAGAGCTGGCAGAAGTCTACCTGAAGCAATCATGATGATGATTCCAGAGGCCTGGCAAAACGATAAAAACATGGATCCACATCGGAAGGCTCTCTATGAATATTTCTCTGCTCTAATGGAACCGTGGGATGGCCCTGCTTTGATATCCTGTATGTCTTTTAAGAATATAGTAGTTTCTTACAATTGTAATTTTCTATTTGTTTACAACTTTTTTTTTTGTCAGTTACTGATGGGCGTTATCTTGGAGCAACTCTGGATAGAAATGGATTACGTCCTGGTCGCTTTTACATTACTCACAGTGGTAGAGTTATCATGGCAAGTGAAGTTGGAGTAGTTGATGTTCCCCCAGAAGATGTATCCAGGAAAGGAAGACTTAATCCTGGTATGATGCTTCTAGTGGACTTTGAGAAGCATATTGTTGTAGATGATGAAGCCTTGAAGCAGCAATATTCACTTGCAAGACCTTACGTGGAGTGGCTTAAAAGGCAAAAGATCCAATTGAATGATATAGTTGAATCTGTTAGGGAATGTGACCGGATCCCTCCTCCAGTGTCTGGTGTTTTACTGGTTAGAATTACTGTTTAACTTTTTTACGCTATCAAACACAGTTACTCATTTTTCACATACTAAGTAATATTTATGCTGTGTTCAGGCATCTTCAGATGATGATAATATGGAAAGCATGGGGATTCATGGTCTATTGTCCCCGTTAAAGGCATTTGGGTATGCCATTTTCTTATTCCTTATATTTTATACATTTTCTCATCACATCCCCAGAAAGGAAGTAATTTAGCCCCACCTCTGCAGTTACACTGTTGAATCCTTGGAGATGTTGTTGCTTCCAATGGCAAAAGATGGCATTGAAGCCCTTGGTTCAATGGGAAATGATGCTCCATTGGCAGTAATGTCCAACAGAGAGAAACTTACATTTGAATATTTCAAGCAGATGTTTGCTCAGGTCACAAACCCTCCAATTGATCCTATCAGAGAAAAGATTGTTACCTCTATGGACTGCATGATTGGTCCAGAGGGTGATCTTACTGAGATTACAGAGGAGCAGTGCCATCGCCTCTCACTTAAAGGACTTTTGCTATCAATTACAGAAATGGAAGCAATGAAAAAGATGGACTACAGGGGATGGCGTAGCAAAGTTCTTGATATAACATATTCCATGGATCGTGGTAGGAAGGGATTGGAGGAGACCTTAGCTAGAATATGTTCTGAAGCACATGATGCAATCAAGGAGGGCTACACAACGCTTGTGCTTTCCGATAGAGGTACACAGTCCTGTTTATGGAAAAGATGATTTAGAAGAGTATTCACTTCTTGTATTTTTTAAAAACTTATTGTCAGTTATTTTGACTAATGCATTTTTCATGTGATTGTTCTAGCTTTCTCACCAAATCGTATCGCCGTCAGCTCTCTCTTGGCTGTTGGTGCTGTACATCAGGATCTAGTAAATAAGCTTGAACGAACCCGTGTTGCATTGATTGTTGAATCTGCTGAACCCCGCGAAGTGCACCATTTCTGTACACTTGTCGGGTTTGGGGCTGATGCAGTCTGCCCTTATTTGGCCATTGAAGCTATTTGGAGATTGCAAATGGATGGAAAAGTTTCACCCAAAGCTGATGGTGAATTCCACACAAAGGAGGAGCTTGTCAAAAAGTATTTTAAAGCTATCAATTATGGCATAATGAAGGTCCTTGCTAAAATGGGTATATCAACTTTGGCCTCTTATAAGGGTGCTCAGATATTTGAAGCTGTTGGTCTATCTACAGAGGTGATTGAACGATGTTTCAAGGGAACTCCAAGCAGAGTTGAGGGTGCAACATTTGAGATGCTTGCACATGATGCACTACAGTTGCATGAGCTGGCTTTCCCAACACGGTCGTTACCTCCTGGTAGTGCTGAGTCTGTTGCACTTCCTCACCATGGGGAATACCACTGGAGAAAAGGTGGTGAGATTCACCTAAATGACCCACTTGCCATTGCAAAGTTACAAGAGGCTGCCAGATCCAACAGTGTAGCTGCCTACAAAGAGTACTCTAGGCGTATCCAGGAATTGAACAAGTCCTGTAATCTAAGAGGTCTTTTGAAATTTAAAGAGGCTGTTGTTCAAGTTCCTTTGGAAGAAGTTGAACCAGCAAGTGAAATTGTGAAGCGTTTTTGCACTGGAGCTATGAGTTACGGGTCAATATCATTGGAGGCACATACTACTCTAGCTATTGCAATGAACACAATTGGGGGAAAATCAAACACTGGTATGTCCTTTTGTTGTGTCATTTCTGTATTATGTTTACTTATGCTAACATAGATTGCCTGTGTTTTTGCGATGGCTGGTCCAGCTTTACATAATTAATGGGTTTAATATTTCTATCATTGGATGGCTGGTCCAGCTTTACACAATCAATTGTATCCTGTCTACATTCAACCTTTTCATTTTCAATCAATTGAAGCTTTGATATTTTGTGGAAAGGTGAGGGAGGTGAACAGCCCTCTCGCATGGAGCCTCTTGCAGATGGTTCTAGGAATCCAAAGAGAAGTTCTATTAAGCAGGTTGCCAGTGGAAGATTTGGAGTTTCTAGCTATTATCTCACAAATGCAGATGAGCTACAAATTAAAATGGCTCAGGTATACCTTTTATATGTTGCTCTATTAAGATGTAGGTTTCGTTACTGTTTGTCTACACTTGAGTCGGAACCGTGGTTCCTTTCGTTTATGAATTCACGTTCATGGACAGATGATGCTGTGTCAGCAAAGCACCCTATGGTGCCTTTGCATACCTACATATGACCTTTGGTGAGGTTTTTGGTTCATATGCTTTTTATGAGATTTTTTAAAAGTTTGCTAATTTAAAGGTTGTCATTCTGCAGGGGGCGAAACCTGGTGAAGGTGGTGAACTTCCCGGGCACAAGGTCGTAGGTGACATTGCTGTGACAAGGAATTCTACTGCTGGGGTGGGACTCATTAGTCCTCCTCCTCATCATGACATCTATTCGATTGAAGATCTTGCACAATTGATTTATGATCTGAAGGTAGCTCTTTGTGCTTTATCATGGCTACATATTATTTGTTAATATTCAGTTGATGTATATCCTTTTGGTTTGTTGTAGAATGCAAATCCAGGTGCTCGTGTTAGTGTGAAGTTGGTTTCTGAAGCTGGTGTTGGAGTGATAGCCAGTGGTGTTGTCAAGGGTCATGCAGACCATGTCTTGATATCTGGTCATGATGGAGGTACCGGAGCTGCACGGTGGACTGGCATAAAGAGTGCGGGTCTTCCATGGGAACTTGGTATTGCCGAAACCCACCAAACCTTAGTTGCTAATGATCTCCGTGGCCGCACTGTCCTTCAGACTGATGGCCAGCTGAAAACCGGAAGAGATGTTGCCATTGCTGCTCTTCTTGGTGCAGAGGAATTTGGTTTTAGTACTGCACCCCTTATAACATTGGGCTGCATTATGATGCGGAAGTGTCATAAAAATACTTGTCCTGTAGGTATTGCCACTCAAGATCCAGTTCTCAGGGAAAAGTTTGCTGGTGAACCCGAATATGTCATCAACTTCTTCTTCATGCTGGCTGAAGAGGTAAGGGAGATCATGTCTCAGCTTGGCTTTCGAAAACTTGAGCAAATGGTGGGTCGTGCAGACATGCTTGAGGTGGATAATGATGTGATCAAGGATAACGATAAGCTAAAGAACATTGATTTATCCTTCTTACTCCGACCAGCTGCTGATATCAGACCAGATGCAGCACAATATTGTGTGCAGAAACAGGATCATGGCTTGGATCTGGCTTTGGATAATAAACTAATAGATCTAGCCAAGCCTGCCTTAGAAAAAAATGTTCCTGTGTATATTGAATCACCTGTTTGCAATGAAAACCGAGCTGTTGGAACCATGTTAAGCCATGAAGTGACGAAGCGATACCATGTGAAGGGGCTTGCTGCAGATACTATTCATGTCAAACTCAGTGGAAGCGCTGGCCAGAGTCTTGGGGCTTTTCTTTGCCCTGGAATCACTTTGGAGCTTGAAGGTGATAGCAACGATTATGTTGGCAAAGGTTTGTCAGGCGGAAAAATTGTTGTTTATCCACCTAAAGGAAGCACGTTTGATCCAAAGGAAAACATTGTCATTGGGAATGTGGCACTTTATGGAGCCACAAGTGGAGAAGCCTATTTTAATGGGATGGCTGCAGAAAGATTTTCAGTTCGCAATTCTGGGGCCAAAGCTGTTGTGGAAGGCGTAGGTGACCATGGGTGCGAGTACATGACTGGTGGAACTGTTGTTGTGCTTGGGAAGACTGGAAGGAACTTTGCTGCCGGAATGAGTGGGGGGATTGCCTTTGTTCTTGATATCAATTCCACTTTCGGGTCCCGTTGCAATCTAGAGTTGGTGGATCTTTATCCTGTTGAAGAAGAGGAGGATATTTTGACGCTCAGAATGATGATACAGCAACATCAGCGCCACACAGGCAGCCAATTAGCTAGAGAAGTGCTTGCTGAATTTGACAGTCTTTTACCAAAATTTATCAAGGTCTTCCCACGCGACTATAAACGCATTCTTGATAGCCAGAGAGCAGGTGAAACAGAAAAAGCTGCTGCTGAAAATGCTGCCAAAGAGACTGAGACCCAAGAAGAAGTGGAGTTGAAAGAAAAAGATGCTTTTGAAGAGCTTAAGAAGCTGGCAGCTAGATCTGTTGGAGAAAATCCCAGCCAGGTAAGCGTTTTGATATCCACGACAATTTCATGCTTCCAACTGCAGAGCAAGATACTTGATATCTAGGGTTTCTTCTAACAAGAGATTTGTGAATGCATAGGTTGTTAAAGTTGAATCTCCCAGGAGACCAACTACGGTTCCAGATGCTATCAAGAATAGGGGTTTTGTTGCTTATGAGCGGGAGGGGATTTCATACAGGGATCCTAATGCCCGGATGAATGACTGGAATGAAGTTATGGAAGAGACAAAACCTGGCCCACTGTTGAAAACGCAATCTGCTCGCTGTATGGATTGCGGCACTCCTTTTTGTCATCAGGTAAAAAACAAAAATGAAAAAAAAAAAAAAAAAAAAAGAAAAGAAAAGAAAAGAGTCACAGTACTAGAGCACTCCAAGGGCGTGTTTGTTTGGAGGATTGGATTGAATTTATTTTATTCATTCCATATTTTTTTAAAAAATATCAAATTAAATACCTATTTTTTATTATTTTTATATTATATTAAAAATCAATTTTACATTCAAAACATCACATCAATACCTATTTATATCACATTATACAATTATTCAAATTCAAAATTTTTACTATTCAAATCTCAAATTCAAAATCCAAACCACCAAACAAACACACCCGAGTTTACTCGCGATATTTTTTTAACTCTGCTCTATGCTCGCCAAAATGTCACCCTTGCAGGAGAACTCGGGATGTCCTCTTGGGAATAAAATACCTGAATTTAATGAGTTGGTGTACCAAAATAGATGGCGAGAAGCATTGGACAGGCTTCTGGAGACTAACAACTTCCCCGAGTTCACAGGTCGTGTTTGTCCTGCACCTTGTGAAGGTTCTTGTGTGCTTGGTATCATCGAAAATCCTGTCACAATAAAAAGCATTGAATGCTCCATCATAGATAAAGCATTTGAGGAGGGATGGATGGTGCCTCGCCCCCCTTCAAAAAGAACTGGGTACATCTTATATTATAATTGCATTATATTACATTGTTCATTTGTTCCTTGCTTTAGGGATGTTATATTGTTGGTTGGTCTCTTACAATCATCCATCTATTTCAGGAAAAAAGTTGCAATTGTTGGAAGTGGACCTGCAGGCTTGGCTGCTGCTGATCAGCTAAACAAGATGGGTCATTCTGTGACAGTGTTTGAGCGTGCTGACAGAATTGGTGGTCTAATGATGTATGGAGTGCCGAACATGAAGACTGACAAAGTCGATGTAGTTCAGAGACGTGTAGATCTCATGGAAAAGGAAGGAGTAAACTTTGTTGTTAATGCTAATGTTGGAAAGGACCCCTCATATTCAATAGATCGACTCAACGGGGAGCATGATGCCCTTTTATTGGCTGTTGGAGCAACAAAACCAAGGTATGGTTCGAAGACACTGTTACCACTGTATGAAGTTGGACTTGTATGTTTATAAATTTAAACACTGATCAGACTTTTGGACTAATTGGGCAGGGACCTTCCTGTTCCTGGACGAGACCTTTCTGGAGTCCATTTTGCCATGGAGTTCCTCCATGCAAATACTAAAAGCTTGCTTGACAGCAATCTCGACGATGGAAAATATATCTCTGCCAAGGGAAAGAAAGTAGTGGTGATAGGTGGAGGCGACACTGGTACTGATTGTATTGGCACATCTATCAGGCATGGCTGTACTGGCATTATTAATCTAGAACTTCTTCCGGAGCCACCTCGCTCAAGGGCTCCTGGAAACCCATGGCCTCAGGTGATACACTCTGTCCACACGATTTTTATCTTCCTAATTGCCAACCAACTTACTTATTTAGTTGGAATTTTTTATTGGAACAATCATTCATGTTTTGGCCTCATTTCTCCGCAGTGGCCGCGTGTTTTCCGCGTGGATTATGGGCATCAAGAAGCTGCTGCCAAGTTTGGCAAGGATCCACGGTCTTATGAAGTTTTGACTAAACGTTTTATTGGAGATGAGAATGGAGTGGTTAAAGGACTTGAGGTTGTGCATGTCAAATGGGAAAAGGATGCTACTGGGAAGTTCCAATTTAAGGAAGTTGAAGGTTCAGAAGAGATTCTTGAAGCTGATCTAGTGTTACTGGCCATGGGATTCCTTGGACCTGAACAGGTTAGTGAGTGTTTATTACTAAGCTGTCTACAGAACTCTTTTGTTGCCATTGGCATTGTTCTTTCTGAATACAGGTGGATAAGGTCATTGTTGATTAGTCCTTTATTAATATACCATTTTTGTTCTTTCAGTTACTTGCTGATCAACTGGGACTTGAACAAGACAATCGGTCAAATTTTAAAGCTGATTATGGTCGTTTCTCCACCAACATTGAAGGGGTATTTGCCGCCGGGGATTGCAGACGAGGACAATCTCTTGTGGTGTGGGCTATCTCTGAAGGCAGACAAGCAGCTGCTCAAGTAGATAAATATCTCATGAAAAGCTACGACAGCAATGCTGAAGAACAGGATGCACTTTCCGAGAGACAAGACAGCAACAGACAAAGAGTAATGTCTTAATATGCTTTGCCTGTCCGAGAGACAAGACAGCAACAGACAAAGAGTAATGCCTTAATATGCTTTGCCTGTCGCTATAAATTCGAGCACAAGTCAAGCTATCCTAGTCAGGGGTCGAAATATGTATCAGATCAGACCCTACACTAAATCCCGCAGAATAAAGCTAAAGGCTGGACCTAGGATCTAGATTTTAAGGTAGCGACACCATTTGCATTTGGCCAAAATTTTTTGGTTGTTTGAGTGCTCACATTCTATGTTGAGTCGACTGAATAATTTAAAATGTACAGGATAGCTCTTCAATGCCCTCCCAGTATAAAGAAACTGGGAGATTATGTCTTGCTTGCTTTGGCTTGTCTTGTTAAACTCACTTGTTGCAATACTATCTGGAATTCTCCATCTTCTCTATTTTCTCTGGGATTACACTAAACAGATGAACAGTTGGGAAAGCTATATTGGTAAACATAGGATTCAGTGGTACACACATAAATCTACTGTGATTCTGAGGCCTATTTTGTATTAGATCTTTCTGCATTTGTTCCAGGAGAAGGATTCAACGGCATGGTTAGACTGTCACCATCTCCTTTCAGCATTTGAATCACAGCTTGCATGGATGGACGGTCTGCTGAACACCACTGGAAACACCACACCCCTACGACCGTAAGTTTCCTCAGCATTCTTCTTTCATTGCCTTGTGTGATATTCATTGTGTTCTCTTCTTCATTCAGTTCATTGTAAATCCACTGCGGAAAGTAGTTCTGTCTTGAATTAATGCCCCCAGACTTGCTATCTTTGACTATTTCGAGTAGCAACATTCCGAAGCTATATATATCTGATTTGTAGGACACTCTCCCAGAGGCTCTTGACAGCACCTCGGGTGCTGTGTATCCCACCGTCCCTTGACCACCGGTAATTGAAACACCACTTTGCTCTTTGGAACACAGCTTAGCTAGTCCAAAGTCACCGATCTTTGGGTTGAAATCTTGGTCCAACAATATGTTCTGAGGCTTTATGTCGAAATGCAGGATCTGCTGATCACACCCATGGTGGATACTCGATTCCTGCAGCAATCCCAGCAACAAGGTCTTGAAGCTTTTCTGGAGGTATGCTCTTAGTACCGTCATGCAAAACGAACTTTTCTAGTGAACCATTTTGAAGGAACTCATACACTAATGCACTTGTTATTCCTTCAGCACAAAATCCCACCTGAAGAACCACATTGACATGGTGAGTTCTCCCTATTATGCTAACCTCATTTATGAATTCCTCACCATTCCCTTTGGCATTGCCCAGAACCTTCACTGCAACGCACACTTCATCTGATAGCTTCCCTTTGTACACAACTCCATAACCTCCCTCACCTATTTTTTCATCAAAATGATTAGTGATCCTTCTTATGTCAGCATAGGTGAATCTTGCTATATTTCGAGCTCTGTAATCTTCCAAAAACTTTTCAATCTTCAGCTGATTCTCTTTATTTGTTCTAATTGAGGAGAACAAATGACAGAGAGCTACAATCACTGCAACGAGAACAAAGGAACCTATAGCTGCACCTGCTATCAATGGTCCATTCGAAGGCCCTGCAACAGGCCGAAGGCTTTAGAATGACTAGAACATATCGAATAATTGAAATGCTGTTTACCTTGACTCCTTGTAGGTTTCTTTACGCACTCGATCTGGTTTCCGCCTGCTTTGTTATTCAACCTGCATAACTTTCCTTGAGATTCACATTTGCGACAATCAGGTTCATCCCTGTCCAGCTGTTGATCTTCTGTATTAAATATCTTCCATGAAACTGACAAGATTTCCTGAATCTTTGTGCAGGAAGACAAAGAGGATGACTAACTATATGGATCTACAAATAGGTTTGAGAAATATTCACTGCCAACAGCGAAGATTTGGTATCCAGGACCACCAAGACATGCAACCAATTTATACTGATCTCTCCGTAAATCAGAAGAACAGTTGAAGAGTGAGTAGCTAGTCGATTCCATGGCAGGGAAATGGAATGGAGAGGCAACTCTTACCTTTCTGAGCTGCCTAACTCCCTCGAACAACTCTCTCTTGGTGCAGACTGATGGTATCTGTCTCAAAAGAGCCCCCGCTGTAAACTCCACGTCTGGTGGACGGTGCTCGTATATAAAACTCGGATCCTTGCATATAACAGATCTAGAGAACATGTGCAGATCAGATGCTGTAGCCATGACATCGATGCGATTCAGGAATCAAGATAAGGCTTCTCTTGCTGAAATCCATGCCTCTCTTCTGTATGGATTCGAACTTTCATGGTTCAGTGTGCACTGCCCCAACTGCCAGGGACAAGTAACGTAGCTGGCTCCGTGGAGATACATGCAGAGTAATGACATGCTCCGGTTCGAAAAGGAGTGTGTCTTGTGGTACGTACGGATTCTGTTACTATACTACAGATTGATTTCAAAAAGAACACTAGTTCTCACCTACTTTTGTTTCAATTTTTTTCAGCTATTTCCGAAGAAACGGTGCAGCTCTCGAAGGGATTAGCAAGTAAGAACTTGTTTTCTTGCCATTCATAGGTCTTCGGATTATTCGTATCTTGAGCTTGCTTAGTTAAATCCTTGTTTGGTGCACCTGCAGTTGTGCTAAGTTTCCTCATTTACATATGCGGTAAGCTCTACGTCTTTCCATCATTACATCTTTTAGCGAGGCAGAGATTCAATCGATAATTCTTGCATAATGCATGCTTACCAGGGTACGGATTGGCGGTGAGGATTGCGATAGGACTTCCTTCCTTGCTGGTGATTTTAATCTGCAGGTGTCGAAGAAGGCATTTGTCGAAGTTTCGTGACATTGAAGGTTTCCTGCAAGATCAGAGCAATCTGGCGCTGATCAGATACTCGCTGTCGGACATAAAGAAGATAACGAAAGGCTTTCAACAGAATCTAGGAGAGGGAGGCTATGGTTCTGTTTACAAAGGAAAGCTTCCCAGCAGTGGCTATGAAGTAGCTGTGAAGATGCTGAACAACATCAAATCCAATGGACAGGATTTCATCAACGAAGTCGCGATGATCGGGAGGATCCACCACTCGACGACATGTGCTCTGGTCTATGATTTCATGCCTAATGGTTCCCTCGACCGGTACATTTCAACGAGCAAAGACCGATCGACACCCTTGGATTGGAAGAGGAAGCACGAGATCGCAGTTGGCGCAGCAAAGGGAATCGATAATCTACACCGAGGCTGCAACATGCAAATCCTGCATTTCGACATCAAGCCTCACAACATACTACTGGACAGTGAATTCAACCCCAAGCTCTCCGATTTCGGGCTTGCGAAGCTCTACTCGAACAAGAACACGTCTTTGGCGCTGACAGCTGCTCGAGGGACGATAGCGACAATGGTAGCCGGTATTTTCCAAACTAGATGTACGATCATTTCGACAAAGGTAAGGAACATGAAGAAAATGATCATAGTTACATTGTGGTGCATGCTGATGGTTCCGACTGATCGTCCCTCATTGAGGGACGTCAGTCAGGAATGCTTGAAAGTGATGATGGAGATCTGGACATATTCGGTGACTGAGGATCAAACTTTTAGTAGTTATTCCAGTTGAATTTTGATTTATATAGTAATTTATAAAATTAAAAATATATACACGTGAAGATTTCAAAATTCATATTCTTTTTTTTTGCAAAATTCATATTCTTTTGGGCTTTAAAGAAATGGCCCATTGCTTATTTATTGACAGAACTGGGGCCCCACATAAAACTAGAAATCATTATAATAATCTATAACAATAATTGAATGGGGGTGGGTGGTGTACGACGTGGATTTGGGTAATATAATTATTTTTTGAACCCTGTTAATATATCTTATTAAAAATGTTGTAATAGTTATTTTATTATCTTGAAAAATTAAAACCAAACCGACCCGACTAATTTTCTATGTTTTTTAATTTTAATTTGTGACACATGGTTAACCATAATAATTGAGATTTAAACGGATGGTGACACGTGCCTATAAGCGGGTCAACTGACATTCCAAATCTAAGACATAAGTGTCCACGGCGGCCCACCTGCCACGTATCCACTCCGCATATCCATCCCAATCAAATCTCGCCATCGAATCGCTACCTTTCGGATCCACCGTCCACGTTTTCCATCGCTCAATCTGGACCGTCCACGCACTCCACCTTCAGGCTGACCGCCGTACTAGTTCGACCACTTGGCGTCAATCCCAGCGCCAAACGTCGCCGTTTTAATATTCGATTCGCCCGCGCCTCGGGATTATTATTCCTCATGCATTTGTTCGTTCGTTAGTATTCCGTAGCGTGTTTTTGATCTCTTTATTGGATTTTGTTCGTCGATTTCTTCTGCTTTTTGGACGATTCGGATTTGGAGCGTGCGATGATTTTGGATGATTTGAGGCCAGGATCTCCGGCGACGGAACGTGGATGTGGCCGCCTGGAGTTGAAGATGGAAGTAGTAGGTAGCGATGAAGGGAAGGAATCGAAGGTTTTTCGCAGGAAGAGAATGGATCTGCGGCGGGTGAGCTCGCTCTCGGTCGACGAATCCGACGAGGATCTGTTGTTCGGAGGGAACAATTTGAAGAAACAGAGATTCGAGGTTGAGAAGGAGCGAACGCGAATTGAAGATGCGTTTTCGGTTCGGTTACCGGAAATTGACGCCGCCGGAGCTGGAAGTTCTGGAGTAGAACCGCCGCCGCGCCTATCGCATGGATTGATGTCGGTTATTGGTCGGAGGAGGGAGATGGAGGACGCGGTGGCGGTGGAATTAGGATTCATGGAGAAAAGCGGTAAGAGTTACGATTTCTTCGGCGTCTACGACGGCCACGGAGGGCAGCGCGTGGCGCGCGCGTGCGGTGAGATGCTGCACAACCTGTTGGCGAGTGTTGTTGAAGGAGAAACCAGTAACGAGACGGACTGGCCGGCGGCGATGGCCGCCGGATTCAGGAACATGGATGACGAGGTGAATAAAATCGGCGCCTCGGTAGCTACCATGGGATCGACGGCGGTTGTTGCTGTGGTAGGAGACGACGAGTTAGTGGTTGCCAATTGCGGCGATTCTAGGGCGGTGCTCTGCCGCGCCGGCGTCGCTGTACAGTTATCCGACGACCACAAGGTATACGCACACATACATACGTACGTACATACGCATCATTTATCGACATTATCAATTTATCATTGATCTTACTTTCAATTGCATCTGTAAATTTTTCCTTCCATTAACATCAAAATTAGATGAAAAATCAGATCTATTCCAATCTGCAAAGAGGAGATCGAGATCGAGATCGTTTCAATTGGACTCTTCGAACAATAATAATGGCATTTCTTGACGTATTTTGGATATTTATTTTATGATTAAAGTTTTATTATATACAAATTTGAAATTATTGTAAAATCTAATATGATACTTGGACGTATGTATCTCTCCCATGTTATGAGTCCTCACTAACCTGAGTTGACGGTATTTGTCCATTTAAAAATAAATTAATTTTTTTAGGTCTCTTAAATATGAGATTATTGCAATTGCCCGTCCGCTTAACTTTACTTTTCAAGTTTAATCTATTGTAGCTATATAGTATCTGTTTTGTTTACTATACCAACGATGGTTCAATTACCCTACTCTCAATGTATTGTGCTTGTGTATTTAAATATTTATTTTATTAAGTTTTTGTTTTAAAAATACATGTGGCGAATCGTGTCGGTACAGAGGCAGCATAATATATTGGTAGGATAACTGAACCCGTGGACGAGCCGTGATTTTGATATGAACTTTGTTGCAAGCAAAATCTCTTTTCGATTTTAATTCGCTGTGAACAAGTCACATTTTTTACTCTAATTTTACCATGAACGAGTATTGTTTTATATTCGAGAGAGCGTTCTTTCTGATTGATTTATGAACTATTTTGACTATGTTATCTAATTTAGTTGATAGAAATTTAATCTAAATTTTAAACTAATTATCTAAAGCATTTCTAGCGACAAGAGTCATTGCTAATGAAAAAACATGTCCTCCAAATTTGCAGCCGGACCGGCCGGATGAATTGGCGAGGATCGAGCTCGCCGGAGGGAGGGTGATCAATTGGAACGGCCAAAGAGTCTTGGGAGTTCTTGCTACCTCAAGATCCATCGGTGAGTACACAAAACAGAACATGAACAAACCAAAAACTGCGATCCAACATCGCATTAGTTGCATCGACTTCTATCAATTGATCGTCAAATTGTTTTGCATGCAGGGGACGATTACTTGAAACCATATGTGATTGCAGATCCTGAAACAAGAGTCATGAATCGGGGCGAAGACGACGAGTTCCTAATTCTAGCGAGCGACGGATTATGGGACGTGGTCTCGAATGATCTAGCGTGCCAAGTCGTGAGGCGGTGCTTCCAGCGGCAGATTCGGAGCCGCCGCCGACAGAAAGATGATAAACAGAAGTGTGTAGAAGAAGAATGTGATGAGAAAATTGGGGAGAGGGGTGGCGGAGAAGCAGAAACAGCAGCAGCAATGCTAAGTGAGTTAGCCATGGCGAAGGGAAGTAGGGACAATATTAGTGTAGTTGTAGTTGGTTTGAAATTTTGATTTTTTCTTTTAACATATTGAAGGCTTTTTTTCTTTCTTTCTTTTTTTTTTTTTTTTTTTTTTTTTTTTTTTTTTTTTTTTTGAGGTTGGGTTCATGATTTTAGTAGTAATTTCTGTGGGAAATTAAGAAAAATTAGATTAGTAGTTCTTAATATAATATTGTTGGCCTGAAAGTAATTTGGCCTTCTTTACTTTCGTATTTTTTTGAATTTTTTTGGTATTTATTATTGATAAAAAAATTTAAAAATCATATCAAACTATCTATTTTTATCTTATACTATTATATAATTTTCTAGTTTTTTTATGTATTTTATTTTATACAATACTTTTTTTTTTCTAAAATAAAGTATTTATTTTACTATTTTTTATAGTTTCATTCCAAAATATTTTTTATATTTTAAAAAAAGTAATCATTTATTATCAAAATAACTTTTATTTTTTATTTAAAATATAACTATATAATTAATATAATAATTATTTTATATAAAGAGACGAAAGTGTCAAAATTTTATATCTACTATCACTTATTAATAAAATATTTTTATTTTTTTATTATATTGGGAAAGAGAAATACTATACTTTTAGAAAAAAAATTTCAGTCTTTCATATATTTCTATTAAAATTTTATATCCACACTCACTTAATAATAAAATATTTTTACTTTTTAATATACTATAAAATTTAAAAAAGTTATTGAAAAGAAGAAATACTAGATTTTTTAAAAATTAAAAAATAAAAAATAAAAATCAATCTTCATATATTTCGATGTAATTTCATTGTTGCTTATCTTCATCAACCTATAAACATAATTGTGGTAATTTTTCAATACAGACCTCAAAGGCAAAATAAGTCCTACAAATCAATCTTATTGCACATGCTCTTATTAAATTGATAATTTCGAATTAGTTACGGTCTCCTCACTCCAACCGTCATCCTCTTTTCTACCACCACTACCTTCTTCACTACACTTTTATCTCTATTGTTTGCCGATATATATAATCTGTGTTTTTCTAACAATTCGACATTTTAAGTGAGACTCATTTTACATTAAGACATCTACTTTTTGGCTCCTCCACCACCATTAACATGTTGCCTTCCTTCTCCTTTTCCAGCATCACCCTCGCCTCCTCTGCCACCTCCATCTCCACCTTCGAATCCAATTGCTCGCTACAGCCTTGCCGGTCTCATTTCAGCATAACAATTCAGTTCATCTTCACCTACCTTTTAAATTGAAATATTTATAAATATATATTTGAAAATTTTGATAGTTTTTGTTTGTAATATGTCACATGAAATAATAGTAATTTCTACTAATGTCAAATATTTTTAAAACTTAATAAAAAATTCTGTCTAAGCGAAATGTACAGAGTTCGATCAATTGGTCTTTACTTGTTGGACTTTACTTTTTGAATACTTCTGGGTGTGTTTGTTTAAAGGATAGGATTTTGGATTGTGATTTTGAATAATAAAAAGATTTGAATTAGAATAGCTGTATGTTTTGAATTAAATTTTTTTTTTAATATAATATAAAAAATAAAAAATAAATATTTGTTTCGATATTTTTTTAAGAAAATTTTTTGTATGAACAATGAAAGTCTTAAAATTCCCCGAAGAAACCCATTGAACACAAATAATTGTTGGACTTTGAATACTCTTATCCTTCTAGAACATCTCCAACCAAATCCAAGAAATACTTGTTGGATTTTTTTTTTAAAAAAATCTCATTAAATAGTATTTTAATACTCAATCCGTCCCATAATAAAGTATTTATTTTTTTATTTCAATTCGTCTCATAACAAATTATCAATTTTTTCATTTTAGTCCATCTCATAACAAAATATCTATTTTATTTTTTTTAGTAATTGTACTATCTACTTAACATTACAAATACCCTTACAACTTACAATATATTACACAAATATCATTATATTTATATCACACATATTAATAAAATTATTTTAATCATTTTTGTTTTATTCCTACTATATTCCAATATAATACTAATATTTTTAAAATTACATGGATATTTACTTATAAAATTTATTAGTTTATATAATATTTAAATATAATATTTTGTAAGTAAAAATAATTTATTTTTATTAAAAATTATATATATTAAATATTTAGTTTGAAATGAAAAAATAAATAATAAACATATATTGTTTGATTTATAAATTAACTAATTATTTTTTGTTTTTTATTTTTATTTTTGTCATTTTTATAACAACAACAACTGTACACATCTATTGCACGAGCCTATTACTATTAATAAAAAAAATAATATATACACATCTTTTGCGTTTTATTATAATCTTGTGGACAGCAACATCTGTATTCGTACCGTGACAACTGTACTATAATGATGATGGTAATTATGTAATATGATTGTGTTGGGTAGTTGGTTGAAAAATAAATACTCCTTCCGTCCGTCTAATATAATTTATCCATATTTTTTATTTTCGTCTGTCCGATATAATTTATCTATTTTTTTTTTGGAAATATAATTATACATTTTAATCTCATTTTAAATTTTAAATTTTATAGTTTTTTTAATTTTAATTAAATTATTTAGTTATCTTAATCTTAATCTATAATTATTTTTATTATACGATAATTATTTTTACTAATACACTTCTTAATTACTTACTAATCATATTTTACCTAAATTCTCGTATCTAAAGTAATAGGCCCATAATATATGGGACGGAGGGAGTAATTTTTAATATATAGTATATATATAGTATTTATTTATTTGAAAATTTATAAAAATAAAAATTAGTTAATAAAATTTTGTGTTAGAAACTATTTAAATTTTTTTAAAAAAACTGGAAGTACATGCCACAGATCAAATAACAAAATTTAGCCAGAAAGTTGTTACTAATCAATCAGTGGGTCGTTATTAATTTATATATTTATTTATTTATTTATGCAGTTTTGATTCGTGACCAAACTCAACAACAACTACTACTATTATTTATTTCAATTTCAATTACGAAATCATGACCACGTGGCCTAGTTTAGGTCCCTACCACATCATTCATTTGACTTTTATCATCAATTTTGTTATGATTTCCATATTTTTATTATTTATGTAAAATAAATAAATAACAAAACGCTTGCTTTGTTGCATTTTGAAATGTATTGGGACAATTTGATTTGGGCGTGTGTGATTGTAAATAAATATTAACGTGATCTGCAACATTTGTTTTTGACACGAGTTTTTAAATGGGTAGTATTAAGTAGGATAATTTACAAATTATGTAATGTGATTTAGAAAAAAATAAATATTTTATTTTTTTTATTTGGATAATGTGAGAGGATAAGTATAATTAATTATTTCCTATTTTGAAAATGAGATTGCAAGGTATTTGGGACAGATGGAGTATATAAAATTATTTTTTTATTAACGTGTAAAAAATATTGATGAATAAAATAAGAATGGAATAAAGGTAATGATTGGCACGAGATTAATGTGATTAACTTAATTAAATCACAATCAAACTACTTTTTTATCGATCCTCTTTGCATTCGATTCATGTCTTAACCATTAAGCATAATTATACTATGTCATTAAAAGTTGTTAGTAAATAGTATTTAGTATATATATATATATTTTTTATTTTTAATTAATTAACTTATATTTATTAAATATATTTTAAATAAATATAATTTATTTAAAAATAAATAAAATGAAAAATAAGTTAAATATTACTATTAAATATAGAGTCTTTATTTAGTATTTTGGTTTGAAATAATATAAAAAATTACTCCCTCCGTCCCAAATACCAGACTCCCCGTTCATTAGATAGAAAAGATCACCAAGAGTTCGTGATCCGCTGCCGAACTTATTCCAATTCAATGAGCATTTTCAATATTATGCCTTGAGGAGGACTCGACGTTGCGTTTCTGTCCGTCCCACATACCATGTCACTTTCATTTTTTGAAAATGATTACACACTTTAATCTCATTTTAAATTTTTTATTTTTTATTTTTTATTTTAATTAAACTAATTAGTTATCTTAATCTTAATTTATAATTATTTATATTATAAAATAATTATTTTCACTAATACATTCTTAATTATCTACTAATTACACCACTTCTAAAATATAGTCAGAGACGATATTTGGGACGGAGGAGAGGGAGTATATTTTTTCTTGGTCTCATAAAAATATACTTACTCCATTCCTTAACAAATGGTCAGTTATATAACAAAATATTATCCATGGTATCATACAATATGGTTACTTTTAATTTTTTTTTCATTTATTTCTACTATATTATAATCTAATACTAATATTTATTAAATTATGTGCAAAAGAAAACAGGTAAATAGATATGAAAAAAAAAAAAAAAATATTATTCTCTCTTCGTTATTCAAATCTATTTTCACTTTCTTCGTTGTCATTCAAATTTATTCTCTTAAAATTCATGTTCGGTCAAATGAGCACTCAATTGGATGACGAATGGAGTATTTTTTATTTTTGTCCGTTTTAAAAATAAATAAAAAAATATTTTTATTTTATTTAACGTAGTAAATATTTATTTTTTATAAATTAATGTAATATTACAGTAATATTAAAAAAATATAAAATTATAAATGTTAATTCTTTTTCTGGTTGGAGGGGTACGACAGTACACATTTTTTTGGGAATTTTTTTCCGTTTGTTTGTCGTTTTATTTGCTTTCGTTTTTTTTTTTTTTTTTTAGAGAGAGAGTATACAATCTTGTTTGCGTCGATAAATGCTCTTCAGTACGACGCTCTCTCTCATTAATACCATATTTTCTTGGGCAGACACGCAGAGACAGTAGTGTGAAGAAGTAGCCAGAAGGATAATATACCTTCGCGATTCTTGACATTTCTTCATTCTCAACTTTCAACAAACACTCAATTTCCTCTTCCTTCACCGATTCTCGCCGCCTCCGCCACCGCCACCTCCACCGCCACTTCGCCGTCACTTTTTGGCGCTTTTTCAACGATTCCTCTGAACCACCGACAACCAGAGCTGGTGTGTGTTATTATTTTTTTTTTAAAAAAATAATTTTTGATTTTTTTGTATGTTCATATGTAAAAATGGTCACAGCATGCAGTCATTTGGGGCGAGCACACGATCCTTTTTCGTGTATTGTTTTCATCGATTTTAGTAAATTCTTCATCAGGCCATTTTTACTGGAATTAGCTTCTTCTTTGCTACAGTGTTTATTTTACCCTATTTTACGTAAACCCTAGCGTGCTCTCCGTGTTGTCGAACTGTAAATTTATATGTATAAATACCTTCTGTAACTGAAAGGATGGTGCTTGAAGAGATACATACATATAGGGTTGGGGGCGGGGGGTTCATTTTTCTTATAGGAACTAAGGGGATTTAATTTTTCATTTTTGTCGAAAATGGGGATGTGCGAATGATCTTTTGTTTTCACTTATAGTTTTCTGTGTTGTATATTAGAATTTCATTGTGGCTTCACTGTAGATCTTATTATATTCAGAGTGTCGGAAATAGGAGAATATAGGTGTCCAAATGTAGAAATGTTATAATTAACAAGATTCTCCTGTTGATCTTCCCTTGTCATTTAGTAACATTAGTTCAAAGTTGGCTTGGGCTCATCAAGAATTTTTATATATTCCTCTACCTTGCACCATTTTCAGCCCCTATTGAGTCGGCCAAAGGTTTACTTTTTAGTTTGGACCTGCTCTCACGTTCTGCTACTAAATGCTCTCTTTGGACATTCTTCAAGGAAGACTTTTTTTTTTCCCTATGTAATTGAGTTACACCTCTCTCCATTTCTCTGTCTATGCTGTTTTTCAATTTTCATGAGTACCTATATGTTACCTTATTCATATATCTTTGGTGTTTGATGTCCTTCAAAGGTCAAGGATAAGAGTTGCTCTACCTTATTTATATATTATGAGGCTCTGTTTTTGGCTCTTTTTGGCACCTGCCAATTAATTGCTAGCTGTGATTTAGAATGGTTATTTATCTACGAGGATTTTGATTGAGCATGGGTGGTGGTGGTGTTTAGCTAGAATATATGATTTTATTTCATCTCTTTGGTGCTTAGAGACTGGATCCGCAGGAGAAAAGGATATTATATGGACATTTACGCAGGAAAAAGTTTGGAATGCCAGAAGACTATGGATGGGAGGGAGAATGATGACAATGGTTTGGGCCAGGCTATGGCTATCCCATCTTGTTGCCTGAAAGCTAGGGCATCCGCTCCTGAGCTTGACGCCAAATGCCACTCTACGGTTGTTTCTGGATGGTTCTCTGAGTGTCAGTTGTCCTCAGGTATCAGAACATTCTTTCCTTTGAGGTATAGTTTAGCTTCTCATCAAAGTGGGTTAAAAGTTTTACTGATTGCTTGACATTGATTGCAGCTGATACTGTGAAAGAAGTGTTTTTTAACAACCCAATGTGGCCAGGTATATTTCTTGATCCTCATCTAGACAATGGGAGAAATTGATTACTACGTTATTATTTAACTTGGGTGCCTATCATTGATTGGATCTCTCATGTGTTCATTTACTTTGAAAATATTTGCGGAGATTTTCTTGATCCTCATTTATCAAAAGATATTTTTGCTAGATTCTGAACACTTGTTTCATTTTTAGTAGACAGAAAGGTTGTATTTTTGGACGTTACTATTTTTGTAGAAGTATATGAAAAGATGAGCTCTGTGAGCTAAATTGAAACTTTGATCAATTTTTCAAAGTGATATATAATAATATATTTCCACATAATCTTATAAATGCTACTTATATCTCAAGCTCAAACAAACCTTTTGATTACTGTATAAATTAAATTTTATCTTGTGTAGTTTGAGAATTTCGGTGTTTTGAAATTGAATTTTTTTTAGATGGAAAATAGCTTTGGGATTTATTTATTAATATATTATGGAAAATAGATATTGGATGTGATGTTTTGAATAAAAGATAGATTTTAGATGTAATTTTATAAATGGAACATAGGTGTCGGATGTGATTTTTTGCTGGGAGAAAAAAATAATATTTTAATTTAATAAATAATGCAAAAATCTTGTGAAAACACAAACAACCACACCCTCTAGTATTTGAGTTTGAGGAGAAAGAGAATAGTAATTCCTTCGTTCTAGCAAGTAGCAACGTTGTGATTAGTATGCTATAACCTTAATTCTTCTATGCTTTTTAGCATAGTATCTTGCTTAAGCAATCCATATCTTCTTTAGGCGAAGCACATTCTCTGAAAGTTGAAGAAGTCTTGTTCAAGGAGAGGTCTTTGTTCCAAGAAGTTTTGGTTTTCCAGGTTCTGTATTTAGTAGTTCATGGAAACATTTTTTTCTTAATATTCTAATCTTGTTGATGAAAGAAACATTTTATTATTGATTACCCTTACAGTCATCAGGATATGGGAGGGTGCTTGTGCTCGATGGCATTGTTCAGTTGACGGAGAAAGATGAATGTGCCTATCAGGAGATGATAGCCCATCTCCCTCTTTGTTCCATTGAATCACCAAAGAATGTAATATATGATTTCTAAGTCTCTTTGATAGTCTAATATACTGATATTTTTCTTGATATTTTGATTATTCTCTTTATATTTCATTTAAATTGGGAAACAATTTTCTCTCATTTTCAATCTATGTCAGCTTCTGTGGCTTTATTACCAAGCCAAGTAGTCATAATTGCCTCTACTCTTCATGGTTCATCTACTTGATTATGTACTTTGATGTTATGGATACAGTGCTTAAAGCAATTAATCTGTATGCAGGTTTTGGTGGTAGGTGGTGGTGATGGAGGTGTTCTTCGCGAAATTGCCCGCCATAGGTCTGTGGAGAAGATTGATATTTGTGAAATTGATCAACTGGTGATTGATGTGAGTGGGAATGCTTTTGTGCTGCACTTATTTAGTAAACTATCTATTCCTTGCTTATTTACCGGTTTGGTTATCTTCCATACAGGTAAGCAAAAAATTCTTTCCAGACTTAGCAATTGGTTTTGAGGATCCTCGTGTGCATCTTCATGTTGGTGATGGTATGCCTATGATCTACGAGCATATACTCATCCTTTTGTGGCTATTTTAAATCATGGAGGATGCTTTACAGGGAACTATACTTATTCATTAGTCTTTCTGAATTTTACCTTTTGTTTTTATTTTCATTCATGTTATTTTTGCTTTCAAATTGTGTTTTTTTTTCGACATTGTGCTTTTAACCCCCGCTCTTAGCCATCTAAATTGTTGAATATGATATATACCTGCATGCTACTTCCCAAATGGCTGATCAAAACCATTTTCCATTTCTAATATCATATGCTTCAAGACAAAGTTCTTCCATTAGTGCATTCTAGATCAGTTTGAGTTGTTTGCATTTGAACGTCTTGGCCCATAAAAATCACTATTATTATGAATATATATTCTCCCATTTTATGCTCAACAAATGACTATTTTGACAGCTGTTGAATTTCTAAGGCAAACTCCTGAAGGAAAGTATGATGCAATAATTGTCGACTCATCAGATCCTGTGGGTACGTATGCTGTTGTAAATTCAGAAGTTATACCGAATCCCGATCGATGTGCTGTTGTGGAGTTGCTCCCCTTCATATATCGTTTCTGATCTGCAATTCACTATAGTTATCTTATAATAATCGATCAGTTTGGTTAAGTGTTTGGTTTCTCATCATTATACTGGGATCTTTCTATGCAGGTCCTGCACAAGAGCTCGTGGAGAGGCCATTTTTTGAGAACATTGCAAGAGCATTAAGGCCCGGTGGAGTTCTCTGTAACATGGCAGAAAGTATGTGGCTTCATACACATCTGATTCAGGATATGATTTCTGTATGCCGCGAAACATTCAAAGGTTCCGTTCGTTATGCATGGACTAGCGTTCCTACATATCCGAGGTAAATTTTATCTTCGACCCGAAACATGTTGTGCCTTCATGATTTGGTAATCCCATTTTTCTTTTTTTGAATCCGGTTGCAGCGGGGCTATAGGATTTCTGCTATGCTCGACTGAGGGGCCACCTGTGGATTTCGCACACCCTATCAATCCTATTGAAAAATTGGAGGGTGCGATCGGGTATAAGAGGGAACTTCAATTCTACAATTCTGAGGTATACCTACAGGAGTGTACACTAATGTTTTCGTATCGACTTTTCAAGAGTTCATTTTTATTGAATTGCACGGGGCAACAACACACCTCTTTAGAGATTAGAATTCGAACAATAGTGTATTTCTTGAAGGCTCTTCTAACATTTTTATCATTTTGGACCAACAGATGCATCGAGCTGCGTTTTCATTACCGAGCTTTGTCAAGAGGGAGGTGGAAGCTCTCCGGGACTGACTGCTCTCAATGTATGTTCGAAATAAAGGCGGCGGCCGCCGCCGTAATTTGATTTGTGTTGAATTATTGTCTGTCTATCCCTGGCAGTGTACAAGTTTTAGAGACCATTTGTGTAATGTGTAGACGCAGCACTATTTTTAGACTACCATGGCAAGAATATTGAAGTTGAAACCTTCCATTGCAAGTTTATTTTCTGAATGTGTTATATTTATTTTATATTCGTATATTACTTGTATTTGTATTTAATATTACCATATTATTATTATTAACGAAAATAATCGCAAAAGGACATGTGAATGCGTACGCTACATAATCTTTGTTTAATAAGGAAATCAAGAGAAATCGTGTTTCACAGTGGTGCGCTTTCAACTCGAAGTTTGATTTAGTGCTCAGTGTTTGATTCCAACCAGACACGTGCACGCCACACGCCATCGCGCTCTCTCTCTCCCTCAGCAAATTCAATATCTTCGTCTACGCTTCTTCATCTGTCGCAGTCTAGAACCAATATCAATCCGAGGGAAACAAAACAGTGGCTTGTATTATTAACTATTTCCTTAGGTTGTTCTGGAGCATTCGATTTGGGGAATAGCTTGAGGTACGGTAAGATTGCTTCCTCTCTTTTAGGGTTTGTTTGTGGAGCAAGCTATTGAATCTGATTTTATTTTATTTGTTTTTGGTATATATCGTTCCTTTGTGGTAGTTGTGAATTCGTGGATTTCAAGTGTTTGATTTATTTGAACTATATTTAGTTGGAGATTTTATATTTGCTGAGGAGTGGTGCTCCCATTTCCGTGATTTTTAAATAAGCATTTCGTTTGGACATTGAGAACTGATCATTGTATTCTATCTACACGGTTTTGTTGTTTCGTATTGTGTTGAGAATGGTAAAGCTTTTAGTGAATAGGCCATGCAGTGTTTTGAAGTGAAAAAAGGTAATAAGTTGAATGTGATGTTTTGAAACAGAAGAAAAGTAACATTTTTTTACCGAAGAATGAATAGCGGCCAAAACAAATTGAGAACACAACCATTTCAGTTTTGGGAAATTTAAGTTTCTTCTGAGATAAGAATATTTTTTGGAAGATCTTAGTGTTAATTTGGTTTAGTGAGTGGAAAGAGTCCTTGTAAGATTCCAGTACCACATTTTTTAATTTGCACTAGTCTTTTTCTTAGGTTCATACCTTATGTTCTTTCCAAATTGATTTGACAGTTAATATGATTTTTCAGGTACTACTTGTTGGTTGGTTGATGATGATCGGAACTGTTTCTGTTTGCTCTGTAACTGAGATATCAGCAATTCTGAATCATGTTAGTTCTCAACTTGATACTTACTGCGGCTGCATGGTTTGATATTGCATGTCCATCTCTGCCAAAATTTGGCTATTTAGATCTTTGTACTTCTGTGAAGTTACTTTTGTTTGATAAATTGCAATTTCAATATTCTCAAGACTGGCTGTCGTCAAGAGCTGAATCCTTGAATTATAATGTTCTGTACCTGTGTCTTATTCCCACTCTTGCCCAAAAGTGGTGGATTTGGATGATTACTAAGATGTTTTGAAAATCTGAGAATATTGCGAGTGGTGTTTTTTAATTCCATGAATGATCATATTGGCTGTTCAATATATCCTGAGGAGATAGCATCTTTTAACTCGTGGAATAGTGGATTGTTTTCAGTTACTTCTACACTGAATTACCAATTTTTATTTTTATTTTTAACATGCGCCTACATTAGAGCTTGCTTCTTTATGATATCTCTCTATTTGTACTTCAATTTTCTTTTAAATTTGATCCTCCTATGATGCCTATTAGGACATTTTAATGCGAAGTTCCTGAATATTTATGCAGGCTAATGATCTGACATCCCAAATTACTTATGGAAAACACACGTGTCTTCCTCATACAAATCTTACGTTGCTTTTTCAAAGCCAAGGAAGGAAACTCAATGCAAAAACTATTGCATACAGTGTGTCACCTGAACAGGGTGACACTCAAAGACACAGCTTACCTCATTTCACAGATGATCAAGTATATTTCGGCCCTGAGGATGATGGGCATTTTGAAGAACCAAGAAAAGAGAGAGCTGCTTCCCCAGGGTCATGTGATATCGGTTTTCAACCAAATCTTGCAAAACAGGCAAACCAAGAGTGTCTTTCAGACAAACTGAAGGCTGTTCATTTGCACATTCTGGCTATGGAACAGTGGAATGCAATGAAGCTTAAAATGTGTCATCGGTATGTTTTTATGTTTTTTATTGTCAAAGGATGCCTAAATAAGTGAAGTGTCTAGAACTGAATCACCGTGTCACATTTTTGTTTACTTTTTGATCTACAGAAATTACTCTGAAAGTGCAACAAATCTATTGCACTATTTGGCACTAAAGGGCCTAGATATAGAACAGATCAAAGAAGAACTTTCTTCTACTGGGCTTTCGAACTTAGACGATGCAAATCCTCATGTTCTGTCAAGTCTTTCTGCATGTATCCAGATGCTGACAAGCTCAAGAGCAGATTCCATTGCCAGTAAACAAGTTTCTGATGAAGAACTTCCCGTTCAGAAAAGATTAGGTAATCAAAAGCTGGACCTTGGCATGACTACAATGATGAAAAGGTCATCTTCTAATTCAGACCAACTTCTGGGTAAACTTCAAGCCCCGAAAGCAGCTCATATCATGGCAACAGTCGGACAAGAGGCCCTTGAAATTGAGACGCAGATATCAGATCTTATCAGTTCAGGGACTACCATTTTCCGTATCAACTGTGCTCATGGGAACCCCGAATTATGGAGCAAAATAATCGCAACGATAAGGAGGTGCTCTCAACATCTGGAGAAACCTTGTAAGATCCTCATGGACTTAGCTGGACCAAAGCTTCGTACAGGAAAACTTCCGGATGGTCCATCTGTTGCAAAAATTTCGCCCAAAAGGAATGCATTTGGTGGTGTGATACGTCCGGCCCAAGTTTGGTTGAGTGCACCAGGAACAGGTCCTCCACCTGCTCACCTATCCCCGGATGTTGTTTTGCAAGTAGATGGCCAAGAATTTCTGAGTAAGCTGAAGGTAGATGATTCTGTGAGGTTCCGTGATGCTCGTGGTAAACAGAGAACTCTCAGAATTTCAAGCAAGTATCCTATTTTTTCGGGTGTTGGATTCATGGCTGAGTGCTATAAGTCTGCATACGTTGAGTCTGGCACGGCTCTTATTATTAAAGAGAAGAAGCAGAAATCTTCTGTCGGACTTGCTGTTGATGTCCCCCCTGCCGAGCAATTTGTTAGGCTGAGAGTTGGTGATTTATTAACTGTTTGCCGAGATTGTTCTGATGAGCAGAATACTCGATCGTCTTCAACAACAGGATCCCATAGGATAACTTGCCCATCAGGTTATTTATTCGATTCGGCCAAACCTGGAGAACCTATTGCTTTTGATGATGGGAAGATCTGGGGGGTTATTAAAGGAACAAGCAGTTCAGAAGTAGTTGTAAAAATCACTTACGCAAGTCCAAAAGGTACTAAGTTAGGCTCAGAAAAATCCATCAACATTCCAGAGAGTGATATCCGATACGAAGGTCTCACTTCAAAGGATATCGTGGATCTCGATTTCGTAGCTTCGCATGCTGACATGGTGGGCGTCTCATTCGTTCGAGACGTTCGTGATATCACCTTACTGTACCAAGAACTTGCGAAGAGAAAGCTATCAAAGTTGGGAATTGTTTTGAAGATCGAAACCAAGGGTGGATTCGAGAACTTGCCGCACCTGATTCTAGAAGCAATGAAATCTCCGAACCCGTTGGGCGTCATGATCGCTCGAGGCGACCTGGCAGTGGAATGCGGGTGGGAGAAGCTCGCCGACTTACAAGAAGAGATCATTTCCATCTGCGGCGCTGCCCACGTTCCCATGATCTTGGCAACACAGGTTTTGGAATCACTCGTCAAGACGGGAATCCCTTCCAGGGCAGAAATAATCGATGCAGCCAATGGAAGAAGGTAACAAAAGTGATGATGTTGTAAGCTTGATCATCGAAGTTTATCAGCATGCATTCGAAACCAAAAAGCTTTCTTATGTTTTTGCAGGGTGAGCTGTGTGATGCTGAACAAAGGTAAGCATATTGCGAAAGCTGTGTCGATCCTCGATACCATTTTAGATTGTAATCAAAGGCAAAAGAAGAACTGAAACCTCCATTGCTGTCCTCCTGCTAAAACTGGCTGACGAGGTTTGCTCGCTAGTTCCCATGTTATTTACTATTATTTACTATCCTCGATGTTTTTGCTACACAATATTGGTCTGGTTCTATTCTAACATTCTTGTCTCTCGTCTTGCATATTTTGTGTAGTTTACTTGTCGTGCGCATCATGAAGCCAACTTCCGATCCAACGGTGGAGGGGGCGCCACGATGGTGAGTAGAATTGAATGTTAATTTAGTATATGCGTATCGTTTTAAAGTGAAATAGTGGTTTTATATAGTGTTTTGATTCAAAATTTAATAATATTTTAGAGAAATTAGTAAAAATGAGAGAATATAAATCATAAGCGAAGGAAGAAGCAGGCCGTTTCAAACTATGAAATAAAAAACAAGAGGAAAAAAACACCACATTTTGGCTTCAAATTAGCAGAATCCTTTTATGCATTTTGGGTGCGTTTCTCTTCGGCGTTATTGGATTTAGAATATTTTATTTAAATATTTTTTATAAGAGAATATATTTTAAACTATTGAATTTAGATAATAGAAGGTTGTATAGAGATTAGAAAAACAGCACTTAAAATGGTTTTAAAAAATGAGTAGTGATGATGATAATAAATTTAAACAACAAATAAAATGTACTGCTTTGTAAAAAGAATAATTTATTTTTGCATTTATTAGATAATCAAAAATTGAAACACGTAAAAATCAAAATCAAATCATAAAAGTTCTATTCACTCAGCGATCGTGCATATATTGATTTATTTTATTTTATTTTATTTTATTTTGTTTATGTATGACACTAATTGGGTAAAAAATATAAAATATATTATTTTAAATTGAATATTAAATTTTTTAATTTTTTAAAATGAGTATTTGAATTTTATTTTTATTTTTACTTTTGTAAAAAATATTTTATTATTATTTATAAGGAATTGCAGTCTTAACATTAAGCTGGGTAAACAAAGCCAAAGAATCGCTTTGGATTAGAATTAAAATACACATTTCTAATTTTACATTGAGAATACTAATGATTGATTGGACAGAGTCACAGAGCAGAGCCGTCAGCTGCACACTTTTTTTTCTTAAAATGCAATCACTATGTTAATTTTTATTTATATTTTATGATTATGAAACAGAATACATAAGTTTAAGAAATTTGGAATTTCAAATTTTTCAAATAATAGTATTGAATATTTGTGTGATATATATATATATATATATGAAAATAATATTTAATAATATATATATATATATATAAATTACTAATAATTAACAATTCAAAAAAAATTATGGTGGGTTTGTTTATTTTTTTAGTTTGAAGTGTAATACTCTCTCAATCTACAAACTAATGTCTTATCCAACAACTATTGTGTTATTTTCTTTTTTAAACACAAATTTTATATTTTTACTTTTTATTCATTTATTACTTTTAATATCTACTGTACAATTAAGGGCAATTTTGTCAATTTATAAGAAAAAATAATTACTAAAAAATAGTGCAAATATATTTTAGGACAATAAAAATTGGACAGAGAGAGTATAAGATACGTGAAATGTGCTGTAATATAAAAAAAAAATTATAGCATATTATTTTATATTGAATATCAATTTTGTTTTTAATATATATACAATATACTTTTTCGTTAAAAAAAAAACAAATTAAATTTATCAACAAAGAGAATGTATTAAAAATCATGTATTAAAGAATTATTTGAATGAACAAAATACGAATAAATAAATGTTTTATATACTTTCTAAGTCAATAGTCTTTTTATTTAATTTACTATTTTGATTGTTTCACCATAATTTTTATCTCCATTCACTAGAATTTGTATATATTATTCTATTAGCATTGTTTACATCAACAATATTGTAAATAACTGTCTGATCATACTTATATATTTAAATTTAATACTTATTTATATTAATAAAATCACAACAATTTATATATATATATATATATATAAGACAATAAAGTTTTTAGGCATAAAATTGCTCGTCAACTACTATATAAATAATAAATTTGTTATTATTTTGTATATTTATCTTACTACTCCCTCCGTCCCAGATATTATGTCCACATTGCCGTTTCTGTCGGTCTCACGTACCATGTTACTTTTTTTTTTTTTGGAAAATGATTACACACTTTAATCTCATTTTAAATTTTTTAATTTTATATTTCTTTTAATTTTAATTAAAGTAATTAGTTATTTTAATTTTAATTTATAATTATTTATATTATAGAATAATTATTTCTACTAATTACATTCTTATTTTACTTTTTTTTTCCTATTTTATTTTTATATGAAAATATTATTACTTTTTAATTTTGTATCCAAACGTAATATAAATAGTTCGATGGAAAAAATATTTATTATTTGTACATGTCTAAATAGCAAACGAATTGATATGAAAAAATAATTAAAGATAATAATAAATATATAAATAAATAATCTCAGCGGTGGTACAAATGCTGAACTTTATTTTTGAACACCTAATCCTAACCGTCGGATCAAAGGGTGAACTTAGCTAAAACAAATCGAAATAAGTATGACAATGGAAAGAAGTGTGGGACCCATTTCCAAAATGGGTTAGTCTTGTTTTTGCCTTTTCGGTATTGTCAAAAACTTTGCTAAATTTCACTTTGACCCCGCAACTATATATTTAAAATTCTCTGCCCCTACATTTTCCCCCTCCCCTCCTCTTTGAATGATAAAACCAATCACATGCTTGCCAAGTATTATTGTGAATATATTTTGGAAATTTGATTCTCATAATTGAAATGTTGGGGCTGTGTTTGAACATGTTATTGGAATATTTTAAAATATTTTTTGTTTATGTTTTAATTTAAAATATTTTTTAAATATAAAATATAATAAATTATATCAATAATATAAAAAATATATTTTATATTGCATATTACCCTTTTTTTTTATAAGATTATAGAATATAGTGTAATATTATATACTTATATATCGTGTTTGTAGAAAAATTATGTTGGTGAACAAAGCAATATCAAAACAATTACAGTGCTTTTAAATTTTTATATTATATTTTAAATTTATTTTATATTTAAAATATTATATCAACATCTATTTATATACATCATATAACTATTTTAAATTTATTTTTTATTATTAAAAATTTCAAACAAAAAAATCCAAATTTGCAAACAAACACACGAGTTTTAGAGTATATACTCTAAAATTTAAATGTAAGTAATAAATCGAATATTTGACAAGATGAGATAAATTTAATATTTGATGCTATTTTTTTTATTACTATAAATAAATATTGTTAAAAATTTCAATATATATATATATATATATATAAACACCCTTGAAATTTATATGCAATATTATTTTTCTTGTTTAATTAATACATCTCTTTTATGTTTGAATTTGTTTATTTCGAGTTTTATTTTTCCCTTATACTTTTGAAATAATATTAAATTAAATATTCTTTTATAAATATCAAATTAAATATCAATTTTTTTTATTAATTTTACAAAAAAATTCAAAATTGTAAAACTCCAACACTTATATCTAAACAAAACCATAATTATTGTGATATTATATATATATAATTGAATGTAAAATTTTAATTTTTCTTTTTAACTTTTATATATACAGAGATTGAATTCTAAAAAATTAGAAAAAAAAAATAATCTAAACAAGTCATTTGTTTATGATATTACTACTATCGAGTATATACACAAACCACAGGAATTGACATTTCAATAAACTGTGATAGAGAAACTATTAAATTTACATTTAGGGTGTGTTTGTTGGGAATTTAGATTTTAAATACACTATTTATCTCATTTTTTCTTTAAAAAAATATCAAATCAAACACTTATTTTTTATTTTTAATATTATACTAAAAATTAATTTTACATTCAAAATGTCACATCAACACCTATTTGTATCACATCATACAACTATTCAAATTCAAAATTTTTATTATTCAAATCTCAACTTAAAATCCAAACCCAGACAAACACACCCTTAGAAAATGAATGCAATAAACTTTCCAAGGAGAATACACTCACTCAATTCAATACATAATCTACCAAATTGCTTTCATAACACTCATTTTCTTACAACAAAAATCATACAAAAACAATGAATCAAGAACATTTCTATACTCTAAAATTTAAATACAACACTAAAAATGACAAAAAACATTAAATTTTAATGAGAACAAAATAAATAAGACATGTTTGTGTTTGTGCGCATATATTTTTAAACAATAATTCGATATAATATTTTTGTAATACAAAATAATATATTTTGATTAAAAAATATCGTTAATAAACTACATAAACATATAATATAGTTCTAAAAAGAACAAATCAGTGTTAAAAAGTAATACTAAGAACCAATTAATTGGAAACATGTTTTTATTTTTTTATTTTTATAGTAAAGCAAAAAAATAAAAAATAAAAAATAGAAAAAGAAAGTTCTGGAATGCTTAGTTAAAAAGCAACTAAGGTTAAACTCAAAGTACCATTTAACCATAGTTAGATTATACTCTGGTTAGGGTTCACCCTGGCTTGGTTTACATTACATTGAAAATAAATAAATAAAAATAAAAAAAATGACGCCCCACACCGCCCCCATTTTCCAATTTCAGATTTTTTCTGGGCATTTCAGATTTCATCGTTCTGTTTGGGGGCTTTCGAAAACTTTTGCAGTCCCTCCATTTTGTTGAGTTAAGTGTTTGAAGAGTTTGATTAGGGGGAGAAGAGGGAGAGCGGCCCAAAGTTCAACTCAATTTCGAGATTAAACGGTAATGTTTTTCTTTTAATTTTTTTGGAAAAGTTCTTACCCTGTGTTTTTGTTTCGATTTATTTTGAAAATTGAGTGCTGGAATGTTGAATCTAGGGTTTGTCAGTTGTGATTTTAGGCGAAAATTTGAGAGTTGGTAGCTAAACCGTCTCAGATCCATTTTAGCGGTCATTTCTAAGCTTTGATTATGATTTGTGCTTTTTTGCGCTATGGGAGATGTATTTACGTGGTCTATTCGAATGATTGTTTTTGCTGAAATTTTCTTGTGTCTTGCTGGATTATTTGTTAGTGTTGTTGCTGTTGTTAATTTTTTTTTTTTTAAAGATTCTCGCATGATTTCTGTCAAGATTTTTAGATTTTCGTTTTAGAAGCTGAATGTGAGCGATGAATGGAAGTTTCATTTGAATGTATCAAGAATGATAATAATGATTCGGTGTTTGATCTTTGGCACTTGTTTGGGCAATGTTAGGAAACTCAGATTACTTGCTTTCTCACAATGGATGGAAACAGGAATTACAAAGCTATTCTGATTGTAAGCATATATAGTTTTGAGTGATTTTAGTATCACGGAATGTGGGCACACTTTGATATAAACATGTATTGAGTTGTATGGCTATGTGTTTCGGCTTCTTTTATAACTTGCGGTATGAATCGGCTTGCAGTTGGTGGACAGTAGCAGTACAGTGGTGATGGGGGGCAGGCAGTACTGTTGATTATCGAACATTTGTGAGAGGCGAACTACTTCGAGGATATGGAGTGCAATAAGGAAGAAGCCCTCAGGGCAAAGCTGATTGCTGAAGGGAAGTTGGAGAAAAAAGATTATGCGGGTGCGAAAAAGTTTGCTCTGAAGGCACAATCGCTATACCCGGGGTTGGATGGTGTCTCCCAGATGTTGACGACACTCAATGTGTATGTTTCTGCCGAGAATAAGATAGGTGGGGAAGTTGACTGGTATGGAATGCTCGGTGTAAAGCCAACTGATGATGACGAAATGATCAGAAAGCAGTACCGGAAGTTGGCCCTCATGTTGCATCCTGATAAAAATAAATCAGTCGGAGCTGATGGTGCATTTAAGCTCATTTCAGAAGCCTGGTGTTTGTTATCAGACAAGTCGAAGCGGTTAGCTTATAATCAGAGGAGAGGGTCGAGGGATTTCCAGCAGAAAGTCACGACGCATCATGGCGGCCCTTCAGCAGCACCGGCCAGGGAGAATGGAAACTTCAGCTTTTCTACGAGGGTGACAACGTCTGTTCCAAAGGCTCAAAAGAATAGTGTGAAGCCACCACATACAACAACTCCTCCACCTAGTCAAAGAACCGATACCTTTTGGACAATCTGTCACCAATGCAAGATGCATTATGAGTATCTCAAGATGTATCTTAACCAGACTCTCCTTTGTCCCAATTGCCATCAAGCCTTTATGGCTTCCGAGACGGCTCCCCCTTACAATGTTAGTAAACCACAGAACCAAGCTCCTCGTCAGCGGAAGCATTCTTCAAGTGACCGCAACTCTGGACAGAATTCTTATGATCCGGGAAGAGATGCTCCGGATACAAAGAGATCGCCTTCAGTTCAATCTGGTTCGAATTCTTCTAGGTATACATACTACCATCAGGATCCACTTACAAGAAATACTAATGTTGGCAGCACAGATCCTTCTATTGCCGCAAAAGCTGCAAACGTTGTTCAGCAGGCTCAGGATAAATTGAAGAGGGCGTATACTGAACCTGATGGCACTGCAGGGTGGGAGGAGCCGGCTAAAAAGAGGAACATAGAAGATAATCGTAATCATTATGGAATGAACTATAATACCACCCAAGGGAATGGTAGCTATGGAAATGCTAGTGGTAGTGCACTGGGATCAAAGGGGTATGGTTTTGTTGGTACTGTTTTCCATTGGCCAGGTGGAAGAGAGTTGGCACCCTACGAACTCCGTAAGCTTTTGATTGAAACGGGGCGAAAGGAACTACAAACGAAGTCCAGTTTGTGGATCACAGAGCCCGCTGTTAAAGGTTTGAACAAAGAAAAGGGTAGTGGCAAACAGAACCAGCAAGAAATACATCAAAGTGCTAATGGTAAAGGAACTGATCAAAATGGTAATGGGAGTTCGACTACCAAGATATCAAATCAATCAGAGGAGAGTCAGGCAAACCTTTCTGAAGATAATACTAATGATGAAAGTCTGGCAGCAGCATCAATTAGTGTTCCAGATCCTGATTTCTACGATTTTGATCAGGACAGATCTGAAAGTTCTTTCTCTGAAAATGAGGTTTGGGCTGGTTATGACGATGATGACGGCATGCCACGATTCTATGCCCTGATTAACAAGGTGATTTCTAGGAAGCCGTTTAAATTGAGGGTCAGCTGGCTCAACTCAAAAACTAACGTTGAGTTCAGCAGCAGTACAGATTGGGTAGGTTCGGGTTTCTACAAAACTTGCGGCGAATTCAGGGTGGGCAGATATGAAACCTGCAAATCCATCAATTCTTTCTCCCAGAAGGTTAGTTGGTCGAAAGGCCCACGAGGGAGCGTTCTAATATACCCCCAAAAGGGCGACATTTGGGCCCTCTACCAAAACTGGTCGCCCAAATGGAACCAAGACACCCCCGATGAAGTTATACACAAGTATGAAATGTGGATGGTGCTCGATGACTATACTGACGAACATGGCATCTCTGTTGCTCCTCTTGACAAGGTGGTTGGTTTCAAGACCGTTTTTCGCCCAAATATGGACCCCAACCGAATCAAGACAATACCTAAGGAAGAAATGTTTTGTTTCTCCCACCGTGTCCCACACCACTTGTTCACGGGCGAAGAAGCGCCAGATGTTCCAAAAGGATGCCTCGAGCTGGACCCTGCTGCTACACCATTGGAACTTCTTCAGGTGACGACGACAGAAGATGAAACAGATGGGATGGCTGCTGGTGGCGGCGATGCAGCTGAGGCTGCGAATATTTCAGACAACAATCGGTCATGAAGTTGATTCGGGACAGCAACAAGACATCCATCTCAAACATTGGAGACTCGGTAGGTTAAGAGAACTCATTGAAAAATTCGAGTAGTTTGAAAAGTAGTCGAGATAATACTCCTTATTGGTTTTTGCAATTGCCCTTGATATTATTATGATCATGATACTCTGATCCTTTTGGTGCTATAGACTTATATAGTTTTTATGCTTTGGCAACATTCTTGTGCTCTGAAAAAACATTTCTGTTGTTATGTGATTTTTGATGGCTTCAAATGGTTATAGAAGACCCCGTTTGACAACAATCAATCTTTTTACAGCAAACGAACGGGATGAATCAAGACTTTGGTTGTCCTTCTCTTTTGTCCCTGAAATTTTTGCTGTGGAACTGCAGGGCTTGATCTCTGAATCTGTTCTGTTACCATAGCTTTTAGGGCAACCATTATTGTGGTTTTTTTTGGCTGTTTTCTTGCCATGGTATAGTTTGCTGCTACTGCTTAGATCATTGCTCTATTGAGCCTGAGTCTGAGATATATATATATATATATATACACACATATATGTAGATATGGCTTCTTGAATTTCAATCCTTTTCTGTTAAGTTTTTATTGAGACTGATGTTCTTGATATATTATTTGGTGATCTGATCAGATTTGAGAACCCTTGTAGAAATGGCATTTTGAATTCAATTTTTAGAATTCTTGGAAGAGACAAGAGATGAAACAAATATATATATATATTAATATATTAATCGAATCAAGAGATTAATAAAGTTCAATTAACATTCTTCTTGGTTCTTGATCCACAGTAGGACTGTTAAGAACTCAATAGATGACTACTAAGATTGAGAAGTTATGTGAAGCCCAATACATTAAAAGAGAAATAATATATATATATATATATTTTTTAATATAAGAAAATTAATCAATATTGTTGAAATACAGACTGTGTCATTTGTTAACTACAAACAAGGAAAGATATTTTTATTTTTGATGTGAAATCACAGTTTTTTTTTTTTTTTTGCTACATATTTCCTCTAACTCAAAATTTCAAAATACTAAAAATCGAGCCATAATTATGTAAATCTAGGCCCAAAACGTATATGTGATTCATAAAATCGCGCTGGATAATATAAAATATTTATGTGAGAAAGTTATGTTTATTTGACTTGACTTGTCACACGACCGAAATAGTTACTAAGTAATTTACGAAATTACACATTGAGTAGTAGTGGAATTACAGTTGTGCCCTTGCCGTACCTAATGATGTACTAGTACTAGTACTTCGTTTACGAGTGAATTTCACATGCAACAAGGTTAAGGCAGTCGTGTAATTTATGTCAACTGCTAATAATACAAGAAGAATCTGATATTATTAACCACCTATGTAATAATAATTTTTATTTAGTTGATGTTAAGAGATTACTATGCGAATGAAATGAATCAAGAAATATATGTAGCTATATTATGAAAATTCAGACAGAAAAATCTTTACATCTTTGAATTACATAATTAGTTTAGAGATGATCCATCCACTTCATTATCGTTTATTATTTATTTGAATATAAATCTTTGTATGACTTATTACCTATTATTTAGATTGGATTACATAAGAATATTATAATTTTATAATTTTTATTATCATTATTATATTAAAAAATGATAATTTGAAAGTTTTGTATTTTATATATATAAAAAAAATCGATTCAAAGTAGTTGTCATCAATTAAGGTAAACTTAAGTCATCAATTAAAGTAAACTTAAAAAAAAAAAAATTAAATTCCATATTTCATACACATTTTAAAAATTTTGACACTATAGAAATTATTTCGAAGAAAAAAAAATCGAATTAAATGTTTTATTTATTTTTATAAAATATCAAATCAAATGCTATTAATATTATTATTTTAAATTCTCTGTAAATACTGATCTTGTTTAATTAATTAAAATATCATATACATACATATCTATATCTATAATATGATTCACGAGAATCTCTTGGTAATAAAGGAAATTAGTAAATCTATTCAAAATAGAATGGTAGTAAAATCACACAATGACTATTATATTATTATAATATATATAATATATAATATATAATATTGCTATATATGCTAATTTACGATGATTTTGACAATCTCGGGGCACTTTCTTTCCACAACTATAAATACCCCACAGATTGCTCAATTCTTCTTCTCCCCTCTCTTTCTGAAAACCACTGCATGTTTCTTTCATCCCAATCGCTGCTCAGCATCCATCTCTTTAATTTGCCTGGAGATTGTAAATTTATCTGTAAGTCTTAATTCCTTCTCCATTCAATCTGATTCTTCTGCGGATTTAATTTTAATTTGTATGCGTATATAGCGTGGAGTTATTCTTCTCTGTTTCTGTGTCGAATCGAAGGATTTGCGTTTCTGTAAACTGAGAATAATGCTCGATCGATCGCTTAGGTCGTCGCGCTGCAGTTGGAAGGAAATTGAAATAATTTCTATGTTTTAATCGAATTTGGTTGCGCTTAAACTTGATTCTAGAACGTTCATGCTGTTTGTTGGTTCCGATTAATTTCTTTGTTTTGTTGTTGTTTTTGTTTTTGGTTTTTCTCTGGTTGATTTTGATTTTGGAAATTGGAGACTGTGTTTTTTGTTTAAAATATTTACCTGTGATCGGAAAAAACCACATGATAATGGTTGGCGTGTGTTTCTTTTTTCGGAGCAACTCGCGTCCACGCGCCTTGCTGCCGCGTTAGAATAGAAGCTGGAGAATGCGCGCACGCGCGTGTAGGGCGTGTGGGGGATATGATGTGGCGCTGGCTTTTCGGTTAGTTTGGTAATTCGGTAGTTACGAGTCCTTTAATGGGTGGTGGATTCGACGTCCACGTGGGCACTGGGCCCATTTTGAAATTGACCTAAAGGCCCGCTTAGATTGTCCTTTTGTGGCCCAGTCTGTCGGACCGCCCGTGCTTTAAAATTAAAGCTTTCCTTTGATCTTTACTTTTTTCATCAAAAATGAAATTTAGGATTTCTTTACGTAGGATTATTTCGTTCATTTATCATTATTCATTTTTTAAAAAAATGTCATATTAAATATATATATATATATATTTACAAAATATCAAATCAAATATTAACCGATAAAATTCTTTGCTTCGTACTGTGGGAACCTTTTGATTCCAAGTCGATTTTTGAATAAGCCGTAAGGGTGATTTTCTGATGTTGATAACTCAAAGTCTCCACTATTCCATAGTTTACACGCATTTATATACTCAAATAAATATATGTGTGCATATATATATATACGCATATGCCTACCTGATACTTAATTGTCCTAACTCCTAACTATTAATTTCTATTTTCTATATATTGGTTTAGCGCCGAGAATGATTTAGTGTGATTAGGTGAATTATTAGTCTATAATACATTCAATTTGGATTTTGTTTGAAGATTTGATTTTTTTTTATTAAAAAATATTTGATATAATAAAATTATATTTTTAGAGTACCAATAGTCCAAATAGTAAAATATAAAGTGTATTTGGAAAAGGAACAAACCCACAATTTCTTACCATGTTTTATGCTCCTGACGTTTTGTAAAGAATAATACTCAATCATCTTCATCAAATTAGGTTTCTTGTACATAAAATTTCTTCTGATAATGATTTCATAGTTTATTGTATGTAAACTTATCAAATGAAAGTTGAAAGAAATATGAAGGTAGTATATTTATATTTTGGGTGTTGTTTAGGCATTTGTTATTACTTTTAGAATAATATTGACTCTCATTTAAATCTAGAATAATGATAGATACACCAAAGTAGTTCAATTATCAATCAATCATGATCGTACAAGTATTAGAGTATGATTGGAAAACCTTCAGGGTATGTATATATAAATTTCCCCAATCAAGTCGGTGCTGCTTTGAATGGACCCTTGATTTAAAAACAGATAAAATATAATCGAACTTGCACTAACTGTTTTTCACTTTTGTTCTTTAGTGCGACACCTTTTCTGTTAGCCAACGTAATGCGTAGTCATCTGAGTTCGACTCAACCATTTTAATCTCGTAGGCCATTTTCAATATTCAAAACCACATATTGTTTTATACAGACACATTGCACCTTTGACAGTTACGTTTCTGTACTTATTATTATTACCCTGATTAAAAATAATGGGACTTCCTTATCCTGTCATTTTCTGTTGGGCCTATCTATTCTGTAAATTATTTGAGCTATAATCTTTGAAGCGAGTTAGAAATTGCATGATGATTGTTATAAATTTACTTTAAATGCGATATTCTTCTGTCGGTCAGTAAAAGTAGGGAGGATGGAATCTTAGTATTAGGTATTTCGGTTCATTGCACAAATACTAGGTGGGTGGGGGTGGACCCTTATGTTATTTGTAGAAACCCTTTGTCGTGTCCTGTTGTAGTTCCTCTTAATTTGTTCTTTTTAAGTGTCATTTCTTAATATGTATATTTTTACACAGAGATAAAGATATGGTGAAGGAAAACAAGTATAAGACAGTGAGCCTTCACCAATTGCTGACCGGTACAAAGCCTGTTGATTTTGACAATGAAAAGGCTAATGGGCCTGATCCAAGATACACTGCTTGGCTGGTGAGCCCATTCAATTTTCCCTTTTCGATTATTATTTTTAGAAATAGTACTGTTTCATCCAAATTATTTAGTACAATGTTTGATCTTGTCGTGCAGGACAAACACCCTTCAGCACTAACTTCAATCCAGGAAATGTTGAGAGCCTCGCAAGGAAAGCAAATAGTTGTGTTTCTAGACTATGATGGCACGCTTTCGCCGATAGTTAGTGATCCAGAACGAGCTATAATGTCTGATTCGGTAATTATCTCCAATAAAATCTATCTTCCGTTTTCCTTTATTTTTTGTTTCTGTGTGAATGCTAATTCGAAGGTGCAATGTGCTTTTCAGATGCGCTTGGCTGTGTCCGATGTGGCTAGACACTTCCCGACTGCTATAATAACTGGACGAAGTCGAGACAAGGTAACGACAACAACATACAGTTAATTCCAACACAATATATAGATGTATACAATATATAGTAATGTTATGACTTTGTGATTGCTTCAGGTGTATGAATTTGTGAAGTTGGATGGATTATACTATGCGGGGAGCCACGGCATGGATATAATGGGGCCACCTGTGAATCCTGAGTCGTTTGATCCCAAGTTTCATGTGAAGACACTTGATAAAAAGGTTCTCTAATTTCATTAATTTCCATATTATCTACTAATTTGTACATGTTCAAAATCACTGAATATAAAAAAAAAAAATGAATTGTTTTTATCAGGGTAATGAAGCCACAATATTCCAACCTGCCAAAGAATATCTTCCCTCAATTGAGAAGGTAATGAATCAACCAATTACTGCACTTCATTCTGTACAATAAACGATGCTAATTCACAGGTTAATTGCAGTTAATCAATGAGCTAAAGACAAGAATCAGTGAAATACCAGGAGCCATTGTAGAGAACAACAGATTCTGCATTTCAGTCCATTACAGACATGTATTAGAAGAGGTCAGAATTGATTAATCCTCTGGTGCTACTAAGTAATATTGATCTCTGTAATAACACAGGCCAAGTTAAATGGTTTTGGCAGGATTACGGAACTCTGGAGAAGATAACAAGGGATGTGCTCACAGATTATCCTTTCTTCCATATAACTCAAGGGAAGAAAGTTCTTGAAATCAGGCCTCCTGTCAGATGGAACAAAGGGGACGCTTTGGTGTATCTGCTTCATGCTCTTGGTTTTTCCGAGCCCGGAAGTGTCGTCCCAATTTACATTGGAGATGACAAAACTGATGAAGATGCATTCAAGGTAATATCTGTGCGAATTCCTATGTAGCAGCAGTATTGTAAATGACATTAACATCATTAACATTGTGCACCTATGATCTTTACAGGTGCTTCACAGCCAAGGACAAGGATACCCTATCATTGTGTCCTCAGTTCCACGAGAAACTTCAGCAACACATTCATTACGTAGTCCATCAGAAGTTCTCTCCTTCCTGGTTCGATTAGCTCGTTGGGGATCGGATCAGAGTGATAGGTGTTCTAATTAGAATGAGTCATGTGAACACGGCCGTTTTCAGCACCGTGGGATCAGTTTTGCACATTATAGGGAAGTATATATATATATATATATATATATATAAATATAGGTTAGGGAGTTGAGTGAAGGCTGCAGAGAGGCTACACTTTTTTGGTAGCCACAAAGCCTTGGGTTTGTATTTTCTTCTTGAGACATTTTGCAGTATATATATATATATATATATTTATCTTTGATTTGATAATGAAAAATCTATATTAATATTATTCAATCGTTTTCCACCTTTAAGGTGTATAGATATACATTTTCTGGATTTGGTTGGTCTCTGAGTGATGGGATCTCTCAGTAATTAAATTTAGTTGTATTTTGATGGAGTTTGATTTCACAGTTTGAGAAGAAGACACATTGTTCCTCACTTGCTGGCATTTGTGGCCGCCATTAGATTGTGCACAGGTTTCTTCTCATTATCCCTTTCCAAGTCCCATTTTGAAGTGTGCTCTGTAACTTGTCTTTTCTTGTAAATGCAGTAGAGCAGCAGCTGGAGGATCCCTAGAGGGCTTCCAACCAGGTTTGGTGACTGTCTCAAACACACACACACACATATTATCAGCAATTATGTAATTATGTTGTCTGAAGCATAGACAGACATTAATCATATACTTACAGCAAGAAAAAGGTCATGGCTTAGGAGTCCATAGGCCATCCACAGCGAGCTAGCGAGGAAGGAGAATAATGACAAGTAGAAGGGCATAAATTCCACACTTTTAGTCAGCAACACTTGTCTCTACCATAGTTACAACATCATGTACACATCTCAGGTAAATAAGACCACAAATTCAATATTATTACATCGAGGATATAAAGATCAACTCACCACAGCTACTAATGGAGAACCATACATTGCCACAGATGCTACCAGCCCGATGCTCCCAACAAATGCTTTGCGGTGGGGATGGCTGTGAAAAACAAATGCTGATAGAATCGCCGTGCCGCAGAACACCAGCAGAACAGGTAACGTAAGCATGGCAACCCTCTTCTGTAAATTCCACCGCAGTTAAATATATCAGCACTTGTTTTCTTACATTACAATGCATAGTAGTATTAGTAATCGTTCGATCTAAGTTAGTATATGCTCTGGTAGCTAAAACTGAAAAGCAGAGAGTAGTTACCCTTCCTTTAGTTGTCGCAAAGTAGAAATATATGAGTATGAAGGTGAGCTCTAGGAGAATTCCTAATCCATTAATTGTGACCACAGGAAAGTTTTCCCAATTGTAGCTCACAACAGGCAAGCCATACCATGTGTAGATGAAACAGTTCAATAGGGCTATAACATACGGCACGCATGAAAACTCTTCCGTGCTTTTCTTCCTTATCACCCTCGAGAAAGTAAGCCTGCCATGTTTTTAGTTAAGAGAAAGCGTAATCAGTGAACATTTTTATGCTTCGAAAATGCCTACACAAAGTATATATGGAGTTTGTAGTTACACTGGTGCAGCATAAAGTAGCATAGAGGCTGCATTCCCTGCAGGAAACATTAGGAAGACTGAATTAGTAATCGTAAACTATTATGTCATATATATATATGTATATATATAGGAGCTAATGTACCCATAACGCCAACTGCGAGCCGGAGTTTCTCTTCCATGTGTTGTGATGTTGTAAGACTTAACTTAGACGAGTTTTGGAGTGTGTGTCTTAAGGGGTATATATAGGGACAAAAAATGGTTGAAGGGAGAATAAGAAGTAAAGATTTAGGAAAAGATAAAAGAACATTTGTGGAGGGAGTGATGGCATTTAATCAAAAAGTATTCCTTTGTGCATAAATATTGTTGGGAGCAAAAGGGACCACAAAAAACTAGAATTTGTATAGTTGTTGGGGGAACCTCTAGAAATTTGGAAAGAGGCTAAGTGAAACTGTAAGAATATGAATTATTACCATGAAGATAAAAACACAATTTGGAAATCTAAAATGGGGGAAGACTAGTGTAGAAAATGAATTAAAGAAGAGAAAGGTGCAAGTGCAGGATATATATCTCCTCATAGGATTGCTTACTGCCACCACTCTAAATGAAATGAAACTTATGCTGATGCTGATACTGATAGCATCGAGTATGAGGATGAGGCATCAATCTCAACTAACTATATATAAAAATAAAATGTAAATAAATTAAATGTTGAAAGATGCTTTGGAGTGGTGTTGACAGGACAAGAAATCACGCAAAGGTAGGAGGAGAGGGAGGGGAGGGATAGGGATAGGGATAGGGATGCTCTAGTAATAATAACTATGAATACCGCCATGCATGTTTGTTCCTTTTTTATTTATTAATTGGTTTTGTCAAGTGGAAGATGATGTTACCAGACCTTCAATCTCCACTCAAATGATCAAAAGTGATGGATGGATCATCTCATCTCATCTCATCTGTGTTCCAATATTTATTGTTATAATCCATGCATCAGCTCCTTTTTCCAAATTCCTATTTCTTTATTCCGTTGTTCAAACTTCTTCTGAAATTCCTAATCACACTACTACTATGACAACTAGTATCATACATTATTGTTTTTATCTTTGATTTGAATGGGAGCATCCAATCCCATCCATATCGTCATGAATTTATTTATACTGTCTCTCAAACATATATAGCTTGTGGTTTGGAATCGAATTCTCATGAATCAAAAACCACACACACATATTGATAGGTGGCTGTAGAAATTAGGTTCATATATAAATATATATTATTGAGTAGCAGTCTCCTCTCCCTAGCTACCTATTAATTATAGCATTGTAGTGAAGCAATAAGATTATAATATATAATTAGGGATTGTGAATTTTATACTCTATGATTAAACATTCAAAACCAGTCACCTTATGAAGCATCAAGCATGCATAATTCTAATATTAATTTGGTGAATTAGGATCATCATCTCTCAACCACATCTTATATGTATATATATATATATATATATATGCAGGAGTGCCACTTAATTAGTGCTTATATATATATATATATATATGAGTATTTGGATGATTCCATCATCCTTTCCTAATTGCAAATGAATATGGTAATCCAAGTATGATATCCATTTAATTCTAAATTATTTATATTATTTACTAGTGCAGTTATTTATGGAACCTGACATTGATCAACAGTAATATGCATGCATATATATATATATATATATGTGGTGTTTGATACATGCATGCATATTTGTGGTTTTGGGCACATCAATTTAATTAATTAGTTTAATTGGGGCATATATGTGAATTAGTTAGTAAATTAAATAAGAATGCATATGCATGCATGTAGTTTATGTGATGGACGTTGATTGAGAACTAATTAATACAGCACATGTCACACAATGTCATCCCATTCACACCTGAAAAGTGGCCCTACGTAATTTTTGTTACAAACTTTCTAACAATAATGATGAATATTTCTAGGTAACTTACTTTTAACATTATTTTATTTTATTTTTTTATAGCAGTTTCAATATAAGGATACAAAAGTGAGAGGGCAATAGTAAAAATTATATATTTCTTATTGATAGAGTATAAAACTTATAATACAAGTAATAGTAATTTTATATTTATCGTAAAAATTTAAATAACACCATCAACGTCACAAATACAATTAGCATTATAGTTATAATGTATGCAAATACATACTACCTATGTCATTATGCCATTTGACTGAACATGAATTTAAAAAAAATGAAAAAAAACCAAAATCTTTTTCATACTGACTAAATCAAATAAAAAATAAATATATACATTAACACGTAATAGATATAAATGAAAAAAATGTATAGTTAAAGTAGGACAGAGAGAATATTAGATACAAGCACTTTGAATTTCATGATGACTAATCAAAGCATTATAGTATTGATCTTGATCCGACTCAATTTGTGCGTAGTATTGATCTTGATCCGACTCAATCAGTGCGTGGGCACATATATATATATATTAAGCAACATAATGACATAATTAGCATTCTAACCGTCTCCTCGACAGAAGACCCTTCATGAAAAAATAAACAAAAATGATTAGGGTGAGTTTGTTTGAAGAAATTTGGAGAATTTATACTATTTATCTAATTTTTTTTTTCCTACAAAAAAAATCAAATCAAATACTTATATTAATTTTATTTTTTATATTATACTATAAATCAAATTTCATTCAAAATATCAAATCAATATTTATTTATATCACATCGTATCATTATTCCAATTTAAAAATTTTAATTTTCAAATTTCAACCCAAAATTCAAAACCTCAAACAAACACAGGATGGAACATTCCATAGTTAGAACATAAAGTTTATGGAGAACTATTGCAGGGTTAAAACATAAATTGTAAAATAGAGTCCTCTTTAACGTTGGATCATGAACATAGCCCTGTCCCAGACTCCCCATGGTTAAAACAAGAACAGAAACTTATACTATAACACAAGCTCTAAATAGAAAATTATCAAAATTAGAATAAAATCCTCTATGGGATTAAAACAAAACCCTTCGTAGGGTTAACAAATTCAATACATGGCCATACAGTGGAAATTGAAGTGATGGCAGCAGCGTGATCGAAGATATTAACAGGTCGGATCGGCGATGGTCAAGGAGTGATGACAATAAGACCGGGTTGGAATCTTGGATGGAGCATACGAACCAATAATGTGCCCATGTACATTGGATAAAACGAGTTATAGGGATGTATTTTGAGAAAATTTATTTTTGATATTATGTTGGAATATATAAATGAATTATCTATTTCATCACAAGAAAGCCTACACATTTACAATGAAATGCAATCTTTAAAGTAAGTGTAGAATATTACATATCTCCTAAGTAATTCTAGTATCCCAATGATAATATATGTATTATTGCACTATGGATTGAAGATACTAAACACATTTAATACTCTTATCTAATTATTCTAGACCGGGTGTGTCTGTTTGGGGATTTGGATTTTGAGTTGGAATTTGAATAGTAAAAATTTTGAATTTGAATAGTTGTATGATGTAAAATAAATAGATGTTGATGTGATGTTTTAAATGTAAAATTGATTTTTAGTATAATACTACCTCCGCCCCACGTACGGTATCTGCTACACTGTAGACACAATATTTTAGGAGGGATGTAATTAGTAAATAATTAAGAATGTATTAGTGAAAATAATTATCCTATAATATAAATAATTATAAACTAAAATTAAGATAACTAATTAGTTTAATTAAAATAAAAAAATAAATTTAAAAATTTAAAATGAGATTAAAGTGTGTAATCATTTTTTAAAAAAGGAAAGTGACATGGAATGTGGAAAGAAACGGCAACGTGGACATGGTATGTGGAACGGATGGAGTATAAAAAATAAAAAATAAGTGTTTAATTTGATATTTTTTTTTTTTTTAAAAAAAAGGGATGAATAGTGAATTTAAAATCCAATCCCCAAAGAAACACACCTACTAAACTAAAATTCTTGGTCAAACCGTGGTGGAAATAGACCACACCAATCATTACAATGAATTAATTGTGTAGTGTTTCAAGACTCACGATTTAGGAAAACAGTAGAAATAAAAATCATCGCGCAAGCCAAACTTATAAAAAATAATCACGCACACACATACAGATGTATATTGTATTTGTTATTATTTATATTTTAAAAATGAACTCCCAAAAAACAAATAGTATATTAGTAAATTAATTAATTCATTGTAAGGACACGTGCAAATGTACGTACATAGAGATGGATGCTTTTCAAAAGTTGCGCTAATGTAAAATCGTGCCCGCATGGTTGAAATCAGGAAACACGCTTTCACAAATATATGGACTTTTAGCTACCACAATAACATAAATCGTCTCTCTCACACGCTTTCACAATTATTTGGACTTCTTTTAATTTGTGTTCCACTTAACAGGACAGGAACACATAATAAAATCAACCCCTTAACAAGAAAAGAAAATAATAAATAGTAGATATATATAAAAAGTTAATATTTAATATAATATCCTGAGATTGACATTCCCTATCTGGTTGTAACGACTTTATTACGTAGCCCAGAATGTGGGGCAGAATTGGAATTGGAATTGGAATTCCGAATTAAGAATTAGTCCAAGTGAAATTGAAAAACGTAGCAATCAATATTCAAATTTAATTTAATGTGGTTTTCTAGATGGTGCACCTATTCAGTAATTAGTTCTTGTCACTGCCTTAATTAGTTCATGCAATATAAAACTAGCTGAGATCATGATCATGTGATTATTGTTTATTACTACTACTACTAATAATAATATTCTAAAATATGAGGGCAAAGTAGTGTGTGTGTGTGTGTGTCCTGGCTGGGAAACTAAGAAGAACATAAAATGAGTAGTAGTACTATATATTATAGCATTAATTAATATTATTGTATGTATAAGAAATTGAAAAAAAGAAAAAGAAATAAGTGGCGTAGGATGAAAGTTGAAAGGGAATGAAGAACAAGTCAAATAAGTAAATAAAATAGTACTACTGTAGATGATATGGATGGATGGTTAAAAGGTTAAAAACAAACATGGTTCAAGTTAGAGTTAGTGTTAGCGTATTGATAGAAACGCACGCGTTAACGGGCTCATTTCATTTCATTTCAACATTCCGTCATATTTCCTCCCCCCATTTTCTCTTCTACTCTCTCTCTATCGAAATGTTGTTGGGCAATGATAGATGGTCAGTTTGACCGGGTCAACATTTTGACTTTTTTTTATTTATTATACGAATGCAATAGCAATAGCAATAGCAATAGCAATAGAGAAAGACAGACAGACAGAGCAGACCGCAGACCAGACCAGTCTCCTCCTCCACTGCTTCCACTTCCCATTTCATCTTTCTTTCTTACTGTTATTATTATTATTATTATTTGGCCATAGGAGTAGGAATAAGAATAAGAAGAAGAAGGAAGGGCCCCAATCCACAAATTAATAAAGAATATTCAATCAATCAATTTTACTCGTCATGCCATGCCACCTATTTTGTTTTCAAATATGTTTTCTTCAGTCAAATTCCCCTTATTTTTCCTCTCCTCTTCCTCTTCCTCTTCCTTCTTCCTTTCAATTTCTCCGTTCCAACAAATCAAATCAAATCAAATTCATACACACACATATATATATATATATATATATATAAAGAGGGAAAGAGAGAGAGAGAGAGCAGCAAGCTCAATCAAGCCTTGCTAACTCTCTTAATCCACTGCTCTCTCTCTGCCCATCCATCCATCCATCCATCCATCCCTTCCTTTCCTATATACTAGTAATAAATACTAACTATAATTTGCATTGCATGGTTTCATCAGTTTCAGAAGCAACTTTTATGAGCCTTCTTCACCCATGGAAATGGAACTCTAAATCTAATCCCCCTCACTATAGTTACTTCTTCTCCCCATCCCCATGTTTGCATAGTCACTCATTCTTCCATTACCATTACTTGCTCAATACACATAATAAATACTACAATGGACAGTTTTGTTTCAGAGAGGGACGTGAAGAATCTGGTGAGGGAGCTTAGTGAAGGCAGGGAACAAGCAAGGCAACTCCAAACCCACCTCAATACAAATCCAAATGCAAATGCAAATTCCCAATCCTCATCTTCCTACGAAACTCGCGACTTTCTTCTCCAAAGAATCATCTCCTCCTACGACCAAGCCCTCTCCATGCTCCAACACACTACTACTACTACTACTACAGCTACTACCACCACCGACCACCGACCACCAGACTCTCCCGCCACCGACGACTCCGACCAAGACCACCACACTAATAATAATTCCAGGAAAAGGTGCACCTCCAACCAACTACACTAATCCATCATTCATCATTATAACTAATTAATTATTCGGTTAGCAGCAGTAAATAGTAGTAATCAATTAATCCTCCTCCCGTTGGAATATATATTATTACAGAAAGGCCACACCACGGTGGACGCGGAAAGTCAAAGTGTCGCCGGATTCTGCCATCGAAGGGCAGCTGGACGACGGCTATGGCTGGAGGAAGTACGGACAAAAAGACATCCTAGGTGCAAAACACCCCAGGTCTGCTCTGCTCTCACTATAACGCCATTTCTTTACACTTTTCCTTTATTTATTAATTAAGTCGTCCAGTTTACTAAACACGCGCTTTATTCAGGAAGTTCGTTAATTATAATATTAGCTTTAGTGTGTTCCGCGGGTCTTCCTTGACCACCTTTTCCATTATTTAATTTATACTTATAACGTGTTCCGTACATAGATATGAACTACTAAATAAATAAATAAAAGAACTAACTACACTTGTTTTTCCTAACAAGATATTACGCCGTAATTTCTATATAACTACACTTCTTTTTCCTAACAACATATCATATTTTTTAACTCTTTCAAATCATAAATTATAGAGTTAAGGATGGGTTGCTGGATGCAAAAATCAACACCACCTATAAAACATTCAAACAATACAAACTTTTACTTCTTCACATAACACATGTTGTATTAAATAAAAAACATATAGGTTTGTTTTCTAAGGGATGACCATAATGCCGCTAAAGCTAAAATACAAAATCAAACACACCCTAATACTATTATTTATTGATCAAAAGGTATAATTAATTTTGCAGAGGGTACTACCGATGCACTAACAGGCACGGACAGGGCTGCATGGCTACAAAGCAAGTCCAGAGATCCGACGAGGATCCGACCGTCTTCGTGATCACCTACAGAAGGGAGCACACGTGCAACCCACGTGCAGGGACCAACCCACAACCCGAAGAACCATTTTTCAACATCCAAACAAGCCTTAGTATCATACCAACCAATGAAAACCCATTCCATTTCTCTTCACCAGTCCCCAATTACAACAACAACAACAATAATTCTAATAACGATCAGCAGCAGGGTCAAGACAGCATTTTTGCAGATTATTTCCCACTTTCAACCACTTCTGTTTTGGACAGTAGTTTTGATACACTAATCCCAAACTTGATGCACTCTTCAGAGTTCGAATTAAGCCCAGTTATTGCAGCCATCACTTCGGGTACAAACACCCCTGCCTTTGGTACAAGCTTCCCCACCGCTTCGACAGGAACAGACTCCAATTTCACTTTTGGACATCAAGGATATTATTATCCTTAAATCTTTTACTTCAAGGAGGTTAGAACATAGCACAAAGGTAATGTGTTCAATTTTATTTGTGTAGCCAAACTTTTGAGTTTAGTTGGATTGTCTCCAAATCTCAGATTTGTACTCGTCAATTATACTGTTCTCCATAGATGCATAATAATAATAGTAATAATAATCAATGTGTTTAATAATATATACTGTTCTTCAACATTTATAAATATACAGTAGCTACTCAAATGTTACATTTCTAACTTGGCAATATGCTGCTGTTACCAATTCCCAACACTTATTAATGCCCTTTTCATCAAATTCCTGCAGCTCTTAGATAACTAAAGTAACCAAAATGAAAACCTTACATGAATAAGAGTGTGTATATTTGGTTGAGTGAATTGAACCTCTTGATTATTCTGTTGGCTATACAGAGAAAAGAAGCTTGCAATTCTATAGTTATTGGATTCGACGAGTGTATTTTCTACATTGATTTGTTTTTGCTCTCCTTAGGAGATTGGATATGAATATGATGGCATCAAAAGGCATACTATATTCTGTATCTTGAAAGCCATTTTGATCTGATCTACATACAGTTGGTTCGCTTTCACAATTTGGAAGTCCAAGCACCTTTGTTCTTTTCACATTCTACATCCTTGCTTTCGATCGATTAATGCATAGCCTAACCAGCGAAAAAGGTTTCGATATCATGATTACTCTGCTTCACTATCCTAACTTAATCCTCAACCTCAAGGCTACCCTTCATTTACAGAGGTTTTCTTCCCAACATTTTATCAGCTTTTGCTCTATATTTTGTTTTGTAATTCTAAACATTCCTTTCTCTCTACATCCCCAAACCTTTTATCAACTTACAGACTTCAATTCCGAAACCTAATTCACAACATCAACAACAAAATTTAAAACTAACTACTGTTAAACTATTTCAGCAATTAGAGGGAAATAACGATGAAATATCGTCGAGCTAGTGCTGGGAAACTACCAACGAGGTAATTTTCTATATGAATTTCCTGTGGAAAACACATAAATAGAATCTTCCGTTGAAGGAGACCATAATGTTCAAATCAATTCGTAGAAGAAGGAGCAACCGATCGCGATACCTGACAATGAAAGGTGAAAAGTCGCCAGTTCCCGCTCCCGCTCCCGCCGCCGGCATTATGATTCCCAAATAGCTCGTTCTCAGTGTGGATTCGATTTTCTAAACCAATAGAAGCATAAATGCATCAGAATTTGATTTTGATTTTTTTATTTTTTAAATAATAATAAAAATATAGACCATTACCAAAGGAGGTCACAGGTACGGCACGTGACCGGTCCCTTCCGAATCATTACTGTACTATTTTTTTATAATTATTCCAATTTTTATTACTATCTAAATAGAGGTTTCTGGAATTTCAATTTTTTTTTATAAATAATACTAAAATTAAGTATTTAATATACTATTTTATGAAAAATAATGATATAATATTATTTTTTTTTTTAAAAAAATAAGCATTAATAAATAATGCATCAATTCTTCCAAATATAGATATAAAAAGAGCATAAATATTCGTACATGTTTACGATATGCATAGCCAGGGCCCTCTCTAACAAGTAACAATCATCTTCTGTTCTGGAATTAAATATATATGGGATTAAATAAATAAGTAAATAAGCTAGTGGATAGTAGTAGGGAAAAAAAATAAAATAAAATTTAATAATTTTTTTTTTTTTTTTTTTTAACAAGAGGAAGCTTGGTGCATTATAAATATTCTGTAGGTAGTTACACAAATTAACAGCTACCCAGGCCAGCAACCCCTCATTCAATTAATTTCATCCCCCCCCCCCCCCCCCCCCCCCCCCCCCCCACCCACACACACACACACACACATATATATTTATATATATTAAATTGAAATAAAAATATTGGCTACTTACGTGTCATGATAATGGTAATGGTAACAATATATATGATACATGCAATAGATGTGGACACCACAGCAACACTGTACATGCCAAATCCTATTCAAATTACCAGACCCACCCGCCCGCCCATATATAATATAATATAAATATAAGAATCCTAATAACGGTAATGGTGCAAGCAAGAAAGATAGATGAGAGATGGAAATTAATGTAGTATTGCATTTAATTTACTCTCCTCTGCGTTATATACATTTAATTTGTTTTACAGTTTTGTCCCATTTAATTTAATTTACATATTGTATTGTAAGTATGTTCATATATATATATGTGTGTGTGTGTGTGTGTGTAGGGTTTAGTTAGTCTGCCTTTTTACATGCATGGTCCAAAACTTCATTGTAGACAACATATATATGTATGTATATAAATTGGTTGTGCAAATTGATGGTGCCCATAAATAGAGGGAGCCTGAAGTGTCAGTTTCAAGATTATTTTTGAATCTTCATGTCAGGATTTGCTCTAATATTTTCCTCCATATATATATATATATATATTAAAACCTACTCATTATTAATTATGTCTATATAAAATATGACCCTCTCCCTCCCTCTATATATATATCTACATGGAACATATTCAAATAGGGTTTAATTATGACTATTATGAATTGGATACAAGAATCACTAATTAATTAATCAATCACAGTTATTTGAATTTTGAGTGATTTTGAGAGAAGTGGCAGTAGAGAGAGAGAGAGAGAGAGACAAAATCATTGAAGTGATGATGATGGAGTGTGAGTGTTGGTTCAGAACGCACTCCCATGCAAAAAACACACACAGAGATACCATGATGAATGCTGCTGCTGTATTTGGTACTCTCACACTAAATGTGTATATATTTATTGATCCCTCTCTCACTCTCTCTCTATATATACATATATATATATCTATAGAAAGAGAGAGAGAGAGAGGGCGTTCGAGAAGATGGCAGCAGCAGCAGCAGCTGCTGCTTTGAATGCTCACACACGCCATATCCGTGCTTCTCATCCACCCCACCCCACCCCACCCACCCTCCCCTTGTACTGTACTCTTCTCTCTCTAGTTTCATTTCTTCTTCATTTAATCCAATACACCCACCCTCAACACAGATATATATATATGTATATATATGTACTCATGCATGCATCTATATATATATATTTATATATATGTGTGTACACGTTTGTCGTTTGCAGTCTGTCCTAGTTTCAAATTAATACAACCACCTCCATTCTAACATATATATATATATTTTTATATATAGTATAGATACACTGATGCACGACACCTTAATTATATAATTAACCCTAATTGAATAAATAAAGTGTAAATTAATTAATGAGTGACATGTAATGCATGTAAAGTGTAAACTCTAATTTATAATATATATTATGAGAAATAAAACTAGGGCATGCATGGGAAGCAAGGAGACATTGATCTTCAAGTCATGTGAATGAAGCAAATTAAATGGGAAATTTGATGAGGTAGAGTTAGCTAGCTACAATCAATTGTTGTATAATTGTGTCCGAGTAAAGTCAGTGTCATACAAGATTGTTTTGTTTGTCTTAGAAAGATATGCCTTTGTCTCTTCCATTTTCTCCAACTATAAACATAAAAATATTTCTATACACACAACTTTTTCCTTTTTTTTTTTTTTTTTACTATTTTTATTTTTCATCAAATACTTTTTTTTTTTTTGTTAATTACCAGGAATATTCTCCCCAAACAAGTAGCACAACCATTGTCTCATTTGGTATAAAATTTTATAAGGGTTCTATTTTTGCTCTCATTCAAGAAAAAAAAAAGTATACAAAAATATAAAGATTTGTTAATCTAATTCGATCATAATGATCTACGTCTGAGTGCAGCTAAATTAATAGTTTTAGGTGTTAATTACAAATAAAATACATTCAACAGAAACCCTAATTCATGGGGCGGTAGAAGGGCTAGATGCATGTACAGTACTTTTTCAAGCTCCAATTTGAGATTCACAACATAACACATATTTTTATTCTCTTTATTTAAGTGAACTTGTAGAAAATCTAATGTCCTTAAAAGGATCATTCCAAAAGAATAATCAAATCTTCAAACCAAATGATCACTTCAACTTAAATTTAGCAAGGCAAGAGTGTCTGTTGGTGTTGTTATTGCGTTAAAATGACTGATTTTATTGTGCACGGTGTAAGGTAGTAGAACATGGTAGATATGCTTATTTTTTGTTGGTGTTAATTGAGATCAATATTCATAACTTGTTGAATGTTATTAGTTTGATATATATATATATATTCGAAGATATTAATTAGTCTTGTGAGTGATATTCTTATCGAGCAGCATTCATTAGTAAATGCAATTACTGACGCACAAAACATTTCAAGAATGAAATAATTAAATTTTGTAAGAAGTGATCAGAGTTAATGTGATGGAATTGAATTCTTGGGGTTCAAAATCAATGGACGTTTTCTTGATTTTGTCTCTATATAAGACATGTCTAGTGTATTATTTACCTTTGCTATTGTGGTGGCCCTTAGTTGTCACACTATTAAATAAATTTAAAAAATAAAAGGGTTAAAGATAAATTAAATTAAATGCGAAGGCAGTTACTAGGCACAAAAGTAACATTTAATAATCACTTAGTTGAAAACAGAAATATTTACTGAGCCATGGCCTTGAGGTGCAGTAAAACCAGCCAAGCAAAAAAGACATAAATAAAAACCCTAGAATTAATTCTTACATCCAACGACAAGTACTAGTGTAGTAATTTAGGTACATGGAATATCATTCTCAAGAATTCCAGACAGTACAGTATACAGTCTGCACTCACTGCTCCATTATAGTATTATTTTATAAAAACAAATAATAATTAATTAATATTCAATCCATCGATAGATCCACCACAAATGAATTATAATCTTCATAACTTTCCAATTTTCTTGATCTCACAGTACTCATCGATATATCAAGTCTTTGCTTCAATTCTCTCATCATCCCATTCCCATTACCATTCCCATTCTCATTTTTCCTCTCTGACTCTGACTCTTTCTCTCTCTCATTCTTGTTTCTCACTCATTCCCAAAAGTCGAGAGCCTATCGATTTCATGCCTGCAAATTAATCTCCATCGCATACTACCAAAAAGCAAATGCTAAATTTCTGAAAGAGTTATTGATGGCGATAGTTTGGTCCCTTTCATCATCATTACTACAATATATATAATATTTATCGACCTTTTCAGATCTTTAGGTTTTTCAATTTCCCCACCTTTAATTTGATTAATTTTCTACCGGAAAGCCAAAGACAATACTTTTCTGAGCGATTTCTTGCCGGCGATGGACGGTGAGGATTTCTCCGACTTCCTCGAGGAATCTACCAACTTCGCAGCAGATGACATCTTCAGCATTCTTGAAGCCTTCGAAAACTCCTGCAACAACAACAACAGTTCTACTGTTAATGGTAATAACAATAATGATAATAATAATATTAATGGATCTGCAGGGTTGGGTGAATCTGTTGCAGATGGGAGTACTGGTTTTGAGTTCCATTCTCCACTTCATAATCAAGAATCGTTGGAGACTAATAATTCGCCTAAGAGACAGAAGCTGATGATGATCAACCTTAATAATTCCGAAGAAGGGCTGCTGCAGGTGCAGAAGATCTCACACATTACTGTTGAGAGGAACCGAAGAAAGCAGATGAACGAACACCTTGCTGTGCTTCGTGCTTTGATGCCTTGTTTCTATGTCAAAAGGGTATATACATATACATATACATATACACATATACATATGCATAATATATGTGTGTGTGTTTTGGTGTTTTTAAAATTTTTGCCACAAAAAGACCATACATAGAGTAGTGGTACCGTGAATAGGTTCCCAAAGTTGCATTGACAAATCTCATCTGTTCCCACACATGTGATCATCGTCATCATCATCGTCTAGGGTTATTTCTTGCAGCCGTAACGGTCGAATTCTAACGGCTATGTTTATAATTAGGGCGACCAAGCATCCATTATCGGAGGTGTGGTGAGTTACATCACAGAGCTACAGCAGATCCTCCAATCCTTGGAATCGAAGAAGCAAAGGAAATCCTACGCCGAAGCCGCCGCCGTTTTAAGCCCTAGACTCTCCCCACGTCCCTCGCCGGCGGGATTCAGCCCGCGGCGGCCGCCGTTGAGCCCCGGCGGCGCGTGCAGACTCAGCGGCCAGCTTCCGATAAGCCCGAGAACACCCCAACCAAGCAGCCCGTACAAGCCGAGGCTGCACAGCAGCTACCTCAACTCCTCGCCGGCGGCGGCGGCGGCGGCGCCGCCGTCACTTCCCAGCCCCGTCGATCTCTCCCCCTGCAGCAACTCCTCTACCTCCTCCATCAACGATAGCCTGAACGAGCTCGTCGCCTCTTCGAAATCGGCCATGGCGGAAGTGGAGGTGAAATTCTCCGGCCCCAATTTGCTGCTCAAAACGGCGTCGCATCGCCTCCGCGGCCAGGCTGTGAAGATCGTCGCCGCCCTTGACGAACTCGCCCTCGAAACGCTGCAGATGAACGTCAGTACAATCGACGAAACCATGCTCTATTCTTTCACGATTAAGGTAAGAAATTGACAAATCGATTGATTAAATTAATTAGTTTATCACTTAATTGATAATTAATCAACAGTGGTCTTTGTTCAACAGGTCGGGATCGATTGCCAGCTCAGTGCAGAAGAATTGGCGGAGCAGATTCAGCAGACATTCTGCTAATTTAATCAAAGCTCTTGTCGAAACGACGATGATATTAATTGCACTACTGTCAGGTCCTTCCCAACCCTAACTGCCCTACTGTACCTTCCTCGCGTTTTCAATTAAAAGCGCTCTTCTGCCAATTGCGACATCACTCAGCCAAATGCGAGAAAGCGTGCTTTACTATTATTGTTATTGGAGCATTATTTTTGTTCTCTTTAAATTTTTAATCAACCTGTAATTGTAGATTACGATATAGTCAAGTGGATCCCTACTTTCTTTTCCCATATTTCAAAATTTTCTGAAGGCCGGATTATTTATTTAATTATTCAAATGTTTTTATTTATTTCCGCCTCATAAATATTCATAGGTAAATAACACATTTAAATTTGAATGTAAATGTAAATGTAACCTTGTCTATAGGGCATCCGGACCTGTCAGACTATCAGTACTACAATTAATTAGCCTTTGTTTCGATAAAATTTTCAAGTTTCCCAAAGTTTTAGATAATTTTAAAAATAGTAAAAAATAGAATCTATATATACTTTTTGCAGATAATAAGTAAATATATATTTTTTTTTATTTTTTAAAGGAGTGTTTCTAATTTTCTTTAAAAAAACTTTTTTAAATATAACTTATAAAATTATTTCAAATAATAATAATAATAAAAAAATCCTTACAAAAATATCTAAAATATTTAGGGACACATGGGGCATATTATAAATTTCATTTATGGTACTTATATATATTCATAGAGAATGTTTATGGTACTATTATATATTCATAGACAATGATTACGATGGGATGCTGAATTAGACGTCACATAAAATATAGATTGTGACTATATTATTTGAATTAATACACATTTTTCTTTTTGTACTAATATACTTTTTTTTTTTTTTTTTTGTTGAAATATTGTGTGAATTATTATTATATACAATTCATTCATATATTGCAATTGTACTATATTAATATAAATGTTATGCTTTCCATTTATGCACCACATCTTGTCGATCTATATCCATGTTATGCTGAGTAAATACTCAACAATCTAAGCACTTGCATATTCATTATTATTATTATTATTATTATTATTATTATTATTATTATTATTATTATTATATTTGTAGAATAGTAAATTTGATGATATTTTGTAAAAATAAATATATATTTGATTTAATAATAATTATTATATTTTTCATATAGTGACAAGTATCTCTCTTTTTTTTCTTTTCTATTTTTTTTCCCCTTCCTTTTTAGTCTAAATTGCATTTATAATGCCCTCAAATTTTATATGATACATATATTTAATTTTGAATATTGAATTATAATTAGGAAATTAGGAAGTCATCATCAGTGGTGTAGCAAACTTCACTCCCTCTTTCTTCTCCACACCGCTCTTAATTATTTTTATTTTTATTTTAAAATTAATTATATATATAATATGCCTGCGTATATATATATATATTTGTGTGTGAAGGCGAATGCATTTTTGTAACCGCCCAACTTTTGTGTTGTTGGTAGTTCTCTCTCTCTATCCGCGGCCGACCACCGGAGTACCGCCGCCGCCGCCGCCCTGAGGGAGAGAACGTAGGGAGTACCAAATATTTTTCCGTAGTACGTTTAATTAATAAATTCATTTCAGCCTAAAATGGAGAGGATTGCCAGAGCTTTGGCTACGATCTTCGTCGCAGTGCTCTTCGCTACTGCTGCTTTCCCGCACGTCGCCTTCGCCGCCGCCGTCGATGCTCCCGCACCTTCCCCTACCAGCGACGGTACGGTAGAATTACATAGTCGTGATGTTTGTGAAACCCTAGGAATTTGAAATTTGTGAATTAATTGATTATATGTGAGGAATTGTTGAGTTTTGATTTGATTTGATTTCAGGAGCGACAATAGATCAATGCGTAGCATACATTTTGATGCTGCTGGCGTTGGTGCTCACTTACCTTATTCACTGATTAATTTAATCATCCACCACGGATGATCGACATATGAGTCCATACATATATATGCATGTGTATGTATATGGACATAGACATCTGAAACAGATGATCAACGAAGAAGAAGAAAAAGGTAGAAGGCTCTCTTTGATGTCATTGGTGGAGTTAGTTATCGGGGTATTTTCGTAATTTCGCACTAGCTCAAGCTCTTTGCTTTCCCATTGTATTCAGTAAAACTATTATATTATTATTTATTATTATTATTGAAATATCTCTGGTCATTTTAGGAGTTACAGTTTTGGAGAATTCTATGAATGATTGTTATACGTTAATTTGTTATAATGTTAAGTAAATGATTCCTCATATATATTTGTACTATTTATTGATTTTTTGTCACAAATTTTAGAATACTTCCAAAATGACAAAACAAGGCTAATCTAACGTTAGATTTCAAAATTAATAAAAATTATGACTCATTATTTTGTCCTTCTCAACTTCTTTAAAAGAAAAGAACAAATTTTTATTCTCACTAATAAATATTTTACGTAAAATTCAAACAAACTTTTTTTTTTTTTTTTTTGACGTGGCTATGAGATTACTATTTGCATATTTATCACATGCATGTTGAACAGTATTTACAATTCTTATTTATTTTATTTATTTATTTATAATCAGAATGAAATTGTCTGATAATTAGAAGTGACTGTGTACACATATTGGTGATTGAAATGTTGTACTCTTTCAACAGGAACAAATACTGAGGAATTGGTCTAGAACTATTTATCATTATTTTTTTTAAAAAAAAAGATTATTAAAAAACTACTTTCGTCTAAATATTATGTTAATATTTAGTATCTTTTTATACAAAACACCATATTGAACACTAATTTACATATTTAACTGTAATTTTTATTTGTTTGAAGTGTTCTAAATTATTTTAAAATTAATACAATTTAAAATAATTTTTTTATTAATAAAATAGATTGAAAATATAAAAAAATCGATATAAAATATTTCAACTAACTATTCAGAGTTCCAACTACATAATGGGCCAGCCCAATATTTATTTAGGCAGGGCCCACGAGATATTTTATGCAAGCCCAAATACTTTCAGTTTCGTAATGTTTGTTAAAATGAAGTAGAAATATTTACCAGAAAAATAAAATAAAATAGAAGTATATAAAATAAATAAATAAATAAATTAGAGTGAAAGTCAAATAAAGGGGGGGATGCATGAATCTTCCACAATCACCTCTTGGAGGAGAGAAAGGGTTAAAAATAGTAGACCAAGAGTAGTGGTGTCAACTTTCTAAATATCTGTTTCTGTAGTCTCATATCATATCGATCATTTCTCTATATAAATAATATCCCAATAATTTAATTAACTGAGATCATAAAAGATGTTAGAAAGAAAGAAATAAAGAAAATTGTAACGGGTAGGGTATTAAAATTATTATATTGTTTAAAACATGAGCCCATGTTTCCTGTTGAATTAATTAAATAAAGAAATGGAGTGGGTATAATATAATGAGCTAACTCCATTAACCTTTTCCTTGTATTCTATTGTATTTGTTTTCTACTAATTAATTTATTTATTAATCAATTAATACAAAAGTGGAGCACAAACCTGATCAAAAATAATACATATATATAGTTGAATTTAATCAAATTAAAAAGAGATTTAATTTATTAATCAACCAAGTTCTTGTTTTGCATATGAGGGGTGATCAAGGTGTTGATTGACCCATTTATATATCACTGCATAATTTGAATTATATCAATTCATATCTTACACCACATTGTATTAACAATAATTATATACTGAAATCAATTGTCATATATGTTAAAATATAAATTATGACTATTTGCTATTAATTCATGCATTATATATATATTACATTAACATACTATCGATTTATACGTATTGGCATACTGCTAATTAGCCTTAATCAATCAGTATTCGAATACGAAAGTGGAGACCCATGTCACACTCACACACACACACACACAGGTGCATGTCATGTGTATTTTCTTTTGTTATACTATAAGAAATGACACGTGTCAACCCGACATGTAAGAAAGAATCGATCTCCACAATGAAAAATATCATATTCGTATATCTATATGTATATATATACAGTGGGAGGAAAAAGGTGGTCGTGGGCACGAATGGGGTTTAAATAAATAAATATATACATGCACATCCGGGTACTCCAAATATTCAATATTACTTACAATATTATATTTGCTGCTTTGTTCTACTCTATATATGTCATAATAATAATAATAATAATAATAATAGTAGTAGTAGAATATTAAGTTCAGTTGGGGATTTATTCGGTACGCACTTTCGGGTAGCGATTGCGGGTTCCTATGTCATCAAATAAAAAAAATAATAGGTAAGGGTCCCGCTCTGTTATTTTGTTTTAGTTGAGTTTCAATTTTTTATTTTTAAATTCAGACTATATCTTATTCAATAAAAATATACTATTTTATTTATTAAATATAAAATATTATATTTAAACTATTATGTAAAAGATTATTATTAAAATTAATCCCTGCATCTTTTGTTCACTTAACTCAGAACTCACACTACACTAGTTGCTGTTTCTTCATCAATTATAATTATAATTTATATTATCATACTACTATTAATTAGATACACAAAATACTGTGCGATGTAAAGTTCAAATAATTGTGTACCCCCCGTTGGACCTCATTATAATTTATTTATTAAAACACATTACAATCATATGTCATATATATATATATATATATAATTTTTTTGAGTATTTTATTCAAACCAAATATTATTTCCCTTTCCATTCAAGAATTCTTCATTGATCATCAGATTCTACATTATATATTTCAAACAATATTATTTGAAACATCAATTAACTACTTTACACATTGGTTAAATAAATATTAAGTGAAAAATAAAATGTGTTTGTTCAAACAATTAATCAGTAAATTCAGGGTGTGTTTGTTTTACATCTCAAATCCAACCAAATGTTTTACTTATATTCAACAACTACTTCAATATAAAAATACCCACAAACTATTATTATTATTATTATTATTATTATTATTAGAATATATTTATATATGTAATGTGGGTATTGATTGAATTAATGATTCAGTGAGAAAGATGGTTTGGTTGCTGTCCCAACATTCATTGTTGGGGACAATGCAACTAATTGCTTCGTCATCCAACCAATATCTAAATTAAATAATATCAACTGAATGAATTTAAACTGATTAATTATAATATACTATGATCATCAAAAGATTCCAATATTTAGGGCTTTTGAAGCAGAAAAAGCTAGCAGTGTTAGACTGGAAGGAACTTAATTATTAAATTAATTAATTTAAATTTCGTATGACCAACAAATAATAAATTAAATAAACATACAAAAATGACATTACATTAGACGCCAAATT